GGTACAGATGGTAAGCGAAGATATTTCCAAAAAAATTTTAAATAAATATTCAGCAGTTATGCACTGTGGGTTTGAAAAATTCAAGCTGTAGTACCAATTTTTACCTTTGAAAGAGAAAAAAGCAGGTTAAAAGTGAGCCAGAACTGAGAATAGAAAGGGGGAGAAAAATCGACCAATATAATAAAACAACAGGTATCACTAGATCACGATTTAATCAAAATTTACACTAGAAAGACATACCAGAAGTGGATACAAAATCAACTGATATCTTCACTTGTAATGAATCCAAGAGCTACAAAACAGAGAGAAGCATTTGGTATTAAAAGGATGCTCTTTTAGACTACTACTTGAAAAGTACAAAAGTTATATACACATATCTTCTGAATATTTTGATGCACGAATGGTATTAAAAAAAAATGAAAAAATCAATGAATTCAATTCAGAAAAAGCATTCATTTGTACTAAAACTAATTGAATGACATGTCATTTGTACTACAACTAAATGAATGCATGTCATTATGAATTTTGACAAGGTGTCTTGAATTTTAGTGTTTTTAGTAAATTTTTAGGATTTGATGTCTGGTTATTTTTATCGTTATCGTTTAATCTAAAAAAGGCTAAAATAATTGGAAAATTAAATTTAAGCAATTACCTAATGCTTTAAAAGCTTCACCGATTCTAAAACTATAAATTAAGTAACTTTCTCTACCTTGAAATTTTGTTCTATAAAGATTTTTACAAATTTTACAAATAATGTATTCTTTTATACCATTTATCATTCATTTTATAGTGTCAGTTTATTATATGCTTAGTAAAGCAAAACCATTACCTTATGATGATTTAATAGGTGGGATCCTTAATGAATATTATAAATATCCATATCCAATTGCCGGGACAGTTGATGTAAATTTTCACAATGATCCGGGTTTAGGTTTGACTTTGGTAAAACTGGTAAAAACCAACGAGAATTGAATGTCATTAAATGATGCAATGTTTTCTTCCCAATATGCAATTTGTTCAGGAAATTATGGTGATGCTGTTTTGTTTATCGAATTTTTGAATCATGAAGGAAATTTAAAACCAGGTATTTTAAAAAATGAGTTTAAAAATTCTATTTTAGAAAGAGCAAATGGAAATAACACACTAATCGAATTATGGGCAAATACTACTACCAACTCAAATTTGGCAGAGTATTATAGAGGTTTAATTGTTTAACAATCTTAAATTTGTTCTGATTTATTATTTTAATCTGCTGATTTTATTAGTATCTTAATTGTTTAATACAGTTTCGTTGATTTTATACTTTTATTTGAATAATAAACACTAGTAGCTTCTTACGTGTCTTCTTAATCTTTAGTGTAAGTCTCATGAAAAAATTGCAATAAACCAAAAACTCAGAAGCTGCCACTTTTCATCTCAGTACATTTTTTGAATGCAGCAGCAGCAAAGTTTACATTAATACAATACAACAAAAAAGTTCCTACTCTGCTGATGAAGCTGTCTTAGCACATTAAGTATATTTTCAAAATTTGTAAAAAATCCAAAATTTGAACCTTCGAGTACGAAAGGTAAAATTACGATCAGTGGCTGCAGCCAGGCTAATTCGGGCCATAGAATACGATGTAGATGGTGTCATTCGTTCTAATGCAATAGTTCGCTAGAAACGTACTGAATTTCAAAAAAATTGTAGAACCATTTATTTCATTCTCGAGGAAAATCTCGAATCATATGATGCATCCAACAGCATCAAGCGCGTTTAAATACGTAGAAAATTCTCAAAATCGACTTTCGAGTAGGTCGATCACTTCACCAAAGAATACCCCACTCATTCAAACGTGCTATCTCATGGCATTAGCTTAACCTCGATTGCTTTGCAAGTGCTTGAGTGAATTATTTCTGAAAATTTACATTAAGAAATTGAACATTGTGATGACATCGATGATTGATTAAGATTTGGTAATTTCTTAGTTTTATATACAGATAAATATACATATACATCTCAGACTCGTATCCAATAGTTTTTTAAATAAAAGTAAGAACATTTATATAGATGATTTTTACATGTTGATTATTATATAACAAGTTATGAAAACACACTAGGGCCAAATCGCTCTGGAATGAATTTTAATACGAAAATTTCTTTTTTTTTTAGTCATGTTCGCATCAAGAACGAGCGCCTTAAATACTATGCGTTAAAATTTTGAGAACAAAGTGACTTATATGCACTCCTATAATAGCCAGAAAAAGAACACTTGGACCTCATTTAACAAAATCCAATATAGCTGCTCCAATTATTTAGATCTCAAAAACGCCAAAATCGGTTTGAAGTTTTTGCAAAAATCTCGATTTCATTTTTGAAAAATTAATTTTCCAATCTAGAATACATTTGCACAAAAAATTGCAAGATTTATCAACGAACAGGAGCTATAAAGCTGAAATTTTTATTAAGTTTAGTTTGTATATAGAAAATGGTGTCAGATTTTTTGTAAGGTCAATTCATCAAAATTTCACCTTACATACGAGGAAATTTCGAAATTTCTAAATTTTTTGTAGATTACAACTAAAATCAAGTATAACACATTAGTATTAAATCGAATGTATATAACACATTGTTTAGTTGAATATTATGGGCTTAATAAAAGATACATCGATTTTTATCTTTTGAAATATTTTTGTCAGGGGGAAAAAACGAAAAAATAACAATTGGAAAAGCAAAATGCTTGAGTTTGAGATTCTATTTATGTAAAATATATAATTTAAAGCATTCATGTTCATATTAATAGTATTCATCATCTGAGAATTCGTAGTTCATGTTAAGTCAAAGAAATTGGTGCGGGTGGCCCTAGAATTGGCGCGGGGAAAATCTTACGTTGGTATTAGATTTAAACGAGAATTGCATCCACAAAAAATTATTTTAAAACAAATTTGACTTGTAGGCAGTCCTGCAAGAGTTAATCTCAAACCTTGGATTGCTAATAACTCTCTCAATCTTAGATCTGTTATTCTCAAACTTTTTTCACTAAGACTTCTATTAGTTTTGAGGAGACTGTTGCTAAAATTCTTTACTGAAACACTACTTGACCGCTTTATTCTTCATTCAAAAAAAGGAAAAAAACGCCATTTTACGACATACGCAATACTTGAACCTCATTTACGCAACTATTAAGGTAGTTGATTCGGTTTGTTGGACTCAAGAAGTCCCGTGAGTCAAGGTTTAATGACGCCAAAATCATTCTGAAGTTTTTTCAAAAATTACGTGACACTGTTGAAAAATTAATTTTCCAATTTTCAAAACATAGACACAAAAATATGGTTTATCTATATCAGGGAACTACAAAATTGAATGTTTTCATCATGTCTGAATCTGAATAATAAAAGTGGTGTCAGATTTTTCGTAAGGTCAATTTATTCGAATTTCCCTATACTTCAAAGAAAATATCGAAATTTCCCAATTTTAGTTGAAAGCAGCTCAAATCACGTCTAGCATATTATCTTGAAGTCTAATGTTTATAATCCGTTGTTCAATAAAAAATTATGGACCTAAATAAAAAGTTACAGAGAGTCTTATTTTTAAAGTAAATATTTGTATAGTGAAAAAAGGCCAAAATGACAACTCCAAAAAAAAATATCTGAAATCTAAAGTTTAATATATGTACAGCATATACTTTATGCCTCTGGATCTGGTATAAATGGTACTTATCTTGAGAAAATGTGTTGTTCTTAACAAATACGTCAATACCCTTGGTACGCAAGTACGGAAAATTCGCGAAAAAATAATTTTGTAGTATCAAAGTATCGCTTCTAAAAGTATGTACTTTTGAAAATACTTTTAACTTATACGCAGTCTCGTAAATGTTGACTTAATAATAATGTTGACAATAAATTGAAATCTCGAAGTACGTAGATATACGATCTTGCTATAGTCGTAATCTTTACCCTTTATTTATGGATTTGCGTAAGTTCGCAGATGTCCTATAGTCTAATAATGACCAAAATCTTTGCTTGAAATATTATGAATACCCAAGGGCAATTGTCTTCGACTGATAGGCAAACTGAATTCAATCCAACTATCCCTGATATATAGGAGAACTATGTTGAAGAGTTTTTCATGTATTAAAGGAGGTGTAGAAATTGCGGAACAATGACGCAGGTACATTTCAAATGATCAGCGTTTTTAAAAAGGCCTTTCTCGATTACGGTATATCTGTTATTTAATCCAGGAAATTCTGACTATATGATTCGCTGCCTAAGCCTATGATTGACAGATTTGATAGTGGCCAATATGTAATTTTCTTTTTCTGCAATTTATTTTATTTAGCAATAATTCGCGGTAGCGCTTAAGGGGTAATTTTATTCGATTAAGGGGTAATTATTCAAAACGTACAGTTGCATTTTTGAATCTCTTTCTGTCTCTGCGGAGATTGATTTTGGGAAATACAGGTAGACTATTATTGCGGCAAATATGTTAACAAGTATGCATATCTCAAATCTTGATTCAGATCACGTAATCGAAATAAACATCTTATCCACACTTACCTTAACTCTGTTGCAATAAAATAGTTTACAACAATAATTGGCTTAATTACAAGCTATTTTTTTTTTTTCAATAGTTAATTAATCGAACGTATCGTGTATGCTTGAAATTTTTGAAACCTTGCGATTTTCAAATTTGTGGGGATACCAACGGTTTTACACTACGAATAGAACCATAAATGAACTGTTCAAACTTTATATCATAAGCGTTATTGTAATTGAAAAAAGTGGTCTGAGTTTTAAAGCTGCAAATACGCGTGCACGTGATCCGGAGTTAACAAGATCTAAATTTTGATGTCAAATTTTCTTTATTCAAACAAAAAGTTTAAATTTTCACATTCTATCGGAGATTATGCAATAATGAATTTTTTATGTAAATTTACTATATAAAAATAATAAACGACCATCAACATTTATTCTTGATCAATAAGAAGTTCAGGAAGTTTTTGGTTGATTTTAGTCTAGTCATGAATTATATACTTCCAGATAAAGCAGAACCAAAACATATAGAAACTTTTACATCTTTATGTGATGGTGTAATTCATGAAACAACAGTTGAAAATATAAGAAATGTTGTTGGTTCACATTTTACTAATGATGATTTAGAACAATATGTTAAAACATTTACAAAACCATCTGATACCCCGGGCTTTAAAGAAAATGTATTAGAGATTATAAATAAACAAACCACATTTATGATTCAACAATTTGTTTTTTTATGTAATGCATTGGATTCAAGAGTTTTATCACCTACATTAACAAATTCATTAACTTTAGTTAAAGATATGACTGTAAATGAAAAAGAAGAATTAATCAAAGCATGGAGAGATTCACCAATTGAACTTAAAAATAAATTGTTTAGAATTGTTTACTCAGTGAGTGCTGCTACTTTTGTTAGATTAGCTACTGATTTACATAATAAAGCTACAAATTATCCAGGTAAAGAATCAAGAGAAACAATATATGAAAATCAAGAAATTGATCCATTTAAATACGAATTTCTAAAAAAACCGGAATTTGAAAATGGTGAATTATATTTACCTGATATTGATGTATTAATAATTGGATCCGGTGCAGGTGCTGGAGTTGTTGCTCACACATTAGCAAATGATGGTTATAAATCACTAATTTTGGAAAAGGGGAAATATTTTCATAGTTCTGAATATAATTTTAATGATCTTGAAGGTATGAATGAATTATATGAAGGTGGTGCAGCTATAACAACTTCCAATGGTCAAATGTTTGTATTAGCAGGATCTACTTTTGGTGGGGGTACTACTATTAATTGGTCATGTTCTTTAAATACTCCATTTAAAATAAGAAAAGAATGGTATGATGATTATGGATTAGAATTTGTTGCCAATGAGTCTTATGATAAAGCACAAGAATTTGTTTTAAATCAAATGGGTGCATCAACTAAAAATATTAAACATTCATTAGGAAATCAAGTCATTTTAAAAGGTGGTAAAAAATTGGGTTATACAGTTAAAGAATGTCCACAAAATTCTGGTGGTTATCCAAATCATTCATGTGGATTTTGTTATTTAGGTTGCAAATATGGCATAAAACAAGGTGGTACTGCAAATTGGTTGAAATTACCAGCTCAAACAGGTTCAAAATTCATGGATTCAGTTAAAGTTTTAAAAATTTTACATAAAAAAGGTAAGGCAATTGGTGTTTTATGTCAAGATGAACAAACAAAGAATATTTTTAGTATTACTGGTCCCAAAAAATTTGTAGTTGCTGGCGGGTCATTAAATACACCTGTTGTTTTACAAAATTCAGGTTTTAAAAATAAAAATATTGGGTCCAATCTAAAATTACATCCAGTTACTGTTATATTCGGAGATTTTGGTAAAGAGGTTAAACATGATCATTTTAATAATTCAATAATGACTGCTGTTTGTACCCAAGTTGATGATTTAAATAATAAAGCACATGGAGCTAAAATTGAAACTATATTAAATGCACCATTTATTCAAGCTACTTTATTACCGTGGAGAGAATCAAATGAATTAAGAAAAGATTTACTACGTTATAATAATATGGTTGCAATGTTATTAATTGATAGAGATACAGGTAGTGGTAAAGTTTATGCCGATAAAAATAAACCAGATGCATTACATATTGATTATGAAATTAATAAATTTGATAGAAATGCATTATTACAATCATTTTTAGTAGCTGCTGATATGTTATATATTGAAGGTGCTAAAAGATTGTTAAGTCCTCAAGCAACTGTGCCAATTTTTGAAACTGATATACCAAAAGATAAAAGAAAAATAACTGATAAAGAATATCAAAATTGGAGAAATAAAGTTTCTAAAATACAATTTACAAGATATGGTACTGGTTATGGATCAGCTCATCAAATGTCATCTTGTAGAATGTCTGGGAAAGGACCGAATTTTGGTGCTTGTGATGAAAATGGGAAATTATTTGAATGTCCAAATATTTATATAGCTGATGCTTCAGCGATGCCTACAGCTTCAGGAGCAAATCCAATGATTACAACAATGACAATTGCAAGACATGTTGGTTTGAGATTAGCTGATGATTTGAAAATTAAATCTAAATTATAATTCTATAAACGTCTATTTATTCTTCTTTTGAATATATGCTTCTTTTGCTAATTTAATTAATGAATCTAATTCTCCTGAATTTTCACACATATTATAAAATAATGAATTTTTATTAGCAATTAAAGTATATGGATTATCATATTCAACGACTTTACCAGCATCCATAACTAAAATTTTATCATAATCTATAATTGTCCTTAATCTATGAGCAATAGTTAAAATTGTTGATTGACTAAATTCTTCTCTAATTGTTTGTTGAATTGCAGAATCTGATTTATAATCAATTGAAGATGTAGCTTCATCTAATAATATAACTTTTGGATTTTTTAATAATGATCTACTTAAACAAACTAACTGTCTTTCACCTTGTGATAAATTACCACCACCTTCAGTTATAACTGAAGATAAATTTAAAAATTTATTTGCATTTTCTTGATCATTTGATTCACCAGGTGTTATTAAACCAGTTCTTCTTAAAGCTTCAAATATCTGTTCATCAGTATATGCATTAAAAGGATCAAGATTAGATCTAACAGTACCTGAAAATAATGTTGGATCTTGTGGAATAATTGTAATAGCTTGACGTAAATTTCGTAAACCAATTTTACTTATATCAACGTCATCAATTTTAATACTTCCAGTTTCTGGATCAAGAAATCTAAAAAAAGCAGTAATTATAGTTGATTTACCTGCACCTGTTCTTCCAACAATTCCAACTTTATTACATGGATCAATATCAAAACTTACATTTTTAATAACTCTTGGTAAATCAGGTGCATATCTTAATGAAACATTTTTAACACTAATTTGACCTCTTTGAGGCCATTCTGGTGATGGTTCAGTTTCTTTAATTGCATATGGTGGTTCTTGATCAACTTTTAAATATTCTTGTAATCTTTCAACTGAATTCATATTCATTTCAACATTTGCATAAAGACGAACAATCCATAATGCACTTTCACTAAATGCAATAGCATAAGACAATGATAAACCGGCTAAACCAGCATCAATTTTACCTACTGAAAATAAAACAAACATACCAGCAAATAACATAACTAATGAACCAACAGCATCAACTCTAAATGATAACCATCTATTTGCAACCCATAAATAAAAAAAAGGTCTATTATTATTATCAATTGCTTGTAAATTTTGTTTCATAAATCTTGATTCAATACCATAAGCTCGAATTGTAGCTACACCATTTAATGATTCACTAAAATGTTGATGAATTGGTGATTTTGTAATTGATTCATATCTTTTCAATTCTCTTGATAATGTAAGATAAAAATAACCAACAAGATAATATAAACATGCAATTAAAATAGCAAAGAATAAAAATCCGGGTGTAATAAATGTAATTAATACTAATGTAGATAAACATTGAATAAAACAAATAAAAACACCTTCTGCAAATGGAGTAACTTCTTGATCAACTGATTCAATATCTTTTGAAAATCTATTCATAATTCTACCTAATGGAGTTTGGTCAAAAAATCTCAATTTTGCTCTTAAAATTGTAACTAAAACTTGTTTGAAAATTCTATTTGAGGCACGAACTCCTGAAAAGAATGTAATACCAACTCTAAAGCATGCTGTAAATGCATATGCAAACCCAATGGCTGTATAAATTGAAATATAATATAATGTTGAATGTTGTTGAGCAATAGTATTGACAAAATTAAATGAATTTGTAAATAATTTTCCAGTTTCGCTGAATTGTTGTATGAATAGTTCAACATCTGTTTCACTATGTAATGACCAATTTCTTAACCACCATGACTGATACATATAAACTAATTGTGATGCTAAAAATGATGTAATTACAATTGTCCACATTGGCCAACCACCAAAATATTTTGCATAACCAAGATAAACTTCTTTGCTAACAACACCTTCAGATTTACCTTCTTCTTCAACTAATTTCCCATCAGTTTTAATTCGTTCTTCTTCTGGTTCTGAAATTGCTTTTAATTTATTTTCAATTGCAGCTGCTTTTGCCTTCATATCAGCATTTTTACTTTCCAAAGTTAAATTTGTTGTTGATTGAGATCTTGAATTTAATACTGATTCAACTAATTCATCATCACCTAAATCTCCAGTTTTTAATAAATCTTCCATAGTTCCTTGATTTTTAATTCTACCATTTTCTAAAACAACTATCCAAGCTGCATTTTGTACAGTCAATGCAACATTATGTGAAACCAATATACAAGTTCTATTTTCCATTAATGGACCAGTAATACAATTTTCATAAATCCATAAAGCAGTATGTGAATCAACTGCTGATAAACAATCATCTAATAAAACGTATCTTGAGTTTGAATATAATGCTCTTGCTAATGAAACTCTTTGCTTTTGGCCACCAGATAATGTAATTCCCTTTTCACCAACTTCAGTTTGATCACCAGCTGATAAAATTTGTAAATCTCTAGTTAATCCACAAGCTTCAATAACTTTTTTATAACGATATTCATTAAATTTAGAACCAAATAAAATATTAGCATAGATTGTATCATTTAATAACCAAGCAGTTTGAGAACAATAAGCAACTGATTCAGTTAAACCTTGAGAATCAACTTCTAATTCTTCACGTGGGATTATACCAGGAAGGAAAACTTTACCTTGTAATAAATCCATTTCACCTAATAAACCTAATAAAAGTGATGTTTTACCAGACCCCGTTGGACCAATAATAACATTTAATTTTTGTGGTTTAAATTTAATATTCAAGTCCAATAATTTAAAATCTGTTTTTGAAATTGAATTCCATGATAACGTAGCATTTTCAAATCCAATTTCATTTGTTGAATTTGCCAATTGTTCATATTTTGAAGTTTCTGGTTCATCAAGGAAATCAGCAACTCTATCTAATGAAACTTTAGATTGAATAACAAATGAAGTCATATCTGCCAATTGATCTAATGGTGATCTTAATAATGTAAATAATGATAATGCAGTAAATGCAACAGGAGCAGTTAAAGTATTTCCATCAACAATTGTGTAACAATAAAATGATAATAATGTAATTAATGTTGGAGTAATAAACCAAACAAATGAACCTAAACACCAAACTAAACATCTCATTTTTAAATAGTGTAATTCTTCATGTCTAACATCCATTGCACTTTCAAAAAATTTATCTTCCCATGCAAAAAATTTGATAATTCTAATACTTTGAAAAGTTTCATTTAATTTTTGTATTCGTTTATCAGTAACTGCCAACATTTTCTTTTGAAGTCTACCCATCCATTGAGCAAAAGTATAATTAATTGGGAGTAAAACAATGATAGTTAATGAACCAACAAATGCACTCCATCCAATTAAATTGAATAATAAGAAAATACAAATAACAATCATTAAAACTGCACCAACAAAATAGTGTAAGTAACCACAAATTTCAGAAACTTTAAATGCATCAATAGCCATTAAATTTATTATTGCACCTAATTCAGCAGTTTTCTTTCCCGTCTTTTCTTCCTTCTCATCTTCTTCTTTTGTTTCAGTAACTGTAATTTTTCTTCTCAAAGCTTTTGCATAAATTTCACCAATTATAATAGCCTTCATTCTACAACAAACTCTTCTACCTAAAAATAAAGAACAACCAGATGCAACTGAATCAGCCATTTTAACAAAGGGCATCAATATAACAAATGTCCACGCAAGATTAATTGATGTACTATTTGGATCAGCAACATATTCCAATACTTTTTTCAATAAAATTGATGGTCCAAAGATTAAAATAGATTCTAAAATAGCCCAAAATGCTTGGATTGCAAATAAAAATCTAAAATGATAAAATAATTTAAAAGTAAATCTTAAAGTTGATTTTGAAGCTTCAAAACCTTTAAGAACATATAATGCATAATCATCTTGTCTTAAACCCCAAATATCAGTCAATTTTAAAGGTTGTTTATTTGCTTTCCAAACCATTTTATCTAACCATGAATAAGATATGAAAGAAGCAACACTTGATATATTTTCGGGAGAAGGTTCTAAACCTGGTGTAATATATAATTCCGAAGGTTTATCACCAATAGTAGCAGTAGCATTCAAATATAATAATAATGCATTGAGAATAAACAGAATTATGTAAAACTTATTTCCTTTTAGTATACCTGATCTAAATGTTAATAAACTTGGAAGGAAACTGAAAAAATATAAAGTTGTTGAATGAATCCATAAATTAGGAAGTTTAATGGAAACTTTTTTCATATTAATTATTCTAATTTGTACTAATATAAATAAATAAAACCAAAATATAGTGTTAATTATAGTAATTTCGAGATCTTGAATTTTAATGAAAAATGGTGATATATGCAATGCTAATGATAAAATGACTAAAATATATTCTATTGAGATTCTTAACCTTTCTCCAGTACCTTTAAACACTTGTTTGATCTCTCCAAGTGGCTCACCATCTATATTTGTATCTGGTAATCTTGATAAATCAAAATGCATCGATTTTATATCATTTTTTAAGGGTCTTTCATCTAGTTTTATAGATTTTTTTTTAAAAACATTAATAAATAATATAATTAATGAAGTTAAACCAATTAGAATAGGAGGATAGAATTGTAGATTATATCTACCACATTTTGTCATATCATCATAGTCCCAAAACTGGCACTTCATATCTTTTGATGAGTAATTAAGAAATATTTATATGCGCGGCACTAAAATTTAAATGAAGATTATTCAATTAAGAAATCCTCTATATACATATATATACCATCATTCCTCATCTTCTTCTCCTTTTGGAATTCTTGAATCAATTGCAACGTCAACAATAATTTCTCTACCATTAATTTCTTTACCATTAAATTCTTCAACTGCTTTCTTTTGAGTTTCTTCATTTGAAAATTTAACAAATGCAATACCTTTATTAAATGGTTTTCTAAACTTACCAGCAGATTTATAAGGTTTTCTTGAAGGTACATGAATCCATTTTGGTTTTAAATCTTTAAAAATTGAATTTAAAGTTTTAACATTAACTTTATAATCTAAATTTGTAATAAATATGGTATCTTTTGATGGAGTACCTTCTGGTTGAGTTGATTCACCATTTGCTTTTGCTTCTTGTTTCTTCTTTTTTTGCTCAATTTTTAATTTCTTTTCTTGTTCAATTTTATCCTTTTTAGCTTTATAAGCTTCAATTCTTTCTTTTTTTTCTTCTTCGGTTGGTGGTGGTACAGCTTTTTTAATAAAAATATTTCTACGTTGAAATTTTTTACCATTAAATTCAGATAAAGCTTTATCAGCATCATCTTTTGATTCAAATTGAACAAAAGCAAAACCTAAATGTCTTTTATAAGTAGTATCACCGCGAGTACTTTCTTTAAATGGAATTTCAACATCGGTACTAAAAATAAAGTTAATAACGAACTAATTTATAATTAATTTAATACATACACTTTTAATTCTTTAAATAATTCTTTTAATTCATCTTCAGTCGCTTTAAAATCAACATTACCAATGTAAATTCTATCCTCAATTAAAGGTTCAATAACTTTTTCAGACATTATTAATTGATTCAATTGTTGTTGCCAATTTAATTTAATTCTCTTGTGTTGGAAAAAATTGTTAGAGAATCTTCTATTTATATAGATATATATATGGTCGTGCCCGAACAATTTTCACGGTCTTACGATTTGATTGCAAAATACTAACATAACTTACTTTTATACATAAAAACTATTTAACAAGTCTGTCTATTTCAATTTATTAAATAATCTTGGTGCTACACAATCATTAACACAATGTTGTAAATGGAAATATTCTTCAACACAATCTTCTTTATAATGTTTATGTTCATAATCTGGTTCTTCCATTTCTTTAGTAACTCTTTCAATACATTCATGGAAATGATGATCGAATGGTTTACATGCAATTGTTTTGGTACATTCTTCTCTTAATGAATCTAATGGATCTTCTGATTCTTCATCTTCATCTTCGTCTTCTTCGTCTTCTTCGTCTTCGTCATCTCCATCTTCTTCTGGTTCTTCAACTGTTTCTTCTTCAACTTCTACTTCTGGAGCTTCTTCTGGTGTTTCAACTGGTGCTTCTTCATCTTCGACTGGCTATTATATTTGTTAGTACTTTTCCTCCATCCTTTTTTAGTTTTCAGTTACATACTTCATCAGCATAAGCAGTTGGTATAACTGATTCTAATAAATCTCTGAAGAATGACATTATTATGAATTTGTTAATATGTATATATATATATGAATTTTTCAATCAGTTATTATAGTAGTATATTTTTTTCTAATGTAATATTTAATCTATTTAATTGGTTGGATTTATATACAGGAAATATTTTCAATCTATACGAGTTCATATTTATATGACCTGATTCATTAATTGTTGATTTTTAAAATTATTTACTACTAATTATATCAAAATGGTTTCTTCAAATGATATTCATAATGTTGATTTACCTATTAGAGAAAGAATGGAAGCTTTAATTCGTTTAAAGCAACAACAAATTACTTCTGCGATTGCTTCATTAGATACTCAACAATTTCATACTGATAAATGGATTAGAAGTGATGATGGTGGTGGTGGTGAATCAATGGTTTTACAAAATGGTACTACTTTTGAAAAAGGTGGTGTAAATATCTCAATAGTTCATGGTAAATTACCAAAACAAGCTGTCGAAAGAATGAAAGCTGATCATTCGAATTTAAAAGGTACTGCTGAAGATGGTAGTGTTAATTTCTTTGCTTGTGGTTTATCATTAGTTATACATCCTCATAATCCTCATTGTCCAACTACTCATGCAAATTATAGATATTTTGAAACTACTGATCCCGAAACAAATCAAATTCAAGCTTGGTGGTTTGGTGGTGGTGCTGATTTGACTCCAAGTTATTTATATGAAGAAGATGCTAAATTATTTCATCAAAAACATAAAGATGCTTTAGATAAATTTGATCCAAATTTATATCCAAAATATAAAAAATGGTGTGATGAATATTTTTTTATTAAACATAGAGATGAAACAAGAGGTATTGGTGGTATATTTTTTGATGATTTTGATGATAAACCAGCTGATGAAATCTTAAAAATTGTTGAATCATGTTTTGATGCATTTATACCTGCTTATATTCCAATTATTGAAAAAAGAAAGGATATGCCATTTTCAAAGGAACAAAAAAATTGGCAACAAATTAGAAGAGGTCGTTATGTTGAATTTAATTTAGTATTGGATAGAGGTACTCAGTTTGGTTTACAAACTCCTGGTTCAAGAGTTGAAAGTATTTTAATGTCTTTACCAGCAACTGCAAGTTGGGTATATGATCATCATCCGGAAGAAAATTCAGAGGAGGCTAAATTGTTGAAAGTTTTGAAGAACCCAGTTGATTGGGTTTAGGTAATGTAAGGATGTGTAAGGAGGCAACTGTTTTAATTTGTATTTATATTGTACACCATTCATTGAAACCTAAATATGCATCATTTAATGGATATGATTTTGTAATGTTTTCCTTTTTAATAATTATTGGTAATAATGCACCAGTTGGAAGATTAATGCTTCTATGTTTAACTACTCTCAATATTGCATACATAATCCCTGAATGGGTAACAATACTTACAACTTTATCATCAGTTTCAAATAATTCTGTTAGTAATGAAGCAGCTCTATAATCTACGTGTTGATTTTTTTCACGTAAATCTGATTTCCAAAGTGGATCCAATTCAGAAAATCCAGGCTCAAATTTGAATTCTGGCCAATTTTCATGAATAAAACTTTTATTATGACGTTCACTTTCAGTATCAATTCCATAAACTTCTCTTGCATATTCTTTAATTATTGGTTGTTTATCTGTACTATTACCCCAAGTTAGATTCCAAGTTTGTAAGCATCTTCTTAATGGACTTACATAGAAATTGTCAGATCGAGGGAAGTCCTCATGATTTGAAATTTTTTCACTTAGTTTTATACCATTTGAAACACCTAATGGTGTTAATTCAGCATCATACCATTCGATTTTACCATCGCCATCTTTTAAAGACCAATTACATCTCCAATCTTTTCTGGAATAATTTCCAGGAGCTACATTATGCCAACCTTGTTGATGGCGTTGTAAAAGCAATAATTTCTCATCTGGACTCAACGATGCAACAACTTGTGAAAATGTATAGTTTGAAAGTAAACCAAAATTTGTATAATTAATATTCTTTAGAGGAATTGAATCAATATTTTGTTCGAAAAAGTGTTTAGACGATGAAAATACTGGTAGGTTATTATGAGCAAAAATTACTTGTGCTGTAATAGAAGTTATATATGAAAGTACTAGGATGAACAACATTGATGGGAAACGTGTTGATTTCTAAATGAAATCTGATAATTTTACGAGATCTGAGCGCAAGTAATTGCGCGTTGAAAAATAAATAAATAAATAAAAATAAAAAAAAACGAAATAAAAGTCAAGGAAGAAAATCATAAAAGATACGAAATGAATTACATATAGTTATTTCAGCAAATCAGTTCAGTAAGTTAGTTTACTGCTAAGACGTATTAGTACTTGAAATGTCAGAAAATCGAAATTGAATATTATCCACGAATTTACTTAAAAATTAGAAGGACAAGAAAATGATTATCGATAAATGAAGGCAGTCAATTTCTGCCCGTTGTCAATCACTGTTAAAAGCAATTTTTAAACTTTGAACTATATCATAACGGTAATTTCATTTTGAAGAGAAGTAGTTGTCAATTCCATCAGAGGCGTATAACTAGAACACGATGTTGGGTTTATTAATTTCATATCCTTCTCATTGGATATTTCGATGGGAATTAGTAAGAACTAAGGATGGGTATACTCAACTTTGAACAAAGGCACATAACGTTTGTAATATAAATAGAGTTGGAAACTACATATGTTTCAATGAACAATTCAAATGTTATATTGGTTATTCCTCGTTGCTGCTTCTTTAATCACATAAGAAGCGCCAATCTCAAGAAGAGATAATGCTGGTGTTGTAGTCTATAATATAAACTTAACTCCATCAAAAATATGAAAAAGAAGTAAAATCGACAATATTCCTATTGGTAATAATGATGTTAAACATTGGTATTTCACAATTGAAGCTAGAATTGGTTCTAACCAAGATATCGTACCTTTAGTGCTTGATACTGATAGTCAATTAGCTCAGGTATTTGGGACTAAAATTCAATGTGATCTTGTTTGTTACGCTGATGTCACTTATGACAGTGCCAAATCAACTACAATTCAAAGAGCAGGGAAAAATTCAACTATTCATTATGGTTATGATGCTGGTACTTTTCTTCATGGTGAATATGTCACTGATGACTTTTTACTTGGGAATATAACAATTAAACAGTTTCCATTTGTTGATGATATACAATCTTGAGGTTGGGTTGTTGGTATCCTTGGAATTGGACTAAAAGATCTTCAACTCAATTTTCCTAATATTGCTTATAACAAGGATCTATTAATAAACCAAAGTATTCCTTTTATTTAGGTGATAATTCATTTGGTGGTAAATTCATTTTAGGTGGTTATGATGAAGCAAAATTAGACGGTGAATTTAGCTGGTCACCTTATACTAATAAAATGCAACAATTCTCAGCTCAGTTTGATTACATGGTATTAAATGGTAAAAAAATAACAGTGAATTTGACAAAAGCAATTGATAGTGGTATGTCGAAGCTTATTTACCTGAACCTATTTATAATGAAGTAGCACAAGCTTTGGATGATGCAAATTATGGTATTGGACAAGTAAATTGCACTGCATTGGAAGGTAAGACTGTCACCCTTTCAATTAATGGTAAAGAATTAGAAGTTCCTTTGAAATCTTTGGCTCAACCAAGTGGATCTGGCGATCATTGTTATGCTTCTTTTCACAAATCAACTGACCCAACCCTTGGTACTTGGTTTTTTGGATATGTTCAAGTTTCGATTGATTTTGATAATTCATTAATCGGATTTAGTCAATTAAAAAATACAAATACAACTGATACGAATATAGTTCCATTTTAATATATATTAAAAACTATTCTTTATTCCACCTTGTGAACTATGCCTTCTTAAATTTAATAAATCATGAGCTGCACTTTTATCTTCTTCATAATAATTTAATTTTGGCTGATTATAAGTCAACACTGAAGTTTTGTTTATCGTTTGTTGTAGAATCTTTTGACATTTATATTTGATAAATTTTAAAATTTTTAAATATTTTAAATCTTCATCCATGTCCTCATCATCCCAATCAATATTTTTATAGTAAGAAAAGTCCTCTTCTTCATCATCAACATCAGAATTTTCTTGATACTTAAGTATATCATCTCTTAATTCATCATTTATTAATTTTTCATATAATTTATCTTCTTTTAATTTTGTACCGGGAGTATAATTTATAAAAACCTTGACAAATAAATCAACAGATCGTAGTATTAATTCAATTGAATCATTTATACCACCTAATAAATCATTTCTTTTAACAAATTTCATTTGACAAATTAATAAATATAACATTTGTAAAACAATTGATTTTTTCAAATTAATTACAGTTAATGATAATCCATTCAACATTGCATTAAAAGGTGACATTGGGATTTCTTTAGTTGTTTTTCTGAATGGACTTGTTCTACCTGTTCGTTTTCTTCTTTTAACTGAAAAATCATTAATTACAAATCCATCTTCATCAACATCTAAACCTAAACTTTCCATGACTACTGAATTTGATGAGATTATTGGTGAATTTTCCTTTTCTTTTGCTTTACTAACATGATCAAAAAACATGAGAAAATATTGTAATACTTCTTGTGAAATTTGACAAATTTGTTTATAATAATTAAAATTCAATTCCTTATCGACAATAAAATTAAGATAATTCATTGATCTAATTAAAATATAATGAAAATTTAATTGTATTTTAATCAATTGAGAAGCTGTATAAACGTCAGGTATACCAAATTGATAAAAATGCATATAACCTTGTTGCGATAAACCTTCAGAAACATCATGATATAAATTATTTTCAGTTTCTCCAAAATTTGGTAATCCCATTGATTCAATTGGTTTGAGTAATATTTTCTTTTCCCTTAAAGATAATCTCCAATCTGATAAATTTTTATCAATGGTTAAAAATTGATTAAAATTATAATTTAAATTCCCATCGTTACCATCACCATCATCTTCATTTAAAATCCAATCTAGTCGGTGATGATTATGAGTTTCTTTTTCCTTTTTTTTTTTATCCTGTTTTAAATATTGATAATAATTTGGTGAAAATGAAGATGGAATAATTATATTCATTAAATTTAAAAATTCAATACTAGGTTTAAGTAAGGTATTGAATAAATCATCTGAACCATCTAGTAATGAACTTAATTTTTCAGGTGTTAATTGGAAATATTTATCAATTGTAACTGGATTAATAACTGTAGTATTTAAACTTGGTTTGAATCCAAATTTTAAATTAAAACATTTAAGTAACACTTTAAAATTCCAAAAAATCTTTACTCTATTTCTCCGTTGTTGTTGATTCAAAGATAAATCATTAAAGAATAAATTTTTTGAATTCAAATTTATCCCTAGAATCCCAATAAAGGCATTGACTAATGATGATAACACTAATGATTTTTCTTTATTATTAGTTAACAATGAGTAATATAAAAATAATAAATATGTTTGTAATTGACTAATTGAAACATGAAATCCATTGAAATAAGGTAGAAAGTCATAAATAGACTTTATTATTGACTTAATACTTGAATAATGTGGATCTCGATGATTTAATAACAAGTTTAAATTGATAGACGGGTTATTCATCATAATCATTGTATAAATTTGAATAATTGTCATTAAATATGTATTTACAATACCATAATCATTTGTGTTTGAAAGGTTGAACCCATTTATTGTTGAATCATCATAAGTAAATATAAATGGATACATTGTATGGAATGCATCATAAGATTCCATAAATTGTTTATAATCGAAAATTGGTATAAATACATTATAATTTAGGAAAAATTGAACCACTTGATAATCCAATGCTTGTTTAGTTTTGAATATTTTTTTAAAATTATTAATCAATTTTATAAATAAATCATATACATCTGTTGGTAAGACATTATTTTCATTCCCTGTTAATGGATTGTAAATTTGTATATCTTTATTATTTGATTGTTGATATAAATAACTATCAGGATCATTTAATAAATAATTATGACTATTGGTAATTTTCAAAAATGGCAAGTTTAAATTAATTAATAAATGATTAAATTGACTTTCAAAGTTTAAATTATCATTCCCTATTATAACACCTTTATCATTTAAATTAAAAATTTGATCTATGGGATTATTAATTTGTATAGATTGATTTGATGATTGAAGTATCACTTTATCATTAGTAGTTGTAGTTGTAGGTATAGCAGCACCTCTAAGATCTTTTACTTCTTCTTCCAATTCTTTAACTCTCTTTTCTAAATTCTCAGTATAACCTTTTGGAAATGCCCTTCGTGTTAATTTATCACTTGTTTTACATTCAATATCAACTTTCTTACAATTGAAACAGGGACTTAAACCATCGCATTTTATTTTCTTAATTCTACATCTATCACAAGCTTGAGAAACTCTGACACCTGTAGATGTATTGATCAATTTGAAGTTTGTTGTTTTGTCTTTCATTCGTGGAGCTTGTGAAAAATTTAAATCTGGGGAAAAGATCAAAAAAAAATAAAGTTGGTAATTAAAATATACTGAATGTTTTTACTCTAGAGTATATGTATGCCACGGGTTTATTGTATATTATGTATTGGTTATAATATTAATACATTCAAATGTACTAGCTCTTTTTAAACTTGGTACAATCGATTTAGCCAAATTTTCAAAATTCTGAAGTTAATTCCGGTATATTTGAATCAAAATTTAATCTAACTCTCAAGCACAATTTCTAAATTAATAGGTAATATAAATGACTCTTCAATTTTGAGATTTTCACCAAATAATTCTAAAGTTTTGAGATTTTTTGGTAACTTATTCGATTATCTAACAAAAAGTATGGATTTATATCTTCTTTGAATACTCTCCACGGTTTCAGGAGCTGGATCTTCACCGTGGTTGTAGATAAAGCTCTTTTAGATTTGGAAAAGTATTTTCATCATGGAATAGCTCGAAATGAAAAACATCTTTGGTATATGTGTAAAGAGTTAGTGATCTCAACATATGTAAAGTAAGTAATGAAGGAAGCTTTTGAAATTTAAATTCCAAAATTATTACGTTTTCAAGTCTTGGTAGTAATTTAATAGGTTCAAAAATCATAGAGCTATCTAATTCTAAACTCTTTAGTGACACTATTTGATTGATAAATTTGGAAATCACATTGTTTTCTGTTGTATAACCTAATTCACCTAAGAAAAGACTTTCAAAACTCAATTTAAGTCCCAGCAAGTTGACTTCATCATCTTTAATTTCTTTGATTATACTAAATTACTTAACTTTACCATTTATATGTTTTAAATCACTTAAATGGAAACCAAGAACATTCAAATCGATTGGTTTGCTGAGACATTCCCAGAAAATACTGCATCTTGAATTGCAATTCTTCCCTCTTGATTCACAATTATATTACTAAGATTGAAAAAAGGAACTAACTCAATGTTTGTAAAATTTCTTGGACTAATTTCACTGTGCCTGCTAAATCGTGTTGCAGCTTTTGGAAAGTTTGTGAGCCAAATAAATTTTGCTTAATTTTGTACTTTTTTAAAAGCATTGCTAAGCAACTAACTGATGAAAATTCAAAAAATTCAATGTCATTTTCTTCAAATACATTCAGCGGGCATTCAACGTCTGAACTCCTCGAAACTAAAACACGTGAGAGTAATCGCTCCATCGCTTGAAAATGAACAACTCTATCGTAGCAGCAACAAAGTATTAAATCTTGTTCATCAACATAATTTAATATTATTTCAATAATTTCATAAGGACAATTGCGTAATCTAATAATTAAATCGATGGAACAAAGTTAATCAAATGAAAAGCCTCTATATTTTTGAAGTGAACTTTTAGATTTCGTTAAAGCGGCAATATTTGTATCATCAGGATTGAATATAATAAAATGGGTATCTTCTAGGTATAACTGTTTAATCAAAGCAGTTGCTAATTTGGATGGTTGTGATTTTAAAGATGAAATTGTATTATCAAATAGTTGAAGAAATTCAGTACTAGTCTCCATTAATAATGATGACAAAATTGGAAAGGTACTTGAAAGAGTTTTTATAATTTAATTTTGATGTTTCAGATTTTGAGAAAAATTTCCTAATTGGGCCTTCATGATGTTAAATTTTGATTCTTAATATTCCATCAACTTCTTTCACTAACTCAACAAAAATCAATGGATTCTTCCAATGTGATCACCATTATATCATTACTAAGGACTTGTCGAGATGATATTTTGTTGTATGTGCAAAAATCAATTGATTCAACATTAATGACATAAAAATTGATTTTTTTAATTGGTTGCAAAATATAAAACAATAAATTGGCCCAGTGTAAGAAATACAACAACAATACATTCTAAAGCTTCAACATATTCGGTTGTATTCTTACCACAATTTACTACTACTTTGCCTTGAAAGTTTTTACATTGGGTTTTTAATTTTGTTGTTTTTGTTTTTACGTATATATACAAAATACTTGAACTGTCAGTGATACTTAAAATCTTTGGAGTCCTCAAATCAAACATTTTACTGGCTGCCAGAAGGTTCTACAATCTTGGCTAGTATTTAAACCTGTTTTTAAATTTTTAGCATTCAAATATAAATTAAACGGAAATTACGTATCTTATAAAATGACTAGGAACAACTCACTTCAAATTGGCTGAATTTTTCAATGAATCAAGTTTGAAAGCGAGAGCTGCTACATTGAGTGACTTATTCTAAGATTAAGTTTCATGATAAATTAAAAAAGTACAGGACTGCATATAAATTAAATGCGTTTCAGAATCAAGTTTCATAATCGCAGAACTGCATATAAGTCAAACATGTTTCGGAATTGTACGTCAAAAATATACTAATAAAATACTATTTAACGTAGACTAAAATTTTGATGGAATTTCTTTTTCTTGATACCACCACCTCATAGCCAATTCAACTCTATTCAAATCTAAACTATCACTCAAAATTTTCCACAACATATTAATTAAATAAGTAGATTCAGTTGGTTCACAAGCCATAATTAATGTCCAAAGATGATTTAACCAAGGTAAGAATTTTGACAATGGAAAATAAGGTACCAAATTAATAACTGATAATATTAAAGCTTCTCTTGTAGTATCTGGTATTAATCTATTTTCAAATTTATACTCCTTTTTAAATCTAGGGAATAAATCTCTAACAACTTGATCTTTGGGTTTCTTTGCTTTACTTTCATGAATAATATCCTTATTTATTCTTTTCCCTTGTTCTAATGTGTTTAAAGTTGCATGGGCTTCAATTTCTGCAATTGGTTGAGCAGATGTAAAATTGGTATTTTCATTTGAATTTAATGGAATTGAAGGCATTTCAACAACTTTATTAGTTAAATATGTATAAAATTCAGCACCACCTCTAGAAAGTAATCGTTTTCCAATAGTCTCTATGGCTATATTTAATTGTGTTGATGATAATTTGCTTGGAAATTGACTAATTAATAATTTAATATATTTTATACAATCTGGTAAACTGGCATCTGTATGTGAAAAATATAACAATAAAACTGAATGTGAAGCTTCAATTAAATCAGCACTAGTATATTTTTTGTCGTCTACTAGATTTATGCAAATATTATAAATTTCATTTGAAAATTGTAGATTTTGATGTTCCAGTTGAAAATAATTTTCCCATAATCCTAAAACAAATAATACTCTTGATTCCATCAATTTATCATTATTTAATACATCTGGATGCATATTTACAGCTGAAATTAAATACAATGTTTGTTTTTGGAAATATAAACCGGTTGATAATGCCAATTCAATTGTTAGATAATAAACAAAATTATAATTATCAAAACCACCTTGTCCAATTGATAAAAGTATAAAATTGAGATAATACAAGTTTGGAATAATCTTTAACGCAATTTCTTTACTACATCTACCTAAAACACCTTGAAATATGATAATTTCTGAAAATAATAAACCTTTTAAAAATAACTCATCTCCTTCATGTAAATGTGAATTAAATTCTGTAATTTTATTTAAAGTTTCTAAAATCACTTCATCATTCAGTTTTTCCAATAAATATCCCAATAAAAATGATAATCTATTTATATGTTTGACAACTGGATTTTGCGTATCAAAATTTCTAACAGAAACTTGAGGATCAATAAAAATCATTTCAACTAATGCATAAACTAGAAATGGTGTACTTTTAACCTCCAACTTCATCAATGCTAAACTTATTAAACTTAAATATATAATGTCTTTTGAAATTAAACTATGAGCAAATGCAGTTTTGAATAACCCATCAAGATCAAATTTATATCCATATAATTCTTCTAAAAGGTTTTTCGATAATGAAATTCCACTAATTATAGGTAAAACTTTCCAACTATTTCTAACATCATAAGCTTGAAAATTTTTCAATTCATTAATAAAAATTTTATAAAATTGTTTAACAGGTAAGGTAGGTTGAGAAATTTTGATTTTCTTATCAAATATTAATTTGAATACTTCAATTATTGGATAAAGACTATTAAAGTCGGAGATTTGAAGGTAATTTAAAAAACTTGCAATGATCACTCGTAAATTATATTCTTGTTTGACATATGGTAAGTAATTGTATAAGTAACCAAGTATCTTATATAGCGTAGTTGATGATTTTGGATTTCTTAACTCATTTATCAAAAAGTCTAGTTCTTGAGGTGAAACGTTAGTTTGTAGTTGGTTATATGACATTTGTTAATAGATGTCTTTTTTTTTACGTGGGGTCAAATTTTCTGAGCGAGGTATTAAAATTTGGCTGCAAAAAATAATTCAATGAAAACTTGCTTCAATTATAGATTCATTAAAGGTTGTAGTTGCTTACTTGATTGATAAACTAATGAGATCTAGGATACAAAGCAGTAATATAGGTTCTAGAAGGTGGATTATTATAAAATCTGACATTCTGCCAACTGTTCGATAACAATACAACTGCAAGATTATATGGTTCTTTATTGTACGTCATCGGAGTGTGCCCTTGAAGCCTTAAGATACTGTGGAAGTACAAATTGATAGGCCTCACCCTAGAACTTGTAGCTAATTTAATGTATTCAAAACTCGCTATTTTGAAAGCTAAACCAAGCTACTTAACAGGGTTTGGAATATTACCAGCATATATCATTTCTACACCCAAAATCAAAATTCCTACTCGAATAACCACAAATGCTTTGCTCACGTGGCTTGATATTCTTTCAAAATTATAAAAGCTTCTTGGTCAACCTGGTAAGTCGCTCAATTGCTAACAATTTATAATTGCATTGATTATAACAATGCGGCTAACGAATCAAGAGATCGTTCTAAGTGAGAAAATCCACACGTGCATTCAAGATTTTGCTCTAATTAAAAACTCAACAGTAGCCGACAACAGACAAGCTTTGGCATAGTCGTAGTGCCTTGCTAGCTCAATCGGTGTATGTCTCATGTTGCGGAAGATTCTAAAGACATTTGGAATAATCATGCTCCAAAGTCAAGACCATAAGTTAAAGTACTAACAAATCGTTTCAGAGAGCGTGAGACTCTTACAACGTATGATGCATAAAACGCATCAAAAACGTCAAATATTCTATCTCAAGGCTGCGGGTTCGACCCCCGCGTAGGGCTACTTTTAAAACGACCTTGTTCGGGTTTATTTTTTTGCTCCTTATAAACTTTTTTGAATTTTTCCTCTCTGACGGCGCTACCAAGCGTCATTCTATTTTTTAATACATTTCGTATAGTTTCAATTTTAGAGTAGCAGACTGCTGCTTCTTTTAGCTACTTTTCTAGGTTAGCTCAATGTTCTATTATAAACATCTGAAAAGCGCGATTAAAAGTTAGTCACGTATTTTCTAGGTTTTCCCTTTTCAATATCCACAAGGTAATTATAATAAAAAAAATTCAGCATTACGTATATTCTAATGTAATCCACCAGTTCTTTCCTTTCTTAATTCATTTTGTTGTTTTTCAACTTCAGCATCCCATAAAATAAAATCATCCAAAGCTTTACCAGCAGGTACCATTGGTAAAACAGGAACTTTCTTTTCAACAATAACTTCTAATAATACAGGTTCTTTACAATCTAAAAATTCTTTAACACCAGATTCTAATTGATCTTGCAGTTCAATTCTTATTCCCCTTACATTCATTGATTCAGCTAATTTCATAAAATTTGGATTTGATTGATGAGTATGAGAATATCTATGTTCATAAAATAATGATTGCCATTGAGTAACCATACCTTGTTCTTCGTTATTTAAAACACAAACTTTTATAGGAGCATTTGCTTGAACAGCTGATGATAATTCAGTTAAAGTCATATTAAAAGATGCATCACCATCAATATCAATAACCATAGCATCTGGTTTAGCAACTTGTGCACCAATAGCAGCTGGCAAACCAAAGCCCATAGTACCTAAACCACCAGAAGTAATCATAGTTCTTGGTTTTAACCATTCCCAATGTTGAGCAGCCCACATTTGATGTTGACCAACACCTGTAGTAACAATAACTTCTTTATTATAATTTTGGGATTGTTTTGAAATTTCTTTAATTAAAGTTTGTGGTTTTATTAATGAATTTGAAGTTTCTAATTGATAAGAATATGGATATTTTTCTTTCCATTCATTAATTTTAGTAAACCATTCATTTCTTGAATCAACTTTATTAACTAATGGTATAAATGCTTTTAAATTTGATGTTACATCACCTTCAATTGCTTCAGTTGCTTCAACAACTTTATTTATATTTTTTGGAGATATTTCAAAATGTAAAATACCACCTCTACCTTCAGCAGCAGCTAATTTTGCTTCAGGAGCAAATTTTGATATATTTCCTGTAACTCTATCATCAAATCTAGCACCTAAAGCTAATATACAATCAGCATTTTGTATAGCAGTATTTGCCGCAGCAGAACCATGCATACCGAGGAAATCTAAAGATTTTGGATCTCTTTGATCAAATGCACCCAAGCCTTGTATAGTTGTTGTAACAGGTATATTTGCTTTATCAGCCAATTCTTTTAATACTTTTGGACCATCTTCATGATTTAAAATACCTGCACCACAATATATAATTGGTCTCTTAGATTTATTAAGTATAGCTGCTGATCTTTTTATAGCTTCTGAAGTAAATTCACTGACTGCTTTTTTAGTTATTTGACTTAAAGCATTTGATGGTAAAGTTGTATTTATAGGTATTGATTCACGAAGTATTGAAGCAGTTACATCTTTTGGTAAATCAACTAAAACTGGACCTGGTCTTCCTGTTGTTGCAATTTCAAAAGCTTCATTTATACGTCTTGGTAATTCAGCAACATTTTTAACCATAACATTCCATTTTGTACATGATCTTGAAATACCAATGACATCAGCTTCTTGAAAAGCATCTGTACCAATAGCTGTAGTTGGAACTTGACCTGAAAAAACAACTAATGGAACACCATCCATTAGAGCATCAGCTAAAGGAGTTATAACATTTGTTGCACCTGGACCAGAAGTAACTAAAACAACACCTGGTTTCCCACTTGCTCTTGCATAACCTTCAGCCATATGACCAGCACCTTGTTCATGTCTTGGTAAAACAAATTTAAATTTATCTGAATTATAAATAGCATCAAAAACTGGTAAAATGGCACCACCCGCATAACCAAAAACAGTATCTACATTATGGCGCAACATCATTTCATGGAAAATTTCACCACCTGTTAAACCAATAAATGAATCATCCATTATTTGTTCCTTTTTAGACCGATTAAATAATGGTTTTTTATGTGGAAGTGGACTACTTTTAGATCTAGCATCTGATGTATTAAAAGATGGAGCAGGTTGTGGCCTTGCAACTTGTGCTTGTAGATGATTTATTTTAGATATAAATCTAATTTGTAGTAATCTTTGACAACTTTTAGATCTTATATTATATGAAATCATGGTTGAATAGTTTTGATAAATGATAATTGAATAAATTTAAATATGGAGTAAAATTTTTCAGTGCTGACTCACAGATTAACCGATCTTGCATATTGCCTGAATCGCTCAAACGGAGAGATCACATGATAAAAAAAATAAACGAGAAAAAAATGGTTGCAAATTCATAACAGGTGAAATCGATTAATTGTATTGTAAGCTAGTGTGGTTGATATCCTTTAGATAACCTGTAAAGATCGAGTGCAAATATCAGGAAGGTATCTATAAACAAACTAATCTCGCTTGTTAATGAATTGGTACAATTAATTAATAGATTTTACTCTATATTTTGAAAATGGGATATAAACTGGAATTCTTTGCAGCCATTTTTGCAAAAACAGAAACATAACAAAAACAGGTAAAAATTGATATGACCTATATTAAATAACGATTAACTCTATCTTCGCTCTAATTACGGCTGTATGATGTTTCAATTGATTAAAATCTCGATTAGCACAGAACTTGAAAAATCTAAGAATCACACTAAAGACCACTTCGGGTGTTATTATTTATGAAAGAAATATTTCATGTTTCGAAACACTCGTTATTTACATTTTGCACTTCACTCTAGCTTGAATCATTTAGTATGTGGTTTTAAAAATATATCGAATTTTGGTCGTGTGCGTGACCTTAGAATTTTCCGTCGCGCCCAATATGGTTCGATAATAAGTTAAGATCGTAGAACTCAAGTGATCAATACTTATCACACGACAAGTCCAAATAAGAAGGCGAACAAAAAAATAAACAAGAGGTAAGAAACATATCAATAGGTTCAAAAGTGATATAGAATAATTGATTCAAAAATTTACTAATGATACATAAAAATCAAGTTCTGTATTTCAATAAAAATGAGTTCTCGCGCAACCTCTAGGGCTACTCGTACCAAATTGAATTGCTTAGACATCATGAACCACTCAATCTCTGTTAACAATTACGATTTTTATAAAATTGGACATTAAAATATATACTTTGCATACTTGAAACTTTCAAATTTAAACATTATATTTTTGAGTTGTCATTTTCGCTATTTTTCATCATACAAAAATATTGAGAAAATTAAGAATTGAATTGACTATGCATTTTATTCGCGGCCGTAACTTTGAATTAAACAATAGAATCCGTGTATTATAGTTTAATTTACGGTGCCCAATCCCTTTGTATTTGATTTGAACTAAAATTGAAAAATTTCAAATTTTTCTCTTAACTATGGAAAATTTTGAATAAACTGACTTTTAGAAAAAACTTATTCCACAATCAAGATCGTGATGAATCTATGCTGAAAATATCAAGTTTTGTAGTTCTTTTAAGCTGATAATTTATGAAATTTTTTGTGTTAAGGTATTCTAATTTGAAATATTGATTTTCTAAAAGTAGCTCGAAATTTTTGAAAAAAAAAGTTCAAAAAGATTATGGCATCTTGAAAACATTATAATAGAATCTATGAGGTTTAATAAACTAAATGAGCTATTTTAGAAGTCGCTAAACGAGGTTTAAGTGTTGATTAACCTCCAAATTAACGTTTTTTTGCATTTTTTGAATGAAGATTAATATGGTCAATTTTGTTTTTTATCAAAAGGACCAATATACTCAAAAGGTGGTTGAATTCTTCATGAAGAAAGTTTGAGAATAAAAGCTTAAATATTGAAGGGATTATTTGCAGATTAAGTTTTGAGATTAATTATTGCAAGACTGCATATAAGCCAATTTCTTCATAATATTCGTAGAAGTATGAATTTTTCAGTACGATAAATTGTTGCGACAAAATAACTTCTTGGATTAGCTTTGAGGCCAACTCGTACGAAATTTATACTCATACACTATGGACGTGCACGAGATCATAACTTGCTTTCGGTTCTTAGTGAATTTGCATTCAGGTATAAAATAATATATGCCATAACGTTAGCTAGATTGCTTACTAAATGGATTGAATTAATTCTGTATCATAAAACGTATATTTTAATCTAATTTTGTCGGCACTTCTACCATTGCCTTTGGTTCTATATGTACCGGTACTTGAGTATGCACAGCATCTCTTTGTGAAATTGGTTGTTGTTGTTCTGGTTGATATATTTGTAGTTCTTTTTCATCTGTATTATCTGTTGATAAACTTGCATCAACTGCATTTATAGTTTCTGTCTTTTCATGTATACTTTGAACTTCACTATTGGCAATACTATTTTGTAAAGTTGGATTTACAGTTGGATTACCCCAATCCAAAAAATCTCTTCTAACTTCAACATAATCATAAGCAAATTCACCAATTTGATCTTCATCAACACCAACTTCTTCTGCATTATAATCAATTCTTAAATGTAATCCAGGTATTTTATTTATAACAAAACATAAAATTGCAGTAACAACAGCTGAATAACCCATTGTTGCCAATATATAAACAATTTGAATATATAATTGTTTCCAATTATGATCTATCCAACCACCTTGATGGTCAGTTACATTATCATAACCAATAACTGTAGCTGAACCAAATAATGCATTAAAAATTAATCCAACAATTCCTGCAACTCCGTGTTCTGCCCAAACATCCAATGAATCATCAACATGACATAAATATTTAATTTTGGTTGATAAATTACAAACAACACCAGCAACAATACCCAATATAACTGAAGCCCATAATGGAATCATACCTGAAGAAGGAGTTGCTGCAACCAAACCTGAAATACAACCGGAACAAACAGCAACCATTGACCATTTATTTTCCAATCTAAAATCCAATAAACACCATGATATAGCACCAAATGCACCACATAAATGAGTATTCATCATTGAATAAGCAACTCTTAAACTTGGATTACCACATGAAAACCCGTTGAAAAATAACCACCCAACATATAATAAGCAAGTTCCCAAAAAGATTGTTGAGATATTATGTGGTCTATAATTTATCATTAAAGTTTCATTTCTTCTACCTAAAAATGCTGAATAAACAAATGCCGAAACACCTGATAAAATTTCAACAGGTCCACCACCAGCATAATCTAAAGCACCAGACTTATAAGTTGATGCCCATCCACCACCCCATATCCAATAAACAACTGGACAATAAACTATAGTTGCCCAACAAAATAAGAATACCATGGCAGGTAAAAATCTACCTCTTTCAGCAATACAACCACCGGCTAATATAGCTAATGTAACTAATAAAAATTGTAACTGAAATAATGCAAAGGCAATTTCAGGATAATCTGTTTGATCACTTGTTGCTCCTAATAAATTTTTAAAACCAAAAAAATGTAAATCTCCTATAAATGGATTTGATGATTTATCTGAAAATGCTAATGAATAACCCCAGAAATACCATTGAAAAACACCAATAAACGATGACATTATGACAATCCAAATCATTGATAAAGCTGATTTTCTTCTTGCTAAACCTGAATATAAAAACGCCAAACCTGGTACCATTATCCAAATCATTGAAGAAGCAATAGTAAATAATAATAAAAAACTTTCATTATATTCGTTATTTTGAGTAAATAATTTTCTTCTTGATATATATTCAATCACTTCTTCTTTCATATTGAATACTTTTGATTTATAAAAAGATTTGATTTTAAATTTTCAAATCTCATAATTAATAAATTTTTATCGATAATAACACAAAATGAAAAAATGAAAAAAAGAAAAATCAATATATAAAACTAAGATTAAACTTTTTTTATAAGAGATGAAACAGAATAACGAGGCTTGGATGCATAAGATCAATATAGAACTTGTAACAACTTCACTTATACTTTTACTCAAGTATTGATGAGCAAGTATAGATCAATCGTGTAGTCTTCTTATGGTCAAATATATTCTACTCATCAAACCCATCAGCGTGTGTCAAATTATTTTTTTTTTTTTTTTTTTTTTTTTTTTGTTTGTTTCAAGTAAATGATAACCATATAAAACTTAGCCAATCATATTGCATTATCGTACATCAAAACTGATAATCAATTTCTTATCAGTAACAAATTAAATAATGCTTAATAATATTATAATTGAATAAATAGTAAGACAATCCTATGATTTATGAAAGGAACGTTCAACTTATTTATAGCAATTACAATGACTCATTCTTTATTCTGATCTATTAGTAAGGAATTTTTTTTTTATTGGTTTTATTGTTTCTGCCTCTATTGAACATTTTTATTAGCACAGTCAGATTCTAATTTATAAAGGCGTTTTTTTAGATTTTATCGTTGGTTTTGTTGCGATGGTTTTGTTGCGATGGTTTTTTTGCGATGGTTTAATTATTATGCCCGGCTTTTTCCTAAAAGATCTTCGGTTATCTCGTATCGGACGCATAAGAAAAAAGATAAATTTCAAAAATTTTCTTTTGCAGCCATTTTAAAAATATAAACTCCTCCAATTGCCGATGAAATTAATTGAACTTCATGATATTAAGATAAATTAACTGAAATCAAGCCAAACTTGATGATATTAAGATAAGTTAACTGAAATCAAGCCAAACTTCTTGATATTAAGATAAATCAACTGAAATCAAGCCATTGATTTATTTCATTTACTCCATTTTATTAGCTCTCAGAGTTATGATTCAAGACGTCGCCTTAAAGTTAAGTTAGTGCAGCTAGGCCTGCAATAAAATATTTTCGCCTCTTTTTGTGGCGATTAGATACCATTTGTTTGGTCAGTAGCACGACGAGGTTGTATTGATTGGGTTCAATTAAAAACTTTTTTTCGCACCATTTTTACCGCACTTTGCTTTAATAATACCATAAATATAGAATTTTAACTAAAATTTGCAAAATCCATAGTTAGTACCAAAATCCATAGTTAATACCAAAATCCATAGTTAATACCAAAATCCATAGTTAATACTAAAATTACAATTAAAGAATTCATCAATATCTTTAGAGTTGAGCAGTCAATAATCAATAATGGAAAGAAAAAAAATATTGTATTTAAATTAATTAAGCAGAAAGTCAAAAGTAAAGTATATTAAAAAATAAATTGATCCAAAATCACCGAAAATTGAAATGCAAGTAATGATAATGTTACCACTAAGTTAGAAACCGAAAAAAAAAAAAGTCCCCATTTAAGATTGATCAAACAAATGAAACCGAAAATTGAAAAAAATTGAAACCGAAAATGTATTATGAATTCAAATCAAATGAATTTAAATGAAGAAAATACCAGCAAATAACAAACTAATATTTAAAACAATACTAGATGCTTTATTTGCAATTGGAATTATTGGAATTGTAACTGTTGATGAAGTAGAAGGTGAATTTGTTTGAGTTGAAACACTTGAAGTTGGTGATGAAGTAGTTATTGTTGTATGAATGGTTTCTGTTGTTGATTGAATTGGTGTCTTAGTAGTTTTAATAACACTAGATGATGATTCTGGAGTGATTGTTTTAGTTGATGTTGTTTGAATTGGAGTTTTTGTAGTTGTAGTTGCAGTTTTCTCGGTTTCTGGACAATATATTGTTGTAATAACGTCTGTAATTGTTTGAACTGTTGTTTCGTAATCATAAACACATGTAGTTGTATATGTAGTCGTAATATATGCTGTAGTTGTATGATACTTCGTTGATTTTGTTTTTTCACAATCATGACAATAAATAGTTGATGTTACTTCTTCTGTAATTGTTTTTGTAGTTAAATTATAACCATCATCTAAGCAGGTAGTTGTATAAATTGTTGTGAAAACTGTTGTTCCTGTTGTTTCTGTTGTTCCTGTTGTTTCTGTTGTTCCTGTTGTTTCTGTTGTTCCTGTTGTTTCTGTTGTTCCTGTTGTTTCTGTTGTTCCTGTTGTTCCTGTTGTTCCTGTTGTTCCTGTTGTTCCTGTAGTTTCTGTTGTTCCTGTTGTTCCTGTTGTTCCTGTTGTTCCTGTTGTTCCTGTAGTTTCTGGGCAATAAGTTGTTGTAATTGTCAATGTCTCCGTTGTTACTTTAGTTGTTAAACTGGATGATTCTTCACAAATGGTTGTATATACTGTTGTGACTGTTGTTGTATAAGTGATTGACAGTTCTTTTGAATGATGAGATTTTGAACATGATGAACTTGATGAATATGTGCTTGAGCTAATCGTTGGACATGACGTTGAGCTTGAGCTTGAGCTTGAGCTTGAGCTAATAGTTGGACATGAGGTTGAACATGATGAACTTGATGAATATGTGCTTGAGCTAATCGTTGGACATGACGTTGAGCTTGAGCTTGAGCTTGAGCTTGAGCTAATAGTTGGACATGAGGTTGAACATGATGAACTTGATGAATATGTGCTTGAGCTAATCGTTGGACATGACGTTGAGCTTGAGCTTGAACTTGAGCTTGAGCTAATAGTTGGACATGAGGTTGAACTTGATGAACTTGAGCTTGAGCTAATAGATGGACATGACGTTGAGCTTGAGCTTGAGCTTGAACTTGAGCTTGAGCTAATAGATGGACATGACGTTGAGCTTGAGCTGCTGGAGCTTGGAATTGATGAGTATGAGCTTGAGTGATGGTGACTTGAGCTGCTGGAGCTTGGAATTGATGAGCTTGAACTTGAGCTTGAGCTAATAGTTGGACATGAGGTTGAACTTGATGAACTTGAGCTTGAACTTGAGCTTGAGCTAATAGTTGGACATGAGGTTGAACTTGATGAACTTGAGCTTGAGCTAATAGATGGACATGACGTTGAGCTTGAGCTTGAGCTTGAACTTGAGCTTGAGCTAATAGATGGACATGACGTTGAGCTTGAGCTGCTGGAGCTTGGAATTGATGAGTATGAGCTTGAGCTTGAGCTGCTGGAGCTTGGAATTGATGAGTATGAGCTTGAGCTTGAGCTTGAGCTTGAGTGATGACTTGAGCTACTGGAGCTTGAACTTGAATGATGACTTGAGCTGCTGGAGCTTGGAATTGATGAGTATGAGCTTGAGCTTGAGCTTGAGCTTGAACTTGAGTGATGACTTGAGCTGCTGGAGCTTGAACTTGAATGATGACTTGAGCTGCTGGAGCTTGGAATTGATGAGTATGAGCTTGAGCTTGAACTGCTGGAGCTTGGAATTGATGAGTATGAGCTTGAGCTTGAGCTTGAGCTTGAGTGATGACTTGAGCTACTGGAGCTTGAACTTGAATGATGACTTGAGCTGCTGGAGCTTGGAATTGATGAGTATGAGCTTGAGCTTGAGCTTGAGCTTGAACTTGAGTGATGACTTGAGCTGCTGGAGCTTGAACTTGAATGATGACTTGAGCTGCTGGAGCTTGGAATTGATGAGTATGAGCTTGAGCTTGAACTTGAGCTTGAGTGATGGTGACTCGAGCTGCTGGAGCTTGGAATTGATGAGTGTGAGCTTGAACTCGATGAGTAAACAGATGAAGATGAACTTGATGATGAACTACTTGAATGAGATGAGGATGATGAGCTTGATGAGTAAACACTTGATGAAGAACTTGAATGATATGAACTTGAAGGGCAAGTGTAAATAGTTTTAGTAATACTTTCTGAAATAGTGATAGAATCTGTTATTGTTGAACCACTTAATTTAATTGTACTAGTTGTAGTTTGATAGACTGTCTTTGTCTTATCTTTATCATCACCATTTCGAACTTCAATTTGATTAGCAAATAATTCAGGAGTTGATTCATCAGTTGGTTCAGGATTTAATTGAGTAATGGTTGATAAAAAATCGTTATCATCTCTTTTTGCAACCCAAGTATGATCCGATGAACACGATGTGATTGTGATTGTAGTAGAATCAAAATTGGTTATATATGTAGTTGTATAAATATTTGAGCCTTGAATAGTGGTATATTTTGTAATTGTTGATGTTACTGTTTTATCCTTATCATTATCATTTTCATCTTGATCTTTATCATCAGCAGCAAAAACTAAAGCTAAAAAATTAAACAATAATAACCAAAATTGAATATTCATAACGAGTGACTGATTTGAAAATTTTGAAAATTTAGGAATTATTCATCTCTTTAAATATTTGAAAATTTTGAATAATTGATAGTATAAAAGGGTTGAAATAATTGCAGTGAAATAATTGCAGGCGTTTATTGTTATGTAAATACTGAAAATTTCGAAACATTTCTTTCCTTATGTTGTCACCACAACCTGAAACGATTTTGATAATCTGAACATATTGGAAAATTGATTTCTAGATCAACTACATCTTTCATTTTGGAACTTTCAAGCACATGTAATTCCCTAATAAGCTATCATAATAATCTATCAGGATTTCTTTAGCAGTATCTCTCATCAAAAGATCATAAAGTTGAATCTAGTTTACGAAAATTTAAAGTTCTGATTTGCAGCAAAAAAATTACGTATAATATTGCTCGATAATATTCCAACTAAAATTTAAACCAATTTGGCAATTAAGTTTCCTATTTTGGTATTTTCATTATTTGATGTTTCAGAATACAATGTTAATGCACAAACCACGATATTTGATTTTTTCTTGGTATAAATAAGGGTTTTATAATAATTTCGTATATGGTTTTGAGCCACATTTCTCAAATCTCGTTTATTTCCTAATTGGGAAGACGATCTAGCGAGATCTCGATCTAAATCTAGATCTGTACCTTGAAAAATTTTACTTGGAGATCAATAAATCGAAATATTGATTTACCACAATAATGAAACATTATAGAATCAGCAGTAATTAATCAATAGGAGTACTTGAAGAATATTATGACACAGAAATAAGACGCGTAAATCTTCTAATCACGATAATTTTAAAATTTTTAATTCTGCATCGTAAATTTTTATAAAGTTCCATTTGGATTTGACAATCTGATTCCTTAGCTAGCTCAATTAGGAAATAAAACAAAGGCAACCATTTTTAATAATAGAAACATAATACACAAACTTATATTGAGTATAAACTAAAGAAAATAACGAAATAGAAACAGTAATAACTATTTAATCGAAATAATAACATTTTTCAAAAACAAAATCTTTTGAATATGATAAACCGAATAAACATAGAATCGAAATTAAACCTGAGGTATCAAAATTAGATGTAAAATAAACCAGCAATTAATAAACTAGCAATAAATGAAAAGTTCAAGACATTACTTGATGCTTCTGCTTCATAAATTGGAGTTGGATTTGTTGGAATAGTTACATTTGGAAATGTAGTTGAATTGTAATAAGTTGATGGTACTTCAATTGGTGTTGATGTGGTTAAAGTTGTATGTGATTGAGTTATAGTTAATTCAATATAAGTTGAAATGTAAATTTTTCAGTTTCAACGTCTGAATTTTCAACTTCTGAAGTAGTTGGAATAACATTTGATGAAGATTCAATTGGAGTTTGAGCAAGTGAGCTTGATGACTGAACAACTGAGCTCGATGATTCAGTTGGAATTTGTGCAACAAAAATAGATGATTTCAAAGTTGTTAAAGTTTCAAATGGAATTGATGAACCGGTTGAATTTCAACTGATGAGCTTGAAGCCTCAGTTTCAGGGCAGTAAGTACTAGTTAATGTTTTAACATCAGTAACAACTTTAGTAGACAAAATACTTGATGAATTATCACTGAATGGACAATAAGTAACATAATCTGTATGAATATTAACAGTATAAATTGATGTAGTAGTTGGCTGAGCTAATGATGATTTTGATGATTATACACCATTTGAAGAAACAAAAACAGTCGATGATGGTAATTCTGATAAATTTGAAACATGGGTTGATAAAATTGATGAACTTGGAACAAATGAAGAGCTTGGGGCAGCTGAGCTTAGTAAAAATGATGAAGGAGCAGCAGAACTTGGTAATTCACGTGGAACTGGAGTAATTGTAGATTCATAACCAACATCAGGACAAGTAACAACAGTTTCAGTATTATAAATTGTAACAGATCCAGTACAAACAATAGTTGAACCAGCTTTAATAACAATAGCAGTTGAAGTTTGATATCCAGTATTAATTTAATGAGTTGTAGTTAATTGTGAAGTATGTAAAACAGTTGTTGATTGTTTTGTAGTTGGAACGGCAGTACAACCAGCATTACATGAAGTTATAGTCTTGATAATATTACCTGATTTTGTAACATATTCAGTAATAACAGCATTTGGACCAGCATTTGTTGCAACATCACTATAATTAATAGTAACAGTTTGATAATCATCAGAAGGTAATGTTAAAGTTGATCCATCTCAATCTGGTTCTGGTTCATGTTTATTTGCATAAACATTAATAGTACCTAATAATAAAATAAAGATTTGAAGTTTAAATAACACAACGAATGACTAAGTTGGATTAATGTTGAAAAAATTGAGAATTGACCTCAGTACATAGCATTTTATATAACACAGATACTATAAAGTTAACATAGATACGAATTAACATTCCCAATCAATATTTGGTTTTATTTATGCAGGGTCAATGCAGTTTGTATAAATAAACTGTGGGGTCCAATATGATAAAATGTATCAAAAATGACCCAAATTCAAGCAAACAACAGTCATTATGATTCTCAGCAAATTCAGCACCTTACCTACTCTTTTCTCACCAAGTAGCTCCTTGAATTTTGATTTCCATATAATTCTTACACAAACATGCACCATACCTTATGCATTAATAAAGTCAATTTTTAACGTGTTACTTAGATGATAAATGGACCAATTATTTACAAACGTTTATTTACTAGTTTAATTTTTGTTTTGTTTCAATTTTTTATCATTTGCCTTTTCATAAAAATGGAATATTTCGAAACAAACTTCAATTAAAATTAACACAATAATAATCCATTCTAAACGTGTTGATTTTTTTTCATTCAACACTGATAAAAATGCTCTTTGTTCATCAGTAGCATAATCTAATTTCCTATTTAATATACTAATTCTTGAATTTATGTCTAAAATTTTTGAAACCTTGTCGTAAATTTTTTCCAATTTCGGTTCAGACCAGTATAAATCAGGAGTGTCTATCAATTCTGAATATAAATTTAATTTACCACGTAATAAAAATAATTGACCAGTTATTTTTAAAAATTCATGTTCTGAAGTTGTAATTTGCTTCCCCTTTGATAATAATTCAGCGTTTTGTTTAGTTAAATTTAAAAAATTATCCAATTGAGTTTCTAATATTGATAATCTAGTTGATCTACTTAAACCAATTGCAAAAGCAGCCATATCTAATAATCTTTGATCTAAATCAGAACCTTGCACAACTAGAATTTCACCATGTAAATATGAATTACCATTATTTAATGGATTTTGAGGTAATTGTTTTAATTCAATCCAATCAATTTCTTCAGATTCATATGTTTCATTTTTAGAATCTATTGAATCTTGAATAATAGGTAAAAAATTTGTTAACATTTCACTTTCATTCAAATTCCAGCCAACTAATGAACCATTTGATAAAATCATTAAATTTTGATCTTTTGAAATTGCAATATTTATAACTTCTTCGGGTATTATAACTTTAAATTGATAACCTTTTAGATGTGATATTAAAGTATCAAAATTTATAGAGTCACCAATGGTAACTGATGTAACCGTAGATAAATATTTCTCTAGAGTTTTAAAACTATTTTCAGATTCATTTAATAATGATAGTATATAACTAGTTGATTCATTTTGAAAATGTGGATCAGTTCTTCTTAGTTTTTGAGCACCAATTTTCTTCTTTGGAACATTTTTAACTTTAGGTAGTATTGAATTGAATCTTATAAAATTGGTAAATGGTCGTATTGGTAATCTTCGAAGAAACATTTGATGGTTGGGAAATTTACACGAAAATCACGTTTTACATTTAACTATATGCCACCAAATTATTATATCTTTATATCCCTTTCAGTATGATTACGCTTGGTCATCCATGAATATATGGCAATGAAACGTCAATGTGACTTGTAATATCTTCTCTTGCATTAATACAACATTGATTCTAATGAATTACACGTGACCGATTTCCCAATAGTTAATTGAGGATGATCTTGTTTATAATTTTACTCAGTTGGGAAAACTAATTTCTATTTTTAAACTGAATCAGAAATCTTTTAAATAGAGAACAACAACACCGAAAACCAATACTAAACATCAACAACTTTTTATTAAACTATGTGGTATGTAATAATCAATAGTTATACAAGTAATTACTAACTTCTTCAGTGGTATTTTTGGATATGTCAATTTCTTAGTTGATAAAACTAGAGGCGAAATTATTGATAATCTTATTGAAGGTTTACAAAGATTAGAATATAGAGGGTATGATTCTGCTGGTATTGCTGTTGATGGTCAAGTTGTAAAAGCTGGTGATCAAGAATATATGGAAAATATCATTGTTAAATGTCCTGGTAAAGTCAAAGTTTTAAAACAAAAAGTTATTGATGATAAAGTTGATAGATCTGCAGTTTTCGATAATCATGCTGGTATTGCTCATACAAGATGGGCTACTCATGGTCAACCTAAAACAGAAAATTGTCATCCTCATAGATCTGATCCAAAAGGTGAATTTATTGTTGTCCATAATGGTATTATTACAAATTTTGCAGCTTTAAGAAAATATTTATTATCAAAAGGTCATCAATTTGAATCAGAAACTGATTCTGAATGTATTGCAAAATTGTTTAAACATTTTTATGATTTAAATATTAATGCTGGTGTTTCACCTGATTTAAATGAATTAACTAAACAAGTTTTACATGAATTAGAAGGTTCTTATGGTTTATTAGTTAAATCATATCATTATCCAGGTGAAGTTTGTGGTACAAGAAAAGGTTCACCTTTATTAGTTGGTGTTAAAACTGATAAGAAATTAAAAGTTGATTTTGTTGATGTTGAATTCGAAGATAAACAATTTGTTGAAGCACAACTGAATGAATTTTTACCAATTGCACCTGGTGAACAAAATTTAAGAACTTCACAATCAAGAGCATTTTTATCAGAAGATGATTTACCAATGCCAGTTGAATTTTTCTTATCATCAGATCCTGCTTCAGTTATTCAACATACTAAAAAGGTTTTATTTTTAGAAGATGATGATATTGCACATATTTATGATGGTGAATTGCATATTCATAGAGCTTCAACTAAAAGTGCTGGTGAATCAACAGTAAGACCAATTCAAACTTTAGAAATGGAATTAAATGAAATTATGAAAGGTCCTTATAAACATTTTATGCAAAAGGAAATTTTTGAGCAACCAGATTCTACTTTTAATACTATGAGAGGTAGAATTGATTTTGAAAATTGTAGAATTAATTTAGGTGGATTAAAATCTTGGTTATCAACTATAAGAAGATGTAGAAGAATTATAATGATTGCATGTGGTACATCATATCATTCATGTTTAGCAACAAGATCAATTTTTGAAGAATTAACTGAAATTCCTGTAAGTGTTGAATTAGCAAGTGATTTTTTGGATAGAAAATCTCCAGTTTTTAGAGATGATACATGTGTTTTTGTTTCACAATCAGGAGAAACTGCTGATTCTATATTAGCATTACAATATTGTTTAGAAAGAGGAGCTTTAACTGTTGGTATAGTTAATGCAGTTGGTTCATCAATGTCAAGACAAACTCATTGTGGTGTTCATATTAATGCAGGACCCGAAATTGGAGTTGCATCAACAAAAGCTTATACATCACAATATATTGCATTAGTTATGTTTGCTTTATCATTATCAAATGATTCAATTTCAAGAAAAGCAAGACATGAAGAAATTATAAAAGGTTTACAAAAAATTCCTCAACAAATTAAACAAGTTTTAAAATTAGAAGATAAAATAAAACAATTATGTGATGATTCATTAAATGATCAAAAATCTTTATTATTATTAGGTAGAGGATATCAGTTTGCAACAGCATTAGAAGGTGCTCTCAAAATTAAAGAAATTTCATATATGCATTCGGAAGGTGTTTTAGCAGGTGAATTAAAACATGGAGTTTTGGCATTGGTTGATGATAAATTACCCATAATTGCATTTGCAACTAGAGATTCATTATTTCCAAAAACAATGTCAGCAATTGAACAAGTCACTGCAAGAGATGGAAGACCAATTGTTATTTGTAATGAAGGAGATGCAATTATATCAAATGATAAAGTTCATACAACGTTAGAAGTTCCACAAACAGTTGATTGTTTACAAGGATTATTAAATGTTATACCTGTTCAATTAATAAGTTATTGGTTAGCTGTAAATAGAGATATTGATGTTGATTTCCCTCGTAATTTAGCAAAATCTGTCACAGTTGAATAGAATTATATATTTAATAAACACTTTTTCATTTGTTACCCCTTGTAAAGTATTGAGAATTACTTAAAAATGCAACACTATTATCTAAAATTGATTCACCAATATTTAGATATTTTTGAGTATAAAATTGAACATCTTTATTTTCAATTTTATTTAAGTCTGGTTGTAAACCAGTTGATCTTTTAATACCAGCTAAAAAACCAGATATTAATACTAAGTCAAAACTTATATGAGCCAATCTACCAATCATCTTAATCATTTACCTATTAATATAAATGGTGGCAAGTCGTTTGATAAACAAAAAAAAAAATTATTTTGAAATTTGTTGATAATGGGAAAATTTATGTTGATAAGGAGAATATGTTGATGAATGGTATTAATGAGAGTTAGCTGATGAGATAGAGGTAAAGAGATGCTGTTGCGTTGGTGCTGTTTCCTCGAGAAAGCTCGTTACCTCAAGTGATTTTTCACTGGTTGGTTATTAAGTATGCTCGGTTTAAATTCAGCTCAGATTTAAAGAGGTTTAATCAGTTCTTTATTATTCTCATTTTTAAATCAAATTCATCATGATAAACTAGTATAAGCTGCTTGTAAGTGTGTATAGTTTCACTTTCTCTTTATCCTCTGTTGAATTTTGATTTTTGATGAGAAAAAAATCACTAACACATTAATTAATTATTGAATTAAATGGTTGATAAATTTAATAGACCTACTGGTCCAAGAGGAAATAACAATCAACAACAAAGAGATTACAATCTGCGAGATTATAATAATAATCAACGTGATTTTCAAAGATCTTCATATATTCCACATAAATCTAATTCTAAAAATTCACAATCACGAGATAGTTATGTTCCTTCTGGACCAAAAAGAGATCAATATAGACCTAATAATAATGGATTTAGAAAAGATAATAATAATATACGACCATCTGGACCATCTGGACCATCTGGACCATCTGGTACTAAAAGACCATTACCTTCAGGACCATCAAGTTTAAAAAAACGAAGAGATTTTCATCATAATAATATACCCAAAGGCCCAAAAATTAGAGCAATACCAGAAATTCGTAAAGATTTACTACCTCATCAAATATATACAATTAATAAAACAGGTCCAAATATATATGAAAAAGTTCAACAAGTAGGTGAAGGTACATATGGGAAAGTATATAAAGTTAAACATAATAGAACTAATGAATTTGTTGCATTTAAAAAATTAAGACTTGAGAGTGAAAGAGAAGGGTTTCCAATAACTGCAATTCGAGAAATCAAATTATTACAATCATTTGATCATCCAAATGTTATTGGTTTATTAGAAATGATGATTGAAAAAAATTCAATTTATATGGTCTTTGATTATTTAGATCATGATTTGACTGGATTATTATCCCATCCAGATTTAAATTTACAAGAAAGTCATCGTAAATATATATTTAAACAATTAATTAGCGGTTTAAATTATTTACATGAAAAAAGAATAATTCATCGAGATATAAAAGGTTCAAATATTTTATTAGATAAAATTGGAAATTTGAAAATTGCAGATTTTGGATTAGCTAGACCAATGAAAATATTAACAGCTGGAGAATTACCAGATTATACTAATAGAGTCATCACAATATGGTATAGACCACCTGAATTATTATTAGGAGCAACTGATTATGGTAGAGAAGTAGATATATGGGGAGTTGGATGTTTATTAATGGAATTATATTATAAAGTTGCAATTTTTAGAGGTTTGGATGAAATAAGTCAATTGTGTAAAATTTTTAATATCATGGGTACACCAAATATGTCAAATTGGCCAGATATTGATAAATTACCATGGTTTGAAATGCTAAAACCAAGATTAAATTTGGCCTCTAAATTTGAGGATAAATTTAAAAAAACAATGAGCATAGAAGCCTTTAAATTGGCTGAAAAATTATTAATGTTAAATCCAAAATCAAGACCTACATCAGAAGAAATATTACAAGATGAATATTTTAAAAATGATCCAAAACCAGAACCATTATACTTTATAAAAGATTTTGAAGGAGAGTGGCATGAATTTGAAACTAAACAAAGAAGAAGAGAAGAAAGAAAAAGGATAAAAGAAGAAGAAGATGCAGAAGCAAATGCAAGAAAAGAAAGAATTGAAAAAGTATCACCACAATGTACTGATAAAAGTGTTAAAACATCTCCAGAAAGTAAGGATGCAAAAGAATAGGTGTAATTATAATCAAATATACGCCATGAGTATAACTGGCTAATACTTTCAATTTTGTAACTCTTTTTTTTTTTTTTTTTTTTTTTTATTTTTTATTTTTTATTTTATTTTTTATTTTATTTTTTATTTTTTTTATCGTACAAATTTTATTTCAAACGGTATTGAATAGAATGGGTTTATGTAGTTCAAAATCTAAAGAACCAATTAAATCGACAACTAATACAATTGCTAAAAGACAAGAACAAAAACAAGCAATTCAAGAACAACAACAAGTAACAGACTCAAAACAAAATTTCTCAGCAGCAAGTCTGTCACAAGAACAACCAGAACCAAAAAATAACAATCCAGTGGATGTAGCTGCTCAATCATCAAAAGAAGTTAAAGTATTATTATTAGGCTCGGGAGAGAGCGGTAAATCTACAATTGTGAAACAGATGAAAATCTTACATCAAAATGGATATACTCAAGAAGAATTATATGAATATAAACCATTCGTTTATAAAAATATTCTAGATTGTACTAAAAATGTGATTAATGCTATAATTGACTTAGATCCAGATTTAATCAAACAAGAAGGAAACAATCAAGATGAGAGTGAAGTTGTGGAAATTAGTAGTGAAGGGAGAAAACACGTCTTGGATTATAATTCATTAAATGAAATTTTAGATTATGAATATCCCATGGATGATACACCATTTGATGAAAATATATCAAAAAAAATAATACAAGTTTATAATACTCGCGAAGTTCGAGATTTTATGATTCATAAACAAGGTGAATTTTATTTAATTGATTCCACAGATTATTTCCTATCAAATTTGGAAAGGATATCGAAGCCAAATTACATCCCATCAATTAATGACGTGTTAAGAACAAGAAAAAAGACCTCCGGTATATTTGATTTTAAATTCGATATGGGTAATGGATTAAATATTCATATGTTTGATGTTGGTGGACAAAGATCAGAACGTAAAAAATGGATTCATTGTTTTGATAATGTAACATTGATTATATTTTGTGTTGCATTAAGTGAATATGATCAAGTCTTATTAGAAGAAAATAATCAAAATAGATTAGAAGAAAGTTTGGCATTATTTGATTCAGTAGTTAATTCAAGATGGTTTGCAAGAACTTCAATAGTCTTATTCCTCAATAAAATTGATGTATTTGCTGAAAAATTACAATATTCACCTTTGGAAAATCATTTCCCTGATTATACTGGTGGTAATGATATAAATAAAGCTGCTAAATATATTTTATGGAGATTTAATCAAGTAAATAGATCTGGTTTAAATATTTATCCTCATGTTACTCAAGCTACTGATACTTCAAATATTCAAATTGTAATGGCAGCTGTTAAAGAAACAATTTTAGAAAATTCTTTAAAAGATAGTGGGATATTATAAAATAATGTTAATATTACATTTCATACATTAATTAATATCTATATATACAATTATTCGGGCTTAGATCGAACATATTGAAGATTGAAATTACCTCTACTGCTTCCTCTTCCTCTACCACGACCTCTGCCTCTGCCTCTGCCTCGATAAGACCTGGTAGGTTCATTTGGTTCATTAGTTTCTGGTTTATTTTTTGTTTCTGTACGTTTTCTGCCAACTAATTCATCTAAATGTTTCTTAAAATCTGGTCTCTCTTCATTAGTAGTTAGTTGTTCCATGTCTTTTGTTATAGTTTCCACTGGTTCATCCTTTTTGACTTCTTCTTTCGGTTGCGGTTGATTTTGTATTTCTGCTTTGGATTCTGGTTGTTGTTGTTGTTGTTTTAAATATTCACCTTCTTTAACAGTTAAATCTATTTTGTTACTTGGTGGAGATGAAATTGGTTTCTTTTTTAATATAACTGGTTTCAATACAGTTGCTGGTTTTGGAGTATTATTTCTTGGAGTATTTTTTCCACCAGTTGAAGGATTAGATATAACTTCAGATTGTTCGCTTAATAATTGAGCTAGTGATTTCCCAGTCCCATTATTAGAATATGTTTCATGTGGTGATTGTTTTTTTTCATTTTCTGATTTTCTTCTTAAAATTGAAACACTTGGTCTTTTTTTAGTAGTTAATATCGAATTTGCTGTTTTGGGAGACCCGCTCTCATGAAATTTCTTTATTGTAGTCTCAATATCAATATTACCTTCATCACCTAATGTTTGAACAGTTGTTGTATTTAAATTTATCAATTTTTTTTCAATTTCAGTTTGTTTTGATAATGTATCAACAGGTTTAGCAGTTCCAAAAGGATTAGATTTTAGTTTTTGTGGTGGTTGTTGAGTTTCAAATGATTGTCTTCTTATTGGAATATGCTGTTTTATAGGTGATCTATGTGGTGGATGATAATAATTTTGATTATGATGATCTTGATGTAATCCTGAACCTCTTTGACTCATGTCAAAATCATTTAATAATGCCATATGTCTTGGTTGTTGATGATGATGTTGATTATGTTGATGTTTTTGAGCCATGAAATCTTTCTGTATTTTTAAAATTTCTTCATAATGATCTTGATTAAATTTAATACAATTTTGAAAATCATCAAAATTTGCAATTTCGACTATAACTCTTCGATTACCTTTATAATATAAATCATGCCATTTTAAAGCTTTTAATAAATCAGATTGTGATTCTAATTCAACAAATGCAACTTGTTTAATAATACCAGTTGTTAAAATATTTGAAGAAGGATCAGTTACAACTTTAAATTTAATATATGGAGTATACCTACTTTGAAATAAATCAACTATAAAAGCATCATTAACACTAATTGGTAAATTTAAAAGTTTTATAATAAAAGGTGGTTGATTTGGTATATTTTGATCAAAATTTCTTGAAGATGATGATGCAAATGAAGGATCAGTATTATTATGATGACCTGATTTTTCAATAGGTACAGATATTGAAGCCATATCTATTTCTTGATCTGCCCAAGAGCCTCCAAAACCTGAAAAATATGTTAGTAGCCGGGGGCATCATATAAAATTAATTTGATACATACTTTCATCTTGAAAGAATTCTTGTAAACTCATTTTCTTTGGTGGTGCTAAACATTGATTAGTAATTATACTTAAATAACACTATATTAGCCTATAACATACCCATCTTGTACCCAATTACCAATTTACCAATGAATATATATAGAATTGATCAAATTTGTGATCTGTTTCTCTTTGTTTACAAGAAAAAAATAATTTTTATTGATATCATTTTGATGATGATGATTGCAAATTTTGATGAAATTGGTTATTATACACCAATTGATGATAGATACTTGGAAGAAAAGAAAGCAATTGGTTAAGCTGGTACACAATTACTAATATATTAGTCTGAATCACTACAAGAAGTCTTTTTTTTAGATTATTCTTCAACCATTACAAGTCCAATATCGAACGGCTACCAATTGATGTTGGAAACAATTTACACCGATTATATGTTTATGTACGAAACAAGTAGAATACAGAAATACTAATAGTCAATTATTACTCATAATACTCGTTATTAGAGTAAATAGACTCCTTTCGTATCATACAATCAACAATATAAATAAATATCAAACCGCTACCAATTTCAAAATTAGACGAAAAAAACTAATTTACACCAATGACTGGTTCAATAACCAGAGCTTTAAATTGGGATTATGGATATGAACAACAGTTTATAGCAGTTACTCCAATTGGTGATGAGGTTATATTGTATCAAACTAATCATGAAGATCCCGGGGTAGAATCAAATTCATTAATTAAATTAAATAATAAATCTGGTTTTGATAATATTCAATGTTCTTCATATTCTTATATTAATAAAGGTATAATTGGTGTTGGTTCACATAATAGTACTGTTTCTATTTTTGATATAAATTTAACTTCTTCCAGTGTTTTACAATTAAGACCAAAACAAGATCGTCCATGCAATTCAATATCTTTCAGTGATAATAATTTAATTGTTGCAGGTTATGATAAAGGAAGACAAGATAACTCTTTACAAATTTGGAATATTGAAGATCAAGGTGAAAATAAAAGACCTTTAACTTCTTATTTACCTAACGAAGCTATATTATCAACAATTTTTTATCCTGATCAAAGTAATATAATATGTGGGTCTTATAAATTTTTAAGAGAATTTGATTTACGTTCAGATCAACCTGTTTTTCAAATGGCTACTAAATGTACTTTAGGTCTTAATATTGATCATTTTCAAAATCATTTATTTCAAAGTTTTAGCGAAGATGGTAGTTTAGCTATATGGGATAGAAGAAAATTAACAAGCAATAATGTTAAGAAATCTATAGCTTCTGGTATAGTTCAAGAAACTCCAATATTACAATTTAGTAAGCTACTAAATGATTTTTCATCAAGAAAAGTTCAACATCCGTGTGTACGATATTCTTCAATTAGAAAAGGTGAATTTGCAGCTATTTTTAATGGAGATTTAATAAGAAGATGGCATACGGGAAATGTACCACCTGCTAGAAGTTTAAATCAAAAGACATTAACATTTAAATCAAAACATGAAGCTACTTTACAAAGTTTAAAACAACAATCATCACTATTATATAAACCTAATGAAGAAAGTTTATTTGTGTCAATGGTTTTAGATGTTCAAACGGATTATAAAAAAGTTATTTCATTTGATTATTCTCCAGATACTGCTTCTCCAACTTCAACTAATTTTGTTTGTATGAGACAATCAGGAACTGTTTTTAGAATGCCAGTAGTTGAATGTATTGAAAATATTGATTTTAATCCAATTAATGAATTTTCAATAACTGGACCAGAAGGTTCAATGACTAATTTTTTAGAAAAACCTGTTGAAAATTTAACAAATGAAAATTTAAAAGAAAGAAATAGATCATCATTAGCTAAATTAGGAGATTTAGAAAATAATGAAATTGAATCTGAAACTGAAATGTCTGAAGATGATGAAAGTGCAATGACTTCAGAAATGAAAAATGTAAATGGTGGATTTTCTGATAAACATTTGTATGAAGGTTATGAAGATATCCCATTAAATACTTTATTAAATCCAATAGATATTATTGAAAATGATTTATGTAATACAATTAGAAAAAGAGCTGAAATGGGTTATGCCTTTGATTGTGAAAATAATTCAAAAATTTTAGAACAATTGGATTTAAATGATAATCAATTGTTTCTAAGAAATACTTGGAAATGGTTAGGATTAGCTAAAAAAAGTTTAGAAAAAGGTACCATGATTTCTGAGGGTATTGATTTAGGATATCAAGGTGTTTTAGGTATATGGAAAGGAATTGAAGAATTACAAAATAATCAAAATAGAACAAAAGATTCAAGAAATGTGACGGATGTATGGTTTTCACAAGCTGTAAAATCCATTATATCTCAAAAGGGTAAGAAAACTTCAGGTATACAAATTCCAAGTGATTCTGAAAAGAAAGCTCAAAGAAAATTATGCCTAATTGTATCTGGTTGGTATTTAACTAGTACTGAATTGGAACAAAAATTACAAACTTTAGTTTCTATGGGATTGCTGGAAAAAGCTGCTGGTTGGAGTGTATTCCACGGTGATGTATCGAAAGCAATTGAAATTTTATCAACATCTAAAAAAGAAAGATTAAGATTAATGGCTACTGCTGTTGCTGGTTATTTGGCTTATAAAAATTCGAATATAAATAGTCCGTGGAAGGATCAATGTCGTAAAATGGCATCTGAATTAGATGATCCTTATTTGAGAGCCATATTTGCATTTATAGCTGATGATGATTGGTGGGATGTCTTAGATGAACATTCATTACCACTAAGAGAAAGATTAGGTGTTGCTTTAAGATTTTTATCAGATAAAGATTTAACTGTTTATCTTTATAAAATTGCTGATACTGTTGTTAACAAAGGTGAGTTAGAAGGGTTAATACTAACGGGTATAACACCAAAGGGAATTGAATTATTACAAAATTATGTAAATAGAACAAGTGATGTTCAAACAGCTAGTTTAATTGCTTCATATGCATGTCCAAGATATTTTAATGATCAAAGATCAACTCATTGGATAGATTGTTATAGAAATTTATTAAATAGTTGGGGTTATTTTAGTATAAGAGCTAAATTTGATGTTGCAAGAAGTAAATTATCAAAGACATTCACTGGTGAGACGGTAATTAAACCAAGACCAAAACAAGTGTATTTACAATGTCAAAGGTGTAATAGAAATTTATCAAAATTTAAAAATCAAAGTACAATTAATTCAAATATAAAAGCTGCAACTTCGCCTCCAACTACAAATAGTCAACAAATATTAATGAAACAATTTAATAAATTGAATAAAAATAATACTACTCAAAATCAAATTACAAATAGTTGTCCATATTGTCGAGCACCATTGCCAAGATGTTCAATATGTTTATTATCAATGGGTACAGAAATAACATCAAATGAACTGAATAATAAAATGGAGAATACATTTAAAGAATGGTTTAGTTACTGTTTAACATGTAATCATTGTTATCATGCAATACATGCTCAAGAATGGTTTTCAAAACATTTTAAATGTCCAGTACCTGATTGTAATTGTAAATGTAATAGTAAGTAGACACACTTGGTAGCGATATGTATTATTTATTTTACTTAAATTAGAAAATTTAATTTTTTTTTTTTCTGCATTCGAATTTTGATCTGATTTTTTTTTGTGATTTGGAATCAACAACCTCGGGGCCATAACTTTATTATTATTGACTAAGTTTATGAAATGTCTAGAGTAACTGAAGATGTTATAGCTGACATCAAACAAAAAATTTCAGTTGAACAAAATATCATTCAAGGTTTTCAAGATGTTAAAAAAACATCAACAAATCCAGAAGTTATTCAAAAATGTAAATCAAAAATTATTGAATCACAATCAATTATTGATTATTATCAAGATAGTTTGAATAAATTGACTAAACAATTACAAAGAGCTCAAATTAATGATAATAATTCTGGTCAAAGAAGTTTTAGTGATCGAAGTTCAGTTATATCAGAACATAAACCAGTTTATTCCAGATTAGATTTAATTAAATATGAATGTCCTTCATTAGGTCATAAAATTCAACATATGTTACAACAATTGGAATTTAAAGTTCAAGTTGAAAATCAATATCGTGAAGCAAATAAGAAAATTTCTCATTTATATTTAATGGATGGTGATAAATCTTCAAGTAATGCAGCTGAAGGTAGTAGAACTGAAAGTGATCAAAGATTACAATTATTAGAAAAAGCTTTGAAAAAATATCAAAGTTTTCACATTAATTCTGAAGATTTTAATCGAGATTTTGAAATTATGGATACTCCAAAACATGCAAGAAAGTCTTTAAGTGGTAGATTGACAATTTCAGTTACTTGTATTAGAGATATTGATCATATTGCAGGTGGGAAATTTAGAAAAAGAGAAACGTATATTGTTATAAAAATTGATGATGTTGAAAAAGCAAGAACTAAAACTTCAAAAAATGATAATTGGAATGAAGAAATTATTATTGATGTTGAAAAACTGCATGAAGTTGAAATTTCAATAATGGATAAACAAGGTAGTAATTCCGTACCTGTAGCTATAAATTGGTTTTCTTTATATGATTTAGCTGAAGAAATACGTAAAAAGAAAGCTGCTAAAGATCAAGGTTCAAATGGTTGGCTCACAGCTTCAAATTTACCACAAACAAATGGTAATAGTATAAATAGTAATACATTTAATTCAAACTTAGGATTACCACAATCTGATATACAACCACCAAGATCACCAATACAAAGTTCACCACCTCAAGATTCAAATCAAAAAGTTTCAATTAATACTTGGTTAAGTTTAGAGCCATGTGGACAAATATTGATTAATTTGAATTTTGAAAAATCTTTAAGTGAAGGTAAACAATTTAGAGGTCCATTAGGTCGTCATGGTGCTATTAGACAAAAGAAAGAAGAAGTTTTTGAACAACAAGGTCATCAATTTGTACAAAAACAATTTTATAATATTATGTCTTGTGCTTTATGTGGTGAATTTTTAAGATATACTGGTTATCAATGTCAAGATTGTAAATTTTTATGCCATCGAAAATGTTATCAAAAAGTTGTTACTAAATGTATTTCAAAATCTGGTGCTGATTATGATGCAGCTCAATTAAAACATCGTATTCCTCATAGATTTGGTCCCGTTGCTAATCATGGTACAAAATGGTGTTGTCATTGTGGTTATATTTTACCTTGGGGTAAAAAGAATATTAGAAAATGTACTGAATGTGGTGTTATGTGTCATGCTCAATGTACTCATTTAGTTCCAGATTTCTGTGGTATGTCTTTACAAATGGCAAATGAAATTTTGGCTACTATTAAATCAACAAAAGTATCACCAAAGAAATCAGTTCAAGTTAAACCATTACCACCGAAACCTCCAATAACTACGTTACCTTCTTTAGAATCTAATCATACCTATGTTGAGCCAGAGGAAGAAAATGAAAAAGAATATGAAGTTAAATTACCAACAACAACTAAAAATGTCTATCAAGAACCAGTTGAAATGGAGAAAACAAGACGTCGCCCTCCAATAAATAATTTTGATTTAAGTTTTGATAATAAAGAACAATTGGAATATCGTCAACCAAAAGAATCTATTGAAATACCTATAATTGAAGAAAATGAAAATAAAGAATTTGATAACTTTGATTATAATAATCAAGTTACACAAAATCAAATAGTACCACAAGAAATTATAAGTCCATTTGTTGATCAAAAAATTGAAGAAGAAGTTAAACCTAAGAAACCAAAGACCAAAAAACGTAGAAGAAAAATTGGTTTAGATGATTTCCAATTTTTAGCAGTTTTGGGTAAAGGTAATTTTGGTAAAGTGATGTTGGCAGAATCAAGACATACACAAAAATTATGTGCAATTAAAGTTTTAAAGAAAGATTTTATTGTTGAAAATGATGAAGCTGAAAGTGTTAAATCTGAAAAAAGAGTTTTCTTAACTGCAAATAAAGAAATGCATCCATTTTTATTAAATTTACATTGTTGTTTTCAAACTGAAAATAGAATTTATTTTGTAATGGAATATATTTCCGGTGGTGATTTAATGTGGCATATTCAAAAGAATAGATTTACTGCTAAAAGAGCTAAATTTTATGCCTGTGAAGTATTATTAGGTCTAAAATATTTTCATGATAATGGTATAGTTTATCGTGATTTAAAATTAGATAATATTTTATTAACTATTCAAGGGCATATTAAAATTGGTGATTATGGTTTATGTAAAGAAAATATGTGGGAATCAAATACAACTTCAACATTTTGTGGTACTCCAGAATTTATGGCTCCAGAAATTGTTGCTGGTAAAAATTATAATAGAAGTGTTGATTGGTGGGCTTTTGGAGTTTTATTATTTCAAATGTTATTATGTCAATCCCCATTTAAAGGTGATGATGAAGATGATATTTTCAATGCTATTGAACATGATGAAGTTAAATATCCAATAAGTTTATCAAGACAGACTGTATTGGTTTTACAAGCTTTATTAACAAAAGATCCAAGTCAAAGATTAGGTAGTGGACCAAGAGATGCTGAAGAAATTATGGAACATCCTTACTTTCATGACGTTAATTTTGATGATGTTTTAAATTGTCGTATACCAGCTCCATATATTCCTGAAATTCAATCAGAACATGATTATTCAAATTTTGATCAAGAATTTACATCTGAAACTCCAAGATTAACTCCTGTTGAAACTGTATTAACGTCAGAAATGCAAGAACAATTTAGAGGATTTTCTCATATATCTGATAATGCAACAATATAAATACAGGGTCTATAAAATATTCTATGATAATGCTAAGTAATAATACAACATCCTGATTCGGATTTTTTATTGATAGTTTCTGTTTCTCTTGTGTAATGTCGATCTGGTTGGGTTTTTTTAGAAGGTGCTCTTTCCAAACTTTGCTCAGGTTCAGGTTCTTTAGATTCTACTTGTTTTGATGAACCTTCAACTGGGTTTTCAGTATTTTCGTGATGTATTTCTTCTGGTTTTGAATCAGCTTCAACTATTGAAGGCTGATAAGTTAAACTATTTGTACTCTCACATGGAATCAATGCATCTGAATTATCTCTTAATAAATTTGTTTTATTCTTACTCTTAATCAATTTTAATTTAATATCAACTGCTGTTTTCACTATTTTCTCAAAACTTTCCTTTACACTCATATCATATAATGCCGAACATTCATTGAATGAAACAGCATTGATTAAATCAGCAAATCTTTGACCTTGTTGGGGATCTACCGACCTATTAGTAGAACTATAATCTGATTTTGTACCTATAACAGCAATTGGTGGTACATCAGAGCCTCTAATACGTTTTATAACATCGTAATAATCCAGTAAAATAATAAAACTTTCTAAATTATCAATTGAATAAACAAATACAATTGAATTTGTATTTACAATATGTAGCCTTTTACTTGCTGAATGTAAATCCTTAGCAAAATCACTATCAAAAATTGAAATTTCAAATGTTTTATTACTTAAATCTGGCAACGCTACTTTTTTAAAATATAATTCATTAACATCTATATTTTCAACAAATTTACCATATACACATCGAATTATTAATGATGATTTACCAACTTTTTCTGAACCAATAACACAAATATCATAGTTATTGGTCAATACATGAACACTCATAAGTTGATTTTAAAAAGAAACTTTAAGCAATTATTAATATATGGCAATAAAATCTATACCGTCAAACAACAAATACACTCCCTAAAATTGTATGATAACCAATTGTTAAGCTGAAACTGTTTTATGAAGATCTCGTCAAAAATATCTTAGTCTTTGAATAACAAGGTGTATCTCTTTATCAATTTGACAGCTTCAAAGAAAAAAAGAAATGTGTTAAATGGAACAAAAAGACGTCAGAAATTTGGTCTGAGCTCAAAACATTATTCGCTTATGCGACTAATTAAACGAAAAGTCTAAGATTATAAAAGATATAACTTAATGTGTGTATTTATTCATCATCAGAATCTAAATATTGAGCATAGTCTTCAACTGATGCAAAAGTAGGTAAATCTTTAAGTCTTCTCTTTTTATTCTTCTTTTTACCTTCATCTTCATTTGGACGTTTTTTAGAATCCTTCTGTACTATTTCTTCATCTTCATCTTCATCTTCAAATTCTTCATCTTCAAATTCTTCATCGTCTTCCAACATTTTCAATTCTACTTCTGAATCACTTAATTCATCATCTTCTTTAGTACCAAATATTTCATTTTCTTCGTCTTCGTCATTGTCCTCATCTTCATTGTCTATTTTTTGTTCTTCTACTTCTTCTTCTTCTACTTCTTGATCTTCTTCATCCTCAATTTCTTCCTCTTCATCTAAGTCTGAGAAATCTTCTTCATCGAAATCTGAGAAATCCTCTTCATCAGATGCTTCAACATCTGGTTTTGATTTAACTAAAGCTTCCCAAACTGCATCATCATCTATTTCACCATCTTCATCTATATTATTCTCAGTTGGTTCTTTTTTATTCTTTAATTTATTAACTTTTGTTGTAAAATATTGATGAAAGAATTTTTCATCTGGTTTTATATCTTCAATTTTTTTATTTAACCAATTTTCAGCATTTGCAGGGATATTTTGATCCAAAACATTTGTAGCTCTAACTAATAAAGAACCAGTATGTACACCTCCTAAAGGTTGCATAATTGATGAACCTTTTGTCATTGCTTTTTGTTTTGCATTTTTATAAACAAATCTATCTAAAAAGTGTGAAAGGGTATATAAACCTAAATCTGGTTTTTGTTGTGGAGTTCCATCTAAAAATGAAGTTGCATATATGGAAATTGTAGGATGATAATGATTTAAAAATTGATTAATTTCCCATAATGATGATTTATCAGCATTTGCATATTTCGGATCACGTTTTCTGGGATCATATTCCTTGTCTTGTTTTATTCCTGTTTCTGTTTCCGTTTCTTCTTTATCTGGTCTAGAATTTATATCAATCATTAAATCATTAATTTCAGGTGTAGTTTTAGATAATTCAGATAATAAAAATAACATACCAGCAACTGCACCAATATTCGACCAATGTAAACAAATTTGTAATATTCTTTTAACAAATGCTAATACTCTAGTTTTATCATTATCATTTTTCAAAGATTTAAATAATAAATTTAAATAAATACCTTGCTTCGATGAATTTGCTAGTCTTGAATCTAGAAATGATTCATATAAGGTCCTATAATATCTATCTGAATCCAATTTTTGTTGAGTTATTATATGATTTATTAACACTAATGCTTGAATTGAAGTATTAAAATTACCTGAGTGAGTGATTTTAAATAATGTATTTAAATGATTTTGAAAAATTTCATTAGGTAAGTTTGAAAATGGGAATGCTCTATTTAAACCAGTTAATAAAGCTGAAAATAATCTTGCGTTTTTCTCTTCAACTAATTCTTCATGAGTTTTTTCATTTGGTTTTACTGATTTACCACCTTTTTTACCCTTTTTGAAATTTTTACGATTATTCTTTCTACCCTTTTGTGATTCACCTATAGTTTTGTCAAATTCTTTGTCGGGAAGTTTTGTTTCAACTAGTATTTTTTCAAATAATGCAAAGTATGTTTTAACTAAAGAATTTGCCAATTCTTCTTCATTTCTAATTAAAATTGTTTGATTTAAAGTTGTTATACCATAATATTGTGAATGGTCATCTGAATTATTTTGATGAAATATAATATCAATAACTGCATCACATATAATCTTTTTCATAGCTGGGTGTTTTTGTTCCAATTGTAAAATTTGAAATGAAGTTTTCGCAGATACTTTATTATCCAAATCACCTAATTTATTAACACCCAATTTTAATAAATTTGCTTCTTGTTCTGGTTTAGCACTTAATAAATCAAATATATGAGTTACAACATTCATTCTAACATGTAAAATTGGATCTTGAGATAATTTTTCTAAAACTTGAATAAATTTGAAGTATGATTTCTTTAAATAATCTTCGAAGTAATAAATTGCCAATGATTGATCACTTGCATCTTTTTCCAATGGTTGTTTGTCGAAATATACTAATTTCCTATCTGGTAATAAACCATTTATAAATAAATCTTTTAATGCATTTATTGATTGTAATGCAGCAGTTCTTGATTTTTTATCACAATACGATAGTAAAGTATCAAAAGCTTTTAAGTTATGTAACGGAGCTTCCTGTATTAATAAGGTTAATGCTGAAATTTTATCATTTAATGTACCATCAGATAATATTTGAGTTAAAAACTTTTTCTGAGATGAATTGGATGCAAATTCTTCGAAGTATACTTTGTTTTCTTTATCAATTGTAGATTTGGCTCTATCAAGTAATCTTTCTCTGGCAAATCTATCCAATTTTATTGGTGTTTCTTTTGGAATTTCTGCTATATTATACCAATCAGTACGATTTGGAACTATTAGTTTATCACTAACAACTGTAGCAACTTCTTCTGATCGTTTGGGTTCTTTCTTTTTACTAATTTTAGTTTCTTGAACAATAACTTCCTCTTCTGATTCCTCTGAACTTTCAGTTTGATTATTTTCTAACTCTTCGTCTGATTCTTCTTCTTCCAATTCTTCTTCTTCCAATCCTTCCTCTATCATTTCCTCTTCACTTTCATTTTGTTCTTCAACAATTTCTGGCCCTACATTCTTCAAACCAATATCTTTTATAAATTTACTTAAATCATTACCAAAATTTTTATCCAATTTTGTATCCTCCACATCACTGAATTCTTGCTCACTATTTTCATCACTTTCTATATCTTGTAATACTTTCAAATCTTCTTCAGTTGCACCTAATTCTAATGCCTCACGACGCAATATATCATCTTTTGACTCTTCTTTTGTTTCATTAACTTTGGCCTCTGGTTTCCTTGTTTTCTTATCTTGTTTCTTATTTTTACTTTCCTTATTATTCAGACTTAGCTTAGTTGCTATTTTATCTTTCAATGAAGATAAATTTAAACCTATAACCATTTTCGTCTAATAATTGTTTCAAAATTCTAAAACATATTTTTTTTAGTGATGAGATGAATGTAAATGCTACCAACTCAATTTTGCAGCTATTTGCTTAATTAGGAAGTCAGTATTTTATACATTTTGCAGCAATTGATCTTTCGGATTAATTTTAATCTAAAACAATCGGGAGACGTTAGATCAAACTTTAATTCAGACTATCTTTGACATCTTACAAGTATTCATGTCAAGATTTAGACCATGGAATAGGACTTTTGACAAAATTATAGAGAACCCAAAATATATAATCAACAAGAATCCTATAGGTGATGGTACTTATTCAGTTGTATTTAGATGCCAGAATAAACTAAATGAAAAACATTATGCTGCAAAGAAATACAATAAACGATTAGTCTTTGGGCTTGAAGAAATGTTAACTAGTGAATTTGAAATATTGAAACAACTATCAAAGAAACATCCACATATTCTATCATTAATGGATTACTTTGAAACAGAAGATAGCTATTATCTAGTGACTGACTTAGCAGATGGAGGTGATTTATTTAATAAAATTTTATCAAATGACTGGAAACTAGAAGAATCAATAGCAAGTGAAATTACTTTACAATTAGTTAAAGCTGTACAGTGCTTACATGCAAATAATTTAATTCCTAGAGACATTAAAGCTGAGAATGTATTTTTTCAAAATAAACACACTCATAATATACTACTTGGTGATTTTGGATTAGCTCGGTTATTGAAAAATGGTGAAAAATTATATGATGTATCTGGAACTCTAAGTTATATGGCTCCAGAAATGTTTGATAGAAGTGTAGGTTATGACTTTCCAGTTGATATTTGGGCAATTGGAGTTGTTGTCTATTTTATGTTAAGTGGATATATGCCATTTGATTGGGAAACTGATGATGAAACAAAAGAAGCTATTAAAGAAGCTAAATATTTATTTGAACCAGTTGAATATTGAGAGGATATTTCTAACGATGTTAAAACTTTTATAAGAGCATGTTTTGAAATTGATGTGAATAAGAGACCCAAAATTGATCAATTGATAGAATTTCCATTTTTCCATTCATTCATTCGACCAAAATTGACCACAATTCAAAGAGATCATATTGTGAATATCTTTCAGACTAATTCTATAGATTCAACGTTTACCACAAAGGGTGCTTTATGTTCCTCACCTGATTGTGTATCTGAATTTTCCACAAAAAACAATTCTACGGTGGTTTCAAGAGAGTCTTCGTATTTAGAAATGAAACCTTCAAAAAGTGATAATAAACTTCTTCTAAGAGAGCCTAGTAGTCGGGCAATTGCTAAATTTGTTTTATAGTATATAAATTTTATAGTGTAATGGATAAAGGGTTGGTTCGAGAAAAAAACAAAAAATTATCAACAAAATTATCAATAGAGAAACTTTACCATATCATCTAAGAGTTGCATATTTTGATGTCTTCATCTTTATATTCTTCACAAAATGATAAAACACAATACGATTATGCATTAAAACCTCGAGAAGAGCAAGATTATACAGAAATATACCCAGATTTAGATGCCACGGGACAATTACCAGTTTTTGTAATTAAAGAAGACGAAGATGATGTATATTCACAATCTAATCATCATTCTAATAATTTTGTAAATTTTTCCGAATTAAAAGCACCCATTTTTAGGCAAATTCAACAACCACAAGTTAATCCCAATATAAAATTTAATAAACAATTGTTAGATTATGGATTTCAAGAACCAAATAAACTCCCAAAAACAGTTGGTAATAATTACAATAGACCATTTCAATTGACCAATACTAAAGATGAATCAATTGAAAAATTAATTGACAAGAAAAGAAATTTAGTAGAATATGATATGGATGAACAAGATTATTTATATTTAAAAGAACGTAATGAAAAGAGGGAAAATGTGATTAAGATTACTCCAGAAGTCTTTGAAATTATGATTACAACTTTGGAAAATGAATGGGATAAATTAGAGCATCAAATGAATTCAATAATTAGTAATACAACTAAACAACTACAAACAACTACAAATGATCATAAATTATTAAAAATGAGTCATAATAATCATAAATATGGTAATGATGATGGCATTGTACCTGGATCAATATATGATCAAAAATGTGCAATATGTAATGATAGTGATTGTGATAATGCAAATGCAATAGTTTTCTGTGATGGATGTGATATAGCAGTTCATCAAGAATGTTATGGAGTTGCTTTTATACCAGAAGGTCAATGGTTATGTCGAAAATGTATGATTAATAAAAATCGAACTACTGAATGTGTATTTTGTCCAAGTACAACAGGTGCTTTTAAACAATTAGATAATAGTTTATGGAGTCATGTAATATGTGCGATTTGGATTAATGAATTATATTTTGCAAATCCAACTTATATGGAACCAATAGAAGGAATAGAAAATATACCGAAAAGTAGATGGAAATTACAATGTTATATATGTAAACAAAAAGTTGGTGCTTGTATACAATGTACAAATAGAAATTGCTTTCAAGCATATCATGTATCTTGTGCTAAAAGAGCCGGTTTATATATGAGTTACACTCAAGGTATTAAAGCAGGTATAAATAATAAAGCAACATTAAAAACATTTTGTGATAAACATGGACAAAATGAAGTACCTGACGGTATTGACAAAGTTCGATTATACTTTAGGGATACAAAATTGTTAGATGAACAAAATGCAAGGTTGAGTCGTAATCAAAAGACTGCAAATAAATTAAATATATTTAGATGGAAAACTGAAACGAATACACCAATTCCTCCTAAACTATTTAGTGATAAATTAATTGATATTTTATATAAATTAAAAGTTGAAAATCAAATTAGTTTACCTGAAGAATCAACAAATCAAGTGGTGGATTTAAATGTTCTTCCAAATAGATCAAAACAAGAAATAAATGATGAAATGACTGAAATATGTAATGATATATGTCGTTATTGGTGTTTAAAAAGAGAATTGAAAAGGGGTGCACCATTAATACGGAAAAATAATAATTTAATATCCACTAGTTCAATATTGTATGATTCAAATTTTTTAGAAAATGGAATATCATCTGATGAAGATAAATTAAAGGAAAAATTGGATTTTGCAAATTTATTGTTAAATGATTTGAACAAATTGACAAATATTAATGAGAATGTATTGAATAGACAAATTATAAATGATGAACTGAATGATGTAAACTTTGATAATCTTGATATGATTTATTTCCCAACAAAAAGAATGATTGAGGATTTGTTGAATAAATTAAGTGGTAAACATGATGTAAATGAAACATTTCAAAATTTCAAACCTAAAGCTGGTGATTTAAAATTTTCATGTTTAAAGGATATAATGAATTATAATTTATCATATGGATATAAATCAATTGTAGAGTTTCAAAAAGATATAGAGAAACTAACGTCACAAATTTTCAAAGAAAATAAAGCAACCAATCCAACTTACAAGAAAGTTAAAAATTGGCTAAGAGATTATAATAAAGAAATAGTGAAAATAAAACAATTGTTGAATAAAGAAAACAATACATTTACACACTATACTTTGGATGCAAAAATTGAGGTACCCGAAGAAGATAGTGAAGATTTAAGTGATATTGAAATTGATGAAACGAAAGAGGACATCAAAATATTGGAGAATTTTTTGAATAATTAATATACATTTTGTTTCTAGAACCATAAACGAAACGAACAATAAAATTTATGTGAAGCGGCTTTCATATTTTTGTAGCGAGTCTGTATAATGTATAAAACTTTTGTTTTAGAATAGAATGTTGCGAGTTTTATTAAATTGGGGGTGATTTGATTTTTAAATCCGCTATGTTTATAATTGAGATAACAAAATATGCTTCAATTCTTTATAATTATTCTCCTCGTATTTATCTGAAATTTGAGAGTGTCAACTTAAAGCACGTTCAAGAATGTAAAAGGCGTTGATATACATAAGCGGTATCCATAAATAGAAACCTTACCAATTAAATATAGTTGGCGATCTTTTACTTGTTGCCAAGATTGACTAGAAGCTCGACAAAATATGCAAATTATGTTCTTCTGACCCGAGTTCAAATTTAAGTCAATTGGTTGCGTGACGGAATTGTTCGACTACATTAACAATAGGGTATTAGACAAAGCTGTCTTGAATTTAATTAGATGTGCCAAATGCTAAATCATACGACCTTTGATATACTTTTCTATCTTCGTCTATCTAAAATCAAACGTATTTGATTATGCTTGTTATTTATTACTGAACTATTTTAATAAGTATGCATGGTTATGATAAAAATACATTAAATTGGTGTTTGTGTAATGTCCTAACTAACTGCCACAATGCTAAAATTTTATACGTAATAAAATTATCAAAAAGTTAAAAATAGATTTACTAAATTCATAATGATAATCCCATTATATATATTCAATACAATTCCATCTAATTTGAATATATATCCACTTTTTTCAACCAATTGTCGTCTAATTTATAAGTTTCAGATCTTATTTTTTTTCAGATTATTTCCTATTTGGTGCATGTCGTACAGGGTTCAATTTTTAATTTTTTTTAGATCAATTATAAATTACTCGAAAAATAAGGTACCAAAATTTTAATTAATTAATTAACATCTCATCTTTGTTGGTTTCAATGTTCCAGTCACAACAACAAGAGGTATACAATGATTTAGATGATAAGAAGTTGCCAATAATTGTGGATGTTGCAGTTGATACCAGTGGTAATCAATTGTATCAGGTTCATGAAAATATAATTCGACAAGATATGCCACGAACAAATAACATTGACGATAATAGTTTTCACAATTTAGAAAATAAATCTTTTACCAAAGAATCATTTGAAAGTTTTGCTTCTGAAGATGAACAAGTTAATAAAGGTTTTTCAAGAGTTCAAGATAATGATATTTGGTCTGATGATGTTGAAGCTGCATTTGAAGAAGTGCTTCATTTAATTCCCAAAAATGGTTTGAACAAAATCAAGATGGCTGGGAGATCTTGTGGTCGAAATGAATTGATTTCAGATTATATTTATTCAAAAATTGGGAAATTTAGAACAAGAAAACAAGTATCATCTCATATTCAAGTTATCAAAAATTTAGGTCAAAATGAGGAAATAATTAGGTTGATAAATGAAGGTCCAAAATGTGATACAAAAGCTGAACAAAAAGCAATAACTAAAAAATTTGAAGAAGTATTTTCAGAAATTAGTTTAAGTAAATCTTTAGGTTATAAAGATAAAACTGTACATTTACCAGCTGGAAAAAGAATTAGAAGAAGAAGTTCAGTTAAACCTTTAAGTTCAATTAAAAACAAGAATTTTTATATGGCAATAACTGATCAATATTTTGCAAATCCAATTATTTTAACCCTTCAAGATAATAAAGAGTTAAAAAGTTTTAAATTAAATGATGATGCTGTTATTGCAAATAGATTTCCAGGTTTAGATGAATTTAAAAATTCCAATATTCAAATTATTCATAATATGGTTAATGTTTTTATACCACATTTGCCACCAAATTATAGAATGGAAAATTTTAAAAGTAGTCTAAGTTATAATTATGATGACTATACCAACAAAAAAATCAATTCAAGTACAATTGTTTATATTTATGGTAATCAACAAATTAGAATTGATGAAGAAAATATTACATTAAATCAAGATAAAGACTTTTTAATTAAATTCTGGATATTCTTTTTTAGTACTTTAGTTGGTAAATCAGAAGAAGAACAAAATTTTGCATTTAAAGGTGTTACGATTAAACAAATAATTTATGAACCTGGTAGTGATCCTTCATTAATTTCAAAACTGAAAATTAGATTAATATTATTATGGGAATATGCAAAAGTTCAAAGTTTTAGTGAAGCTATTACAATTTCTAGAAAATTAATTTTACCAAAGAATGATAATCAGCCTAATCAGGAGGTTTTACAAAAACGATTTCAAAATTTACAAGAACAATCTTATTATCAACAACCAAATTATTCATATCCACCTCCTCAATTACCTGTTCCTCCAGCTTATTATACTCAACCTTTATATGAACAACCTCCTCAAACTGATCCAACTTATAACTATGCAAACTATAATGAATCATATTACTAATTCCTTTTCAATTCTTCGTGATATACTTTAAATAATAATTTTAATATAGGCAATTACAACGATCTCCGATCTGTGGAGTACAGAGATCTGGTCTTAAGCTTGTCTCTTATTGAAAATTAGCTCGAGTACTTACTTCATGTGAATATAGATTTAAATTTTCATTGCAAATCTTATCGACATTTATAGTAGTAGATGCGGTTATCGGCTCCCCCTATAGTTGAAATTATTGACTACGCGTCAGCTATAGGTAATCAAGGCAACATTCTTTGCATAATTTAGTAATTTCGGTTTACTGGATAATCTATTTATGTAGATCTTTGAGAACATTCTTCGTAGTAACAATTCTAATTTTGGTCATTGAGCGAACTGGATAATAAAGAGTCTAACTATGATAGATTTCACTTCATATCAATATATATTTAATCTATGCTTCTGATAATTCCAAATCAAGTTGTTGAAACTTGAAAGTGACCTAGTCAATAATTCAAATTCACCTCTCAAACCATGATCTGAAGGCCCTTTTAATCTTTTAGGACCAACAAATCCATTGACATTACATGGTTCTTTGTAAATTACCCACTTACGTATAATAGAATCAGGATCGCAACATGAAATATTTGGAGTCAATGTAAAATCAAATGAATGTTTCAACTGACAAGCTCTCAATTTTGAAAGTATCTATTCATCTCATCTTGTTACCAACAACAAGTGTATTATATTGATCAATGGTAACATTTAATTCAATTGATGAATTGTTTATACAATTTTTAAATTTCTCTAATTGTAATTTCAAAGCAATTTCATTATTATAAACACCAAGATATGTACCATCAAAAGCAAAAACTCTGTTTAAAAGTGCAAACAGAAATAGACAGTAAACTCTCAACATCAAGGAAGATTGGCTTAAAACCAAGTTGATAATTGATAAGTATTTGTCCGTGCACTCTCTAATTATTCTCCACAATTAAAGCAAAAAGTGATAAAAGAATAGAATTGTAAATCTTGCAGCCATTGCTATATCGGTTTAAGGGGTTGAAATTTGGTTTAAGTGTCTTTGAATTAAGGAGTGGTGAGAAAAATAGATGTATCGTATTTTACAAAGATTAAAATGAACACTTGTTGATTGAAGAATTGGCAATATAAGCGATGAATACTATACTGAAGCTATTTGTGGATGACCACTTTAATCTAGTTTCTCTGAATTTATTGTTCGAGAACTAACAAGCAGTACATTCAAGATTTGGATGTTCTTCAAACTGGTCAAATTGCGTGATGGTTCTATTGAAGCCCGATTGAAAGTGAAGAATTTGATTGATAATCTACTTTTGTTAGTTCTACAATTGGGTTAGTTCTACAATTGGAGTAGCAAGTTATGTAAAGTTGAGTTTCAAAAAAGATAAGTAAACACTTAAATTCAAAGCTCAAAATACTACTACTCCAATGAACAAATTTATGTTAGAACTAACATGGACTGACATAGCTTGGCGACTAATAGAGATTAAAGTTATACTTCAACAATTATCATTTATTATATACGTAAAAACATATTTAATTTTCATCTGCTAAGAAAGCAGCTTGTTTTTCAGCGACTCTTTGTGCACGTCTGGCTCTTGCTTCTTTATTCTTTTGTCTTCTTGCTTCCGCTTCTTCTTTAAGAGATTTTTCTCTTAAAGCTTCAGCTTTGGCAGCAATGATATGTTCAACCAATGATCTCTTGTGTTTAAAAGCATTACCTTTAGCGGATTTATATAATCCATGATAAAGGTGTTTGTCAATTTTACCAGCATCTCTGTATTTAGCTAATAATCTTCTTAAAACTCTTAATCTTCTCATCCAAATGGTTGCTGATGGCATTCTAGCATTAGCAGTACCTTTTCTTTTACCATAACCTACGTGTCTACCTGCAGCTTTTGACTCTTTGAGAGCTCTGGCTCTTGATCTTGAATGCATAGTATCTGGTTTTCTAACGATAGTACCATTTTTAACTAATTTTCTAATTGAAGCTCTTGAATTTGCGTTAGCAATTTCAGAGGTTTCATTTGGATCAAGCCAAATTTTTCTGGCTCCAACCCCAACAACTGATGCCGCTAATCTCTTTTGAGTTCTTAAGTTAGCCCTAAAAACTAGTTAGTATGGCTTTTAATAAAGGTTTTGGTCATGTTTGAAAGTAAATCAAACAAATCAATAAAGTATTTTCATCGCTATTGTTTATCTGTTAAAATTCCCTTTACTTGCTAAATACACCAATGCTTGTGCATAATTTCCTTGCTTGAAAGTGATACCCTTGGCATTACCCCTGTTTAATGATGTTCCCTTATTCATTAATTCCATTGCTTGATGATAATTCCCTTGCTTGATAGTAATGCCCTCGGTTGACACCTCGGTTTGTTAATTGATAATTCCCTTGCTTAATATGCCCTTGACTAAAACCTCTACTTGTTTAGATTCTCTCATTTATCGGGTTCCGTTTGCTTTGCAAGCTCTGCCCTTGCTTGTTGTAACTCCCTTGCTTGTTGAAAAGCCCATTAAAAGTCCCCCTGATCGTTGAAAACTCTAATGAGATGATTTGATGCAAATTTCGATGAATTGTTGATTTTCTAACTAGTGCTCGAATGCTTAGTTGGTTACTTCTTCTTTGTTCTCCAACCTTTTTCCTCTATTGACTTGTTGTACCTACTTTCATTACTTACAACATACATTTCTAATACTTTGGTTTAGTTGATACTTTAGAATGGAAAAGTTTTTCTATTAAAAATTTTTGGTTGCGAAATCAGTGGCACAATAGCCTCTTTCCTAATTTGTTTTGAGGCTCATGAAGAAGGGGCGTGCAATTTGTCTAACGATAAATTTTTAAGCGTGCACCGTGGGTCAAACTCTCAAAATTCGTTCAATTTAACCCCTAAAAGCTAGCACGTGAATATATCATACATAATAACCCGCTACTATTTTCTAAGTTTTAGATAAGCATCCATCTCATCGGTTCCTTATCATAAATGGCTAAATCACTTAGATCAAAATCAAAATTACAAGCTAAATCATTGAAAAGAAAAGGAGAGTTTGCTAAATATGATGATGAAAGAAAGAAAAGAATAGCTGATAAATTAGCCAAAGAATCAAAAGATCAAGAAACTGAAAAGAAGATGGATGTTGATCAAGATAAAAAGATAAGTACATCAGGATGGAGAGATAGTAGATCTCAACATTTTAAACAAAAACTTAATAAGAAAAAGAGAAAAACATTAAAATTTTAGGGGGCTTTTTATTCAATTCATAGACTTAATGTATTTATTTTTTCAATTTATCAGTTAAATAATCTTCATAACCAATATTTTCTAATATTTCAGCCTTTTGTAAAACTTCAGTTTCCATATTTAACAAATATTGATTCATTTCATCTAACCATTTTGAATCATAAGCTCCTAAAATTCGAATTGCCAATAATGCAGCATTAGTACTATTATTTATAGCAACAGTTGCAACAGGTATACCCCTTGGCATTTGTACAATTGAATGTAATGAATCAACACCATCTAATGTTGAACCTTTAACTGGGACACCTATAACTGGTAGAGGTGTCATTGCAGCCACCATACCTGGTAAATGAGCAGCACCTCCAGCACCTGCTATTATACATTTTAGACCTCTTTTTGCAGCTTCAATTGCATAGTTTGACATTCTATGTGGAGTTCTATGAGCACTTACAATTGTAACTTCAAATGGTACTCCAAATTGTTTTAAAATTCTTGCACCAACTGACATAACTGGTAAATCAGAATCTGAACCCATTATTATACCAACTAATGGTTTTACATTTGATTTGATTTCAGGTATTTCTGAACCATTTAATATATATGATAATCTATTTTCAACATCTTGCATTGATGATGATACTATATTTATATGACCTAATTTTCTTTCTGGTCTCGATGATTTACCATAAAGATAAACTGATGAATGAGGAGTTTCTAATGCTCTTTTACAAGTTTCCAATTCTTTATTTGGTACTTTATCACCTAAAACATTCAACATTATAGCATTTGTAATTGAAGTTGAAAATTCAGTAAAACAATTTGGCATAGGTAAACCAGTAACAGCTCTTATATGTGCTTCAAATTGTGATGTAACACATGCATCTATTGTATAATGTCCAGAATTATGAGGTCTTGGTGCTATTTCATTAATTAATAATTCATTATTTGTTAAATGAAACATTTCAACTCCAAATATACCACAACCTGGAAATGATTTAACCGCATTTTGTGCTAAAATTGATGCTTTTTTAGCTAAAGAATCTGGAATTCTTGCTGGTGCATACACTAAGTGACATATATTATTTTCATGAATTGTTTCAACTGTCGGATAAGCAAAAACTTTGCCATCTAAAGATCTAACAACCATTACAGCTAATTCTTTAGTAAATGGACACCACTTTTCAGCATATAATGGACGATCTTTTAAAAATTCCAAAGCTTTTGATAAATATGATTTATCTTTAACTACAAAATTACCCCTACCATCATAAGCTAAAGTTCTTGATTTTAACATAAATGGATAACCAAATTTTTCACCAATTTCAGCTAAATCATTTTCTGTATTATTTTTAACTTCGATTGATTCTGTTACTTCTATATCATGTTTAATTAAATGTAATTTTTGCAAGTACTTATCTTGAATTAATCTAATTGTTTCAGGTAATGGATAAATTTCAAGTTTGGGGAACTTTTCTTGAACTTTTTCAAGGGCTTGAACGTCAATATGTTCAATTTCTATTGTAAGAACATCACATTTCTCAGCTAATTTTAATATTGATTCATATTCTTTAAAAGAACCATCAACATGATCATCCAAGGCATTAATTTGCTTTGCAGGGGAATTTGCAGCATCTAAAATAATAGTTTTAATATTTAATCTATGAGCAGCTTCCACTATCATACGACCTAATTGGCCACCACCTAATATACCTACAGTTTTAGAATCCATGCCTAACTTGATAGAGTGAGATGATTGATGTCTTTTTTATCAGAGTCAGATCTAATTAGTGCAACTACCAAGTGTAAGAATTTAGGTTGCAAAATCAAAGTTGTTCTATAATCCAAATGTACATATGATATATGATTCCAATTCTGAATTATCTTAGTTTAACTTGTTGTATATAATTTGAGCTAAGATTGCAAATTATAGCACAATAGCTTTAAAAACGTAAAATGGTAGAGTTTATCAAGCATAAACCAGTTCTTTTAAATGAGAATTTACAAAGAACGAAGTAATGTCAATGGATTTGTTGGTCTTAAAAGATCAAAAGGGCGTTCAGATCATGGTTTGAGAGGTGAATTTGAATTATCAATATACCCTCTTTCAAATTTTTACAATAACTTTCAAAAGCATAGATTAAATATATATTAAATGAAGTAAATTATCAACGTTGAACTTGTCCCAATCAATCATAATCGATGACCAGGTACCAAACTAAACACAATTGTTAAAATTGCAGTAAATAATAAAATCAAAAATAAAACCCATATACTTCTTTTTAAAATAAAATTATAAATAAATCGTTCTCTAATTCTTATTAGTGATGTATTTTCTGATGTTGAAAATGTTTCAACTAATCCAAACCATGCTAATATTGGATCAATTAAATATATTGAACTTATAATTAGATAGAATCCAATTAAAAATGGTATTATTATAACTGGTCTTAAACCCTTTCTATAATTTAAAAATATAAATATAAAACTTATCCAAAATCCAATAAATAAGAAAAAGAAACCTATTATTATTCTAAAATAATTTGAATGATTTATATTTCTTGTAGCCATAAAATCAAGAAATTTTGGTAAATGATCATTTTCTAATTTATTGAATACATAATTTTTAACATAATTGAAAATACTAGGATCATCTCTTCCATCAACTTCTATTGATTTTATAATATATGAATTTAATATTAATGGTAAATTTAAATTCTTTTCCGAATCATCAACAAAATATTTTAATAATAAATTATGTGATGATTCACGTAAATTATCTCTTGTTATAAATGATCTATTACCTGTAGAATTTGCAGGTGAATCCATTATTAATCTTTCCAATAAAGATGGATTTATAGTTGAATGTCTTTTATCAAAATCATGTTGTTGTGGAGGAGTTACTTTATCTGAAAATGGTTTGTTTGGTTGTATATAATCTCCAGATTGTAATGATACATATTTTGATGCACTAACAGCACGATCAGCAGTGCCTATATCTAATTGATTTTCATATAGCGAATCTGATGAATCCTGATGATCTAATAAATTTGAATTTGAACTAACTCTATTTTTATTCAAAAAACTTGGTGAAGATCTACCTAAATTTGGAGATTGTGACGTTCTTTTACCTTCAGTTTCAGCATTATATTGTTCAATTAAATCTTTTAATTTTGGATCTAAATTATCTAAATTTATATCACCTCTCAAAAATGCTGATAATCTATGCGAATCATTTTCGTCCAATATGTTATCATTAATAATTAAATCTAATAAAATGGATGAGCTTAATGATTTATGTTTATCTGATGACACATTTGAATTTCTTAAATTTGGTGATTCTTTATGGAAAGTACTCAGTTGTCTAATTATAGAATCTCTTAAACCTTTAACATAATGTTTACATAAATTTAAATGATTTATTAAATCAAACCAAAAATCTAAATAATCAACTTTATTCTCAACATCTTTCATAAATTGATAAAATGTGAATAAATCAACTGGTGTTTTTGATTTATTTGACAAAATTTCACCTAAAGTTGGAAGCCTATTTAAAGAAACACTTTGATTGGTCTGATTTAAGTTATTTAAATTTGATAGGTACTTTGAATTTGGATATTCAACTTGATATTTTTCATTTCCCATGGTGATTTGTTGATAATTTAATTTTTTTCTCGTTTGTTTTTATTTACGCTAAATTTTTTTAATGCAGATAAACTTAAAGCTTCATCCAAATTGAACAGTTGAAAGTAGTTGAAACTTTTAAATAGCTACTGAAGGATTCAATGGAGCTTTATGAGGCCTTACAGAAGCTTAATAGCTGAGAAAAGAATATATAGATGAAAATATAGAGAGCACTACCAAATATTTCCAATTTTTTATGCAAAATTGATATTCTTTTACAACTCACTTTCTCCATTCAATTTTTACTGTTATATAATCAGTCACTTTAGCTCTTAGTGAATTCATAGCTGGTTGGCAAGTATAACATAGTAATTGATTTTGTGCTATATTCAGTTTTGTGCCTTAAGACCAAAAACAGAAACTTTAAAAACAAACATAATTTTCTTATTTAGGAATACGATTTGGTGCCTAGGTACCACAACCGTATAAAGATAGCACGATTTGAAAGGCAAGTCTTGCACGATTGTTCTAAGAGTCAATTATTTGAATGGCAGCAAAATTTTCAGGTCCACTCATTGGGTTCATTAAGACTAACAAGTAGAATCAAATCAATATAAGCAATCTAAGATTGCTCAAGACGGCTTGTCTTTTTAAGAATATGAACCAATACAACTGGAGTGGTGTAAATATCAATTCAAAGGTTAAATAATAAAAGTGTACTCACCTCTTTGTTTTTCAATACTTCTTTTTCTTTATCTTTTTTTTATATATTTTAAGCCTCAATCATTATTATACATACAACTTTATGCTCCTGATATTTTGAAGCTCCTGACGAAGTTCAGTATTAAAACGGAAAGATTTATCAATAAAAATTTTTTGGTTGCAAAATTAGTAATAAAAGCCGCTTTCCTAAAATGTATAAGGGGTGCTTAAAAGGCGTGTAATTTGGTCAATGTTTGAGAAATTTACGAATTGGCGTGTAAAATATTATACACAATTATAAACAATTATATACAATTACAATAGGAATTTATAAGAATCGATTCGTAAATTGTGGTAATTGCTACGTGGCCATCAATCGCAAATAATCCTGAAATGTGTTAATTTTAGGAGATTTGATGCCTTTTGTATAAATGACATATGGCAACTTTAAACACGTTTACAAAAATTGATACGATTCAGAAAAATGTATAAATAGTTATAAATTTCCATAAAATGTTTATTGAAATTGTTTATCGAAATTGTTTATTGAAATTAAGTCTAAAGAATTGAATATCTATTCAGCAAGCTGATTTAAATAGTTTGAATCGTCAAATTCGGTTTTAATTTTTATATTTGAAAAATCATCAACATCATCATCATCATCACAATCATTATTATCATTAAGTGGAGTTTCTGTCAGTAACAGTAACAATTTTTTATTTATATTCTCTTTAAATTTTACAGTTCCTTGACATTTACCAATTTCAATATGTTTTTCTAACCATTGAATATTATTTTCAAAAAATTGAAAACATCCAGCACATCTACCACTTAATAAACTTCTTTCAGTTGATTTTGTTCCTGGTGGATATATAAAATGCAAAGCTTTTAAATGAGTTTTAAAAGTATCTCTTCTTGAAAAACCACCAGTTGGATGACATTTTGTACCTGATTTACCATCTTGTTGATAAAATGGACAAAGAAAAGCTTTTGAAGTATTGTGTTTTTTCAAATGACGAGTTAAATAACCTTTAACTTTGAAAGTTGCATCACAATGAGGACATTCAAATATATGATCAATTATACCATTTTTTGAAGTATATGAAGTTTTACGAACCGTAGTATTATTTGTAGTTGTAGTTGTAGTTATTACATTAATATTGGAATCAAAGGGTAGTATAGCTTTTGATTTCTTTTTCTTTGTATATTTTCTTTTTGGAGAAACTGGAGTATCATTATCATTATCTGTTTTATCAGTTGATGATGATGATGATGATGATAATGATGATGATAATGAAGACGATAATGATGATGATAATGATGATGACAATGATGATGATGATAATGAATTAAACTTTCTCTTTTTTGGAGATTGTTGTGATGATGATGATAATGGTAATTTAGTTGAGAATTTACCAAAGATTTCATCATCTAAAGGACTTAAATAACTTTCAGTTGATGAAACAGATGATGCTGATAAATAAGGTTCAAATTGATCTTTTTTCGCACTTGGTATATCCAATTTTTTACTAAAATCATTAAAATAAGGTTGTTGTTCAACTTTTAGCTTTGGTGAAAATGATATAGTAGATTTATTCATAATTTCAAAAACATCTAAATTTTGTTGAATATTTAATTTTTCATTAAAAATATCTTCATTAAATTTTTTATAAGTTGTAGTTGTTGTTGTTGAATTTTGATGAGCATCCAAAAAATCATCAAACATTGGTAAATTATTGTTATTATTATTATTATTATTATTATTATTATTATTATTATTATTATTATTATTATTATTATTATTATTATTATTATTATTATTATTATTATTATTACTATTATTATTATTATTATTATTACTATTATCATTATCATTATTATTATCAGTTTGATAATCGAAATTATTTTCAATTGGTTCTACTTGATTTTGTTGTTGTTGTAATTGGTATTGTAAATATACCGGGGTATTTAAATCAGCATGATTGTCTTTATGATTTTGATTATAATCATAATTATACTCAAAATAATTATGATTATTATTATTATTACTATTATTATTACTATTATTATTATTATTATTATCACTATTATTATTATTATGATGATGATGATGATGATAATAATAATGATGAACTATTTGAGGATTTGTATTATCAAAAAACTCAATTTGATCTTCTGAACTATTAAAACCTAATTCTAAATCATCTGCGGCACAATTTATCGGATAAAATCTATTTAATAATTTTTTTTCATTATTCAAATTTTTTAAATTTTTTATAGGTGGAAATAATTCATTGAATCTTTTACTACCATAAATTAATCTATGTAAAAATTTGAAAATATTAAATTTGAAATTAAGTATTTCTAAACCAATAAAATTATTATATTCAAATAATTTTGATTTATTATTGATTGTATATAAATTTGAATTTGAACATTTATTTTTAGTTGATGTTAAATCTGTTAAATCTATTAAACCAATTGAAAAGACAAGCATTATTATTGCGATTATATCATAAATAAAAGATGAATGAAAATGAAATTAATATCGACCGAACAAATTTTTAGTGTGGGGGTGTGGGGGTGTGTGTGTTGGGGGATGAAATATTAACTAAATAAATAATGAATGAATAACGACAAATGAATTGAAATAAATTGAAATAAATAAATTAACAATTTAACAAATAAATAAATAAATAAATAAATAAAATAAATAAAATAAATAAAATAAATAAAATAAATAAAATAAATAAAATAAATAAAATAAATAAAATAAATAAAATATAACTTTTCTAAGAAGAAGAACTTATAACTTATAACTAATAACAAATAACAAATAACAAATAACAATTAACAAATATCAAATATCAAATATCAAATATCAAATATCAAATGTCAAATATGGGATTTTCTTCGTATTTATATGACAAATATTTCAAAGAATGAAAAATATGATATCTAAAAAAAAAAAATCCAAATTTGATTTTTGTCATTTTGTCTTTATTATATAAAAACTTTTGAAACAATAAAACTAATAAAACTAATAAAACTAATAGATAATAAAAAAAAACTATAAAATAATTAATTGATAATAAAAAAAAAAAAAAAAAACCAAATAGTGTCTAAACCAAAAAGAATGAAAATGTATTGATAGATAAAGAAAGAAAGAACGAAAGAAAGAACGAAAGAAAGAACGAAAGAAAGAAAGGGATAAAAAAAAAAAAAAAAAAATAAAAATAATTGATAGACGATTTGATTAAACTTTATTTTGATGCCGTACGAAATTTATCAATTTTTAAAAGTTACGGGTTTAATTTGAATATAAATTTATACCCTCCAGGTTTTTAATATTTTGTGGAATTCACAAAATCAGATATCACTTGAATTAATGTTTCAATTAGGTAATTAATTTAATCTAACCGCCACAGTTTAATCAAATCAATATTAAAATTGTCATGGTCATAGAAACCATAATTTGGTTAAGAAAATAAAATTGATATTCCATTTAAATATTTTATTTTTATTATTGTATATATGATTTCTATTGGTTAATTATTTTATGTTTATGTTATTGGGGTAAGTAAACGTTAAATTATGAATTACTGTTGAATCAATCAAAATTAAAGAACCATAACCATGAATTTCATTTTTTTTTTTGTTATCAATAAATTAATTGATGAATAAAAAGGGTTAAAAAAAAAAAAAAACTGTGTTAAAGTGGATAAAAAAAAAAAAAAAAAGTTTGATTAAATTAAATGCCTTATAATTTTAACCTGTCGAGCATGTCGAATCTTTTTTTGGTTTTAGTGCTTAATGCTTTTTTTTTATCCTTTTGTTGTTGGAAATTTAAACCTTCGCAATCTCACCGCGGTAAAGCAATTTTTTATTTTTTTTTTTTTTTTTTTTTTTCTTCTTTTTATTTTTTTATTGGAATTCAACCCTAAATCTTATTTTTACGAGAAAATGTCCAATTAGGCATGATCTGAGATTTCATAACATTCAACAAATTAGTTTATAATGCTTTGAAAATATGGTACTCATTTTGCTTATGGTTTGAAGGGTTTGATCATGACCAAGAAAATAAGTTAGTTAGATAGACACAAATGTCAAAGTGTCTAAAATAATATATTTTTTATTTTTTTTATTTTTTTTTTTTTTTTTATTTGTTTTATTTGTTCTGTTTGTTCTATTTGTTTTATTTGTTTCATTTGTTTCATTTGTTTTAAATATTATGTAGAAAAGGTTTTTTTTATATGAAGGAATTTTAGTCAATTTGTCACATTTTAATATCTTTATATTTTGTTTAGATTATTTATATTTGGTCAATTGTGTCAAAGGTTTTATATATTTAAATCCGTTATTGCTTTAATAACTTAATTTACACAGTTTATTCAATATCTATTGTAAAGTAAAGTAAAGTAAAGTAAAGTAAAGTAAAAGTTTATCTAAATCTATTGTTCATAATTTATTTAAAGCTTTGTCTAGTTGTAATATTCGAACAGTTTTTTTTATATATATTGTTTCGCTGTCAATTTCTTTTTTTTTTTTTTTTTTTTTGAATGTTCCTTATCTTATCAATTATCTTTTATTTGTAAATTAAAATGTTTAGTTCTTTATACAGACATTCTTTTCTTAATTACCATGTCATATCTTGCTATATCTTGCTATATGAAAAAAAGGAATTAACAAGGGTATTTATTTTAATTGGTGAGTTTATTATAACTCCTCTTTAAGCCAATAAAATTATAACTCAAAATCAACCAATCAATCAATCAATTAATCAATTAATCAATTAATAAAGCAATCAATCAATTAATCAATCAATTAATCAATTAATCAATTAATCAAGCAATCAATTAATCAAGCAATCAATTAATCAAGCAATCAATTAATCAAGCAATCAATCAATTAATCAATAAATAAATCAATCAATCAATCAATCAATCAATCAATCAATCAATCAATCAATCAATCAATCAATCAATCTAAAGATTTGTTTTAAATTATGTAATTATCTTCATGTTATCTTCAGACTAGTTTATTAACAAATGACAATTATCCGTTTTAAAGCCTACTTTTGAAGGTATCAAAAATGGTTTTAATATTATTGATTCAGAGCATGCAACAGAAACAAACGTTTGATCTTAACGCAGTCGTTATGTAACCATGTGCAATAAAACTTTTGAAATATTTTTAAGTGTTTTTATTTTTAGTGATTTTATTTTTAGTGATTTTTCACGTCTAAATTTTGATTAAATTAGAAAAAGTTAACCCTTATAGAGATATCTAGTCTTATAATAGATCTAATCGCGCTGATTGTTGGTTATAAGAGTTTTCTCCATCTTTAAGTCAATCCGTAAATTTAATTGATATTATCTTTTTCTTGATTGAAGCATACCAGTAACAAATTAAATCTTTCCTATTTGGGTCACTTGGTCATTCCTACTATCAAAGAAGAATCTACAACTAAAATACAAAGAACAATAACAATTGGTATAGTTTTACAATTTTTTGAAAATTTTGCAAAAATTTTGCTAAAATTTTGCTAAAGTTTTGAAAATTCGCTAGAACTGCACGTTGACCTCGAGATCTAGCAGGACGAAGTTACAAATAGGACATTCACTTTAGTGCGTCTAATTACTACTAAGTCTTAAGAACTTTTAATTAACATATGAAACACGCTTAATTTTTTATAATCGATAACAAAAAAAAAATAATCGCGCTAATCACGTAGTTTAAAAATCGTTCCATTGCACGAAAACAATAACAATACCAGCGCAATACAGAGTCTCTACGAAGCTGTGACAATGGTTGAAACTCTTGATAACTCACTCATGATAACTCACTCATGATAACTCACTCATGATAACTCACTCATGAAAACTCACTCATGAAAACTCACTCATGATAACTCACTCATGATAACTCACTCATGATAACTCACTTTAAGTATATTCAAATAAAGAGCGCATCATTAAGCACCATAAGTGTATGTATTAATTATTCTAAATTAGGAAGTTGGTAATTTTTGCATCCAACTGGTAGCATCGGAGGCGAAAATAAAAATAGAAAAGGCGTGCATTTCAAAATAAAATATTCAACAACCAGCAGAAAAAAAAACTGAACATTTTTTTTCCTTTCGTATCATTTATTTTTAAAACATAATCAATTAAATCAATCAAAGTTTTATATCAATTTTATATTAAATTATTATCATGTCCGCCTCTTTAGATAAATCATTAGATGATATTATAAAATCAAAACCAAGAACAACCAAATTTGGTAAAAAATCAAAAGTTGGTAAAAATTTAACTAATAAACATAAAAAACCAGTTGGTGCTTCATTTAATAGACCTAAAGGTCCTCCTCCTGCTGCTGCTGCTGCTGCTTTACCTGCATTTGATTTAAGTTATGCTACCAAAGTCAATGTATCTGGTTTACCGAAAGATTTAAAACAAGAAAATGTCAAGGTATGTCTAATTGATGACTTTATGATATGATTGCAGAAATTGGAATGATTTTTGATTTTTAAAACAAATTATGAATTAACTGGTTTAATTATTGATAATTTGTTGGTTTTAAGTTCTGTTTTAGTTGATTTATTTGGAGATCGAATGTCATAAATTTTTATCTTTGTCATTTGTTTAGTGTGCATGGGGCATATAAACAGATTTTAAAATACTTTGATAGTATTATTACACTTTGATAAGTGCTATAAGTGCTATAGAAACTTGTCTTGTTAGTGCTGGAATTAAATTAAATGGGAGTTATATTTTAGTTATTCCAATTAATTTTGAGAATAACCATGATTAAACTTTGGTTGTCCAATCAAATTTGTGAACAACAATGATTATTGATTGATTATCAATAGTTCCAACTTTATCTTGGCGGATAAAATTGTACTTCCATTTAAATTTTTCATGAGAAGCTAAAGGCTTGTCATAAGCAAATAGTATTCAAATGATATTTCCAATTTATCACCAACCATGTCCAATCTCCAAATTGATCTGGCTAAAACAAGATCATCTAAATGTTCAAATTCATCATTTTTCAATTTCTTAATTTTCACCTTTTCTTTTATTTAGAGACTAACATTTATTTTTTTACAGGAATTTTTTCAATCACAAATTGGTTCTGTTGCTAGTGTTGCTTTAAGTTATAATGAAAAAGGTCAATTTAAAGGTTTTGCAACTGTTATTTTTAAAAATAGTAAAGCTGCTTCATTAGCTGTTGATAAATATAATAATGCTTCAATTGATGGTGGTTCAGGTAAATTAAAATTAGAATTAATTATTGATACATCCAAAAAACCATTAGCTTCAAGAATTATTGCAAATCAACCAGCTAAACCTTCAACTCCAAGAAAATCTGGTTTTGTTAAAAAGACTTTGAATAAAAATAAAAATTTTAAGAATAAAAAACCAGTTAATAAAAAGAAAACAGTAGAAGAGTTGGATCAAGAGATGACTGATTATTTTGAAAAATAATTTGTCATTGTTATTGATTTTTCAGTTTATAGGAACCTATTTTTGTATAATTTATTAAATATAATTTAAGTCGGTTTTTGTTCGTAATTCAACTACATAACTCTCGCCTGAATGTACTGGCAAAGTAATATTTTTCTCGCGTTGACTTAAGGGCGCGACTCGCACTAAACGTTTTTGTTTATATATCATGAACAACGTATTTTTTGAAAATAAATACTAACTAATCAAGAATCTACAGCTTTGAGATACATATGCTATGTACTTTACGTTTCAAATTTTAAACATTTTTTTTTGAGTTTTCATTTTGTCGTTTTTTCATCATATAAAAAATTTGCCAAAACTGAAAACGCAAATTAAGTTTGAAGTTTGAGAAGAGTCCAGACAACTACAAGATTGACAAAGAAAAATGTAAAGCTGCAATGGGTAGTGATTATATCGATTTAAATTATGGTCAAATTCTTGATTATGTACATGATAACAAAAAAAGAGTTGATTTTGTTGAATATGATAAAAATTATCACCCTACTGTCTCAGATTGGTAAAATATACAAAATACTAATTACATGCTCAAAATTCGTGTTTGATCGAGTCTTTAAATTATCTCTAATTGCGTATATATCGTATTTCGATTTATATTATATACGCGTCAGGCTGAATTTTGAAATAATCATCACACACTTGTTACCGACTGAAATTGCTCAATGATTTCATCATTGTACTCAAAATCATTGTCTAATTCAAGCTACCCTCCCCAGATTGTTCCGAATTTGCCAGAAATCAATGTCATAAATTCCATCAATGTCTTGTTTATCATTTCAAGATATTTTTGAAGTATTTATTTTTTTTTTTCAAATCTGAGACAAATTCAAAAATTATAATCACAAGTAATAAATAGCCATGCCAAATATTGAATTCATAATAACTGCCGAGTTTCACATAGATAAAGGTCCTTCAATATTACATCAATATCCAACAGATATACCTGGTTTAAAGAATTTATATTTTTTACCAGAATTAATGTTACCTGATCAAATTCATAAACGACTGGAAGATTTTACGTTATTTTTATTATATAGAAATATGAATACTGGAGAATTTCAATATTTATTTAATAGATCAACTTGTGAACCAGATCCATACTTTCTTTATACAATTGTTATAAATTTAAAAAATGATGAATTTAAAAGAGGGTCTCAAATTAAATCATTAAGTATATTAACTAAATTAAATTATTTTAAAAATTTTAAACCAATATTGTTAATTTGCCTTGATTTATATTTTAAAAATAATCAAATTGAATATTTAAAAGAATTGTATAATTGCATAAATAATAAAAATTTTGAAATTAATAATAATGGTGCAAGTGAAAAATTATCAATTATAAAGAAATTATTAATTACTTCAATATTGGATTTACCTATTAATGATAAAATATATTATGATGAAAAATTTAGATCAAAAATATTTGGTTATAATAATAGAGATAATGTTTTAATTAATGAAGATTTATTTATTAGAAAAGATTTAAGTTTTAATTCGATTATTAATTTTAATAAGATGAATATACCTATAAGAATACCGTTATTAGATTTACCAGATACAACTGGAGATTATTTCAATCCTACAGATTTGAATTTTAAACCAAATTTGATAACATTGTTGAATTCAAAATTATCAACACCGTATCTAAATAATGAAATTACAATTTATGGTCTTCAAACTCCTCCTATAATAATATTAATAAATGCTTTATTAACTGGAAAGAGAGTATTATTATTAAGTTATGAGAATTCAAGTGGTTATATAATTGATTTTATATTGTTAATTTTAAAAATTATTACTGGTGGTGGAATTTTAAGTGGATTATTAACAAATTATAATATTTTCCCAATTATTGATGTTTCAAAAATTGATTTATTAGAAGAATGTGATTCTTATTTAGCTGGTACTATAAATCCATTCTTTAAAAATAACGATAAATTATGGGATTTAATGTATGATTTAGATTCAAATGAATTTTTGTTAAGTTCAAAATATAAAGAAGATGAAACTAAAAAGCAAGATGATTTTGGAGCATTCCGAAATTCAATTATTTCAGAAGATGCTAAATTTTTATCAAATTTACAATTATCATTATTTAATTATAATGATGATTTAACTACAATTCAATTAATTTTCAGAAGACATATAAATGAAATTATAAGGATTTTATTAAGCTCAAAAAATTTTAATCTAGCTGAAAATTCAAATAATAAAGATTTGATTTTATTATTAGATGGTATTGGTTATTATTGGACAAGTGATACAAATAAACTATTGGAAATTTCATGTTATCAATTGATATCTAAAAAGTTTCAAGATTTACTATATGATTCAAAATTTACATATAATTTACTTTTACCTAATCTATCAAATGAATTAAATTTAACGATTGATTTACATTATCATTTACAAAAGTTAAATAATGTGATACTGAGTAAATCAATAAATTTCAATCTAGGAGGGAAGAGTAATAACTCAAAAGTTAATGAACGTGAAATATGGTTTAACATTTTGAAATTTTTAATTTCAGGTCGATCATTGGAAATATTTTTATTAATAACTTATCTAATGCCACCTAATAGTTCATCAAGCTTACAAAGTTCATCTGCACATGGTGGAATTCTAACTATATTTGATAAAAATAAAGGTTTGGAACTATTGTTGATCAATCTATTTAATTATGATGATCAGATCAAGTCGAATGTGGTGATGATATTACAAGAGTTACAAGATAATTATTTATGTGGTTGGTGTTTGAACATGTTTTTGAAATCTAACTTGATTTACGAGCTAGCATTTAATGAATTAACAGATAATTAATAATAAACGATTAGACTTTCATTAAATTTCTATATACAAACTTCTCCCAAATCATAATTCATTAAATATTCGTACTCATCTATTTACTTTATCTTCATCACTTGGTAAATATAAATTTTTATCTTCTTCACTAGGGAAATATTTTTGTTTTAAAACATTATATAATGATAATCTATCACCTTGTTTTCTTGAACTATAAGCATCTCCCGAACCTTGATATTTTGAAACTCTTTGACCACTTGAGTAATCTAAATAAGGGTTATTTTCAGGAAATCCTGGTCTTTTAGTTTTAACTAAAAATTCATTATCACTTTCAACATTTAAACTAGTATCCGATTCTCTTTCATGTTTTTGATTTTTTGAAATTTGAATATGTTTTTTACCTATTAAAAATAAAGTTATAGCAATTGCACCAAAGATAGTATACCTTTGAATTATACCTTGTCTTGTATCTGTTGTTTTAACCATTGTACAACACTTTTAACTTCGCGACAATAAAATTTAATTATTAACTATGATGGAATGGAATTTGAAAAGTGCGTGCAAGTTGGTAATTATCAACAAAAATAGTCAAACACCTAACCAAATGGGTTGTTCACAACTAAACACCAAACTAAGCTACATATATTTGAAGTAGATTCAATACTTAGCAGAGCTTATTTAATAGTGCATTAGAGTTAACAACATTCTTAAAGCTAAGTTTTTGTGCATTTCTCGACTTTAATTGATTTTTTTGAAATTTTTGCAGCCAGTTGTAAAATTATTGAAAAGTTATTAAAATAAATCCAAAAATCCAAGAAAACACTTAAAAATTTACTTTATTTAGTTATCTAAACAATTTTATTACATTTTCTCAGCTACATCTAAATTTTTGAACGTGGTTGCAAAATGATTTCTTTCGAGTAACGAGAGACGATACGTCTAAATTAACAGGAGTAGCTGCCTTACAACAGCCTTCTGGTCCATCAATAAAAAAAGTAAGCTCAGTGATTGCCTGTCAAGATAAGTTCTAACCGTGTTTACATTCTACACTTATATTAAAAAGTAGATCGCGATTTGGCGTTTAATTTCGAAAAAACACGCTCAACGTTTTCAAGCCTTATTTCTTTGTTACTGTTATTTCAAAATAACTGTCTATCTATTATTTCTATCGTATAAAATCGGATATAACCTTATATAAATACAGAATAAAGTGGTAATCAAATTTCTTTGATATTATAACACAATAATGAATTTGGTAAAATTACCCCATAAAAAATAGTAACTATATACAAAAAATAAAATATGATCACATGCATATTACATAATACATAGTTAACTAGTTTATATATAGTTGAATTAAAATCCCGTGGGAAAATTTAAATAAGATAACGCGACTTTATTCTGATATTGATCTCTGATACACTACCCCATATTTTCAATCTATATTTTCGAAAATCAAGTCAAAAACATTTATTTATTATTGAATATCAGTTATATTTGTAGATTTATTTTGTTTTATAATAGAATATTTGTCAATTGATTTATTATTATGTCTACTGATACTGAAGAAATAGCTCATGCTTTAGCTGGTGCTGGTGGTGGTGCATTATCAATGATTGTAACTTATCCATTAGTTACTTTATCAACTTTAGCACAAACAACTGCTAAGAAAAAGGAAGAAAAAGCAAAACAGTTATCTGTTGAAGCGAAAAAGCAATTATCAAATTTATCAATAAATGAAAAAATTTTGTTAAAGTTGAAAACAAATTCATCATATTTAGCTGCAAAAGAAATTATTCAAGAAAAAGGTATACTTGGGTTATATTCAGGTTTAGAAAGTGCTTTATATGGTATAACATTGACCAATTTTATTTATTATTATTTTTATGAATTAACTTCAAATATTTTTATTAAAGCCAATGGTAAAAATAGAAAAGGTTTAAGTACTATACAATCAATTATAACTGGTGCTATTGCTGGTGCTTTAACTTGTGTTGGCTCAAATCCATTTTGGGTTGCAAATACAAGAATGATGACTGAAAAGAAACAAAAAGGTGAATCATCATCAAATTCAACATTCAAAACAATTATTGATATAATTGAAAAAGATGGATTTTCAACATTATTTGCTGGTGTTTTACCTGCTTTAGTACTTGTTATAAATCCAATTATCCAATACACTATCTTTGAACAAATTAAAAATGTTATAATTGCAAATGGTGATAAAAAATCGTTTACTGCTGTAAAAGCGTTCTTTATTGGTGCTTTTGGTAAATTAATTGCAACAAGTTTAACATATCCTTATATTACATTGAAATCAAGAATGCATATTAAAAAGAAGAAGATTGAAAATGAAGTTGGAAATGAAGCTGTAGCTCAAGAAAAGGAAAAAAAGTTATCAATGTATGAAGAAATCAAAAAAATTATCGCTGAAGAAGGTTTAGAAGGTTTATATGGTGGTTTAGCTGTTAAATTAAGTCAATCTATTTTAACAGCTGCATTTTTATTTTATTTTAAAGAAGAGTTATTAACTGGATCGATTAAATTAGTTGAAATCTTTAGATTATTAACTGTTAAAAAGCAGATTAAAAATTAGACGAAAGTAACATTAAGTTGTTAAAATTATATAATATAGTTTAGTATACCAATACATTATAAATTTATTTATTAACCACTGTTAATGTAATGCAAGAAACACCTTTTAAACATAATTAAACCTGAAACAAACTTGACTTATATGCAGTCTCACAATATTTAATTTCAAAACTAAAACTGTAGATAACTTCCTCAATAATCAAGCTCTTATTCTTAAACTTTTTTCATTAAATCTTCAACAAAAATTGAAATATGATACAATTATCTTTTGATAAGAAGCAATATTGATCACTTAATTGCTCATTAGAAAAATCGAAAAAAACGTTTTATTGCAAGATAATCAATATTTATATCTCGTTTAACAACTTCTAGGACAGTTGAATTGGTTTCTTTGGCCATAACTTCCATATGTATAACGGTTGCAAATTGCCTTAATAAGTTTGAAATTTTTGCATAAATATCAAACCACTTCTGAAAAAATACTTTTCCATTTTGGATATCTTAACACAAAAAACAGTAAGCCGTATCAGAACGGGAGATCACAAATTTTGTTATTTTTATCATACCTTAATCCCGATATTCGTGGAGTTGAATTTTTCTTAAGGTCAAATTATTCAATATTCCCCATAGTTAAGAGAAAATTTTGACATATTATATCAATTTTAATGGAGAACATCTAGAATTAAACTCAGCAACTTCAATGGAGGCATCATATATATAATCCGTTGATTACTTGAATGTTATGGCCCTAAATAAATTACAATCTACATTTTCATTTTTAGCAAATTTTTTGTATGATGAGAAAACGCCAAAATGACAACTCAAAAATAAAATTTTTGATATCATGATTTTCAAGTATGAGAAATATATACTTTAAGGCTCCCGATTTGATTAAACTACTATTTATCCTGTAAACATTTGATTATCTTGAAATATAAGCCTATGAATTTAGTTCGGGACGCCTTCATTCCAGGGCGATATATTATTTTGTCGCACCAACTAACATTGAAAAATACATACTTTCAAATTTTTTCTGAAACAAATCAACTTATATGCAGTACACTCGTAGTGATTTTTGATTTTTAATTCGCTAAAAACTCCCTCAATATACAAGCTGTTATGTTCTAACGACATTCATCGAGAACACCGGTTACGATAAAGTATTTGCTAATTAATAAACTCAAGTAAACATAGTTTTGATGACTTTATTTGTCATTCAAAAAAATAATGAGAAAAAACGTTAATTTGCGAGATAAACGATACTTAGACGTAGTTATGCAACTTCAAAGATAGCTGATCCGGTTTATTTGACTTCAAATACTCTCCTTGTAATAATCTTCAAGTTGCTAAAATCATTTTGAAATTTTTTAAAAAATTTCGTTTCACTCTTGAAAAATTGCTTTTCCAATTTTAGACACTTTAACTCAAAAATATCTAAGGCTCATCAACAGACAAAACTACGAATTTGGATAGTTTCACCATGATCTTTCAAATGGTCAATTTATTTGAATTTTATCATTCTTAAAGGAAAATTTTGAAATTTCTCAAATTTTTTCGAGAGAACAGAATCAAGGTCAGTTTTTGTGATTAAGGTATGATCCGTATATTACAGTGTTTAATTGGAAGTTGTGGCCGCAAATAAAATATACTCTGCGTTTTCAGTTTTGGCAAATTCTTTATAGGTGAAAAAATGCCAAAATGATAACTCAACAAACAAAATATTTGAAGTTTGACTTTTGACTTGTTTATAATATAATTCAAGGCTCCTGATCTTACAGAACTGTTCATTATAAGATGGTGTTATCCATGATATATATACGAGTCGCCCCTAAGTTGACGCAAGAAATTATTTTGTCGCACCAAATGAAATACTAGTAAATATGATATTAAATCCCGAAAACATTGTTATTATCAATCACTCTAGGCAAAATAGATGATCTATTGTCAAATTTAATGACAGCATATACTTGAATGTTAAATTCAACATCTGGATTGTGACCCGAAGAGTTTCTTTCAATCGCAAACAATGGTTGCAAATTGATAATTTTGCTGCATTTCGGTTTTCAAACTAAAAGGTGAGCAAAAAAAACAAAAATAAAAAATGTGTTACAAAAATAATTTGCAGTCAATTTTATATAATTAACGGAAGTAGGCTTTGAATTGATTGTACATTATCAACAAAGAAGAATGATATATTGCAAATCATAATAGTTAACTTTTTAAACGTCAATTTTGCCTTACCAATTCCAGTAGTTACCCCTATTCAGATGTCTAGTAAGATCTAATTATTTTTTTGGAATCTAACTCAAACGTATGATGCAATAAGATATAGAGCGAAGCATTTATTGAAAAATAATACGATTGAGATCATAAATCTACCATATGATTTCCAATCACTGTGTCCATTGTCCCTTCCAACATCAATTGACCTGATTTCTATTACTTATTAATGATTCCTTCGGGCTTTCATTTTTTTTTTTTTTTTATTTTTCTTCTGTTAAAAGTTTAAATGAAATTATTATTTATTATACCTTGGAACAACCAATAATTTACAACAAAATAATCATTATCTTTTCAACTGTTTATGTCACAGATACCACCTGCTAGTATAGGTACCTTTACAAGTGAAACAGAATCAACTAATACTTACGATCCAACAACCAACAAATATCATATTAAAAATCAAAGACAACAACAAAATCCCCTGGCAATTAGAAGAGTTGCAAGAAGAGCTTGTTTATCATGTCGTGAAAAGAAAATAAAATGTGATGGTGAACCAATTAGTACAATCACTATTGCTGATGGTACAAGTAAAGTTATGCCTGAAAAAACTAGAATTTGTTCAAATTGTGCATTTTTAGATATTGAATGTATATTTGTTCAAAGTAATCGTGGTGGTAGAAGGAAAAAGAGAACTCCAACTAACGATGAAAATTCAGACTCACCTGATATACTGAAACGGAATAGAATTGATATAGAAAATGATAACAATAGTAGTTTGGCATCATCGACTGAAAGATTAAGTTCATATATATTAGGGACAACTAATCCAAATAGATTGCCATCTCCTGTTCAATCACAAATAAGTACTCCATTTGAGAAAATTGCATCAAATAAACGCGCATCAATTAGTGATACAGCTTCATCAATACCAAATAATTACAATTTTCCAAGAGCTCCACCACCTCCTCCATCTTCAGCAACTTTTGATACAATGAGTCAACAACATCAAGATTATTTTCATCATACTCACTTACCTCCATTACATCATCATCATCAGCAACAACCATCATTTCAATCAAATAATTTCTACTCATTACCCCCACCACCTCCAGCATCCAATTCAGAAAGTGGTTTTGGTTCCCGAACTATACCAGCTCTACCAATACCACCAATACCTCCTCCATCACATCATTTTGGACCACCACAACATTTTCATTTTCATGGACCTCCGCCTCATCACTTTCATGGACCACCACCACATCGTCGTCGTGGAGGACCTCATGGATTTGGATTTGGACCACCACCACATCATCGACATGGACCACATGGACCTCATTTTTATGGAGAACCACCATTACATAGACATGGTGAACATCATCATAGACATAGACCACCACCACCACCTCATTTTTGTGATTCTTATTATGGAGAAGATGAAAGTTCTCATTCACGTTCAAATTCACGTTCGTCATCACCCGAATTAACAGATATGAGTAAAACAAATTCATCTTCAATGTCTGATAAAATGAAGAAACCATTTGAAGATAAACAGAAACCATCACCAATAGTTAAGAGTACCAATATTGAAATTGATCAAGATGCACCATTTGCTGATTTTGAGTTATCTAGATATGAATTACCAAAGTGGTCTACATTAAACAAGATATTAAATTATTATTATATCTATAATCAACCTTCACACCAATTTTTTCCATTTAAATCAATACTACTACAAAACTTATCATTAAATATCGATGCTTCAATAATTCATGCTATAATAGCGACGGTAATTTTGATTATTAAAAGAAAGGAACCAAATTTGAAAGTTGAATTTGATGAAATATATTGGATTAATAAAATGTATAAATATTGGGAAAATTTAAATGATTTAGGAATATTGGCATGTTATAAATTAATTTCAAAATGTACTTCTATTAGATTCAATACGAAAAGAATTAATAAAATTAATATTAAAATTTGGGAAATTATATCTGAAAACAATTATATTGAAATATTTAATCAAAAGAAATTTGAATTCAATAATCAAGATAATAATAAATTGATTCCATATGTTCCTAATTTTGGTACAAAAAGACAAATTTACGAACGTGAAGTTATATTAAATTTAATTTGGACATTTTATATTAATCATATAATTATATTGAGATTTAATCAAGGTAGACCATACTATAAACTAAGTACAATCTTGGATGGTTTCAAATTTGATTATGAAAGAGATCATTATTCGAATAATATTTTACTACCATTAGATTCATTGAATTTTAATCATTTGAAGGTTGATAATAGAGCTTCGTGGTCTCAGTTACATGAAAAAGATTATGTACCATCAGATTCAGCAAGTTTGATTATAAGTTCTAAAATTTTTGAAAATCTAATGACAAAGTTATCAAATTCAAACTTAAATGTTGAGAATCAAATTTATAAAGATGAGTATAATGTTCATTTTAAGGAAAAGATTTCAAATTTATACTACAACATAATTGAAAGCAAAAACCTCATTGTTATAAATAACACGTATTGGTTTGCCAATTTAATTTTAACAATTGTTGAAATAATTCAGTATGATTCATTTATTAATAAGGTTATGATTTTCAAAACCTCAAGGTTTGAATTTAAAAGAAATGAGGAAGTAGAAAATGGAGAAGAGATTGATGAAGTTGAAGCAAAAGAAAATGAACGACAAGAAATTGTTGGATCTTTTATGAAATTGATAAGTGATGAATTCTTGCCAGAGACAAATTTAACTGAAAAATTGAAACATTTCGACCTAAACCAATGGAAAAGTTTAATTGAATTAACTAAATCCTTGAAAAATTATATTAAATTAATTGAGTTAATTCCAAATTTAGATTATTCAAACTATTCAATTGTAATTGGACCTACAATTTTAGAAGAAATTAATGATAAAAATAGTATAAATGGAATTATACAAAAGGATTGGTTTGATAACCCGCAATTGAGATCAAATGTAAAACAATCATGGAATAAATTACCAATGTATACATTATCATTATCAACAGCAAATTTATCAATTTTTTCAAGTGTTGCAGTATTGACTAAATATTTAAAATTTTATAAAAATGAATCAAATAATAAATTAATTGTTGAATTCGTTCAAGATAGTACAAGAAAAGATCTTGATATAGTTGTTGAAGATGACGAATTCATCAATAATTTCAACCAAAAATTGATCTTAAATCAAATTAGTACATTATGTGAATTTATCAAATTTAAATTGTATTATAGTAATGAAGAAGTTATGATGAATACAATCCAAGCTATGAATAAAGTAAATGAACATTTGGATTCAATATTAAGTAGCTAAATATAAAGCGAAGTAATGGTTTTAAGTACATTTCTCTTCGTATATTAAAAGCTTGTACCTTTTTCGGATCTAACGATCAGCCATTTGTACAAATTCGGCTAAAAATAATATTTTTTTGCAACCACGTTTTTTCAATACCAACAGTTGAATATGATTAGTGTGTTCAAGCCTAGTTTAGTATCAAGAGATTATACAAATGCTACTTTATCATCACTGATCTTTCAATTTAATGGATCAACAACTAATACTCCCGAAATACCAATAAATTATACAATTGAAGGTTTAACAAGAGATGTTTATCCAAAACCATTACATTCACATAATGATTATTGGAGATATCATCCATTTTATGATGCTTTAGGTGCTGGTGCTGTTAGTATAGAAAGTGATGTTTGGTACTTTCCACAAGATTATGAATTAGAAAGAAGTGATTATAATAAATCAAATGAAACTTTATATTTCAATAGTGACGAAATTTACGTTGGTCATAATCAAATTTATTTAAGACCAATAGATACATTGTTTAATTTATATTTAAATCCGTTACTAACATTTTTGAATTTTGCAAATCCTGAATTTCAATATACTCAACAACTGGGATCACCATTTGAAAATAAAAAATACGGGGTATTTTATAATGATCCTGAACAACAAGTATATTTATGGTTTGATTTTAAAAATGATGCAAATTCAACTTATGATCAGTTGAAGAAACAAATCCAGCCATTTATAGATAAAGGTTATTTAACTTATTATAATTCAACAAGTGATTCATTTGTTAATAATCCACTTATTTTAACAATTACGGGTAATTTACCAATTGAAAAAGTACAAGATGAAGAGACTAGATATTTATTTTTGGACGGTCCTTTGCAAAATTTCACTAATGGAACAAGTGAAGATGATTTGAATAAATGGTCTAAATTATCAAGAGTTGTATCATCATCATTAGAAAGTTTAATAAAAGATGATAATTATCAAAATTCAAAGAAATCAAATTTTACAGACTCGCAAAAATTCAAATTAAAAGAATATTTTGATAAAGCTCATGAATATGGTTTGAAAACAAGAATTTGGGGTGATATAACCTGGCCAATTAATACTTTCAATTCCCATTTACAAGATTTTTATATCTTAGGATCTGACTTATTAAACGTTGACGATTTACAAAAAGCTAAAGATTTTTTTTAGTATAGAGTAACATTGTTTTGGTGATATAAAATTTATTAACCTCTATAAATCTATAAATATGTCATATATTCTGTTTCAAAACTTCGTAAGAATAAAATATGATAGCGTTTGCCGGGATCGATCTTATCAAAGTTATGCCCAATCCATTATATAAATTTTTGAATCCACCAGGTTTTGATAAAATGTATTTCGTAATTTGCCAACTGTTTAACTTTGGCTTACCATGGTTCCTTAAATCAAAAGTTTGAATATTAGATTTTATTGTATCTATGGGAAATACTGATAAATTAAAAGTTAAACCAGCCATAGCTCCGCTTATTAACAATCGTAAACTCTCATTTTTAATATATGTATCCTTAGTGTTTCTATAATACTGATTAATGTATTCATAAGTACCAAACCATATTGATGTGCCAAACACTTCTCTAACTATAGTCGACTCCAATCCATGAAATAATCCGATTATACCCTTTTCATTCAAGATTTTCATTATAATAGTCGAATAAGTATGAATATTAGTGGAACCTGTCCTAGTTACTAAATTTGATACTTGTAACTGACATTTGACTAATTCAATAGGTGTCAATATGAAACTTGCTGCAAATCCTGCAAATGCACCACTTAAACATTTAACTGCAAAATTGTCATCACTTAGATGAAATGATTTGGTTAAGTAAACATTTGAAAAATTATAACATGTAAATAAAATTGACGTTTCTAAACATGCTCCAACTAATGGTGCTTTTAATCCTTTATAAAACCCATTGATTACACCTTCTTGAGTGAATGTTTGTTTGATCATTTGAAACGTGGAAATTGGTGGATGATGATTTGATTGTAATCGTACTTTTATAGTATCAAATGGAAATTCAACTAATTTACCAATCATACCAGATATGGCACCAATGCTAATCTCTTTAAACGGATGTAATTCATGCCGTATATCATCATTTCCCATGGCAAAATTATAGTTTCAAATTTTCAAATTTTTCACTGATGAGCGCTTAAACCAGCCCTTACCCAATTGGGAAATCGACAATGATAATTGTAGAGATACATGTAAAACAATACACAACAAAGTTTAGTTACTATAAATTACAGATATGTATTAAACCGTTATATTTTTTTATTTTATTTAGTTTGAGAATGTGTGGATGTGATTGGAATTGTATTGATTGTAATTAATGCATTTATCTTAATGGCATAAATCTTGATGAAGCATTACCAGCTCTACCGTGTCTAACTGGAGTATAAGTAATTGAGAATTCACCTAAGTAGTGACCAACCATTTCTGGTTTAATTTCAACTGTGTTGAAAACTTTACCATTGTAAACACCAACAACTGAACCAATCATTTCTGGAACAACAATCATGTTTCTTAAATGAGTTTTGACGGTAGCTGGTCTTTCATTTGGTTCAGCAGCAGCTCTTGCAGCTCTTAATTTTTTGATTAAACCCATTGGTTTTGAGTCTAAACCTCTTGAGAATCTTCTTCTGACTCTAGCTCCACATAATTTAGTGAAGTCTTCAGTTGACATTTCAACTAAATCTTTTAAGTCAACACCTTTGTATGAGAATTGTTTGAAGGTTCTTTTCTTTTTTTGTTCAGCTAAAATCAAGTTAGTATTCTGATTTGATTGTTTTATTTCATCACTAATTCAATGATTGTGACTATTTTGCAGTAGTATCTGATCCAATCTTGCTTTTGATGTATAATTATTCAAAATTTTCACTTGATCAAAATTTGCAACAATTAAATATTCAATAATTATCCATAACTTGTGCTTCATTCATTCCCCTCTCTTTGTTTAAATTAATTCAACAACCTGTAGTGATAATAGTCTTTTCCATTTCATTAATTAGATGTATATATTTACATACTAGCGTCAACCATTATTATATGCTCTTGTGTATATGGAAAGAAAATTGAAAAAGATTTTTTAATATTATTTGATTAATACTGTGTAGTGCCTTGACTGAAAATCGAGAACTACCAAGTGTAATATTATACTTAATTAAGCAAAAGGGCAATAGCCCTAATGATTTGTATTTGTAACTTTATACACGTAAAAAATGTATTCAGTTAGTGTTTCATAATTGTATCAAAATAATTTTTCATTCTTACGAAAGATCTTTATTAATCTAAAGGATAGTCTGCCATTTGTTTGCTTAAAAGTGATTATTCTATAAATTAACAAGAATGAAATACTTAGCTGCTTATTTATTATTAGTTCAAGGTGGTAATGCTACTCCATCATCGTCAGATATTTCATCTTTATTGGAATCAGTTGGTGTTGAAGTTGAAGAATCAAGATTATCAAAATTATTAGCTGATTTAGAAGGTAAAGAAATCTCAGAATTAATTGCTGAAGGTAACACTAAATTAGCTTCAGTTCCAACTGGTGGTGCTGCTCCAGCTGCTGGTTCATCATCTGCTGTTGCTGGTGGTGCTGCTGAAGAAGCTAAAGAAGAAGAAAAAGAAGAAGAAAAAGAAGAATCCGATGATGATATGGGTTTCGGTTTATTCGATTAAAGAATTAAATCTAAAGATAGTATAATAGAATCTACATTGTAATATACGACTAATCAATAAATAGATGGAGCTCTGAATCGTTCAGCTAGTTTTGTATTAAACGTAGTCCAAGTATATTCTCAAAGATTAACTTATTCAGAATTATGTCTTACGTTTCTATTTACTTGTTCATTTCCAAAATTTTAGCCCTTAATTCTGACCCCGATATATCATTTGTATTAACTTTGTAATTTATTTTCTCCATCAATACCCTAAATTTATTTAATCCGGAAAGAACTAAATTGTCTTCATTATTGTCAAGTAAATTACTCTGTATTCCTTTAATTTCATCATCATCATCGATTTCATTACTACTTCCGTCATCCGGCATCATTTCCTCGTCACTGTCGTACATTTCATCATTATTATGGTTATTTTTTATTTTATTTTCATTTGTTAAATGAAATGTTTCAGTTATATCTGACTTCAATTCATTTAGAAAATTTAACTTATCATATTTGTATTTCAATTTATCATGTACACTTCTTAGATCTTTTCTCAATTCTGAATATCTCTTGACCAAATCTTGATCCAATTGACTTAATTGATCAACTTCTTTAATCATAACATCCAAATATTCTCGTTTTTTTAATTTGGCTTCCTCATTAGCTACTACTTCATGATTTATAAACGCGTCATCACCATCCAAGTCGTCCTCTTCATCTTCATCTATTGGACTTTTATTTAAATCAAAATCTTTAGTCATAATTTCTCGTTTATTAATGATCAAGTATTTTTCATCTGGTAATTCATTAATCAATTCATTAAATTCAACTAATTTTTCACGTTTATCTAAATTTGTTAAATTTACGAAATTAGGTAGTAAAATTGGTTGTAAAATTATATAAATTTTATTAATAATTTGATTCACAATTGTAAATTTTTGTCTCTCCAATTTTAATACTTGAGTTATAATTTGTTGATGAATATCTGGTGAGTATAGCTTCTCATTCTGCGCAAGGATCTGCTTGTTTATCTTATCCACTAGTGATTTCACTTGTCTATTTGATAAATTTGTTGTTGAAATAATATCGTTTAATTTATTTGTAACTTTAATTGGTTGATTTAGTGTATCAACTTGTGACTGTATAAAATTCAGCAAATATACCTGAGTGTGGTTTACTGAAGATGATGACATTCTATCAATTGAAATTTCTTTAATTGTTTATTTATTGTTGTTTATCTTTTGGTATTTCAAATATTTTGTGTGCCCCAGGCCAAAATATGTGGTAAAAAAAAAGGGCTGCAAAAAATCGAAAATGGTTGCAAAATTATCATTAGTATTAGGGTTTTCTTGATTTTGAAGCAAAGTTTAATCTTCTACAAGTGTCTTTCTTATGATACTATCAAAGACCATCAAAAGATCAAAACCAGATAAGATTTAGATGTGGAAAATTTTTTTTCATACCTAATAAAATTTATAATTATACTAACCAGATGCGCAATATGCGCAAACTGTAATAAATTAAACAATTAGTGGTGAACGATCGAGTAAAATAATAATTGGAGAAAAATAAATAAAAAGGAGGGAATAATGACGACTATCAATCAATGTGAATAAAGTAATTGATACTAGTTCAAGTGGTCATGAATAATTTGGAAAGTAATGAATGAATATGCAGGCTTAGTAAATATACATCTCTAAACCATTAGAAGTCGATAGATGCATGAAGCAAGGGTTCTAAGAGCGTTCGAAACGAGTTTGAATCATGTTTTAATATGTTTCACGCGACTTGATCATGAAACATGGTTATTTTAAAATTATGCACATGGGCATTGGACCTTATAAAAAGAAATTTTTACTTGATCGAAAATCATTTACTGAAGTGTTTTAACGAAATTATGATTACCGGAGTTAATCTCGGGTTGTGCAAGACAGTTTATTTTCATGTATTTAGAATTAGGTCGAATCAGATACCCCTAATCAGTCTTTCACGATTCAATTTGTAACCTTTCAATGCTGGAGATAAATGTTGTTGATTTGATTCTCTTGCAATTTGAAATACTGACAAAGCATCGTGCTTTGAACTCACTACCTAGTAACCGATTGCATTACTTTATTTAAAGATCTTCGAATTTTCAAGATGACAATTTATGACACATGACGTGATAAAATGACATGGGTCCAAATCCTAAATTATCTTGAATTCGATCTGGCGATAGCCGCTAAGGATTATCATACTTTAGAGAAACAAGAAGAAATAAAAGAAAAGAAAAGAAACAGATATACCAGTTGGCTAGTCGGTTATAAACTAAAACTGAGGGTTTTGAAATTTGACCGAAATTTTGCGTCAGACTATGCTTAATTATTTCAAACGGAATTAAAGTGTTTTAAAACCCCAGGTCAGTTACAGTATACGTGCAATTCATTACTTAGTTTGGAACCTAGAGAATATTCCATGTATCGAATGTTCCATGTATAGATTTTTAATGACTTTTCGGTGTGACTAATTAAGCTGTCTAAAAAAGTTTAATTTTTTTCGAACCTTATTTGTTCAACAGACTCTTCTTAGTCAAACTACCAGTATCTTTTTTGCAACCTCAATTAATCGTATTGTACGTTGGTTATACATGACGTATCATTTGATTAATCAATACTAATTAATTATCAATGAACAATATGTCATAGAAATGTGTATTTAACATTTTTTGTATTTAACATTTTTAAGTAATTATACATATTGGATTAAGCTAAAAGTAGCACCAATTTAGTTTAAACGAAATCTTAAGTATAGCACTAGCGCTACAAAAGCAATATTTTAGTCAATTTGCATATAAATTTAATGATTTTCTATAGTATTCTAGTATTTTTTAGTAAAAATTATTAATGACTGTTTATTTATAGAACATTCTTTTGACATCCATTGGGTTTTAATTACAATCCTCTACACCTAAAACCTAGAACCTATTTAATAACAAAAGCCTAAATTACAACGCTACCCTTTGTTTACGTTAGTCTTTAATTTCTTTTTTTGCAACCAAAATATCGCCTTTTTTTTTTTTTTTTTTTTTTTTTTTGATTATATAATTATAAATCTAAAATATTATTTTTTTTTTATTTTATTTTTCATTTGATTTGTTTTAGAATTTAATATATAAATAAGTAATATCGAATAAATATATAAATAGCTTATAATTTCGAAAAATATCACAATTTTGTTCAATTTGTACGTTTAATGTCTCAATTTGTATTCAAGTAATTCATTTGTTCCTCGAAAATACGCCAGTCTTATTGACATTAAATTAAGATTAAAACCCCCCAAACTTGTATAAATTCAATTTTAAATCAAATATAACTCTATTATATTTGTTATGAACTACACAACTAGTCAAGAATCGGACTCCATTAACTTACAAGATCATCAAAATCGTGAAGAGTCCCATCTAAATCCACATGTTGAACAAAATGATCATCATTTTCAACTGCAGTCAACTCATCAAGAGCACCAACAAAATTTACAACCACAAAGTCAACAGATGATACAACAACAACCACATTTACTGAGTTATAATTGTACTCAGAATAAAAGAAGCAATTTTCAATTTACTTATCTGTCAGAGAATTGTTTATTAAAATTAATCCTCAAATATCGACAAGACATATTCACCCGAGGGAACAAGATAAAAACTTGGGAAAAGGTATTGAATGAATTTAATGAGAATTCGAAATCAAGTATAATTCAATCCAGAACTATAAATCATAAATTTCAATCATTAAAGAAAAACCTAATCAATAAACTAATTCATGAAAACCTTCCGGTACAAGAATTGAATTTAAATGAAAATGAAAAGTTACTCGTTGATATTATTGAATTTATGTATAAAAATAACTATTCAAGTGTTGATCCTTATAAGTTAAACCAAGGGAGCACAAATCATGTTAATGAAGTTATACCATCATCTTTATCTACAACTGCAACAAGTAGCTCCAAGTCCTTAGAATCAAACGTTCATACAACACCTCATGATTTAGCATCGTCAAACACTTTCCCAACTAGTTTTGATCAGGATAGGGCAACCGCTAACTATTTCAACAACAATGAGTTTGACCAAACTGTGCAGCATCTTCAACATAGTTTAGCACATTCGACTTCAGATATGTTACATCAAGATTCCATTCCAAAATCATTAGCAAATACAAATCACTCATCACAACATAATCATTTTTCGGATCACTCAACTACTCATCCAAAATTAGAAACCATCCCACCAAATCAAAATATTTATACAGATTCAAACAGCAATCAATTCTATAAAAATCCTTTGTTATTATCAACTTCAGAGCATGATTCAAATTCCCATCCTCAACAATCATCAACTTCAACAATTCATGATACATACACATTTCAAGCTAGTATCCAGAAAGACAATACTATATTAACTAATACATTGTTACAGCAGTTAATACATAAAAGCAACGAAAATCAGGTTCAATTAAATGTTTTATCAGAAGAATTAAGTTGTTTAAAAAGTGATTTCAATACAAAGATTAATACAATTTTAGAGAAACTAAATCATATCGAACCTAAACAAAATCCAAGTAATAAAAGAAAAAGTATTGAAACAGACAATGATATGCCTTACAGATAACATACATAAATATAGCTATCCTTATAACATCATGAAAGATTTTTAAATAAAATTAACACGATTAGTTACCAAAAATTGGTTTATTCAACATTCCATGTAGTTTTCATAGACCGCACATTAATAGACAACTAAATATAATAATTATCAAACCATTTGATGCCGCCGATGTGTAATAATCTCTTTGGTTTTTAACAATAATCGGTTAGGGGGAGAGATAATTTTTGTTTTTTACAGCCAAATTTCTTAAGTGGTTATTTTATAATATTTTTTTTTATTATGCGCAAATTTAGCGCAAAAATACGCATAGCGTGTATGTGATGATTTGTTAACAAAAAAAAAAAAACCGAAATAAAATGCAACTGATTTTGCTCAAGATTCGAGTTGCGAATAATTATCCGAAGATAACGAGACCAAAAGTGACTGTTCAACATATTTTGAAATCTCATAGTATATCAAATCACTCATGATCATTGTGCGGTCTGTCATAAATTTTATATTACAATTCAATAATAAAGATCATGATGATGATCGAATTTATAAACCACATTCAACCAGAGTAGCGAGGTATCAAATCATTATTGCATCGACGCTTGGTTTATTTGCATTCATAGTTTTTTCCATATTGCGAATAAAGTACCCCAGAATCTACATTGCCAATTTCAATCAATTAAATTTTAGTTTTCATTCTTCGTCAAGAAGAAATTTACCTAAACTACCTACAAAATCATTACTTGGATGGATTCCAATAGTTTATAAAATTAATGAGTCACAAATATTAGAACATGCTGGGTTAGATGCTGTTGTAACGATGATTTTTTTCAAAATGTGTATTAGAATATTAACAACTTGTTTATTATTTGCAATTATTATAATTTCACCAATTAGATATAAATTTACAGGTAGAGTAGATCAAGACTACCCAGATGATGGAAATAATGGTACTAGTACTGTTACTAGACATGTTTTATATGGTACTGATTTATCTGATGATGATAAATCATATCAAAAGTTTTTATGGTTATACACAATATTCACATACATTTTCACATTTATAACGGCTTACTTTTTATTCGAATCAACTAATAAGATTATTAATATGAGGCAGAAATATCTAGGTAAACAAAGTTCAATAACGGATAGAACAGTTAAAATTTCTGGTATTCCAGGTAAATTAAGAGATGAAATTGAATTGATTAGATACATTGAAAATTTAAATATTGGTGAAGTTGATTCAGTGCTAATTGTTAGAGAATGGCAAAAGCTAAATAAATTGTTCAAAATTAGAGATAAGATTCTTCGGAAACTCGAAGAGAGTTGGGTTGAATTTTTCCATCAAAATGGAATTAAAAGTAAAAACGAATTATTAAATACATCATCATCAATCGATCCACATGTTGGTGATTCATTTAACTTACCATATAGAGATAATGAGAATGATCAAGCTGCTGAAACTACCTCAATTCACTCATCAATAGTTGACCAAATTTCAGAAATTGTTGAAAATTCATTATTAAATTCAGATTTATTAAATGATTCAAGTTATAAAAGACCAACTTTTAAAAAAGGTTGGTTTGGTTTATTTGGACCCCAAATTGATTCAATAAATTTTTATACTGATAAATTATCAGTTATTGATTCTGAAATTAAAAGAGCAAGGAATAAAGAATATTCACCTACTTCAACTGCATTTTTAACAATGAGAACTTGTGCACAAGCTCAAATGTTAGCACAAGCGGTACTTGATCCAAAAGTAAATCATCTAATTACAAGTTTGGCACCAGCACCTCATGATATAAGATGGGATAATTTATGCTTAACAAGACAAGATAGAAATACAAGAATTTTTCTAGTTACATTATTTATTGGATTAATGAGTATTTTATTAGTTTATCCAGTGAAATATATTGCCAATTTTTTAAATGTTAAATCAATAAGTAAAATAATGCCAAAGTTAGGAGAAGCTATTAAAAGTCATAAATGGTTAAAAACTGCAATTACAGGATTATTACCGACTTATTTATTCACAATTTTGAATATTATTATACCATTCTTTTATGTTTGGATTTCCAAGAAACAAGGGTTTTCATCTCATAGTGATGAAGAATTATCAAGTGTTGCCAAAAATTTCTTTTATATATTTGTTAATTTATTTTTAGTATTTACAACATTTGGTACTGCTTCATTGAGTGATACTACAAAGATTGCTTATGATTTAGCTCAGTCATTAAGGGATTTATCATTATTTTATGTTGATTTGATTATATTACAAGGTTTGGGTATATTTCCATTTAAATTATTATTATTAGGTAATTTAATCAGATTTTCAACTGAATCAATATTCAAATGTAAAACACCAAGAGATTATTTGAAATTGTATCGACCACCAATTTATAATTTTGGTTTACAATTACCTCAACCAATTTTAATTCTTATCATTACATTAGTTTATTCAGTTGTATCATCAAAAATATTAACTGCTGGTTTAATTTATTTCATAATTGGATATTTTGTAAGCAAATATCAATTGTTATATTCATGTGTACATCCACCTCATTCAACTGGTAAAGTTTGGCCATTAATTTTCAGAAGAATCATATTGGGATTATTTATATTCCAATTATTCATGGTTGGTACATTAGCTTTACAAGATGCTTTCACTTGCGCAACTTTTATTTCACCATTACCATTATTAACATTGTATTTTTTATACATATTTCATAATCAATATACTCCATTATCAATGTTTATAGCATTAAAAGCAATTGAAAATGGAGAAATTATACAAGACTCTCAGAATGATATGGAAAATGATGCAACATTAGATGAAAGAAGAGAAATTGGTACAAAATATGAGTATCCAAATTTAGTAAATGATTTAGATGGTCCAATGATTGCATTAGAAGGTCAAGATATGGTTTTAATCTCACCAGATGGACAAATTTATAAGAAACAACAGAATTTTTATGAAAATAATGATTGGGATTTTTAAAAGTTTATATATTTATTAAACTCTTCAATATATAGAATTAATTGAGACTTTAAGTTAATAAACTCGTTATGTAATAGCTCTTTAGAATCCAAACTGAAGATCCAACTTAATAGTTGAATGTTCAAAACTGTGAAAATTACATATTGTAATAGCATTGATATACTTACAATTATAATTAATTGATGATATTTTAGGTTCGTGACTATCTTCAATGACTCAATTATGTAAACATAACCGATTAAGTTTATTAATGGTTTCGTTATTGATAAATTATCATAGGGCCATATCAACATTAATATAGGAAACAATTTAATTGAATTACTTACCAAAAAGGTGATATATAAAACCAAAGTTTTATATTTAAACTGTGAAAAATTGACCAAATTAGGATTAAACAACTCGCAACTGCATAGCACCCTAATCATGAATTGTAAATTAACATTTAAAACGATTTGACAGACCAAAATTTTAACTATAAAGTAACCATATTGGAAAATTAAAGATTGCTTCAAAACAATTTTAATTAAATTCGATTTAAATTCATTCTTTTCTTCATTTGCCCAATTTAAATAAATTTCAAATAATAATAAAACAATTACCAATTTTGTAAAGTTTCGTAATTGATTTTGTTGTTGATCTATTTCAATTAGATTATATGATAAATGCCTATATGCTTTTTTTTTCAATAATAATAAATCAAGGAATAATAATATCAAATCATATTCAATATATTTATCAACTATTTTATTACATTTTTCACAAATTGTTAATTTAATATATTCACTATCATACTTTGAATAAAGATTTTTAATGTTTGAATTCCCACATTCGATACAAATCATAAAACAAGACTCTATATAATTTTTTTTTTATCGGGTACGCATAGGGCGATATCTATTAAATATGCTATACATTTATTAAATTAATTGGTGGGGGTATATCTGGTACTTTTCCAAGTGTGAAACTGTTAGATTTAAAAGCTCGTAGTATTTCTGGATCTAAATCTGACTCTGTATCAACTGACGTTGTTTCTTCTATCTTATTTTGTGTATCATTATTTGATGTAAATGAAAATTGAGGTGGATTAGTTGTAGTTGATGTGTTAGATTGACCAAATGCTGTTGCAGTGTTTGATGGTTGTGATGCAAAACCAGAATTCGCAAATGCAGATGTGTTTGATCCAAAAGGATTTTGATTTGTATTGGAATTAAATGCAGATTGATTATTTGCTTGACCAAAACCTCCAAATCCCGAAGATTGAGTTTGATTAAATGCTGATGTTGTAGTTGGCTGTGATTGACCAAATGGATTACGTTGGGTGGTAGCTGATCCGAATGCAGATGTCGTAGTAGGTTGTGTTGATCCAAACGCTGAAGAACTAGGTTGAGATGAGCCAAAAGCAGATGGTTGCTGAGATGATCCAAATGCAGATGTAGTTGAAGGTTGAGCTGAGCCAAAAGCAGAAGTTGTTGCTTTACCAAATGGTGATGATTGTGATTGTTGATTATTAGTTCCAAATGCTGATGTTGTATTTTGACTACCAAATCCTGAGGAGCCAAATCCTGAAGTTTGACTTGAGCCAAATGCCAGTGGGGTTGTCTTATTGGCATTACCAAATCCAGATGAACCAAAGCCTCTCGATCCAAAACCTGATTGATTATTGATTGTAGATTTATTACCAAATCCAGAGCTTCCAAAACCAGAACTACCAAAGCCTGCATTATTTGAAGTATTATTTCCAAAACCTGATGAACCAAACCCACTGGAACCAAAGCCAGAGGCAGTTTGCGGTTTACTTTGTTGATTTCCAAAACCTGATGATCCGAACCCAGTGGATCCAAAGGCTGACTGATCATTGGATTGACCAAGCCCTCCAAACACTGATGTTTTATTACCTGTAGCGAATGGATTCAGGTTTGAATTACTTCCAAAACCTCCTCCACTTTTTTGAAACATTTGTCACAGTATATAAAGGTTGGTTATAAATAAATTCTTCAGCTTTATTTTGTGTCACTTAATCTACTTCGCTACCACTTGTCTCTTCATTACTTTCATTAAATATTAACTCTATAAAAACTCTAATCTAAACATTTTGACGTATAATGCCTCTACATTCATTAATCAACAACTGCATTTTGAAATTACAAATACCTAGAGCCTCTGAATATATCTTTTTCATATCATCAACCACTTGATCTTTCCTATTTCGACCTTGTGTTATTTCAAGTAATGATAATTCCAAGTTTTTCCTTAAGAATGGCTTTGATAATGAAATTCCATTAAATTCCATTTTATCTAGTCCTTCAACTAACCCCATACCCAATGGAGTTGGTATTAGATAATCTATTTTACCTCGTTTTTGCTTTTTTATATAATCTCTTTTCAGTATTTTGTCTATATGTTCAGCTATTGTTGCATCAGTACCAATTTGATTCTTATCCATCAATGCAATCAATTCTTGTTCTGTCATATAATTAGGTGGTGATGTTTTACCTTCTTTAAGTAATCCACTTGATAATTTAACCCGTTCACCTTCTTCAAAATTTGGTAATTCTTTACTACTCTCCCATTTTTTATACGTAAATACTTCAAGATAATTCTTTTCCAATACATTTAATCCACTAGCTGTGAAAAATTCATCACCCCATTTTAATGTAACAGTATTAGTTTGACCAATTGCATCTTTTGAACAACAAGCTAAAAATCTTCTAACAACATATTCATAAATTTTTTTTTCATCAGCATTATCTAAAGCTTCTAAGCTCACATAATTAACCGGATGAATAGCTGGATGGGATTCATCATCTCTTGATCCTTCTCTTGGTGCAGTGTGGCCATTATTCACTAAATTTGCAGCATATGAACCCCACCTCGGATCTTGCGTTTGTTTTTCAAAAATACCCTTAAAATTCATTGATCTGGGATATTTTTCAGTTTCAGTTCTTGGATAAGATATGAAACCTCTATTATATAAGTTTTCAGCAGCAGTTAATGTCCTTTTAGCTGAAAATTTTAAATATTTTGCACAATCTTTTTGTAATTCAACTGTAGTTAATGGTAAAGGACGATAATTTGTTGTTTTTTTTGAATCCAATTTAGTAATTGTACCATGTTCACCACTTTGAATACAATTCTCATATAAATTTATGACAAATAATCTATCAAAGAAATGATTTCTAACCCAATTAAAATTAACTTTTTTACCCTTTTTAACTGCCACATCAATATACCAAAATGGTTCTGGCTTGAAATTTTTAACTCTCTTATATCTATCAGTTACAAATCCTAGTGTTGGAAATTGACACGTACCATAGGATATTAATCCTTTTTCTTTCTCAATAATACCACTATTTTTAAAATTATCAGTTAATAATCTTGTGAAACTAGCACCGACTTTAAGATCAATTTCCATACGGCATGATACAGCAGCAACTGCTTTCATATCTAACTGTATTGGATTTTTAGCAGCAGCAATTACGTGATTTCTTTCTAAATGAGAAAACTTACTTCTCCAAGTATTTGATATAACTATATTTTTATTATATGTTTTAGCAGCATCAAAAATTTCTTTTCCTATATATTCACCTTCTCTATCACAATCAGTCCAAATCATCAATTTATCACAAGTTCTTGCTTCATTTGCTATATTATCCGAAATCTCTTTTTGTATGATTTTCATGACAGTAGGAGCATCAAATAATTTTCCAGGATGACATTTACCCCATGAATATTTAGATGGAAATTCCACTTGTGTTATATGACCTAATACAGAAGTCATTGTAACATCGCAAATACCATGTATATCATCAAATTTGAATTTAAAATCATAATTTTTAACATATTTATTTTTTGAATTTCTATAGTTCACATTTTTACCTCCTAGTATATTTGCAACTGCTTTTGCTATAGATGGTTTTTCCGCAACACATAAAATTCTCATAGGACATATATGAAGCACAAGTATTGATAGAACTTGTTTAAATCAAATTGGTTGTAAATTCAATAAACAAAAAATCAAAAATACGCGTAAGTAAAAATTAAAAATCGATGCTGCAAAATATAAATTCATCTATTGAAAACAACAAGAATTAGAAGGAAACACAAGAAATACGATGTGATTCAAACAGATCATCGTATCACGAGAAGAGATATTGTTAAAAAACGAGTCCAAGAAGTTGAAGCACTTTCGAACTAAAGAAATTGATCAATTACGCTCCTATTTCCAGATATCTTCGAATAATTGCCACATATATAAGGACTTTTATATTCTTTACAAGCCTTTAAGTTGCCTCTATTCTGTTTGACTGTGTTCAATAGGCAGTATTCTTCATTATTTGTTTGTTTGTTTGTGTGTTATCAGATCAGATAAGAAAATATAAAGAATAAAAAAAAATAAATTTAAATGATTTTCGTACTTGGCAACCAAATACAAATCAAATGTCATCAAATAGTAATGGCTTTGATTCAATAAACTTAGCATCAACTATACAATCAGGATTGACCAGAAGGCCACAAGTACATTCTATTGTACCTGCTTCAACTTCAGAGGAAGAAGATGAAGAAAACAATAAATATGAAGATGATTTATTAGAAGAAGAAGATGAAATAGATCCCGAAGAATTTATATTAAGTAACAGAGAAGACAATCTGATAAATTCAAATAGTCAAAGAAGAACAAGAACACCTAGTTCATTACAAGATACTTCGTTTTTAGAAGATTCAAATATTTTAAAATCATTTGATTCGATGAAAGATAGTATTCTAAATCAAGATAACAATAAAATATCTGCAATTGATTTTAATATTCTACCTAATCAAAATAATATATCTCCAATTGAATTTCTTTCACTGAAAATTAAACAACTAAGTGAGGATTTAGAAAGCGATTCAAAATTGTACGAACAATTTTTAAAAAATGGAAATTCAGTTATTGATAAATTAAGAAATAAGATATTGTTCAATTTCAATCAACTTTCGGAGTGTTATTTGTCACTAAATGAATTATATTCTAAAGAGAAGACTTATTCAGAATCATTGTTAAAATCATTTAAAAATTGGGACGATGTAAGGACAAATATATTAGCCAAGGTCAAATTAATTAAAAGTGAAAAGAGTAAATACGGTAAAAAAATGGCAAATTTGCTAAATCAATCTTCAGAATTGGATAATGAAATCGCAGAAGTAGAGTTGAAATTAAAAAGTTTAAGATTCAAGAAATTATTATTAGATAAAGAGATTGAAGATACAAGTTCAGTATTAGAAAGTAAGACCGCAAAATATGTAAATACATTTAAGGAACTAGAAATTCGAGGTAAAGAAGCTATGACTAATTTTTTACAATATAATGGTGTGCCCGAATCTGAAATTTCAAGAATTGTTCAACATGAGCAAGTAAATGTAACTTTTTTAAAAAATGTCATTGCTACTGAATTAAAACCACAAGACTCAACTCCATCTGCTCAAATTGTACAAGATCAAGAATCTAAAATTATAGGAATGCAACCATTTAATCCTGAAAATTTAATAATACAACAACAAGACTTATCATCAATGAATCATGATCATGGACCAACACCATACGAAAGAGGTTTTGCCAAAGGTTCACAAAATTCAGCACAATTAAAAAGTCAATTAAATAATGTACTCAAAAAATTATTTGAAAAGCTACCTAATAACGAATCACCAGTTCAAAATTATCCTAAAGCTAAAGTTGATGATTATTCAAATACAGTTAATGAAAAATTAGACTTGGAGCCCATTTTAAAATTTCTACAATCAAAATCTGATGCTTTAAATGATTTAATTGTTCAAACGTCAAGTAAATCTGCAATGTATCACAATTTCAGTGATGTATGGAATAATGTTGTTTCCTTATTAACTAAACAAGAAGAGAAATTGAAAATGGTGCTTGAAGATTCTGTTGTAGGTAAAGTTAATCAAGAAGTTGTGAATGTTTTAAATCTTACTTTAAATCATTTAGAAATATTCTTAACCCAAATACAAGATTTTAAAAACATCAACAAAGAAGAAACGCTTCAAAAAGAGCAATTAATAACACTAGTTCATAATGATATTGACGCAGTTAAACAAGGGCTCAATTTAATCTCTTCTCAATCTACGTCATCTGGTGTTAATGATAAATTTGGGTTTAAAAAAAGCTTTTCTAACATTCCAACTTTTTCAGAACCAACTAGTCAAATTCAAAAGATTAATTCAAATGATGTAGCAAATAAAAAAATTAAATAAATGCTTTGTACATAATATATAATCATTAATTTATTTATGCTAAAATAATATGCTTAATTAATTTTTAGGTGGTGGTCGTTTTCTTGGAATGAACAAACTTGGAGTTCTTGTAGGAGGTGGTTTTACAATTCCAGATGAAGTTGGACCAATTGATTTTGAATCATTAGGTCTTGCTGTGTTTGTTGTAGAAGGTGCAGTAGTAATAGTTGTTGAAGAAGGTGGAGGTGAAGCCAGTGATCTAGGAGCAATAACTCCAGATCTAGTAGGATTTGAATTTGTTGATGTAGGAGCTGGAGTTGGAGTTGTAGACGAATTACGATTAGCCTTATTTCTAATTTCAGCAACAGTAGGTCTGTTATCTGGTGGAGGAATTTGTCTATTTAATGGTGTTGGATGTTTTTTTCTAATAAATACACCATTTGATACAACTTTTGGAGCTTGAGTTTGTACTGGTTGTACTGGTTGCATTGGTTGTACTGGTTGTACTGGTTGCATTGGTTGTACTGGTTGCATTGGTTGTACTGGTTGCATTGGTTGTACTGGTTGTACTGGTTGCATTGGTTGAACAGGTTGTACTGGTATTGGTTGAGCAGTTTGAAATTGTCCATTTCTCATTGGTTTATTTGGAAGAAAACCTCCATTTGTTGGTGTAGCAGTTTTCATTTTCTTTGTTGATTTATTACCATTATCATTGAAGTTTCTTTTAGTACCTTCTTCTTTTAAAAATCCACCATAAGCTGTACTAACACAACCTCTTTCTTCAGCATCAGTCAATAATCTTTTCCAAACTTCATTTCTTGATAAAGATTCTTTATTACCTAAAATCCATAATGTTGATTTCGCTCTTGTTAAAGCAACATTCATTCTTCTAACATCACTTAAAAACCCAACATTACCAGTTGCACTTGCACGAACACAAGACATTATAATAATTTCCTTTTCTTGACCTTGAAACCCATCAACTGTGTTGAAATCAATTTCATCAAGTATAGTTCTACCATATTTTCTTATAAACTTATCTTTGATAGTTTTAACTTGTTCTTTATAAGGCGAAATTATCCCAATTTTACCAGTTATACGTTCATCAGGTATCATCATTATTATTTTTTCAACCAATTGTAACGTCACATCAGCTTCTTCAGAATTAAATAATGATCTAGTTAAATCATTTCTTTCATGTCTACTAACAATATCAAAAAATCTATACGGTGTTAAATATTTTTGTTTATGCCACGGTCTTGTATTAATCTCAAGCATGTTTTCACCATCTAATAATTTTGAATTATAAAATTCATTACTTGGAAATTCTGAAATCAATGGATGCATTCTATATTGAACATCTAATAAATAAACTGATTCTGGATTATTTCTTTGCATTCTAACAAATAAACTTTCATCATAATTAAAACTTGCAGCAGCTTGTGATAAAACAGTTGGTGGTAATTGTTTTGGATCACCAACCATTATACATTTTTGACAACCATATCTTAATGGAATAATTGCACCTAATTCTAAACATTGACAAGCTTCATCAATTATAACTTGATCAAATTTAATTTGTAAATTGGCTACAATATCATGAGCCGATCCTGATAATGTTGCACATAAAATTTGTGCTTCATTTAAAATTTTAGCTTGAATGTTTCTTCTATCAATTTCTCTTTGTCTAATTTGAACTGATACTGTTTCTCGTTGTGCATCTAATTTAGAAGTCAATTCTTTTCTTTTTAAATTAACTTCACGAAATTTTGTTTCAAGTGATTTTACTTCTTTCTCATCCAAATTACGTGATTGATTTAATTGATTTCTTAATTCATCTCTTTGTTTAGTTAATTCATTAAAATCTTTTCTAATTTGTGGTTCAATATTTATAACAGTTTGTTTAGTTTGTAATTCTTGATCAACTAATTCTTCCAATGTTAAATCTCTAACTGATGAATTAATTGCATCACTTCTACCTAATCTAACAACTTTTAATGGCATATGTTGACCGTTTGAATCTTTAACACCATCTCTTAATCTTAATACTAATTCATCAACAGCTGCATTACTTGGAGCACATATTAAAATCTTTGGTTTATTTTCATTTTGATTTGAATTTTGAGATTTTTGACCATTTTGTGGTAATTCTATAATTTTGTCTGATCTTTGTTTTGATAATGAATAACCAACAATACCCAAAATTGTTTTAGTTTTACCTGTACCTGGTGGACCTTGAATTAATGAAAATCCATTACTTTGATAACTTCCCATAATAGCTTTAGCTTGAGACCTATTAACATTAAAGATTTTCTTCATATGATCTGCTTCTGAATCACTTACATCTATTGGTTTATTTGGAACTGCGCTTAAAATTGAATCATTTAAATCATACCATTGCAAACCTTTTAATGAAGTAAACTCTCTTTCAATTGTAACCATTTGCATTACTCTCATACCAATAATTAAAGATTTTGGAGTTAAAGCTGCCATCATTGGACCAATTGGAAAAACTCTAAATGTGACATCACAATATTCTTGATTAACAGATTTAATTTCTCTAATTTTACCTAAACATGTTCTTGTAGATTCTTGTTTCATAAATTTTCTAACATCCAGTGGATCATTAAATGCCTCATTTTTACATGTTAAAACAATTAAATCAGAATCAGTTAATTTTCTATCTTGAACCATTTGCTTTTTCATTGATGCAAAAACATCAAAAAATCCATCAACACTTGTTCTACTACCAATTAATATCTCAAATGGTTTTTCATCAACGGTTTTTTTATTTGATTGAATTGCTTGCCAACATTCTAATAAAAATAAAGGTTCAACAACTTTAACATATTCTTTAACATCATTGTACGTATCTTTAACATTTTGATAAATTGATTTATCAGGACCGGGATAATCACTATTTGAATTGTAATTCCATTTTAATATTGTTGTATATAAAGGTTTTAAATTGACATGAAGTCTTAAACTTTGTCTTTCTTTTTCAAGTTTTTCTAATTCTAATGCTTTCTTTCTTTGTAAACTAGCTTTATTAATTTCTTGCATGTTTTCATCCAATTGAGTAATCTTTTCAGGTAATGATTTCTTTTTTGATTTTGAAACAAATAAATCACTAAAATCATTATCACTTGCTTCGTCACTATCTTCATCTGATGAATCCTTCTTTGCTTTTCTATGTTTTTCTTTATTTAATGATCTACCAATACTTATAGGTGGTGGTCGAGGCGGTTTAATTTCTCTATCTTTATTTGATGAATTGAAACCAGCAGGTCTTGGAGGAGCAGGATTATAAACGGATTTTGCAGGGTTACTTTCAGCTTGTCTTTTTAAATTGACAGCTTTTCTCATTTGTTCTAAACTTGATAATGGTTTTGGTTTTGGAATTGGTGCAACAGCTTTAACATCAGTTGTACTCATAAACCTTTGTAATGTACTTTGTTTTTTCATACTTGCACCTGGTCTTGTTTTTGAGGTTAAAAATTTGACATCTTCAGGTTCATTATATTTACTTGATACAAATCTGACTTCCTCATTATCATTATTATCATCGATAATTTCAATGGGAACAGGTTGTGGTGATTCAGTTTTCTTTGATGCATTAACTTCATCTATAATCTTATCAACTAAATTATTATTAAATTGTCTTGCTTTTGATAAAATTGCTTGTCTTTGTAATTCTGATAATTTATTATTATACTTTTTAGCCTTTGCACCATATCTTGCAAATTTATCAATAAATGAATCGTCAATTGTAAAATTTTGTTCTGCAGCTAATTCAAATCCTTTAAAAACTAAATCAACACATGAATTTAATAAAGAAACATCACCTAATTTTAACCAAACAATAACATATTCAAAAGCATTCATGAAAACTTTAAATAATTTTTGCAGTATATTTTGATTACTCCATGGTTTAATACTATCAGTTATAACTCTAAATGAATCTAATAATAAATGACTAATATCTAAAGTATCTCTAGTGAATTCAATTAATTCTTCTAAATGATATTGACCAGCCCATATTAAAGTTTTTTCATACACCATGATTAAAAACGACCAGCATGTATTCCATAACTTTATAAGTTGTTCATATGAAAATTCAACTTGTGGTGATGTCAAAATTGATGATAATGGTTCAGTTAAGGATTTAATAATATCCATTAATATTCTAACAGCTTTTGGAGTAGGTTCGTAGATTGCGAACTGAGTTAAAATTTCCAAATTAATATTGACTGACTTCAAATTCAATCTTAAACTTTTACTTAATGATTCTTGTATAGTCTCAAATCTTCCACTACCATCATATAACTCATTAATAAACTCAAGAGCAGATTGACTTGTTAATGGTGAAAAAATACATGACCATAAAGCATCTAAACATTCAGTATCATTTAATATTTCTTGAATAGTTAATGGATCACCAAATCCAAATTTTGTGAAAATTTGAGTCATTAATCCTGCCATTTTATCCATATTTTCATTGTGCTTTTTTCTTGATTCTTGTATCAATTTGTCTTCAGATGACAGCTTTACCTTCAAAAATTTGACTCCATAAATCATCAAATGAAAAGTTTTAACAACTTCTTTTGCAAAATGAATATTCAGGTAAATTTTCAGATTAGCTAAAGATTCCCATAACATTGGAAAAATATCAAATGAAACAGGTTTTTGGTTATTTGCTAATAATTTACTATTTGTAACTATAATTGATAAATCATAAATCAATAATTTAAAAATTAACTTCATTGCATTTGAATTATCTTTTGATTTTATTGCCAACAGTATTATTAGATCTGATTCGTTTTCAATTGCACCTCTAATATCTCTTACTGACATTAATTCCAATCCCAACTTTTCATCTTTGATATGATGAGGATTAAAGCCTTCTAAACCAGTTAAAAAAGTTTGACATCCTAAATCTTGTAAAGCCATAGCTCTTTGAGTTCTCATATCATTTGTTGACATATAAGAATTACCAACAGATTGTTGTCTTAATAAAAATGAACCAACTCTAGCACAAACATTTTGTTTTTGACCAAAACCTAATGATTTCATTAATGATTGCATCCATGAAGTTAAATCTTCCAATGTAAAATCAGATAATAAATTTCTTTCAATTGAAGATTGTTGAAGTTGTCTTGAAAATTCGGGATTGGATAAAATACCATCTAATAACTGTATATGAGTAGCTGATGACTTTTCCCAGAATGTTGTACCAAGTCGTATTAGTAATTTATCCAAAACTTTTAACAATGTAAGTAATGGTTCAGTCAAATATGACATTACATAGTTAGTTAATAGCCTAACAAATGGGTAAAATAGTAATTCACTATGTTGACTCATAATAGCAATATCTTGTGGACAATCTAACCTTTGTAAAAATGCCTCATTATCTATAAAATCAATAACTTCATTAAAAATAGTCCAAAATCGTATACCTTTTCGATCATTATAATTGTCAGGATTTTGAATATAATATAAATGAATAGAAAATTCCAATATGAATGCTTCACCCAAAGTTGCTTTATTGGTCGTTATATTTTGATTTTGTAAGTGGGTAATCCATTGTCTACCATAATAAGATTCTTCTTTATTACCTTCAAATAAAAGAAATAATAAACCAGGTAATAATCTATTTGGTAAAGGTAAAGTTTTCCTAACTTGTACATATTGTATAATTTTAGTAAATATATCTCTAACTGAAGCCTGTTTTCTTAATAAATCAGTACTATTTGAACACCAATTAAATATTAGCAACAATTCATTTTCATCAACATCAAAATTTGAATTAATATTTGTTTCAATTTTCGATATTTTAGGTGATAGTATTTCAAATTCAAAATTATTTAAAGTATTAATAAAACTATTAACATTAGTAACATCAATTCTTTTAATTAATAAAAATTTATTTCTTAACTCAGCTTTTGCATTATTATAGCATCTTAAACATTCTTTACATTGAAAACTTTGTGATAGATGCTGTTTTAATTCTATTAAGCGTTGAGTTGGACGAAATGAAAATAAAATCAAACTATAAGTTGAAATTGGATATAATGTATCATCACAAAACATATGTGGATTATGTCTATTATTAAGTAAATATTTTAAAGAAGATTTAAGAGCCCTTTCATGAGTTGGACTATTTCCTGGCTCATCAAGAGACTCTTTAATTAATGTTGTTAACTCATTATAAGTATCAGGTAAAGTATTATTTGACACCTGAGGTCGATGATTATTTGATGACATAACTATATAAACTAAAATAAATGATTTAATATAGATAGATCAATAATAATAATAAAGGTTACACGTTAAAATCTTCAACAGATTTCTAAACCAATTTGGGTGTGGGAAGAAAATTGTTCTTGATCTGTTTGGTAAAAAAAATGATGAGAGTAATTATTACGAAAAAAATTGTATACATTATTTATATAGTATAACCATAATGAATACCCTATAGTAATGCAAAATCTAGATTCAAATTTGTAGCTGCTGTTATCCAATCTTCTCCTGTTGCCCAACATCTTTTCATAATTTGTAATCCTTTTCTTGCATTTATATTCCCCATTTCTGCAATTTTCATAAACCTATTTTCAAAAAATAATCTCATTTCTTCATTATTTACAATTTCACAACCAGCAGTAAATAAGCAAAATATAACACATATATCAGCTGGAGATTGACTCTGAATATTTTGATGAACTATTTGTCCAATTTGAATAGCAAGATCTTGAACAAGATTTGATTCTCTTGGAATTAATAAAACGCGTCTATATAAATGAATAATACCAGCAAAACAAAACACTCTATTTGTAGATCTTAATACTTCATTTTCTTTAATCATTCTTTTTAATCCTTCTGGTGAATCAACACTAGATTGTTTCTTTTTTTCAGTTATTAAATTAACAATATGACTAAGATCTGCTTTAGTAATTTCTTCATCTTTATTTAATAATGATAATAGTGTTTCCTTGACTTCTAAAGCTTTACATATAAGTTCTTGTGGTAAATTAATTTCAGAAGAACCACATTGTTGTAATAAAAAATTTGTTTTTCGAATTAAAATGGTGATTCTTGCAAATTGTGGTAGGAAATTTATATCAAATCCCATTAAATAATCAATATGAGCTTTTGGTGGACTAGTGGGATCAAAACCATCTCGTAACTCTAAATCAGTACTTTTTGTTTTATTTAACATCGTAACTTCTTCAACAGGTTGATATTTTTCTTCTTCATCTTTTATTAGCAAATAATTATTGGAATTTTTAGTTGCTGATAATGAACCTATAATATCAATATAAACAAACCATCTTAATAAAAAAAACGTCACATTCCTTTCAGTACCTGTATCTATATCTTTTTTCAACGGCAAGTTTAAATTTGATCTCGCTTTAATGATTTGTCTTGCACCTAAAGTATGGGCTCTGTGTTTACTAAAATCTTTTGAATCAAATATTTCAAAAACTGATAATAATAATGCTGTAGCTAAAGCTTCATTTGAAGTTGCACTAGTTTTATCTTTCAACAATTTTAATAATTCAGTACAAGATCTTGATAATAATTGGTCTAGTATTACATCTGGAGTATCATCTGAACTAACTAATGAAGATCTTAATTTTGCTGAAAACGCTAATAATGTAGTTAAAATTGCAGGATATTCCATAGCCATTTGTGATAATAAAACTTTGAAAGGATTATCTTTATATATATCAGCTGGAGCTGGAACAAGATGATGACAAGCAACTTGAACCCAAAAATGCATCAAACTTCTATAAAATGGAACATTTAGCAATAAGGAAGGTAACGGTGTCAACAGTGGAGGTATTGAATAACAAAGTTTTTCCATTTCGAGTTTTTGAATTTCTTGTAAAGCAGATTGTGAATCCCAGCTAGAAGTGACACTCAAATCATCATCAATATTTGTTGCTGTGCTTGCCATCAGTCTCATGGGAGAATTATCCTTGAATAAATTATTTCTTTCTCTTGGTAAATATTCATCAATCTTTGAAATATCTCTTGAATAATCTAATAAGTACGGATCATTTGCATTATTCGAAGAATAACTACTTTTCTCATCCTCAATCATGCATTGATCTGATTTTTTGAAATAATTTTTAAAAATACTGGAATTTTGTAATTGAAATTCTATTTCACCATCTGTAATTTTATCAAATGCATCATTTAAGTAATTCATACCATTTGAATAGTTATTTGGATACTCAAAACTTTCAGAAGATGTAACTGAGCCAGTTGTAATTCCTTTATTACTTTCAATTTCTCCATTGTCTAATATTTCAATTTTGTTTTTAACTGCCAAGTTATCAGGACCATGAAAACTAACGGGTTGAGCTTGAAATGTGTCTAGTAGTATTGAAGTACCATTTGGAGTCATGAACGTATTTTGATTTGGCGTATTAGATATCAGATTTACAAATTTTGTGGAACCTACAGCTCTACTCCTTTCTCGAGATTTTTTGTTAGGTGAGTCGGATATATAATATGAGTTTGATTCAGGAGTAGTTACTTCCAATGGTGATTTTGGTGAATGAATATTAAAATCTTGAACAACAAATTGAATTTGATTATTATAAGGTTTTGGTTTATTACCTGATTCAATTTTAGTATTTTCTGATTTAAAAGCAATTTGTGAACCATTCGGTATTGAATTAATCTTTTGTCTTTTATTTGTATCCTTATAAGGTCGACCACCCCAAGTTAATTTAATTGAATAATCACAAAATGTATTTGATTTAATACAATAAGAACATGATGGTTTCTTTTCGTCACATTTAATTTTTAATCTTTTACAATTATGACAACCATTTCTACTTCGTTTTAACCTCTTCTTTGGTATTTGATTTGAATCGTTTTGATTCATGAATAAATATATTTATAATTTAATTGATAAAACAAAATCAGATTTGAAAAATGCGAAATTGATTATCTAAAAAAAGAAATATGAACCAAAAAAAGAAGACATTGATAATACATAAGTAGTAAATGTTAAGGAACAAATTTACGAGAAAGTACCAGTGATATAATCTTCGATTACATATTATAACTACAGAGAATAACACAGTACCACGTAGAGAATCAGATGTTAATTCTATCTGAAGTCATTATTATTTCATTATCTACATGATTTACTGTGTGTATATGTATATAAACGCTTAACCTAATAATAAAAATAAATGCGACCAGGGCCTCAATTTTTGGCGTGCAGGGCGCCTGGAATCGTCAGGAACCAACCGCACACTAATTAGGAAATATGGTTGCAACTTTCTAGATTCATAATGTATATTTTGATTTATTTATTATCAAGTATACCACCATTTCTCTTTTCTTTACCTTGATCAACATATCTTCTACCAAATAATATTAATAATAATTTTTCATATAATCTAAATAAATAACCTGCTGCTATTAATAAACCACCACCAATTGTTCCTAATTTTGCAACAAATTGTAGAAATGGTATTCTTTTTTCTGCAATTATTAATTTAATTGGTTCGAAATTATATCTAAAATATATACCTGGTGGAACTGTATTACTTCTTTTTGATTGATCTTCGGTTATTATTTCTCTATGATGTTCTGTTATTGAATATTGATTTGTATCCACCACTAAACCTAATTTTTCATAAATTGTAGGTACGACTTTTGCATGATATATATAAATTTGTAAATTTTTATCAGTAACTTTCCCAGTTGCATCTAATGGATTATTTATAAATGGATAAAATTCTCCAAATGAAAATTCTTGTATTGCATGACTAAAATTTAATGATTCTAATGGTATTTTTCTTCTATCAGCATATCCAAAGCCTTTACCAGTTATTCTAAATTCTCCTTTAACTTGATTTACGGGAATTGATCCAAAAATATGACATGCTGGAGCACCTTCATTAACTCTTAAACCTTCAGTTTGAAAAGTTGCTCTTAAACTTTCTTGCATAACTTCTTCTAAATCTGGAGTATCATGAAAATCATTTGGATTATTTATTTTAAAACCTTGAGGTATAAAAAAATTACAACCTTCAAAATTTAACATTTCTCCAGCTAAATATCTATCACGAGTTATATCTTCAACATTAGTATGTAAATATTCACATGGCATACCAACAATCATATCTACATTAATTCTAAGGTCTGATTTTATTATATTTTCAACCATAAATTGTCTATCAATATATCCACCTAAAAATCCACCAATTTCAATCCATAATAATAATAAACCAAGAAAATACGTTAGTATCGTTGAAAATCCACCTCTTTCTGACCTCACTTGATGTTGAGGATCTACTTTTGGGAACGCATCAAATGTTTTTACCCGTTTTGAAAAATTATCCATAAAATATTAATTTGGAAAATTGATTCGTGTTTTTCTTTTTCTGTTGAACTCAAAAAATCTGAAACATGGCATCAAAAACAGTGGGCCATAAAATAAACACCTTTTAAAGATTATACTTCGATCCATTAGGTTATTACTTGACGCTTAGATCAAATTGGATTAATCCTCTAGCATCGTACTGTGTGCTTAATTAGTACCAGTCAAATTTTTCTCTGTATCTGAGATGTAGAACAAGCTGCACCTATTGATCGAAGTATCAGTTCCTTATTCATTACTGGCTTTAACTTACCATTTGATATCTATCTAGAGTCAATCTTTATACTTATAATGTTAAAAACGATGAATCAATTTGCAACTAAATCATTTTGCGCTTCCATTTCGTTTTTTTTTTTATTAAACACACATCTTATCTTTATGTACCTTAAGATGCAGAAGTGATGGAATACGGAGATAATAATAATGATTATTCAGAAGATACAGAGTTTTCTAAAGATGTCCAAATACAAGAATTACAATCATGCAAATTGGTGTTTTCACATTTAAATGTTGATTATAAATTAAGGAAAGGATCAATAGAAATACCGTTGGCCTTTGATAATGGTGGCAAAATATTACAAGTAAGACAAAATGATACTATTCTTGCACTGAAAGAAGTTAATAATTTGATTCCTATTGTATTTGAGTTTTCATTACCAGAAGATTATCCATACGACGTGCCACCAGTAATCAAACTTCAAAATGACGTAATTAGCATGGAGAAACGTTCAGAGATCATAAAAGAAATGGTTAATATTTGGGAAGATTTGAAAGATCAATCTTTGTTTAGTATGATAGATTATTTACTATGTCAAACACAAGATCACATAGATGAGATAGTTCCAAGTCCGTTAATTATAAATGACTTAGACATATACAATAGATGTCTAGATTATGACAAAAAATGTAAAGTTGATAAGTTTAATTCGAAGACTTATGCTTGTGATATCTGTCAGTCTGATTTTAAAGGCTCCAAATGTATTCAATTTGAAAAATGTTTACATGTATTTTGTCTAAATTGTTTAACTGAATATTTCACATCATCTATCACTCAAGGAGATATAGATAAGATTCATTGTCCCGATTTCCAATGTACGAAAGATTACTTAAAACGAAAACAAGAGTTTATGGACATCGACAGTTGGAAATATGGAAATCAGAAAGTCAAAGATATAATTACAACTTTTTTAACACCAGTAATTTCAATAGAGAAAATGGATAAAATATTAAATGATCAAAGTTTAATCAGACGGTATCAAGACTTGTTCAAGAAACAGCAGTATGAAGCTATTTCAAAAGTCCTTCCAAATAGATTAGTAAGGTGTCCAGGTTTAAATTGTGAAGAGATTATATTTAGAGAAGATCTAAATGATAGATTGGTCAGGTGTCCTGCCTGTAAATATGCATTTTGTAATGATTGTAAAAAATCATACCATACTAGATTCAAATTATGTCAAAAAGCCACTGAAAATATGAAATATTTCGGTATACCAATTGAAGATTTAGAAAACTATAAATTATATCCATCAGATTCACTTGAAAAACGTATTTTAAACGCAAAATATGGTAGAAGTTGTATTGCTAAAGCTATTAATGAATTTGAAATGGATCAATTATTTGAGGCAATGTTGAAAGAAAGTATAAATGTGAAACAATGTCCTGGCTGTGAAACAGTTATTGAAAAATTTGAAGGTTGTAATAGAATGAAATGTAGTAAATGTGGAAGTTTCTTTTGTTTCCATTGTGGTGAAATGATTTCAAGTGATTATAGTCATTTCAGTGATACTACATCACCATGTTACAAATTATTATTCTTTGGCATGATTATTGAAGGTAATGAACAGACATAGAAAATGTTTATAAAACAAATCTTGGTTTCTCCTGATTAATAGATATAGAAAATATATACATTCAATCATGGTTTCTTATGAGGACGACCATATCTATAACATTCTCTATATAATCTTCTTCTTCTAAATTCATAAATAATATCCAGATGAACTACATCTTTCATATTATCATAGATCCAACCTTGATCTTCATTTTCTTTAATGATAAATAAATCTGAATTTAAAGATCTTTCTTTAATGAATTTTTTAGGTTCAAGATCTAAAATCCATTTATTGACTAATCCAAAATCAAATTTCCAATCATTTGGTGGTAAAACTTTTGATAAATGATCCACTCCAGGTGGTCTTTTACCCGATAACCTTGATTTATTATTTTTATCATAAATTGTAGTTGAATATCTATAAAATGACCATTTCAGTTTTAATATACTTTTAATTTGTAATTCATAAACTTCAACAACTCTAATTTCTGGTGAATCGTCAACAATGATATCTTTTCTATCAAATTGTTTAACTTCTTTATCTGCATCTTCAATTATAACTGGTGGAGGTGATGGTTTTTTATTTAATAATGCATTTGCTTTTCTTGATTTACTCATATCAATTAAATATTTCTTACATTTTGGATGACATAAAATTAAACCGATCCATCCAGTTTGAATGAAAATTGGTCTCCAGGGAATAAATTGACCAAAAAATAATGTACCAAAAGTTACAACTAAAACTCCATAAAATATAAATGTTGATAATCTCTCATCTTTAAACCCAGCAGTTTCATAATAAAATTTTTCACCATGATCAATTCCCTTTAATACATCAGTTGTTAAATTTTGAAAATCTCGTAGATTTATTAATAATGCCAATTGTGATTTTCTATGTTTTGCAGTATCTTTTTTGGAATCTGAACTTTCTGCACTTGTTGTTTGAGTTGGTGTTTGTGATGTTAATGTATTTGATTCAGAATATTCTTCCAGAATAGAATAAGTTGATGATGCAACTTCAACATCTTGACGCAAATATTCTTCATCAACCATATCTTCAACTATACTAGTTTCAGGAGTATCAAGTAAAAAACTGAAAAATGATTGACCTCTTTTTTTGATTTTAATTAAATCAGGTCTTCTTGGAGGATGTCTATAAACATAACCAGGTATTAAAATGCCAAATAATATGAATAATAAAGGTAATGCTAATACTAAATGTGGCCATAAACAAACTGCCGTATATAAACATAAAACACATAAAGTTTTTGTAGGTTGTTTCCATGATATTATACTTATCAAAAGATATTGAATTGCAAAGAAATTAGTCATTTTTGATGCCAATTTTTTAACATTTGAAGCTAATAATGTAATTGATAAACCAGGTCTTTTATTTCTTTCAGGATCATTTAGCCTTTTTTCAAATAATTCTCTTTCAGGAATATCTTGTGGTAAGGCAGATTTTAATAATCTTTCAATCATTCGATCAGTAAAATGTGAATTTCTTTTGTTAGTAGTTGTAGCATTTTCGTCAGCTGATTCAGCCATTGATTCTATATGAGCTATCTCTTCATCAGTTAAATCAACAGAACCTTTACGTCCACTATATTTATCTAAACCCATTTCTAATAACGTTGATGCAGTATTTATTGCAATGGCTCTTTTACTAGCTGGATTTTTATCTGCAATATTATTACCTTTAATAACTGCTTGATTTATAATATTTATTGCATAATCCTTATAGGTTGATGATGAAGGAGTAGATGGAGGTGAATGTTGTTGATCTTGATCCATCTGTTGTATAATATTAGTTTGATTCAAATAATTTCTGTGGGGGGATATTTCATAGCACATGATAAACAAAATAGAGTCGCTACCAATTGGCATTTACATGAATATTCATACATTGAATTACATACAATAAACATCAACTATAAACAGAACTACAATGCTTTCAAGTATATTGCAATCGTATCCATTATGTATATTTAAAATAAATAAAACTCTTAAATTAAAAGTTTAATTTTCAACATTTTTATTGGATTTACAATGATGGGAAGTTTTTATCGTTAACTTCTGGTTTATCAGCTTGAGATTTACCACCTCTGAAACCACCTCTTCCACCTCTTGAATTACCTCTTGAGTTACCTCTTGAGTTACCTCTTGAATTACCTCTTGAATTACCTCTACCACCTCTGAAAGCACCTCTTGAGTTTTTGTTAAATGATGGAGCATTTTCATCAGCAAATGAAGCTTCAATTTCTAAAAATTTCTTTTCTTTAGCTTGTTTTGATCTAGTTTTCTTTTGAGCAGTTGAAGCAAAGAAAACTTCTTCTTGTTTTTCAATTTTTTCTTCAGATTCCCATTTCTCTGCGGCACCTTCATTAGCTTGTCTAATTTTTTTAGCACCATCTAATTCTTGTTGTTTTTGTTTTTGTTCAGCTAAATATTCTTCAAAAGTTTTCTTTGGAGTTGCATCAGCACTTGAATCAATTTCTTCAGCTTCAGCTTCTAAATCATGAGCAGCATCTTCAGTGCCTTCAACTTCTCCTTCTAATTCTCTTTTATCTGATTCACCCCAACCTTGTTGAAATTTCTTTTTTGAATCAGTTTTACCAGTTCTTGAATGACGATCAAATGGTTTTTTATAATGTTTGGTAGCAGTTGATTGTGGAGCAGCAATTTCTTTATTATCTGATTTGTTTTTTAAAGCAGCTTCATTACCAGTAACTGGTTTTTTGTTTTTTTTAGCTTTAGCTGGATCAGCTGATGGTGGAGCAGTATCAGCTTTTTTTGATGAAGTGTTTTTTTTAACAACTTCTCTAACAGGAGCAACAGGAACGTTATCTTCTTCGATATCGTTACCTAATAAGTCGTATAAGTTCTTTATTATAACATGTTAGTAAATTCACTTGTAAATCAGGGTAACTCTTGAACTTGAAAAATTTGATTAACCTCACACGATTTGATAGAATTTTCATCTTGCCAAATCGAATTGATATATATTAAACCTCCAAATGTAAATGTTTGTGATTCAATTGACTGAATCTCTTGTAATTCGTAATTCGTAATAATTTACATTCTTGACCCACTATTCAACCATTATTGCAAGATTAATAAAATTTTCAAATTTACAACTTTTCAAATTTCTAAACGTTTCAGAAATATTCATCAATTGACGAGTTTCCCACCAATTTTCTTGCTTTAAATTTGACATACTTTGTTTTGAAATGACATCTTTTGAAATAAACTTATCCTACTTGTCGACTCTTTTTCCCTTTATATATGAACAAAATATGAATTTCAAAGTAAAAAGTAAAAAATGTTGATTTTTTCTTTAATTTTTTTTTTTTTTTTTTTTTTTTTTCGTAAGTGCGATTTTCAAATTATTTGCATTGAAAATCAATAATTTTTCACTTAGTTTTAATAGCAAGTGACTTACTATATAAATTATATACAGTAGTAAGAGAATGATTTGACAGTATTACCCGGATATTGCAACTACCATTTGTATTTTGCAACTACCATTTTTATTTTGCAGCCATTAGACAAAAATACTAGACTTTGGTAAATTACTTGATTTATGTTAATATATTAATAAAGTTACCCACTATAAACATTTTAATTCTATTTATCATCAGTTGTTTTAATATTTTAATTCTATTTATCATCAGTTATTTTAATATTTTAATTCTATTTGTCATCAGTTATTTTAATATTTTAATTCTATTTATCATCAGTTATTTTAATAAATTCTTCTCCAACTCTTGTTAAAAAAGTCCTTATTGCTATTCTTAAATCACTTGTTAAACTTTTTGAAAATAATTTTAATGTTAATTTATACATCATTGGACTATGAGTTTTAAAATCTTCATCATCTAATTCAATATATCCTTCATAAATTTCTATTATAACTGGTTTCCATGTACTTATATTTCTTTGTTGATTAGTTTCATCAAATTCTGAATATCTTTCAGTAATAGTATTACATAATGGTATGATATAACCCATAATATCTTGTTTATCACTTGGTGAAATTTTATCATCATCACAATACATTCTAAACATTATATTTATAAAAACAGCAGATGAACTTGATTCTTGTTTTAATAAATTTGGTAATCTTTCAATTACTCCTGCATTCCATAACCTAACTCTTAAATCATAATCATCATTAAAATCTCTAGCAAAATTATAACTATTATGTAAAAGCATTGCCATTTTAACTAAATATTCATATGAAACATTTTCATAAAACGAATCATTTTCAAATAATTCTGATAATGTTTGAATTAATAATAACTGTAAAACACTCTTGACAACAATTGATGATTTTTCTTTAGATTTTTTCAATCTAGCTTCAGCTTCATTTACTATTTTCTCTTCTTGATATATTTCATCATTTTCAGCATCATCATCACCTCCAATATCACCTTCTTCATCTGTACTTTTTTTATCATTTAATGGATCTGCAGTAAATAATTCTTTAGCAGTAGTTAAATCAAATAAATTTTTAAAACCTTTTGTTATTTCATCCCAATGTTTATTATTAAAACTAGCAGCATTTTCAATTAATAAATTTGATAAACATTCTCTACCAATTCTTGCAATTGTATCATTTTCTTGACATATACAAGATGTTATTAATTTTAAATATTCACTTAATAAATGATTTAATGCAGTAAAATAATGGGTAAATAATGATATCATACTTTTTAAAGCTTGAATTAAAGTAGTTGATAACCAAACTGACGTTTTATCATTCAAATCATCCAACCCAATTTCCCAATGATTTGTTAATATATTAAAAATTGGGAATAGTAATTTATGGAAAATCATATCCCAAAATTCAACTTCAAAATATTCACCATATTTCATTAATACGTCAAAAAAGCCATTCAATGCTCTTGATCTAACCTCCAATTCTTCACCAGTCATTATAATATCATGAAAACCAAATAAAACAGGGAACCATAATTTAATTAAATGTTCTTTCTTCTCATTTGGATCAATTATTGGATCGTTTTCATTCAAGAAACTATATTGAGCAATTTCATGTATCAATCTTGATAATACATCTAATGATAACAAACTAATTCTTTGAAATCTTTCATTCTTTGCCAACTCAGTAAAACATACGACTAAATCACTAAATGAATCTTGATTTCTAACTTCTTCAATATATTCTTTATTAATCCATTTTGCCATTTTATATGATTTCAAAACCAATGATTCTTCATTTTCTTTTGCAGCTGCTGAACAAACACCAAATATAGATTTCCAACCTGATTTTATTTTACTTGCTCTTGCTAATATCATATTATTTATACATTCCAATACCATATCTTTAACTTCTAATGAATGATTATGTATAATAATATATTCAAATGGTTTTAAAAATTCTTTTTGAAATTTAAAATGTGATAATTCATCAATTTCCAAAAATCTCATAGACAATTGTCTTAATGAATCCAATGCAAAAAATGATACTGCTGGATTAGTATGATTACCAACTGCATTAAAAGTTTCATTCATTATTGACCATATAAGAGACCATTCTAATCTTATACGATCCATATTATAATAACATATATCAACCACTTTTTGTAATGAATAAGTTCTTGGATTTGTACTTTGACCAGATGAATTTATTTCTTCTTTAGCAACTTCAGATAATGATTTGACAAATTCAACAATACTTTTACCTGATAGATTAGCACTATTTGTAAAAACTTTATCTATTGCAACTTCTAATTCAGTCTTGGTTAATAATTTTGCCACTATTGGAGTTAAATGTTGATTATGATATTTATTAGCGGCTGATTGAGCTGGTGTTTGAGACGAAAATGAACTAAAGAAACTACCACTTGTTCTTGTTGATTCAAATGAATTTTTTGAAATCAATTTTGCATTTACAACATCAGGTATTGAGTCTTGATCTACTCCTTGTGCTATTAATTGTAGTCTTTCCAATTGTGAAATTGATGTTAATATTTGTAACCATGCACCTACATTTAAATGATCTCCTTCGGAAACTGCCAAATCCAACATTATATAAACGGCGTCAACATTTTTTTGTTTCATTTCTTCATAATTATTCAAGTTTTGAAATTGTACTAAAGCTCCAATAAATGATGTTCTTGCATAATCTAAATCAAACATACAAGCAATACGTATAGCTAATTTTATTCCTTCTAAACATGCTCTAGTCACAACATCTTCATCATACTCTTTAAATGGTGGTGTCAAACCAGCTAATATTGACATCCATAATGTATCAAATATAGACTTCACATGTAATACACTTGATGCAACATAGAATATTTCATTCAGATTATCAGATTTTAATTTCCTACCCAAATTTTTAACCAATTTCTCTGTCTTCGTTGCCATTTCTTTTGATGCATGAATATAAGCTTCTCTATTTAAATCACGATTTCCGAAAAAACCAATTGATTGTGTTTGGCCTGTTACACTTAAATCACCAGCTAATAATGCAGCATGTTGTTCCGATTTTAATTTAATTTCATTATTTTGAATTTCTTCATAAATTTTCTCCAAAAATTCTCTTGGTAAATCTTTACCATCATCTAAACCTTTATTATTAGCAATAAAACTTTCCACACTCATTTTATTCTTTATATGTGATGAATGTAAATCAGTATTTAATAGTATAACTGAATAAGCTAATAAATATGGTGTATCAGCATTACCAAATATATCAGGATTACCCAAAACATATCTTTCTGCAAATTTTAATAAAAATCTATCAATTTTTTGACCTTCACCAGGTAATCTAAATGCTTGCAAAAATTTTCTTAAAGCTTCAACGAATGTAGTATTTTCAAATTCCAATTCATCAACAAAAGCATGCATAATTGCTATATGTTTTTCATCACCTTCACCTAAATATTCACCAATAACTTGTTTGTCAAGACCATCAGCACTCAACAAGAAATGACCAATATCTTTTGGATCATCGGAAGGTATAAATCCGTTATTAATAAAATATGCAATACCTTTCTTAGCTTTTTGATTAAATTGTTTAATACCTTCAAGTAAAACCTTTTTACGTTGCTTTTGACTTTCAAATTGTTCAAATTTATCAGTTTCTGCGGGTATTGGTGTTTGATTTCCATTAGTTTCATCTACAAATGAAGTATTTCGTGAATTACTGATGGATGTTGAATTTGAATCTGACCTATCTCTACCTAATGACAAATTTGATTCATTTGAATTAGGTTGTCTAATAGAACTTTTCAAACCTTTTTGAGCCCATGAATACAATGAGCGTAAAAATGCAACTGAACAGCCAATTGAAGTCATTTTCAAAGCATATTCTAATGGGAATTGATTATAAATCTCAGGTTCGGGAGGTTTTGAAGACATTGTACTACTTGTTAAATTTGCAATCTTATTTATATCATAAACTGATATACCATTTCTTCTATTTTCGAAAAAAGCATACTTTTGTTGCGGTGTAACTTCAATTCTTTGTAATGACAATCTAGTTAGGTAATCTATAATTTTTTCACAAATATTTGTCAGATTACTATCACAATCATAATTTAAATAAAACTCAATTATACATCTTGAATCATTACATAATCTTTCAATGATTGACAATAAATATCTTTTTTGATGAGGACTAGAAGTTTTCATTTCAGCAACTGGGAAATAAATTTCATCCCAAAACACTGGAATTTCTCTTTTAAATTCATTTCTTAAATTTGATATTATTAACCAAAAAATTTCCAAAGATAATTCAAAAACCGGGGCTAAAGCAGTTGCTGCATTCTTTGATAATACTAAATTGATATATTGTCTAACTGCATTGATTAATCGTATTTGTTGTTCATTTGCATTTGATGATAATAAAACAACATCGTGACTTAAAAATATTTCAATGTGCTCTTTTAAAATAGTATGAATAACATGTAATGATAATAATTTTGATCTTACAGAATGGGATTTCATATCAATTGTAGTTGAATCCAATGATTTTATAGATAATTTACACATAGCTCTAAATACCAAAAATGCGTCTTTAACAACTAAATCTTCATCATTTGCATTTGCATAATTAGCTTCACTAACGCGATCTTGATCATTTATAGAATCGTTTAATCTCTCCAACCTTTTCAAAGTTAATTTTTCAGCTGAATGATTATTTGTAATCTCAAATTCATCAATTGATTGCTGCAGTGAAATTTTAGGTCTACTTTTCAGTTTCATTGATTCTTCAACTCGTTGAAAGATAGCACCAATTACTTGAGTTAATATACCTTGTGCAACTGCTTGGTTTCTTGCACTTAATGAAAAAATAAACACATTGTAAATTTGTCTTACAGCTTGTAATAATGAAGCACCATGGCAAGGCATTAATAAAATACTATGCATTAAAGCTCTGACAACTTGTAATTCAACTTCAGGATCAGTACCTTCACCCTCGAAACAATTAGATATAACATTAACCGATTCATCAGTTAACTTTATTTCTTCTGAATAATCATCAAATTGAGCATAATCAAATAATTTTGCAAACAAATCAATAGCTTTAATTTTTAAATCCACACTTGAAGTTTCACAACATGCCTTTAATGCATCAAATATTATACTTGAATTTCTATAATCTGGATTATTTAATGAATCTAAAGCTTTTTGAATAACTTGTTTAAATTTATCATTTTTCTTGGCCTCCTTACTAGTGAGGATAATTTCAAAAGTTTTCTTGAATAATTGTGAATTATCAACAGTAGCACCTGAAGATATAGATAATGTTGAATGTTGACGTGTATGGCGTGTATTTCTTGTTTGATTTGAGGTAACTGATTCTGTATCAGTTGCAGAAATTGTTGGTAAGGTTGGATTCTCTTCGGAATCGGCAACACCATTATTTGATAAATCTTCTTTTACTTCTTCTGGCAAATCTACTTCATCTGATTGATCTGTTATATCATGTCTACGATCATCTTGTACTTCCTGGACTTGTTCGTTATTCAATTCTTCAATTTGGGTTCTCTCGACTGGCAATTGTTGATTATCTTCCGCCGTAATATTTTCTTCTTCTTTTATTTCTTCACCATTTTGTTCATCTTTTAATTCAGGTAGTCCCGTTTGTTGTTCATATTTTAAATGATCCTCTATTTCAGGCATTACTTAATTCAATTGAGTAATTACCGTTCGATATCGATTAGTATTGATTTGAAAATATTCGTTGTTTTCTTTTGTTCAATAGAAAAAATATTAGCCAAAAAAAAATCAATTATGTAATTTCATTTAATACTAACAATTTATTATCACACAAGTTTATATTCAATTATACTACTTACTCTATTTAAAACTCACTTAAAGCTACTGAAGTTGCTTGAAAATCATCATGAGATATTGAAATATTAATATTCTTAACACCAACTTTTTTTGAAGCTTTTTCAGCATCTCCATGTAATTTAACAATTGGTTTACCAGTTGAATCTCTTAAAATTTCAATATCAATTAAACTAGCTCCAGCACCTTTTGATTCAACACCTAAAGCTTTGAAAACCGCTTCTTTTGCTGACCAAGTTCCTGTAAATGAAGCTTGTGGATTTGATGAATTCTTACAATAATTAATTTCTTCATTAGTAAAATTTCTTTCAATAAAAGTTTCATTATCAATATTTAATTCTGATAATAATTCAACATCAACACCAACACCTTTTGATGATTTATTTAATGATGATAAAGCTTTTGCTGTGTTTTTAGCTACTTCTCCAATATAAGTTTTTGATTGAATACCTTTTTTGGAAAAGACTAAATCATGATTTTTTGATTCTTCAACTCTAGCTAATGGATCTAAGTAAACTGGTTGTTCCAATTCATCACCATATGGAGGTTTATCTTTAGCAACAAACATTGTATTTCTTGTAATAGCATTATGCATGTATCTATAAGTCTTTTTATTTCTTGCTGCAAATTTTTGAGCATATTCTTCATAAGTTTGTTTATCCAAAACAGAATACAAATAATCTGGATGAACAACAACAGCTTGTGCACCTTTTTGACCAAAACCAAATGATGTAACAGAAATAGCTTTAATACCATCTGTTTGAATTGATCTTGATGGATATAACACATATTCATATTGTTCTAAAACTTTATCAACATTATCAGCATTTCTATTACCCGGAACAATACCAGTTTCTAAGATTTGAATAGCACCATTCAACATCCAAGCACCAGCAGCTCCTTTTGGGTGACCAGTTAAGTATTTTTGGAAAACACCAAATACTGGATTACCTTCAGATCTGCCTAAATGTTTCATCATACTATTAATCGTAGCTGATTCATTCTTATCATTAGCAACGGTTGATGTACCATGGAATGAACAAACACCAATATCATCAATTGTTAAATTAAAAGCAGCTAATGCACCTCTTAATGGGGAGATTCTTGGATCTGATTTATAAAATGAGTTACCCCATTGTTTTTTAGCGTCAGAAATTTGTCTCTTTGATTCACGGTAAATTTCTTCAGTTCTTTCTTTAAGGAATTCTTCCTTTGAAAATTCTTTACCAAAATCTTCTTTTGCTAATTCAGCTTCATCTTGTAAGTAATTAATTTCCGATTCTTCCCAATTTTTAATTTGATCCAATCTTTTTTCAAGTTGTCTTTTTCTATATTTAATGTTTAATAATGGTGATGGATATTTCAAATCTCCATGATGTTCTTTTGCTGTTGTTAAAATACCTTTACCTGGAGCAGGAACTGATCTACCAATTTTATCAGTTGCAGTAGCTGTCATTGCTAAAACTGCATGAATTGGAACACCCATTTTAATAGCTAAATCAGCAGTCATGATAACTTGAATACCTGAACCTTGAGCTTCCATAAAACCATTTCTTGTTGTAGTAGTTGGTCTTGACATTTCTTTTGGAGTTCTACCATGGTTAAATTCATCAATAGCATTTGAAGTAGCATTCATATTTGCGAATTCATATGAACCTTCTTCTTGGAAGTCATCATAACCACCAACCAAGACAACTTTTGCTTTACCAGATAAAATTGTTTCAATACCAATATCAACAGATTCAACTGCAGTAGCACAAGCACCAACTGGAGTTTTAATTGGACCTGATGATGATAATAATAACATATTAACCCAAGCAGCCATTGTATTAATAAATGATTCTTGTAAAATATCATTCTGAACTGGTTTATCAGCATATCTATCTCTAAACATTCCTCTTAATGCTGAAACTCCACCCATACCTGAACCTGAACAATTACCAACTTCTGAAACGTGAACATATTTATAAAATTCATAAGGATCAGTAATACCAGCTGATAATAAAGCTTCGACAGTTGCAACTAAAACGTATAAAGTAATTGGATCAACTTGATTAATTGTATCTTCTGGTATACCATAAATTTTAGCATCCCAACCAGTTGGAATTTGACCAGCAACTAATCTATCAAATCTTAAAGCTTTTGGTATAAATAATGTAGCACCTTTTAATAATCTAACAGTGTATTCACCACTTTCTTCGATTTCGAAAATTTCACATTTATCACCATGTTCATGTTTGTAGTGTTCTGCAGTTTCTTTTGAACATTCAAATGGTTCTAAATCATGTTGAATCACAACTTCTTGTATCATTTTCTTATTCTTTGGATCATAACCAGCAAATAATTCTGGTTCAATTAATCTAATACCTGAATGTTCTAAAATTTCTTCTTCATATTTAGATTTAATGTCTTTATCATCAACCGGTGTTTGAGTTTTTGCGTCAATCCAACCTGAGTATGGTTTACCTTTCAAATTACCGTTATGATATTTAATCAAACCCATAATCCAAGCCATTTCAATGGCACCTTCTAATGAAAATTCACCAAAAGCTTCCATTTCCCATCTTGTTCTTGAATTACCCCATGGACCAACTTCAGCAAAACCTGTAACAACAACTATGTTTTCTAAATCTAACATTCCTTCCAAGTTTGGAGAAATTTCTTTAATTTCTTCATATGATTTCAAAGTTGGGAATTCAAATTTCATATTTGCTCTTGGTTGAACTTTAACTGCATTATAGTTTGAATCAACATTATCTCCATTGATAACTTTTTGTTCAATTGAAGATTCAATTGAAACAGCTCTTCTAATATCAGCATTTTCAGTTAAATCAGTTCTTAATTTTGAAGTAAATTCTTTCAAGTTTTCAATAAATTGTAAACCACCATTCAAATCAGCCATAATTGGTTCTTCTTGACATAATTGAACAATTGAAGGAGTTAATAAACCTAAAATATTGAAAGCCATTTCCTTTTGTGAAAATGTTCTAACACCCAATTTTTCAATACCTTCAGCAATTATATTATTTGCACTCATTAATCCAGTACCTCTTGTCCAACCAATAATTGCACCACAAATGGTTAATTTTGTTGCCCAATCTTCAGAGTACCATCTGTTGAATAAAGTTTCTAAAGAAATTTTTGATTCTGAATATAAACCATCAAAACCAAAAGTACCATGATTTGGTGATAATGGTAAAATAACTTGAGCTGGTCTTGTATCAGTTTGTTTTTTAGTTTTTACAGCACCTAATAATCTTAATAAATTAGTCAACATGATTCTATGAGCAAGTTCAGATCTTGAATCAATATTATCAATGCCATTACCATTTTCTGGAATAGCAGCAAATGGAATTATAACATCTAAATCCCAACCTAAACCACCTTTTTTGGTATCTTTATAAATATAGTCAACTAATGCATCAACATCTTGTATTGAACCTTGATTAAATGGAACAACAACTAATGTTGAACCTGCTGCACCATATCTTGCATACATGTTTTGATAAAATTCAGTAACTTTTTTGGAAAATCTTGAAGTAGTAACAATAACTTTAGCACCACCACTAATTAAACCTTGTAAAATTTCGGCACCAATTGATCCTGCACCAGCACCTGTTACTAAAACATATTTATCAGCAAAAGTTAAACCATTAATAGCAGCTGATTCTAAACCATTTAAATACATTGATGATAATTTACGATCATATTCCCAACCATTACTTGATTTCTTTTGTAAATGTAAAAATGGTATTGTTTGATTTGGAATAGTTGATGAAACTGGTTGTAAAATTGATGTTTTATCTGGTAATGAAGCAATTTCATCATCATCATTATCAGAAGCAGTTGATAATTCATCTTCATCAGGGGTATTTGCACCGGTTGGAGCTTGTAAAATATCTTTTGTTAATTGTTGAGTTTCAATTTCATGTGATGATTCAACAACTTTTAATAATTGATCATAAACTTTTTCTAATTCTAATTTAGAATCTTTTGAAGCTTGTTTTGAAATTGCTTTATAAACTCTAACTAAATCTTCTTGAATAGTTGGTTGTTGAACTTTTGTCATAGAACCACCTTGAGCCATTTCATAAACATATTGTTCAAATTTTCTAACTGAATCTTTGTTAACTTCATCATAAACAATTTCACCTTTTGAACTAACAGTTGTTTTTGGACCAGTGATTCTTGAAACATCTTTAAAGACTGGTTGTTCATTAATAACTTGTTTACAATTATCAATCAATTGTTGACCTAATTTCTTAGCCAATTTATAGGTCTCACCCTTATATTCAGGACAATGATCAATATGATATTGCATAAATTTAATTAATGTTGGATTTGATCTATTCATAATTTGAATACATTGATTAATTGTTTCTCTATCAACAGATGTTAATTTACCAAAGATAATATCAAACCACATTGATAAGACGTCTTGTCTAGCCCAATTCCAATAAGAATCATAAGTTCTTGATTTTAATTCTGAAAATGTTGGTTTTATACCTTTGGCATAAAATTCTCCATGTTCTGCTTCCCATAAATCTAACTCTTGTTGTAAAACTTTTGTAGCTTCTTTTTCTTTTATAAATGATTTTGCACCTTTATTAAGATCAACTTGCAAATATCTTGCTAAAACTTCCAATTGTTGTTTAGCTAATTTTTTATTTTCAGCAGTTAATGCATCTAAAGCAGCACTATCAACAACAGCAGCTGAACCATTTGAACTTGATTGAGAAGATGATGATGTTAATGAAATACCAGCATGTTGTGCGTATTTTTGAGCCATTGAATCTAAAAATGATTTTGCTTCTGCTTCTGAATTTAATCTTGAACCTGGTTCATTTGTTAAACATATTAATAAAACAGAATCTTGTCTACCTGAACCTAAACCAAATCTTGATTCTAAGTATTTTCTTGCATTTGTAATTGAAAATCCACCAGGCATTTTTGATGACATTAATCTTGAAATTAAAGAAGTTGAAGTTTTACCTAATGAACCATTAAATGAATCTTGAAATTGTTCAGCTAATTCTTCTAATGGAGTTTCTTCTGGTTTTTCTGGTGTTGAACCAAATTCTTTGCCTAAATCTCCTAAAATTTCATTTTGAACAGTTGATTTACCATTAACTAGATCTTTTATAGCTTTTGACATTGGAACTGATTCTAATGGTTTTTTCAATTTTTGTGAAACTAAAACATGAATTAATAATGATGCTTTGACTGGTTCATCTGGAATTGCTTCAACTGGACCTGAAGCAACTGGAGCTGGAGCTTGAGCTTGAGCAGCAGCTGGAGCAGCAGCTTGCGGAGCTTCTTGTTTTTCTTCTTCTTTTGGTTGTTCTTTTGGAGCTAAATCTGCTGGATCTGGAGTATAGTAAATTTCTTTTGCATCTTTTGAATAACATAAAACCTGACGATGTAAGGATAAAGCCGCATCGTAAGATTCATATTTAGCTTTAATTGTACGTGACGCCATACCTGCTAAAGTTGGTGACGGACCAATTTCAACGACTCTTTCAGTATTATGTTGTTTTAAAAAAACATCTTGAGTTTCAATCCATCTAACTGGAGAAGCAAATTGATATGCTAATAATTCAGTTAATAAAGTATGAGATAATTCTTGTTCAATTTCTGGTCTCATAATTGGTAATTAATGAATTGAATTGAGAAATGAAAAATTTATTGAAAATGAAATAATTCAAAGTAAATGTAAATATTTTATATTAAAACGATTAACCTTTTAAACGTAGTATTTTTCATTTGTACCAACGGTTTTGAGTTTTTTAATTATTTACCCAAAAAATTAATTTTTGATGGGAGACACGTTATATTTTTACACCGAAATACGCAAGGTAAAGGATTACAGACGCTGTATATTGCAATTACTACTAGGAAAGATTTGACGGTCGATACTAGTAAATGTTAAAGTTCTTCCACTGACTTAAAGCTTTCTATAACTATTCTATTATCCCAACATAAGTAGTCTCAACATTTGATCTAATTGTAATCTATTACACAAAATCTAATTTTTTTTTTTTTCTGTTGAGATTTTGCAACTAAAAAAAAAAAAAAAAAAAAAAAAATTTGGAATGTCAAAACCAAATCATTTGAGACACGACACTAGAGTTTTATGACATTCACCTGCATGTGTACATTTTTAAGAAGTTGAAAAATTTTATCTCTTTCATATATCACTTTCTTTTCAGTATATAATTCAAATATATACTTATTTTTACTTCAATTCTATTTTTTTTATAATTTATTCAACCCAAAGCTTAATGCCTTCTCATTTACCCTGATTATATTCAGTTATTTTCAGTTTAAAGTGGTGAAAGAGAACACTTTTGCATTTTGGAATATCAACTTCAAGATCGTCTCCACCCTGAAATATCTAATTTTTAATTAAATTCAGTAGAATTTTAGGACTATTTTACATGATCTACATTTGTTCTCTTTTGTCATAATAATGTATTTACAATTTTATTAAAATATAAATCAAATTCATCTCTATATAAAATTTTATTCCTATCAATTTCAAAAATATATTTACTCATGGTATTTGATTCATTGTTTATAAATTCTATCCAATTTAAGCTTGCCAATTTTCTATTAAATTCGAGTATAAAATCAAGAAATTTCAACTTATTCATATTTTTGATTTCATTATACCATAAGTCTTGTGAAATTAAGGAACAATTTGAATTATTCTGACTATGATTATCGTTGGTTAATTCGACTATTTGTATGGATAAAAACACAATTGATTGTGATAAGTAAGGTAATAGTTCAATAACATCTTTTTCCAAAATTTGTAATTTTAGATATCTTAATTTTTTAAAGTACTGCAAATTCTTTAATGCCTGTATATTCAAAGGTTGGTTGATTTCTAACGATATCAAATCTTTTGATAGGGAAGTCAATAAGGAATCTAAATTTAAGTTTGTAGTTAATTTCAAATGTTGTAATTTTGATAAATTTGATAAAAATTTAATCAATTTGCAATCTTCATTTTCTATTGAAATTTCAAATATTTCTAAATTGGGTACATTCAAAGATGAAAGGCTTTTATATTTACAATTACAGTTATCAATGATTAAATGTTTTAAACTTGTTGAAATTGAGGGCAATTCAGTTAGGTTCATATTTCTCAAGGCTAATTTTAATAAATTTGATGAATTTATATTTGAGCATGATGGTGATGAAGTTAAAACCAACTCACCTATATATAGTGAGCCTGGATTTCCTTCAGTTTTTATATTACCGTTAATTTTACGTAGTTCAGTATTTTGTCTTAATAAATTCACTGATAATGGATTGTCATGATTCCATTCAAAATCATTCAAATTTCTCATAAATGGTAGATAATCTTGGAATAGTTCGGTTATTGTTAAGTCGGGTATATCTGGAAGCTTTTTTATTAGAAGTTTTTTGATATATCTAGCATTTTGGGTATGATTTAAACTTCTAAAGAATAATTTCAATTGGTAAACTGTTGATATATTAACCCCATAGATAAACCTGTTGTCTAACTTATACAAATTTTCTAACCGTTTGAATTCAACCAAACTATCACTATTTGTTTGATAAATTTTTGGTGTTGAATCAATTATAATTACTGAATATAATCTTTGTTTTAAAACTTTGTGGAAAAATGAGTTTGTTAATGATAATGATAAAATCTCATCTTGTTGTAAGTTGTAAAATATATTTTCTAAAATTTCAATTGGTAAATTTGTCAACATGAAAAGCCTTCATAGACTAAAACCTGGAATTCATGGCGATATATATAACTCTGGGGTTTGGCATTTGTTTTCCGATCGGATTGGTAGAAAAATTTTAATCTAAAAGATCAGTTACACAAAATTGAAAAATCCAACCACAGTTCAGTATGCTCTAAAACGGTCAAACGAAAAAGAAAAAAAAGAAAACAATGATCCAAATGCCCTTTAGTTTCTAACTTCATGTGTAATTGTTATTCAAACCTCGTTCTAAAATTATATTCTCAAATAATTGTGTTGCAACGTAATCAATTCGACTTATTACTTCAATAACTTTCAATCTTGATTCAGATCTCTGTAAACGAACCATAGTGTTTGGTTCAATAAATTGAATACTCTATATTTATCTTTTAATCAATTCGGTTGTTGCAAAGAACAGCTGTCTACATGAAAATAACGACTGCTTAAAGATACTGCACGATAAATTGTCGGTCAATTCAGAATGCTTGCGAATTGCTAGTATTTACAATTAGATTGTTAGTTTCGCTGAAATTCTTCGACTAAGAACTCTCCATTTTGTTTAGTACTAACATTCACAATAAGAATACAAGGCTTTTATAATCAGTCTAGAGCTTGAAATTTATAGACGATACAATTCAATACCCCTGATTTTATTGATAGGTCTCTAACTCGTTAAAGTGCGTCTGTCTATGAAATACGAATTAATCGATAGGTCGAGCTAAGTCGCATCAAACCTAACGCGAAAGAGAATTTAGCCGCTCTAACTCATCGCATTGAAAAGCACGTACTAAAAATTTTGATTTTGAATAATTTTGCTTCTATGCAGTCTTACTTTAGTAAATTTCAAAACTCAATTTGTAATTAACTTCCTCGAAGCCCGAATTGACAACTCGAAAAAACAATGTTTAAATTACAAAGTTAAGTTTGGGAGATGTGTAGCATATAATTCAGGACTCTCGACTCTGTATAAATAGTACATATCCAGTGAAAATTTGTTCTTCCTGTCATATAAGCGGATACATTTAGTACAGTTCGCCCTAAGAATAGCGCTAAAAAATAATTTTGTAGCACTATATCATCGATTTGAAGAATTTAATTCTGAGACGAATATAGTTGTCTGCAGTATCTCATTAAATTCAACATATAATCTTTGAGTTCTTTCATATGTGTTATTTAATGCAATGATTACTTTTCGCTAGATTGAAGTAGACCTATTTCAATTTCAACACTAACAATTCACCTTTGAACTTTTTGATAATTATTTGCTTGTTTACGAATGCATAATTGTAAAATACCCACTGATATTTTTTGCCAAATTTGATCATTCAAGGAAAGCCAACTTCAAATGTACTTGGCAAACAATTCAACGTTTATAAATAATTTATTTTACCTTAATCCTCAAGAATATTATTAAATTAATCTGTTTCCAAACACATAAAAAAAAAAAAAATAATTCGTATCGCCTGGCGATTTGATTTTTAGATCTATTCTGAATTTAGTTAGCCCAAGTCGAAAATGTGAAGTTTAGTTACGAGAAGATGAGAGACTAATTATGCACATAATGAAATGGATTAAAGCTGTGTCCAGTAGACATTTGAAAGCAATTTATCCGATTCTATCAATCAGTGGTCCATCAAATATTGGTATTGTTCACTACTTGTTTGCTAGCTATACAAGCAGAAATCTTTTTACTTTTTATCGAAAACTGTAGAAAGAGGTGAAGAAAATGTTTTTGATTCTCTTGATGCTCATTATATTTTGATTGATAGTAAAAGAACGAATTTACCGAATGATGTTGTCGTCAGTTCTTCAAATGGTGTTTTTGCTTACATGAATAATATGGAAGCAAATGTCATTAATTTTGGTACATTTAACTCAATTTTTCGACTACAATCAGGTTCCACAGCCACAACTGATTTGCAAATTCAAATGAGATTTTTTGATTCAAATTAATTGAAGAATTGTCAATTATACTTCATGGATTTGGTAATGAGAATTTTATTGTAATAGATGCTGATGTAACTGGTTTTGAGTACGATGCTATTTCAGTTGTGTTAACTTTGCAGTCAAATGATGCATTCAAAGAGTATGATATTGGAGTAGGTTATGATTAGAGATTATTACCATTTCTCATTTATCTCTCATATACATCCATATCTGTTACCTTAAATAATATTGAAGTTTTGTTAAATTATAAAGTTCAACGCAGCTAAAAAATGCATGATTACACTCTTCAACTCAATTTATTCAAGTCAGATAAATTGGATAAAGATAGTGAATTAAAATACAATTTACGAATAACTTCCAGTTTGACCCCACGATATTTATTTGCGATTTTATTCGTTATTAATCTTAGACCTGTAATAAAGGTTGTTTATTACATTTATTGCTGATTGCTAAGAGCTGCAATATGCCGTGCTGCAGTATGCCCTGCTGCAGTATGCCCAGAATTTAATTTTGCTGCAAAATCATCTTAACCCAGAAATTAAAGTGAAGCGTGCCCATTGCCCTTATCCAGTTTAATACATAAAAGGCTATTAAATTATCCAGTTTAATACATAAAAGGCTATTAAATAATTTCCCACATTGTCTAATCACCTTTAAGATTTAATTCAACAAAATAGTTGACAATAGAGGAATTGAGAACAATAATTGATTTAGTGATTATGCATAGGAGTAAAAACTACAAGCGACAATTAAATATGATACATCATCAAGAGACTTAAATTCCAATATTTAATTATCGATTGCTTTGTTTAAGATGAAATAGTGGGATTGAAATGTAAGTCTAATTTGTTATTTTGCATATTACATTATAAAATTTCAACGGTTTATTTATTGTATAGGTTCGGGTTTTAGTGTTTAACAAGTTTAAGAAGTTTAAGAAATTTAAGAAGTTTAAGAAGCTTAACATAGTCTTAAAGCACAAGTATAAAGAATTGAATTTCATAGTTTTTATTGTGTCTATTGTTTCTATTGTTTCTACATCGTGTGATGATGCAACTTACTGATTCTCGCTCGTGGCTAATAAACGGTTATCATATTATAATCGTATAAATTAAACTTCCGCGGAACTAAAACACCAAAAAAAGGAAAAAAAGGAAAAAAAGGAAAAAAAGGAAAAAAAGGAAAAAAAGGAAACTCAATAATTAAGAAATATATAAAACAAGTGCATAAGCATAGGTAATATATATATAGAAAGGGGAGATTCGGTTTCGGTTGATTTTCTTCTTATTGATTAATGCAATAATAATGTGCTAATTTAAATTAGTGTGTCTATTTGAAATTAAGTAAAATGGACTAAATTTAATGTTATAAAATCGTACTACTATGTGGACTAAACTCAATACAATATTAGTAAAGTTAATTCCTTTATATAAATTATCTAAAACCATAATTTATTTGATTTAATGAGATGCAACATCATACAGGCTAAAACTGCATATAATATATAAATAAAAAAAAAAAAGAAATTTTCAGATCTAAAACAAGAATATACGCATATTGTTAATTATATTAATTATATACAGTAAATTGACGTGTAAATCTGTCATAAAACTGTTTCTTAAAGTATTAAAGTATTAAGACATTTAACTTGTTAGAATTTTAGTATATAATTAGCGTATAATAATATAATACTATAATAATATAATACTATAATAATATAATAATATAATAATATAAGAATATTCAAAGTATATTAATTGATATTTATTAATTTAATATGAAAGGCAATATTCAAACACAATAGACATTCTAAATCTAATACAAACGTAATTGATACTTTATGATACTTTATTAAATTAATATTTGTTCAGTATTAGTATAGTATAGTATATTAAATTAATATTTGTTTAGTATTACTATAGTGTATTAAATTAATATTTGTTTAGTAATACTATTAGTATAGTATAGTATAGTATAGTATAACTCTCGTTCACATATATCCACGTATTATAAATCTACTTGACAAATTTAACAAATTTAGACGGTTATATTTTTTTTAGTCCAATTATATTTAAAAGAATCAATATTAAAAAAACACAAAGGTACAAAATCTGAAGCGAGAAATAGACTCAATTTTTTTGGCATATCGCCTACTAAGAACTAAGTTTAACATCATGGAATCATGCGATAAATCTCTTACCATAAATTAATCAACTAAACTCTCTATTATAGTATTGTCTTTATTTCTAATAATTCGACTTAGGTTTATTGTCTTGTTTTTTATTAGTTTCTTCTTATTATATTAAAACAATTCAGAAAATACTCATAACCAATTATCATGTAATACTAATAATAATAATACTAATAATAATAATACTAATAATAATAGTGAATAGGAGCGTAGTTTATATATAGTACATTGGTAATAATACACTACCTTTTTATTTAGTATTATAATTTAAACTTTTAAATTTGATTTTTAGATTTCCTTAATTTTTCAATTTTTATTTATTAGATTTATATTTCAAAACCCTAATTGAAAGAAATAGAGGTATTAATAAATATCAATCTAACAACCATCATTCTAATAGATTGTATTATTTAGTAGTATTTCATATCCATCATCAGTCATCAACTATTAAAAGACAAAGAGACAGAGAGAGAGAGACACACTATCGTATCATATTATTATTATTGTCTCAATAATTAAATTTCAAACAAGGGGCTTCATATTTAATTTTTCAAAACGATAATATATAATTTATATTTCTCTTTTTTTAGCCCATATCAATTTACAACCAATTTACAACCAATTTATAAGAACCAATTTACAACCAATTTACAACACCAACCAATTTACAACACCAACCAATTTACAACAACCAACTATATTACATTATATATATATTACAGTTCATATTGAAAGAACAACCATTTACAACAACCAACTATTACATTATATATATATATTACAGTTCATATTGAAAGAACAACCATTTATATCATTCATACATTCATTCATTCATTCATTCATTCATTCATTAAACAAATCTTAAATAAATAACTCAAAATATCATTTACTATAAAGATAAAGAGTTTCAATTATTACTACCAATTTATTTATTTACTTTTGCTTACTAAAATAAACTATTTCAAAAGAAATTATATATTTTCCAAATCTTAGTAATTTCAATTTATATTCTAACATTAATCAATATTCATATTTATATTCATATTCATATTCATATTCATATTCATATACTACTACCTATTAATAGATATACTACTACCATAACAATAGAAAAAAGACAATTCAACTACTACTAGATTAAAGTTTTTATTTCATTTATACCCCAAGAAAGAAAAGTTAGTTAGTTAGTCAAGTTACATTTATATTAATTTTTTGTCATTATTCAAATTTCAATCTTGTATATTAATTATTACTATTATCAATTAAGTTTAAGAGATTCAAATTATACCTTAAATTTGTATTACTACTATTAATATTTTCACTACTACATCACCCCCCATTAGGTCCAATTTACATCATCACCTATTTTTTATCCTTACAATATATTACTACAATTATTCCGTGAAGTATTCATACATACATACAAAACTTATATTTTATATATTTATATTTTATATTTATATTTTATATTTTATATTTTATATTTTATATTTTATAACAACTGATATTTTTCAAACAGAGAACTTATAAAATATTAGAACTTGGTTTTACATACATAATTCATCATACCATAAATTTAATTATTCATTATTTATAATATTGCTTATAATAATTAAATCAACTATTATACGGGACAGGACAAATCAACAATCATCATAACAATAAAATAATATAGACTATACTTCAGTTTATTTATTTTAAATTTTTTTTTTTTTTTTTTTTTCCTTCACCGTATATTTTATTTCAGGCCAAGGGTATTAATTAATTAATACCAATTAATTCATACCAATTAATTAATTAATTATTACTAGACATACAAAAGATTAATTTAATTACTAGTTGATAACAAGGATCAAGACAGTTTTAACTACAGCAAAATCTACTAAATCTACTAAATCAATAGATTATACATAGTAGTTTTATATTTTTTTTTTGCCGTTATATTTAGATCAAAAATATTATAGCAACGCCACCCCCAAAAATTTAATCATATATACATATAATCTATTAAAAATATCAATTAATTTTCCAAATACATCATATATCATGTTTAATACCAAAATGTTTGAAAATAGTAACTCATCGGGTTCAGCAACTATAAATGTACAACCAGTTCAATCAAATACAAATTCAGAGCAGAATAATAATAATAATAATAATTCCTCAACTAATCCACAACCAATAGATATAACATTTAATCAACGACCTTCAATTTTTAATAATAATAATAATAATAGTAATAGTAATAATAATAATAATAATAGTAATCGATTTAGGAGAGAATCAGTTGCACATTCTCAAAATAATCAAATGGGTGGAATTTCATGGGGTTCAGTTACAATTGGATCTTGGTTAAAAGATGAAGTTATGATGGCAAGTTCAAATTATCAATCAATAAATCAACAACAACAACAATATTTAAATCCACATTATCATGTACAAAATACTCAACCAACTATAATAAATCCAAGAAGAGGTTCTTTTAGAACTGGTCATGGACATCATCCAAGTTTATCACCACAATTAACAACTTCATATTTACCTGATTTAGAAGCTGATTATTGTAAAGATTATAATTGTTGTGGAGAATTATTACCTACATTACACGATTTATTAAGACATTATGAAGAAGCTCATATATCAGCTTCTCCACCAATTGAACAACAACAACATCATCATAACCAACAACAACAAATTTTACAACAAAATAGACAAAGGAATAATTATAATAATTTACATAATGTAATGGAAACAGTATCGACAACAGATGTATTTTTAAATAATAATCATAATAATCTACATTCACATCAACATAATCAAACAATACAGCCTAATATAACTCATCAAAATCATCAAAATAACTATGACTATCAAAATCATCAACAACAACAACACCAACAACATCATCATCAACAACAACAACATTCACATAATTCACATCCTCAACATCCAAATTTAACTTCAAAATCTCCAATAACTCCAGATAATGATACACCAATGCAAGATGAAGATGAAATATATATTGACGATCCAGCAAGACATTTATATGTAATGGAAAATGAAGAAATTAAACCATTTAAATGTCCAGTTATTGGATGCGATAAAACTTATAAAAATCAAAATGGTTTAAAATATCATAGAGCTCATGGACATCAAGGTCAAAATTTAAGAGAAAATCCCGATGGTACATATTCTATAATTGATCCAGATTCAAATCTGCCATATTTAGATAATTCAATATTGGAAAAGGATAAACCATATAGATGTGAAGTTTGTGGTAAAAGATATAAAAATTTAAATGGTTTAAAATATCATAGGGGACATACAACACATTAAATATTTCATTTTTCACTTGCATTATTTTGGGGGTTTATATTTTCTTCATAGTTTTATGATTTTTTTTGTATATTTCTTAAATGTTTTATTATATAGTTTAATTTAAAGTTAATCAAATTTCGTGTAATTTTTTTTTTTTCACAAGTAAACAATTTGATTCATGAACTGGCTACGTTTCTTTGGATTAGTACTTCCATTGACATTAACTAGACAATGGTTATATTTCACAACGACGTTGTCAACGTCAATATTTATATTATTACCACTTTCAATAATAACTTATACACAATATTATAAAACTTTAATACCATTAAATTCGTCCCCCATACAAAATTTAAATTTTACGAAGACTGGAAACCCATCAATATCAAAATTTTATCATTATTCAAATAGTATATTTGCAAACTATTCGAATTTTGATTATGATTCAGAATTGAAATACATTACAAATTTAAATTTAAGAATTATTTGCCCACAGGCTCCAACAACGAAAAAGGTTAGTTATACATTTCAATCAAATTTTTCAATAGTATCTCAGGGTTCATTCATATTGGATTGTGATTCACATTTGATTTATAGTCATAATAATTGGATAATTCCACATAATTTGAAATTTTGGGTACCTCCAATTTTAACAACCCTTTCAAATTCTCAAAAGTTTAATATTGAAATTTGTGAATTTAAAGGAAGCGATTTAAAGGGTTCAAATCAAGAATTTCTGTTAATTTTGAATGATCATGGGTATTTAATAGATGATAGTGGGTATTTAATAGATGATAATTTTTCAAATTTGAGATTTGATGTTAAATGGACTGGGTTTAGATATTATCTTGTTAAATATTATTATACTTGTTTTGCATTTGGAACTTTAGTGTTCTTTTTAATTAGTGGTGCTATTAGTATTTTAACAAGTTATGCCATTTTGTTTATAAATTACAATAAAAATAAAAGGGCACAAAGTACGAAGATTAAAATTAAAAAGGAGAAAGGAGTTTAAACACGTTAATTGAAAAATTTTAATGCTGGTTCATTAAGAGATATTAAATAGAGACAATATTTTAATAATTAATATAAAAGTTTGTGATTGATGTTGACATGTTTGAAATGTAATTAAATTCTGCTTCTAATCATAAAGAGAGAATTTCAAAAAAAAGGTAGTATGAACCTAGAGCCTTAGTTAAATGAGTGTTTCATGATTAAGAAGTAAATATTTCCAGCATCATCATTGAGTTTTACGGTCTAGAATAAAACCGAACTCAACATCTAACATAGGACCGAGTTTAATTAGCAGCCCAAACCAAACTGAGCAACATTTGTATGAGCACTTCTATCTCAAATTCATTTGATCAAAAATTACCAAGCTTTTCGTATCTTCAACAATTCATCGCTACCATATACCTCAAGAATAAATTATAAATAACGAATGTCTTTAAATATATATTTAATTTGCATTTAATAATTTCATTTCATTTGTTGAATCAACGGATAAAAATGGAATAATCTTTCTATAAAATCCACAATCATCATCACTATTTTCAACTACATTCCCTTCACATTCAATCTTCAGCTTTATGAAAAATTTAAATTCATCAATAACTGCATTAATTTCATTCATAGATTTACCTAAATTAACCAAAGATACAAAACTCAACTCATTTACATCAATTCCATCATTATCTCCATCTTCATTTTCTTCACTAATGTACACATTTCGATTATATATAGATATAATTGGAATTTTAACCATTTTGGGGAAATAAATATGTGTAAGTTCTTTTTTACCATTTCTTATCATTTTTAGTTTCTCATTGATAGATTCATGATCAACCACAATATCAAATTTATAAATTGGACGTATTATTGAAGGTGGTAATCTATTTAATTCTGGTGGTTGTATTGATTTTTCAATTGGTAAATTATTTATAGTATCTATTGAAACAATCAGATCTTCATCTTGATCTGATTCTGTTATTGATGTAGGAGTAGATGTATTTGACATAATACTTGGAGTAGTTGAATTTGAAGAATTTAAAGATGTTAATGATTTTGAATTTCTAGTCAATGCTACTTTCGGGGGTGGTATAGGTGAAACATCATCTTCGTTTTTATTATTATCATCAATAGATAAAATTTTAAATAATTTCCCAATTGAATTAACTATAAGATTTGAATTTGTGTTTGTATTTGAGGTTGTTGTTTGTAATTTCTTTTCTTGTTCTTCATCATCATTCATTGGTTGGATTGTTGAACATGTATATATTGCCTCATCAAATACTTCATATGGATGAATTTTACGTAATTCTGAATTATTAGTAGTATTAGTTTTTGGTAAATATATTTCAAATAATTCATCTTTGGAATTAACTAATAAAATTTGAAATTTACGGTTAACGAGTGGTGAATCAGGTTTGAAATTAAAATTACTACCTCTTTCTTGTTGTAATGTGAAATTTCTAATTATCTCATGAATAGTATTTAATTTTACTTGTATTAATTTTGTTAACTGGATCAGATTTGAATTTTGATAATTATTAACTCCTAAAATTCTCCAAATTAATAATTTAATATAATATGAACGAACAAGCGGATTCCAATGTGATAAAAATGTAATTAAATTTTCATCTGATATTAAAAAATTTATAAAATTGAATTTAAATGATTGGTGAGGGATTGTTATCCATTCATAAGTACTTCTTGGTATCTTTTCTGGTATCATGTCCCATATATTAAATACAAAAGCAAAATTTTTAATTAATGATTGTACATGATTTGAATTTTTCATTATTGTATAATTACAATCTAACCAAAATTCCCAATTAATTAAAAATTTAATCTCTCTTTCTGAAGTTGATAAATTATTTAAAATATGTTGAACAAATTCATTAAATATTGATAGTATTAGATTAAATTTTTGAAATTCATATATTGATATTGTTTTTGCAATTTGAATCAATATTGAATCAAATATTTGCACCAATTGAGCATTTATTGAATCTATTGAAAAATTGAAATTTAAAATTCCATTATAAATCACGTCTCTTAATGTTTTAAAAATTTTTACAATTGAATTGAAATAAATATTATCTGAATCGAATTTAGGTAATGATGTAGGTAATTGAAGTCTTGGAGATATAGCATTATTAAAAATTTGATAAATATGAGAAATAATAATGTTAAAACCTGGTAAATTTAACAAATTTATACTTTCATCTTCTGGTATTATTTGATGTATTATATTTATATAATGATGTAAGAATGAATTAAAAACATTTGAATCTGAACAACACCATCTTCTAACCCAATCACCATTTGGATTAGAAATACCATTTACTGGATGTTTAGGAGGTGGTAAACAATTTAAAAAACATTTTTGACCTTTTAATTGTAAATTCAATCCATTAAAATTGATTAAATAATGTAAATGTGAAGGAAACAACAAATACAAATTATTTGAATCATTATTCAGATTATAATTCAACTTCTTCATTGTTGTTTCATATGTAATTTGTTTCACATTAAGTAGGAAAAGTAATGCATTTGAAACTTCTGGTAATTTAAAAAAACAAATTGCAAAGATTTTACCAACAAATGCAGAAAATGATAATGAATTATTTTTAAGATTTGACATTTTTTCAATACAATAACTTGATGTTGAAATTAAAAGATTATTATAACATGTTGTAATTTCTCTATCATCATTTAAAATTTCCCAAAGATCTGACTTACCCGCTATTCTTGAAATACATTCCAAATATGCATTTCGATCACTTGAAGGTATCGCATCATTTTGAGCAGTTGAATTTAAATTATTTATGAGCGATTGCCACCATTTTATCAATATGTTAAGTATCACATTTGTTAAACTTTTGTATATCAAATCATTTTTATTAAAAAATGAATTTAATGGATTTATAGTTGATCTTAAAAATGGTAATAATGAAGTACGTAAAATGTTTCCTTTTAAGATTATACCATGAGAATTATGATTGTATTTTTTAGAATTGAATTTGTTTAACAGTGTCTCTAATTTTTTATACCTTTTTAGTAAATTTTTAATAATTTTGTCATTTTTATGAGAAGCAGTCTGTGAAGGAGAATTAGATGATATTGAAGTTATAGATTTCGGAGATGTATATAATTTTGATAATGCAGTAGATGATTTTTTAGGGCTATTATGAATATAAATGGAAGATGAAGTCCGGATATTCGATTGATTGGGCAGTATTGGAGGTGGTGGTTTCAAATTTGAAAGTGAAAGCGAAGGTGAATTTGAATTATTTACTATATTACCATTTTCATTATTATTATTAATATATTGTTGTTGTTTTCTACTTGTTATATTTGCAGCTTTTGCAAGTACATTTGCCATTATATAGTAATATAAAAAAAGGCTCAGTAGTTAAATAAATAAATTATTGACTAGTTAATTAAGTATTAGATCATTAAATATGAAAAAAGTATAGTTGAAATGAAATTAATGCAATGTCAAATTATGAAAAGTTGACCCTGGCAACGAGTGAATTGAAATTGGTTTTCTTGTATTTTTCAAGCAGTCAAAAAGTGAGTGGATGTGAATGTAATAACCCTAGCCAGTTATAATTTATCAAAAGCGAATGTAAATTGAAAAAAAGAATGTTGTATGAAATATAAATGAAATTGGTTGTAAATATTTAATGTTCCTTGTTTAAAAATAAAATATTTTTTTTGGAATCTATTTTTTTTTTTTTATTTTTATTTTTATTTTTTTTCTATTTTAAATTTTGAACAATAAATCCGAAATTTGTGTAATTAGTTCGAATTGATTGTTCCTATTCTATTGATAATGTAATTGATTAACTAGTGCTTGTATTGTTGAATTGAGATGAAGAAAGATAGGGAATTGGAATAACTGAGTTGTTTTATTTAACTATCTCGATTTTTCATGCGATATATTCGTTTATAATAATTCTTAATTCCCTTTACTGTATTCGAAGGTAAATATTTACATTATACAATTTTAAGCCAAATAAGTTTCAATACTGCAAAGTTTAAATTAAAACCCAAAATTGTAAAAAAATGCTTTAGCAATCGTTCTAAGAGTTTTTAGTTGTTTGTTGATTAGATAACAAAGAAATAAACTCAAACCTTGTCTCTCATCTCGTTAGATATAGATTAGAAACGTGATCTCAGAATTAAGTACCTGGTTGCAAAAAAATCAAATAGTAGTGCAAACGTTTTTATTCCACTCTGGTTATTTCAGTTGCAAAATTAATTCTCTCAAGTTTCCTCCCACCCTGTTCGATTCTACTTTTCAATATTGTGTAATTATATGATACACTTGTTTCGAGGATTTTATTAATGTCTTAGATTTCCTCGAATAATTGATACGTAATTTGATAATACAAATTAAAGAATAATTAAGAAAAATTCTGGTCAATATGGTAGCAACTCAAGAGATTATAATAATTGCAAAATGTAGATCAACTTAAATTTAGCAAAATATACTTTGAAAACGTGGAATACAATTAACACAGGATTAACAAGATGATAAAATAAATTCTGGTCTACTCAACAGTTTGTAAGTTTGCCTTGTTTCCTCATTAAGTTATTAAAAAGGGCTCAGACTAAAATAGCCCCAGAATTTGGGCAAAAAATTTGAATTTTTAAAGCGAGAATTAAAGTTTCATTTTCCTTAAGCCCAATTTTTCGATTTACAATCTTGCATTTAGAATCAGTAAACATTAATAATGGCTATGAGTTAATTGTTTTAGTACCGATGTAAATTGTTAAGTATCTTGTATTTTAGACATTGAATAATACTGAATCACAAAAGATCCAATCAAAGTTAGTTGTTCTTAATTACTCTAGCAAACTCGTTGTGTCAAATGACTAACTTCTTGTATCAAATATCTAACTCCTTGACATCAGCAGTTTTTTCGAGAAAATCTAAGCAAATTTATGTAATAAATTAAAATCATATTGTTACATTTACAATTTAAATTATTTAGGTTGATTTAATTCCAAATTTGGTTCACTACTTAGTGTAATATGATGCAATTTATCAATACGTACATCTCTTTGTTAAGTTTTACAATTTTACGATATTTTATTTGGTGTGGAAATTATTCCGAAATCTCCTTTCAGAAATTTTTGAGACATTACTATAAAGGGAATGCGGCTTTATAAGTCTAACAAACTAGATCCAGTATAAAGAGATTGATGTGATCTTATCTAAAACAATCTACAGATTTCAAAAGTTAAACTCTATCTAAAATATGCCTATAAATAAAAATTGTAAAATTAATGGAAATAAAATAATAAACTTTGACTTTTATAAAACCTAAATTATAACAATGCTTATAATAATGCTATTGATTAATTTGTTTATTTCTTCTTTCCTTTCTTCTTCATTTTATTCTTTTTTTTGGTAATTTGTTCGATGATTTTTTGGGAGTATTTGATTTTAATGGGATGAAGTTCGAGATGTTTGGTCATTACCATAATTATCATCTTCTTCTTCTTCGACGTCATTAGACGCATATACATCTTCTTTATATTCTTTATCCTTGTCTTCCTTATCTTCCTTAGAAGTTTCGAGGCTAAATTTTGGATCCTCTGTTTCTGGCTCCTCATTATCAACTTTTGATTTTTCATCACTCGGTATTTCGTCATTCTTACTTGATTTATCTAAGGTTGAATCCTGATTAGTAGCTTCTTCAGTTGATTTATCTTTGTCTTGGCATGATGTTTTAGATTCGTCTTTTGAATGTCAATCTTTACAATGTTTCTTTATTTTAAGTCGCGTCTGATTTTAATTTAACAATTTGTGAATTCAAATATTCAATTTCAGGTGAAGATGCTGATAATTTTCATTTATTGTGTTTAATTCCTTTGATTTTGATTTTGATTTTGATTCTAATTCAGTTGTTATTTTATCTATTTGAGAATATAGATTTATTACTTGGGATTTAAGTTCTTGAATTAATGAAGCTAATCTTGGAATTTGTGGGAATGTTGGCATCTTCTGATTCTTTAATTTCTATTTTGAATCTTTGATTTTGATTCTTGAATGTCTTGTTTATTGATTTTTCTTTTTCTAATACTTGATCAACTTCATCTTTTGATAATTTGATTATATTTGTAAATCTTCAATAGGTTCTGGTTTTGATTCAATTGGTGCTGTGTTCCAATGTAGTTGATTCTGTATCTTTTGAACCATCTTGAGTTTCACTTGATTTAACATCTTCTTGAGTACCTGATTTAGTATCTTTTGAATTATCCTGAACAGATTCATCTTGATTAGTTTCCACTTTTACTTCTTTTGAATCGTCTAATGGATCAACTTCACTATCTTTTGTTTCTATCTGAGAAGTATTTTCTTGTGCATCCTTTTGATCAGTTTCACCATCTTTTAACTCACCATTTTCTTGTAAATCAGTTACATCTTTAACTTTCATTCCAGATTCTTCATCAATTTCCTCTGAACTAGTAATTGTTTCTTGAAAATTATTTTTTGAATGAATTGTTTTACTTAATTTTGATTCAAAACTTGCGATAATCTCCTTTAATTTACTATTTTCATCTTTTAATCTATCATTTTCTTTAGCAAGATCATTGTTTTCCTTACGAGAATCACTTATTTTATCTTCATAATCATCAATAAAATCTTTAACTCTCGGTATTACCTTATCATAATTTATAACAATTGAAGATTTATGAGGCAAGATTTGAACTTTATCATTATCATCATTTCCAATATCTTCATAATCATCTATATCATCTTCGCTTGAAGAGATATTTCTTAATTCAATTGGAGTTGGTAAATTTTCATATAAAATTAAATAAATTTCATTTATTATATCTTCATAATTTTCATTCTTTTTAGATAATTTTGAAATTTCAGATCTATAATTAGCTAAGGTTTCTTCTAAAAATGACATTTTTTCAACCATTTCAGATTTTATTTTTTTTTCAGTACTTATTTCTTTATTTAATAATTGATGAGTTATCTTTAATTCTTCTTTCATTTTTTCAAAATTTATTATAACCTCTTTTGAATCTTTTAAATTTTTATTAACTTGTATAAAATCAGTTTTCATTGTTTTATAATCATCTTCTAATTCGTTAATTTGTTTATCTTTTTCATTCAAATCATTTGATGATTTTTCTCTTAATTCAAAGATAATTTTGTTATTCCCACTTTTAAAATTTTCAAATGAAGCTTTGAGTTCCCTTATATTTTCCAAGGATTCATTTAATTTAGTTTGAAGTTGTGAAATTTCATCATCTTTTTTAACTATAATTGATTCAATATAAGAATTTAATCTAAATTCATTTTGTTTTTCCAATGTAGTATATTTAGTTTTATATGATTCTAATTCTTGAGTTAATTGAGATATTTGAACGTTAAATGATTTTAATTGTGATTTAATAGAATCATTTTCTTTATTTAACCCCTGGTCAATTTTTGTCAATTTTTCATTTTGATTAGTTAATTCAATAATTTCTAATTTTAATTTATTAATTTCTTTATCATTTGATATTGAACCATTTTTAATTTGTAAATTTGAATTTTCAATTAATTTATTTAATTTTGTTGTTGTTAAATCCCGTTCATTTATAACTGATTCTAATTTTAAATTTAATTTATGTTTTACCTCAAGTAATTCTTTTTGTTTTTCATTTAATAAATGAATCAATGCTGCTGTTGATATACTACCAATAGTAGCAATATAAGAACTGATTGACATATAAGGAATCAAATAAAATGGTAGATGGAATGAAAAAAACTACCAAAAAAAAAAAATATGGTTTTGGCTAATGTTTCAATTCTGAAACGCAAACATTGAAACTTATTTGGATCTGAAAAATTCAAAATATATTGTGTAACTGTTGGATCTGTAACTGATCGTAACCCTACGTAGCTAGTCAACTAGATACTAGTATAAACTCGAGGATTGTAGAAGGTTATATAGATATTTTACAAATTTAGAAACATTTCAAATCTATTTACATTCTTACAATTTAATAAAGTTTCAGAAAAATTTTTACTCTTTATTCATAAGATCTCACAGCAGTAGTCAGTCCATAGACAAAAAACTGTGATTTCTTATTCATTCAACTTGCATTGAATAATTGGGGATTGAACAAATTATAAAAATAACCCATTATACGTTTACTAGTGGCTAATAAAACAATTTCATTGGGTCTCATCCGAAACAGAAGTGAAACAATATGCTAGATGTGTTTAGTTCTCATAATCCTGTACTCTTGTATCTATCAGATGGCAATTTCTACACCTGGTTAATTGCTGCAAAAAATGGAAAATTCAGTTGATGGATTTTGCAACAAGACCATGCGTGTAAATGCTCAATTCTACACGTGACACAGCACGTGACTTTTATAACATAGTCAATTTCTAATATCATCAGTTTCGTAACTTCCATTAGTCTAATCTCTATCAATATTCTTATCTTGCTTTGGTTGTATTGACTCATTTCAAATTTTACTTGTTTATAATTTTTCGTGTTTCAGAAAAAAATAATTTTCAAAAAAATTTTCCACACCATATAATGTTAGATATTAATTCATTTATAATTGAAAAAGGTGGTGATCCTGAAAAAATCAAAGCATCTCAAAAGAAAAGAGGAGCTTCAGTTGAAATTGTTGATGAAATTATTTCAGATTATAAAGAATGGGTTAAAATTAAATTTCAAATGGATGAAAAAAATAAAGAATTAAATAGAGTTCAGAGAGAAATCGGTCAAAAATTTAAAAAGAAAGAAGATCCAAAAGAATTAATTGAAGAAAAAGATAAATTAACTGAAGAAAAGAAAAAATTAATTGAATCAGAAGCTGAAAGTGATAAAAATTTAAGATTTAAAGTTAATCAAGTTGGTAATATTGTTCATGAATCAGTTGTTGATTCAATGAATGAAGATAATAATGAATTAATTAAAACATGGTTACCTGAAAATTATTCAAAATGTGAAAAAATTGCTGCTGGTTCAAATAAACCTGCTGAATTATCTCATCATGAAGTTTTATTAAGAATTGATGGCTATGATCCAGAAAGAGGTGTTAGAATTGTTGGTCATAGAGGTTATTTTTTAAGAAATTATGGTGTTTTTTTAAATCAAGCATTAATTAATTATGGTTTATCATTTTTAGCTAAAAAAGGTTATATTCCATTACAAGCTCCAGTTATGATGAATAAAGAAGTTATGGCTAAAACTGCACAATTATCACAATTTGATGAAGAATTATATAAAGTTATTGATGGTGAAGATGAAAAATATTTAATTGCTACTTCTGAACAACCAATTAGTGCTTATCATGCTGGTGAATGGTTTGAAAAACCTCAAGAACAATTACCAATTAGATACGCTGGTTATTCATCATGTTTTAGAAGAGAAGCTGGTAGTCATGGTAAGGATGCTTGGGGGATTTTTAGAGTTCATGCTTTTGAAAAAATTGAACAATTTGTTTTAACTGAACCAGAAAATTCTTGGAAAGAATTTGATAGAATGATTTCTTCAAGTGAAGAATTTTATCAATCTTTAGGTTTACCTTATAGAGTTGTTGGTATTGTTTCTGGTGAATTAAATAATGCAGCTGCTAAGAAATATGATTTAGAAGCTTGGTTTCCTTTCCAACAAGAATATAAAGAATTAGTTTCATGTTCAAATTGTACTGATTATCAATCAAGAAATTTAGAAATTAGATGTGGTATAAAACAACAAAATCAAACTGAAAAAAAATATGTTCATTGTTTAAATTCAACTTTAAGTGCCACTGAAAGAACAATTTGTTGTATTTTAGAAAATTATCAAACTGAAGATGGTTTGATTGTTCCTGAAGTTTTAAGAAAATATATACCTGGTGAACCTGAATTTATAAAATATGAAAAGGAATTACCAAAGAATTCTACATCAAAGAAAGCAAAGAAGTAAGGATGTAATAAGGATGCCAACACGGTAAGGATGCAAAAAAACACTTGATTATATAGATTAAATAGTTAAATTAGATATTTGTGTAGTCGTCGTAAATCCTACTACTTCATTCTGATGCGAGATAAAAAATGTTTCAGCCCTGCCAAAAAAATAATGAACCAAAACAACTTAAAACTTTCAATGAGTAAAACTGAATACCCAGTTCAATCACCACCTTCATATTCAGAACAATCAGATCGAGAATCAGATATTTCAGAGGTACCGAAAGCTAGTGATCATCAATTTAAAAATGTTTGTCTTGACTGCTATGAAGATTGCTTTGGTTGTTGTACTGGACACAAAAATTTGCCAGGGTCAGATAAATTCATGTTAGGAAATTTATGTGCTGCCATATGTTGTCTAACTGTCTCTGATGCAGCTGTGAATAGATGAATATATATATAATTGGTTGTATTGAGTGATTGTATTGAGAGGTTATATGGTCGTGTATAACTCAAATTTGCCATTACTCCAATTCGGGATTAAGAGACTAAAAACTTGAAACTCGGTGTTTCTGTTTTGGGCTAAAAATCTAAGATTTAAAACCGAGCACCTTGCATAATTTCCACCTGCATTAAATTTGATATAATCCACACCTCCTGAAAGATGAGGAAATTGTATAAATAGAGGTAAATTTCGTTGCTATTTTCAATCAATTAACAACTATTTTTCTCAATTAACAATGTCATTACAAGGTCAAACTGCTATTATCACTGGAGGAACTAAAAATTTAGGAGCTGAAACTTCAAAATTATTAGCTGGTGAAGGTATTAATTTATTCTTACAATACAGATCAAATAAAGAACAAGCTGAAAGATTTAAAGCTGAACTTTCAAAAGAATTCCCACATATTCAAGTTGAAATTTATCAAACTGCATTAGATAAAGCTGATGAAAATACTAAATTATTTGAAGTTGCTAAATCAAAATTTCCAAAAGGTTTAGATTTTGCAATTAATAATATTGGTAAAGTTGTTAAAAAACCAATTGTTGAAGTTACCGAAAAGGAATTTGATGAAATGCATATTGCAAATAATAAATCAGCATTTTTTTTTATTAAAGAAGCAGCTAAGAATTTAAATGATAATGGTGCTATTGTTTCATTAGTTACTTCTTTATTAGCTGCTTATGTTGGTAATTATGCTATTTATCAAGGTTTAAAAGCTCCTGTTCAATATTATTCAAAAGCTGCAAGTCAAGAATTGAAATCAAGAGGTATTTCAGTTAATACTGTTGCTCCAGGTCCAATGAATACTGAATTTTTAATTAATTCTGAACCAAAAGAAGCTGTTGAATTTTATAAAACTCAAGCTATTGGTAATAGATTAACTGAAGTTTCTGATATTGCTCCAATTATTAAATTTTTATTAAAAGATGGTAAATGGATTACTGGTCATACAATGTTTGCCTCAGGAGGATTTACATAAGATTAATTTAGTTGAATATATGCTGGTTATTACTTCTAAATAGATTTTGTACCTCTTAGTTGCGTTTCTTGAATTTTGGGAAATTTCAAAAATTAACAAATTTTCCAATCCAGCTCAAGGCAACACATTTCAATTAGACCACAAATACTAAACTAATTACTGACTATTCGATGGAATCTATCACAAATCACGAGCGTCTAATATATATTGTAAAATCTAAAATTCTAGTGTCTAAAATTTTTTGGAAAATTTTCAATTAACCAACACTTCTTAACCACTTCATCACATACACATAGCTTCAGCACAATCTTCCGCGAGACAGCAACACAAACACGCAGCGCACACACCGCAAAACGCCTGATATATGTGTTAATAAAATTCGCTATTTAGACTCTCTTGACCTCGTCGATGACATCAAATTGCCAAAAAGATCAATCTATTGGGTGATTGGTTTAGTTATACATACACTACAGCAGCCACCACCACCTTTTTGTGGTTGTTGTTGGACATACATCGGTTGAGGTTGTTGTTGATAATATTGTGGACCTGGTGGTCCTTGTTGATAATAACCTTGCGGTGGGCCTTGTTGATACCCTTGCGGTGGACCTTGTTGATAATGACTCTAAAGAAACAAGTTAGTATAATTTAAGGAGTATCTGAATTCATCATTGAATTTTCAGAATACTTTCAAATTCAAATTGTCACGATTTCTTTAAAAGAGGCAGATATGGCAGCCAAGCAGACTTTCGATGAAATATCAAATGTATCGCATCTATCAGCAAACATTAAGTTAGGAGCAGCTCGATCTCGACTCATCATATTCAAACGATAACTTAAAAATTGTCAAAACTTATGACTTGTATCAGCGGCATTGCAATTGACATAAGAAACAGCAGCAACTAAGCTCCAATAAACATCAAAGCTCAATACTGGAGCAAATGGATGTGACTGTAACACTCGTTCTCTTGAAACAAAAATTTGGCGAAAATCTTGCAGCCTTGTCTAACTTAGACACTATAATATCTTCAAAATCAAAAGACCTTGATTTGACGTCTCTAGTCCTCAATCTTTCTTCCTTTCTTTATTTCTTTCTTACGAACAAAACATGTCGAAGCAGTATCCTCGATCTTATACAATAACTCAATTTTACAATTTGACAAACCGTGGTCAAATCCGATCAAAATAAACTTGTTCTTTTACAACATCCTACCCTTAAAACTATTCTTTGTCCAATTCAAAACAATGTCAAATTAAAATTGAATAACATACCATAATGTAGCAGCTAACTTAATTCACCAAAAAGAATGAAATATGAATTTATCAATTATTTCAATACTGTGCCTAGTTATTTATTTTTTTGCAACTATACACGTAATATGAAGTATTCGTTCTATTTTTAAATTTTCAGCCTTGGATCAGAATAATAATTTGTTAACAAAGATCATTCTTATTTTTCTTGGTATTCATTATGCGTGGAATGATTGTCAATTAGCAAATACCCCTGAAATATTATTTGGACCCTTAAACTGCTCAATCAATAAAATAATTCGAATTGAACTGAATTGAATTGAATTAGTAGAAAATGGTATCTTACGTCGCGGTAGATCAATATTTACCAAATAGAGTAAATAGCCAAACAACTCGGCTTAGAAAAAATTCACATTAGCACGTATTATATATTTCTTTATCTATTTTGATGACCTTCAACAAAAGCCAAAGCTTCATCTTTATTAATTTCATTTATAGAACTTACTTTATTTGAAAAATTAACACCATAAAATTTATCACCACTTAATTGTAACATTTCAGGTCTAAAAGTAGTACAAATAAATTGAGCATAATCAGTTTGTGAATTAATTAAATTCGCAACTGAAGTTCTATATTGATTATCTAAATTTGAATCGATTTCATCAAATAAATAAAATGGAGCCGGATCACAATTTTGAATCGCAAAAATTAAAGTAATTGCACATAATGATTTTTGACCACCCAGTAATTGTTCGATTCTTTGTTGTTCATAATTTCTTGAATTGAATGAAACTGAAATTGCAACACCTGAATAATTATCAATTGTTAAATCGTCAACATTCTCGTCCTTTTTCTGCATGAGTAATTCACCTTTCCCAGTAGGTACGAGTTTCTCAAAAATTTTACTAAATGAGGTGGATATCTGTTTGAATGATTTTATTATAGCTTCATTTTTTTGTTGTTGAAGGTTTGAAATTAGGTTTTCGATACTTTCTTTTGATTGATCTAGTTCCAATCTTCTTGAAATTAATTCATCTCTTTGTTTTGTAAATATATTAAATTGTTCTAATGATTTTTTATTCAAATGGGAATATTTAGAAAGTTGTTGATTTATTTCTGATAATTTATTAATTAATTCATTTGATGATTTTGAATCATATTTTTCACGATTGAATGCTTCTTCTGGCAAGACACCAAGATCTCGTATAGACTTATTAACTGTCTCCCTAGAAGATATTTTTATTTGTTTTTGGTTCAATAATTTAGTAGACAATTTTGAAAATTTTTCTAAATTCTTCATTATTGTTAATTGTTGTTGATTTGCTTTCTTTAATTCATTTTCAGAATTTGATATTTCATTGTTTAATTTTTCATAATTTTCATTAACTTGATCCATTCTAGTTTGAGCTGTATCTAATTGAATTTGTAAATTTTCCATTTCTTCATTCAATTGAGATACTTGAGAATCAATAAATGATTTATTACCAATTATACCTTGTTCTTTTAATACATTATTCAATTTTGGTTTTAAATTATTATCTAATTCTGATTCTAACTTACTTATTTTATTATCTAATTTAACAGATTCTGTTACAATTTTATCTAATTCATTTTCCATTGATGAAACTTTTGAATTATATTCTTGTAATTGTGTTCTTTCTTCATTAGATAATGCTTGTTCAAATTCTGAATTTAATTCTTGTTCATGTTGTTTTAAATTTATATTAATTGCATTTTTAGATTGTTTTAAATTATTAAAATTGACTTTAAATGATGATAATTCTTGTTCTAAATTGAATTTCTTATTATTTTTCTGAGATAATTCAATTTTAATAGGCTCTTTAGACATTGATAATTTTTCTAAATCTCTAATACTTAATTGTAATTCATTATTTATTTTTGTTGTTTTTTGATTCATTTCTTCGATTGATTTAGAGACACTTTTTAATTCAGTTTCCGTTTTAATCAACTCTTTCCTCTTCTTTATTTGTACTCTTAACGCATCGATTCTCAGATTTTTATAGTCTCGATAACCACCACTCAATACACCTTTATTATCTACTCTATCTCCATCTAAAGTAATACATGTTAATTTATAAGATTTTGATAATTCACCACCTTTTGATAAATCTCTAACAACTAAAGTTTTAGCAAAGATTTGATTCATTGCCTTACTTACCTTTACATCATGTTTAATTTTGGTTATTAATGGTATACATTCATTTTCATTTGAATTTGGATATTCAGTTGGTGTATTTTGTATTCTATTTAATGGAACAAATGTAACTCTTCCTTTTTTTAATTTTATTAATTCATCCATAATCAATGCAGCAGTATCATCTGAATCAACAACTATATGAAATAATGAATTACCTGCAATTACTTCAGCTACAGTTTTATATTTATCATTAACTGTAAATAATTCAGCAATTATTCCATAAACCTTATCTTCTATATTTAATTGTTTAGCAATTGATTTTACTTCTATTATACCTTGAGCTTGTGCATTATCCATAGTACGATTAACTGCATTTGTAGCATTATTTAAATCATTAGTCAATGAATCATAAACACTTTTTAATCTAATTTCATTTCTCCATAATATTTTTCTTTGATTTGTTAAATCATTTAATTCTGATTTATAATTTGAAATTGTATTTTTTAATTCTGCCAATGCTTTTATACGTTCATCATCATTTAAAGATTTATCTAATTCTTCAATTTGTTTAGATAGGTTGGCATAAGTCAATTCTCTTGATTTTATCTCATTTGAAACTTGATGTAAATCTTGTTCTTTTGATTGTAATGATTTTTTCAATTTGGAAATTTCTTCAATTAACCATTGATCACGTTGTTGTTTATGTGAAAATTTCTGAAGTCTATTTTGTTTTGAATATAATGCTCTTTGTTTTGATGTAATTTCAACTAAATTCTCTTTTAGTGCTTGTTCTTGTTGTTGTAATTTTTCAAGTTGTGGTTTATTTTCAAATATAATTTTTTCATTTAATTCAATATCATTTCTAAATTGTTTAATTTGTTCTTGGAAATAACCAGATTTTTCATTTGATAATTCACTTTGATTTTTTACTTCATTTAATTTAATTTTGTTATCAGCAATTAACTTTAATAATTGATTAAAATCTAAATCAGTTTGTTCTTTTTCTAATTTAACAACTTTCAATTCAATTTTTAATTCATTTATTGAATCTTGTAAATCAAGACATAATTTTTCTCTAGTTTCTAAATCCTTTAAATCATTACTGAAATCATTTTTTAATTGCTGATATTTATCATCTAAATCTTGAAGACTCTCGTTTAATTCATTAAATTCACGATCAAATATATTATATTCCAATATCTTTTTCTGTTTTTCCAACGCTTGAAATTTTTTTAAATCTGCACTTTCAATTCGTAAATCATTCAATCTATCTTCAATAGTTTGTAAAGTTTCATTAATTCTTTCTCTTTTTAAATTAGACGCAGTCATTTCCTTTTGAGATTCTTTTAATTTATTTTCAAAAACAGTAGCTCCTGAAACTTCTTTAAGTAATGACAATCTTTCATTATCTTTTGAATTTGTTAAACTTGTAATTCTTCCCTGTGGTACAATATAATATGGATTGGATCTTGAGAACCCAGCACTTTCTAGTAAATTCTTTATATCTGATCTTGTTGCTGATTTACCATCCAATGAATAATCATCTTTTTTCAAACCAATTGTTCTTCTAATCAATACTTCAGATTTATTTAATGGAAATCTACCATCTGAATTATCAAATATAATTTCAACATAAGCAGATATAACCGTTCCAGAACCTTCATGAATTAAACCTTGTCTTTCTTCACGTGTCATATGAGTATAAGCATCACTTAAAACAAATCTAATAGCAGCAAAAAAATTTGATTTACCAGAACCATTTCTACCAACAACAACATTACATCGAGGAGATAAATCATCTATTATAGTTGCATTTTTATAAGTCTTGAAACCTTGTATTATAATCTTTTTAATATGCATTGGTTATAGATTAATTTATGCGTTGGTGATAATAAAAATAAAATAAATTTTGAAACACGCGTCGCAATTATTCAGACTAATTAGGAAATAGACAATGAAATATATAGACATAGAAGCTATATATATATATATATGTATCTAATAATGACCTAAGAGATAGATTGATATTAATACTTGAGGTGTGTAACCTTAACACTCTTTTACTGGTGCTAGAATCTGAGTTTAATGAAGTTTTTTCGAATTTCGACCGTTAGTAAAGCCGGTTGATATCACTCCATTATCTTGACTTAATTGGAAGCTATTCTAGGCGTTTTTTGACCTCTGATATCATAAGTTGATGTATATGGCTTGGTGTTATTACTAGTACTTATATAAAAATATGTATAGTGTGAATCCTGTATATAAAATTGTTGCTTGGAAAATTTGAAACAATTATTATTATAATTATAATTATTTACCATGGCTAGAAATAGATCTAAACGATCCAAACCTCATCAACAAGAACCTATACATACTTCAACTGCGACTATATTTCAGAACTTAAAAGATGAATTAGAAGAAGAACAAGAAGAAGAGCAACAACAACGACAACCAACTAAAAAAGAACAATCTCAAGTTGCTTCTCAATTTACATCAAAAGAAGATATCGAAAATGCAACATTTCCATTCAATTATATTTATCAATTTCAAGACTTTCTTAATGAAAGAATGACATTATTAAAAGCTATTCAATTAGCAATCATGTTATTTTATACTCAATTATTATATTTACATAAAGATAAAATTCCAGGTTTGTATGAACGAATTTCAGAAATTTTCTTTAATTGGTTAGGTATCGTTTTCTGTCTAATTTTAGAAATTGTAAGATCAAAAGAAGATAAAATAAACCCACCAGATTTCAATTATTTTTATAGTATTTTAATACCTACATTTTTAAATTTATTACATTATGATCCTCAATGGTTTATTGCTAATTTATCATTAAATTATTTTATTTTGGATAGATTGAACCCAATATTTAATATAATTTCAAGTATAATGTTTTTTGAAATTTATAAACCTGAAAATTCCAATTTATCAACTATACAATTTATTCAATTATGTATATTTCAATTATTTTTTAATTATATCATAAATTATATAAATGAGGGAAATATTACAACAGAAGTGACTAAGAAGGAGGGAGAATTGATTGAAAATTTAGATTATAATAAAACATTGAAAAAGTCTGAAATTCAATTAATTTGCATCTTAATTGTCAATTTATTATTTAATCAATCATTAATGGATAATTATTTACCAATTACCATATTTCAAAAATTATTCATATCTTTAGTTATTTCATCAATATTATTATATCCATTATTTCAAATTATTCCACAATTAATTTCAATTTTATTATTTGGTAGTATTTTTTCATATTTAACCATATTTCAATTAAATCACATACTTAAAGAAAATGCAATAAAATGGTTATATGAATATATTATATCTGATGATAAACGATTATATATATTAAAAGTTTGGATAGTCATGGCTTCAATTACAATACCAATTGTATTTTATTTTGTCGAATTTTTTACTTTAAATATTAGGAGAAAGATTTGGCATTTATTTATTATCGTAGCATTAACATTCAGTCCATCAATTTTGTATTCTCAAATTGAATTCACATTGATTAGTTTATTAGGTATGTTGGCTATATTCCTTATTATTGAAGTATTAAGATATAATCAAATTAGTTTTATTGGGAAATATTTATTCAACAAATTGATTAAATTTCAAGATTTTAAAGATTTAAAAGGTCCTTTAAATTTATCATATATTTATTTATTAGTCGGTGTTACTATCCCTATCATTTATGATTTTATGATTAATAAACAAAATGTAACTATAATTAGATATGCTGGATTAGTTACTTTAGGGGTGGGAGATACATTAGCACTGATTATTGGTAGAAGATATGGTTCTATTAAGTGGAAAGGAAGTGACAAATCAATACAGGGTACTATTGCATTTATATCAAGTTCATTAGTTGCATTTTATTTAATTGATGAATATTCAAAATTTAATATTTATTTACCAGTTTCAAATTGGGAAAATTTATTCGTTACGGTTTTATTAGCTGGTTTATTAGAAGGAACAGCAGATATAAATGATAATTATCTAATTCCAATATTCATACCTATTTCTTATGAAATATTAAACAAATGTTATCCATAGTATGTATATATATATAATAAATTTTTATATTATGTAATCAGTTTATTTCTGAAACACGAGTTTATATATTCAGTTTTTTTTTTCTTCTTTTATCGTATGGTTAAAATATATGAAATGAATAAGAAGATATTATCAAGACAAGATATTATTAACCTAATAGCTGATGGGAAAGTAATTGTAATTTATAAACAACATGTTTTAAATTTAAGTTCTTGGATTAAGAAGCATCCTGGTGGAGATAAAGCTGTTTTTCATATGATTGGAAGAGATGCAACAGATGAAATGAATGCGTATCATTCAGATACCACGATCTCAATATTTAAGAAATGGTCAATTGGTGAAATAAATTATTGTTGGGAAAATTTATTACCTCCAATTCAAGGTGGTAAATATTCTTTAAAATATAAAAATAAACATCTTGATGAGAAACTAGATAATGATTCAATGGAGGATTCTAGTTCTACTTCAAGTTCAATAAATGAAGAATTTATAAATAAAGGAGCTGGTGTAGTTGTTAATATTGATCCAGTAGTACCTCAAAATAAAATAGTGACTAAAGATATAAAAGAAGAAGTGTTTCCTATTAAATCAATCATTGTTAATCCAAAAGATATACTAAAGAATTATGATAATGGTCTTTCACAAAATGATTTAACTTCAATCCCTTCTCTAGATTATAAAACTCAACGGTATCTTAGAGATAGATATAATTTACTTCATCAAACAATTATCAAAAATGGGTTCTATCAATGTGATTATTGGTCATACGTTAGAGAAGTAGTTAAAATTGGTTCACTATTTTTATACTCCCTTATATTCCTCAAAACTGGTTATTTATTCCTATCTGCTTTGTGTATGGGTATGGCTTGGCATCAAGGAACTTTTATTGCCCATGATGCTGGCCACGTATCAATTACACATAATTATCAAATTGATAATCTTTTTGGAATGTGTATTGCTGATTGGTTTGGTGGATTAAGTCTTGGTTGGTGGAAAAGAAATCATAATGTTCACCATTTAATCACAAATGATCCAATCCATGATCCTGATATTCAACATTTGCCTTTTTTTGCAGTTTCTGTAAGATTATTTGAAAATGTTTATTCAACATATTATGATAAATATTTACCATTTGATAAATTTTGTGAGAAATTAATTCCACTTCAAAAATATTTATATTATCCAATTTTATGTTTTGGTAGATTCAATTTATATAGATTATCATGGACACATTTAATTCTTGGACAAGGTCCAAGAAAAGGAAAAGCAGCATGGTTTAGATACTTTGAACTAGCAGGATTATCATTCTTCTTCTACTGGTTTTTCTACATGCTTATTGGCTCAATTCATGGAGGTTGGAATAAATTCAATTATATTATGGTTTCACATATTGCTACTATGTTAGTCCATGTACAAATAACACTCAGTCATTTTGCAATGTCAACATCAGATCTAGGTGTTTCTGAATCATTTCCAAGTAGACAATTAAGAACAACTATGGATGTTGATTGTCCTGAATGGTTAGATTTTTTTCATGGTGGTTTACAATTTCAAGCTATTCATCATTTATTTCCAAGATTACCTAGACATAATTTAAGAAAAGTTCAACCTTTTGTTATTGATTTTTGTAAAGATGTTGGATTAAGTTATTCAATTTATGGTTTTGGTGAAGGTAATGGAATTGTAATTGGGAAATTGGGGGATATTGGACATCAATGTCTGATTTTATTAGATGCTGTAAAGAAATATGATGGGGATTTACACTAAGTAACGAGTAAGGATGCTGTCAGGGTGCTGTCAGGATACAAGTCGGCAAAGCTCTATCAAGTCAATTCAAGATAAACTTGAGGAAGAGAAGGAGGAAAATTTGGGATAATGGTTAGAAAAGTTAGATAGAATTAGAATTAGATATTATTAACTGTACATTAATTCGTTTCTTTCATTATATTTAAGGAATAAGGATACAATTAATCACTGTAAGGATGCAACAACCAAATAGAGCATAATGCTAAACATCTAGTTTAGCTTGCCTCTTTCATTATATCTTCATTTATTAATCCCTTGTCATTCAAATATTGAATAAATTCAATGACCAATTTATTCTCATTAATCATTTGATCCTGTGCAACTAAATGTTTAAATAATGAACATTTATTCACATTTGTATTTTCAACTCTATTTGAATATAATTTTGGAATTAGAATAGGTATTCCATTAATAAATTTTCTATAATGAGTTTGATCATTGAATATTAAAGCAATTGGGTTTGGTTCATTTGATAATTGATGAACATTTCTGCATTTGGAACCATATTTACATTTCCTAAATTGTTGATAAAATTTGCAAATCACCTTGGGCCGTTTTTTAATTGAATTTGTGTCTTCCAATTTTCGTTTCTTCTTTTCTTCATTCTCTTTTAGTTTTAATGCTATGTTTTTCGACGTTGGCCAGTTCTTTTTTCTTTCTTCTATCCATTTAGCTACATCTTCTTCTGTTTCTAGTTTGATTGATGTGCCTGGGATGAATATTGATTTTGTAGGTGATTGTGATTGTGACTGTGATTGTCCTTCTTCGTTTGTTTCTTCTATTGTTTGATCTTGAGGTATTGGTTCTAATTCTGGTTCTTCTTTCGGTAGACTTGTTGGTGTTTCTCCTGGTAGATGTGTTGGTAAATCAAATAAATCAAACATGGTATTAAATATTGATTAGATTATAATTTTAATTTTTTTTGGCTCATCAAAAGAAAATGTTACACAAAATTGTAATAGTATTGAAATAGAGATCTAATTGATTCTTGAAGAAATACAGACAATCTGATTCATCTTCAACTGTATTAGTTGGTGTAAATGAGTCTTCTCTAAAGAATGGTGAAAGAAAAAGTTGAAGGAAATTTCATTTTTGATCTTTATGATTTTTATGCTATTTTTTGATATTTTTTGCAGAAATTGGATGAAATGTAGAATATGAGCAAATTGATAATCATACTGACTTTAAAATATGTTAAGAATATCCCACTAAGTGCAAGGGACATATTTAGTGAAGCTCGTTCAACTCCGATGAATTAAAATTAGTTTTTATTTAAATTTGACCACCCTTACAAGAAATTGTTCATTTTGTGCTTAAATGATTTTAAATAGTTCTAGGTTAATTAAATTTAATTGATCATTTTTAGTTCAATTTAACTAAAATATTACCTTTTGATTATTTTCTAGCCAAGATTTACAAATTTCGGTTCCAGATTTTATTGCAATTTTATTGTAGAGTAAAACAAAAAGAAAAATCGAAGAACAAATCTTGCGACATTATTCATTTCACATATCCATCAATATAAATTTAAGATCTCCTCTGTATCTTTATGGATATATGTGATTTAGATTACGAATCTCTAAAGCATCGTAATAAAATAAAATATTTTCCACACTGTATGATAACTATAATTCAAAACAACTGTAATGGTTTTATGCAATGTATGTTTCAAAACTGAATTCCTTGCTTCTATCAAAGTATTCAAATTATCTTCGATTTTGTGATATCAAATATTTATTACCAAAATATGTTCTATTCTGTTTATTTTGAAATTTAGAGACGACTGAAAATTAGTAAATATGCTTTAATAGCTCATAGACTAAACTAAACTAAATATAAGGTAACTAACCAAAAGCCAATCAAATACCAAAGTTGATATCTTCCAAAGATAAATAAAATTAAACTTTTTTAAAAATTTGCCACTTGAATGACTTTGAATTTGCCATGATCAAGGGTTTTTAATAATACAAAATGTCATCATGAAGAAACTTTATTATACGCGGAATCTAAAAAACTTTAAAAGAAAAAAGAGAAATAAATTCCGTTATTTAAAATTTGTCAGGGGGTGCCAAAAAGGTAGTGTACCAACCACTGAAACATTATGTAGAATTCTAAACTAATTCAGTTTGGAGTATGAAATTTATTTTTCGAATATGGATTGAACTACGAGTGAATGAAATTTATAGGTTAACGTGGTAGTAGCAAGTAATAGGCATCGACTAATTTTTGTACTTTGAAAACTAAAAAGGCTAGAGAAATAATTTATATCATAAGATGAAGATCAACTTTAATGAAGATGCATCTTATGTAATTGGTGTATGAAATTTTCACAAAATAGTGCTACGGTACTCGGACGATTCCATAATTTTCTATACGATAAGTTTAATAATTTAATAAGATTTGTGCGCATTTGAAACGCTCAACAATCTTAATTTACCAATTGATTAGCTTTAATAGACTTTTACTATTAGTATCCTATGTATAATTCAAAAAGAAAGGAATTATATTCTGATACATAAATAAATGATTTGAAAAGTATCAATAACTTATACCCTATATCATTTGCTCCATTTTTTTATCAATAAAGTGTAACGTTAAAAATCATCCTACAGATTTTGTCTCAGATTGGCTCGCTTTTATTAAATCGAATCAAGATTGCAAAGTCATTTTCTGATAATGATATGGCAATAAATATAATATATAATAACTGGATTTTTGTGTGATAACAATTCAATTTGAAAGGAGTACGAATTGAAGATGTTTTATTTAGTCATTAGAACTTCACTGTAATTGAAATTACTAAGAATCACCTTAATTTCAAGGGCTAAGTTTACAAGTTGAAATTAATGAGACAATATAATAATCATGTTACCATTATGTAGCAATTATGTCCACAGCAGATCGAATAATTTTTAAAAGTAATACTTGATTATTCGGATTAGTTTTGAGATCATTAATTCCGTTTCTTTTCAATTATATAATACAAATGCATCATGGTTTAACTTTTGTTATTGCTATAATTCATTTTGGATATAGATACTAAATTGTGGATATAATTAGAATAAACCAATGTGAGACAACAACAAATTAGCGTGAGAATTTTATATGCAGTACTAATGTCTCAGAATTATGCAGAGTTTCCGATTGTGGTAATTTTTTTATTCTTTTTTTTTTTTCTGAAACAAAATTACTCGTCTAACAAGTAGTATGAAAGAAAGAATAATAAGTTATCAAAATAAAATAAGGTGACAAAGAAACAGAAGAGCTCAAATTCTATGAATTAGTAATATACATGGAAGATTGCTTAACCACATGGATTATTGTAAATCTACACGAACTGTCTACAAGTATAATTTCTTAAATTTATTTATTATTCAAAAGAAATTGGTTTCAGATTGTTCGTAACCATTAATTAAAATTGAATGTTTTTCTGCCATGCATTCAGAGATGTCTTACATTTGTCTTTGATATTATAGGACCAATTTATACTTTAGAACATTGTATACATGACTTATATATCAAGTTGACTTAAATTATAATGTAGAATTTTGAAACATAAAGAACGTGCAGATTATATGTTTCGGAAACCAATTTGAACCGAATTGAAGCCAAACAAACAGAAGTTGAAATGTGGGGTGTAAAGAAAATCGCAGACATTAGTTTTGCATACAATAAAAACCAAATGATAAATCATTTAAAATTTCCGAAGCATATAAAAAGATTCAGTAATCTTCCAAATAATTTTGTTAAAGTTTTCTTTTCTACAAGAAGTTAATCATATACAAATTTTATTTAAATCAATTCTAAATTAAACTATATCAACAATTTTACAACAAAGTAGACTCAAGTTTCATCTATCACAATTAATTGATTAACAAAAGTCAAGTACAGAATAATTACAAATTTATCGGCTAATAGTAAGTATGATCAAAGTTATTACTATCATATCGTTTCAAATATCAAATATTCATTCAAATTCGAACAATGTTTACAAAATATCCGGAAGAGCGATGTTTAAATAATTTGCCGACGAATGTCACCATAGTACTTAATTTACCAACGAATGCGACATTTTTTCCACGATAATTGTCGCACTACACCGAATAATTTTTTTTCCTTCCAATTAATAAATTGCACATAGAATAATAAAAAAAAACGTTCATTAATATAGTACAGATAATGATCAAAAAAATACAAACTAAACAACCAAATTTTAAACAAGGAATTCCGATTTATCCATTTACATGTCATTGACCAATAATATTCTTTGATTTTCGATTGATACAATGTTTAACAGTCAAAAAGAAAATTTTTCCACATTTCCTTCATATACTAAAATATATTGCATTTGTTGTTGTCTTAGATTTTCATATTTTATAAGACATTTTGCTTCAAATTAAAAAAATTTAAATTAAACTTTCAATTTCATTCCATCAATTTATCATAGAAGAGTTTAATAATTGGAAGAGATGTTTGTATATTCAGTGTTTTGTATCCGTGGTGTAAATTAATTTTTTATGGTGGGAAAATAGTGGAAAATTAATTCTCCACTTTCTAGAACGATTTTGATATATCTGTACGAGGATGTTTCAGATGTTTTTAATACTAACAATTAATTTTTAGCGAAACTTTTCAAATCAAAAAGATTTCAAATCTTTAATCATGTCAGATATACTTCCTATATCATGCATTTCATGTCGAAGAAGAAAGATTAAATGTAATAAAAAGAAACCTTGCGATCAATGTTCAAAAAGACAAGTAAATTGTGAATTTCCAGCTACATTTAGAAATATCAAGATTTCAGAAGATGATTTCAAAACAGAATCTCAAGTTTCATCAGAATCTTCTTCATCATCAACTGAACCACCAACTATTTTAAAACAAGCTGAAGCTCAAGGTCAACATATTTCTCCACAAAAACTAAACCATAATCATAATGTACTTCCATATCCACCACCAAAACCAATACAGAAGAATATTCCGCAACCAGCGACTAATCTACCGAAGAAACAATCAATTTCAAGTTCAAGTTCAAGTGGTGGTAGTTCAAATTCTGTAATGACACCAAGTCTACTGGAAAAGAGTATTGTAACTGATATGACTGGTTTACAATCGGGCTCTTCATCAGATGGTGTTACAAAAGTCAATAGTTTAGGTAGTAATTTAGTTTCAAGTTCATCAGATTCAGACTTAAAAGATGGTTCAAATCAAGAAACAGGGTTAAGAACAGATTCTTCAGGTACTCCATTAGGTGTGCAACAACAATTAGATCCAAATTATAATATTGATAATTATACATTATTAAAAGAAAATTTCGATATAATGAGAGCTGCAAATATTCAATTATTAGATGAAAATAGAGCTTTAACTTTAAGATTAGAAGAAATGTTACAAAAAGTTTTAAAAGTTTCAGAAAAACCATCGTCAAATAAACGTGATCGTACATCAGATTCATCAAGTGAAGATTTACCATATAAAAAAGAAAAGGTTGGATTTTTTGGTCATTCAAAATCAAGTTTCCCCAAAGATTCTGCAAGTGAAAATCAAGGAATGTATTCAAATATTAAAATTAAAGATAAAAATACTCCACCAAAAGAATCATCAAGTACATCATGTGGAAGTAGTAGTGATGAAGTTGCACAACAAATTACATCAGAATTACAACCATTATCAAGAGAACAATTACAACAAAGAAAAATCCATAAATCAAAGAAAATTAAATCAATTATAGATAATCAACTGTTAAATTCAAATAATTATAATGATTGGGAAAGAGATACTGAAAATTTACATTCACAAGAATCATTAAAATCAAGCAATTTAGTTGAAAGAAGTTTAAAAAAGAAGAAATTACCTATATTACCTTCATATTTATTAAAATATGATGACCCAGATATTAGTACAGATTCTGATACATATCATGATGTATTTAAATTAAATTTTGAAATTATAATTAAATTGGTTCATAAATTTTTTGAAAAAAGTCCACATTATAGAAGTTTTATTTCCAGTAATCACGTTTTTGATTTCTTATATAGTTATGAATCACTTTCTGATAGAGATTGGGATAATGATGATGATTTATTATTAGTTTACATGATTTTGGCATTATCAATTCAAAGATTAACTTCGAAAGATTATGTTGATTTAACATTATTACCAGCAGCATCAATTAGTACATGTACAAAATATAGAAAATTTTTAACAAGAAATGTTTTACATAAGAATTTTGAAAGATTAAAACATCATTTAGTTAATGAATCCTTAACGACAATTCAATCATATATTTTATGTTCAGAATGGTATTTTTTAGAGCAAAAATATGAAGAATGTTGGTCAATGATGTTTCATTCATGTTCAATTTCATATTCGATTGGTTTACATATAATGGGTCAATATAGAATACATGAAACAAAACAAAATAAACAGTTTAATAGTTTAATAAGTGCAACTGCTGAAGATTCAGATGTTAGTGATAAAAAAGAATTATCAGTATCAGAAGAAAGTGATAGATCTCAAGATGAAGAATTGGACATTAGTAGATATAGAATTTGGTTTGCTTTGAAAAATCATGTTTCAATAATTTGTTCAATCTTTGGTAGACCAAATCCGATTTCAGTTCAAGTTTGTATGAATGGATCAAATAGTGGTTTAGGTTCTGAAATTCCAAATGAAAAGGCTCATATATTATATAAAATTGGTTTAAGTGAACTGTTGAGATTATCAAATTTAATGTTGATTGAAAATTTTATGATTGATTTTACATTACGAGAATTGATGAATTTATCAGTAATATTTAATAATGAAATTGATTTATTGAAAAAGTATTATAATAGAATAGTTAATAATGATGATACAGAACTGGATCAAAGTGGATCATCACCAAAGAGTTCTGCAACTGTTGATTCATTATTATATGATGATTATACAAATCAACCATTACAAATTAATGAGTTGGATTTATTAGCTGATATAATTGTATTATATATTAATGATGCTAAATTATTTGAACCATTTATAAGTAAATTTGAAAATGTCAAGGGTTATGATAAAATTGTTAAAATACAAATAGATTCAATATCACAATTTTTAACATTATTAAATCAATTTATTGAGAAATTTTTAAAGTTATGTTTACAAGATAATTTTAGAACATTAGATGTTGAAAAGAGTAAATTGGATCAGATGCGTCCACAAAATTATGGTCCTATAAAATTTGGTAAATTATTTAAAAGTTATTGGCCATTTTTAAATTCTTTTATTTGTCAAGGTATAATTGTTGTATTTACATTTTTACATTATAAATCAAAAGAATTTGTTGAAAATAAAAATACTTACTCATTAAATAATGAATTCTTATCATTAATTGAAATTAATTTAACGAAATTGATAAGTTTTGAATCAAGATTAGCAACAAAATTTATTACAACATCAAGAATGTGGTCATCCAATATGGTATATCTTATTAATAGAGTCACCAATTTAATTAAATTAATTTATGAAAAACAAGAAGATGATACTGTTGCAAAAGAATTGAAGAATAGAAAATTAAAATCATCGTCAAAATCTTCTGGCGATTCATCTTCACCTGAAAATGCAAATTCAAATTTACCAATTACAACAGCAAGAGGTAGTTTATCATATTTATTAAATACAAATCCATTTGGTGATCCATCACAATTTGAATATTTGAATGGTTTCCATTTGAATGATCCATTTTGGTTAACTGTACCAGATAATTTACCTTATTATTTAGGTTCACCATCAGAAGATATAAGAAATACAAATAATAGATCAATTGGTGGATTTAAACAATATGTATCATTATCAACAAATGAAGAAGATCAAACAAATTCAAATTCAAACTCAAATTCAAATTCAAACTCAAATTCAAATTCAAATTCAAATTCAAATCCAACAACATCAGCATCAACAAGTTCAACAACAAACAATTCATCATGTACTGATCTGTCAAATCCAGATCTGTCAAATCCCGATACTGTTAATTCAAATCAATCAAATGATATGTTTATTAGTGCAAATTATTCACAATGGAATGATAATTTAAATGTAAGACAAGTTCCAACACCAAATACAATTCAACAACAACTATCAAATCAAAGAATTAATCAACAACAACAACAACAACAACAACAACAACAACAACAACAACAACAACAACAACAACAACAACTACAACAACTACAACAACAACAACAACTACAACAACAACAACAACAACAACAACAACAACAACAACAACAACAATTACATCGTCTACCAACACAAAATCAAGCTCCAATACCAATACCAGGACCAATACAATTACCATTTCAAAAAAATGGTCCTCCACCATTAATACGACAATATTCTCATCCACCTTTATCACATCATCAACATCCATTAAATCAACCACCTCAACAACCCCAACCAAATCATCCAGTAGGAGCAAATTTCATGAATGGTGGTTATATGTTTCCACAACAAATGAGTGGGTATCCACCATCACAATTTCAAAATGATCAAGAAAATTTTTACGACCAAAATATTAATAAACAAAATAATGATAAGATGGAAGAGTGAATTTGTATATTTAGGTTAGTTTAATTTTTTACAACGGTTTATTTTTGCTAAGGTTTTATTTATAGAGAAAGTTTTCAATTTAAATATTGGAGATTAAAATATATTAGATTTATACTAGATTTTATTAGAATAATATATAATTTGATAATGTACTACGAATAAACTTTTGAACCAGCTCGATCCAAAAATTTGGGCCAAATATTTCAGCTTGGTATGATGCTCTCGACAATATTTTATACATTAAACAGCATCTTGTAGATATAACTATACAATAGAGAAGTCAAAGGCAAAAGCTGAATCACCGCATTCAAGTAATAAAATCCGAAATAAACGAATGAATGCTGTATATTCATTTAAGACCCAACGTACTGTTGTTTAAACTCATCATAATAGTTGGGTCGGTTATAAACCGTAAATATAATATTTTTAATAATTTTTTTGTTGATCAAAAATTTCTCAAACAAAATTTGTATTGAAACCAAATCAATTTCATTCTATTTGCAATTACTAAAACCATTAACAAAAGACATTACAATATTTATATAGCATACTATAGACATTATAAGCTTTATTTTAGTTATCCGATTCAAACTATTCAATTTTATCCATATATTCAAACATGTCTAGTTTCAAAAAATTCACCGATTTCTTATTTTCAAAACAATCACTTAAATATATGTGTACTACCCACTTCTGGGGACCAGTATCTAATTTTGGTATTCCGGTTGCTGCAATTCTTGATTTAAAAAAAGATCCTGAATTAATTTCTGGTTCAATGACTGGTTCATTAATTTTATACTCTTTAGTGTTTATGAAATATTCATTAGCTGTTCAACCTAAAAATTACTTATTATTTGGTTGTCATTTTGTAAATGAGATAGCTCAATTAGGTCAAGGTTTTAGATGGGCGAAATATCATTATAGTGATAAAGAAAAAGAAGATCCAAAATTAATAAAAAATTAGATAGCAACAATATATATATACGTTTCAATTTGTCAAAGTAACTGTAATGTTTATGATTTAGAATGAATCTAATTTAGTTGGTTATGGGAAAATTGAGATATCTCGGAGTATTGTTTATAACTCCGGTATATTTGATTCTTTCTTTGCGCCGGGCGGTGTCAAAATCGAAAGCTAGTAAGATCAAATCATTCACAATTGTATGATTTACGTAATTGTTATTATTACTATAAACTCATTACGTATACATATTAATTCATACAATAGGGCTTTTGTTTCAGTTGATAGCAAGCGATGTTTTTTTTTTTCCGGAGTTTATATTGAACGTGATTGCCGTTTATAAAAACCCCGTTATTTTCCTTTTTGAAATCAGTTCGATAACACAATTTTGGTAATTCACATCATGGTTCAAAAAGTATTATTAGCTGTTACTTCATATTACGGACCATTCTATGATGATGGTGCAAAAACTGGTTTATTTGCTACTGAAGCTATTGAACCATTTGAGATTTTTAGAAAACAAGGTTTTGAAGTCACAATTGCTTCTGAAACTGGTAAATTTGGTTATGATGAACATAGTTTATCGCAAGATTTCTTAGCTGGTGAAGCTAGAAAAATTTATGAAGATAAAAATTCTGAATTTAATAAAGCGATAAATAATATTAAAAAAGCGTCAGATTTAGATGCGTCAGATTATGATATCTTCTTTGCTGCAGGTGGCCATGGTACTTTATTTGATTTTGATAAAGCAGCAGCATTACATGAAATTGCAAAGATTACATATGAAGATAAAAATGGTGTTGTTAGTGCTGTTTGTCATGGACCTGTCATTTTTCAAAATTTAAATTTAGCAGATGGTACTCCATTAATTAAAGGTAAAAAAGTTACAGGTTTTACTGATAAAGGTGAACAAGAAATGAAAGTTGTTGATGCTTTAAGAAAATATGCTGTTCCAACAGTTAAACAAATTGCAGAAGAAGAAGGAGCAACTTATGTTGAACCACAAGGTCCATGGGATACATTTACAGTTACAGATAGTAAAATTGTCACTGGTGTTAACCCCCAATCTGCAGAAAAGACTGCTTCAGATGCAATAAAAGCATATTCAGATTGATTATTGAAAATAGTTTAGGTTTAGGTTTAGGTTTAAGTTTATACGCAAATTCACAATCACTACCAACTTTTGCAGCATACTTTTTGATCAAATTTCGACATGAATTAAACTCTTAGCTTTTCGGTTGTCTCAATTGGTGTCATAATCGTAGCAGAATAGCAATATGTCACAAACATCTATTAATGCAACTAATTCAACAATAAGCTACAAACTCTTGTATATTAACCTCGTGTTGTACCAATAAGGATTACAGCTATTATAACCCCACTATTGTATACAAGCAAATTCCGTTGAATGGACATCAATCAGACAACAATCTCGAATCTTCTTCTTTGATTTTTAAAGGATGCTTACATTTATTTTTGCTTCACAATTGAATAAGCGGCTTCTCTTGCTTTTGTGGTTTCTTCAATTTCATCGGGTTTCTTTTGTGATTCTTCCACTGTACAAGCTTGCGCATTCATTTTCGAGTATAAGTGAAAACTGAAAAGTTTTCAAGATCAGAGCTCATATATTAAAACTCAAATAACACAAGTTTACACATTTAAGGAATTTAATAAAGTAATCAAAGAAAACTCACAATGATGCACAATTGTAGAATTTTTGGAACGAATACTTGAACATTGATCTTATCCTTTTAAGTGAAATTTCGATGAATCTACTCAAAATAAAGTGTAAATGACTTTTTACAACAAGCTAGAATCAGCTGCTATGAGTGATTATGTTAACCCTCATTATATTTAATCTCCAATGCAAATGTTTAATTACTTACCTTGATATTTTTATGTTTTTTTTTTTTGAAAATTTCGCTCATAAACCAAAATCAGTAATCTTTTGATTATCAATTTTGAACTGAGCGAATTTTTAGCTCTCGAATGATACCAATATCATTATGCTTCATATGCATGATCGATCTTTGAGACTAACTTTAATATTGGTAGAAATTAGGGCTTTTTGAATAATTTTTTTTACCGCGCATTCTCAGTATATTTTTAATTTTGTGTCAGATTTCGTATCTGAAAAAATCGCGCGTCTTAAGATTTGGCTTTGGCGTTTTTAATAGACTCACTCTGTGTTGCTAAATCAAAGTCTACTGACTTGTACATACAGTCCAACTACAGAATAATGCCAGAATTTGAATTTAAAGTCTTTTGATTTCAATCTTGATCACCTCATCGTTGCATGAATGGTCTTATATATAGAATACAATAAAATGCGCAAAGCTTGACAAAAAAACCGAGGATACGGTAAAGTATTACTTCCAATGTATTCGAATGCACTATAACAATATGAAATACCTATTCTACTTCGTTATTTTAATTTTGTAAATAATAATCTGATCTTTTTGACTTCAGAAATCTATCTTTGTTCTTTAGAATTCGATTAAGTTTACGCAACAACCATTGGAAACACCTACTAATTAAATTCCATGGGGCCAATGAACTTAAAAAAACTCATCATTGACCACTTCAGATTTTATTTTACGTATTTTCGGCCTAATATATATATAGTCACTATTTTCTTTGTTATTTCCATTGAAGTTCTCTCAATTTTGAGACCCATCACTGTTACTAAATGATCACTAGGATTAAAAGAACGCCATTGTTATCACTTGGATACTCATATATAAGCTCTAGTTTCACGTTTCTTTAACTTAATCACGAGCAATTTGAATTTAGGCGATTTTACCTCATCATCAAAGTCTGATTTTAGCTGTGCGTAATATATCTGCTAGACTTCTTTAGATTTCCAAACTAATATTATATGACAATCAAATAAGAGAGAGTATGAACTTAAAAGTTGATTTGGGACCTAATAAAGTTTAGATTAAGTACACAAAGTAGGGATAATTTAGATCTTTTCTGCATGCTTTCAGGGCTTAGACTAAGAAAAGAGCCTATACTCTTGAGAAATGTCAATTTAAATTCTTGAACATTGTCAAACTCGAATCGTATCTCAAGTATTTCGATATCAAATCAGAAAAAAACAGACCAGATTTTGTATGTTGTTGTCAAGGGATGAATCGTGACCCCGTTTTATCTCACATTGTCAACTTATTCCAAATTAGGCAATTCATGTTAAATTTACTTTGTTCAATTCAATGTTTTTTAAAATGTGAATCTCAAATTTTAGTTGAAAAAAAAAAAATTAAAAATTTTGTTGAGCTCCAAGGCCAAGTTTATTATAATTCAACTTGTGATACAGTAGTTAAATGTCAACTTCAGCAGCAGCAACATCAACACCATCATCAACATCAAATTCACAAACACCTACACTTGGTAAAATTAAATTTTATCTTAAATCTATAATTTTTGGTGCTACGATTGCTGGTTGTGCATTATATGGAGTTATAGCATCTATTTTATTAAGATTAATTGGTAAAGTTGAATATGCTCAATATACTGTAGCAAGAGCATTTTATTATTCATTATCATTATTTTTAGGTATTAAAATTCATATTAAAAATGAACATTATTTAAATCAATTGCCAGCAATTGTAATTTCAAACCATCAATCAGCATTAGATATACATGTATTGGGTAGACTATTTCAACCTGGCTTCACAGTAACAAGTAAAAAATCATTAAAATATGTACCGATATTAGGTTGGTTTATGGCTTTAAGTGGTACTTTTTTTTTAGATAGATCAAAATCAGCAAAAGCTAGAAAAGTATTAGATGGAGCATTAACAAATTTGAAAAAAGATGAAAGAGCATTATTTATATTCCCTGAGGGTACTAGATCAGCTTTTGAGAATTTAACTATGTTACCTTTTAAAAAGGGGGCCTTCCATTTAGCTAAACAAGCTGGTATTCCAATAATTCCAGTTGTTGTATCTAATACATCAAGTATATTTAATTCGAAAAGGAAAATATTTAACAGTGGTGAGATATTTATTGAAGTTTTACCCCCTGTTTCAACTGCAAATTTAGAATCTAATGATGATATAACTGCTTATTGTAAAGATATAAGAGATGATATGATTAATAAATTACAGAAGTTAGGTTATTCAAAAACTCAAGGTGCTAAACCAAGAGAAGATTATTATCCTTCAGAAGATGAGATTACAGATACTGAAGTTGAAGTAATTAATGAAGAAACACCATTAGTTACAAATGATTAAATAGAATGCTAGACTATTATATATTAATGCTAATTATTCGATAATTACAGCTTTCTTTTTCTTTTTTGGTTTAACTGTACCATTTGTATCCTTTTTCTTTTTCTTTTTAGGTTTATCGATTGTCGATTTTGTAAAATTTTGTCTTAAAGCTTCAAGATCAATTTCATATTCATTTTGTTGAATCTCTGGTGATTCAGTAGTTAATTCAAAATTATCTAAATTAGAACTATCAATTTTGAAATTACTCTTCTTTTTACTTGATTTCTTAGGTGATGGTTCTTCAATTTTATCTTCACCATTTACTGTTTCTTCACCTAAGATTAAAACTTTTTCTTTTTTCATTTTTGGTTTCTTCTTCTTCTTTTTGTCTGAAGTTATCGAGATTATATCACTTTGATTGTCAGGTGTTGAACTTTGCTCGATCTTAGGTTTAGTTGATTTTGATTTCTTCTTTGATTTTTTATTTTCAATATAATATGGATCATCTTTTAATCTTTCAATTCTTTCTTTTTTCTTTTCTTCTTGATTCATGTCACTATCTAATTGAATTAAAGGCTGATCTTCTTCATCTGAAATAAATAAATCATAAGAATCTGAATATTCATCATTTTCATCAATTTCAATTTCAAATTTAGGCAGATTAATTTCAGTGTCTAAATCTAAATCATCAGGAATTGGAATATTACGTTGTGCATTTCTTGCAACTGGATTTAATGGATATGATTTGAAAAATGAAGGTAGGATATGAGTTAATAATAATGGTAATTTTTTAGTTGATGAATCTTGTACTTCATTTTCGATAAATGGATTTTGTTCGAATTCAGCAGGTGCTGGTCTAGAAACATTTTCCTCTGGTTTTTCCTCTTCTTCTTCTAATGATGATAAATCTTCATAATCATCATCTCCTTCTTCTTCTTCCTCTTCTTCTTCCTCTTCTTCTTCTTCTTCTTCTTCTTCTTCACTTGATTCTGATTCTGATTCGCTTTCAATAACTTGTTCAAGTTTTAAATTCTTATAAAATTCAATGTCGTCTTTCTCTAACTTCGTTATATCTGTCAAATTATTATCCGTCATTGCTTCTAATGATAGTTTTAAAAATTCTAACCATGATAAAGCTCTTTCTTGAACTTCATAATTTGAATGACTTTCCCAATTAGATAAAAAATTAATTAATTTATATAAATGATATCCCAATTCATCAAATCTATCCTTTGGTAATTCGTCATTATTTGAATAAGAATTTATGTAATCTGAAACAATCCCACTGTATAACTTAATTAAAGCTTGGATTAATACAGTTAATACATTTGAATGGGATAAACTTATCAATTTCTGAGATATTGGGAAATGTAAATCATTTGATAAATTTAACTTCTTATCAATTCTACAATTAACTAATGTATTTAACATATTAATCTTTTGTTCCATTCCAATAATTTCCTCATCTTCATCTTCTTTCAATTGATCAATATATTCACCTATTATCCAATAAAGATCAACTAATATCGATGGACAAGTTTCCAATATTTGTAAATTTTGTACTAATTCAATATTTACCTTCATTAAATTTGGTCTAATTGACGGTACTTTAGTTGCTAAATTTTTAAACTCTTTACCTATTAAAATTGAAATTTCATTCGCAGTTGTTGATGATACTGTAATTACTGAATTTGAAGGTAATAAAGTTAAATTTACAATATCTTTTATAACAGCGACGTACCATCTAAAATTTGGAATATTTTGATAATTCTCCAACGATGCAATTTGTATTATCTTATTTGTAATTTGTAATTTCAAATCATCATTTATTGTCTCAGTTGGAACTAATTGTAATATCATAACTTTTACAACTTCAACTATATTATCTTCATTAACTAAATAATTTACAACTTCCAATGCTTTACTTTTTATAATTAAATCATTATCATTTAAACAATCCATAATCACTTTAGATACTCCATCTACTTGATGCATAAAAATTGGAAATATTTTAACAATATTAATTAATGCAATTAATCCAATAAATTTTAAATTTGAATCTTTAGTTTCAAAAAATGTCATTATATGATCCATACATATCCTTGCTGTTTCTTTATCTTTATAACTTTCATTTGATAACATTTGACCATTTACAATACAATTTATACATTCATAAATTAAAGAACTTGCTTGAGTTTTAATCATTAAATCAACTATAGTAGGTAATATTTTTTTCTTCATTCTTGGTTCAACTTTAGATAAACTTTGAAATAATTTTAATATCCTTATTATTAACCAATTATTCTTTGTATCTTCAAGTATATTGAAAAACTTAGGTAGATAATTTACAAATATCTTTGGATTCTTTTTCGAAATTTCACAAATTACATTTACAGTAGCACTTACAACTGATACATCAGAATCATCCAATTTTTCAATAACTCGATTAAAATTTGTTCTTAAACTATCAGGATATTGTAAAAAAATTTTGTACATTGCCAATATTGCTTTTTTACGAATATATGGTTTTGAATGATTTAATTTCATTAATACATCATCATTTATATCTTTAGATAAATGGGGGGTAACAATAGTTGCAATTCCACTTAATGCTAAACCAATTTCAGTATGATTTGAAGAATTTAAATCCTTTTTAAATTGATTAGTTGCTAATATTAATAAATCTTGTTCATTTTTAAATGATTGAATAGCAGCCAAATAACCAATACGTTTTTGTTGAAATTTATTTGAACTCATAACTTCTAAAATTTGAAAATTTGCCCATGACATATCAAATCCATACATTTCTAAATATGCTAATTTTAAAATTGCCATTGCTTTAGTTTCTAAATCGGTGGTTGTTAATTCTGATTTACATTCTTGAATTGCAATTTCGAGGAAATTTACCAAACTTTCTGATGATTCTTTTGAATGAGCTCGTATTCCTTTAATTAAATCACTTAGTGATTTTTCAAATGATATACCAAATGGTTTTAATCTAGCTAGTACTTCTGAATTTTGTAATTGGAATGAAGACATTGTAAGGATGTGTAAGGATGCAAAACACTAGTTATGATGTATTGTATATTGTATTCTTGGGTTGGTGATAATTGAAAAAAAAAATCACTACCAATTTACCTTTCACTATGAATGATGATAATGAACAAGAGGATCAAATAAGAGAGTATGAGGGCACCACAGAGAATCAATCTCAATCAGAAGCAAGCTCAGATGATTATATATTATCAGACGATGAAGAATTACATAACATATTATCTCACGATATAAATCCACATTTAAATACAACAAATTTATCAGATCATGCTTCTTATTTTCAGGATTCATTATCAAACGCAATGGATTCAATAGAGATAGATAAATCATTAGCTCTAAAAGCTCAAATATCAGGTAATATAAACAATGAAAATCAGAAATTAATTGAAAAAAATCAACAATTAAAAGAATCAATACTGAGATTACAAGAATTATTTAAAAAGAATTTTGCCGTGTCTAACGATTCAAAAATTTCAAAAGTAGATCAGATGAAGAATGATATTGTTAATATTGAAAAACGGATTAAGAAATTAACTAATGGGTACGAATCAAAGGGAATATTTAAAAATAAAAAAGTTATGGGTGTTGCTCAGAAGTTTCCTATTGAGTATAATAAAGCTAGAGATAAAGTACTAGAAAGACAGATTAATATTGATAGTTAGTTGAAGATTGTGCATGGATATGAACCTAAAATGCTGGCATGGATGGTCATTTTAAATTTTAGATACTATTATCGATTTTCCTCGGGTGTATATGAATTTAACGGAGTGGTAGATGTTTATGAGCATAAATTTAATAGATATAATCATGTCAATGATTTGGATGATCTACTAGAAATGTTAAAGCACCATCTGGAGTACAGATATTTGCATCCATTTAAATCTACGTCGTAATGTTTGAGACTTTATCACTTTAAGTGGTATTTGCTTATTACATTCCGCATAATTTATCTATGACTACGTAATAAAATGGATTTGTCTGAAATGTTCCTCTCAAATTTTGAAATATTCGATAATCATGCATCAGTCTCGCAAGTATCAAACTAGAGTTTAGAAGATATCAATTCATAACGAATAATCAGTGTCAGCTTGAATGAGTTATTGACAAGAAATCAATAACTAATATTAGGAGGGGGTAATTTACCAAAATATCGCTAAAATCAAAAAACCTAAAATAAAGGCAATGTAGTCGGCAGATTCGTTTCAAACTATGGCTCGTTATTAACTCAAGAACCAAATATTAGCTAGCCTACCTTACTTTATCGGTAGCCCTACAAAATTATCAAAATTTTATGCTTCAAACTTTGACGAGATCGAGATCTGAAAATAGATTTTGCCACACCGGAGCGCGATCTAATTTGCGTGAATTTACGAGAAATACTTATATTAAATATCTAGCGATTTCTAATCATGCATATATCAAACCTAATCCATCTATCCAACTACCCATATAAAAATACATCCCAACAATACTCAAAGAATCATTTGGAGATTTTAAAATTGATAAATGCCCGCCATTTGCATTCCCAAACATTGGAGATTTGTTACCTTTATTAGTTATGAACTGAATAGCATCAACCCAAGCACCATTTCTAACATTAAATTCAGTGACAAATTCACCAGGTGGGACTTTAAATGTTGAATAATTATTTGTTTCTTTACCTATTAAAGTAACAGCATCAGAACCACCTTGAACCTTTCCATTTTGAGCATTTACATGGTGTTTGATTAATCCTTTAATGTAGTTTCTAGGTGGGATAGTTGGTGTTATAGTTCCATTTTCATAATAAAATTTAATTCCATCTAATGCTCCACCATGGTAAATCTTAATCTTATATATCGATTTTATATTAAATCCACCATATTGTAAATTTCCATTTTCTCTACCAAGTAAAGAACTCTTGATTCCTTGTAACTTACCTCTACCTAATCCAAAATCAGACATGATGAAATTTTGAGATGAGAAAAACTCTTTAGCATTATTTATAAATAAATCACCACCAAGTGATAAGATTCTAATACTGAAATTTTCACCAGCGTCTGATTTGACTAATTTCAATGATTTGTATAATTCATGGTAGTTCAATTCCATATTATGTTGTAAATCTTTCCCACCATATTGTTTTGGAAGATATTCTACATGGTATCTAGCTAGATCTTGAGTTATCAATTCAATTAAAAATATTCCACATTTAGATTCAACTGTAGCTTTACCACCAGGTAAATTCACTGATAAAGGTACTGAATTCAATTGATATGTTCCATCTGGTCTTCTCGTAGTTGAGTATATATGTTCAAATTGATCAATTGGTAATGAAAATGAATCATGCATTAAAAATCGAATCAAATCTAATCTATTCCAATGGCATGTTTTACCCCACCCATTACCACCAATAACTTCACCTCTTGTTTTTCTTCTTAAACTTTCTAATTCTCTAGTCATGAAACTTCTATTGAACCAAACATAGTCTCTTAACATCACACCATCAATTTGATGAGGACATCCCAATGAATGACCAATCTCATGCATAAATGCCCCAAGACAAATATTTAAACATTCCCAACTTGTTCCACACTCATTACAATCATTAGCAACTTCATTAGTACTCAAATGTATAGAATCAAGAAATGCAGGCGTGATATTCGGAAAATTTATTGGATATGAATGTAAGCCATGAGATCCAAATATTGCCATTTTAACTTCATTTGTCCCACCACCTAATGCAGCATGAGTAAGAATGAATTTTCTATCCCATGTTGAATCTAAATACATACAGGCAGCTTGAATAGCAGTTCCTTCACCACGATATATCTCTTTATTCTGTTTGACTAAATCTATTGCGTGTGAGAATAAGAAACCGTTTTCTTTAGCTTGTGGATTCTGTTGTGCATATTCATAACTACGTAATTCTGAAACTGATAATGGTGAAGTTAAGATAAAGATTTTGATTTCTTTATGGGGTGTTGGTGATTTTACTTTATATCCGAATAAGCCTTGATCGTGAGTTTCCTCCTCCACAAACTGGAAACTTCGATTACTGAATCCGACTAATCTCATTTCCTCTTGAGTATAAGCTTGCATTAATCGACCAGCGACTTTTAATTTCTTAACTGCTGACTCTAAAGTTGGAATTTCTCCTCTGTTCAATTTATATTTTGGCGTATCGTAAGTATTCAAACTATCTCTACCTCTGATTAAACATAAATGTATTGGCTTATTTTGGGGTAGGGGATTATGATGAATAGCTAAATAACCAGTATCAACAACATTAGGATGTCCATTATAAGTCGGAAACCCAAATTCATTAATAACACCATTCTTCATAACTTCTATCTTGATTACATTTCTTTCATTTTCTGAAACATGAAGAATAGCTTTGAATTGGCCATTATTAATTTCGAAATATTGTGGTGGGAATACTTTGTTTTCATTATTTGTGAATGAAACTATACCCGTTTTACAATTTGTAGTCTGACCTGAAACAATTACAGTTGGTGTTGATACGATTTCATCATTTTGATAATTTAATTTTATAGCCATACCAAATATTAAACTGGTTAATTTTTCGTTCCTAAAAAAGATCACCAAATTAAACGAAGGGCCAAGAATTTATAATTGGCTACATAAAGAAATGATATCATATTGCTGCTAATTGAAATCAGATATATAGTATTCAATTGTTTGATGGCTAGTAAAAGAACAAGATCGGATGCTTTTTTAGCTGCATCGAATCATTGGAATAAGAAACCAAAACCACATAAGGAAGAAGAGAAAGAAGCAAAGCCAAAGGATGTGCCAGAAGTTATTAATATATCATCAGACGATGAAAGTATCACCGAAATTAAACCAAAATCATCTCCAATTAAATTATTTTATAATCCAAGTTATCATGAAAATCTAAAATCAAAAGTGAATAAGGATTGTATTAAAATAACAGACATAGTTGGATCTCCAGAATTAACTGAAACATATCAATTCAATTTCAATGTGGACTTACCTTATTTCCTCAAATTTCTCGATAAATCATTCATAAATAAACGTAAACCAATCACATTCATAACCGGATCACAATTATTAGATCCCTCATTTGAAGAAACAAGTGAAATTAAATCAAAGTTTAATATTTCTGAGGTTATTGCATCCTTACCTAATAGATACGCATCACATCATACTAAAATGATGATTAATTTTTATGGAGATGATTTAGAGGTGGTAATCATGTCTGCTAACATTACTCAAATTGATTTTATTGGATTGACTCAAATGGTATGGAGATCAGAGAAACTAAAAAAAGGAAAGACTACAACTACTCGAGGTAAGAAATTTCAAAATGATCTAATTGCATATTTGAAAACATACAAGAAATCAAACATTACAAGTTTAGCTTCTATTTTGAAAGATTATGATTTTCTGTCTGTTACTGTTGAATTAATTGCTTCTAGTCCCGGAAAGTATGATATTGATAAAGATGAGGAAATATACGGATATGGAAAATTATATAAAACATTACAAGAACATGATTTATTGCTTAATAATACTGATAAAAGTAAGAAGTATAACATCCTAGCTCAAACATCAGCTATTTCATATCCTATATCAATTGAAAAATGGTCAACTGGAGGAATTCTCTCACATTTAATATGTCCTTTAATTTTTGGAAAGAATAACTTCAAGTTGTTAGAACCCAGTGGCTCAAGTTTTAAAAATCATCAACATCAACATAATTATACACCCAGTATTGTGTTTCCCACAGTTGATGAAGTTGCAAATAGTAATGTTGGATATTGGAGTGGACAAGCCTTACATTTCAATTACACACAATCATTCATTCATAAAAATTACTATACACAAAATTTAAAACCATATTTGAAACGCTGGGGATCACATCAATTAATCACCGGTAGGGAAAAAGTGATGCCCCATGTCAAGATATATACTATTGATAATGGAGATAATTTCAATACACTTAAATGGGTATATATGGGACTGCATAATTTATCAAAACAAGCATGGGGTAGTCGAAAGGGAAATAAATTTACTAATGCTGATCCAAGGGAATATGAACTATCCAGCTATGAATTGGGTGTGTTGATCATACCTGAGAAAGATGAGGTGATAAAACCTGTGTATATGAAAGATACAATTGATGAGGTTGGTGTGTTGCCTGTTAGATTTCCTTTTAGGGTTCCTTTGACTAGTTATTCTAATGATGATTTGCCGTGGAGTGGTAAGGTTGATTATGGAGATAAAGAAGATTCACAGGGGATGAAGTATAATTTAGGGTAAGGTAAGGATGCAAGTGAATTGAAGCTTAAAGTAAGGATGTAAGAGAAATGAAGGCTAAGGTAAGGATGCAAGAGACGAAAGCTAAAGTAAGGATATAGTGAAATCAAGGCTAATGTAAGGATGCAACTATTACGAAAGCTAAAGTAAAAACGCCAGAGGATGAAGGTTAAAGGGAAGACGCAAGTGAAACGAGGGCTTAAGTAAGGATGCAAAAGAAACGAGAGCTTAAAGCCTTCTTCATACTAATTTTATATTAATATATATTCAAAATATTGATTTTGCTTTATTATCAATTTGAGTAGGACCTAACCCATCATCATCAATTAATTTTCTCTTTATATGTGGAATTTCATCATCTGTATCTCTATAATCAGTGTCTGCATTACCTTTAGATTCTGGTTCTTGTATTTGTATATCTTGTTCATAAGTAATTCCATTATCAAAACTTTCCAAAATATTTTCCAATTTTTCAGAACTTTTCATTTGATCTCTATTTAATATATTTGAATTTTTAGTCAATCTACCAAACGTGCTTCTAGATAATGAATGACTTGGAAATTGTACATCTTCTTTTTCTTCTTGTGTTTCGTCTTTTTCTTTCTCTTTTTGAATTTGTTGTATTACTGGTGCAGACATTGACAAGCTTCTCTTTAATGTATCTAATTTTACTTCTTCACCACCTGTTATACTTTTATCTTCTGATGTGATTTGAATATACTGAATTTCTAAATTTGGATTATTTTGTGGTTCGAAAAGTATAGGATCTCCACTATTTCTAAAATATATATGAAAATAATCATTCGTATTCCCAATTGAAATATATTCCTCATCAAATTGTTCCGAATAATGATTACCAGAATTAATAAAGTTTATGAGTCCTAAAAAATTCTTGAACTCTTTCATTCCAAAATTAATCAATTTATGAAATGTAGATTCACTTGATTCTGATGTTAGATTTGAGTCTGTTAATTCTTCAAGTGCAAGAGTAACAGTCACGGCCATTGGTAGTTTTAAATAATCTCGATCTTTTATAATTTGTTTAGTATATCCTCCAAATGAAATTTTATCATTTTTAATCTCAATTTTAAAATCTTCAGCTGATGTAGGAACCATTTCTAAAAATTGTTTTGGGATAATTTGATCAATCATGATGTGATTTATCCTATTTGGATCTAATAAATCATTAGTTTGTTTTTCTAATTCATTTTTATAAGTTTTTGAAATTTTAATATCTGATTTGAGAACAGGTATGTAACTAGTTTGAAATTTTTTAATAATTTGTTTTTTAGTCTTGATTTCTATAAAGAGTTTATATTTATGATTTGAAGGGACAGTAACTGACCAATTACATTTCAATATAATATAATCTAAATGTGATTCGAGATTTTTGAACAAAGTAGCTAAATGTTTTGAATTAATTATAAATGAATAAGAATCATTATGGAAACCTTCTGATATTATATTATTAAAATTGATTGAATATTCAGAAAAGAATGATTTTTTGAAAATGATTTCACCATGACTTGTCTTTGATGAATTTAAAGCAGATAATGATAATTTATCATGAGTAATATGAAAAGTAATTGCTTCTGATATTAAACTTAGTGATGTTATTGATTTCGACCATATTAATTTATGTTTCTTGTTATCTATCTTTGCAGTAAACATAACATATTCCAATTATTGGTTAAACCAACTGTTTATCAAAAGTGGTTGCAATTCGAATATTTTTTCAGATCAAAAATGAAATCAATTTTATTTATAAATCCAAATAGTTCAATTAAAGTAACTACCAACCTAAAACAATCACTTGTAGTACCAGATAATACTAATATAACTTATTATACTGCTCCAAAAGATGCTCCATTGGAAATTACAAATAATATTACTGCTAAAAAATCAGAAGAAATTGTAATTAAAGATTTAATAGATTCACAACTATTAACTAAATTTGATGGATTTATAATTGGTTGTTATTCTGATCATCCTTTAATTAAATCAGTTGGTGAAATTAGTCATAAACCATGTATGGGTATTTTTCAAGCTACAATTTTATATTCACTCCTGAATCCACTGATTAATAAACTGATTATACTAACTAGTTCAAGTGAGTGGGAAAATACATTAAATGAGAGTATAATTGATTTTTTAGGTGTTGATCAATTTCCAAGTAGGAAATTTGTTAAAACTAGAGGATTAAATGTCAAAGTTAATAATCTTGCTGATGACGATCAATACAAGAATATTAAAATTGTAGTTGATGATATTTTAACAGATAAGGATATTAATTGTGTTTTGTTGGGTTGTGCTGGTATGGCTGGTTTAGATTTAAAATTAAAAATTGATTATCCTAATACTTTATTTATTGATAGTTGTAAAATTGCAGTGGAATTATTATCGGGTTTAATTAGATTTGGTGAGTATGCTTAATGGTAAGGATGCTGCTTTAATAGAGGTAAAAGTGTTTAAATAGATACATTCTAGAATATACTAATTTCGACTTCTTGTTTGGGCCCATCTCTCGCCCCAATCTTCGCTCTACAATCGCTCTATCTTTTATTCCCCACCGCTCTAATTTTTACTCCAGATTTGACAATCGAATTATTTAGCGCACGATAAAAGAAAAAAAAAACTAGCAATATACTATAATCATATCATATCAAGATTAGATGTCATTTTTATTTAGAAGATCAACTGATGATAATAGACAACAACAACCAACACAAGAAGATGAAAAGGATGATAACATAGAGAAAGATACTGAACTAGTTGAATCAACTGAAAAACCAATAAAACTTAAAAAGAAATCAACAACTTTTCTTAAATCAATAATTGGAAGTCAATCAAACAGTAGAAATAATTCAACATCCTCCCTTGCGTCCAACAAATCATCATCAACAACATCATCATCAAACAATTTACCACCATTATCTCCATTAATACTACATGGTTATACATCCTCAACTCGTCATAAATTATTAGATTTAGAATTAGCATCAAATATTAGAGATTTATTACCTGCCAGATTACAATTATTTGATCAATGGGAATTAATTTATTCTTTTGAGCAACATGGAATTTCCTTAAATACATTATACAGAAATAGTAATCCAGAATATCAAATTCAGCAATTGAAAAAACGAAAAAGGAGAGAAAAGGGATATGCGGAATCAGTTGTTAAAAATATGGTAGTTGGCACTACAAAAGAACATTATCATGGAATAGAGCCTAAAAAACCAATCGGATATGTTTTGATAATTAAAGACGAAAAGAATTTTAAATTTGGTGCGTTCTTGAATGAGAACCTAAAGTTAATGGATCATAAACGTTATTATGGAAATGGTGAATGTTTTTTATGGAAATGTGAAAAATTTGATCCAAGAAAATTAAAACATGGAAGTGAAAATGAAAATGATATTGATGGGAAATTACATACTCGTTTTAAAGCATTTATGTATACTGGAATAAATGATAATATAATTTATTCAAATCATGATTTTATATCTATTGGTTCTTCAAATGGTCAAAATGGCTTATTTATTGATAAATCTTTAGATGAAGGTGTTAGTTATAAATGTAATACTTTTGGTAATGAAATTTTAAATTCAGATGATCAAAATTTAAAATTTGGTAAATTTAAGATTATGGGGTTGGAAATTTGGAGAATTGGAAATATTGAATAAATGAAATATGTTATTATACAAATGAAAACCTTTTATGAAATTATACTTGAATTCTGACAATTTAAGGTACATTGTGATGATATGGTTTTAATGGTAAGAACCATGACTCTGATTAAAATAGTTTCAGATTTTGTTTATGGGTCATGAGACTTAGAAGTTAACTGCTCAATTTCCAAATGAAAGTGAGTATAATAAACAACATGCCTTATTGAATTTTAAAAAGTAAAACATTTACTTTTTCAATTGATGCGAAAGAAAGGACATTAGGATTGAAATCATTTATTTTACCTGAATATTGTCATCAGGCTGTTAGTAATGCAACTATTGTTGAATAGCTTGGCGGGTCTTTTTTTTGGATTTATGCATATCGATATTGATTCTAAAAATAAATCAAGTGGGTATGAACAACTTAAATAAATTATTTGAACAAAAATAGTTCCATTTTAATATATATATATCTGTGAAGATTAATCTTATGATCTAAATATTGATATTTCGTGAAAATTTTAGTATTAAAAATATCAGAAAACCGTAGTCTTGTCAGGAAAATTAAAAGGTGTCAATTTTTAACTATGAAATTCAAATTCATCTGAAGTTTTTCATTCGAATGATACCAAGAACAATATTTTTTGTGTAAAGATTTGAAATGTTTTGCTATCTTCAAATTTGCAAAAAACTAATGGCTTTTTAAAATATTTTTTAAGTGCGCATTCTCGGTATATTTCATAATGTGTCAGATCTCGTATTTAAATTTGTAACCGATCTCAAAATCAGATCGCGCTTTTCCAGAATTACTTTGCGCTTGTTTTGTAAGATGTAAATTTTGCAATTTTAAAAATCTTAAAGTATAGCTACAGTTGCACCTTAAACACTTTTGAATAGTACAAGCATAATTGAAAGTAATAAAGCTTGATTCACTTTAAATGGCGCTCGCTGATCTTCTAATCGAGTGAAGTAAAAATGATCATATATGTGAGTAGAGAACGTTTATAATCTAAACAACAAATATTCCACTCATGCTTTCTATAGCATGTCCATATTCTGCTTAAAGTATTTTCAGTCTTACATCAAACCAAGTCTGATGAATATTGACATTTTTTTAATGTTATTTTATTGCAATAAAAACTGACTAGAGTATTGGTACCAGCTCTGGCCGTAAGTTATAAATTCTCCGGCCGAAATACCGCTCCAGGTTTGTCCAGATATTCGTTCAGATCAAAATTAACTTTGAAACAAATTTACTTATATGCTGTACTATATTAGCTAATCCTCAAATTTAAATTGTCAATAGCTCCCTTCAGTAGTGGACATGATGCAGTCAAACTTTTTTTCATTGAAACTTCTGCCAGTTGGAGATTAAAAGAAGTTGATTTTTCTTAGAAAGATTAACTTTTGATTACATAATTCGTCATTTCAAAAATAGCAAAAAACGCTATTTCGCGACATAATAAACATTTGAACCTCTTTTAACTTCTAGTATAGCTGATTCTGCTGATTCAACCCCTGAGATTATTTGTATGATGTTTCCAAAACGATAAAATCGTTCTGAAATTTTTGCAAAAACTTTCGTTTCACTTCTGAAAAATTAATATTCCTATTGTATACCTTAACACAAGGATATTTAAGTTTTTAGTAGTCTTCAAGATCTACAAATTTGGATGTTTTAATATATTTCCATCATTATTTTAGTGTGGAGGTAGATTTTTCTTGAAGTCAACTAATTCGAATTTGCCCATACTTAAGAGAAATATTGGACTTTTTCAACTTGAGAATATATCTTTCAGATTTATGTTCAGCACCTTAATTCAGGTTGTTGTATATATAATCCGTTGTTAGTTTGAAAGGTTATGGCCCTAGAAAAAAACTTATATGGATTTTTATTTTTTGTAAATTTTTTGTATGATGAAAAAAGCCCAAAACAACAACTCAAAAAAAAAATTCTGAGTTCTAAGTATTGACTTAAGTAACATATATAATTTAAGAATCTTGAAGTCGTATAATTGGTTCTTATCTTGGAAAAATGCGTTGTTCATGATATAAAACCCAATCTATATAGTACGAATCGCCCTAAGTCTAGCGCGAGAAACATAATTTTGTTGCATTAATTATGAGCGAGATTTTACATACTTCGTACTACATTCATTAGTCTAATTCGGCCTTAAAGTTAACCCGTATATCTTAAACTTGCATATTTTTAAGGTTCCTATCGAGTCTAATTAGATGGTTTCTTCAGACTTCTCAATATTAAAACAATTTTTATTTGAGTTGTTTAGCTTTACAATGACATAAAGAGAAAGAAAAAAAGAATTCAGTGGATTCTTTATTACTTTTGTATCTACATGGATGCTTTGAGTAGTTGAAGATTTTTACGCCACCCAATTTATTCTTTTACAGTATGCCGCAAATGGGTCCGTTCAATTGAGGGTGAGTTAGATCTATCCGATTGTTACTTTAGTTAGAATATCTGTGATGAACAACTTACTGTATTTGCCATGGTGAGGCTTCGCAATAACAGAGACATGTGGATTAATGGAACGAATCTAGAATTAAGGTTTTAATTAGAAGGAACACGTTTAGTTCAAAAATACGGTTTCGTTGAGCTCTTAACCATGAACAATGAAGAAGAAAAGTTTAAATTTCAGAGATAAACCGTGTCAATTGCTTGCTTACGTCTCAAACGAATGGACAGTCCTTGAATGTAATTTTATTCAATACACATATTTCAACTAAGAAGCTTATTGTTTGTATAATTATTCACGTTTGTGTGTCGTGTCGCATAATCTACGTCATTCTTTATAATTCCTTTTTTTTTTTTTTTTTTTTGATAAGATAAGAATTCAGTGACTATTTTATATACACTACAAATCTTAACAAGTATCCATATTAAATTCAATATATACATACATTCATTACAACCAATTAATACAGTATAGTAGATTGTATCAATTATTTAGAGACTCATACTCAATTGGCCTGAGTATACACGAAATCTTAACTCGTTTTACATTATTATGATTGATTACTCAACAACGTCGACAACTACAACAACCACTTCATCCGAATTGAAGTCAAATAATAATATAAAAAGTACAACCGAAGCTTTAGTATCATTAGCAGCACCAGGCGATAGCTTAATTATCAATGATATTGTAAAAATCAACAAAGCACATTCAAATCATGCAAAAAGGGCCACGAAATTAGGTTCTGCAAGCGCTACTTGGTCTAAAATCAAATCAGCAACGACAACAAATACAGAGAAAGAGGATATAGATGATCAGCATCCTAGTTACTTAATTGAAAATGGCCCGTCTGGAGAAATTTCCATTTTGTACAATAATAATATTTTAGAGGTTTGGAAGTTTAAGCCTGACTTAGATTTACTAAACCTCATGTATCAACTTAAATTAAATTTAGATATAGAGATAAAATCATTCAAGTTGAAAAGTATTAACAATCAAACATACTTATTTGTTGTGGGAAATGATCAATTGCAATCTTTAAAAATAACGGAAGGATCAACAAATCCAATTCTGAAAGTTCAATTACATTTTAGTGATAATTATACCTTGAAAATATCTAATAATTTTATTATAGTTGCTGGCTCAACTGGGTACATTTCAATATTCAAAGTAAATTCCCAAGGTGAAATTTCACAACCTTCAAAATCAACAAATATTAAAAAACAAACAAGTATAGCAACTGCTGAATTAGGCTTATCCGAAGATGATTTATGCATTAAAACAAATTTAAATGATGATAATGTCCCAATTTACGATATAGTCGATAATTGGTTAATTTACTCGCCTACAAAAACAGAATATACACAATTAAAAAAGACAAAAAACCAACAAAAATCAAATCCTGAATTAGATCCAATAATCACAAATTACAATGATGATACTCCAACTTCTAACCAATCAATCTACACCCCAATAAAATTAAATTCAAAAACTCCATTATTTAATAAACTACTTTCCACATTTTCAAAATCTGCATTAGATGGATTATACAAATTCTCAAAATTATCAAGCAAGAAATTTAATGAGTACATGAATAATGAACTAGAATTAAACTCACTTGGTTCCTCAATTAAAAAATCAACACTTGAATTTTTGAAACCAAGTGATAATCAAATATTAATCATTGTTGATTTATCAAATGATAAGATATTGGCGAGATTGAAATTTCCTGATGGAGTTTCAAAATGCTCACTATCACCATTTGATTCAAAATTGTTAATTGTTGATAAAAGAGGTGATGCAATATATTTATACGATTTGTTTAAATTACCACTCGAAATTTCATTAACTAATAAATACATAAGAGGTAAAACATCAGCAGTTGTAAGTGATTTAACTTGGAGTTATAATGGGAATGTTTCTTTTGGTGTAATTACAAAATTAAGTGGAAGTATACATTGGTATGATTTAAATCTAGAGAAATCATGGATATTGTCAAATTTCAAAGGTTTAAAATTTTTCAACTTAAGTAATCAATTAAGTGTACTAGATGAAAACAATAATTTAAAACTATTCAATGAAAACGGCTCACTGGATTATGAATTCAATTTACCAAAATCACCTGTTTCGACTTTCAAGAATCGACCAGAAAAGGAAGTTAAAATGGAAGAGATTAAAAAAGTTATGTCTCCTTTATCACAAGCTGAAATTGAAACATGTTCACCATTTTTAAATTTGATAAATAATAAAAGAATAGAATTTGCAACTTATGATCCAGAATTAAATAATTTTGATGATGAATTTGGTAATGAGATTAACGGTCTAATAAAGTATAAATTTAACAATACTACAAAAGTTAAACCTAATGAAGATTTGGATTTTTCAATTGGTGAATTATTTATAAATCAAGATAGTGAATAAACATTATTATGTATATATTTCCTTTAATATAAACCAAATGAACCAGCAGTTAATTAAAATATCAATCTTATCAATTCTAATACAGCACCACCACATACTAAAAATAATAACACAACTAACCAAGTTCTTGAAACTGGATATTCAACGTTATCTTTTTTGGTAACTGATTTACCCCATGATTTAGTATTTTTCTTTTCAAATTTAGCATTTGCTGCCCTTTGTTTGGGAGTTTGTAAAGCCTTGAATAATTGTTAGTAACCCATTTCTCGACAATCTATGCTATTCACATACCATTTAGTTTTGTTATAACTATGTACTTATTGACCACGTATAATAAGTATTTGGAATTTTTTTTTTCAGTCTCGAGTGTCAAAAAAATAAACCGATTTTATGTCAGAAATTATGATATTACGACATATATTCTGTATTCATTAGTTATTCATTTAAGATATCATTATGAAAATTAGTTAAAGCAACAACAGCATCATTATTTAAGTTACATAATTAACACGAATATTATTTTCAGCTTCAGCAATTCTTTTTCTCTGATCTTCTCTAGCTTGTTTTTTCGAGTATCTAAAATCTCTATCATCACCGTTTTCTCCAATGTATCTTCTTTCAGCTTGAGATCTTGAATGGTAAATCTCATTTTTAGCTGTTTTAAGTTTCAGTATATCAGGAGTTTCATTAACTCCATTATTATTTCCATCATCCATGACTCGAAACCATAAAATTGAAATTAATAAATTGGTGAGAATTTGCGGATAGATAACTTTTTTGCATCATTTGGTTGATTATCCGTTTTTGGATTATTGCAAAATATGGGCTAAAAATTGATCTGAACTTACGAATAACTGTAAGACCTTCTAGTTGCATTTTAATTGACATATGATTATAGATCATTATTAGAGGTTTTTGTTTACTTTTATGGTAGCGCCTACAAAAAGTATTGTGTTGCAAATGAAATGCATTAGGGACTTTGACATTTGAACTTTGATATAATGCAACTATTTTGTGTTTATAATAACTTATGAATCTGATTCGATTACGACTTATATGTTATATATTCATTATTTATTCTTTTAAATGGGTAGTATATATATCCACAGTTTAATAGCATAGGTCAACTTTTGATGCAATATCTTTCTGTTAATCTTCAACATGTTTAGGATCAACATTTGTATCATCATCATTAATTTGAGCACCAGACTCAGTTTTAACTTGAATATCATCATAATTTTTAATTTCTACTTTCTTTTCAAGATCGTCGAATTCTTCATCATTAGCTAAATGAATTATAATTAAAGTTTCAAATTTCTTTCCAACATCAACAATTATATCTCTGTCTTTAGCTTCTCTATTTTCTTGCTCATTTGAATTATCTTTCAATAAGTGTTGTTCAACAGTTCTCACCTTATATAATGGTTTAGTGGATTTTGAAATTGGATCAATCTTAATTTCATCTCCTACTTTTAATCATCATCGTTTGTAGGAGTATCATTTTTTCCTGAATCAGATGGAGGTAATAATAGACAAGGATATTCGTGATCTTCAAACTCTTTTTTAGCTTTAACTACTTCTTTAGTATCTTTTGCTTCTCTTAATGAACTATCAATTTTGACGTTATTACAAACTGGTGCAATCTTATCAACTAAATCAATCTTTTCAACTCCTTTCCCATCTAATTTAACATCAGCAATATGATCTTTTCTATGTAGTTAACCTCTAATGGATGATCAGTTTCAGTACTACTAATATATAAAAAGGTTTATCTAAAATTGACCCCGCGTATTGATCGACAAAAATGTTTCTTATCGTATCAATAAATAATAAATTGGACCCAAATTTAAAAAATCGCGCGAAATCAGGCCGACAAAAAATGTAAACTAAACGGTTGACGAGGAAAACAAAAAATAATAGCTTAAATTGGCTTCGATCCAATGACCTCAAGGTTATGAGCCTCGCGCGCTAACCAAACTGCGCCATTAAGCTGATCTCTAAAGGTTTAATTCGAGCATGTCTAACATATCTTTCGCTAGCATCGAAATTTTCATTTCAAGATTTTACCAGATACAAAAATTTTAGCACCATTTAAGCAAAGTAGGAACATAATTTAAGAGTCTCTAAATCTAATCCGACATTTGATACGAAAAAAAAAAATAAAAAATAAAAAAAAAAAAGATGCCAACATTTAGTAAAAATATCTCGTTTTAGCAACTGCCAGAGCAAAATTCCTAGAATTTTGATCAAAATTTTAAACCCTTTTAAAAACTCAAACAAGTTGGTTTGGTAAAGAGTTGGTTAGTTTATCTTATTTATGCTAAGGTAGTCGTTATTACCATATTTAGTATAATTCTAAAGAAATTTCAATCTTTTACAATTGGTAGTTTATACTAAGATTGGTCAACGTTTTCCCTTTCGAATGGTACCAAGAAATGTGTGCTTTGCTCTAAAATTGGGCCCAGCATAGCTTACTGAAAATTACCAAAAAGAAGGGTGTTTTTGTTTTTGTTTTCTTTTGTGCGCGCTCAATATATTTTTGTTTGTGTAAGATCTCGTATCTCAGTATCCAGCCAGATCTAAATCTTAAATCGTGCTTAACAGATCCCATTTGCGCTTAAATGTGCTTTAGCGAAATTCAAGCAAATACAAAAGCATTTCTACTATCAGAGCACAATTTTAGTATGCTATTTGCTTTGATGTTACTCGTTTCATTCTATAATTCCGAGATCATGCCATAGTTGATATATTTCAATTGAATCAAAAGTATACAGAATAGTTTTCTTTTGCATCAAAATAAAAAGTCTAGCATTGTACATTCTAATTCTATAAATAAATTAAATTACAAATTACCATTTTTAATCAATGAACCTTCTTCATACATTTTATCCAAACTTTCTTTAAAGAATTTTGAGGCAACTGGTCTTTTAATTTTCATAGTTGGTGTTATAACATTATCCTCGACAGTTAATGGATCAAATTTTATATCTATATTATGTAATTTCTCAAAGCCTTGCAATTGGTTAGCAATTGCTTTATTCATATCATTTAAAAAGATTTTCTTATTTTTTGTGTCACTGAAAAATTTGACAATATCATCTTTATCATTGATTTTATCTTTGAATCTTCTCATTATATATTGCGGGATAGTAGTAACATCTAAACCAACAATACCAACCAAAAACGTTTGTAACGAATCACCATGAACATACAATTGTTGAACATATGGAAATTGTGATAAATATAAACCTTCGATTTTTTCTGGACTTACATATTCACCTTGTGCTAATTTATAAAAATTTTTAACTCTATCAATAATATATAATCTATTTCCATCATCTGGATTAATATGAGCAACATCACCAGTATAAAACCAACCATCTTCATCAAATGATTTCTTTGTTTCCTCATCATTTTTATAATAACCACCAAAAATTTGTGCTCCTCTTAATAAAATTTCACCTCTTGGTCCAACTTCATCTGAACTTGAATAATTCATATCTGGAATGTCACGAAGTTTAACTTCAACAGTTGTAGCAACTGGACCTACTGATAATTTAGTTGCATTTGGTGGTCCAACAGCCATACCTGAAACAGTTTCAGTCATACCATAACCAGAATAAATACCATTTGGAATATTTAAAACAGCTTGTAAAAATTCAAATGTCGAAGGAGATAATGGAGCTGAACCAGTAGTCATATAAACAACTTTGGACATACCCAATTTCTTTTTCAATGCATTAAATAATCTATCATAAATTAAATGTGAAGGATTTTCAAAATCATTTTGTTTTTGTAATCTAATCTTTTCATTAATTGCTCTATTAAATAATGCAGCTAACCATGGTTTATCAGAATGAATTGTTTGTGATTTAATTGCAGCTTCTAATTTTGTTAAAACTCTTGGAACTAAACTTAAACAAGTTGGTTGTAAAATTTGAATATCTTCAATCAAAGTTAATGGTGATGGTCCTTGTGGGAAACCAACCTTCATACCACACATCATAGCCCATTGAATAACACATCTTTCATAAATATGAGCCAAAGGTAAGAATGAATAATGTGTACCATTTTCTTGATAACCTAAACCACTCAAATGAGAAATCAATGATGCAATTAAATTTTGTTGAGTTAACATGACACCTTTTGGATTACCTGTAGTACCAGATGTAAATGAAATTGTAAATAATGAATCTTTTTTTGGTGGGATTGGTGGTAATGCATTAATTTCCCCCAATTTTTCAACTTCACCTAAATCATATAAAGTAATTTTTGCTTCATGAGCTAATTTTCTCAATATATAATCATCATCTAAAGGATCCATAGAAACTAATGAAATTAAATTTGATAATTCTTCACTATTCTTTTTCAAATTGATTAATGTTTCAATTTTTTCTTTTGAACATATTATAATTGGTGATTCGGTAAGTCCTAAAATATATTTACTTGCATCTGGACCAAGTGTATCATATAATGCAGTATTCGTAATTGAATAAGCAGCGCTAGTTAAATCACATAAAGCCCATTCTGGACGATTATGGGAAAAAATTGTCAAAATAAATGATTCTTTTGTGGTTGGATCATATTTGATCTTTGAATGAGCTTCTGAATCTGTTTTATATGGATTATTGGTAAGAATATAAAAAACTCCACTTCCTAAATTATTTCTTCTTTGGCGAACGGTATTATAATCATCAAAAGTATAACCACCAAATGAGCCATCCGCTAATTTTTCACGTTTACCTAAACATGGTTTTTTACCATTTATTTGACATGAAATTTCAAAAGTATCGTACAATGATTCAATTGATGGATGTAAATCAGTAATTAAATTTTGTGGATCGTAAGAATTTCTATAAACTGATGAGAACCCTTTTGTTTTACTATTTGGAACTTCAACATTATAAGCTAATTTTTTTGGTGATGGAACTTGTTTAAATAATTCATGAATATGTTCTGGAGTTTCATTAAAAAAACTGTACATTATGAATAACTTTAGTTATAAAAAAGTGTGTTGATAATGAAAAAGCTTTTTAAGGAAGTTGCAAGTTTATAAATACAAAATTATTGATTGGAGTTTGGAACGGGAAAAAGGAAATATAATTCTTGCGTCGATACGATTTAAAACGTAATTGATAGTAAATATTTTAACGTGGATCGTGTCATTTCTCGGTACCCCACAATATGGTCGAGTCGTGCCCACCCCTCTTTTAAATACTATTACGGACCGAATAAAATTGCTAGCATAATATAGAAGATAATTGCAGGTAGGTAGTAGTTAGCTACAATAGATTAGCTACAATAGAAAGAAGCCTTTGTAACTCTGTTCACTCGATATTGAAAATAAGTTAAACTCATCGCAGTATTGATTCGGTTACAATAATCTAAAAAACCGTTAGATTTATCATTAACTTCCTCGGCAAGTAAAAAGTTTATATTTCTGACTAAAAAATAATACTTTAAAATATCGAAACCAAAGATAAGAATTATTGCATCATTAAAGATTTGCATTAAAATTATTTTGCAGCCAAAGATTCTGTTCTTTTGAAGAAAGGTTTTAGAATTTACAGTACACTCTTCTTTATTTATTGAGAAGCGATTTTGAGGTCAAACAAGAGGAAGCTTATAATCTACAACAAGATCGATCTTTTCGAGATCTTTCTATTCGTATACTAGGAAAATCAGATTGCAAGGATGCAGAGTATCTACCATCCAATATCCATTTTGAAATAGTATTATGAGCAATGAAGCCGAGTTAGTTAAGCTGTACAATTTTGATTCTGAACAATAAGCGAACGCAATAAATTTCTTCCCATTTTCTTTGTCTCATTTGAGTATATTTACACAAATTTCGTTTTCTCGCACTTAATTTAGTTAGTTATCTATGTATTTTTTTTTTTTAATTCGAATATTTGATACGATAAAATAGTATCTGGCGCTAAAGTTAGGGCGACCTTCGTTTCAAGCTTTTTGGCTTGTAAATCATGAAATACTCGAGCTCATGAGGTATAGTCTCGTTTATCAAGGCAAAACTCTTGAATTATATATAACTCTTACCTTCATACTACCATTTTGAAAATTTTTTTTCAAAGTTGAATTTTTGGCATTTTTTCACCATACAAAAATTTTCCAAAAAACTGTAAGCGCAGCTTATTTTATATTTGCGGCCAAAAGTTTAAGCAAATCTAAGGATTATATACATTATATCTCAAATTGATACATTAAAATTAATTTCATTTGACTCTAGCTGAAAATGAAAAATTTCAAAAAAATCTCTTAAGTATAGGAAAATTTGAAAACATTGACCTTACAACATATTCAACTCCACAACTTAAACAGTGATGAAAACGTTGTGAAGGTAACAAAATTTGTAGTTTTGTGTTCTGATACCCTGAAAATTTTTTTGTTTAGATACACAAAATAGGAAAACTAATTTTTCAAAGGTGAAATTTTTGCAAAAATTTCAAAATGATTATGGTCTTTTAAAAGATAAAGTTTCAGAGGTCAAATGAACCGAATCAACTGTATTAGAAGTTGCTAAATGAAAATTAAGTGTTGATTTTCTTGCAATTTAACGCTTTTTGCAGATTTTTCAAAGATGGTTAAAGTGATCAAAAATGAGTCTTATTACATGATATTAACAAAAAGGTACTCAAATTAGGGCTGAAATTCTGATGAAAAAAGTTTGACAATTACAATACATTACTGAAAGAGTTACTGACAAATTAATTTCTAAGATTAACTATTGTACATGCAATCCTGTTGCAATATTTATAATTTTGAATACATAATTCTCGCCCAAAATTTCATGCAAAAAGTATAATTCCGCTACCTTTAGGGCGACTCGTACCAAATTTATTGGCTTATATGTCATGACAAGGCAATTTCAAAAAATAAGTACCAGTTATATCAAACTTGGAGTTTTCAATTATATATCTCTCATTCTTGAAATTTACGATTTCAAAAATTTCTTTTTCAAGTTGAATTTTTGGCACTTTTTCATCATACAAAACTTTTCAGAAAAATATAATTGCATGTACCTTATAATTTACGATCATCACTTTCAATTAAACAACGGTTTGTGTACCTTATAATTTGTGATCATCACTTTCAATTAAACAACGGTTTGTATAAATTATACCTCAAATAGATACATAAAACTTTATTTCATTCGATTCAAGCCCAAATTGAAAAATCTCAAACAAAATCTGTGAAGTATGGCAAAATTTGGATAAATAGACCTTAAGAAAAATTTAATACCACAAGTAATTTGGTGATTGAAGTATGCTAGAGTTATACATTTTTGTAGTTTTGTACTCTGATAAACCTTGAAGATTTTTGTGTTAAGGTACTCAAATTGGGAAAAGTAATTTTTCAGAAGTGAATTGAAATTTTTGCAAAAAATTCAAACTAATTATAGCGCTTTGAAACAATCATACAAAGAATTTCTGTAATAAAATGAATCGAAGCAGCTAAATTAGAACTTGGTAAATGGAGTCTAAGTGCTGATTATCTAGCAAATGGTGTTTTTTCCCATTCTTTTGATAAAGAATTAAATGATCAAAATTACGAAGATTTGATGAAAAAACAATCCAATCAGCATTATCTTCATTGTCTGAAGCTATAATTAAAAACAGCTTGAATTTTTGAAGGAGTTATATAGACATTAAATTTTGCTTTTTTTTACTACGGAACTGCATATAAGTCAAAATTGTCTCAAGATTTATTTCGATTCTGAACGACTCTTTAAACAACTAGGAGCGAGCAATTCGCCAAAAAAAAACACAACTCATGGCCACCATAGGTGTTACCGATTGACTTTTTGAATTAAGCCCACAAAATCAAAACTCCGAAATCTCGAAAAATTTGATACTAAATGTTGATAATAGAAATGTCATGAGTTCAAGATGGATCTTTATCAGACAGTGCACTAGTAAGAGCTCGCCTGAGATGTTATGTAGAATTTTAGATTAGATTAAAATATTTTTCGACCGTAAAACTTTTGTATAAAAGTAAGAGCAAGGAATACCATCATCGATTCGAAGCCATTTCAAAACATCAAGTGATCAATGGAAACCCGATTCGAAACCATTTCTAAACATCAAGTGATCAATGGAAACCAACTAGTTGTATATTAGATTTCTAATTACATATTATCCCAACGTTGAATCGCAATTTCTTCTGATTTTATAAGATATTGGAGTAAATTTTTTATTTCCTTACACAAAATCGCGCTTATTTTTCATATCTTATCTCCAAACAATATCAACAAAGCATTAGAAATGGACAACGAATATAGAAAAACAGTTTTGTTGAAATCGATTTTTACTAATACTACATCAACTTTGACGTTACTAAATATCAACTATTAAAGTATATTAACTCACTAATAAGTTATTTCTCCCACTCCAAAAAAGAAAAGCAATAGATCACAATATAAGATCTATGAAACTAAATCAATTTAACAACCTTAATTCAGATCATAGTAATTACAATATTTGTTGGTTAATATAGATCGGATTTATAATATAATGAATATTACTATATTAAGGAGTTATTCCAATATTTTATCCAATTCTACACTAACAAATTTTTACAACTACTCCGCATTCTATTTTACAATGATAATGTTAATGGTGGGAATTATATAAATAGATTAGAGTTTTCCTAATTCTGTATTTTTACAATCAATCATTATTTATCCTTTTTAACGTTTGATCGTTTATTAATTGGTGTTTTGAAATTTTAAAATTTTAAAATTATGTCAAAATCTTTATTTCAAGAAGATGCAACTCATATATTTGAAACATTAACTAAAAATTTACCAATTGATCCTAGAAAACTTAATATTGCAATTCCTATAGCAAATAGTGAACAAGAAGGGTATTCAGCAACTTATAGAAACTCATATTCACCAGATCAACTAATTGATACTTTTTACCCTTCATTAGATACGTTATATAAACTATTTGAAAATGCGTGTGATGCATATAAAGACTCACCGTGTTTAGGTTATAGAACAAAAAATTTAGATGGTTCATTTTCACATTATTTATTTCAAGATTATCAAACTATTAGAGAACGTAGAAATAATTTTGGTAGTGGTATTTTTAGAATTTTATCAACTTCACCATTTAGATTAAATACTGAATGTCATTCGAAATTAGATTATGAAACTGAATGTGATGAAAGATTTATTTTAACTATATTTTCACATAATCGACCAGAATGGGCCATGTGTGATATTACATCAATTGCTTATTCAATACCAAATACAGCTTTATATGATACTTTAGGTCCAGATACAAGTAGATATATTTTGACATTGACTGAATCACCGATTGTCATTTGTTCAAAAGAGAAAATTAAAACATTGATAAATTTAAAGAAAAATAATGAACAAGATTTGAAAAATTTAATTGTTATTGTTTCAATGGATGATTTGGAAGGTTATGAAGATGAAAAATTAGTTGAATTAGCTCATGCTACAAATATTAATCTATATGATACAAAAAATGTCGAAAGAATTGGAGAAATTCATTATAAATCACCAATACCACCAAAACCAGATACAATTTTTACAATTACTTTTACTTCAGGTACTACAGGTAATCCAAAAGGTGTTGTTTTAACTCATAAAAATGCAGTATGTGCAATGACATTTAGAATATCTGCTTCAAGAACTGATTTACATGGTACACATTATTCATTTTTACCATTAGCACATATTTATGAACGTACAAATATTTGTTTTGCTTTATCAACTGGGTCTAAAGTTGGATTTCCACAAGGTAAATCTCCAGCTACATTATTAGATGATGTTAAAGAATTAAAACCAACTGGTTTGGCATTAGTTCCTCGTGTTTTAACAAAATTAGAAGCTGCTATTAAAGCTCAAACTATTTCAAATTCAGAAAGACCAATTGTACAATCTATTTATGCAAGAGCAATTAATGAAAAATTGAGATTACAATCATTACCAGAAAATGAACATTTAAATCCACCACATTTTGTATATGATAGAGTTTTAGGTTTATTAAAAAAGAAAATTGGTTTAGCCAATGTTACTGGTATTTCAACAGGTTCATCACCAATTTCAAATGAGACTCTTAAATTTTTAAAAGCTGCTTTAAATTTGGGTATTTCAAATGGTTATGGTTCGTCTGAATCATTTGCTGGTATTTTAGCAAGTTCAAGATTTGATAAAAATCCAGGTTCAGTTGGGGCAATTGGAGTAACTACCGAAGTTAGAGTTAGAGATTTACCAACTATGAATTATACATCGAAAGATGAAGGAGGTCCAAGAGGTGAAATGATGTTGAGAGGACCACAAATTTTCTCACATTATTATAAAAATCCAGAAGAAACTGCAAAATCATTTGACTCAGAAGGTTGGTTTCATACTGGTGATGTTATTCGTATTGATACACTTGATAATAATAAGATTTACATTATAGATCGTGTTAAAAACTTTTTCAAAATGGCTCAAGGTGAATTTGTTACACCTGAAAGAATTGAAAATACTTATCTTTCACAATTTCCATTTATTGCTCAATTATTTGTACATGGAGATTCATTACAAAGTTATTTAGTTGGTGTTGTTGGTATTGATGCAACTACTATTCAACAATATATATATAGAAGGTTTAAAGATAAAATTGAAAATAAAGATGATATAATTAAATTTTTAAACATGCCGAAGAATAAAAAAATATTTTTAACTGATATGAATTCATCAATTGCTACTCAATTACAAGGTTTTGAAAAATTGAATAATATTAAAATTGAATTAGATCCATTAACTGTTGATTTAGATTTAATTACTCCAACACAAAAGATAAAAAGACCAAATTGTATTAAATATTTTAAACCAGTATTGGATGAATTATATCAAGAAGGTTCAATTTTGAAAGATGTTAAATTGTAAGGACAATGTACATTATAAATTGTGAATAACTCTAAAATAGAGCGACTAAACAATACTCGTAAATCAAGCTCAAGAGATTCGAATTGGAGACAAGTTAAATCATTAAATCACTTCTTTAGTCTTTTATTAAATTTCTGATCTATTAGTTGTGATATTCTTACATGATTCAGATAGCTAGAATATTGTAAATGAATAATATAATATTTTGCATAATCGTGAGTAATAAACTTATAAGAAACCAATTCACCGATTGATTTAAACCACTTTAGCAACTTCCTCTTCTTAATCCTTGTAGATATGCCATAAATACTAATACTTTTTCTACCTATAGGATTATGTTTCACCATTTGTAATTTAGTTTCTTCATATTTTTCAATAATTTCTTGATTATTGACCCACCCAAATTTTGATTTCGTTGCCATTATCGTAAAAGCACCAAACAAAGCTCTAGGTAAATATTTTGTAATCTTATATTGCATTTCTTCCTTTACGTGTAATAAAACTGCACAATCATTTAAATTTTGTATATATTCTATACTTGAATAAATCTCGTTAATTAAACTTAATAACATTTCATTCCCATAAAACAATTTGGAGTATATAAGTAAATAAACCTTAAAATGAATTGAAAACTCAAGGGTCCAGTATGTGTTCCTAAAAGATTGTAAATCAAATAATGGAATTTTTGAATAAAATGTTTTTGTGTAGGTTGAATTAATACGTTGAAGTTGTTGTTGTAAAGGTGATTGTTGTGATGGTGGAGGCTGTTCTTGTTTTAATTTTTTGCCAAATGAAAACAAAGCTCTTAATCCGTTTGGTTTTGCCATTTAACTGTGATTTTAAATTATGACTTATTTGTGTTGTAACAAAATGGTTGCCAATTTTTCTGTATACTTTTTTTGCAGCATAAATTAATAATAACATACGACAACACCAAACTGTCAAATTATCGTTAGCTTGACATTCAATTGATAATGATGGTCAATTGTCAAGTAAGTGGTTTCTTTTTGCTCTATAGTAAACTATTCTTGTCCTTACACAGCTAACGATCTCGTGTTTTGTTATTCTTCTACGACCAAGTACATAAATACGATCAATTTAATTCAAACAAATAAAGTTATAAGCTTTTGGTCTTAATCAATTATCTACTAATATCATATCCATATAAGTATGTTGGGGTCATCAAGTGTTTAATAACATCAAAGAAAAGTTAAGGGGTAATTGTGCAAAAGCCACCTAAAACTTCATCTAGGTTTTTCCTCACGCTCACCTTTACTTTAAGAATTAATCTAATTACATTTCTCTAGTATTAACGTTCTTGAAAAATAGGACAGTCTGATACTATGCTAATATTCTTTAAAATTGAGAAAATCATTTTCTGAAAATATGGATCACAAATACAGCATCAGATACTTTGCAGATTTGCACCAGCTGATTGCTTCATGTAGATCTCAATGTAATTAGTAGTGTAGGTTATACCATGCTTTGATTTTTCATTAAGATCATTTCGATCGGACATACCTTTCATCAAAGATGAATGTATCATGTTCACAACTAAGAATGGTCCACTATTTGATTCATTTAGGATGTTAGATTAAGAGCCGAAGTTGTATAATAAATTCGAGTACGGATCTCTTTTTTTTTGCCGCTATTACCAATTTGTCCGAAAAACCGTTATGTTTGATCTCGTAAATCGCAAATCTCATCAGATCTAGTGACAGATCTTAAGACTCTATGATCAAATACACGAAACAGCCTAAGAACGATAACTCCGAATTGTGTAGATGCCATCATTTGGTACCAGCATGAGCTTAATTATGAAATCGGGGTAGTTTAATAATGTGACATCATTTCAGTTTATGTAAGTTACACAAAGCTTAATTCAATTAGAAAGGACTTTCATGCATCGGATATAAATAAATTCTTTGATTCATATATTCAGTTATCAACTATCACAATGAAAGCAGTAGTTATATCCTCAAACCCCAAAACCTTGACTGAAATCAAAGATATACCCCTCCCTCAAATTAACGATGATGAAATTTTAATTAAAACCAAAGCTATAGCTTTGAATCCTACTGATTGGAAACATATTATATATCAATTAAGCAGTCCCGGAGATTTGGTAGGTAGTGATGTTTCTGGAGTTGTTGAAGCTGTTGGTTCATCAGTTGAAAATATCAAAGTGGGAGATTTTGTAAGTTCATTCATTGCAGGTAATTTCACAACTAGATATGGTGCTTTTTCTGAATATGTAATTGCAAATCCTCAAGCTACAGTAAAGTATCCTACATTAACAGACGATATTTCAACTGATGTTAATTCCATCAATTCATTCATTGGTGCTGCTTCTGTTACATTAGGTTTAACAACAATAGGTATGTCATATTCGAACACTTTGAACATTCCCAAACGTTTAACACCTGGTGATTTCATATTGATATGGGCCGGATCAACTACTACCGGATTATTAGCTATTCAATTAGCTAAAATGATGTATAATTTGAAAGTCATTACTACTGCCTCTCCAAAAAACTTCAAATTAGTAAAGTCGTATGGAGCAGATTACGTGTTTGACTACAATGATCCAAATGTAGTTGACAAGATTAAAGAAATAGGGCAGAACAGAATCAAATTTGGTCTCGATATAATTGCAACTAAGCAAACCTTCCAAAATGTGTATGATACTACAGCTGGTACTCCAAAAGTTTACCTTGATAATTTGGATGGTTTGGATAAAACCGCAATAAGTGTTGTTTCAAGTAGAGACGTTCATTTTGAAAGAACTGCTGGTTATTTAGCAATTATTAAAGAGAAACAATTTGGAGATTTTCATTTCGAACAAACTCTGGAAATGATGAAGAATTATTTGAAGTGGTGGTACGATGAGTTACCAAAATATATCACTCAAATTAAGCATCCTAAATTGGTACATCTAGACAAGGGTTTTGAATCAGTCAATGATGGATTATCGATGTTAATGAGCAATAAAGTTTCAGCTAAAAAGGTTGTCATTAGTATATAGAACAATATAATATGTAGTACCTAATATAGTTTAACGTTATCTACGACATGATCATTATTCCTTGCCAAAAGTTATGGCCATTCGTTAAGGCCACTCGTTAAGTCCACTCGTATCAGACACGTGACTACCAAATCGGTATATTTTTTTGTTTGTCTAACATTTCATTTTTGTGGAATGAAAAACATTCAAATCAAATTGTGAATAAGTAGAAGAGTTTAGATAAATAATGTCCAATCTATGGGCTATAAATGCAACTAAAAAGAAGAAGAATGATCATGTAATTGCAGGCTCATCCAAATGGGTATCAAGTGAATTAAATAATCAATTATCAATTTCTTCAAATCTGATTGAACAACATTATAATGAAATTGTTAATCAAAATGACTATTTAGAGAATTTATTGAGTAATTTGGAAAATGGGGTGGTTGATTTGAGTTTTTTAAATGATGATGAAGATGACAAGAAGTTTGAATCACGTAAGAAAAATATACCACCACGAATATCAGATGAGAAAAGAGAAAAGGATGAAGTTGATCTTTTAAACGTGTCTTTCGTATTACCATCACCAAAATCATTAGCAGTTGTAAAGAATTTACCAAAAGGAAGTCCATTGAGAAATGAAAACGTACGAGAGAATGAAATAGATGAACCCAGGGTCTCAAGAAAAAGAAGTTCATTAATATTTGAAGATGATCTGTTTCAAGCAATTAGTAAAGCTATTAGAAAAAGTACAGCTGGTAAATCCTTAACCAATTCATCAAATAATAATAAATCTGAATCACATAAATCTGAATCACATAAACCAAAATCACCAGCAATGAAACAAGAATCACCAGATAGTAAACTGGCACCTGTTAAATTACCAGATGAATCACCAAAAGTTATACCTAAACAAGTTTCACCTATTTCAAAAGCACCACTTTCTTCCGTATTTACACCAGTTGAGAATACAAATAAAATTAAAGAACAACCACCACCACAATCAAGTTTAGGATCAACAAAGACTCCAAGAAGTCGAAGCTCTGCATTTATCTCATTACCAGCAAGAGAACCAATTATAGTAAAATCAGCAACAAAACCAAGAAAAAGTACAATTAAATCACATTCAAGAATGTTGGATAAATTAGACTTTGAGTCGAGTTTTCATGAAGTACAACCATCAAAGGCATTTAATGATATAAATAAAGAAAACAAGATAGACATACTCAATGCTAATGTCAAGCCTGCAACCAAATTTGAAATGAATGATCAATTTAAATTATCACCAGTTAGACTACCTCAAAAATTCCAACCAAAACCTATATTTGAATCAAGAATACCCGAAATAAATAATGATAAAAATAAAACTATGAAATTACAACCTCCTATCAATCTTACACATAAAGATAGAGTAATTAATTCACCTACAAAATCTCCACAAAAACAATTTATACCTTCATCGACTGAAATACCCATTAGATCACCAATTAAAACTACAGAAAGTACGACAGTATGGTCAAATATTGAAAAATATAGAGCTTTATCTCCAATCAAGCTGCCAGTCAAAAATCAAATAAGGTCAACTTCAAGATCAAGATCACCTACTAGATTACCACCAGCTAAATTAAGTGCAACACCAAAATTATCATCCCCTATAGAGAGAAAAAACTCAATGCCAAGAAGAACCAAATCTCCAGAACCATCAATAAGTAAATCAACTGCTTCGACTACTGCTAGTGCATCACGGAATAAATCTAAGAAATCAGAAGGTAGAAAAATTGAAAGAAATAGATTTTTAACTACGTCATTAATACCCAACAATAATGAAAGTACAAGTAATGATCGAAAATCAACAAATGTTAAACCACTTCCTAAAAAATCATTATCACCAGTAAGACCAGTACAATTACCACCACTACGAAAAAGTGCAAAGAAAAGCATGATGGAAATAAGAAGTGAAGAAGCAGCTTTAAAACCTAAACAGAGAATTGTGTTAAATTACAACCATGTATTGAAAAGAAAACTGGAAGTCAGAAAGGAAGAAGCAAAAGATACACCACTAGCTCCGAAACCTCAACCAATCAATCATCCACCTCCACCATCAGATCAACCAAGACAGAAAAAACCAAAAACTGGAAATGCAGTTGCTTTGCCAGATGCAGCTCGTGGAATATTTAAAAGAAAAGACAATACTAAAAAACCAATTGAAACTCCAAAAAGAAGAATATTTGACACCAATTTAACAAAATATAGTCCAAATACTCTACCTGAAGTATTATCAGATAATGATTTTTCACCATCCAAGAAAATTTTACAACCATGGGCAAGAACACCAGAATTAGATAAAACTATATTAAAATTCTCCACCATGAATCCAAATAATTTCTTTCCAGCACCACCAAAAATTGATATAAATAAAATTTTCAATAATGATCGAATTGAAAAATCACCTACTACAATTTCAAGTTCTACAGTAGAAAGACATGGATATGATAAAAGAATGGGATATCATTAAAAATCTATTTACGAGTTGCTAAAGCCTTTTCTTTAGACCATTCAGAGATCCATTTGGATACATCCTGTTTAGGTACAATATACAATCTTAATGCATTATCAAACAAAGGTGCTTTTGAAGATTTATCATTCATTAAAGCATTGTTTAATTCTATTTTTTTACCGACTTTAACTAAACCTCCAGTTTCAGTTTCCATAAAGCAATCAAGATTATTAACTGTGAAACCAGGATGTGAATCAAACCATTCTTTAGGTCTATCTAATATCATTTCTAAAATTTCCAATGGTGTAATTAATTCACTTATTTCCTCTATATAATCAAATTCGTCTATTGTAGGATATAAAAGCATTGCTGGAAATATTAATTGAGATTGATAATCCATTGGATCTTCTAATCGTATTTTAGCCTTTTGTAAAACTTCAGGTGGTGATTTTGTTTTTATTATTTTAAAATGTCTTAGTTTTATTGAATCATCTAGTAATTTAGCTTTTAAAGCTTCTTGTTGTTTCTCCCTTTCTCTTTTCTCTTTTAATTCTTGTATGTTTTTTAATTTAGTCTCTATGTCTTTTAGTATCCCATTTAAATCTTTATTTTTTGGATCTATAGTTAAACCATATTTCAAAATTTCTATGGATTCATCATATTTCTCAATTGCAAAGAATGCTTTAGCTGATCTAAATATTGCTTTAATATTCTTTTCATCAATTAATAGAACTTTCTTACAATCATCAATACATTTTCTAAAATTACGTAATTCCAAATTACAAGCAGCTCTATTCAACAATAAAGCTTTATTTATATCAGGTACATTACAATCTATCTCAAGACCTTTATTATAATATTCAATTGCATGTTTATATTGTTTTGCTTTATAACAATCATTCCCCTGATTTTTAAAGTTTGTTGCAATTTCATGAGGTTCTCCATCATATGCTAATTGTTTCAAAGCTTCTAATTCCGTATTTTCACCACCTTGACCATCTGAATCATCTAATTCAGTCATAAAAAATGGTAATCTATTCAATTCTTTAATAACTTCATCTGTTGATTTATTGGATAATTCACTCAATTGTGGAGGTAATTCAGGTTCACCAGCTTTTGGAATATATCTACGTCTATCCCATTCCGATATAAATTGATCAGTTTGTTTATCTTGATTCACTAGTTCTTCTTCATCAATAATTTCTTCACTTTTAGGTGGCATGAAGAGATGATTCTAAAAAAAAAAGTATAATGCTACCAATTCTATAAATTTCTATATAATCTATGTCTTTTGTAAAACAACAGGAACCCTTAATGAAATCTTTTCAAGATTAGATAATTTAAAATCAATTTTTAAATAGTAAACTCTAGCTAATAAACAACTTTGGAATTCTGGAACTAAACAAAAATCAGTCAGATTTACCGGTTTTAACATTGCTGAATTTAAATCGATTAATAAAATTAATTTCTTATCATACCTTACTGCATCGTCATCATTATTCTCAAGCACATTTTTCTCCCATGGTATTGATGTAATTGTATCGTGTTTCTTTAAACTTGTACTTGATTCTAAATGGACATGTTTAACTCTCATGTGTACAAAATTTGTAGATAAACTGGCTAAACATTTAATATCCTTGACAAAATCTTTATCAAGGTCTAATAATTCAGGATCAACTTGCTTTAAAATCTTAGATAATTCAGCTGCGTATTTTTGGAACCTTTTAATTGTGATATAATCAAAATTATCATGAGTTAAATTTAAATTATTCTGATGTGTACTTGATGCAGCCTTTGATTTATTATCAAATAACATTTCAGGATGTATGGCAACGGGTATAGAATGTTTTTTGGATTTTATAGTTAATGCAATTAAATCAACTGAAACTGATTTGAAATCAGGTAATGAGCTTGGTGAATTATATTTCTCTTCTCCGAAAATGAATGTTAAATTAATGGGTACTTTTAAAATATTTTCCTTTTTCAACTGATCTATGTTCTTTATTTTGTTTTGAAATTGTGGTAATGGTATATAATTTGCTTTATATTCTACTTTTGGAGTTGAGAAAGCTGTTAGACCAATAATTTTAGATGATCCAAACATTGATTTTTTCTTATACGGAAGAAACACTTCATAAACATCCTTTGATTCTGTTGAGTTAAATCTTTGTCTATAACTACTTTTTGAATAATATGATTGTTGCATTTTTGCTAGTTCTAAAACACTCAAACTTGGTTCTAATGTATTAATGTTATGCAATGACAGTAATGATGAAGAACTTGAAATGGGTCGTAATGAGCTTTGACTTGAAATAGGCTGTATATGTTGATTCTTTTCTATCAATTCCTTGCCAAATTCAATCTTTTCCTTAATCTTTTCTATAAAATTTCCATATAATAATCTTGCTTCTTGATGAATCATTGATCTATTTAATTGTAGAATTTGTGGAGATACAGGTATCACTCTTAAATATTTATAATCTTCATTTGCAACAACATATTCATCATGATCTATATCTATATTCTGATTATTTGTACCACCTAACAACTCTTTATATTCTGATGCTCTACCTATAACTCTTGCACTTATACAATAACTTATTGAAGTATCTAAGAATGAAAAGTCATTTGTTAATGAAGCATATTTATACTTATTTTTCAATATTTCTTCACCTTCAATTGAAGAATCTTTTGAGTCTTTCCATTTATGCCTTAAGGTATTAATAATCTCATTCTTACATATACCTAAAGTTGGTGGGATTTGTAAATGTCTGATCAACAGATGTTCACAATCACTATCTAATAATTTTTCAGGTAATTTAAAAGTGAAAAATTTCTTATATGTTCTCCCTGGTTCAAACACTTTCCTCGAATTTAATTGATAATATGTATGATCTTGTGGATCCATAAATTGTTCTTGATCCTTGGACATATCACGATATGGATTATTATTATCCGTAACTAATCTATCTAAAAATGCATCATTCCAGCTGGCATTAAAATCAAACATGGTTAAAAATCGTGAAAATTTTGTAGGTTGTTCAACAATTAAAGTATTATTATTATTTACATTACCAAATGTTAGACATCCTTCTAATTGAACTGAAAACATATCAAATGGAATTTCATGAGATATTCTATTTGTGATCAACACAAAACCATAAACATAATCACCTTGTTTTAATTCCAAAGTTAATGGATTTAGTATCTTTGGTGTTTCTCCAACTTTACCTATATTTTTAGTTATATTAATTTTAATTTCTAATAATTTTGAAATATCTTTATTTGAAGAAGTTAATCTTTTTAATTTATGAGCATTCTCTAGTATAGTATCATCATTTTCTTGTTCCTGTTCAAATTGATCATTTCCACTCAACTGTTCATCTATATTCTGAGGTTCTAACGCAGGGCTGGTTGGCTGACTCATGAAATAATCATGTAAAGAAGTTTGTGTAGATAATGTTGAATTCAAATCTGGTGTTTGTAATGGAGTTAATTCATAACTAGGTGGATCGGTCCTAAGATCTTCTACACTTGGAGTTAGTTGTTTTGTTATTGTAGATCTATACATGTGATAAGATGGTAAAATGTTGACTAATAGATTTGCTTCATCATCTTCATTATTATTATTATCCTGAGAATCATTCCTAGATCCTCTCATAGATAAGGATGAAAGTTTCAATCGAAACTTATTCCTATCATCCATTACTTTATGAATTTATCGAATCGGATTCAGTTGACCGTATAAATTGAAAATTTACGTGCCAGCAAACGAATGGCTCATGCCGCGCTACCAATTATTATTCTATCGTAAATTCATTATATAATCTATACTCTATTTATAAATTTCTAAAGGTACATTTAATATTAAATTAACCCCATGAGACATCCTAACTGATACTTTAACATAATATAATCTACCCATATAACAAGATTGAAAATTAGGTACTAATACAATTGTATCTAAACCTTTCATTGGAAATTCAGTACCTTTTAAACTACAATTATTTAAATCCATCTTTATTGAAAGTTTTTTGGAGTATACTTGATTCTGAGTATTTTCTTCTACTGACCAAGGAATTGATTTTATATTAGTGTATGATCCAAGATTACCATTATGGTTATATAAATAATTACAATTTGAAATTGGTAAATTAATATATTTAGTTTTTAAACTTGCAATACTTTTAACATCTCTGTATAACTTTGTTTCTATTTTCAATAAGTCATTACCTAGTTCTTTAATTAATCTATGAAATTCGTATAAATATTCTTGAAATTTTTTGATTATAATTTGATCGAAATTATCATATTGAAAAAAATTCTTTCTGTGACCTGTGTTGTCAATTTCATTTTCATGGAATAGCATATCTGGTATAAATTCAAATGGAATAGCATGTTTGTTTGACCTTATTGTTAAAGTAACCAATTCCACATCAATTGATTTAATTTCTGGTATATTTTTACTCGAGTTATCGGTCTCCAGAAAATAACTTATTTCAATAGGTATCACTAGTTCAGTATCTTTACTTGAACGTCCAAATTTCGGTGGTGAAGTATATCGTATTCTGTAATCATCTTTTATTGTTGATAATGAGATAACACCTAAATATTTTGAAGAACCAGTTATTGACTTCTTCTTAAATGGAATTAAGCATTGATATAAATCATCATCATCTATTTTTCTTTGTCTTAGGGTTTTCTTGAAGGTTGAATTTGCAACATCATACAAGTGTCTTAATTTAACACTATCATGACTTATTGCTGGACTCAAATGTGGTCTTAAATTGGTGGCAGTATTCAATAAATCATTTCCATAATCAATTTTAACCATTATAGAATCAAGAAATGCCTTGTAATATATTCCAGCTTCTTTAATTATATGGTTTTTATTATATTGATACTCTAGATTTGGTTTTGGTATGACTCTAATTGGTGTTGAAGCCAATTTTGCAACAACATATTGATCTTTCTCCACAGGAAAATTATAATCAGATGCTTTTCCTATAACTCTTGCATCTATACTATAAGATATACTACTATCCATAAATGATAAATCTTTAATTTGATTGTTTTTAGTAGCCAATATCATTGAAGGTAATACATTATTTCTATCTATACCTAAAGTAGGTGGCACTTCTAAATGTGATGGTAGATTATGTGAACAAGTATCATCTAGTAGTTTACTAGGAATTCTAAATGTGAAAAATCGTTTATATGTAACATTTGGTTGAAATAGTCTTTTAACATCAATAGCTAATAATGTATTATCGTATGGATCTGTTTCACCATCACACCAATCATGAGGATCACCATTATCTGTTATTAATCTATCTATATTTGCATAAGACCAAGAAGCAAATAAATCCATCATATTTAAAAATTTAAATCTTGTAAGCGGATTTTTGACATCAATCATACCTACTTGAGAATTTATAATAGCTAAAGAACCTTCGAAGACAACATAAACCATATCAAAAGGTATTGGCTTATCAGAAACATTTCTAATTGTAATATAACCATGTAAATAATCACCTTGATTAAATTCTCTAGTTGACGGGTCCATAAATATTGGTTTTATACCTTTTTGACAAACTTTTTCAGTCACTTGTATATCTATTTTTAGCGAGTCAGCAATTGGATTCTTTGCATAAGTTAAATTTGGTAATTGATCGACATTTGATAATATATTATTCTTCCATAAGTTATCACTTTCTTCATTATAATTATATTGTTCTTCTTCTTCTTCAAAATTGAAATAATTTTCACCTTGATTTACCACCTCATCAATTGGCGAATGCATATTGGACGTTGCTACACTTGTAAGTAATGAAGGAGTTTCTGAAGTAATTGGTGTCATTAAATTGGGAGTACTATTATTTCTTTTATCACACGATTTATCATCATAATTTGGTGGATCCACCAAATAATTTTCATCAGTTGGAGTTAGATTTTTTGAGACTGTTGATTGAAACATATGATAAGAAGGTAATATATTATTAATTAACTCATCTTCATTTGGTGGTTCTGGTTCATCATTTGACATTTATAGTGTTGCAAATAAATTAATGGTATAATTTTAATGCGAATAAAATGTTTCAAATATAACCGCTACCAGTCACGTGTAAGATCACCTGGCGATAAGAATACTAAAAATAACTAAAATCAATTTGCTAATTGACTACCGAACTTCTTTTGATGATTTATATATAAATATTGATTAATGTCTAGTGATAATCCTTATAGATATAATATTGATGATGATGATGATGAGAATCAATCAATTATTAATACATCATCTCATCCTAATCAAAATAATGATACATTTTTATCAAGAATATTTGGTTTAAATTCAGTTTATAATCAAATGCAAGAAAATTATCAATATTATGATCCAGAATTTGATAGTACATATAATCAAAACCAAAGTATAACTGAAGCACAAGATGATGATTTACCAAAACAAAATACAAGTTTATTGAACTCTGAATCTGATTCTGATTTATCATCATCCGAAGAATCGTACGTAAGGCCAAATAAACCAAGTGATGAAGAACAACAAGGTGGTAGTATTCCATTAAAGAAAATTCAACCAAAGATTACATTTCAAACGCCTCAAAAACCAACATCACATAAAAAGCCAACCACTAAACCAATTCCACAAGATAACAATTATAAAGGCACTTCAAGAAGAGCTACAATTGTAATACCACCTAAAGAAAGAGCATTATATTTATGGGCAAATATCACCAATATGGATGAGTTTTTAGTCGATGTATATTACTATTATCTTGGTAGAGGTTTAGTAAATATAGTGCTAACGAAAATTGTTGATTTATTAATATTCATATTTGTTTTAAATTTTACAATTTTCTTAAGATGGGGTATAAATTATGATTTATTCTTTGAAAATATGAAAGAAAGAAAGCATATGACATTATCTGATTTAATTGTATCAAATTATTTATTTCGTAAAGTTCCATTTTCAGTCAAGTTTTTATTATTTGGGTTTTTCATATATTTAGTGCTTAGAAGTGTTCAATTGTACTTTGACTGTAATTATAAATTAAAGGAAATTAAGAATTTTTATCATCATTTATTAGGTATTAGTGATAATGAATTAATGACCATCAATTGGAAAACAATTGTTGAAAAATTAATGTCATTAAAAAATTATAATAGTCTAACATCAAGTAAACCAACTGAAAATCATTATGTAAATGATTTATCATCAAAAGTTCGATTAAATGCTCATGATATAGCTAATAGAATCATGAGAAGAGAAAATTACATGATTGCATTAATTAATAAAGATATACTTGATTTATCTATTGGTCTGTTAATGGATGAAAAATCCGTGCTTACTAAGACCCTAGAATGGAATTTAAAACTTTGCATTGACAATTTTATATATAATAAACAAGGACAAATTAATAATAATATTTTAAAAGAATATAATAGGAATCAATTGGCAAAAGAATTAACATCAAGATTTAAATTAGCAGCAATAATCAATTTAATACTAAGTCCATTCATTGTCATTTATTTTATATTACTATATTTTTTCAAGTATTTTAATGAATACAAAACAAATCCTTCATCAATTATTGGATTAAGACAATATACACCATATGCTGAATGGAAATTAAGAGAGTTTAATGAATTACCTCATTTTTTTAACAAGAGATTGCAAATGTCAATTAATCCTGCTCAAACTTATATTGATCAATTTCCAAAAAGTTATTTGGTTATAAATAGTATGAAATTGGTTAATTTTATATCTGGTTCAATTTTAGCAGTATTAGTTATTATGGGTATTTTATTAGAAGATGAAAATCATTCATTTTGGTCATTTGAAATAACATCAAGTAAAAGTACATTGTTTTACATTTCTATATTTGGTACATTATGGGCAATTACCTCAACTTCAACCACACCCAATGATCAAAATTCAAAAACTTCATTTGTTTATGATCCTGAAGCAAGTTTAAGATATGTTGCACAATTTACTCATTATTTACCTAGTTCATGGAATAAAAAATTACATACAACACATATTAAAAATGAATTTTGTAAATTATATTCTTTAAAGATTTTAGTTATAGTTAATGAAATTTTAAGTTTAATAGTTACTCCATTTTTATTATGGTTTAAAATTTCACAATCAAGTGGATTAATTATTGATTTTTTCAGAGAATATAGTATTCATGTTGATGGATTAGGATATGTTTGTTATTTTGCAATGTTTAATTTTGAAGAAAAAGATAAGAATATGATGCTTGATTTAAATAAAAAGAAAAAAAAGAAAACTAAAAGAAAAGATGTTAAAAGTGATCTGGATTCTGATGAATCAGATGAAGATTTAAATTATTTATCATTCCATCAAGATGATAAAATGATTAAATCATATATGTATTTTCTTGAAAGTTATGGAGGCTCAAAACAAGAACAACCTAAACCAAGTCAATCACAACCTAGAAAACCAAGATTTACAAATGATCAACAAAGTATTAGTGATTCTATTTATAATGTAGATTATAAATTCGATGATAGTGATTTTTTGATTGACGACAAATCAAGAAAGAAAGGTGGTGTTTTGGGTATGTTGAATCAATTCTACAACCAAGATTTAAATAACTCATAAATATTCATTAAAAAATACATAAAGAAATGAAATTTCTATCTATATAAAATGTCTCTCTATTTTTTATCATCCATTGATGGGAAATATCCAAATTGTTTCGAATCATCTTCTTGAATTGGTGTAATCACAATTTCTTTTAATAAAATTGGACAAAATTGAGCAATAACCTTCTTTAAATTTGATCTTCTAATTGGTTTTGCTAAAAATCCACTCATATTTGAATTATAACATTCTTTTACATTACTTTCATCTGCAAATGCAGTCAAGGCAATTATTGGTTTAGTATATTTTAAATTATTTCTAATCATTTTCGTAGCTAATAATCCATCAATTTTTGGCATTTGAATATCCATAAATACTAAGTCAAATGGCTCATTGTTTTCCATACTTTCTTTTATAAATTCAATTGCTTCTGCACCATTACATGCCATTACTATATTTTCAAATCCTTCCAATTTTAACATTCTTTTAATAACTTCTTGATTAACTAAATTATCTTCAGCTACTAAAATTTTAAGAAGTTTTAAACTTGATTCAAGTAATGTGTCTTCATTATTTTGTGGTGTTAAATTAGCAGTACCTGTCGAATTTGCAAATATTAATGAAGGTTTTTTAACAGGTACGGTTGTAACTGGTGTTGGAAGTGATTCAGTTTCTGGTGTTGCCGGTTTATCATTAAAAATATCATTAGACAAATCATTCATATCAGATGATGGTACAACAATTTCACCAGTTTGTGGTAATGGTAATGTTAAAATAAATGTTGAACCTTTTCCAATTTCAGATTTTAATGTTAATGTACCATTCATCATTTTAGCCAATTGCTTACAAATTGATAAACCTAAACCTGTACCACCATAATTTCTTGATAATGTTTGATCACCTTGAACAAATGGTTCAAAGACTTTTTCTTGTAATGCGGGTTCAATACCCGGTCCAGTATCAATAACTTCAACACGTAAAACCCAAGTTTTTGGTTTGTAATTGTGTCTAATTTTAAATTTTTTATTATTTCGTAGTATTTCATGATGATTCCCATTTAATTCTGGTTTTTTATCAAATATTGGATATGTTGTACGCTTTGATGGTGATGGAGTAATTGCTTTTAATTGTATAGGTTTTTCATTATTGACTGTCGGTATTGATGCAGTTGAACTTCTTGGTGAATCTGGTAATGGTTTATCTTCAAATTGTTCTTGAAAGATTTTATTTTCATATTGTTGTGTTGTGAAAGTTAATATGCTGGAGGAATCATTGATCTGCAAAGCTTTTTCTGATTCATAAGGCAATGAGGGCAAGGGTCCGGGTCCTTTTTCATGATTGACTTTGGTATTGTCTAAAACATAAACCTTTTCATAATTAACTTTTTGTGATTTTGATACATCATATTCTCCCAATAATTTGAAATTCACATGAACTGAACCGTCAACTGGTGTGAATTTTAGAGAATTTGAAACTAAGTTCATAATAATTTGTATAATTCTATTTGAATCACCATACAATATCAATTTTCGTAGTATACTTGGTTTTAGTCTAATTTGAAAGTTTACTTTTTGATCTAATGCTAATTTGTTAAAAATGGAATGAATTTGATAAGCAATTTCCAAGACTTGAAAATCTGTCTTTTCTAATTTTGATCTATTTAATGTATTTTTGGAATAAGTTAATAATTCAGTTAAAATATGTAATAATAATTCACCAGATCTATAAATTAACTTAAGTGAATCTTTCATTTTTGATTCATCTTCTTCATCCATTGCAATTGAAGTCATACCTAGTATACCATTCAATGGAGTTCTTAATTCGTGTGATATATTAGCAATAAAAATTGTCTTTGCTTCATTTGCAGATTCTGCTTCAATTTTAGATGCTTCTAATTCTTTTGTTCTTGATTTAACTCTATCTTCTAAATGTGAATATTGTTTTTCCAATTCTTCAGTCATAATATTAAAAGCTTCTGATAATTCAGTTAATTCATCTTTGAAAAATGGTTTTGATCTTGGTATTCTGGCAGGTAATCTTATACCTGAAGAATATGAACTTGTGGAATCTCGTGATGAAAGTGAATTATTACGTTTTATTTTCAGTTCAGTTAATGTTTCATCTTCTTCTTCAGAATTATGAACATTCTTGTCCTTCTTTCTACAACTTGTAATTGCTTCAGTTGCTTCTTTTAATTTTGTAATTGGTTTAATAAACCAAACGGCTAATGGAAATGTAATAAAACACATAAATGCACCTAGTCCAATAACAACACCAATAACAATTTTTTTCAATTTAGTTATAGGACCACTAAAAGTCGATTGTTTTTGTATTACAATGACATACCATAACCAATTTTGATACTTAATTTCATTAAAACCCATTGCTACTTTTGGTCCAGCATTTGACTTTTTATTTAATCTTGTACCTTGAGTATCATTTGATATTAAAATAGTTGTTAATGCAGGTGAAAAATCCAAAGTATAATAAGAATTTGGTTTTAAACCAGAATATTTAACTGGAAAAATATTCATATAACCAATTATTTCATTTGTTTTATTATATGGGTATAATTCGGGATCATTTGTTGGACCAAACATTGGATTTAATGCAACTAATGAATAATCATCAGTATCAGAAGTATCAAAAACACGTTTTAAACTTTCAGCATTTGCAATTAATGAAACATAACCTATTGGTTCAGATAAACGCTCATTAAATTCACTTGCATTTGAAAAAATTGCCATTGTTGAACCTAAAAAATAGGTTGTATTATAGGTAATAGTTGTATTTGGTACAGGACCTGTAAAGTAAATCAGATCTTGTACTGGAGTTATGATATAATCGGGTAAACTAGATTGATTTGTTGTATTTGCAGTAATTGGAAATAGTTGATTTTGCGCAAGTTGAGACACATATGATTGATTGTTAAAACTTTCAGCTATTAAATTAAAATCGGAAGTGTATAATCTAGCCATTGAATAATCTAATGAACTAATATATGAATCTAGAGCCTCTTTAACATCTTGACTAACAGTAACCGAATGATTACCATTTTTATATAATTGTAAAGGTGAAGCAATTTCCTTGACTGAAGCAATACTAGCAATAGATAACCCTAAAAATGTCATAGATTGAGTAACTTGAGTAGACCTTAATTGTGAAATAATTGATAATCTTTCGGACCTTAAATCTGTTAAATTTTTACTGAAATAAACTCCAGTTACGATAGCTAAAATTAATAATGAAAATAATGAAGCAAATCCAACTAGTATAATAAGTTGAGTACGAATCCCAACTTTAAGTCGTCTCATATTTGTGTTTATAGTTTATATTTAAAGTTATGATTTGCTATATGCTGTCTATCATTTGAATACTGATGCCGTGGGAAAGAAAAAATAAATAAATAAATAAATAAAAACTCTATAAATGCAATGATATTTTGATAAGTAATATGATAAGTAATATGATAAGTAATATGATAAATAATATGACAAATAAATTGATGATACTATACTATAAAATTAATGAAACACCAACCCAATCACTTATTAACCAAAAGAATAAACTGATCTGAAAATTAATCGGAAATTGAATCTATTAAAACTTAAAAAGATTTTGTGATTGAAAAAGATCTTTAAAAAAATAAAATAAAATTTCTTAGTAGTTAAAAAATAGAAACGTAAAAAAAAAAAAATAGAACGTAGAGAATTATTATTTATTATGAGGCGTTTAATGAGTTTGTTAATTATATAAACTAAACTTTTTCATTGACGTAGAAGCAAACTGAAATTATTTAATGAGTTGTAACATTAAAATATTTAAGTTTCTAACTTTAATTTGAGTTCTAAAAAACAGTTGTATGCAGTTTTATACTAGTAAAATGCTACCATATTCATCTCGTAGTTTTTCTAGAATTTCTTATTACAACAGAAAATGATCTTTCGAAAACGACTAAGAAAATTTTATACGGGGTGTATGTATGTATGTTTTATATATACTATGTTAATCAATCATAAAATAATTTATTTTTTTTTGTTTTTGTTTTTACTATTACGAGATTGCTTATTGTGTGCTAATTGAAGAGATTGCTCATTGACGAGATTGCTTATTTTGACGAGATTGCTTATTTTGACGAAATTGCTTATTGACGAAGTAGTTGCTTATTGACGAAAAATTGCTTATTGTCGAGATTGCTTATTAACATCATGTCAAGAGAAGGGATGTATAGTCTAAAAAGGACTGGAAATGCAGAAAGTGAGCTTATTTCTTAGTATTTGGTTTGTATATTTATTTATTAAACTTACGCCCTGATTAAATACTTATCCTCAACATTTATTGCATGATTATTATAATTGCAAGGTGGAATTGAATTATTTTGCAGCCTAATTTGATTTGCAACAATAGTAATTTTTTTTTTCTTGAAAGATATCAGATTATGTATTTTCTTACTTAAACGCCGTGTATTTGCGTATGTATATTTGATTATCTATTGTAAAAAAAGCTTGTTTTAGCGTGACTTCTATAATGCCGCTTCGTATTGGCTCGTTTTCTTGTTGAAGCTTTAATAATCTAGATTGTGCCAATAGTGTAGAATAGCTTGATTATACTTAACATGCTTGTGCTAGAAAAAGAGGTTAGGTTGTAGGATTGACCATTATGGCACCATTACGACCATTACGACCATTACGACCATTACGACCATTACGACCATTACGACCATTACGCAAATTAGATGATAATTATTATTTATCTCCACGTTTTAGAATATTGTGTCAAATGAAATATTTACGGCTGACTTGCGCCTCGTAGAATATACAAGCTTTAGAGGTTGGAACCATTTTAGACTTTGATTACTTTTGATAATCTCGAATGTCGTGTTCTAAAATATGAAATTTTTATGACATACAATTTTAGACATCATCTAAAATCAAACCTGCACAAAATTTATTTTCAATCTCATCTATCGAATATATGGCAGGGTCACAATTAAAACAATTAAAAGCTGCTCTTAAAGAGAAAGGATTAATTGGACAATCAAATATATCCAAGAAGAAGGCCAAAAAAACTAAAAATGATGTTGATAGGGATTTAAAACAACAAAATTTACAAGAAATTAGACATCAATTCAATAAATTTGATACCAAATTAAACAAAAGTAAAAAAGATTTCACAGTCATACGTAATGGTAAATTTGTCAAAGTTAATGATAATTCAGATAATATAGGTCATAAAAAGGGATTAATGCAAAATCAAATGAAATCACAATATGAGTTGGAAAGAAATAGAAAGAATAAAAATGGTGGATTAATTGATAGGAGATTTGGTGAAAATGATCAAGGATTAAGTAAAGAAGAGAAAATGTTGGCTAGATTTACTAGAGAAAGACAAGCACAAGGTAAGAAAAGAAATTTATATTCATTGGAGAGTGATGAAGAAGAAGATGATGATAATGATGGATTTACCTTGACTCATGCGGGTCAATCATTAAGTTTAGATGATGAAGATACAATTAAATATGTTGATGAAGATCAACAAGGTTTACAACCACCAAAGAAGAAGAGTAAAGCTGAAGTTATGAAAGAAGTTATTGCAAAATCAAAATTTTATAAACAACAAAGACAAAAAGAATTTGCAAAAACTCAAGATAATATACAAGATTTAGATGATGAATTTGATGATATAATGGGAGATTTAAGAGAAGCACAACTGGGTGTAAAGAATGCTTTTAGTCAAAAGAAGCCTGAAGAAATTGAGTACGATAATAAGGTTAGAGAATTAAATTATGATAGAAGAGCTGTACCTGCTGATAGAACAGAAACTCAGGAAGAAATAGAGAAAAAGTTTAAAGAAAAACAAGAGAAATTAGAAGCTGATAGATTGAGAAGAATGGAGGGAATGGAAGAAAGAGAACAACAGGGTGATGATTTAGAAGACGATTTTTGGAATAATTCAGAGGAAGAGGAAGAGGTAGAAGAGGAAATTGACGAGGAAGAAGTAGAATCAAATAGCAAAGTACCTGTTGAAATGCCAATTACGGCTGAAGAATTTATTCAACAAATGGATCAAGTTGAAGATAAAGCAAAACATATACAAACAATCATAAACTCATATAAACCAAACTTAGCACCTGGAAATAAAGAGAAAATGAACATATTTGTTAGTATACTATTTAATTATATCCTTCACTTGGCAAACAATTTCACAAATTTTGATAAAGAACTATTTATACTTATAAAATTGGCTGAATCATATAATGAGAAATTAGTTGAAGTCACAAGAAATTATATAAATGAATTAGAATCAAGAATTAACGACATAAAACCACAAGATTTAATATTTTTCAGTTTAATAGGATATTTATTTTCAACTTCTGATCATTATCATTTAGTAGTAACTCCATGTTTAATATTAATGAATGAAATATTGACAAATATAATATATCAAGACAAATCAATTGTTTCATTAAGTCAAGGTGTATTCATATGTGATGTATTATTAAAATATCAAAGATTTTCAAAAAGAATTGATCCTGAAATTATTAATTTTATAGAACAATCAATGTTGTTATTACTACCTGACGTTGACTCAATAGACAAATCAAAATTTTTAAGCTCAACTAACGTGGTGTCACAATTAAATATGAATGAAGAATGGAAAGAAACCAGTGTTTTATCAGTTAAAAATATATTTGATGGAAAGATTTCAAAATCAGAATTAATCCTCAAATTAGTTTCAATAATGGATGAATGTGTTAATCTATGGAAAGATAAATCGTTAGTCGAAATACTTGAATCATTTATTAATATCCTCACTCATATAAACAAATACCATAAAGTCAACGTAGACAAATTTATTAAATTACATAAAATTGCCAAATCTGAAAGAAAACCTTTGACTTTACAAGTTCATAAATCAATTTCAATACCATTGCTTACTCCTACATTTGAAGAAAATTTCAATCCAGATAAAAAATCTTATGATATAAATAAAGATAGACAAGAATTACAAAAAATCCAATATGAATTGAAGAAAGAAAAGAAAGCTGCGCTTAAGGATATTAGATCTGAAAATAGATTCCTTGCAAGAGAACAAATTAAAGAAAAGAAAGACATGTATGATGAATATCATAAGAAAATGGCAAATATCGTTAATTCAATTCAAAATGAAGAAGGTTCAGAAAAGAATAAATATGAAAGGGAAAGAAAACAAAGAAAGAATAAACGCTAAATCATATATTGTGGTATAAATGAATGCATAAAATTTTGTACTTCTTTAAATTGATTATCTTTGAATAAAAAAAAAGTTAATTGAATTAAAAAATTTGCAACTCTTTTAACATTTGTAATGTAAAATCCACATGTAAGCCAAACTGATTTAATTAATAATATTATAAAGAATGTAGCTATAATGGGACTGACTAATAATATAGATTTAATCATTAATTCTGATTTATGATACGCTTTTAACATCTTTTGTAATTCTTCTGAAACTTGTTGTAATGAATCATGATCTTCGCATACTTCTTCTTCAACCATCTTGAAATATTTGGCTCAAGTTTAAAGGATTTATTCACAATTTATATTTTAAATCAATTCTCCAATTATTATTGGAAGGTCTTGGCAATTAGGAACTTTAAATAGCACTTTTTCCTAAATCAGTATCATAATCTAGTACCTTAACTATAGTAATTTTTGAAAGGGTATTGGTTTAAGGGCTGAACCTCTATAGTTAAAGATCCTTAATTTAATTTATTGTTTTGATTATTCTTCCACCTGTCATAATTAACTGTATACGGTTTAAATGTAAAGCGGTAATATGATAGATTTAGATGCCAAGACACAAAACCAACTCTCGGTAATTAAACTTGAAACTTTAAAAATACTTTATTAACCCACCAAGATCGAGTAGCATGATATTTAAGGTTTTCAAAGAAGCTATACGTAGGTTATGATATGTCTATGATCAGTTTTAGATGGAAGGGCCGATTCGTATTGATATTTTTTAAATAGGTTCTATTCTTTTACTACAAGCAAAACAGCCTAAAATTGTATTATATAGTCAACTTCATACTGTAAATATACAGATTTAAAACAAAAATCTAAATAATCTCAAAAATATAATAAAGCACCATCTTATGATCAATAACCCCATCACATAACAGCTAGCTTGAATTGTGGCGGCAAAGAAATTCCCAAAAACCTCCCTAAATTTACTGCATTCAATAAATACAACTTTAATTATCTTTGAGATAATTATTTGTAAGCTTTTGCAAATCGTCTTCTAATCTATATATTTAAACAAGTATAGCATATGGGCCTCTTGTTAAGGACATCTTCTAAAAAGTCAATATTCAATGAATCAAGAGCTTTGTTTTCATCAATTGAATCAATTAAAAGTCTGTCAATACAATTCCAATGGTGAACTATTTCTCATATCGTATCAGATGGTAGATTATATTTCAACTTCTTATTTATAATCTCTATAACATCTTTAGGGAGATAAGTCGAACTTGTTTTGGATTTCTTCACTTTTGCTCATTGGTATGAGAAAGAAAAGATTTTGATACTTTCAAATTTTGTATTTACTCATTCTGTATTATATGTAGTATATTTTACCAATCTTTCATTCATGTTGGTGTATTTATAATCAGTGGTTACCTTATTTACATTTCAATTTTGTTAATCGTGAAAGCATATTATGAGGATAAATTGTTTACAAGATTAAGACAAGCTAAGGATGGTTTCCTTTTAAGAAATCGACAATAACTATACTGAGTTAGAACAACAACTATAACTATTCTTCGTAACATACAAAAGTGATGACTTATGCTGGCTTTTCGTCAATTAGTAATGACGAGTAAGCATATGAATGTGGACCCCAAATTCAGTTCAAATAATTGCAGTATATAGCCTCATCTTTAATTGTATATTGTGTCCATTTAAATATATGATCATGAGAATGTGGGTGTTCGGATTATGGTTCGACTCCAAATTTAATCAAGTTGACTTTTTGCAGCAATTAAGATTCCTTCAATAGCATATTTACTTGTATACATGGTACATTATTTTACTTAAAGTAAGCAAGTCTTTGAATTTTCCGGCTTGTTAGTTGAACACATTTCTTACACTAGCCAAAATAACGAGATACGTGGAAAATAAGCTAAGAATGGCTTGAGGAAAAATAATATTTTTTAAAAAAAAAAGTATTTTATCATGTTTGATGATGACAAAACCTTTTCCTTGGAAGTAAAAATTCCATCTAAGCTTCCATGAGGTTTGAAATATTGATACCAATTGAGTTATTTGCTCTTGTATGAAAGGTTAGGAAATTATAAACTCGTGGCAAATGTCAACGCTATTCGGCATGGAATTTCAAAATCTCGTATCAACAAACACCAAAGCCTACGCCCAAATTAATTTTTCTTCGCGCGAAAATTGAGCGATATAAAACACAGTAATTCGATCAATTGAATTCTCTTGTAGCTTTTGAACCAGCGGGTTGGTTATTTTGAGTCTCATATTAATGTTGCTCATTTTTTGTCAAAAAATAAGATGATCATATTCAGGTTTTAGTTTGCAGAATATTTTCACTCAATTACAAAAATTTCTAAGACATTACTCTCTGCTTTTTTATTGCCTTCCCTTTTCGATTTGGTTGCAAATTTTTAATTCTTAGATACCCAAACATTTGTTTATCATTTGCAATTCGTTTTGCAGCCAAACGATTGAAAAATGGATGATTTCAAAAATCGATTTTGCAGCCATAAAACTGTACTTGGTAGCGTCTAAAAACATACGAAACTTGAATTCTTATCGGCTTTAAAGTGTAATTTGATACCAATTATATACTCTACACTATTAGAATTAAGTATCAGATACCTTGAATCATGTTTACTAGACAGTTCTTTGCTAATCTACTTTTTCAAGCAATCCTTGAACAAAATAATGTAAAATTATGGTCCAGGCAATGAAACACTAGCCGTTCATTGAAAAAATGGCTCAATATTAGTAAAAGAAATAAACGTCTGTACATAAAATATATCTGATCATCTAATGGGATTTAGCGGAAAATCAGACCTTAATTAATTATAATCACAAAGTAAAAAGATCAAATTTGTACTACCAACTCTATTACAAAAGTAAATCCACAAAACAATAAAAAAGTAAAAATGTTAAAGAATATATATTATTTAATTATAAACAATACTAGTAAGTTTTGACGATTGTGAAAATAATTTGAAAAATTCGAAGTAAAAATATGAAAAATGGTATCAGTATAATTAAATTTCTCTTCTTGACTTATGGAATCATTATTAAACTCGTGACATAGTTGGAACACCAGTTCTTGGAGCAGATCTTGAATGACCGAATAAACCACCTTTAAATAATGAAATAACTGAAAATACTAAACTAGCAATGAAAATGAAAGTTGAAAAATATAAGAAAGCAACAGAAGCTTGTGATTTTCTACATCTACCAGTTGAACCTTGAACAATATTGTTTGAATCCAAATAATCTTGATTATTACATGAATGACATCTAATACCAGCAGCAATAGCAGTTGCAGCAGCAAAGGTAAATACAAAATTCAAAAAATCAAATACCGCCAAAATTACAGGCCATGCAAAGGCACTTATGAAATAGGCGAATATTCCATAAAATGATGAGGTTAATATTCCAAAAGCAGCGGCGAAGACACCGAAATTGATTTGTGGATTATGTTGATAAACGGTGGTAGCAGCTAATGAACCTGTTAAACCCAATGCAACTGTTAAAAAAACAAAATTGAAGGCTCTTAAAATAACGTCTCCAATGGCTAACATTATGAAATTTATACTAGTTGATTAATTAATTATTAAATGAATTGAACTATGAAAATGAATTAATCTAAAAAAAGAAGAAAATCCAAATTATAAAGAAGAGCGAATGTAATTGGTTTTATATATTTTTAAACTATGCAATATAATACTTCTGTTACAAGATTAAAGAGCAATTAAATTTAATATTGTCATTTGTAATATTTTTTTTTTTTTTTTTTTTTTTTTTTTTTTATTTTTTTTACTAAATTCCCTTAAAATTTTGCAACTTAAAATCTAGGAATTAGAACAGCGTTTCTTCCAAATTTCACAATAGACTAATTTAAATTGGCATTATTATTGTTGATCACCAATTGAGTAATCTTTCTATCATTCTATACATCTAACTATACTAATTAATACTAATTAATATTGTATACTATCTTATTATTTGGTTGTTATTTATATCGCTTCCAAATTGAGCAATGGTCATGCACATAATATTAAAACCGGCTGAAACAGAACGATATTTTACATTCTAACAATTCTAACATTTTAACTTCAAACTGATTCAAGATTTCTTGGATGATCATTAGTATCGTTCAGAGATGTTACAATTGCTTTCAAGTGTCAACTCAAGTTTTTAAACCATATCAAGCTGTTTTGTTCGTTGATTCTTTCAATTCATTTGAAATTTGCAATAATTTATTACCTCTTAAAAAGTTTAATATGTATAATGTACTAAGTTGTAATATTTTTGTGTAAATTTGGCTTTGTGTAATTGTTTACTATACGACTCACTTCGTTACCACCGTTACCTAATTCGGCCATTTTTCTTTTATATTAAAAAAAAAAGTTAAAGCTACCATGTGTCTAAAATAAATTTCGCGACTAACATGAAATTTACAATTAAAATGAATCAACTAACCATATAACATATATATAAAGGCATACTTCCAATTGGGTTCTAAAGTTGGTCTGTATAATTTTACTGGTTTTTTGTCTTGTTAGATATATCTTTATTTGATCTTACTTTCGAATTATACAACTACAGACAAATGCCGAATGTCACACAAGAATCGAGGTAATTGGTTAATTTGTTCTATTATTTTAAAGTCATTAATTCAATCGATCGAGAATCAAATTTTAATTAATTAGTATTGTTTGTTTTATTAAATAAAATTTTGTTTCGTTCTGCTGCTTATTATTAATTTATTTCGCAACTTAATTATACAACAGCAATAGTAAAAGCATAATTAAATTATAATTACTATTGATATCTAGTAAACTGGTATTGTAATACTTTTTGTGATTATTGTTTTGCTTAAAAAGAAGTCGTAACTTATTTATGACTTTTATAAGTTATGACTTTTACGACTTCATTTCTCTGATCCATGTTGCTAATTCTAATATTTTACGGAAATTATGGTTAGTATTCGAAACATCACATCATTTGGGTTTTGAATATTGATTTTACACATCAATTTTTGTCATTAAGTAATCTTAATTTTCCATCTGATAAAATTAAATTAATTACCATATTATTCCGGTTTTCTTAATTATGATGTAAGATTTTTTTCGGTTCATTATTCTCTTACATTTCGTACTTTTTGCTTTTTTGCTTCTTTGCTTCTATACCACAATAATAAATAGTAGAATAGAAATGTCTTAATTGCTATTGTTGGTTCTCACCTCATTCCTTAGTCGATATTGAGTTTACTAATTCAAATATTGGATAAAATTGAAAGCAGATGGCGGAAATTTAAATTCCGATCATCTATTATTAAATTATTATTTCTTAAATATTTAAGGAGAAAGTTTAATTAATTAATTAACTTTATTTGTGGAATTAAAACAAAAAATCACTCAATAGAACGGCTAAAAGTTTAAAACTATGTGATCCTGATTTACAATTATGTGTAACTGACAATGATTGACTCATTTAATTAAATAATTTCTCCACATTTCAAAAGTCCGGTAATGACGACTTCTAATATCTTTGATAACCATATAATCATATAATCGTATAATCTTATTTTCTTCAATTTCTGAGAAGCTCTTTACAAAGAGTAAGCTTGTTCTAGATGCTGAAACGTTTTAATAAGGAAACCTATTTGCTAGTAAAAGTTATCTATTCTAACATACTGAACTTCGAATTAATCTTGCTTCTAATGCTTAGGGTTAAGCTTGTAAATGCTCTACTTATCATCTATTAATCTCTAGGTTATCTCAACTATCTCTATTTTTGTTCTTTAATTAATTTGCAACCAAACCATCAATCGGGTGATTAATTTTCTACTTCCTATTTTTCGCACCGTCCCAAAAAATTATTTGGGATGCCACTTTTCAACTACCATGTCAGCAGATAACCATAATAAATTTGCAATTCATGAAGCTATAAAAGAAAATAATACTCAATTAGCAAAGTCATTGATAGATGCTAATCCATCGCAATTATATGTCAAAGATGAAGATGATAGAATTCCATTACATTGGGCATGTACAATTAATAATGAAGCATTAGTCAACCATATCCTCGAAAAAGATCCAAAGAAAAATGTTGATTTAGATGAGTTTGTTGATCTTAGTGGTTGGACACCCCTACATATAACAAGCTCAATTGGGAATTTAAACATATTCAATGCAATTTATCATCATTATTCAGACTTGGATTTAAATATAAAGACAAATACAGGGACAACATATTTGGATCTAGCAATATCTAAAAAATACATAGAGCTTGTCAAAGAATTAATTGAATTAAAGGTAAATTGTCGAAATAAAGATAAAAGAGGAGTTACTCCAATCATTAGAGCTGCTTCAATTGGATCTAAAAGTGTAATTCAATTATTAGTTGACAAGGGAAAGATCAATATTAATGCTAAAGATAATGATGGATGGACATGTTTACATCATGCTTTATCTGAAGGATTTGGTGATATTGCTATTTATTTAGTTAAATTAGGTGCTGATCCAACTATAAAGAATACCTCTGGTGAATTACCTATTGCTGTTGCTGTTGATGATAAAGTGAAGCAATTCTTTGTTTCAAATTTAAAAAAGGATGAAGAAGGAAGCTAGATTTGAAAATTCAATCACAAGCTCTTATATAACGAATTATGCAAAATATATATATTAATGAATTAAGGGGGGAGGGGGGTTACGCGGCTTTATGGGAACTCTGGTAGCGCACTTATAATTGTCAACTTCAAATATTAGACATCAAAACATATCTACAAACCGTGTTTGAGTCTTTGATGCCTGTTTTTAAGGGTATACATACAATTGAGAAAACTAAACTATTAAAAAATAGTCATTAAACGTACATTAAATAAATAAATTGAAGAATTGATAAATTGAAGAATTGAATGAATTTTAGTTTGATCTAAATTAATCACTGTCTGAATCTGAATCTGAATCTGTTGGTGGTTGATTGAAAATACCTGAAATTAAATTTGTTGGTGGTGGAGTAAAATCATCATTTGATCTTTCTTCTTGTAACAATTGAGGTTGTTGTGGTTGTTCATCATCAGTATTAGACCTCGACATCTCTAAATTATGTAAATAATGTTGATAATCTGAAACTTCTGACGTTTCTGAATTCTCATGATGACCAATTGATGTTAATTTTGAAGTTGTTGAACGACTATCCTTTTCATGAACTGTAGTTGAACTTGGAGGTGAATCCTCTTGACTAATTAAATGATAATCTTTATCTACTTGACTAAAATTAATCTTTGTAGATTTAAATAGATTTGAAACTCTTGCATTTGCACAATGTGAATACATATAATCAACTTCTTCTAATTTTAGCCCCTTTGTTTCATAGACAGTAAAATAAACAAATACAACAGCAGCAGCATTTAAACTTCCCCAAATGAAAAATATTTTACTTCCAATTGCAGCGGTATGCGCACCAGTATCAATTAAATATGGAGTAATATAAGCAAATATAAAATTAACCAACCAATTTGTAGAAGCAGTTAAAGCAACAGCTTTTTGACGAATTGAAATTGAATAAATATCAGAACATAATGCCCATGTACAACCACCCCAAGAACTAGCAAAAAAACAAATAAAAACACAAGCAAATGAAACACAAATGGCAGCACTAATTTCTCTCTCTTGAATTGAAACACCAGCAATTGCAATTATAAAATTAGATGCAGTCATTCCAATACCACCATAAAATAATAAAGGTCTTCTTCCAACTAAATCAATTAATAAAATTCCAGGTATTGTAAATACAACATTAACTAAATAAGTAGTAAACGACATTAAATAATAATCTGAAACACCAGTAGAACTGAAAAAATTAACTCCATAATAAAAAATAAAATTGACACCTGAACATTGTTGAAAAAATTGTACTCCCATACCTGTTAACATTCGAAGACCTTGTTTATGTCTACCACCACCTGATTTAAAACAATCAAGTAAATTAGTTTTACCAAATGATAATTCATAATCATAATTTGCTTTAATTTCAACTAATTCTTCAATTAAATCATCATCATCTTGAGGAAGTCGTCTTAATTTACATAAAGATTCTAAAGCTTTTGGTATATTATTTTTTTGAACATAATATCTTGGACTTTCTGGTAAAAATAACATACCACAACATAATATTAAAGCCCATAAGAATTGTATCCCCACAGGTATTCGATAACTTCCTGAATTTGAAATTTGTCTTGTTCCTTGGCATACAGCACTTGCAATTAATAAACCCCATGTAATTGCCCATTGATAAGTAAAAACAACTGAACCTCTAACCCATTTAGGTGATGCTTCAGCTTGATATAATGGGACAATAGCAGATAAAATTCCCACAGCAACTCCCAGTACAAATCTACCAACACATAATAATGCAATTTCAACTGATGATATTTGTAAAATATTTCCAATATTAAATATAATTCCAGCTGATATTATAATTGAAAATTTTCTACCATAATTATCTGATATTAAAGGTGCAAAAAAAGCACCAAAAAATGTACCCAAACTTAAAATTGCAACAATTATAGCTCTTTCATGAGTTGTAAAATATTGATGATTAGTTGGGAAATGAGTATATACATATTTCATTTCTAATAAATCATTGATTAATCCAGTATCATATCCATATAAAAAACCACCAACGGCTGCTACTAAACCAACAATAATAGCTGAATTTGATGATGATTTCTGTCGCATCTTACGGTAATATTCTTCTTCTATACTATTATCATATAGTAAATTATCTAGAAATTTGAAAAATTTGATCATATTGAATGAAATGCTGTATTATGATATGCATGAAAAATGGTTGAAACTTTTTCTTTAATACGCCGGTCGATAAAAATGAAAATAAATTTTGTTCCCCAGAAACAATCACATATGGAATAAAAAAAAAGAAATCACTTTTATTAAGAGGGGGCCATGGTGTGAATGAATCTGCATTGATACACGACTTTCATTGATATCTCGTATATTTTATTATTATTGTAAATTGATCAAACATAATATTCTATGACATATAATTACTTATCAATTCAGTGCAAACTAACATGATGATGCATATTAGTGCAATCTTAATTATATTGTTATCAGAAATCCAATTTCGAAGTTATTTGGCAAAAATGTCAATAATCCTTTGTAATTAATGTAAAACTATATAATTTTAAGAAATTATTATGCCCTTGGATTTCTTTCCACTTTTAAGCTGTCAATAAAGCTTGATCCGGCTACACCGATATATCTAACAGATACGTTTTTAATGAACCCCAAGGTATCTTGTTGCAAAATTCAAATGCGAAGTACATTTTGCTGCTACCAATTGTGTTTCCAAGTTCCATAATCAACAACAGCCGAGCCACTTGTCTACAAAATGATATACCGTAAGCTTAGTATTGTTTTTAGAAGCTAAAAAAATAAGTAAATTATTAGAAAAGTTGATCAAAGGGTTGAATTTGTTGAATTTGATTAAATAATTTTGCAATTTTGAATTACATTGGCGTAATCTAGCTTTTTAAGAGAGACTAGCATCATTCAACTTCAACGTTGTTGAGCTTCTGATTCAATAAAGTTTAGGATGAAAGCTTGAGGCTTGAGTATTGAGGGACTTATTATCAATTTTGAGATTTACTATTATTATTCTGCATATAAGTTAGATTGGTTTCAGAATTTGATTTTTTTTCGTGAATTTTATAAAGCGATGATTTAGTGCTACGAATCTATTTCTCGCATCAATTTTAGAGCGATCCGTACTAAGTGTATTGGCGTATATTTCCATATCAACGTGATTTTTCAACTTTAAAACCATTTTTACGAAATCAGGAGCTGTTAATTATATATACTACCTACTTCAAAACTCCTATTTCAAATATTGTTTTTTTAAGTTGTCATTTCGAGCATTTTGCATCATACAAAAATTATTCAAAAAAATAAATTTGCACATCTTTTTATTTGGGGCCATGATTCGCAATTAAACAATTAATTATATATATCCTTTCTCAATCATATATGCTGGAGTTGTTTCTAGTTGTTCTCTACCTAAACTGAAAATAATCCAATATTTCTCTTAAGTATGTGGAAAATCCAATAAATTGACCTCACAAAAAATCTAATTCCACATTGAATATTTAGATATTTAAATACGATGAAACTATCTAAATTTGTAGTTCTGTCTGTTGATTAGCCTTGATTATTTTTATGTTAAAGTACTCAAAATTGGAAACGCACTTTTTCAAGAAGTGAAACGAAATTTTTGAAAAAATTTCAAAACAAATTTGACGTCTTGAAAACATTACTCACTGAACTTGTTGGGTCAAATAAACCGAATCAGCTATTTTTGAAGTTGCTAAACGATGTTTTAGTATTGTTTATCTCAAATTATAAGGTTTTCTTTCATTTTTTAAATGTAGAGTAAAGTGATTAGAATACATTTCATCAAAAAATACAGGCATCGGTGTAACTAAACTAACTTTAGCGAGAAAAGTTTGATAATTACAGATTGATTATTGTGTAAGTTATTTGCAAATCCAGTTTTATAATTATCTACTTTAAGCCTGCATATAATCCGAATTTGGCTCAAATATATCATTTCACATATGTAATTTTAGCCCAAAATTAAAGCCACAATTAAAATCTTTGTCGCGCTAGACTTCGGGCGACTCGTACAAATATGACTGGCTTATATCTGATGAATGCTAAGTAAGGATGCTGTAAGGATGCAACAATGAATATAAGGATGTTAATTGGTAATTAAACAGAGTAAGGAGTTGTTTTCCTCAAATCCACTGTTACAATAAAAAAGCCATGAGTAAATTTCCTTAATATAATACGAACTGTTGCAATGAAAGAGTAAGTAAAACTTTCGTTTGATATAGTATCAATTGTTGAAATAAAAGAGTAAGTAGTAGTATTCTCTTACTACAAGAGAAACTGTTGATTTGAAAAATTGAAATAGTTTAGTTTTCCCTTAATATAATATTAACTATACATCGATACAAGTAATAACTCTCCTTTTTTAAAACATGCAAACATTAATTTAACTATCTTTAGAAATGAATTTAAGCTTTAATAGCATATTTTCTTTGTGGAAAAGTAATTCTTTGTTTTCTTGCTTTTTCAGTTTCTCTTGATGCTTCAAATTTAGTTAATTTTCTTCTTAAAGCTCTAGTTTTTTTAGCTCTTAAATCTTTTGGTTGAAATTTTTTACCTTTATAGAAAGCTCTAACATTATCTCTTTGTTGTAAATTAATAACAGTTAAAACTCTAGCAATATTTTTTCTAACTGTATGAATTTTTGGTAATGATGGTCTTTGAATTTTTTGAACTTTTAAGTTGGCTAATTCTTTTTTGAATTCAATTAATTGTGATTCTAATTCTTCTTTTGATTTAGTTCTTAATTCGAATGTTTTAACACCAGCCTGAAACATGTTAGTAACCTCCTCTTTATAACACTTTATTTATGTTTTACATACCATTGTTGATATCTATATTGAATAATTATTGAAAATTTTAATTTTGTTAATAGTTTTGATGCGCATTAATTTTCACCATAGTTAAGACAAGAATTTTGGTGTGGCCACGTCTATTAGGGTTTTAACCCTAACCAATACATTATTAATAGATAACAATTATGATTTTGTGTAATTTAAATAGACATAAATTTCAACTTTTAACAATCGTATACTAAACTATTTATACAAATCAACTATATAAAATATAGTCAATTTATAAAAAACAACAAAACTAGTTCTTAAATTATCCAGATTTTTTTAAATTAGTTGATAACCATTCTAAACCTTCATATAAACCATCACCAGTAGTAGCACAAGTAGCTTGAATATACCAAGGTCTTTGTCTAATTGAATGTAAACCTAATTTTTCGGTTATTTCAGCAGCATTCATTGCATTTGGTAAATCTTGTTTATTCGCAAAAACTAATAATAATGCATCTCTTAATTCATCTTCATTTAACATTTGTTGTAATTCTTCCCTTGCTTCAGCAATACGATCTCTATCATTTGAATCTACAACAAATATAATACCTTGAGTATTTTGAAAATAATATCTCCATAATGGTCTAATTTTATCTTGTCCACCAACATCCCATACAGTAAATGAAATATTTTTATATTCAACGGTTTCAACATTAAAACCAATAGTTGGAATTGTAGTAACAATTTCACCCAATTTTAATTTATATAATATAGTGGTTTTACCTGCTGCATCTAAACCAACCATTAAAATTCTCATTTCTTTATTACCAAAAAGGTTAGCAAATAATTTTGAAAATGATAAACCCATGATGTAAATATATATTATTTGATATGAATATTAATGAATTGAAAAATATATTGTTAAATGCAATTAAAAATAATGAATTAAATATGAAAACAAAAACAAACAATCTCTCTTAGTAAAAAATTGTTCAACTGAATTAATAAATGTTTGATCTATTGATCTATTGATTGATTGATTGATTGATTAGTAGGTTGAATAGAAAATAACAACAAATCAAATTTTTTCTTCCAAGTTTTTGATCAACAAATTTGTTTGATTAAAAAAGAAAATGGACGAAAACAGTTAAATTACACGACTTTATAAATCACACGCTATTAACGAAGAGACGGACAGACACGTATATATTGATTAGTGGAATATACCTCCTCTATTGCATCGTTACTTACTTACCAATATTAATCTTACAATTGGAAAACTGTTGTAACGCTCTAATAAATACTGCATAATTTACATCTTTATTATCTGGTTCCCAATATATTTCTGTTAATCTAATATGCCATGGTGGATAATCTTCTAAATTTAATGATGGAGCAAAACTAATTAATAAATCTGGTTCTGGACCAACTAATTCCATTAATTCTTCATCTATTAAATCTATTGTAATATCTTTTAATGCTAATTCTTTAGTTAATGCTAATTCACTCATTGTTTTAGTTAATTCTACCAATGTTGGTTTACCATCAATTCTACTAATTAAATCAATTTGTATATCAACTTCTTTTGATTCATTACTATAAATTATTAAATTTTTTTGTGGTATTTTAATTGAAAATGTTGGTATTGCATCTGTTCCAAAATATAATCCTAAATTTTTTTTAATATATTTACGTAAATCAATTAATGAATCATAACTTTGACTTAATAATCCTGAATATTCGTATATAATTAATCTTTCAATTGAGGAACTTATTGACCATGCAGTTAACTCACAAATATCATTTATTAAACCATCTTTACCACCATTTTCATCATCATCATCTTTTAAATCTAATAAGCAACTTAAAACTTTGGGTATTTTACTTAATTTAACAACATCTTGTCGAATAACCAGTGGTGATTTATTTGGATATGAAGTTAATGTTAAATATTTAAGATAAATCTTTCTATAAATAAATTGAATATTTTTATAAATTGCAATTACGAAAAATAATTGAAGTAAAATAAGGTGATTAAAATAATAAATAATTAATTGTAATATTGATGTTGTCTCTACTGGTTTATCATTTCCAAATGATGATTTTAAGAAATTATGAATTAATTCCATTATTATATAAAAAATATTGATATTTCTATTAGTTGATGGTGGACCTTTAATTGGTGGTTCGTCGATTTTTTGATCAATAATATTTGCTTCTTTGGTAATATTCTTTAATTCAACATCTATATCATTATTAATTCTAACATCTTCAATGATTTTTGGTGATTTTATCATTTGTATTAACCGCTGAGAAGTTGATCTAAAAATAAATTTTAATTACGTTTTGTGATGATTCAAGTTAGAAATGTGCTACCATGTGAAAATAATAAATACATTAAACAATCATTAAAATTTAACCAGCTAAACCCTCTATTCCTAAAAAGGTAAAATCATACCAGCCCTAGTTACGCCTAACTTTGGATTACTTGTATTTACCTCGAAAGATTGCGGTGTGTGCTTTACAGGTCAATTTATTTAGTACGAGTCGCTTAAACTCTAGGGCGAAAAATTATTTTTTGGTACCATTTTATCTTATCAAAAATTACATATTTCATGCATAATTCTGAAACAAAATTACTTATATACCGTCCTACCATAATTAACTACATAATTTAATACGGGAATAACTCTCTCGATATCCAAGTGATCGCGGTACAACTTTTTCCATGGAATCTTCTGTCAATTTAGAATAAGCTGATGCACGTTACTCATCTTTCAAAGAAATGGCAAAAACACAAAATTGCACGTTAATTAACTCTTAGATACCTCATTTTGCTATTTCGAAATCGATTGATTCGGTTTATTATACCTAAAAAGTCTACTGAGTAATGTTTTCAAGTTATCACAACACCCTTGAAAAATTACTTTTCCAATTTTGCTTACCTTAAGACAAAAATCTCTAAAGTTTATCAGACTGGTGAACCACAATTTTGGTTTTGTCAATCTACATTTTAAATGGCGAATGTGGAGTTGCATTTTTCGTAAGGTCAATTTATTCACTTTTCCCCATACTTAAGGGAAAATTTTGAAAATTCTCAAATTTGAATTAGATCAAATACAGTTTGGTCCAGTACCTTGATTTGAGGCATAATATGCTTAATTCGTTAATTGGAAAATATGGCCTTAACAAAAACATAAAATGGATTTGAATTTTTTGCAAAATTTTTGTATGGTAAAAAAAGCCCGAAATGACAACTTAAAAAGAAACAAAATTTGAAAAAGGAGTTTTAGAGTAGGTATGTATAATTAACAGCTCCTGATATCGTAGAAATGGTTTTAAAGTTGAAAAATCACGTTGATATAGGAATATACGCCAATACTCTTAGTACGGATCGCCCTAAAATTGATGCGAGAAATTTTTTTGTCGCTGCCAATTTATCGCCTTGAAAAGTTCATACTTTATAGCGTAATTCTGAAACAAATATTATATTAGGGGAAAACTAAACTACATACTCTTTTAGCTCACGAAGAAAAATAGGCTACTTACCCTTTCGTTTCAATAGTTAATATTATATTAAAGAAACTCACTACATACTTTGTTAGCTACCAATTATTGACTGGCATCCTTACTTGCACTTACTCTTCCATTTCAACATCTTGACCCACCTTCGACTTATTCTTAAATTCCCAAATTCTTTCCCTTAATTCAACATTATCAATAACATCATCTAAACTCAAAGGCATTCTATTAAATGGATCAGTTGAATCACTTAATAAATGAGCTTTAATTGTACTTCTGTCAATATTTATCTTTGAAGATGGTAAAATAACAGGGTCTTCCATAATTGTAAACATCAAAGGATCTAAAAATTCTTCTGGGATATCACCCATTTCCAATTCTTCATTTTCTTCAGAGACTCTATTCTCTTCAGCTTTATTAGCAAAATTGACCAACTTGTCAATTAATTTATTATCAACGAAAGTTTTTGTCATTAGGATATTTTGAGCTTTTTTGAAATAATTAATATTGAATGATCTACCATCTCTTGAAACTGCAATTACAAATTTTTGTTGGTTAGATAAATTTACATAAATTTCACATAAATTGACTAAAATCTTTTTAGGCTCAAATTGATATTTCTCGGGTGATTCAACTTTTAAATTTGAACATTTTGGACCTACCATGATAGATAAATTATAATCTAACATTCCGGCTAATCGATCAACTATCTCTGGTAGGACAAATCCTTTGGGAGTTTCCTTTGTGAATAATTTAAATAATTCCATTGTTTTATTAGATAATTGCATATATGTCTTGACTCTAGATTCATCAGCAGATAAATTTTTAGCCAATTCCTCATCGGTACCTAATTCTTCATTTGGACTATTTCCTAATTGGCGTGTTTTAATTTCTGATTGATAATTGTGAATTGAATTTAATAAATTGAATGTCTCATCAAGTAAATAAGTAGTATCATTTAACATCCTTGCAATAAATCGTACAAAAAAATCAACATTGTGTTTGGAATAGTCTGTCAATTGTAGTCTATAAATTGTATGTTTCCATAATTCTTCCAATATGATTGAAATATAATATCTAGAATTAAATTTATCATAAAATTGTGAACTTGCACCTGTTTTCTCAACCATTACATAAAAATCAAGCAATGAATATAATATATTTTCCCTTACTAGTTTATTTTCAGTGAATATATTTGCCATGAACCCGGGAGATCCATTTTGTAATGGTAATGAACCAATAAATAAAACTTCAATTAAATGTGCCTTCATATGTGGGTTCCCAATTAATTCAGGACATCTCAATAATATAATACTAAACTCAACAAATTTTTCCAATTTTTCGGAATTGTTCAATAATGGACATCCTTGAAAATTCGTAATAAATTTACAATAATTTATAATACCTTCTAATAAAAATTCAGGATAATATTTCCATGGTTTTGGTGTCTTTGTTTTTAAAAAATCATGATCATCCAATTCGGAAACTTTATTAATTTGAAAAATGGGAATTGAGATACTTTGGATTGGATAAGTATGATTTGGATCGATTAATCTGGTAATGAATGTTATTGCACCAATTATAAAATCAAAAATTTCAAATTGTAAATTTCTAAAATTAAATATTGCCTTTATTGATTCTTTTTGTGCTTTTAAATTATTAATTAATTTTTTCAAATTTGGTAATTCACGTTCCATTAATTGAATTGTAGGACTTAATCCTGGTGTATTTGGAGTATGTGATTCAATCATATTTATTCTTTCTTCTAAATGTTTAATTTGTCTTTTTATCTTATCGAAATTTAAATATATACCTCCCATTCCATAATGTAAATAAGCTAAAGTTAAATTAAAACAATCTGAAATGAAATTTGGTTTTGTTTTATCAGTTATTTGATATTGTTTAGCTTCTTCAATTGTTGAATTGACTCTTGATTCTTCTGAAATATCTATTAAATCACTCTTTACAAAATAATCAATATCAATTTTATCAATCTTATTAAATGTGGGATAATCAAGGAATGGTAAACTAAGCTTGATTAAAATTACAGAAATATTAAACATTATTGCATCACTTGGTAATTTTTTTGAATCTGCATGAGATCCTCTTCTTAAATGACTTAAGTTAATCAAATTAGCTAACCATTTTAAAATATCTTCTCTTGTTGAATTACTTCCTCTAATTAATTTATTAATAATATTGAATAAATGATCAATAATAACCTTGTATTCATTCTGTAAAGAATCATAAATATTCCTAATTTGAGTATCACTTAAACCTTCTGAAAAATAAATGGTTGACATATTTTCCAATAATGGACTTAATCTTAATAACGGACCAAGTAAAGTCTTTTGTTCATAATCTAAACATTTAGTAGAATCAGGAGGTTGAAAACCTTGAGCTTGACTAAATATACTAGCTACTGGTTTAATACTAACTAATAAATCAAAAACCGATATTAAATTGAGGTATAATCTTTCATTTAGGTTTGTTTGATATAATTGTGAACTTAAATATGGGAAAATTAAGTTCAATAAATCAATTAAATTATTTTCTTCGATTGCAACGTTTACAATATCAGTTAAAAATGAACTTAAATCAGCAAATCTATGAATTATTAAATCTATAGATTCTTTTAAATTATTATTTAAAAACATATCAGGTATTTGAAAACTCATATTTCCATAACTAATAGCCAATTCAATAATTTTATTTAATATAGATACTTTATCTTCATAAAATGACGATTTTGAAAGTAAAGTTCGCTTAGTTTTAAAAGCAGCATGATAAACTGTATATAAATAAAGTAAAACTTTTTGTTGAGGTACTCCTACTTCAGTTAAAATTTCCATAAATATAGATTCAATATTATCTTGATTTAAATTTGGTTGTTGTTGATATTCATAAGATAAATTAGGAAGATAAATTAAATTTTTATCATTATATTTTAAAGAAGCATGGAAGACATACTCTAATTCAACAATGATCCATTGTGATAAATTATCTTCTTTTGATTGTTTTGATTCTGGTTCTGGTTCTGGTTTTGGTTGTTTAATTGGTGGTTGTTGTTCTTCTTTCATTATTTCTGATTGTGAACTAGTAGCCACTGGCGTAGATTGTACAGATTGTTGTTGTTGTTGTCTTTCATTTGATCTTTCACTTGGAGTATTTAATCTAGCTAATCTTTTAGCTCTTATCTAACCAATAGTTAGGACTGACCCTTATCTTATAAACTAGTCTATTAATACATACTTCATCAGCACTTGACATTATAAATCAACAAGTGGTTGTCAAAAGTAAATTTTTTATATACACTACTCAATATAATTTATTTTTCTTACAGTAGAAAAATTTGATACTAATCAACTAATAGTTAATTACTAGCGAATACAGTATAGTATAGTTTAATGACAGACAATTCAATACCACAAGCTATAACTATAGCATTAACTAAACAACAGGATAGATTATATATACTACATTTAGAAAAAGATTTAATCAAATTTATTAAAAATTCAATATTAGGAAATATTAAACATCCACAATATATCATACAATCTCAATACTTGAAAAACTCATATTATAGATTATTACTGCATCAATTATGTTCATATTATAATTTACAACATTGGAATACTCAACAAAATGAAATATTAGTTACTCCTTCAACAGACTTCAATTATCAACAATTTTTAAATCAAATTGAGTCAAATCAATTTATAAAATTAATTGATATTGCACCACAATTTCAAATTGAATCTAATTCAACTACAACTACAAATTCTCCAACTCCAGAAATACAACAACCAAAATTAAAAACAAAATTAATTAAAAAACCAATGGAAGTACCAAAAACTACCAATATTAATATTTTACAAGTAAGTTCAGAAAGTAGTAGTTTGAGTACTAGTTCTCAAGATTTAGATATTGAAAGTCGAAGAGCATTATATAAAAAAATGAGAGAAAAGATATTTGAAGAAGAAGAAATTGAATCAAATATGATTGAGACAAATATACAGAATGAACCAATAAATAAAGAAGATTATAAACGATATACTAGTTTTCAACCACCCATGCCATATTACCCAATGATGAATCCATATTATAATCAATCTCCAATTATATATGATGCAGAAACAGAAAGACGAATATTGAATCAATTCAATCCTTATATAATCATACCCGATGATAATAAAAGACAATACAAAGGAAAGAGACCTAATAAACTGAAGAATAAATTTAATTAGAAGTCGATATACAATTTTTCAAAATTACATCGCGCGGTAGCACAAAATTTTACCACCGCACCCCCAAAAAGGAAATATACTCTCAAAATCCAATTGAAACCAATATAATTGGACCTCGAGCCTCGTGTATTACTTAATATAGACTACTCGTTAATATTTTGATTTGTACTCCGTAATTCCAATTTGGTAAAATGATTTAAATTAATTTTTATTTTTTTTTTTAAACTAAAAGTATTATTATTCGCATAATCAATCAGTCAACATGTCAGCAGAAGATGATTTAATTCCTGAAAAAGTAGAAGGTTATACCGTTGGTGAAAAGAAAACAATTGATGAATATAATAAATTAGATGCTGAAGATGAATCATTAGCTAAATGGAAAGCATCATTAGGTTTATCAACAAATTCAAATTTATTACCAATTAAACCTAATGATTTTCGTAAAGTTGTAATTACAGAAATGGCATTAGAATTTCCAGATCAAAATTTAAATCCAATTGTAATTAATTTTGAAGATGCAAATGGTAATACTATTAAAGATAATGAAGTTAAATTTCAAATTAAAGAAAAATCAATTTATCAATTAATTATTAAATTTAGAGTTCAATCGGAAATTATTACTGGTTTAAAATATTTACATAGTGTTAAACGTGGTGGTATTAGAGTTGAAAAATTAGAAGAACCTTTAGGTAGTTATGCTCCAAATACAATCGATAAACCATTTTATGAAAAAAAATTCGGTGAAGTTGAAGCTCCAAGTGGTATGATTGCAAGAGGTACTTATTCTGCTGTTTCTAAATTTGTTGATGATGATGATAATGTTCATTTAACTGTTCCTTGGAGTTTTTCAATTGTAAAGTAAGGATGCATCAGGATGCAGAAAAGCAACTGAGGATGCAAATATTTACTAGAATATATCAAAAGCGTAGAATATATATTAATCATACTTACTCTTTTTTGACTTTTTTATTTGGGATATAAGGTGTAAGGATGCAAATAATATAATAATACATATATTACTACTCTTAGTTAACTTTTCTATTTGGGATATAAAGAGGAGCTCTATTTGGGATAGAAGGGGGAGCTCTATTTGGAATATAAGGAGGAGCTTTATTAGTTTTAATTTTTGCTGCTTTTTTAAAAGTATCAGGTTCTTTTAAATGTTCTAATTTTCTTTTTGCAGTTGAAAATGAATTAACAAGTGAACCAGCACTTGAAAATCCATCATTATCGAATTTAAATCTTATTTTTTCATTATTATTATATCTAATCCAAAAACTTTTATATTGATCATAGAATCTTTGTAATTTGAAATCTTCATCTAATTCTTTATCTAACATTTTATATAAAGTTTTCAATTTTTCAATATCTGAAAATAATAATTGATGATCTGCAAATACTCCATTTTTTTCAAATCCATCAATGAATCTTGAAACTTGACTAATTTGTCTTCTATATGAATATGATTCAGTATTTTGAATATAACTTGAAATGTATAATAATAACTTAGATCTGGTAGTTGCTACATAAAAACATCTTCTTTCTTCGTCTACATCTTTTTCTAAACTTTCAATTGATTTCATTGCAAATGATGCGGGAAGTAAGCCTTCAGATAAACCAGGTACGAAAACAATCGGCCATTCTAAACCTTTTGAACCATGAATTGTAGATAATGCAACACCATGAGATTCTATATCTTGTTGAGTTTTCAATTCTTCTGAAATTATATCATATAAAGCAAAAGAATGAATAAATTGTAATAAAATATTTTCATCAATTTTGACAACTTCTTCTTCTTCCTTTTCTTCATCCTCTTTTTCAATTTTATCTGATCCCATTGTTTCTTCTATTGGTTGAAATTCAAGTAATTGATTTTTAACTTCTTCTACATTTAATTGTTTTTCTTCATCTTTTAATTCTGTTTTTAATCTTGATGTTTCATAAATATAATCAAAAATATTAGCCAATTGATCCCTATTAATTTTGGTCTTATCTAATTTTTTTAAATCAGCTTGAACTTTTTCAATCATTTTAACATATTCTAATATATTATTCTTAACCTTCTTACTTAATTTATGTTCATAAACTAATTTCTTTAAAAAATCGGTAACTTTTACATTACTTGGTTTCTTTTTTAATGATTTTTCAATTGGATCTAATGTAGATTTACCAATACCTCTTTTTGGATAATTTAAAGTTCTTAAAACTGGTAAAATATCATATTCATCACTACACAACCTCAAGTAATCTAATATAGCACATACTTCTTTTCTTTCCCAAAATGCTTTTCCTCTAATCATAACATAAGGTATCTTTTTTTTCATAAATTCAGCTTCTATTACTCTTGTTTGAAATTGGCATCTAACTAAAATTGAAATATCAGAAAATTTAAATAATTGATTTGGTAAATTTAATAAATGTTCAATTTGATAACATATCCATTGTGCTTCTTCTTCTGAACTTTTCAAATTTTTATAAACTGGTTTAAAAGAATCATTAAATTGAGAATTTAATTCTTTAATTATTCTTTTCCTTTGTTGTCTCATTACAGATTCAGAAAATTGTAATATGTCTTGTGTTGATCTATAATTTTCATTTAATGAAATTCTAATAACTTCTAATTCCATTTTTTTATAATGTTGAATCATTGATTCAAAATTTCCACATTGTGCATCTCTAAATGCATAGATTGATTGATCGGGATCACCTACTATAGTTACATTATTTTGAGTATGACCATATTTAGGATTTCCTTTTGCAAATTGATACATTAATTGCAATTGAACTTCATTAGTATCTTGAAATTCATCAACTAAAACATGTTTAATATATCCAAGAACATGATGTTTAGTGATTAATTCATAACAAGTTAATAAACAATCATCAAAATCTAATTTTTGAGCAGTATTTAAAATTTGTTGATACTTTTTATATAATAATAATAATGATGATGTTGCATTTACTTCATTTTGATTTGAATAAGTTTCAGGTAAGATTCCTTTTGATTTCAAACTAGATATCTTTTTTTTAATTTTATCAATATCAAAACCTAAATATTTATCTTTATAATTCTTTAAATGACCAGCATCTGTAGAATTAATTAATCTTGATTTTTCTTCACTTGTTAATTCATCAAATATTTGTTCCATATAATGAGTTTTATCTCTTTCATCTGCAATTGTAAATTTTTCAATACCATTACCCATTTTTGAACCATATCTTTTAATAATTCTAAAACATATAGAATGGAAAGTGCCAATTAATAAATCTTTAACATCAGTACATGTACCTTCAAACATTTTAGTTAATCGATCAATAATTTCTTTTGCTGCTTTTTTTGTAAATGTTGTAACTACAATATTATGAATTGGTATATCTTCAGCAATGACTAACCAAGCAACTCGTGAGATTAAAACTTTTGTTTTACCAGTACCTGGACCTGCAATAATTTGTAATCTTGAATGAGCAGGAGATCTAACTGCTTTTTGTTGTTCTTTATTTAAACCATCTAAACATCTTGGGAGGATTAATTCGCCAAACTTCTCATAATTAACATTACTCATTAAGGATGCAACAATACAATATACTACTATTAATACTAACGTTTTGTTTGTTTTACATTGGTAAACAGAAGAGAAAAAAATATTCACATTGATACCAAAACAGTTATCGCTTTGGTGGTCTATTACTTTCTTATTAAAGGGATGATTACAATATGATGTTCGTATTATTACTACTATCAGTAGTTTATACTTTTAATTTATTTCCAGTTACTGAACAATTTTCTTTAAATGAAACTTTACAATCAGCAACTAGATCACAAAGAGATATTTCAAGACCAATTCCAATAGATCAAATATCAGCTGCTGGTTTATCATTAACTGCTTTATTTGAAGATGTTGGTTATTCATTAGAGGCTTTGAAAGATTTAACTGATTTATTAAATGCTGGTGTTCGTATATTAATGATGGATTTATATTGGAATGAATTTAGTTTTAAATGGCAATTATGTCCAAGTCCATTTCCTACAAATATGACTTATAATATAAATGAAATTAATAACTTTAACTGGAATGGTAAAGTTTATAATTGTCAACCATCATTAACTACTGAAAATATAATGTCAATTATTTCAAATTATCTTCAACAAACGAATACAAATGTAGAAGCAAGTTTTTTACATATCCTACTCAATCTAAAAAGTATAAACTATCAAAATAATCAAACTGATATAAGACAGATTTATACTAATCCGACAACTGATGCAATTGGTAATTCAACATTAAATGATACTGTTGCTTCTATTAATTCATATATTTTCACTCCACAAGTATTAGATGCTTATAAAATTGAATTGGATTCAACTCATGAATTCAGATCATTTTACAACCAATCAGATTTAATTATGCCTTCATTACAAACTGTATTATTAAATGAGTATAAAAGATTACTTGTAAATGTAATTTCAAATGATTTAACTACTTCACCAAATCTGTATAATATTTCACAACAAGATGAAGATATAATATTCTTTAATAATACTTTATTCACTTCAATAAGATCAACATGGAATCAAGTCCTGACTGAATGTGAAAATTTATTAAATGCTTATGATTCAAATGGTGTTGATGTTTCACTATTTAATAATATTTCATTATCTACTCATTTTAGATATATAATAGATAATAATGAAAATCCATTCACTTATACAAATTTACAAAGATATATAAGATGTGGCCTATCTCCGATTTTCAATGCCAGTGAATATAAAGTTAACAATAGTCCTCATTTAAATGCAACTGAAATATTTGAATCTTTCATACCTTATGCTTTTTGGTCTTGGAGTCCAGGTCAACCCCTACCTCCCAATAATGATACTTCGTCAAATCATACATTTGAAAATAATCGTGAAGACACTAATATTGCTTATAAATGTGGATTATTAACTGATGATGGTTGGAAAGTAGGTAATTGTTATCAAAGATATCAAATAGTATGTCAAAATGAAACATCACCGCATGAATGGGATATTCCAAAGGATGTAAAAAAGAATTATTTTGATATTGATAAAGATGATGATTGTCCCGATGGTTATAAATTTAGTATTCCAAGACTGAATGTTGAAATGTTATCATTAATAAATACTATAAAACTGCAAAATATAGAATACCCTGTTTGGATTGATATTAATGATATTACAGTTACTGATTGTTTTGTCACTGGTGGACCTTATGCTCAATGCCCGTATCAGAAAACAGTCACCACTAAGAAATTTGTTAGAATGATTGCTCCAAGTAGTGTTGTTGTTGTTGTTTTATTAATATTGGTGGTGATGGAAAAGACATTACGAACTAATCCTATACAAAGTAATAGAAAAAGGTATTGGAAAAAGGCATTAAATGATTATTATAAACAAAATGATTATGAAGGTGTACCTAGTTAATACAATTGGTAGCATTTCAATATACAATAAAAAAACCAAAGGCAATTTTTTCACTCTATTTTATATCCTTACAATATTATTAGCATTGAATCCTTCCTTACAATGGATAATCAAAATTGGAAAAAATTATCAGATGAATTAAGACGTAGAGCCGAAAATGCTACTCGTACTTCTTCAAGAGGTCCTAAATCTCCCCTTCATTTATTTGGTGGAATTGGTGGTATTTTATTATTAGGAGGAGTTGCTTTGTTTGCTCAAAATGCTTTATTTAATGTAGATGGTGGGCAAAGAGGTATATTATATTCAAGAATAGGTGGAATTCAACAAAAAATTTTCCCTGAGGGAACTCATTTTGTAATTCCATGGTTTCAAAGACCTATTATTTTCGATATTAGAGCAAAACCAAAAGAAATTGCTTCTTTAACAGGTACAAAAGATTTACAAATGGTTAATATAACATGTAGAGTATTATATAAACCTGATGTTTTTCAATTACCTACAGTTTATAGAACTTTAGGTGTTAAATATGAAGAAAAAGTTTTACCTTCTATAATTAATGAAGTTTTAAAATCAGTTGTTGCACAATTTAATGCATCACAATTAATAACTCAACGTGAAAAAGTTTCAAGATTAGTTAAAGAAAATTTAGTTCGTAGAGCTAATAAATTTAATATTCAATTAGATGATGTTTCATTAACTTATATGACTTTTTCACCAGAATTCAGTCAAGCTGTCGAAGCTAAACAAATTGCTCAACAAGATGCTCAAAGAGCTGCATTTATTGTAGATAAAGCAATTCAAGAAAAACAAAGATTAGTTGTAAGAGCTCAAGGTGAAGCTAAAAGTGCTGAATTGATTGGTGAAGCGATAAAGAAATCAAAAGATTATGTTGAATTGAAAAGATTAGATACTGCAAGAGAAATTGCAAATATTTTAGCTTCTTCTCCAAATAGGATTATATTAGATAATGATACTTTATTATTGAATACAGTTACTGATTCAAGAAAATAATTGTAAATAGTAATATATATTAAAAAACACGTTAAACACCTGATACTAAATATTTATGAATGATTGCAAATAAACATAAAAAAAATGGCATCCTTACAATAAACAATAAACAATAAACAACGGCATCCTCACTCGACATCCTTACTTCTAAAAGATAGAATTAACAATATCAGAACCAATAGTAGCACCAGCTCCAAAAATAGCAGCATTCCCCAACTTACTTCCAAATTTTTTAATATGTTCATGGTTTCCATTTTGTTGTGGAGGTTGTTGTTGTTGTTGTTGTTGTTCATTATATTGTTGCTGTGGATAATAATTAGTCGAAGGTGGTGGAAATTGAGCATATCCACCATAAGAAGGTTGTTGTTGTAATGCAGCTCCATAATTTCCATAACTTGGTTGTTGTTGTTGACCATAATTTGAATTGTATGAATTTCTCTCTTCTAAAGGTGGCGGGACTGCAGACCTAGATAAATTAAACTCTTGTTCAGATATAATTTTAACATAATTTGAAGGAAAAACACCAGATTTATCTGAATTCATACCTGATTTATAACCTTTCCACCAATCTTCAGATAAATGTTCAATAACGGCAATTTTATCACCTTTAGATAAAGTTAAATCATCATGTTCTTGTGCTTTATAATCATAAATTGCAGTACAATAACCTACTGGTCCTGGTTCAAGCTTAGGTGGAATTGAAGATGGAGCTTCATAAACTGGTGGGGGTGGATTATTATCAAGTTTAGTTTTTGAAAAATCTTCACTCAAATTAGAAGTTGAATAAGAAGGGATTGAAACTTGTGAAATGTTCGACTTAGTTACTGCATTGGATCTTTCTGTAAATTTCAATTTATCAACATCCCATGGTTCTGAATCTTTTTGATATTTTAATGGTATAGCATCTACTAATTTATTATATAATTCTTCTGTAATAACATCTGAATCTTTTAAAAATTCCAATTCTGTTCTAACTGTTGTTAATGAACGATTAACTAAAGCACCAGACATTGTAATAAAGAAGTTATAGTAAATAAGAAATTTATTTTTGTGGTTTCCAAATTCGGTCATTTAAGCGATCTTTGATTTTTTGCAATCACACTAACAAATTCAGGCTCAGTAAATGTACATATATGATTTATATCATGATACAGTTACTCAATAGAAACGGTGAAGAAGTCTAAGGATATGACACTAGAGGCTGGATCTCAAGTCTATATCCGGATCTTGACTGGTGATTATATATTTGCTAACGCCGTTCCGTTCTCGGTTATAAAATTAAATCCGAGATCTGAAACAAATATATTTAATTCAAATTAGACGACGAAAATATATAGACTATATGATATGAAGCTGGATTTTTTATCTCTAGAGATTTTAAGTAATCAGTGCATCCTTACAGCTAAATATGTATTCATCTTATTACATCACTCTTTTTCGCAATTCCTTCAACTAATTCGATTATTTCACTTCCATAACAACCAGAAATTTTAGATATTGAATTTGGTGAAATTTCAATAGTTTTCTCCCAAATTTCATATATACGAATTGTTGAATCATTTGTAGCTACACAAATCGAACAATAATCTGGACTTGAAGTTGCAGATAAAATTCTTAAATTACAATTTGCATTAACTTCAATAGTTGTAATCATATCAGGATATGAATAAACTTTAATTAATTGAGATTTTAAAGCAGTACCACCAAATCCAAAAGTTGCCACAATTTCTTTTTTATATTTTGACCAAATTAAACTTGTAATTTGTCCATCTGTATAAAATTCATTAATTAATGTACCACTTGCCGTATGCCAAAATCTAATTTTTCGATCTTTACTACCTCCACCAGTAGCTAATAAAGAATTAGTCCATGGACAATAATTTAATGCCTTGATTGCTGCATTATGAGGTAGGACAAATTTTAGCTTGGGATTTTTTAAATCTTTAATATTCCAAATTGTACAACAATTATCATTTGCACCTATGGCAACTTCATCATTATTTGAATTTAAAGCAAATCCTAAAAATGTTAGTAAGTAAATAAACTATACACTATAAAAAGGTAAATATTTACCGCAAATTTGTTGCTGATGACATTTAAAACTTTTAATCAAAACAATTTCAGTTGTGAATAATTTGTGAATTTTGAATATATAAACTTCACCAACATCGTCACCAGCTATAAAATAATTTGAATCATTAAACCATACAAAACAGAATATACATTTACCGTTAGGTAATAAAAATTCAGAATCTGTGTTATTACCATTTTCTTGATCAATTAATAAAATTTTGCCATTTGAAGTTGATACTAATATCCAAAATTCTTTAGAACATGAAATTGCAGTAATTAAATCTTCAGTATTATAATCAACTTGTAATACATTATTATCTACACCCCAAAGATAAATCTTATTACTTAAACCAACTGCTACTCTATTTGTTTTTTGTGACCAACTTACTAAATTTGAATAATAATCATTTCTTAAACCTGGTGCTTGTAAAATATCACTAGCCATTATATTCTTAACATTATTGATAGAAATTTTAGGTGATTTTAATTTCTTTAAATTATCTGTAATATCATTTTTGGTATTGTTAGTAAACTTTAGAACTTTTGAACCATGTTTAAAATCTAATGCTTCAGCAACAATTTCTTGATGTAAATCATAATCTGGACTTTTTAAACTTAAATAACTTGAATCTGATGAATTTATATGTTGCCAAACAGAACTGGAACTCTCGTCGCTTGAATGATTGAATAATAAATCTTCCCTTAATGAAATATTAATTGGTGATTTAAGATTCAAATTTTCAGTATTATTCGAACATATTTTATATACCAGTGAAGATGAAGATATTGGAATAAACCTTGAACCAAATTCAGGTATTAAAGATCTAGTAAAAGACATACCAAATAACAAATGAAATAAGCTAACCTTTCTTTATATAAAAAGATTAAATTTTGAAAATTAGCAATAGTTTTATAAATAAATCTTCTTAATCTATGCAATGATGATCCATTAATGGATAATCTATTGAATGTTTCCTTAATTGTTAATAAATTATAAATTTGCAGCCAAAATATAAAAATATTTGATAGAGAAAAAAAAAATGTATATAAATATTAGTATGCCATGCCATTGATTATACAGAATACTTTATATAATTCATGGGTAAAGTACATTACAAGCATATCATTTGTAATTGGATCTATCATTGCTTTTATATTGGTTAATCAGAAATTGGATTCTCCATTTATTGATGAAATATTTCATTTAAAACAATGTCAGAGATATTATAATTATAATTATCATTGGGATAATAAGATAACAACACCACCGGGTTTATACTATTTAGGGTTTTTATATTCGAAATTGATGCTGATTGTATTTGGTGTGCCGTTTAGTTATGAAATTTTAAGATCATTGAATTTAATAGGTGGATTAAGTATATTACCATTGGTGTTGAAACGAGTTTTCAAAAAATATAAAAATGGTCAATTTTGGACAGTTAATATAATATCACAACCTTTATTGTTCACTTATTATCATTTATTTTATACTGATATTTGGTCAACTATATTTATTGTCCTATCATTGAGTTTAATAACCAATAAAAATAATCAAAAACCTGTACTAAGTGGTTTAATTGGATTCATAAGTCTATGGTTTAGACAAACTAATATTGTATGGTTAGCGTTCATAGCTACAGTGTTTATTGATAAGAAAATCATGCCTACTGACTCAATTGATCGGGCTTATCAATTCATCAAAAAGTCATTTCAACATTGGAAAAGTTTATTACCTTATTTAATTAACTTTATACTATTTATTATATTTTTGAAAGTTAATGGTGGGATAACGTTAGGTGATAAAGACAATCATAAGGTTGAATTACATGTTGTTCAAGTATTTTATTGTTTTACATTTATAAATTTTTTCACTTTACCTATATGGTTCAATAAAACCACCTTTATTAGATACTTTAGATACTGGATACAGTTTTATGGCTTGAATATTGTACTCAATCTTGCATTGTTAGGATTAATAAAGTACATTATCGACAATTTTACAGTTGTTCATCCATTTTTATTAGCTGATAATAGACATTATACATTTTACATTTATAGAAAATTATTAAAGCCAAAATATAGTCAATTCATTTCCATTCCATTATATCATTTTGCAACATATAATATAATTACTCAATTAAATAAACTTTCATTCATTTCAATTATTGCATTTATAATGTCAATTTGTTTGACAATCATTCCATCACCATTATTTGAACCAAGATATTACATTATTCCATTAATCATATTTAGACTTTACATCAAATCAAATAACGAACTCCTTGAATTTATATGGTTAAATTCAATCAATATAGCTACAACTTTTATATTTCTAAGTTATGAATTTTCATGGGCTAGTGAATTAACTAAACAACGAATAATATGGTAATAATACAAATGTATACTTAAATCTATACACCTTCCTCAGTTTCCTTGTCCTCTTTTATTGTTGAAATGTTCCCATTTTTATTATCTTCAATGTTTAATAATGTCAAATTTTTATTTATAAAATCATCAACTGATCGATTATTATTCTTTAACGATAATATCGATATTTGATTTTTTTTCAACTCCTCCAATAGTCTTGATTTATTACTATCATGTTCTTCATTTTCTTTATTATCATCAATTGTATCAATCCACTTTTTCAATGATCTTCTTTTTAAAATTTCTAAATATGGAAATTCTAATTTTGAAATTTTATCGATAAATACTAAATCACCTTCATTTCCAATAAATAAATCACCATCAGCATTTTTTTTATTATATTTTAATTCCCAATTACCAATTTCTAAATCATTTGCAAAAATTAATAAAAAATCACCCCAATTATCAGAAATTTTAAATTTAAAATCAAATTCTCTACCAAATAATATAATTTGTCCATAACTACCTAAAGGACCTGGAGATAAATCAATACCAATATAATTTCCAACTTCATCAGTTACAATAGGGATCCACATTGGATGAGCAAAAGTTTCATGAATTGCCCCAGGTGGAATTGATCTTTGTTTGGGTATATTAAAAAATTTTGGTTGACTAGATAAATCATATATTGATGACGCATTTGAATTGTCCCTAGATAAATCAAATGATTGTGGTTCTGATGATGTTTCAATTTCAGAATTATCTCCACTTAATTTTTTTTTATATTGATTTGAATTTGAATGGGAAGTAGGTAGTATTGATAAATCTAACTTACTTAGATTTTGTTGTCTAATTTCTTTATTTAAAGTTTTGGCAACTTTTCTCCAATTTTCAGTCGAAATCATAATTTCATCTAATGACATTAATTTTAACCCAAAAAATAATCCACAAGTTTCAATTTGTAAATTATTACCAAAATTCAGTTGACCGTCAGTTAATTTAAAAAATTCATAAACACAATTTGGTAATTTTATATTTAAATCTTTTTGAAAATCTTGTAAATCTGAGTCTGTACATTTCGATTGTAATGAATGATTTAAATCTGGGTTATATTTAATTAACCAATTTTTAATATGTCTCCAAGCTAATTTAACTTCATGAACACCATCTACACCATTTCTACTATTACCACTTGCATTATTTGATTCTATTGATGAATCATTTTGTTGATAATAATTTAATAAATTTTCAGAATCTGGTTTATTAACTCTATTAAAAGATTTTCTTGAATCAAATTCGGAATATTTATCATTTGTACTTAATAAATATATGAATTCTTGTAGTTTCTCACCAAACTTCATTACTGAATATCACCACCACTTTATCAAAGCAAATTGTTGTCAAAATCGGTTAATAAATTATTTTTCTGAAACGCATAGAAAAATAAAAAAAAAATATACAAAAACCTGACGCGTAAATATTTAACCAGAATAGTAAATAATACAATAACACTAAGAGAACAACAGAGTATATATCACCTGGGCATGAAGTACAGAATCTTATTGCATTCAAGAATTATACGATAAACCAGGTATTTCAATCTTGGTAAAAATCATAAAAAACAAAATATTGCATTGAAAAAAAAAGGTTAAAAAAATAAAGATTAAAGCTAATATGACAAAATTCCTTAAAATAAACCACTTAATAAATGGAATAAAAAAAACCTATAAAACATTGCCTAAAACAAAAAAGGACGAAAATTGTAATTGAAAAGTTCCTTAAAAGAATACCTTTTAATAAACATAAAATTCTCTAGAAATTTGAACGTGTAAAATTCAATTGAGCTGTCAAACAACTCATTTATCAGGAATTAAGTCACTCTAATCTTTAATTATTTTTATTTATTCTTTTCATTATTCTTTTGGATTTTTTTGATTCATCTTCCTTATTGTAAAAAGTAAGAAAGAAAAGAAAAAGAAGAAAAGTTGAAAAATTTTGGGATGGTGAAAAAGTTGACGAGATGGATTTCGAGCACGTGATTGGCTGCAAATTAAGAGGTTTAATATGAAATGAAGTAAAATTTACGATATAATACTATAATATTAGACATGAATTTATAAAAAGTATAAAATACACTTTAACCCCTATATAATGAAACCTTTTATTCATCATCAACATCTCCTTTTTATGATTTTTATGATTTTTTTTTTGTGTAATTAGTTTATGATAATTTAATTTATGATAATGATTTTTTGAATTTACCAGTTTGAAGCTGCAGCATCTTCAGCAGCTGGAGTAACACCTGAATCAGCCCAATCAACATCTTCAGTTTGACCAGTCCATTCTTGTTCAGCTTCAGCTTGTTGAGGTTCTTCAGTTTCTTCAGCTTTTGATTCTTCAGCAGTATTTTGTTCAATTTCTTCTGGATCCCTATAGAAATATAAATCTGGCATGACTGACCATTCAGTTGTTCTATTTGGAATAATTCCTCTTAATCTTAAAACTTCTCTAGCTAATAACCACCAAATTAAACCAATTGAGTGTTTACCTTTGTTATTACATGGAATAGCAACATCAACATATTCTGATGGTGAATCCATATCAGTTAAAGCAATAACTGGAATGTTAACATATGATGATTCTTTAATAGCTTGAGCATCAGTTCTTGGATCAGTAACAATAACTAATCTTGGTTCTTTAAAAGAACGAGTAATATAATTGGTAAAATTACCTGGAGTAAATCTACCAGCAATTGGTGTAGCACCAGTGTGAGCAGCAAATTTTAAAACAGCTCTTTGACCAAAAGTTCTTGATGAACAAACTGCAACATCTGAAGCATTTGGAACAGCGGCAATAATTCTAGCAGCTAAAACAATTTTTTCCCAAGTTTTACCAATGTTGATGATATTAACACCATCTGGTCTGGTTTTGTAAACATATGGTTTGTTGTGAACCTAATAATTTGGTTAGTATTTGATTCTTGATAAACTCAATTATGAAATGTCCCTAATCTTGTCATGATCCATCTCTTGACTAAATTCAAACCTTCATTTTCAATATTTTCATTTCATAAATCCAATCTTTAATTTCTTTTTAAAACATACTTGAACGTTTTTTGAACCTAAATGAACGTTTGCAGCTAATAATAACTTAGCGTCTTCAGCAGTTAAATCAAATGAAGCTGGTAATGACATATTGTAATATCTTTAATTATATGTATATATCTTCGTTGATAAATTCAATATATCTAAAACTGAAAAAATTTCAAAGAAGTTTTGTTTTAGTGAAAATTGTGGGTGTGCGCGCACTAGTTAAGACTTTTGTTTGTACTAAAAAATTTATTATGGTATTAATTTATTACTACCAATTGTTGGTGCGACATAGAGCGATATGTCGTATGAGATAATTATATTGGACCTAGATTAATGCACGTGAGAAATGTTAGGGCTATAAGATAAGATAAAGATAAGAAATACTGAGAAAGCTGATACGTAAAGTCTATCATATAGAATTGTCGAATTAGATACTCTTCATCGGTTTGCTTTCATTGAATAATATATAGTTTAAATATGAGCAGAGCTGTGTTGATTATCAAAACTTTTTAATCACAACTGTATTCACCTCATGAAACGCAATTATTAAACAATATACGAGATCGCGAGAAGATAACGAAATGGAAAAGCTGTAAGCCTAGTGCAACACTTTCAGACTTATGAATCGTCTTTGTATTGACTTGTTCGTTGAAACATTGATACTATGGCTTTCAAGGCTTATATTCAATTCACATCCATCCTATTCGTTTTATCTTGAACGGAATTATGCCCAGAATTGGGAATTCCTTGAAACTTTAATTTTAACTCTAGATACATTTTCGAAATCTATGGAAATGTAAAATTCTGGAGCCGTGCAACCACAATATCAAAATTATAAAAGATTGGTTTATGATAATTTGATTCAAGGTCAAATCTTTAACCGATGACTTCATTAGTTAATGTTGAAGAAGATCCATTAATTGAAACTGCTGCGCAAGATGTTTATCAAGCAATTGTTGATGATGAAACAGAATCAGAAGATGAAGATATTACTTGGTTTAGAGAACATATAGCATCAAATAAAAATAAGCATTGGCTTAAACGACCAAGCGTCTATAGTATTGGATTTGTTAATTTTTTATTAATGACAAGTATGGCTGCAACAGCACCAACATTACAAATTATCATTTTTAAATTAAGTTGTAATTCATTAATTGATTCAAAGGGTATTTGTGATCCTATTCAAACTCAAGTCTTAGTAAGTAACTTGTCAATGTTTAAAGAGGTTGGTTGTGTTTTAATTTCATTAATTCCGGTTGCTAAAATTGGTGAATTATCAGATATTTATGGTAGGAAACCATTTTTATTCTTTGCATTATTAGTTTTAACAATTTCAAAAATATTTGAATATTTCATTTATAAACATTCTAATGAATTGAAATTTTGGTTATTCTTATCTGCTAATTATATAAGCGCAATTAGTGGTGGATCTTTTGTTATCGTCAGTTTAATCAATTCATATATATCAGATATAGTAGAATCGCATGAAAGAATTTATGCATTGGGATTAGCTGGTAGTTCATTATATTTAGGTCAATCAATTGGACCCATTTTAGGTAATTTTATATTGAAAATTGGTAATCAATTTGAACAACCACAAAAATCAATTCATATTAATGCAATAACCGAATTATCAAAAATTTCAAACAGTGAGTTTGTATTATTAAAATTCGAGATTATAATTTACATAATTTTAGTTATTTATTTAGGTACCGTTTTTCCAGAATCAAGAAATGAAAAGGCAAGAAGAAAATCAAGAGCAAACTCAATTACATCCACGCAACAAAGAAAATCTCAACTGCAGTCGATTTGGAATGTGTTCTCTCCGCTTAAAATTTTATTATATCCATCAGAATTAGCAACTGCATCGAGTAAATCTAAAATTTCCAAAATTAGATTTGTTGTAATTTCAATAATTTTATCATCATGTTTATATTCAGCTTTAATGCTTGCAATTGGTCAAGTTTTAGTTCAATATGGTATTTTGAAATTTGATTGGGGTACGTCAGAGATTGCATATTTAATGACGATTACGGCTGTTTCAAAATGCATTGTATTGATATTCTTATTACCATTTTTTCAAAACACTGTGTTAAAGAAATGGTGCGATTTAAAAACTTTAAAGAATCAATTTGATATGATTGATTTTGTATTAATTTTATTCGGATATACAGTTGACTTAATCGTTTTCATATCATTTTATTTTATAAATTCAACCAATGGATTCATGATCTCATTTGGTTTATTTTCATTGGGAGCAATAACGGGTCCAACTACAAACTCCGCATTATTGAAATTTTATCCAAATTCAAAAATTGGTGTTGTATTTGGTGCAAATGCATTATTATTGAATTTTGTTTCGATACTTGCCCCAATTTTGATTATGAATTTATATAAAGCTTCGTTAGATTTTAACTGGTCAAATTTTATATTTTTGATATATTCAGTTTTTCTTGGTTTTATTATATTGATGACAATTATGATTAAACGAGTTTTGAAATTGAATAGGTTCTCCAATAAATCGGATTTTAGTGAAACAAATATTATTTAAGAGATTTGACATCCGACATTATTTATTTTTAGTTCTTATAACGAAGGTTATATATTAATTTCGATACCATTGTTTTTGCAGTTGATTATATGGAATAAAAGATATAGAATTTAGATAGATCAAAATTAATTGAAAACTGCATTCATTACTTAGCATTTCTCTAAAGACGACTTGTTTCGATTACGGAAGATTGACCAACACCCGAACACAGTATAAATCAAGATAGTTATGGCTAGTGCTGTTCCACTATTATTTAAATAGGTTTCACGCCTCAGTACGCCATAGTTTTGAGGCCAGCTTTGGCGCTTTGAAAAAAATATGGAACGGTTTTTAACACGACCCTACGCCAAAATCAGCGCGAAAAAAAGTAAAAATATGTAGGATAATTTTAAAACTGATTTGGTTTATATGCAGTCTTGCCAAAGTTACTCCCAAAATTTAATTTGTAAGTAACATCCTCAATATCCTAGATATTGGTTTCAAACATTTTTCATGACAAGTTCTGTCTACTTTTAGTAAACTAATGTTAATATACTTCAATAAAAATGAATTTTCATAACTTTATTCATCATTTAGAAAATGGGAAAAAACGTTATTTTGCAAGATAATCAACACTTAAATCTCGTTTGGCAACTTCTAATATGGCTGATTTGGTTTATTCAATGGAGTTATCTACAAAATAAAATTTGAGATAAACTATTCATATAAGCCGATTTTGTTGCAAATTTAATATTTTTAGTTCGTAATTCTCGTCCAAATGTGGTGTCAAAAGAAGATTTCTCTCGCGCTGGCTTCAAGGGGACTCGTACCAAACACAATGGTTTATATCTCATGAACAACAGGATTTCACAAAATAAATACTAGTAAAATAAAATTCAGAGCTATCAATTATTAATCTACATACTTTTCATTTCAATTTTTTTTTTTAAGTTGTCATTCTGGCGATTTTTAATCATACAAAAAATTTGCAAAAAATAAAAATTCACAGTGTATTTTATTTAGAGCCATAACATTCTATTGAACAGCTAATGTATATATAATATTTCAAATTAAACTGCTGAACTTAGTCTTAGCTGACTTAGACTAAAATTGAGAAATTTCATAATTTTCTCTTGTGTATGGGAAAATCGAAATAAATTGATCTTACGAAAAATCTACCTCCACAATCAAATTCGTTATGAGCGTATAATAAAAGTATCAAAATTTGTAGTTGCTCATTATGGCAAATTTTAAAATTTTTAGTGTTAAGGTACCAAATTTGGAAAAGGAATTATTCAAGTGTGAAACGAAAGTTTTGAAAAATTTTCAAACCAATTTTGACATTTTAGAATCATTACTAGCAAAGCTTTGTGAGCTGAATAAACCTAATCAGCTATCTTAGAAGTTGCAAAACGAAGTCCAAGTATTGTTTCTTTCGAAATTTAGCGATTTTTGCCTTTTTTTACCGTTTTTTAAATGACGAGTGAAGTGTTCAAGATAATGTTTCCGTCAAAAAATTTTGTTTCAGTCTATTTAGACTTGACCGAAGCTCCGATAATAAAAGTTCTAGAATATCAACCCCATTATTGAGGAAGTTATTCACAAATTAACTTTCTAGATTTACTACTATGATACTGCATATAAATCAAGTTTCAGAATTATATTTTTTAGTACATAATTTTTAATGCGACGACTTGGCATGACAAACACAATCTTTTGCGTTAGCAAAACGACCTCGCACTAGTCTTGAAACGACCTCAAACTACATACTATAATGTTAAACTTTTCATTTGAACGTTAAAACTTTATCCGGCTTTCTTTCCTTTAAATAGAGTAAGTTGTTCATCGGCTAGATCTCGTGAAACTCTTATATGAATGATCAGTCTATATCGCCTCTATCAGAATAAAAATGGTTAGTTAAATTATCGAGTTGAACGCAGCTAAACAATATACGAGATGGAACAACTACCGCTTTCTGTTTCGAGAAGAGGCACTCTAGGACCTAGTTGTAGCTTTTATTGTACCTTTCTCAATGTACTATGCAAGAGTTATTTCACAAGTCAAAATTTAAATTCATCGAATCTGCAGCCAAGTTCTTTCATTCGTAACTTAATTCATGTATTTTAACTCTATCATTTTATATATTTCCATATAGTACAACATTCTTGATAATTTTCCGGCAACATCAAATATCTAAACCTCAAATCATCATCATACTTAATAACAACAATTTCACCACTTAATAAATTTTTAACAATTGATTCTTTAAAATTTTTAGCCCTTTTAAATAATTTTAGATTATTTTTAAATATTTCATCATATGTCAAAGCTTTATTACTCAACTTAACAATACTTGTATTTTTAAGAAATCCAAGTATTTCAAATTTCAACCCACCTTGTAATCTTTTTGAATTTTTAAGTTTTAATAATATTACAAACAATGGTGTGAAATTAATTATGATTTGCAAATTTTCTAAAAAATTTAATGACATTAGTGATATTATATGAATTATTGAAAACATTAAATATATAGCAAATGTAGTAGGTAATAATAATATCATAATCATGAATAATAAAGTCCCAATTAATAATTGATCAATTTCGAAAACATCATTGGAATTAGAATATAAATTTAAATTATCAATTCTGTTTTTTAATACATTATATTTCTTACCTCTGAATAATTGAAATAATGATTTGATTATATCTAATTGTTTTCTGTATATTTTTAAAGCACAGTAATAAAATGAATAAATATGAAATGTGAATAATTGAATTAAATCAATTAAAAAGCTAATGAAGAATGAAGCACCACCAAAATAACAAATGATATAAAGAAAAATTTTAATATATGTTTGATTAAGTTTAATTTGATCTAATGAAGTTTTCCAAAATTGAATTGTCCAAATATATAAATCACCTAAAAATTTACCAAATTCGGTATTTAATTTAAACCCAGCCGGATTCTTAACTGATATCCAATCAATAAGTGATATTAGATTTTGATATAATATATTAGTTAGTAAAGTTTCTTGAATGAATGTAATTATTGTGTTAAAATTTTCTATTATTTTAACGTAGATCGTTGCTCCAAGTAAAATATCATTAAGAATCAACCACAATGAGTTATATAAATTAATGTAGTTTGAGTTGTTTATGTTTAGATCTTCATTAAATATAGGTAGTTTCAAATCATTAATTATTGAGTTGTATAAATTTTTATTGTAGTAGTAACATAAAAATTGGATTGGAAAATAGTTAAATTGTTTCAACCGTAGATCTAACTGTTTGAATATTTTGGAGATTGAAACAAGGCTATGACCATTTATTACTTTATAGTTTATAATGTTTATTATGCAAATTAGAAAATATTGAACGGATTGTATTAACGGTATGACTAGATAGATTGCAGGTTTGAGTATATTTCTTCTCTCACTTTGTATATTCTTCACTTTTGATCTTGTTCTGTATAACTGATTTATTTTATTTAATACCACATCATCAGATATGTAATTTTCAAAATCTTTTCTTTTCATATTTGGACTTACTTTTCTTAATTTTCCTATAATTTCACCTTGACCTTTTTCTGTTCTTTTCTCTATTCCCATTGATTGTAATAGAATAGGTTTAATTGAAAAATATTCCAAATTTTTAAAATTTGGAGGATCGAAAAATATGACAATAGATGATAGATTTGACCAAACTAACCCATTTTCAAAATTCAATTGTAATTCATAATCACTATTTTGATTCAATGAGCCAATTACCTTGAGCTCTTTTTCTTTTGTTTTATATTCTGGATCATTTATGAAATCAAATATAATATAAATATTATTTAATTTATAACCAAGTATAAACGATTTTAGATGCAATTTTTTCTTTAAGTCATTGGGTAGATATATTTGAGTACTATTATTATTCATTTATTCCAAAACTATCACGTCGTAAATATTGAGAACTATTATTAAAATTTGAATAAAATGAAAAATTAGAATACCTTGCGGTTTTACTTGATTGTTTTGTGTGTACCAATGGATAATGATTAATGACGTAGTCTGTAATCTTGACTATTAAAAGGAATGTAAGTGATAAAAGTAGCAATATAAGTACTAATCTAGTTACAATCGAATCTAAATGTTTCATATAAGAAACAACAATCTGGTTCAATAAAAAAATAATTATCTTACGCCTTACGAAATCAAATCAAAACATAAACATAAACAAAACATAAACAAAACATAAACAAAACATAAACAAAACATAAACAAAACATAAACAAAACATAAACAAAACATAAATAACGCGATATATTCAAAATGAAAGAGATCTGAGACTGTTGAACTAATGGTTTAGCTGCTAATTCAATTAACCAGCCAAAAGCTGCTGCTCAATATGACGAAATCGAGGATACAAGTAAAGATAGAACTTTTGATCCATATGTTGAAATTTATACATCAGAACAATTTACATCTTGGTTCAAACGTGTGTTCCTTTCTGGTGATTACAGTGAAGAAGAATGTGATAATATATTTGAATCATTTGCTGAATGTTGGTTGGTTTTACAAAATGGAGTAGAGGGACAGAATTTAGATAGGGAGAGTTTGAACCAAGCACTAAGAGAAGAAGCAGATGAAAGTGATGTTGAAGCATTTTTGAATGATGAAATCTATACTCCAACAGAGATAAATATCCTGTATTAAATCACAAAATCCAAATATGCCGGAAGAAACAGTTCATTATATGCCTTCACAAATTTTGGAAGATCAAGAAAGAAGAATTGATCGCCCAACTACTGAAGAGCAGGAATTTGAAAGTGATCAGGAAACATCTTCTATAGAATAATATACGTTAAATTTTTTTGCTGCAAATTTTTGCATCACAAAATTGATCTTCTTGTAAGGCTCCAAAAAAACTTGAAATCTACATCAACAAAGATCTTCATTAAGATGTCTACAAAAGAGACTCAACCACAAGACGGAGTATCACCTCCAGCTAATGGTAACATACCGTTTGATGAGAAAGCAATTTCAAGAATCATCAAAAGTTATGCAATTTATTTTGCAATGTTATTAGCAATATATTTTCAAGAAAATTTCAATACTTCAGAACTTCAATATCAAATTTTAATAGTTGAATTTATACTTGATTTTATAAGGGATAATTTAAATGGATTAAATTATAAACAAATACCATTTTTCCTTATTTTATTGTACTTTCAAAAACCATGGTTAAATTTAATTTATATTTTTGGAACAACGTCAATTGGATTTGATGTAGTCATGAATAATTTCAAATTTGGTAAAAAATTAAGAATATTAGATTATTTATTAATTGTAAATTATATTTTCGTTTATGTCAATTTAATAAATTACGAGAACATGACTGGATATATAGTTGCAATTGGCCATTTTTGTTTATTCCTTAATTGGTTTACATAGATCTGAATATACGACACAACTCGCCTTATATTTGATGCCACGATTCGTGCTATCGCTACCAAGTGTATGGACCAAATGAAAATGATCGAAAAACTAAAAAACTGAAATCTTTGATGTCGCGTGTGAAACATTACAATTACGACAAGCAACAAAATGGCTATGAATTCAAATATTACAACTCTTTACAGATCGGATATAAATAAACTTCTACTATTGCAAATTAATTAGACTCAGGGGATAATATAAATCCGTTGCAATATGAATAAAACTAACTCCACCTAATATTATGTATAGAACGTTCTATGCATCTATAAAGTAGTTTAAACAGTGGAGATCAAGAAATTCATTACTCAGTAATCGACGTGGCAATAGATGAAAGTAAATAGAAAATTTGCTTATACGATTATTATCGCGAGGGATGTGGCAATATACAAACCCTTTTTTCCTTTCTCGTTACGTATTATTTGAATCCATGGAATGATATCATAGTTTAATAAGTTGTATTGCATTAACATGTATCAATAATAATATATGAAATTTTTAACTATGGTAGTGTACTTGTGTTCAAACGTTGTAGTATAAAAATTATAATCGAATTCAAATTTATATTTCTCAACTCCTTGTTAAATTTGACAACCAATTTTATCAATATTTATTAAGTTATCGAGAAATAGATCAAGTAACAATTAATCTTTATTTTGATTTTTTTTTAACAATTAATGTCCAAGAAATCACTATCTTCAAGTAATCATGTTACTACTACCGTATCCTTAAATAGTTTTAAATCAACTGCAATAACAAAGATACTATTTATATTTTCAAATTTATTTAAATTAGTTTATTCAATACCAATTCATAAATCAACTAATAATGATTTTCAAACTGAACATAAAAAACATGATATGACACCTGAAGAATTTTATATTAATTTATTTACCTCTATGTTTTTAGTTTTAGCTGGAGGTGTTTTCGCAGGGTTAACTTTAGGTTTAATGGGACAAGATGAAGTTTATTTAAAAGTTATTGCTACTAGTGGTGATAAAAATGAAAGAAAACATGCAAATAAAGTATTACAATTAATTGGTAAAGGTAAACATTGGGTTTTGGTTACATTATTATTATCAAATGTTATTACAAATGAAACATTACCCATTGTTTTAGATAGATGTTTAGGTGGTGGATGGCCTGCAGTTGTTACTTCAACAGTTTCAATTGTTATATTTGGTGAAATTATTCCTCAATCTATTTGTGTTAGATATGGTTTACAAGTTGGTTCATTATTTTCACCATTTGTTTTAGTATTAATGTATATAATGTATCCAGTTGCTTATCCATGTGCTTTATTATTAGATCATATATTAGGTGAAGATCATGGTACAGTTTATAAAAAAAGTGGTTTAAAAACTTTAGTTACATTACATAAAACTATGGGAGTTGAAAGATTAAATCAAGATGAAGTTACTATAATTTCCGCAGTTTTAGATTTAAAAGAAAAAGCAGTTAGTTCAATAATGACTCCAATGGATAGAGTTTATACAATGAGTGCAGATACTTTATTAGATGAGAAAACTGTTGAAGAAATTTTTAATGCTGGTTTTTCAAGAATTCCAATTCATTTACCAAATGAACCAAATAATTTTATCGGTATGTTATTAGTTAGAGTTTTAATTTCATATGATCCTGAAGATTCATTACCTGTTGCTTCTTTCCCATTAGCTACATTACCAGAAACTGGTTTAGATACTTCATGTTTAAATATTTTAAATTATTTTCAAGAAGGTAAATCTCATATGATTATAGTTTCAGAACATCCTGGTGAACCTACTGGTGCAGTTGGTGTTTTAACTTTAGAAGATGTTATCGAAGAATTAATTGGTGAAGAAATTGTTGATGAATCAGATGTTTATATTGATATAAATAAAAATATTAAAAGAAAACATCCAGGTCCATTATCAAAAAGAAATTTAACAAGTTATTTACATAATTTATATCAAAGAAGTGATAAAAATAATGGTTCAATAAATTCAAAAAGAAATTCAATTGATTCTCAACAATCACAAACTCAAGTTGATTTAAGAGAAAGATTAAGAAAAGGTTCATCACAACTGATTTTAACTACTCCAAATTTAAATAAAAAGAAAGTGAAAGAAGATTCAAATTTGAGTACTACTCCAAATGCTAAATCTAAATGGAAAATTAAAAATCCGGCATTAAATCCATTAGAAACTAATAAATCCTTTGTTACTATTAAAAGACCTGATCAAGGTACTATTGATTCAGTTACAAAAGCAGCATCACCAGCACCAGAAACTAATAGAAAGGAACAACTAAAACAAGCTCAACAACAAGATAAAAATACTGAAGTTGGTATTTATTCATCTGAACAAAATGCAATTGATGAAGCAAAAAGAAGATCATTAGATCAATCGAGAGCAAATTCACGACAACAGTTTTTATTACCAAATGAACGAGAAACTGATGTTTCTGAAATAAATGGAGATAAAGAAGAACATAATCAAGAGAATCAACAATTACCAATTGCAATCAATAATTCAAATGGAGTTACATTATATGATCAACAATCAAGATCATATAGGACTGGAGGTATAGTTGAATCGGTTATAAATGTACAGGGTGTACATAAAACAATTATTGAAAATGTAAGTGATCGAGAAGATATGGAAATTATTGATCCAAAATATAAACTGAAGAAATCTAAAAAGAATAAGAAAAAGAAGAGAAGTCCAAGTTCAACAATTAGATCTGATTCTTTTGGTTTAAATAAATATTCTGATGAGAATGAAAATGAAAATGATAGTGAAAGTGTTGAAGAAGAAGAAGAAAATCAATCATTATTAAAAAATAATAATGGTAATGGAAGAAAAAATTCAAGATCTTCAAGTATTAGTAGTTCAAGTAAAAAATTTAGTGTTTGGGATAAATTAAAAGGAAATACATCCGAATAATATCAATAGATTGACTTGAGAATGTGCTTTTATTATTATTATGTTTTTATTTATTTATTTTATTTTATTTTATTTTTGTTATATTATATGTAGAAATATACAGGTTACTCAAGTGATAAATAAATCTATTTGTATCTGACTGTTAAACATGTGGAATACTGAAAAGTAAAACCATGCAAATTATACTAGTATACTAGCAAAAAGTTTTAATGATGTTTGTTTGATAGGACAGTGGTTATGACCTAAATCCTTATTAGAATGTTTCCTCCGGTAAAAGATAAGTCTTGGTAATTGTAAATTTACAAAATATAATATATTTTTTTTCGAGATGCCATAGTATTGTAAATCGTAAAAAAAGGAGTTGCTTCAAACAATAGAATTATAAAGTAAAATTGATTAATGCACATTTTAAAATTAAAGTATCAATAGCACATCACAATCTAATGCATTGATCACCCGTACTGATCGGTAGTTAATACAAGTTCATAACTAATTAGTTGAGCTGTAGAACGAATACATACTGATCGGGCCCATACTGATCGCCCATTCGTATTTAAGGCTTCATCCATTTAAATTTCTAGTCAACGCGTGTGTTTGTACCGAGTACTAAGAGTGGTTTTTTATTTTTATCATTAATTAAGAATTGTCTAAAAAAAAAAAAAAATAGGGGCTAGGGGGTGGTAAGAGTTAAAAATAGACCGGATTTAATGCGATAAATTTACGAGAGACAAATAAAAATAAAATGCTAAGAAAAATAATACGTCAAAAGTCTAAAGTCTAAAGTCTAAAAATAAACTAGTAAGTAACACAAAATCATAAGGATATAATTCAATTTTATTAAGCAGTATTACCACAGTCAATGATTGACCTTATTAATGATTGACAAATTTTAGTTTGTTGGTATAGATTTTTGTGGTAGAAAGTCAATGTATAAAACTAAAGGATGGCCTTGCTCGTCAACAAATATTACTACTTATAATTTGGCTTGGTTAGTATTTATGTCTCTACCTTATAATTGGGATGTGTCATTATCTCGAAGTGGCTTATATCCTTTGAAAAAAAAAAAAAATGGTTAGCGAGAAATACGCCAAAAACTTTTCAAATTTGTTCATTAACACTACTACTAGATTGAGAAGTGTTATATAACTTTCGAAATCGAAGAACTCGAACTTGAAGAACTCGAAATCGAAGAAATCGAAGAACTCGAAGAACTCGAAATCGAAGAACTCGAAATCGAAGAACTCAAACTCGAATGATGGTAAATCACTATCAATCATGAGAACAATAAAAGTAAATAGAAGTAGCTTATGATCCGTTAGCTTATAATCCGTTTAGCTTATGAATTGTTTAGCTTATAATTCGTTTAGCTTATAATCCGTTGTAGTAAAAAAAGAAAGGCTTGATTTTTTCCCTAAATTAGTTATGTTGAATAATTGAACAATCAAATACAAAAAATAAAACAAAGCGAAACAAAGCGAAACAAATTAAACTTTAACAATAAAACTCTTTCAAATTCAATTGAACAATTCAATTGTAAAAAAAACTGTACTATATATAAAATAAAAATTCATAGCCAATCAATATATTATATTTTCGACATTTACACTATAAATACAAATATAAATATAAATAGAAAATAAAATACCTTTCGATTCTTAATTTTTTCAAATTTCAATATTTTTCAACAACCAAAATACAAGCTTTTATTCTCAACAATAAAAAAAAATCCTTGATAAAACATTAGAATAAAGAAAAGTAGAAGAAAAAATATCATATTCAAATATCAATTAGTTGAATCGGTTATAATTCTAATTCCATTTTTCTTATATATATATTATAAATTTACCCCAAATAATAATAGAATTGGATCAACCAAGTTTGTTGATACATAGAAAAAAAAAAAAATAAAATAAAATAAAAAGAGAAGCGTGTATAGCAAAATAAAATTATATTATTCATTCATTCAACATTCAAACCAAAATATCCGTCAGAAATTTATGATATTAATAGTATAGATTTATTTATATATTATGCCATTTAAGAATTTATTTAATTCATCTTCATCATCGTCTTCATTAGTTTCAAATAATAATAATAATATTAATAGTACTAATAGTAATAATACTAATAGTAATAATAATAATAATAATATTAATAATAATAACCATTTTGATGATGTAAAATCTAATAATTCCTCACACAGATCATTTTTAAAATCCAAAAATTCTTCAAATTCAATATCTCCAATACTGACGACTTCAAAAAACTCGGTTAATAATGGTAATAATCATATAAATGGAAATGTTCCACGACAGTGTCATAATGGAAATATTAATAATATTAATAATAATATTAATAGTAATAATAATAATAATAATAATGGTCATATAAATATAAATAGTAATGGTCAAGTTAATAGTACAACGCATATGTACCATCCTAAAAATAATACTAATAATAATAATAATAATAATAACAATAATAATAATAATACTAATAATAATACTAATAATACTAATAATAATAAAAATAGTAATAATAATAATCGTCATCATCTCCAATCTACTCCATTACAATATAATACTACTTCTATAAGTAGTACAAATACTCAATCTTCTTCATCATCAAATCATTCTCATTTATCACTAAAACGTTTTTTCAAAAAATTTAAACATGATAATAATAAAACTAAACATTCATCAACAACACCTCCACCGCCAGTTAATAACAGTCTAACTTCAAATGAAAATTTATTTATTAAATATGGTAAACCTGGTAAATTATTAGGTACTGGTGCAAGTGGTTCTGTTAATTTAATTAAAAATCCACAAAATCCAAATAAAGTTTATGCTGTTAAAAAATTTCGAAGTCGTTTACCAAATGAACAAGAAGCAGATTATAAAATAAAAGTAAATAATGAATTTAAAATATCTGATCATTTACATCATCAAAATATAATAAACACTTTTGAACTTATAAAAGATTATTCGAGAGTTAATAAATATATTGTTGATCCTGATTACTTTATAATTATGGAATATTGTCCATTTGATTTTTTTAATTTAGTTATGAGTGGATTAATGGAACAATATGAAATTCATTGTTATTTTAAACAAATTATAAATGCTGTTTCTTTTTTACATGAAAATGGTTTAGCTCATCGAGATTTAAAATTAGATAATTGTGTTGTTTCAAATCAAGGTATATTAAAATTAATTGATTTTGGATCTGCTGTTCAATTTAGAAAAGAAGTACCTAATGGTTATTTTGTAACTTCTGATGATATAATGTTAAGTGATAAACATAAATTAATTAAAGCAAGAGGTGTAGTTGGTTCTGATCCTTATTTATCTCCTGAAGTATTTGAACCTTTGGGTATTGGTTATGATCCAAGAGGTGCTGATGTTTGGTCAGTTGCAATTATATATTGTTGTATGATTTTAAAAAGATTTCCGTGGAAATTACCAAAATTATCTGATCCAAGTTATAGATCATTTGCAGGTCCACAATTAAATGGTCAAGCTCAAAATCATTCTTCAGATGAAGATAATTCACATAATAGACATCCTCATCATCCAATTGTTGGACCTGATAGATTATTAAAATTATTACCACAAGAATCAAGAAATTTAATTAAAAAAATGTTAATATTAGATCCAAAACAAAGAATATTAATGAATCAAGTTAAAAATGATGTATTTATACAATCTATTAATGAATGTAAAGTTGAAAATCATTTAACTGATTATGAAACTGTTATAAATTCAAATAATCATAAACATCATTTAATAACTGAAGAAGAATTGAAAAAGATTACTTTTGAAAGAGAAAGAATGAAGAAATTAAAAGATGCAGGCGTTGCGTAAGGATGCAAAATGGTCAGGATGCCATTAAATATATTCACTTGAGGTATTATTTATTAAATATATTGAGGATATGCAGTATATATAAATATAGATTATGGCAAATTCATTATGAATATATATGAATTTTTAGATAACTTATAACTCTACAAACACTAATCAGCTCATTTTTAAAAATGATTTTTAATGCAATCATTAATTATAATTGCATGGAGGTGAGCCCCTGACTTGAGATCAATTTTACAATTTTTTTGCTTTGTATTCATAACTCTGTTGTAAGTATTTCGACTTTACCTTGTGGTTAAAAAGTTGTAATGCGCTTTAATAGCTGGCTAACGGCTACTTTTTTGAATTTGTTAACTCTCTTTTAATGAATTTCCCTAATAATTACTACATCCAGCTAGAAAACCTTGTTGATTATCTATCGTTACTATTTTCTATAATTGGCCTTTTTTAACCTAATTTCCATTTTAAGCATGTTGGTTTACAATTGTTAATTCGTTTTTTTCTATTTTTGTATCACAAAAAATCAAAACCTTAGAATTATAATCATCTACTTTTGAAACATTGTCATGTCAAATGATGACAACCATAATAATAACAATGTATTACCACTACCTACTTGGATCATAACGATAGCCTTTTATTCGTCAATCATATCTACAATTATCATATTTCTAAGCATTTTTTTACATTTATTAAATTATAGAAAACCATTTCAACAAAGATTAATGATTAGAATTCAAATCATTGTTCCATTATTTGCATTATCATGTTATTCAATGTTAATTGATCAAACTTCAATATTTAATAAATTTATTCTTGAACCAATTAGAGAAGTATATGAAGCATTTGTTATTTATACTTTTTTCAGTTTATTAACTGATATGTTGGGAGGTGAACGTCAAATTATAATAATGACAAGTGGAAGAAGTCCAGTTAAACATCCAGGAATTTTAGGAAAATTATTACCACCATTAGATATATCTGATCCATATACTTTTTTAATGATTAAACGTGGAATATTACAATATGTTTGGTTAAAACCAATTATTTGTATAATGACAATTTTAACTGAAATTTTAGGAATTTATGATATAAATAATATGAGTTATAAAAGTATTTATTTTTGGCTAACTATTTTATATAATGCAAGTGTTACATTATCACTTTACTGTTTAGCTATATTTTGGAAAATTTTATGGAATGATTTAAAACCATTTAAACCAGTTGGGAAATTTTTATGTGTTAAATTAATTATATTTGCATCTTATTGGCAAGGTATAATATTAGCAATACTTAATTGGTTTCAAGTATTACCTGGTTCAAATCAATTAGATATTTCCGTTGGACTATGTATTCAAAATGCTTTATTATGTGTCGAATTAATTGGATTTTCAATTGGTCATTGGGTTAGTTTTAGTTTTTATCCATTTACAATTAGTCAATTACCCTGGGCAAGATTAAAATTTTATTATGCATTGAAGGATTGGATTGGTTTTAAAGATTTAATTAGCGATTTTGGTTTAACTTTCCATGGTGATTATTATAAAGATTATAAACAATTTGATTCAGTAGAAGCATTAATTGCTCATCCTGATTCAAAAGGTAGAATGAGTAGAATTCATCAAGGTTTAAGATATCAATATGATGGGAAACAAAAACATTGGTTACCAGAAACTCAATCAATAACGAGTGCAAATATAAATATTCCATCAACTTCAGAAATTCATGCATTTGATACTAGTTCAATTCTATCTAATAATACATCAATGAGAGGGATATACCCCATTAATTCAAATACTTCCCCACCAACATCACCAACAAGAGAAGTTGAAGAAAATGAGGAATCTATAATGAATGTAATCAATGAAGATTTATTTTTGAGTAATATAGATTATTCAATGGAAGGTTTTGATGATGATGAAAAAATATATATTGAAGCTATTAATACAATAGGTAATTATAATCTTGAAGATAAAAGAGTTAAAAAAATTTTAAATTATCCTATTGTTGATGAAGTTATTAATTCTCATGCTTATGGTTATAAAGTTAAACAATTGAGACAAAGGCAAAAAATAAGGCAAAAGAAAAATAGTGAACCAAATATTTTACAAAGTAATCAAAGTTATAGATATGGAAGTATTGTATAAAGATGAAGATGAAGAGAAAAGAGATTTAATACTGCTGAGTGCAGGAAGATGGCAGCGTTAATAGTTCAGTGGTCAAGTTGAAACATTTATTCAAACGTATTGTTTCATAGTTCGCTAATGTATAATTATATATTTATTTATTCATTGATATAATTTCAGTAGTGGTTCAAACCAATCAGCAAATAAATGTATGCTCGAAACCGATTTGCCAGAGATATATGATTTTACTTGGTAGTTCTCTTTTTTTTTTTTTTTTTTTTATTATTTTTTTTTTTTCAGATTGGGATCTTAAATCTTGCCTAATTAGGAAATGTCGCACAAGATCCAAGATGTGAATTGTGGCGAATGCAATTAATAGTCAAATTGGAAAAATTGACCATTTGAGCATGAAAGAGCATCTCAAAATACATAGTTATAAGTCTCTTTAGTCAAAACTAGAGTTGTATAAAGATACAAAGCTCTCAGTTAATTTGATGGAAATTTTGACTCGCTTTATAATCAGATAAAAATGTAAAGACTTGGGAATCGCCCTTTTGCTCATATCAGTTGCGGCTAGTATAATTTGAAATGAACATGGGATGTATAGAAAATGGTTCATTACTTGAGTTTGCATGTCGGTTTTTCTTCAACTCAAGATTTTCCATCAAAGGCAACCAAAATGGCCACAAAACATTGATCAAATGATGCTTACAGAAGACGAGCAAGCTAAGAGCTAGAGATTTTCAATTTCGATCAATGAAGTCAAACGAAACAACTAAAAAAGATCTTATTCACTTTCCTGTTTTAAAGTGAATTTTTCGATCTAGGAAGTATACAAAATGTAGCTCATCGCAAAACCCAAGGCCAAAAAAAAGCCATCATGACTCGGACTAGCATCAGGTAAAACTACAAATTAACTACCACCAGTTCATCATTCTTCGAATTGGTTATCTTGACATTCATTTGAGTCAGCCACGTGACTTCATTCTTGATTAAAAATTTTATTTCTATTTTAAATTTTTTATTTACAATTTTTCAGACAATTTTAAAACCATAATGATTATCTTACTAAAACAACCTAGAATAAGACCAACTATAAACAATTTAGTATCACTAAGGTACTCATCAAACAGGTTTGCAAACCTATATCAAAAACTAGAAAAACAGAGAGAAAGAACACCTCGAAAATCATCAAATTCAAAAAATCCATCCAAAATTGAACCAAAAAATTTTCAATTCACCCAAGGTACAGAACAAGCACAAACATCAATAAAACAAATCATATCTAAATTACCCAATCAAGTAGAAGTAGTAAATAAAAACACAATTTCCAAACTGTCGTTACTTGAAGTTCTTAAATCCATAAATTTATCACAACAAGGTTTGAAAATTTTAGAAACTTCGAAAATTAAAATCGTCCCTGTTTTAGAAATGGTTCAAAGTTATCGAGATGAATTAGCAAAACTTAAAGAAGCAGAACTCATCAAATCTGGATCATTCAAAGCTATGAAATCAATGAAGATGAAACTCGACAAGGAAAGGAAAAAAAGTAGTGATAAATTCATCGATATAAATTTTAAAATATCAATTAATGATTTGAAAACTCAAAAACGTAAAGAAATAGAACGAGCCTTGGAAAAATGGGATAAATTTCATATTTATATTAATGATAAATTGAAAAAAATGAGTGATGAAGAAATGGAAGTTGAAATAAAGAGAAAAGAAATGATAAAAGAGAAATTTGAATTGATTTTAAATGAATTGCAATGTAAATGGGAGTTGGAAGGGCAAAATGAGAGGAGTATAAGTTATAGTGTGATTTCAAATGTTCAAAAAAAGAAACAAGATACAACAATTAATGCAAATAGTAATAAAGAAGATTCAAGAAGAGAGAAGAAGATAAATAATGGAGAGAAAAAGGTTAAGAAGTCTGTTTCCGAAGATGAATTGGATAATTTGTATCTGTTTAAAATTGAAGATTAATTAGAATTCTTGTATATTGTAAATAGTTTAATATTGGGTTTAAATAAATGGAGTTTAATAGATATATTTTCATAAAATGATTGCTAAATAGTTAGTTGTATGAATTTTGAAGCATTAATTTCTTCGATTCTCACATTGGTCATCAATCAGTCTTTTTGCAACAGTGAATTACAAAGACTTCGAAGATATTAAATTCTATCGTTATTGCATCTCTGAATAAAAGTTTCATCTGACTGACGATTGTTTTTTTTTTTTTTTTTTTGTTTTCATTTTTTTTGCAACCGTTTCAACATGCCAATGACAAATTATCGTCTGCTATAAGAAATGAAATTTGCAACAACATCTGAACGAATCGGCAAAATGCGATTATACAATGGTAAAACGTCCCATCAATACTGTATTCTTCTTCATACGTTTGATAATATGAAGCGTGTAAAGTAATGAAATTTTATGCCATCGGTTAAACTAATCAAACAATATGAATGATCAACAAAGTAATTGGTTGCAAATTTCATTACTTCATGACTTTTAAACATAAACAACAGGTTAATCAAAATTGTCTGTAAATCATCAATAAACCTAAAATTGATGTCAGACATAAACAACTCTCTATTGTGGTAAAATTGATTACATTGAACGGCTCTAATTGCACATGAAAACAAAGATCATGGAGACAAGGAAGTCATAAACAAACAAACATTAGACTAATGCAAGATTTGGAAATAGGAAATAGAATAACATTTAAGTCTAAACTCGCAAATCATAATCATCTAGATTCACAACCACATCGATTGTCGAATTCAATGTCTTAGTCTTACATTTTTAAATACTAAACACCGAGTAAAACAAAAAAAAAATACCCCTTAAAATAAATGACACAAAATGTCATAGCCATGGGAATTCTACACCGAACGTTTGAACTCACTACACTGTACTTGCAACTGAGGAAAACGATAAACGAAGATAAACAATTTAACTTTACTTAATGTCACAGATTATCGCATTAGAAAAGCTTTATTCAATGGTTGCCAAAAAAATAATCTTGGATTTAAAATAAAGATTTAAATTCCGACTAAATCTTCATTGTACATTAAGGGTAACATCGGATTGAAAAGTCGAGAATATGATAAATATGACACAAAAAAAAGCTTAAAATTTGACTCGACAACTATCGTCAAAACAATGACAATCAAACTTGTTAAACAGATTGTAGCATGGTTTTGACAAGTATATTTAACGATGGTGTAGATGATTGAACTTTGTTTACGTGGGGCGACACTTTATTTTTTTGACTCTTACTTTGCCTCTGATTTTTTCTTTTTGGAACCTTTCCCAAAATGGAAGTAATTCCACCATATTTTTGCACCCAAAATCTATATCGTTAATAATTTGCACCCAATTACAACTTGAGTAAGAATATATAACGGCCTCAATAACCGCGTAGTAACATCTATCGAAACGTATCAATTAAGGCTCAAGGTGAAGAGTGGACAGATTGAATTGCTTTTGTAATAATTCTGACAATTGCGATTAACTACTTTGACAAATTAATAGGTTCGAGTAAATCAATCTGAAAGCAAGTGCCTAAGTTTATGTAAGAGAAGTAATCAAAACGCAATTTTATAGCTCAATCTTTATATAAATCTGGTTTGGAACCTCTTACAAATATCTCCTCTCCCAGTCTAACGCAACAAAACTCAACAAAACTTCTATTTACAAAACAACTTAACCTAGTAAAAGAGCAAAATTAACATAAAGCAATCAGGCTAATTTACTTATTAGAGTTTCTAAGATCTTAGGTTTAATGGAACTATCAATCTTTGAAATATGGAAACGGTTGTATTTTCCTATCTAAAAAGTTGCATATTTTTTTTTTTTTTTCTTTTACTGACATTAATATTAATTTGGTTGCAATGTTTTGCAATTTATTATAATCAGATTAAATAACATGTGTTATTATTATAAAGCAGTTGCAATTATAATGAATTATTAATTATCGGTTGGATACTCCCTATAATTGTTTATTATAAACCCATCAACGAGTTGTAGATATAATAAACACCGTAAAAGAAGATGATAAATTATGGTTGCAATAAACAACAACGACTGGCGATTATCAACTCTTTGAAAAAAGTAGTTGCAATTGTAGTATTGGAAACGGTTGCAATACAAAGTTAATTTTAAATACTCTACAGTAATTTTAAATCCAAAAGAATCAACTTTTTTAAATATATTAACCATAACCTATTTATCATTATAGACCAGCTATAACATTTCTAACCCATGTAAAATAATTATTAACTTTTTGCTCTTTAAATTAAATATAATAAATTTGTACTGTAAAACTTTCTACCAGATTTTTTTTTAAAAATTTTAAAAACCATCATAATCCATAAAATCATAATCAAATGAAATCCCATTTATAATTTCCCTAGTATTTATAATATAATTAAATGAAACTTTTTTGGGTACCTTATTTGATTTCGGACTTTGTTGTTCAGATTTTAATATTGATTTTAATTGAAATTGGTAGTATTCATCAATACTACTACAATCTTCTTTGATATCATCTTTAGAATTAACATCTTTATCCAATACTATCTCTTTACTTATGGTAGAACTAACACTTGAATTTTTCCTACTTGATTGTACTTCAGTAATTATAAAATCTTCATCATTAAAATCAGAATCTATTGAATCCATTGAACAATTATCCTGACTGAAAAATCTATAATTTTTAAAACCTTGTTTAATTTCCTCTTCTTCCTCTTCTTCTTCCTCTTCTTCTTCTTGTTCTAATTGTTCTTCTTTTATAAGCTTATTATTTATAATTTTTGGACCAAATAACCAAGTAATATCTGAATTTTTATCCCAATTTATACAAAGTGGATTTATTTCATCAAGATTATAAAGATTTTTATTTATTCTTCTCCATGATATATTTCTAAGTCTATTATAAAGGTATTCATTATTATGTTTGTAATCTGAAGACTTTAAATATTTTCTAAATTGAAATAAATTTATGTTGTTGTTTAAATAGTGATCTTTTCTATTAGACGGTGAATATTCAAGGTAGTCGATATTCTCCTGAAATTCTATTTCTAACAATGGAGATCCTATAATACTATCATCATAGTAAAAATACATTTCTTCAAGATGTGTTATAAAACTAACAAATTAATAACAAATTAATAACAATATAGATTTCGTGGTATTTATATATATTTTATAAAATTTCATGAGTAAATTGGCTCCAAAAAAAAATAAAAAAAAAAATAAAAAAAAAAAATAAAATAAAATAAAAAAAAAAAAAAAAAAAAAAAATTCATGAATTTTCTTATGCAGACATTTAAATTTGATTATAACTGACAGTTTGAACACTTCCACTGATAATTATTATTATGAGTTTCTTATTCTTCATATGTTTATTAATAGAAGTGAATGACTAACTAACCAAGCTTAAACACGAGCAAATAGTAAACAATATATATCTTGTGACTAATATCAGCTAATCAATAACACTTCTCTTATCTCGATTCGTTAAATTATTATATCTCTCTTTCATCGATCATCAAATTATTCTACAACCTGTGCTCAGTTTATTATAATTAGTTGATGAATTATTATATTTCTTATCGGATAAGTGTTAGATTTTGTGGAGAGACACAAAACATCGTCTATTTATATCGTCAAATTTTCAATGTGGTTAATCTTGATATTAGTTGATATTAGTTGATATTCTACAAACTTCTACTATAAGACGATTCTTTGTTCGTCATTCTTACATTGGTTGTTAGTGGATAGCAAACATAATACTCTCACCTCCACCTCCACATTCTAATTATACGTTGCAAATTTATTTTTCTCCCATGGTGTAACTTTGATTGATCTTGCTCTAATTTACTTGTTACACTAGAAGAGTAGAGTAATAATAACTGATAATAACTATTGTACTTCATTTGTTTTAGTCTATTGTCATTGAATTGAATTGTGGGGACTGATGGATGTTGGTACTAGAAATTTGGCGTAAAAGGCGTAGAATTTGTTAAATTAAGGCGGATTGCAGTTTTATGAAGTTCCATTTTTTTTTCTTTACAATTATGTGAAAAATGAAACAAAACAAAACAAAACTGAAACTGAAACAAGAATGAAACAACGAGTGATAAATAAAACATTGAACTAATGAAAACAGATGTTTCATATTCGCATATTGTTAATTTGTTCCGTGATAAATAAAATACTGAGCTAAAGAATTTCAGTGAAAAATGAAGCCAATCATAGTTTTGTTAATAATCAAAATTGTCTGCTCAAATTGTTTTGTTTACTTGATAATTCGCTAGTTTTTACTTTGACTTAGAGTTTAGATCTAAACTTTTGTGTAAAAAATGCCTTATTTATACTTTCTCTTATTCGATTAATTTTTGAAACAATAGAAAATAATATCACTTTGTTTGTTTTACGCATAGAATAAATTTGAAATAATAGTTCCCCCAAACGAATTAACAAAGAAAAGAGAAACACAACTTGAGGTATTAACAAAGAAAAGAGAAACACAACTAAGAAAATGACATTGAAAAATTTTTATACTTTATAGATATTGTAAAAAAGAAATGAACATGAACAATTGATTTCCGAAGTTAGCTAACTTCTTGATTGACCATTAATTTTTTAAGCCCGGTATAATTGACCAAAACGGTTAGAAAAGGTTTAGTCTTAAAGCATTATCTTATAATATTGTGAAATTTTTGTGCCATATACTCTTTTGTAATGTTTCCATATTGTTTTTAAGGCAGCAAAATGGGTTAAATCGAAAACAGTGAAACAATAGAACGAAAAAAAAAAAAAAACCGGATATTGATGGCATTATGGAAAATGGAAATCAACAAAAAAGAGATGATGAATGAAGCAGAATAAGATTATCGTATTGACCGCCTACGAGTTAAAGCAAAGATTAACCATTTAATACGAAGCATTTCCAATGGTTTGATTTACAACCAAGACTCCTTAAAGATAAACTAATTGAATTTTTGTCTGGGTTTAGATTATAATCGTTATGATCTTGAATGCATTTTAGTTTGCATTACTTTATATGCCTTAAATAATTTATCCGATTGTACTAATTAATTAACTCACTAAATGGTATGGACCTCCAATTCTACGTGCACCAATTTATCCATTAGTTAGTTTTTTCTCTTTCTCATTATGAACACTGAGTCTACATTTCTACATTACTGCATTGGGTAATATCACCGATATATCTCGTCTATTGAGGGGAGCATTTTCTTAGGTTGTCCGTGTTTGTTGTTCGTTTTGATTTGGAAAGTAAATGGATTTGAAATTCCTTGTGGAGCTTAATGTAGAGTTTACAAAATTGTTCAATGGCCTTTAATTTGATGAACGGTGATTTACAAGATTGGCAAATAATATCATTCAAATTGAATACGAAAAAAACAAGTAAAATTTTTCAGATCTAAATCAAAGTTTAAATTATTAAACTTTTTTATATGAAACGTCTAGAACTTATATAAAGTTGAATATAACAAATTAGACTGTTGATATTGAAGCTGAACGTTTGTTTTAAGTTATTATTAATTGATTGGATTTTTAGTAACTAAATTTCTATTGTTTGATTCTGGATGATATGAATTTACGAGTGATTTAGTATTCATTAACTTACAATTTGAATGACTAATGCGAGTAAAATTTCATAGCTATCTATTGAATGGCCCATTTATTGATTTGACAAATAATAGAGTAATGAGCGTAAAGTAATTTTTATCTGCTTCACAAAGTAGGAACTGATCAAATTATAGCACTCATTGATATAACAGAGATTTTGAAAGGATATGGATGACTATACCTTGTTAAGTGCAACCTGATTTGGTATGATTGCTGTGTTCAATGAAATATTCATGATAAGATGGTTCAAACTTTGAAACAAATTCTGTACGACTCATATTACCTTAGTCTTCATATTCAACTGTTGAGTTTACTATTCCGATTGAATACATGAATATCGAATACATGAATATCGAATACATGACTATGGAGTTATGAAAACAATTAAAGTATTGCATTAGACGTTGAGGGGTAAATTTTAGGGGGTAAGATTACAATAAAGTGCTACATCAACGAGATTACGAGATGAGCAACATTTTGCTGATCATAACAGTTGAAGCATCTGCATGATCATTGTATAGTTACGTTGTGAGGTTTTTGTAATTGAAATTCCATGTATTTTTTGTTGATACGACATGAGCTCCACTCTAAGGGCATAAGGGCATGCTTTCGCTTTAATGTTCACGCGAATCTGGGCAGAAATTTTAACTTATGCCAAGAGTTTATGGGCATGCTTCGTAAGAAAGGTAAAATCAATCAAAATAGATGATAGAGTCTAACAAGGCAGATCTAAGTCATCAATGGAATGTAATAATAACCATTATATGTAATTTCCAACTGTATAGAAACCTAACAACTCGTTCTCATTAGCCATACCTTCAAATTCTATATTATGCCAATCGATGCCACAGATATTTTTGATTACTAACAAAAAAAAAAAAGAATATATAAAATCATTAAATTTTTCAAGTTTGACATATTTATCAAAATATGCCTTCGTCAAACACCATTTTTCAAAATAATGAAGTATTAAGTAGTAATACAAACGCAATAGTATCTCCTATTAGATCAACAACTCCACCAATACGAAATAGTCCCAATAATCAACTGCTAAATCAATTAACTAATAAACCATCTTACTCCACAATCAATCAAGAAAATCATTCATCTTCTTCAAATTATACTGATCAAATTTCACAATTAAATTCAAATGTAGATATAGATACCATTAACAAGCATTTAATAAATCAAGAAGATAGTTTGAAATCACAAGGTGGTGATATAACAAGAAGAATTTACCATCAAATGGGAAATATAAATGATGATACAATACCTAAACGAAGAACAAGAAGTTCGTCATTTTCAACATATTTAGAAGAAGCAAGAAAAGGGTCATTTGCAAGTGATATAAATGTGCCTGGTGGTTTTCGTAGAGAATTTATTATTAATCAAAGTTTGAAGAAGAATCAACAACCTCCAAATTTTTTAACGAGAAATTTTATGGAATTTTTAAGTATCTATGGTCATTTTGCAGGTGAAGATTTTAACGATGAAGAAGAAGAAGAAGAAGAAGAAGAAGAAGACGAAGAAGAAGGTCAGTCTGTGAATGAAGAATACGAAGATGTGTTTGATGAAGAACTGAGTTTGTTGAGTAGGGGTATTCAACAAGTTCCAAAAAGAAGAGAACAACCAAAAGGTACTGCATCAGTATCAAAAACATTTTTTCTACTTTTCAAAAGTCTTGTTGGATCTGGAGTTTTATTTTTACCTAGGGCATTTTATAACGGTGGGATGTTGTTTTCAATTATAACTTTATCATTATTTGGTTTATTAACATTATTTTGTTATATTGTATTAATTAAATCAAAAAAAATTCTTAAATTAACATCATTTGGTGAATTGGGATATAAAACTTATGGAACACCATTAAAAATTTTCATTCTTATTTCAATTATAATTTCACAAATTGGGTTCGTTGCAACTTATATTTTATTCACTGCAGAAAATCTTATTGCATTTTTAAATCATGTATTTAACATTGATTGGTTAACAAATGGACAAATTATATTTTTCCAATGTCTTTTATTAATTCCATTGGTCTTGATTAGAAATTTGACTAAATTATCATTAGTTTCATTAATTTCATCAATATTTATAGTTATTGGATTATTAATCATATTTTATTTTTCAACTGCAAATATTTTAAATAATGGAATTGGAAAAAATATTGCAAATTTTAATTCAAATTCATGGACTATGTTAATTGGAGTAGCAGTTACAAGTTTTGAAGGAATTGGATTAATTTTACCTATTGAATCATCAATGGCTCAACCAGAAAAATTTCCACTTGTATTGTCAATTTCAATGTTTTTCATTACTTTAATATTTGTATCTATTGGTTCAATTGGTTATTTATCATTTGGAGATAAAATTAAATCAATTATAATTTTAAATTTACCACAATCAAATATTTCAGTACAATTAATACTTATATTATATTCAATTGCAGTATTTTTATCTGCTCCATTGCAATTATTTCCAGCTATAAAAATTGGAGAAAGTTTAATTTTTAATCAATCAAATAAAGATGGAAAATTGTATAGTGGTTCAGGTAAATATAATTCTCAAGTTAAATGGTTAAAGAATGGGTTGAGAGCAATTGTAGTTTGTATAATTAGTGGGTTAGCATTTTTAAATGCTGATAATATTGATAAATTTGTAAGTTTCAATGGTTGTTTTGCTTGTATTCCTTTAGTTTATATTTATCCACCATTGATTCATTTAAAAACAAGTGAAAAACAAGAAGCTAATAAAATTGATAGATATTTAAGAATAATAGATTATCTATTGATTGTTGTTGGAATTTTGGTTGTTATTTATTCAAGTTATCAAATTGTATTTTTAAATTAGACAATAAATATTGACATTTAGATTAGATTATATATAAATTATTTATTTTAAGATTTTTTAAACGAACTGAACTATGTCTAAGAACAATATAAATTTTAAAAAATGTCGGTATTACTTTAAGCTATGTAGATATTTCAAATGAACTTCACCTAATCTATCAATGATATTATTTCCTGTTCCAAGTGAGCCATATGAAAATTATTGTTTTTCATTAACTTTGAAATGAGTTTTATATACTAAGATCTTATTATTTCCTAATTGGGAGATCTGAAACGAGATCTGAAACAAGTAATTATATGCAGTCCCATATTTAAAAAAAATAAAATTAACTATGGAAATTGTTTGAAAAGTACATCATGTCTCAGAACCACAATTCAATGATCTTAACTGAAATATCAGCCAATTTGAAGCACTCTTGCTCAATTTGAACTGCAACGGCTGATTTTTGAACGTGTTCCGATCGATTTAATTCAAAATTAAATTATTAAAAACTCCGTCAAGATGCTTGCCGAGATCCTCTTCTTTACTTCACTTAAAGCTTCAGCCAATCTGGAGTCAGACTTTTGGTCGAAATCAGAGCACTCATGATACTTTCCTTTTACAAAATTTTCGACTTAAATTTCAATTTAGCTAAAACACTATTACTCAATATCGAATATAAAACATGAATTTATGCTATTTAACCTTTGTTTGATTGAAAGTTATGACCCTAAATGAAAAGATACACAGGTTTACATTATTTGAAAAATTTTTGTATGGCCAAAAAAGCCCGAAATGACAACTCAAAAAAAAAAAATATTTAAAATACAAAATTTGATACATGTTTAGCATATATTTAAGGGCTTCTGATTTTGTATAAATACTATTTTTATCCCGATAGAACGTGTTATTCCTGACATAGAAGCCAATACACTTAGTACAGAACGCTCTAAAGATAGCGCGAAGAAATACTTTTGTAGCACGAAACCATCGCTTCGAAAGTTGCATGAAAAAAATTGAATGTATGCAGTATTGCATTTCAATTCAAATTTTAATTGCTGAATAACTCCCTTAACATCCAAGCTGTGATTCTCAAAATTTATTCATTGAATTCTTAACTAATTAGGAGAACGCTGATGCTAGAAACATACACAATATCAGTATTTTAATCTATCAAAACAGTAAAAAGATCATGAGAAAATTAGACTTTGTTAAGTAAATTAAAAGAAAATAACTTCTAACTTTCAAATTAGGATCAAGCTAATTTTTCTCGTTTGAATGGTACCAAGAACAATAGGTTTTAAATGAATATTCAGCTTGTAGCTATCAATTGGAACTTATAAATAATACGGGCTTTTCTAATTTTTTTTTAAGTGCGAATATTCGGTATATTTTTTTTGTGTCAGGTATCGTATCTAGATTTGCAACCGACGTGCAACCGATCTCAGATTTAGATCGCGCTATTGCAATTATATTTTGAGCTTTTTGTATACGGTGCGGTTTTTATTAACTTCATAATAAAAAGTCACAGTTTTACTTTTATTATAAATGAGCATTATTGCTTTAATCTCAGCTAGTAAAACTAGACTTACTTTCATCATTGCATGTTGATCTCATAATTGTGTAAATTAAAAAAAAAAAAATTCAATGAACAATTACTTGTTGGAATCATGTGCGTCGATAAATCATGTCAAAGGGCAAATATCTTTTTAACTTGTGCATTCTATTGTTTGGATATATCTTGCTTGAATCTGACGTATTTTCGAATCGAAATATTCTGAAACCAATCTGGAAAGACAACTAAAACTGACATTGGATCAGTCTAATGAGAATAGTTATTGTTGATTGACTACAGTAGCATGCTATGATTCTGCATTGATTTTATCTGTATTCAACTGAAAAACTTAATGATGCGATGGAAAATTCAAGCTATACGGCTAAACGCATTCACAACCAAAGTATAGTACTTAAAGTGGAATGAATCATATCCACTCATTAAATACATATGGATACAGCTTTTAGTGTTTTTACGTAAAGATTTGATTGATATTTATTGATTTAAATATCGAATTGTATCACTATTATCGAATCTCTTTGAGCAGCACCTATTTAAAGGCTGATCGACAAAGCTAATAACAATATTTGAGTTCTCAGTGTTAGATATATATAAACAATATAGTAGAGGTCTTGATGCAAGAATGAAGTTTCTCGTAGTTTTTGTTCGAAGTACTTTTTGACCTCTTTAATGATTTAACTTCTATAATCGAATCCATGATTTTTCAAGGAAAACCACAATATCTTGATTAGCTGAAGATCGTAAAATCTCATTGATAATAACCAGAAAGGCAAATTCAGTTTTAAGATACTTGATCTCTGTCAGAGTGCTACTTTTTTGAATCGAATATGAAATTAAATATAGCTTCAAAATTGTTTAATTTGAGCTCTATCCAAAGAGAGCTACAAATTAACATAACACAATATTATTAAGTCTAAATATCCAGAGCTTTGATTTGCGTTGGGTGTCTGAAGGTTTAAAAGCTTCACTCGGAAGAATTTGAAACTCGAAAGAGCTACGTTGCGAACTTTCGCATATTAGACAAGTGATGACCAATCCCATCATACTAACAAGGTAGTTACAAGCTATTTATGATCGTTCTATCGTATAAATGATCATCAACTTATTCTATTCTATTTATAGACGTTTTACCGGTCATGATGATTCAAGAAAAAAAAAACATAAACATTACTAAACACGCTCCCTTCGTATAAATTTCAATAAATATCAATACACATGCCTAAACGTGCTTCGGAATCATCAACAATAGGATCTAATAAAGCTAAGAAGCAATTATCATGTCAAAGATGTCGAACAAGAAAAGTTAAATGTAATTATGAAATTCCATGTTCTCAATGTGTTAAAGCAGGAAAAGAATGTATTCAAGTTGCAAATGATTTAAGAAAAATTAGACCATCAGCAACTTATGTCAGTGAATTGGAAGGTAAATATGATCATTTATATAAAATTTTAATTGAATTAAAACAACGCGAATCAATTGAAGCTAAAGCAAATTTTTTAAATTCAATTGATTTTGATTCAATTCAAGCTCCTAAACATGATACAGTAATTGAACATCATGATGATATAGAAGAAAATAGTGCATTTTATGGTCCAACTTCAGTTTATGATGATCATATAATTACAAACAATTCCAATTCAGTTAAAAAGGATAAAGAAGTTAATGAAATTAATATATTAAATAAAGATAAAGATGTTTTAAATTGTTTACAGTTATTTTTCACTTGGCAGTATCCTGATCATAATATGTTTATATTTAGAGAAGCATTTTTAATTGACTTTTTTGATCCAAAACCAACGATGTTGTATTGTTCAAAAGTTTTAATATTAAGTATTTGTGCCTTGGGTGCAAGAATGTCTGATGATGAAAAAGTTTACAAGAAATCCAAGCAGTATTACAATGAGTCGAAAAAGATTTTGTTATCTACATTTAGTCAACCTTCAATTACAAGTTTACAAAGTTATATGTTATTAGCATTTTTTGATATTTGTAATGGACTAAATTCAAGTGGTTGGATGTTATCCGGAAATGCAATGAGAATGGGATTTGATTTAGGTTTCCAATTAAATCCAGAAGTCTGGTTTGTTGAATCAAAAGGTAATTTAAGTAAATTAGATGTTGATATTAGATCAAGAATTTATTGGGGATGTTATATGGCTGATCATTTTATTAGTTTATTATTAGGGCGTCCATCGCTTTTAAAGATTTCTGATGCTTCAATACCTGAAACAAATGATTTACCAGATTTAGAATGGATTGATGATTTTACATACGAAGGTCATTTAAAAAATAAAGGGTTGGAAAAGCCTAAATCAAATATATCGTATATATCTGATCCTTTAAAAAAGATCATAAATTTAATTAATATATCGGACAACATGTTGAATGATATTTTTACAAAATCCGAAACTATCGATGATGATGATTTAAATTTAGAATCAAGATTGGAAAAATTATCGGAATATAATACACAAATTATGCATTGGAAAGATACATTACCTCATGATTTACAATGGGATAGAAAGAAATTGAGTGCTACTGGTGATAATCCAACTTATTCAGGTATACGATATTACTATTATATTTTAATATTATGTTTAAATCGACCATTTGTTGGAATTGATCATGAAAAAAATAAATATTCACCATTGTTGATATGCCAAAATGCTATTGATGATTTATACCAATCAATTAATAAATTCCAATCAGAGCATGGTTATAAAACAGTTTCAATTTTCATTGTTTATTCATCAATTTTATCGATATCAATAATATTATTAACTAATAAACTGATAAAATTGGAAAGTGAAGAAAAAGAAAGATTACAATTTTTTATGGGTGTTTTACAGGGATGTTCAAAAACATGGAAGTTGGCTGAAAAATCATATAATTTAATCAAGGATAAACTTAGACATAGAAACGATGCTGGAGAATTACTTGAACCAAGTGTCAAAATTGAAACGCCAAAATCAACTGATTTAAATTCAGTAGATTCAATCAATGCAGAGATTTTATTTGATGAAAATTTGGATTTCTTAGGTGGACCACCAGTTTTAATGACGTCAGATTTATTTAATGAAGATTGGGAAGCTTTATTTCCTGATTATATATTTCATTCTAAAAATTAATATAAATTAACCATCATTAGTTTCTGATGATTTTTCTGCTTGTTTAACCAAATTTTCTGGTGCATCTAACATTTCCATCATAACTTCAACTAATCTTATTTTAGTATTTTTTGAAAATTCTTCATCAGCAAATAATTTTTTAATTTCTCCAACATTGTTAACTCTTAATGATTCAAAATTTTCAGCTTTGAATAATTTTAATAAATCGGTATGTTCCCATGATTGAATATCATTATATGAAGCATGTAAGCCATGAATTAATCTTTCAATTGTAAAACCTGAATTGTTTATAACAAAGATGTAAATATTATTTTTATGTCTAACCATTGTTGATAATTCTTGAACAGTTAATTGTAATGAACCATCACCAACAAATAATATAACTCTTCTTGATTTATCAACTTCTTCAGCTGCAATAACTGCACCAGCAGCTGCTCCAACTGAATAACCAATAGAACCCCATAAAACTTGTGAAATACCAATTGTATTTTTTGGGAATTTTGTTTGAATTATACCGAAATTTGAAGTACCAGTTTCAGTTATGATAACATCACCTTCTTTTAACCAACCACCTAAATTAGTCCATAACCAAGCTTGAGTAATTGTTTCGTCATCTTTTAATTGTACTGGTTCAAATTCATCAGTTTTAATGACCGGTTTTTCATTCTTTTCAACAATTTCTTTTAATTTTGGTGATTCAACTAATTTACCTAATAATTCCTTCATTCTAATTTTTGGATATTGAGCTGATTTAATTTTAGTATAATCTGAATGGAATTCAACAACTTTTGAAGTATCTAATGAATATGAAAATGCACCAGTATTGAAATCTGATAAAACAGCACCTAAAGATAGAACTAAATCCGATGATTCAACTAAATCTTTAACTTGTGGATATGATAAATCACCAACATAACAACCAATAAATCTTGGATCACTTTCATCAATATCTCTTGAACCTTTAGCCATTGGTGTAACAGCAAATCTAAAATTTGATAATTCAATTAATTTACTTGCTTCATAAGTTGCATTATGTCTATTACAACATGCATCAACTATAATGACTGGACTTTTAGATTTTGCAAGTAAATCAATTATAGTATCTAAAACTTCTTCTTGTATCTGTTTATTATTTGGTGGTGGAGTTAAATTTAATGGTTTATCTAATTTTGATTTTGGAACTTTTGAATTGACCAAATTTGATGGGAAAGCTAAATAAGTTGGTCTTTGATTAACAAAAGCTGATTCAATAACTCTATCAATTTCTTCACATGCAGTATTGATATCTGATAATGCAGCAGTTGTTTCTGATATAAATTGGGAGATTTTTTGAAAAACTGTAAAATCACCATTTCCTAAAGTATGATGTAATAATAATTCTTGCTTTTGTGCTTCAATTGATGGAATACCAACAATATGAACCAAACCAATATGTTCTGAATAAGCACCAGCAATTGCATTAACTGCTGATAATTCACCAACACCAAAAGTTGTAATAACAGCTCCAATTGCAGAACCAGAAGCTGAAAATCCATTTTTAACTCTTGAATAACCATCAGCTGAATAACCAGCATTTAATTCATTAACACTTCCAACCCATTTCATACCTTCAACTTCATCAATGTGGTCTAATAATGCTAAATTGAAATCCCCAGGGACTCCGAAAACATTTTTAACATCAACTGGTTTTTGATTTAATCTTTTAAATAAATAAGTACCTAAAGTAATTTGATCTGAATTTGAATTTGAATTTGACATTGAATATATAATAATGATGATAAATGGAAATTGGAAAATTAAGGGGTTTTATGTAATTACTGTTAACTGCGAAATTAGTAATTGCTATTAAATCGAGGAAAGCAAACATCCGAAAATGGCATTTGAACAATACAATAGATTAATTGGTTAGTATATTTTGATTTACTTATACATTTGACTATATCATACAAAGTGATCTGATTTGTAGCTTGCAATTGGAATGATTTTCAGTTTTCGGTGTTCAAACTTTAGTTGACTTTATTACTTTTTTTTTTCGGAGATTACCAATTACCGTCTAGAAGCTAAAAATTAGACGACATGCATATTTCGATTTATATAACTGCATAGAAGAAATAATTGAGTAAATTTACGTCAACAGAAAAAACCCCTTATAACGTATTCAAAGATGAATGAAAATCAAGAAACTACAACAGATACAACTACAAATCCAGCTCCAAATGGAAAATACACATGGAAAGTAGCTTTACTTTATTCATTCAATGCGTTAGCTTTGGGATCAATATTCACAGTTTTAATAGTTGCTAATTTAATTGGAATACAAGGTCATGGTAAAATCTGGCCAATTGTTGTTAGATTTGCTATCTTTCCTGCGCTTTTGATGTGTAACTTAGTAATATGTCCTGTGATTTTTATTATTTATGAAATGATCAACGAGAAAAAATGGAATAATAGATATTGGATTCCTATTGGTATATTATTTGTTGATCTTCATTTACTTGTTCCTTTATATCCTGTTGTCAATGATATTATGTTCAATGACCCACATGCATTTCGATTGAGATGGTGGTTTATTTATCATCATGTTATTACTATATTTTCATTTCTTTACCATTATAGAAAGGCTAAAATAACAGAAGAAGACGCCTAAGAAGCTAAAGAAGTCAAAAAATATGAGGAAGATGCTAAAGAAGAAAAAGAAGCTTTAATTGAAGTATAAATTGATTTTATAGAGTATTTGCAGAATTATATACTGAAGGATAATTCGAAAACTTGCGACTTGACCTTTTACTCATTTTGAGGGTATTGGTCAAATTAACTCGAAACTTCAAATATACCAGATTGACTTGTCTCTCCAATTATTCTTATTGTGTAACCATGGTTTATGCCCCACAGTCGACGTAAATCTTTAAGACCTTTTTAATTAGTTCAGAGTTACGAGCTTAGACTGAATAGTCAGTCAACTTCCACTTCCACGTAGGGCAAAGTGAAACGTTATAAATGAAACTTACCAACTCATTCTTTTTTCAATTTATATAACTGACATAGAAGAAATTAAGTAAATTTACGACATCAGGTATGGAAAATTGTTCTTCGGCCGAAAATTGTAGTAAAGTATGCCATGAAGTAAAAGGAATGCAGTAACACTCTAGCTTCAAAGTGCTTTTGATATAATTCTGCAGCCAATTGAGAACTCAATTTAATTCTGACTTAAAGAATTCATTTTGATACACATTGCACTTCCTAAACAGTAGGTATGATATCATTTCTCGATTCACTAACTGCGTAAATGGAAAAACGGTTGCCATTTGAAGCGGTACAAATCTCCTTTCTTCATTATTATTTTCCAAATTATCTATTTTTTAAAAAACGTGGAAAATATTCAAAAAACCGTTAAAATCTATAAACAATAGATTTGAGCAAAGAAATCGAAATCAAGCCTCAAATTTCCATCCAAGTAGTTGATTTACAAGAAATTTACTTAACTATATGCTTTGATGTTAAAAAAATATAAAATAATAAAAAAGTAAAAAAATATATGATTCTACCCAGGCTCGAACTGGGGACCTAATGCGTGTTAAGCATTCGATATAAACCAACTAATCCATAGAACCAATTGCTGACAAAACTACCAAATGTTGATTTGTTAGAAGTTGAAAAATTGCGGTTTATTCAGTAAAATCATACGCATCACGAGAGCCGACATTATCCATACCATTTCCATTCAGGTTTTTATTTCAGTTAGTAATTGCGTGTCTCGTATAGGTACTAATAGTTTAGGAATGCTATGCATAATGAGAAATAGCTAGTACAAGTCAATAAATAGTATGTTTTGCGTTTTTTTTCAATACGCAGCTCTAGCATAAAAATCGCGCATATTGCGCTTTCCATGATTATATGACTATCACCACTTAGTTCTTGAAACTAGCTTAAAACATTTCAACAGTATTCACTAAATCTGTATTACCATTTCAAACTTATTTTTTGTTAATCAAATTAGTTTTGTAATAATATTAGCATTTATATATTAATCTATTCAGTCCATATTGAATCATCAACAAAATAAATCCAACAGAATCCATTCCAACTACTAATTACACCAATTCCACAATAAACACTATAAATCATTAAATTTAAAAATTCAAAATTTTGTAAAATAATATATTTTCCTTTTAATAAATCAATTAAACTTGTTATTGTTATGATTGGAATAAATAACAAAATATAACCATTAACCATTCTATCTAATATTATACCATCATTACTTTCAGCTTTCTTTGGTAATCTTGCAACTTTTTTAAAATTGAAATAAAATATAATATACCATAATAAAGTATATACTTTTTTTAATAGCCATTCATTACTTGTAAAAATTAATGGGAATAATGAACCATAACCACAACAAACTAATAAATTATAAGGACTTAATAATTTTCTATCTCTTGTTACTAATAAAGTCATTGGGAAAATTACTAATAATATGGCCTTTTCATGAACATGCCAACCAAATAAAAATGATGCGTATCCACATAATGTCATTGCACCTAAAAATCTTCTAAATGTAGGTTGAATAAATAATGGAATTAATGCCATTATTTGATAAAATAAAGTTAATAAAAATGTCAATTTTGGTGTAATATTTGGTAAAATGAAAAATTCAATATCTCCAACAATACCTCTTGTTGAAGTTTGTAATAATTTTGAATCACTTAATAATAATGCATTAAATTTGAATAATTTTTGTAATGGGAATCTAGTAATTGGAATTCTTTTATAAATCTGTATCAATACTCTATCTGTAAATGAATAAATTGCCCACATATTAGGTGCCCAATAAGCATGAGTTAATCCACGACTAAATGGAAATAATCTACCAAATAATTCAGGAAGGACATTATAAAATGGTGCAAATGCAATAGTAAACACCAATAAAACTATCGATCCCAATTTAATCAAATTCATCCACTGAACATAATTGAATACATTCACAATAAAGCTCTTTTTCTTATTCCAATGAAATTTCAAACAATAACCTCTCAATAAAAATACGAAAACAGCAGGTGCTAAATATAAATAAATATGTTTAAAACATAATAAAACAGCAAACCAAAATCCACATAATAGATATCTTTTCAATCTTGCACTATTTATACAAAATAATAAAATACCATACATCATTCCATTATATTGAAAATGAACATGATCAATAATTAATAAACCAGGTGATAACGCCAAACTAGCAGTAGCAACATACATTCTTCTTCTTAATTCATGAGTTTTTGAAGTATCAATTATCCATTGTAATGCAATAAATAAAATCATTTCACTAAGTATGACAGTAAATCTTTGAAAATAAATCGTAGGTAATCCATAATTTCCAACTTCAACAATATCTAAACACCCATCATTGGCAACAAATGAAGGAACAAATAATGATAAGATATACTCAAAATATGCAAAGAATGGAGGGTAATCTAATGTCCATTGTGAAGTATTTTCAATATACCATTTTGAAATAGGAAGTTTATTAGTTATAGCTAACCAATTTCTATGTACATCAAAATCAGTAGAATGATAACCAATTGATATGAGAATCTTTAATATTAATGATACTATCCATATGTTTAATAATGAATAATGTTTAGTCTCTGTTATGGCCACATTGGCCATTTTTGAATAAATATTTTGGTTCCTTTTTCAAACGCGAAAATTAAATTATCAACAAATTTGTTACAAGGAAATAAGTTGAAGAAAATTTGGTACGATATTTTTGATTGAGATGATATATAACAGAGTAGAAAGAGTTTTTTAAGTTGTTTGTGATATGGTGCTTACCGAGATACATGGATCCAGCAAAGAAATGTAGAATTCAAGCGAAAAATGTAAATCGTTCAAATCTTGGGTTTGAAACATTTTCACAAAATAAAACTAGTAGCAGTTGACAAGGTAAGGTCATATGAATAGGTAAAGTCAGCTGGATACAATGAGCTAGTTTACACTGCTTCAATTTGGTTTATTCTGCCATAATTTAGCTGAAAATCGAGTGAGGGCTCAAAATTTAATGATGAGTATTTTTAAGCGAAATCCTCTTTAACAAAAAGCCTTGCTAGCTCAATGGTAGAGCGTGAGACTTTTAATCTCAAGGCTGCGGGTTCGAGCCCCGCGTAGGGCTGTCGTTTAAACTATTTGAAAGTAGATTTTTTTTTTCTCTTACATCTAGTTCGAATGCTGGAAATTTTACCCTAAAAGTTTTTTATATCTTTCCAACTCAGTTTCCAGCCTAAATATCTATAGTATTGGATACTCATTTATGATTACATACCAATGGAGAATAGTTGATTAGATCAAACGCAATGTGTGTGCTCTTTTTATTAAGTTTTTAAATGTTAAGGGGTAATTGTCGCAGCTCAAATTTTGCAACCATTTTTCTACCCCCCTAAAAGCTCAAAACTATACTATACCAACGACCAACCTTGCATTATGTCGTATTAAAGACTCGATTGTAATCAACTATTAAAAGCGTAATGGGATAAATTAAATGCTATTTGCATGCTTGTTTTGAGCTGATTAAGTTAAGGAGTAATCATTAAGGGCTAATCAAAAATAGAGCTTTAAGTTATCACCCATTTATTTATAACGGAGCGAGTATATAATCTTGAGGTCAAATATTAATAAAGAGACCAAATAGGTTGCTTAGATTATTTTTTGCAAAATTGTAAAGCCATTGCTAAGGCCAGAATGGTTGCATTTTTTATTTTGCCACCAGTCGCAGTTTTTTTTGCAATGCTACTGGATAATCGTCTAATATAGTACAAAGATCAGTTAGATTTGTATAGAAATTCGAACTATCTCTTTCAAGAGCTAAAGCTTGCAATCAATTGTATATTAACTCTATCCTACTTCTTTCCAAACAATCCTCTTCCAATTTTACCAAAAATGATAATACCACAAAAAAAGAAACTACCAATCCATAACCATAAAGCAATTAAATCATCAGTTGTATAATTTGAATATTGTACAATAAAATGATAATTTTCCCAATAAATTAAAACACAAGCTAAAAATGAAACAATAAATGAACTTAAAAATCCTGAAATTGTTCCATCTAATAACAACCATAAACCAGGATTAATTAATGACCAAATAATTGAAACTTGTAAAAAAGAAGTCCATTCAATTTTACGAATAGCATATGAAATACCTAAAAATGTAATACATGATCTAATTAAATCATTAAATAAATTTGAATAACTTGTTGATGAACCAGGATGTGGATTTGATGATAATAATCTTTTTGTTAAAAATTTTGGTAATATTCTATCCATAATTGGATGTAATGAAGCCATCAATAAACCTTGTAAAGTTAAAGCTAAAATCGAATCTAAAGTTTGACCAAATTCATTATCGATTTTAGTATAATTAGATATTTTAAATTTTGAAACAAAGCCATATAAGAAAAAATGAGTTATTGTTAAAGGGAAATTAACTAATTGATTTTCATTAAAATGATTATAATTTATATGTTTTGTAATTTCATTGTATAAAAATGCAGAACTAGATAAAAAGAATAATTTGATAATAAATGGAAACCCTGTTGTTGGTTCAGGTTGATTAATTTTGGTGGTTTTCTTTTCTTTTGATTTTGTTGGACCTATATCTATTTCTAATTCTGAAGTATCATCAATATCTTTATTTAAATTAACAAATGAATCATTTTTATAAATACCAAATAATTCAGGTTGAGTTAAATTTAAGATTGAATCAGTTTTTTCCATTTTACCATTAACTGGAGTTGAAGTACCACTTTGAGAAGGAGACGGGGATGGCGAAATTGATCTTGCATTGAGTAAATTTTGGATATTTGTGTTTGAAATTGCAGCTTTTCTTAAATCAGACATTATGATTGACTTTGGTTTACGGTATGTTTAGAGAACTGTATCAAATTTGAGTAATTTATTGAATACAATTGGTATCAGTTGTTGATTAATTAAATTCCTATTTTCGTAAAAAATGATTATTTTTTTTTTTTTTTTTTTTTTTCTGTTTGTTTTGTTTCAAATTGTTTTGCCATGGAGGAATCGTCTAATACGAATTCTAGACCACGAAGAAAAACTGCTACTACTAGCTTAACTAATGAAGATGCTACAATGGATGATACTTACGATGACGAGGCTGTTAATCAATTTATAAATGATATACAATTGGATGATTATGATGATGATGAAGATGAATATGTTTTCGAGGATGATGATGATGAATTATTTGAGGATGAATCAGAAGAAGATGATTATGATGAAAATTATAATCTAAAAGATGAATTAAAATCAGCTAGTGGTATTAAAACAAGAAATAGAAGGGAAAAATTACCAATAAATTCAAAAAATTATTATAAACGTAAAATGACAAAAGCTGATAATAGAGAATTAGATCCGGAAGTTCGTCATAATTTATCTAAAGCTCACGAAGCCTTTGTTAGAAACGATTTACAAGTTGCACAAAATTTATACCTTGAAGTTATTAAAAAAGATCCAAAAAATTTTAGTGCTTATAAAACTTTGGGTGACATTTTACAAAGACAAGGTAAATTAGGTGATTGTTGTAATTATTGGTTATTAGCTGCAAATTTACATCCTTGGGATTTTGAATTTTGGGGTCAAGTTGCTGAATTAAGTGGTGAACTAGGTCATATTGATCAAGCTATATATTGTTATAATAGAGCAATTTCAAGTGATATAAAAAGAAGTGCTCCTTATATAATAGAAAGAGCATTGATATATAAAGAAAGAAAACAATATGGGAAGGCACTAGATGGTTTTCAAAAAGTACGTCAAGCATTCCCACAAGATTCAAATATAGTCCGACACCTAGCTAGTGTTTATTCTGAACAAAAAAGATTGAATGATGCTATAAATTTATATATGAAAATATTAGATAATAATATTCATCCTGAAAAGACTACTGATATATATCCAAAATTTGATTGGGCTGAATTAAATATTTTAATAGAACTTTACATACAACATCATTCTTACAGAACAGGTTTAACAGTTTTAAAGCTAGCTACAAGATGGATACAAGGTAGAACAGATGAAACATTTTGGGATGATAATGATGATTTAGAATTTGATAAAGTTAAAAGACCTGAAAAATTGAAAATTGAAAAACTGAAAAAATTGAATAAAAATGCTGCATTGAAAAAACCCTTTGAGTTACCAATTGATATAAGGTTCAAATTAGGATGCTTAAGAATGGGTGCTGGTGATAAAGAATTGGCTTTGTCCCATTTTAAATATTTGTTAGCTGATGATCAAAATCAAATTGAAGATTTACATTTTGAAGCAGGTAAAGTATTAGAAGAAAATGGTTATTATGAAGATGCATTGGAATATTTCACTAAATCTATTGCTTCTGAAGAATTTGGCAATAATCCGGAACTTATATACTTGTTAGGTAGATGTTTATATGAAGTTGGTGATTATGCACAAGCTAAAAAAGCTTATGAAACATTATTACATGATGATCCTGAAAATTTAGATTATAAGCTAGCATTAGCTGAAACTATATATTATTTGGGTGATGATGAAAGAGCACAAGAATTGATACGTGAAGTTCAAACACAAAATCAAAAGGAAAAGAAGCTTGAGGTTGATGAAGAGGAAGAAGAGGAAGAATTTACACCAGATACACAACAAGCATTAATTAAAAGTCAATATAAACCTAGCACTTCAAGAAAGAATAAATTAACAGAACAAGAAAAAGAAGAAATTGAAGCTAATGCAACTAGAAGAGTTTTAGAAAAATATCATCGTATGGAAAAATTTAAAGAAGCAGTGAATGCTGGTGATAAAACTGCAGCTTTAGCTTGGTTACAATTGGGTAAACAATTGATTGAAATGTTTGCCAATGTAAAAGCATTTTTCCCAAAAGATAAAAATAAAGAATTTAAAGGTATTTTAAGACATTATAAAAGTATAGATAATATAGATGAAAAATTAGCAAGAGCATATAATTTATTAGATGGTATTGTTGTTGAAGAGAATTATTCAAAGCATACATTAACTACAAAAACCGAATATCGAGGATTATCATATGATCAATGGTTTGATATTTTTGCTGAATATGCTATATTAACTGCAACCTATGATGACAATGTGTCACATGCCGATGAAGTTTTATCAAGTGCATTGAATGTTATTATATTTGTTCAATCAAAAGTTAAAGAATCTACATTAAGGGTACTTAAAATATTACTTGGGATCATGAATAAAGATTTTTCAGAAACAATTGCAACAGTAATTAGAACATTTTTGTTATCGAATCAATTTTCTCCATTTATTTGTAAATTTTTCATGTGGTGTTTTGGTTCAGGAATTAAAGCATGGGAAGTATTTGCAAATTATAATCATCAAAAATATTTCCTCAGACAATTAAAATCATATGATTCAATAGTTAAAAATGAACATATTAATGGTCAAGCGCAAATTACAACTGATTTATCAGGTATAAAATTAGGTAATTGTCATCCGGATTTAGTTTATATATATGCAAATTTACTTGGTGGTAGTAGATCATATAATTCATCGGTATTTCATTTATATCGTGCATATATTGATTATGATAAGGATCCAATGATTTGTTTAGTTTTGGGATTAGCTCATGTTCACAGATCAATGCAAAGATTAAGTGAAAATAGACATATGCAATTATTACAAGGTATTAGTTATTTATTGGAATATAAAGAAACAAGAGAAACTAATGCAACTATATATGAAATACAAGAAGTTGAATATAATTTTGGTAGATTATTTCATATGATTGGATTAACTACATTGGCTGTACGTCATTATAATAAAGTTTTAGAAATGAAAGATAAGATAGAAGATGTAGATTATGATTTAAGTTGGGAAGCAGCTTATAATTTAACATTGATATATAATATCAATGGTAATCCCAAATTAGCAAGGGATATAACAGAAGAGTATTTGGTATTTGATTGACTTTATAGTGTTTTAATGGGTGTAATATTTTAATATATGGTTAATTAATGGGTATAAATTTGTTTCAGAAAAAAAAAAAAAAAAAAAATATAAATCTCTAATGGTAAGAGTTAAACATAGATATATACTATTTGAAATATTATATCCACCAACAACTAATGAAAGAGTAACTCCAAGAGAAGATTTTGAAGCATTTTCGACAGCTGAACAAAATGCTTTATTCACATTGCATCAAAGAGCTCCATCTACAATAAATCATAAATCAATTATGAATTCAATACGAAGAAGTTTACAAGATCATTATGGTGATGTAGGTGCCGGATCAGCTGGTATGTTAATGAATTTAAAATATTTTTCAAATAAAACATCAACGGGGATAATACGATGTGGTAGAGCACAATCAGATACAATTATAGGAGCAATGACATTAATTGAAAGAATTGATAATTGTTATTTAACTTTTCAAACATTACATGTAAGTGGTACTATTAAAAAATGTGAAGAATATTCAATTACTAGAACTAAGCAAATTATGTGTCGAATTGGTAAATGGCAAAATGAGCAAGAATATATTCATGAATTTGAACAAATTTCAGCTGATGAAGATGAAATTGAAGTTGGTGATGATGATAATGAATAAAATCTGTCAATGAAGGAATTCATATTATATTTGGAGAATTCTGGTACATATCCAATCACTGCTGTTAATTCATTATTTGGTAATGTTGTCATATTAAGAATTGTATTATAAACAACACCAGTATTCAGACAAAAATACATTTCTTTAAATGTAAAAGATGAATTTGAGTCTGCAATTTTACCTAGATTTGAAATTGTCAAGGTAAATCTATCAACTTTACCAATTTTAGCTTTAAACCAATCCCATAAATTGATGTATTGAAGCAATCCAATTAATTTAAAAGAGTACCTGGATTTAATATTTTGAATTAGGGTCTTATGGAACAATTTCATGCTTTCCAAAGTGTTTATAATTGGTTTTAATATAATATTATCTCCACATACCATAGAACCATATCTAAAATTTCTAATATCCTCAGAATAATATCTTCTACCGTTAATAGCGACTAGTGAAGCAGTAGAATAAGGACCATTTCCAATCTCTTTAAATACAGTCTCTTCTAAAGCTTGGATGAATAAAACATCGAAATATGAAGTCAATGTAATTCCATTTGATCGACAAAATTTTGTAATTTCTTCAACTTGCTCTGGAGTATACTTCAAAAACTTAAATTTTGTAGAAAGAACATGATTTACTGGTTTAGTAGTCTGGAATACCGGTGGATCAACTGATGGATTAAACAAGCTGGATAATTTAGAATGTATCGGGATTGAGCTTAAATAACTATTTACAATTTGTAAATATGATGGATAGTATAAATCAGTGATACTTTCAGCAGCAGGTTCAATATCTGGTAATGAATAACCATCTTTTCCATAATTAAACAACTCACTAATAAATTTATCATCACTTGCAAGACTGAACTCTTTGGCCAAATCTTTTTGAAATTGTACACCAGATAAACCATCAAAATGAGAATGGTCTACATAGACACAGACTACTTGGTCTCCATTACTCTCTTCAAATATGATAATTCTCCATAATGGTAAATTTTCATTCATAGTCAACGTATAAGAATTTACTCTTTCCATAACCTTTTCATTAAACTTATCAATTTTGGTATATTTTACCACATCATCAAATTGAACAGTGTTAATGATTTTAAGTATCCAATCATTACCATTTGTCTTACTGCTTTCTTCATCACTTGTTTTGAAAAAATTATGCAATAACCAATTATTCTTCAATATAAATGCACGTAAGGCATTTGATAATAAGTTTCTGGAGATATATTGATTATACTTCACAGTTATACTGAAATTAGTCAGATATCCTTCTGTAAATCTACATATATAGTACCTTTCATTGAAATCTACTTTTCTAATATGTCTAGGTGAAATCATAATGACCCAAGGAAAGAAAGAATTTAGTTGCAAATTTTTTAGCGGTTAAACGGTTTAAATAGAAAATAAGATTGGAGTTGCCGTTCCATAATAAATGCGAGATCGTTTATTTAATAATACGAGATATACAGATCAACTTTTGCGGAACAAAAATATATTCACGCGCCAGCTGATCAGGATGGAATTAAACTTGGTAATGATGATGAAAAATAAAACCTGTCAACGAAGTCTTCCATGTTGTATTTGGAGAGTTCTGGTACATATCCAATAACAGCAGTCAATTCATTATTTGGTAATGTAGTCATATTGAGGATAGTATTGAAGACTACGCTAGTATTCAGACAAAAATACATTTCTTTGAATGTAAACGTTGAGTTTGAATCTGCAATTTTACCCAAGTTTGAGATTGTCATTGTGAATCTATCAACTTTACCAATTTTAAATTTGAACCAATCCCAAATATTAACATATTGTAGCAATCCAATTAATTTAAAAGAGTACCTGGATTTAATATTTTGAATTAGGGTCTTATGGAACAATTTCATGCTTTCCAAAGTGTTTAAAATTGGTTTTAATATAATTTCATCTCCACACACCATTGAACCATATTTGAAATTCTTTATATCATCAGAGTAATATCTTCTACCATTTATAGCAACTAATGAAGAAGTAGAATATGGACCATTTCCAATTTCTTTAAATACAGTCTCTTCTAAAGCTTGGAGGAATAAGACGTCAAAATATGAAGTTAATGTAATTCCATTTGCTCTACAAAATTTAGTAATTTCTTCAACTTGTTGTGGAGTATATCTTAAAAACTTGTACTTTGAGCTGAGATTATGATCAATTGGTTTTGTAGTTTGAAATACCGGTGGATTAACTGATGAAGCAAATAAACCAGACATTAATGGAATTGAGCTCAAATAATTCTTCATTATTTGCAAATACGAGGGATAATATAAATCAGTGATACTTTCGACAGAAGGTTCAATATCAGGTAATGATTCACCATCTTTCTCATAACTAAACAACTCACTAATGAACTTATCATCACTTGCAGTACTTAGCTCCTTAGATAAGTCTTTTTGAAATTGTACACCTGATAAACCATCAAAATGTGAATGATCAACATAAACACAAACTACTTGATCCCCATTATTCTCTTCAAACATAATGATTCTCCATAATGGTAAATTTTCATTCATAGTCAATATATAAGAATCTACTCGTTCCATTATACTTTCATTAAATTCATCAATTTTTTCATATTTTACAACATCGTCAAATTGAACATTATCAATAATCTTAACAACCCAATTATGACCATTTGTTTTAGCACTGTCTTGATCATCAATTCTAAAAAAATTATGCAATAACCAACTATTTTTCAATATGAATGAACGCAAGGCATTTGAAAGTAAATTTTTCGAAATGTATTGATTGTATTTAACTGTATTACTAAAATTAGTTGCATAAGCTTCAGTACATTGACAGATGTAGAATCTTTCATTAAAATCTGCTTTTCTGGTATGTCTAGGTGAAATCATAATGAGTTAAACAAGTTAAAGAAAAATAGTTGCAAAATTTTTAGCGGTTAAACGCTTTAAATACATTTATTTAATAATAAATATTATATTAAAGTTGTTATTTCAAAATAAGACAGCTTTGATCGAGACATGGGCGTGATTTTATTCCAGATATAGAAATTCAACCCTTTCATAAACTATACTTGTTTCAGACACCTTTGCAGCTTCTCACAGGAAACAACAATAAATCTGGAGATAAATAGCACTAGACCTCATTTTGTAACATCTAAATACTTGATCAGACTTACTTGATCTCAAACATATTTTAGATGACGCTTCTAAAACTCCGTAATTGTTATGAAAAGTTTGCAAAAATTTGTTTCAGATTCTTTTGCAACCTTTCAATTTAATGTCACAAAAAGTATTGTAAGCGCATAATTATTCATGTCGCATATAATCGAATATGAAACTAATGAAAACTGAAGAAATTATCAAACTAACCAATATCGACCAACATGGTTGACTATACATTATATTTAGTCACGGATTCAACGATGATTCCGGAATCATCAACATTTATTAAACAAGTAGAGGAGTCAATTAATAATGGTGCTACAATTGTCCAATTGAGAGAAAAATCATTGTCCACATTAGATTTCATAAATCGTGCAAAAGAAGTACATGCATTAACTAAAAAGAAAGGGATACCTTTGATTATAAACGATAGGATTGATGTTGCGTTGGCTATTGATGCTGAAGGTGTACATGTTGGTCAAGATGATATGCCTGCAAACTTGGCACGGCAATTGATTGGTAAAGATAAAATCTTGGGTGTTACATGTTCAATTCCAGAAGAGGTAGAGGCGGTGGTTAAAGAAGAAATTGCAGATTATGTTGGACTTGGTACTGCTTATGCGACAAATACAAAGAAAGATGTAACTGATCCACTAGGAACAGGACCAATTGGTGTTCGAAAAATGTTACAAATCTTGAAAAAATGCGAAAAGAAAATAAATAGTGTTGCTATTGGAGGTATTAATCATTCAAATGCCGATAAAGTAATGTATCAATGTCAGATACCAGGTCGAAAAATTGATGGAGTTGCTGTTGTATCAGCAATTATGGCAAATAAAGATGCTGGAAAAGCGACTAGAGAGTTAATACAAATTGTAAAATCAGAGCCAGTATGGGCTGCTACAAAGTTTGAAGAGTTAAATTCTGATCAATTAATTAAAGAAATGACAAAATCACAACCTTTAGTTCATCATATTACAAATAATGTTGTTAAGAATTTCAGTGCTAATGTTACTTTAGCCATTGGTGCATCTCCAGTAATGTCTGAATTATCGAATGAATTCGAAGAGTTTGCTAAGGCTGTGCCCAACTTATCATTGGTTTTGAATTTAGGTACACCAAATGATGCATTAATGAAAATTTTCAATATTGCAATTCAAGTATATAATCAACATAATAAACCAATTGTGTTTGATCCAGTAGCATGTGGAGCAACGAAAGCAAGGTTGGAAAGTAGTAGAATCTTGTTGAATTCAGGTCAAGTAACAGTTATAAAAGGTAATGTTGGTGAAATACTGAGTATTTGGAAATTAACAAGTGGATATCAAGCATCAAAGGAAGATGCAGCATTAATGAGAGGTGTTGATTCAGTTGCAGATTTAAATGAAGAAAAGATAATTAAAATTGCAAAGGAAGTAGCTCTTGATTTTAAAACTATTGTTGTTGTTACTGGTAAAACAAATTACATAGTGGATAATCATAGAAAATGGACAATAGAAGGAGGCAGTAAGTTGATGGGATTAATCACTGGGTCAGGGTGCTCACTTGGTAGTTGTATTGGTGCTTTTTTAGGAGCTAAAGCTGGTACATCATTTGATGCTTTTAATTCTACAGTTGCAGCTGTTGAATTGTATAATAAAGCTGGATCAGAAGCAGCTAAATCCACAGATGCTCCTGGTTCATTTATGGCTAAATTTCAAGATGAATTATATAAACTTACTCATTAATCATATATTATTAAAATGTATACATCATTTTCATAAATCATTAATCTATAACTATTATTTCATTATCTCGAATTGGTTCAATATAAGAATCATCAGTTAAATCAATTAATTCAGGTTCTTTAGGAATAGGAATATTTGTAGCTATTTCTCTTCGTGTATTACTGATAGGCATCATGGGAGTTAAAATTTCTTGTTCTATAGTTATTGGTTCAGGAAATAAATTCATTCTTTGAATTTCTTCATCACGTCTGATTGACAATGGTATAGTAGTCAGCATACTATTTTGATCTCTAACTAGTTCAGGAAGCGGTAGTGTTCTAAAATCCTCAATTCTTCTTATATTTGTAATTGGTGTGGCATTTTCTGGCTCTGGTTCTGGCAGTTCAGATTTACTTTCATCTTTTGTTTCTAAGATTTCTAAATATGTATCGTCTGGTACTTCTTCCTGATCTGCATGTTCAGAATGACACCATCTAGAATCCTTTAATCTTCGTTCAGCAGCTTCTAACGCAGCCAATTTTGGATTTTTAGGTTTGGTAATTTTATAAGATGATAAACTTGAAGCTAATGTCCTAGCTTCACTTTTGAATTTATGTTTACTTAGCTCTTTAATCCTCTTTTCACGAATAGATACACTTAAATCAGATAAAGAATTAGATCCCAATTTATTTTCTTCACATCGATAATTTCCAGTTGATCCACCACCATATTGTATTTCTTCATATCTTTTCTTTAATTTATCTAAGAAATCATAAAATGTTTTATCGTGTTTACCATATAAATTGTGAGTTAATTCGTGTAAAAAAGTGCTGATAATTTCAGACATGGGTAAGAAGCTACGCTCGTTTGAAGCATATCTTAATCTAATTAATATTTTTTGTCCCTTGTTCATATTTAAACCTAATAAATTTGGATTTTTGGGAAACATTTCACATAAAACACCAACTTTAAAATTATGTTCATGAATTATAGGGGCCACTAATTTTGCTGCTTCATGTAATAAATTATTTGCATATTCTCTATCTTCGTATCGTAGTAATGAACCGATTTTACCTATATTTGAAACTGGTGATGGTTTATTTGGTTTTTTTATAGGATATGAACCTCTTCCTTTTTTAACCATCGTGTTATTTAATTTTGTGTTTATCAAAAATCGCGTTGCAAAAAAATCAATACTGCCAATTTTTGACGAAAAAGGAATGATAATTAAATTATGGTTTCAATTGATTAATTGTATTATACTATTAGGATTAGCTGGTGCTGAGAAGGTATCAGTTGAATTAGATACACCTTGGCAAGAAGTAGAGTTTGTGTCAAATTTAATTGAGAGTATAGTTGGTTATGATGAAAAGTTACACATACCGGCGATCGAATCGATATTTGGTTTAAATGATGATGAGATAGAGTATGAGAATAATGAAGAGATGTTCAAGGATGTGCTTGATCTGCTAAACCTAAAAGGGGCTGGAAGGGATTTCATTAATTTCAATTTCAAATCCAAAATATATTCACCCAGGGTCATAACCCAGTTTCAGTATTATGATGAAGAAATAATACCTAAATTTGAAAAAAGACTACTCGAAGAATGCAAAACAGACTCATTTGGTAATGAAGTTGAAACCTTACATGGAAAGCATCAAACTTGGTTATTGTATAACAATAAATTGTATTGTTCCGCTAACGATTTATTTGCGTTACAAACTGATAAATCAAGTGAGAAGACGTTACCATTTGATAGAATAATAGGTGATAATGAAAAAGCACCATTGCTCGTGCTTTACGGTATGCCATCTACTGAGCTGACTAAAGAGTTTTTTAAAATTTTGTATCAAGATTCCAAAGCTGGTAAAATTCGATTCACATGGAGATATATTCCAAATCATACTAAAAAATTGGATAAATTATCAGGATATGGAGCAGATTTAAGATTAAAAGATTTTGAATACTTAAAAGCAGAGGAAACAACTTCACAATTTGATTTAACTAAAGATTTTGAGAAGATTAACAAGTCAAATGTATTATATGGTGTTGAGGAAAGTAATATTAAAGATTTAGGTATAAAATTCACCTCATTCATTTTATCAAATAGGTATGAATTATCCAAATTAGATTTATTAACTACCATTTCATTTAATTTTCCCAAATTTGTTCATTATATAACTAGAATTCCAAAATTGTTGAATTATGAGAAAGTTAAATCCAAAGTTGAAGAGAATGAAAGTGTAGGATTTTCAGATGAATCATATGGATTATATATAAATGGATCACCTATCCATCTAGTCGAATTAGACATTTTCAAATTAGTCAACAAGATCAAAGAAGAATTAAACTATGTTCAAAATCTAATATCCTTAGGTTTTAACTCATTTCAATCAAAATTATTACTTTCCAAATTTGCATTAATGTCAGCTGTAAAACAATCACAATTTAGAAGTGGGAATACCTTAATGGGGAACAATGAAAATCGATTCAAAGTGTATACCAATGTTTACGATAAGTCAAATAAAGCAGGTGTGGTGTTTTTCAACAATATAGAGAAGGATTTTACATATACGGAGTTTTCTACTGATAGACAAGATGCTTATTTAGGTGTGAATTCATACAGATTAAAACCAAATCAAATACCGCCTTTGAAAGAAAACATTCATGATTTAATTTTTGTTTTAAATTTTGCTAATAAACAACAATTAAGAGTGTTTTTCACCTTGAGTAAAATTATATTAGATAGTGGCATTCCACAGCAAGTGGGATTACTTCCGATAATAGGTGATGATCCAATGGATAAGAAATTAGCAGATACATTTTATTACATTACTTCAAAGTCAGATGAGAAGGAAAGTTTAGCATTACTATATAAATATTATGAATCTAAATCACAAGATGAAGTAGATGAATTATTAAATTTAATAGATATAAAAGATTTTGAAATAGATTATAGTTCAATACTTGAAAGATTTTCAATAGAATCACCTTCTATTATTTTCAATGGTGTTATCAATGATTTAACATCTAAGGATTGGCAGTTAGCAATGAGTAAACAAATATCACAAGATGTAAATTTAATAAAACTGCAATTGAGACAAGCACCATATGACGGAAAATTGAAAAATTTAATATATGCAAATGCAAAAGAAGAAAGGAATTTGAAAATTGTTCCATTAGAACCTAGTGAGATAGTCTACAAAAGTATTGATAGAGAATTAATTAAGAACTCAATAGCATTTAAAAATATTGATAAGGAGGAAGGAGTAAGTGGTACTTTTTGGTTGGTTTCAAATTTCAACGATGAGTCAAAGATACAACAATTGATAGATTTATTGAGAGTATTAAAGAAAAATCCAATACAAATTAGAGTATTGAATTATGGAAATATAGACTTTGCTCAATTATTAAGAAAGTCTAAATTGACAACCTTAACTAATTCAGACATTGATTCAATAATAGAAATACTAAAAAAGACATCGCCATCAACTAATGAAAACACCGACATTAAGACATTATTACAAAATAAACAATTACCTTCTCATCACTCATTCATATTATTCAATTCGAGATATTTTAGATTAAACAATAACTTATCAATCAAGGAATTAAATCAAATTATAGAATATGAATTCTCACAAAGATTAAACATAATTAATGAAATAATAAACACATACCCAGATGAATTTGATTTGAAATTAATGCATGAGTTCAATTCAATAAATAGTGGTATAGATGCTATGGATTGGTTTGACCTCGTATCTTCAATAATTACAAAATCATTTCATGTTGATGATAGATTATTCATTCTTGATGTCAATAGATTTGATTTTAGTCTGTTGGATATGTCATTATCTATAGATGTTGAAAAATATGATGAGAAAAAACCAATTGATGTATTGCTTATAAATAATCCAGTTACAGAATATGCCCAAAAGACAATCAATTTAATTCAAGCAATTAAAGATTTTTCATTTGTTAATGTTAAAATTTTACTTCAACCTAAATTAGAAACAAGTGTTGAGTCAATAAGTAAACGATTTTACAAAATTGCAGATGGTTCTGATATCGTTTTTGATAATTTACCACCTGTTCCATACTCACTAGATGTTGATGTTCCTTCAAGATGGGTGGTTAATTCTAAGCAAGTCTCTAACGGCGTTGATTTAAGTGATTTCAGGTTAGCCGAAGATATTAATGTCAAATTCGAATTGCAAAAGTTGATTGTTGAAGGATATGCTAGAGATATTCATTCTGGTAAGGCTCCAAATGAATTAATATTAAAATTATACAATAATACCTGGTCTACAGATACATTAGTAATGACATCATTAAACTATTTTCAAATTCAAACATTACCAGGTATATATGAAATAAGCATTGCTAATCCAAATTTTGAATTATTATCAGCTGATGAAAATAAATATAATTCGAACAATAAAGCTAAGACATCTGAAGAAATAATTGTTTCTAATTTAGATGGTATGATAATCCATCCAAGAGTTAGAAAAACAGAAAAATCAATTGAAACACCAGAGTTTATAACAAAACATGCCAATATTAATATTTTTACAATTGCTGGTGGATTTGAATATGAGAAATTAGTAAGTATGATGATTGCATCTGTAAAGAAACATAATCCAAAGAAACTGATTAAATTTTGGATCTTAGACAATTTTGTATCTCCAGATTTCAAAAAACTCGTACCCGTTTTATCAAATCATTTTAATGTTGAAATAGAGACAATTACATATAAATGGCCAAACTTTCTAAGAAAACCAAAAGATAAACAACGATTAATATGGGGATACAAAATATTATTCCTTGATGTATTATTCCCACAAGATTTAGAAAAGGTTATATTCATAGATGCAGATCAAATATGTAGAACAGATTTATCAGGCTTAGTGGAATTTGATTTAGAAGGTGCTCCTTACGGATTCACACCCATGTGTGACTCAAATACCGAAATGGACGGTTTTAGATTTTGGAAAAATGGGTATTGGAAAGATGTGCTAGGTGATGATTTAAAATATCATATTAGTGCATTATTCGTTATTGATTTAAACAAGTTTAGACAAATTAATGCTGGGAATAGATTAAGAAGTCATTATCAGAAATTATCATCTGATCCCAATTCATTGAGTAATTTAGATCAAGACCTTCCGAACAATATGCAAAGACTGATTAAGATTAAAAGTTTGCCTCAAGAATGGTTATGGTGTGAGACTTGGTGTTCTAAAGATACATTGAAAGAAGCTAAGATGATTGATTTATGTAATAATCCAAAAACGAAAGAGAATAAATTGAAAGTTGCAAAAAGATTGATACCGGAGTGGGCAGATTATGAAAAAGAGATATTGGAATTGATTGAGATTAGTAAACTACAACAAGAACAACAAGAACCGATTGAAGAAGAAATAGGTGAAGAAGTAGATCCAATACTAGACCATGATGACGACGAAGAAGATTATCATGATGAATTATAAGCTTCTAGATTGAGTGAACAAAGTAAATATCGACACTAACAACCAGACCAATCAACTGTTAACCAGAGAAACAGGTAGACTTATAGACATTGGTGATAACAATGAACATAGAATTATAAGCGTATAGCTAGATATATAATTTGTGTAATATCACATGATTTGATAAATGCTCTAAATCAGGAAAAATTAGCCAGGGCACGTTTTACTGAACCGCCGCCGGTCTCTCGTTGTACTACGGCCCAAATTTATGACTAACAATTGGCAGTTTTGTACGACCTTCGGCCCCAACTCAACAAATTTATTTTATTTTCAAACTAGAAATCAAAAACAAAGAAATAGTTATTGAAAAATTATCAAGCTTTTATTATCATAAGCCATCGTGAATCTGATTGAATTAAGGATTATCAATTATTCATCATGAAGATTTCTGATAAATTAAATCAAGCTCACTCGAGTACCAGACCACCACCAGCTACATTTTCATTCGAATTCTTTGTCCCTAAAACTTCCCAAGGGGTTCAAAATTTATATGATAGAATGGATAGAATGTATGATTTGAATCCTATATTCATTGATATCACCTGGAATGCTGGTGGTAGATCATCTAGTTTAACTAATGAAATGGTATATACTGCACAATCAACGTTGGGATTAGAAACTTGTATGCATTTAACATGTACAAATATGAAAGTTGAATTAATTGATGAAGCATTAAAGAAAGCTTATAAATCTGGTTGTCAAAATATATTAGCATTAAGAGGTGATCCACCATTAGATGGTTCTGAATCAACAGGAGATTTTAAATATGCAATTGATTTAATTAAGTATATTAGGAAAAATTATGGTAATCATTTTAATATTGGTGTTGCTGCTTATCCTGAAGGTCATCCAGAAGAAGAAGATGCTACTAAAACATTACAATATTTAAAAGAAAAATGTGATTCTGGTGCTGATTTTATTATAACTCAAATGTTTTATGATGTTGATAATTTTATATCATGGTGTGAAAAATTAAGGAAAATTGGAATTGATATACCTATAATTCCTGGTATTATGCCAATTTCAACTTATGCTGCATTTATAAGAAGAGCAAATTGGAGTGAAATTAAAATACCACAACATTTTTTGGATGCTTTAGAACCTATAAAAGAAGATGATTTCTTAGTTAGAGACAAAGGAACAGATTTGGTTTCTGAAATGTGTCTAAAATTGATTAATTCAGGTTATGTTAATCATTTACATTTTTATACTATGAATTTAGAAAAAGCAACAGTTATGTGTCTTGAAAAATTGAATTTAGTTGAAGCTATTAAATCTCATGAAATCGTTGGTACTACTGAATTACCATGGAGAAAATCATTACATCCAGAAAGGTCAAAAGAATCAATAAGACCAATTTTCTGGCAAAATAGAAAATATTCGTATATTTCAAGAACTGCTACTTGGGATGAATTTCCAAATGGTAGATGGGGTGATTCAAGATCTCCGGCTTTTGGCGATATTGATTTATGTGCTTCTGAATTATTAAGACAATCACCAAAAAGAGCATTTGAATTATGGGGAACACCTCAAACATTAAAAGAATTGAGTGAAATTATTATCAGTTATCTTAGAGGTAATTTAAAATCGTTACCTTGGTCTGATGGCGCAGTTGGAGATGATACTAGAGTCATTGTGGATAATTTAATTGAATTAAATCGACATGGATTTTTCACAATGAATTCACAACCTGCTTTAAATGCAATTAAATCACTGGATAAAACATTCGGATGGGGACCTAAAAATGGATATGTTTATCAAAAACAATACCTTGAATTTTTCTGTCACAAAGATTATATTTGTAATTTATTAAATAAAATTGATGCTTTTAATTCAAAACAAGGTGATAGTACTTCAGCAATAATTTCATATTATGTAGTTGATAAAGATGGAAATTTATCATCAAATTGTCAAGATGAAGATATAAATGCAGTTACTTGGGGAGTATTTCCAGGTGAAGAAATTTTACAACCTACAATTGTTGAAAAAACTTCATTTTTAGCATGGAAAGATGAAGTTTATAGATTGTTTTCAGAGTGGTCAAAAGTTATAAATAGTCATTTAGTAGAAGCAGATGAAGAAAAAGTTAAAGGATTTACTTCATTAATGTCAACATTTTCAAATGATTATATTTTATGTAATTTAGTCAATAATGATTTTATTGATAATAATTATACATTATTCAATATTATTAGAGATTTAAATGTTAAAGAATTAGTTTAAACAAAAACGCAAGGATATTATTAATCAAGCCTTCAACATGCTTGATAATTGAAACTTTCAACATTAGTTTCAATAATCCAAAGCGTAATCTTAATGATTTACGAGAATATTTTTTCATTGCACATTATTTATTTTTCATTTCAACATTAAAAAGTTCAATTGGTGTTTTATTTAATGATCCTTGTGATTCAGGAATCCTCAACGGGTTATAATTTAGTTTTATATAGAGTGTTTTATAATATATGGTTGTTTCATATATATTGTATATTCCTGTATATAATTACATTTCTTTAATTTTTGATTGGATACGAAAAAATCAAAATTTATATAACCAATCTTCGTATTGATAGTTGATAATGTCTGGAGGACCAGTACCAGTTTGGAAGAAATATACTTCTAGACCACAAGGAATATGGGAAAAAATTAGACAATTATTAGTTCTTGTACCTAATAGATCTTCTGGTAATCCATTAGTTTCATTATTTAGATCAATTCCACCAGGTGAAAGAATTAAAGAAGCTAAAAATTATGAAGATCCAATAACCGTACCGGCTGGTGATATAAAGGGAAATCCATATTATAAAAGAGATTATAGAAGAAATTATCCACAAATTCATACTTTCGATCAAACTAAAATATCTGGATTATTAAATTTAGGATCAGTTGAAACTCCAAGAATTTCAATTGGAAATAAAGGTACACTGGAGTTGGCTCCTTTTGTAAATGGTAAAGATGATGTTAGTTTATCCGTTACTTTTAAATCATTACCTCAAGATGTCATAAATGGTCAAATTTTAACTAAAGAAGGCGCTCCAATTGTTGCACCAAGTTTAAATAAATTTAAATGGGAAATTTTACCTGAATCTGTTCATGGAATGTATGATGAAAAATATCCATGTAGAATATTTACAGATGTTAAGAATCACGAACCTCAAACTACAACATTATAAAGCATTTAATATATATATATATATATTCATTAAAGATATAAATCTGGTCTAAATGAAAAATCTGGAAAAATCGCTGGAAGGCCAAACAAAGTAAACCAATTAGATAAATATCCTATGATGATATTAACTTTGGGTACTCGATTTGTAGCCCATAATGGATACTCCTCTAATCTTTCTAATGTATCACATGGATGAATTTGCAACCATGGCACTTGTAGAATATGATGATCTGAATATGAGACCAAAATATCCTTATTTCGTCTAAAATCGCTTCCAATCTCTGATAAGTCTAATACTTTATTATCATCGTATAGTTTGAAGTTAAAAACTGGTACTTGGTAAAAATCATCATATGAGATGGTAAAATCGAAACGATAATTATTGAAAGTTATACTCATAAATGCGTATCGCTTTCTATAACAGCCCCATTTTATATAGGCTACATTTATTTTATAATCAAAAGTGCAGTGCAAACTCTCTATAATAAACTTAAGAAACCATTCGATATTATTGTTGAATTGTAAATCTGTTATCATTAATTTTTCAAGAATAATATTACCAATTTTAAAATTACGATTACATATTAAATATATTACCTATAAATATAAAATACAAACACTCATTACTCTTCAATTTTTCAATTGAGCTAGTATCATCAATCTCAACCATTATCAGCCACCCCACGTTTTAGCAAAATCTCCTTTTCAGCTTCAATTGCACTTCCTATTTCTTTTCATCAACTTCATCTTGTAATTTACCACCTTCATTTAATTTATTAATTGTAGCTTCATGTAATAAACTCAGTTTACCATTAGCAAAAACTTGAGCATTAGCAGCACTAATTGAATTACGATTACTCATTTCTTTCATTCTTTCAGCATTTGGATGTCTCATTGGTATATTACCGGGAGTTATATTTCGATTCCCTCCTTGTTGTTTTTGCATTGCATAATCTCCACTATCGAAATATTTCTTATCTTGAAATTTTGAAGTTAGAATTTGTTGCGTTGTTGGTAATTTACCATACATTTTATAAATTTTTAACTCTTGTGGAGATAATTTAGATAAATCTAAATGCTGAGTGTTTTTTGGTGGTCCTAATGGATCTTCATCTGTTATATCTGAAGAAGATGACATGATAAATGTAATTGAATATGTGTTAATTGTGAGAGAAGAAAATAAGGGGAAATAAATATGATGATATATTTCGTTGTTAACTATTGATGATTGGATGCATTCTATATAGAGTGGGTTGCATTAATGGTATATGACCAACTACATACGGCTGGTTGTTATAGTGAAATTCAAAATGTATATTTAAACTGGGACTATCCACTGGATAACCTTTTCCATGTCTCTTGGATCTTGTTTATTGCCAAAATAGCAGAATTTACTTTAAAAAAATGAGTTTCACCTTTTAAGTAGCAACCACACACAGCTGTATGAATGAAATCCTTTCAGTTTGTCAATTTCAACTAGCTCTATCCTATAAGTAACCTATTACTGTCTCTTCAAACATTCTCATAGTTTAATTTGCAAATTTCTTAAAAAGATGCATATTTCACCATTTAAATCAACTATCGCATGCATTTATATCGAGACAATGTCCTTAATTTGTAGAATACTGGCATTTATATCTTATGAACTTATTTTCGAAGTGTCTTGATTCATTCATAAGTCTAAATCTGCTAATTTCCACAAGATTGAGATGATTCACCTTTTCAATGAGCTGTTAAACAACCACACTTGTCAGTATTAGTATCGGTATATTCTAAATAGTCAAAAATATCTTTTAGTGGAACATTAGCTGTCAAACTTTGTACAATTTAAAGTAAATCACCAAAACATTTTGTAGTTTTTTGAAAATCCGAATATTCCACTCACAATCCATATTATACTTATCGTTAGCATCATGAGCTTCCTTTTAATAGATTCAATCAGACTAAAGCAAAGTAAGGGTAGCAGAACCCTTTTCAATCTTGAGTAATTTCTCTCAGAAATTTCCGTTGGTGCATATTATCAATTCAGCAACACCAAGATTGACACAGCTTTATATGGATAACAATCTAGAGCCTCTAATAGCGTTATATGTAAGAATTGGCACCTCAGACCTTCTTCTTCTCACCAATATCATCTTTGAATATCCAATTTATCAAGTAATGAGAATGAAAAGACAACAAAATTACCAAGTCAACCAAAAAAACAATATAATCATATAATTCTAGAGGAATAGGTATTGAATTAGGCAACTTAGTAGCATATAATTGAAGTTTCAACAAATCATCTACTTTTAAAAATTTAGATTCATCATAAGTGAATGCATGAAAATGATAATCTACCCTTATATACAAATCAAAAATATCTTCCTCATCAGGTATCAAGTCATTAAGATGGTGATACTCATGACTTATTTTAAAATTGTAAGGTGAAGTCGCTGGCCAACATAATTTAACATTAATTAGATCATTGTTATTATAGTTGTTCAATTTGACTAAAAGTGTTTCCTTAGGTTGTGTTATTGTATTATATGTCATTTCTATTATATTTGAATGATTATTTGAGTCAATTGTAATTGTAGGGTATTTTAGAATCAATTTATGAGTTTGATTTATTTGATGAATTTGCGGCAAAATTTCATTGTTTTGAGGAATTGATGGAGGTATATTGAAATATTTAGGTATTTTGAGTAAGTACGTTTCCGTATTAGCTAGACATAATGCAATATAAAAGAAATGTAGGAATAAATTCATAAAAGGGAATAGGCTGGAATGATTTGATCGTAATTTTTTTTTTTTTTTTTCGTTTCGATTTCGCCAGGTACAATTTTTATTTAGCAGCCTAAATCAATAATTTCGAAATGTTCGTATATTTACATTTATATATATTCTATCTTTATATGTAACCATGGGTATAATCCCTTAACATATTTCTTGACTTCTGCCATATTGGACGCCATATTTGAAATTCCAGCTTCTTTTAATAACTTTAAATTCAAATTATTTAAATTTGTATTAGGAATATTCTTAAAAAAACTAAAATCATTACTAGTCATAAGCCAATTCTCAAAGGTTAATATCTGCAAATTTGGAAAATTTTTAGCTTCAATCCACTTGAAAATTTTATGACTAGTCAAATTCATGACCGGTGATGTTTCGCCGTCTATTACATCAAATTTGAACTTGAACTCTTCTAGACTTTTAAAATCATTAACTTCGTCTTCTTCTGCAAGCACATGGGTAAATCTAGTAAATCGTTCACTCATAAGGAACACCTCATCTGAAGAATAAGTCATTTCAAGTTTTCTGATATTTGAATTATAATTGAATTGTGATAATTTAAACGGATATACCCAAGTACAATCATGCAAAACTAGTGTATCTAGAATTAGCACAGGTAATTGGAAATTGCCAATCTCCCAATCGAAATGATAATTATGTAATTCTAGCCTCTTCAACATTTTAAAATTTTTAATATGCTCAATTGAAAAGCTTTGAGTCAGAGATAAAGATGACCCATACAAAGTCAATGAAGATAAATTATCACAATATCTATATTTCAACCAGCTTGAACTAGTTTGTGAGTTTATCAGCAAGTTAGTAAAGTAAGGTAGATGAATAAATAAATCTGAAAAAATGTCGACTTGCCATTCACCATATGAGTTCCAATCAACAATTCTTAGTTGGTTGATTAAATACTTAAATTTAAAAATCTCATGATCTTCTATTGAATTTATTAGCTTTGACCAAGTAGCTTTTATGTTTTTGAATATAATTGGTTTTAATTCAGATCTGAATTGTTTATTTAACGTAGATAAATTAATTAAATCAATAATTGCTAAATGTTGAAATATCATTGTTTGTATGTAATTTGGCAACAATAAAAATTGATGGTATCGGCTATCGTTGGCCGTTTGAATGATCATAATTTGATATCATAAGCTTTTGATCAAATGCCCTAGCTTGTTTCTTATCGCGCGAGGTGTGGTTCAAAATTTCGATACGAAAATTATTATCAACAAAAATAATTTGACACCGATTTCGCACGGGGTAATTTATTTACAGCTGACAGTTGAGAACATAATACTATTATCATTGATAGAACCATCAAGTATAGAATAAAAGAAATAAAAGTATTGTTATTCTTTGGGATAGTAAATTATCATTAGCGTGCTTATCAAATATCAAGCATCAAATATCAAATAAATTTTATTCATGATTTCACTTCTTCAATGAACAAATGCTTTCAATTAATTATATCAATCATTTCAAATATTATAAATGACATTAATATAAATTTGCTATCTCAATTTCCATTCTTATTGATTTTAAATCCTGATAACTTTGAACCACCATTTACTAATGCTTTTAATCAAATTTATAATGATTCAAATTCAAATTTAATGTTTATTATTTCTTGTTTGTTGGTTAGTTTAGATTTGATATATAGTATTTTGAGATTAAGTGTTTGTTGTGTTTCGATAATTGCTTTTACGTCCTGTTTTATATGTTTTGGAATGTGGGTGCTGGTCACTTTAACAAGGAGATGGAAATTAATTAAATTGTTAATTAGAAATAATAAGGAGTTGCTATATAATGGTATATTGTGAATACATATATATAAGGTGTTTTAGATGATAATGAAGCAAATTTTAGGATAGTTGATGGTATGAAGGAATGAATCAGGCAAAGGTGATAGCAAAGGTGATAGGCAAAGGTGATAGAATACCCATATTTGTTACAGTTTGAAAATCTGATCAAGATAGACATCGCCAAAGGGTCGTTACTTAAAAACTAGTTGATAGATTAAAGGTCTTAAATCATCGAAATGAGTGTATTTGAAAATTAGCTGTTACCATTGGCAATTCACCCCAAAATTAGCCAGAATAAACGAGTAAAAGGTAAATTAACTGCTAACTACCCTTCTTCTTAAGGACACAGCTTCACCTATCATGTAATACCTTACTCACTTGGTCTGTTGTTTCATGAGTTATATGCAATAATTATATTTTATTTTTTAGTGAGCCTCATTACCTGATTTGGGTTTTTATATTTTGACCATCAAGAAAACCAATTTTTGTGACACAAAAACGAGCTCCACAAATTGGCAACATTTGTTTTTGCAACTTTTATTTGAATCGTAAATTACTCGGACATGATAAGTCGTGATGACTCGACACAATAAGAATAATAAAAATTTACTACTCTAGGTTTTTCTGTGCAAAATAAAAACGCTGTTACTTGTTAGTGGCGAAGAATATTTGAATAATGTGAAATTTTGATACTTTTCAGTTGAAAGAGAAAAGGGCGGTTCATTTACCTCAAAATAATTGCGTTTGACTCTCCTAAACTTTCTGATTTGAAAGCATTTGCTGGTTTTATCAGAAGTGGCATACTTGTTGAGTAATTGAGCCTTGAAAATTGTAATTTACAAACACAAATCATGCCGTATATACATGAACCCTACAAAATAAAACGTCTGAAACTAGTTTATTTCAATTCAATTTAGACTTTAGAACACCTTACAGATGTTGTATACTACTAGACCCATTTGTTCAAGTGTCACTGATTGAGGTTATGAATAAAAAAATACCAATTGATGCAACTAGATTTATTCGTTTATAACAAGAGAGAAAACATGTTTCAATTCTTTTCTTGATTCTTTGTAAAATGGCACTAAATCAACAAAAGGCCTTACTATAATTCAAAAGTCTAATTGTTTTGAATTTCATAACTCATGTATCATTAACAACTATTCACTTACACGTCCCTTCAATTAATTCAGCTGTCTCAATTTCCTCTACTTACTTTCCTTTGGTGTCTCCCTCAAGTATTTCAAGATTTAGCTCGTCCCATCCCCATCTAATAAAACAACCCAGGGCCATTTAATCTTTTGTTAAAATGCAATTGAGTCCTACGTCCAAACTCACTTGAAATACTATTATCATCATATAGTGACTGCAAAGAAACTTCTTTACTATAATTTCTCCAACAGTCTTTACGCTTAATTAAAATTAAACTCATACAAGTCATCACATCATCGTTATTATAGACCTAATAATAAACCCATTACCAATATGAATATTCCAACAATAACACTAAATATTTTTATATTACCCTCAAAGTTAAATCTTTCAACTGGTTCAAATTCAAAATTATTAAAAATTCGATTATCATTATCTGAATGAAAACTATTGGTCAGTGAGTGAACAACATTAATTAAATCGTATCTCTTAATTGCAAGAACAACAAGCATAACAAGTAGGATGGGTATTGCATTATAAGTCGAAATTGATCTTATACTTTTAGGAGATACAGTTGTCATAAATTGAAAGTGTTGATGATAACAAAAAATTACATAATCACAGGTACCAATTAATGTATGGATGAATTTTTTGTCAGAAAAATTTTAAAACTGGTGATTCGTTGGACTTTATTTGATATTAAAGCGTCTGCTGAAACTGAGTCCTTCATTGTATTGCTCTTTCAAAAGTGAGAACCATTAATATGAGCCGTTTATTGTGAGAATTCAAATTGCAAAAGTTATTAAATAAAATTAAAAATTTAATAATAAGATGGCCGAGATTTACTAAACGTAACTTAAACTGAGACACCAGGGCTAATCTAAAAAGCTCCAATAAGCATATCCAATCTAGTCAAGTTTAAATTACGAGCTTGAGAGATTTGATACACAGAGTACACCTAATTTCAGATCCACAATTATAAATCAATAACAGCTATTGTCTATTATTGATCATATATCCATGAAGAAGGATAGAGTATGCACTTGTAGTTACGTCTCCAGATAGATCGTATTAAAGTTCAAAAAAGAAAGTTTTCCATGCATGGAAATATGGCCCTGATTGAAAAATTAATCCGAATCAACTCGCATAACATACCACTCCTTGCAGCTGAAATTGCCTCCAAAACAGTATTAACGTTGCTACGAACTAATTCGCCCTAACTAAATAATTTAAGGGCGGAGATTGCCCACGGCGTTATTTCATTTATTATACTTCTCGATCGTCGGTCTCTTTTCAGCTTTAACCTTTTATACTGATAGTAATTGTTTTAGATTTATCACTAAACATCTCGTGCGCTGAATAGTGTGGTTTTTGCTATGGCGTCAGGTATTTAATAAACTATACATTAATTGTTTAACGGCGAAATTGAACAATAATTTGGCTTCTTAAATCTATTATTAAAGATAAGAAGATCTAGGAAAATGTTTCAAAATTGAATAAGATTTCTTTACTAATGTCAGTTAAAGATTTGAAAACTTCATTTGAAGAAAGAGATCCATCAACTGAAGAGTTATCTTCATTAGATCCAGATTCATACTTACAGAAAGAAATAGAATATGAAGGTCAACACGATATAAACTATCGAAATTGTTCATGGCAGAAAACAGCTGGTTTATTATTCAGTGAATATATATGTTTGGCAATGATGAGTTTCCCCTGGAGTTATTCGATACTAGGATTGGGATTAGGTTTAATTATCACAGTTATTGTTTCATTATTATGTTTATATACTGGTTTAATCATTGCTGATTATTGTGCTGCTTATCCTCATTTAATTAATGTATGTGATATTGGACAACATTTGATTTTTGGTAAGAAATGGGTATGGTATGCAACTGCGATTGCATTTTTGTTGAATAACACATTAATTCAAGCATTACATGTTTTAGTCGGAGCTAAATATTTCAATACAATTAGTGATAATACTACTATTTGTTCAATTGTGTTTGGGGTAGTCACTGCCATTATTTGTTTCTTGTTCTCCTTGCCTAGAACATTCAGTCATATGTCTTCAGTTGCTTGTTTTTCAGCAATTACAATGTTTGTGGCAGCTATATTATCAATTGTATTTAGTGCTATTCAAGATCATCCTTATAAATATGATCCAGCCACACCAGTGACTTGGAATGCATGGCCTGCAAAGGATGCAAAATATGTCAATATAATGTCAGCAGTTTTGAATATTATCTATACATTTGTTGGTCAAATCACTTATCCTTCATTTATATCACAAATGAAAAAGCCAAAAGATTTCAAAAAGGCTTTAGTGGTTGTCACAATTTGTGAATTGATATTATACGCGTTAGTGGGTTCAATAGTCTATGTTTATATAGGGACTGATTATATGACTGCACCTGCATTTGGAAGTTTACTTGGAAACTACAAGAAAATAGCCTTTAGTTTTGCATTACCTACTATTTTATTCCTTGGTTCATTATATAGTAATGTTTCTTCACAATTTTTATTCCAACTTATTTTCAACAAGGGAAGTAAACATAGAAATGAACATACGGTTGTTGGTTGGTCAACTTGGTGTGGATTAAACGCTGGATTTTGGATTATTGCATTTGTAATTGGTGAAGTTATACCGTTCTTTAGTGATTTATTAAGTTTAATGAGTTCATTATTTGATTGTTTCTTTGGCTTTATATTTTGGGCTTTAGCTTATTTCAAATTGAGAAAATTATACTACTACAAAAAGGAAGGAATCAATATATCGTTTTGGAAGTTGGTGCAGATTTCAAATTGGTATACAAGATTAGAAATACTATTGAATGTGATTATCTTTATAATTGGTCTTTACATATTAGGACCAGGTCTATATGCAACTATCCAGAGTATAATATGGTCATATCAAGATAGTCTATATGGAAACCCATTCAGTTGTGTAAGTAATGCAATATAAATCTATAAAGTATTTTCAGCTGTATCCCAAATAATAGTAACCGGACCATCATTAACTAATGCCACATCCATCATGGCTCCAAATTCACCATCTTTGACTTTATCTTCTCCTAATTCTTTCCTTAAATTTTCAAGTAATTGTTTATATAGACTTACGGCAGATTCTCCTTTTGCAGCCTTATGAAAATCTGGCTTTGTTCCTTTTTTAACTGTACCATATAATGTAAATTGACTAACTGAAAGTATCTCTCCTTGAATGTCGATAACGGATTTTGACCATGGTTTGCCGTACCATTTCGTAGTTGTGTTTGGAGGTTGACTTAAATCTTCGAAAATTCTCAATGATAACAACTTCTTTGATAATTTATTTACATCTTCTATAGTATCTGTTGTTGAAATACCAACAAGGATCATAAGCCCTTTTCCGATAGATGATATCACTTTTTCTTCAACAGTGACTGAAGCTTGTTTGACTTTTTGAATAACTACTCTCATGTTTGAAAAGTTTGAAAAATTTCGTGTTTCGAGAAGATTGATAACAATACTGCATATAATCGATTTTGCACTAGCCATACTGATGAAAACCCGAATAAGAATAGAGAAAGTACTAGATTAAGTTTTGAATTTAGTCTTTGAATATTAATCATCATTTAATATAAAAGTACAAAAATATTTTAAAGCTGCAAATACTTCAAGTCCCACTGGTTCAATATATTTTGAAGGTAATAAAAATCCATGACTTCCAGAATCTCTTAACTTCAATTGATAAGCCCAATAAGCTCTATTATGATACATGTAATCAAGACTGGTACCTGAGCCTAAATCAGGTAATAAGTCGGCATCTTTATCAATACAAGCAGGTTCGACATTATAATTTGTACCCAGTTGTAATCTTATAGCTTTTGCAATTCCCCATGCTAATTCAACTAAATTTTCTTCATCCCTTGGTTGTTGATCACATGAATAAGCATAAGGATATAAGATTTCTTGTGAATAAGAATGTAAATCAATATATCCATAAATTTTATGATTCTTTGCATTATTTGTATTATTTAAATAATGTTCCCAAATTTTAGATTCAAATGCTTCAAATGGAACTTCACCACTATACTCATCACCACATGCCCAATCTGAAGATTTTGTCCAATGATAATCGTAAGAATGATCAATATCAATACCAAAACATTTCGGAACGGTTGTTTCTTGTCTGTTTTTTCTCCATAATCTATCGGTTGACCAAGTATACGCATATCCATCAGGATTTGAAATTGGAATAAATAAAAAGTCGAGATTTTTTAAGATTTTTGAATTAGGATTATCAACGTAAAAATTCAATAATTGATAAATGGTGTATAAAACTGAACTTACTGAAATCCATTCACGGGCATGTACACCACCAGTTATAACTATAGTTTTTCTTTCTTGATGATTTATATCACCATTATCATTCGGAGCTGCAAAATGAACAACTTTATATTTACGATGTTCATAAGTTTGACCAATTTCTTCAATTTTCAAAACTTGAGGGTATGAGCTTTCAAGTAAATCTAACCATGAGTTAATAGTCTCGTAAGATCTATATTCCTTGAAGAATAATTCTGTAGCTGCATGAATATCACCAGCATTGAAAACTTCTGCAGAGTTTTGCAATCTAGGATATGTTTCATAAATTTTTTGGGACAAGTCGTCGATTATGATTTTATAATCTATTGTTGGGTATCTTTCAATTAACCTTATTAAATTCTCTTCATCAATTTGTATATCTAACGTCTTTTGAATGTTGCTATTACCCCATTTCTTAAAAGTTATAAAACTCTGATTACTGAATGAAGATTGAGTCTTTAAAAAGTTATACAAGTTTTTGTTATTTGAATAGTTAATTCTTATGACTAAATCATTTTGGTATTGTAATAAATCAATTGGATAATCATTTGGATTTAATTTTGAAAAATGTTGTACATGGCCATGAGAATCACTCAATATATCTTTCAAACTGAATGGTATCTGAAATGATAAAGCAAATGGTATAATGAATAGTAGTCCAATGAATTTCATTATGTATAAAAGCAATGAATGAAGTACAGAAGCGTATTGATAATCACAAAAAGCTGCCCGTATAAAACAATTTGGAGAAAAATGTGAAATTGGTTACAACACTCCTGCGGCTTACATTATTCCCTAATTTGGCTAATTACAAATGGTTAGTCAACTTCTTTTCAGTCACGTGACTCGCGATAGTATTTTTTCAATTTGACTCCTAATCAATTTAGATCTCATTACATACTACTCCAGACTTTATTAAGATGCAAAGAAGATTATTTAATAATCTATCTAGTCTTTTAAAAAGACAACAATATAAACAACCATATATTTACCATTCAGTTTCTTATTCAACTACGAAATCAGTTCCATTAACTTCTGAAACTTATTCATCAAAAGTTTCAAGAAATCCAAACTATAAAAAATTAGATGCAAAAGATTTAGATTTTTTTAAGTCTATCATTCCTGAAACTTCAATAATCACCGATAATGATGACTTATTATTTTACAATGAAGATTGGATGAGAAAATACCGTGGTCAATCAAAATTAGTATTAAAGCCAAAGACTACAGAAGAAGTAAGTCAAATTTTAAAATATTGTAATGATAATAAATTAGCTGTTGTACCACAAGGTGGTAATACTGGATTAGTAGGTGGTTCCAATCCAGTTTTTGATGAAATTATTATCTCATTATCTTCATTAAATAAAATTAGATCATTTGATCCAGTCAGTGGTATTTTAAAATTGGATGCTGGTGTTATATTAGAAAATGCTGATCAATATTTACAAGAACAAGGCTATATATTTCCCCTTGATTTAGGTGCTAAAGGTTCTTGTCAAGTTGGTGGTAATGTTGCATGTAATGCCGGTGGATTAAGATTATTAAGATATGGATCCTTACATGGTTCAGTATTAGGTTTAGAAGCAGTTTTACCAGATGGTACAATTTATAACTCAATGCATTCATTAAGAAAAGATAATACTGGTTATGATTTAAAACAATTATTTATTGGAAGTGAAGGTACTTTAGCCATAATTACTGGTATTTCAATATTATGTCCAGCTAGACCACAAGCTCAAAATGTTGCATTTTTAGCTGTTAATTCTTATGAAGCAGTTCAAAAAGTATTTGTTGAAGCTAGAAAAGAATTGGGTGAAATATTATCAGCATTTGAATTTATGGATCAAACTTCTCAAGTATTAACAGCTAAACATTTAGGTATTTCACATCCTATTGAATCTGGAGATTATCCATTTTATATTCTTATTGAAACTTCAGGTTCGAATAAAGAACATGATGATGAAAAATTGGAAAATTTCTTAGGTGCAGCCATGGAAAATGGTTTAGTAGATGATGGGATTATAGCACAAGATGAATCTCAAATACAATCCTTATGGTCTTGGAGAGAATCTATACCTGAAGCTTCAACAATGTATGGTGGTGTTTATAAATATGATGTTTCAATTCCATTAAAAGATTTATATGGATTAGTTGAAGAAGCAAATAAAAAGTTGGAAGAAGCTGGTATTTCAAGTTTAGAAGATGAAGGAAAGCCAGTTGTAGCTGCTTTAGGTTATGGTCATATTGGTGATGGTAATTTACATTTAAATGTAAGTGTTAGAGAATATTCTCCGCAAGTTGAAACAGTTTTGGAACCATTTGTTTATGAATGGATTTCGTCAAAGAAAGGTTCAATTTCAGCTGAACATGGTTTAGGTTTCCAAAAAAAGAATTATATTGGATATTCTAAAAATGATATTGAAATCAAATTAATAAAAGAAATAAAGAATCATTATGATCCAAATGGTATAATGAATCCATATAAATATGTATAAAGACAATAAATAGTAGAATTAAGTTATAATTTTAGTATTAACGCTTTTTCTTCAAATCGCTTAATCCCATTCAACTTTTTCCAAATTCATACTTGCAAGCTGATTGATCACGATACAAATCAACCAATTTGGAATCTCAATTTCAAATTGGTTCTCAAGTTCTTGTTTCAAGTTAACAGCCGCATTACCCTAATTTCAGGTTTTTTCCACTTTTCAAGTTGAGTCTGACCAAAGAAACTGTCATCGTGTAAACAATTCAAGCGAATGACTGGATAATTCAGCTTTGACCGAGAAACTTTTGTATGGAACATATTTGCTCAATGTTTGTATAAAAAAAGTTATATCTACGTTTAGATAAATTTACATTCGACGTTATTATCATTGAGGTTTTAGGTAGAAAATGTAGCAACAAGATTAATAGGATGCTTATCATACAAACTTGAAGTAATCTTTAGGAGTGCTAGCTCGTCCACGATGTTGTGATCTTACTTAAATAACTAAAATCATAAAGATTTCTTTAAGTGTCATATATTGGTAGCATACTAAAAGATGATTTCGTATAAATGAGCTATTGCTGGACTCCAACCGCCCAGGAGCAGATTGCAAGTCTCAACTCTACAGACTGCTATTATGTGCCAAATCTTTATAGATACAGATTAATTCATTACTTAGTAACGCTTGCAGAGATTCCCAATATACGGTTGAAATTAATTTATTACTTAGTAACGCTTGCAGAGGTTCCCAATACACGATTGAAGTACATTTCACATAATCTACAACATCTCAAGATTATAGACACGCATATTTCAAATAATGAACGTGTGCATCAAAATTTTAAAATTTTGAAAAAACAATCTATTATGGTATGCATTATTATAGACTTGCTTAAAATTTTGAAAAAACGATCTATTAAGGTATGCATTATTAAAGACTTGCTTCAATTACCAAGTTCATTGGAAATAATTTATCTCGAACAAGTTTTTGGACTTGAGTGCATTGATTTTTCAAATTGTTGAACTTTATTCTATGTTAAATTTATAAATTTGTCGAATTCTGTTAGTGTGATTAAGAAGAAAATTCGAGAAAAATTGTTTGCAAATAAGAATGTAAACACTTTTCAACTAGTAGATTCGAAAACAAAGGTTATAAGTATAAGGATGATGAAAATATAAAGCTTTGGCTTAAACAGTATTACGAAGATTGGTCAAATCCAGTATTTATCTTTTATGAAGAGGATACAAACAAGGAGGTGGAAAAAGAATGTAGATTTAAACATGATATGAGCCTGTATGTTTCATCAGATGTTAGGTAGCTTTTAGGTACGCAAACATCGATTACTTGAAATTTATAATTGTTTTACATTGGGATGCGAATACTATAATGCTAGCCACGGTTCGAATTTTAAAACTGCTCTAAGTTTTTTGGTAGATGTCCTTCTTTAAATCTCACTGTTTTTTTACCAAGCTCATATGATTCTTTGATGAACTGAAATTTTGGTTGCAAAATAATACAATTCATACTTTTCAGTTTTGTGTAAGATTTTCATTATCAACACATTTTTTTTTTCCATCAACCAAAATTGAACCCAAATCAAATCAACAACTAAATTTTCAATTTATGACGATACATTCATTTATAATATTCGATAGACATTGCAACTGTATATACAAAAGAGAATATAGTCATGAATTAAATAATAATCCACTTTCAGGTCCTATAAATAAAAATAATGATTCAAATAGTTCAAAACTTTTATTTGGTATTTTATATTCATTAAAAACAATAGCATCAAAACTAATACCAGAGGATAATATAAATGAATTACGATCATTTAATATAGGTGATTTTAGAATACATTTTTGGGAATCATTAAGTAGGTTTAAATTTATACTTATTACTAATAAAGAAGTGAATATTGATTTACAATCTATTTTATTTCAGTTATACCTGAAATATTTCATTAAATATGTTGTTGAGAATGGATTACTGCCTATTGAATTTAAGTATTATGAAAAAGATCCCAAGGAGAATGAAGTAAGTGCAAAGATAAACAACGGGAAATTTATAGAAGAAACTGATAAATATTTACAAACATTATCGATATTTTAAATATACTTAAACGATTAGTGACTGGAATCCGACGAAATCTCTTTCCAACGAAATCTCTTTCCAACGAAATCTTTTTCCGACGAAATCTCTTTTCCCACGAAATCTCTTTCCTAAGATAATCTCTTAGTAGTATATAAACGATGTAATCTTTCTTAGTGACTGGAATCCGACGAAATCTCTTTCCAACGAAATCTCTTTCCGACGAAATTTCATTCCTAAGATAATCTCTTAGTATATAAACAATGTAATCATTCTTAAACGTGATATACACGATGATTGTTCATCCATTGATGATAAATATTGTACTCTACCTGTACAACGTTACAATGAAGCTAAATACTAAACAATTTTTTTTAAACAACATGTAGAAGGAGATTAGCTACGGCAAAATCTATATCAGCGATCTTAACTTTGGCCTCCAGATAAAACGATGAATTATTTTAGACTACAAACAATAAAGATACGACTTCTACACTGTAGTTATGTGACCGTTCATACCGTTCATTCGTCTACAAGTCGTTCCATTATGGTTATTCGATTAAATATTAAATCTGTCAATAACTGGATACAGAAATATGTCAAATAATCGGCATTCCGATTTCGATATTTTTTTTGTTTATCTAAAAACTTTAGCCTCATTATGAATAAATTTATATAAATATATATCCATCTACCAGGTCTTTATTACATTCATTTATATTTATAGAGTTATTAGACGCATTTCATACTTAACACATCATGGCGTCATCATTATTTAAATTTGATCAACGACCTAGGGTCTTCAAAAGCATTTATCATGAAATTATCGTAATTATATTAGTCTGTATGGCTCAATTTCTATCTCAAGCTGGGGTTACAATGTCATTATCCACTATGAATATTATGCTAAATTCTTTTCAAGTAACAGATAAAACTATACAAGTATGGTTTATGGGTGGTTATTCATTATCAGTTGGTACTTTTATACTTTTCAGTGGTAAATTAGGAGATTTATTTGGTCTTAAAAAAATATTCATAGTTGGTTGGATTTGGGTTTCATTATGGAGTTTAATTACTGGTATTTCATATTATTCAAAATCAATAATTTTCTTTATTATATGTCGTGCTTTTCAAGGAGTTGGTTATGCATTGTTATTACCTTGTGGTATGGGAATTTTAGGTCATATTTATCCAAATGGTAAAAGAAAAAATTTAGCGTTTGGTTGTATTGGTGCAAATGGGCCTATTGGAGCTATGGTAGGTGCTTTTATGGCTGCTGTTGTAGGACAAACTTGGTGGTGGCCATGGGAATTTTATTTAATTACGATATTAAGTATTATACTATTAATTGGTTCAATTTTCTTTATTCCGCATTTATCAAATGATGAAATAAATGGTGAAATTACAATCAAGAATGTTTGGCAAAAATTGGACATATTTGGAGCACTAACTGGTATTATTGGATTAATATTATTGAATTTTATTTGGAATCAAGGTCCAGTTGCAGGTTGGGGCAAAGCATATATTATAGTAGTATTAATTATATCAATTTTGCTAATTGTTTCATTTTTTATAATCGAATTAAATTTCAGTACTCATCCATTATTACCAAGATCAATTTTTAATATTAAAGTCGGTTTAATCCTTGCTTGTATTTCATTTGGTTGGGGTTCTTTTGGTATCTGGCAATATTATTATTGGAATATAATTTTAAATCTTCGTCTTTATACTGCAATTGAAGGTGGTTTGACATATACTCCGTTTTTAGTAATGGGTACAATTGCAGCAATAACAGTATCTTTTATAATTATACATACAAAACCAAGTTACATTATCTCATTTGCAACTACTTGTTTTATGGTTGGTTGTATTATGTTATCAGTCATGCCTGTTGAACAATCATATTTTAGAATTTCAATGGGTCAAATGTTTATATTATGCTGGGGAATGGATTTAAGTTTCCCAGCTGCATCAATAATATTATCTGATATTTTGCCACAACATCATCAGGGAATGGCAGGTTCATTGGTTACAACAATGGTTAATTATTCAGTTTCATTATTTTTAGGTATTTCATCATGTGTTGAAATTGAAATTTTTAAACATAATCAAGATCAATTGGGAAGTTATAGAGCTGGATTATATTTTGGTATTGGAGTAGCTGCTATAGGTGTAATATGTTCATTTGTATTAATATTTTTGACAAAAGATGATTTAAACGGTAATGAAGATTTAGTTGAAGAAGTTGAACATAAACATGAAGAAATTGAAGTTCGAAATTATGAAATTAATGATGAATCTGATGAAAAGGAAGAAATTAGATAGAAATATATAGATTATAGAGTTTATTTATAGAATGTCATAATTATTTATTAATACATATATTTATTACTTTCATGTTTTGCACCCAATTTATTTATTGATTATGTGTCTGTCCGAAACAGGAAATCATCTATTATTTTTTTTCTTAATGCTTCCCCAACGTAATAGATTTTGAAAAACTATAAATAGACAACAAATTCCAAAAGATTCAATTTAACAGATAGTAATGAAGTTTAATATATTGGCACTATTATTATCACTCATACTGGCTGTATACTGTCAACGAGTCATACATCTATCTTCACATTCAAATACAATACTATTTGACATAGATCAATCAAATACAACAATACAATTTGAAAAAACCTTGGGAGATGCAAATACTCCAGTCTTATTATTCAAATATGACAAGATTAAGGATTTAAATTTACCAAATTTTGATTATTTGGTGTCAAATTCAAAATTAAATGAATATTATCTAATTGATGAAGGTTTTTCAATACCTAATGACATTGAAGATGTTTATCAAGATACATTAATAGAGGAAATACTGTTTAAGATTGTTAATCCAGGTACTTATATAATCTACACGCCACCAGTCAAACCATTTGAATATAAAGTGTCCATTAACGAAGCTGGTTTCTTTGGAAAGTTCGATCAAATTGTGTTTTGTCTAGTTAATATCTTTTATAATTTCCTAATTCACAGATTGTTCAAAGGAAATACTAAAATGTATTCCATGACTAGAAATATCATCTTATGCAAAGTTGCATTGTTTTCAATCTCATTCATTTTATTATTTTTCAATTTTCAAATTTTTAAATATACCGAAATTTTGAATGGTTCGGCAGAAGATTTATTTACCATTTTGTTTCTTATGGGATATGGAACGACCATGGAAAAAATACCCAAATCAAGTTATTTTTCAATTTTGTTTATAATTTTTCCTAATTTTTTAAATCGATTTTTGGACTTAAAAGAAGATTATAAACATTTAATCACGATAAATAATTCACATTATAATATAATTTGTGGAATTTTGGGAAATGAGAAATTTGATGGAATGCAATGGTTAGATCGAATGAAAAAGGAGAAGAAGATTGGTCAATTTGCTCCTATAATAGCTGCATTATTTGGATTATCTAAATCATTCAAATGCTATATATTTATAAAATACATGAGAAGAACAATGAGAGAAATGAGTGAGAATGGACCAAAGACTAGATTTAAAGTTAGTGTTTTCTTATGGTTGTTTAGTTGGTCATTTATCGTTGCTGGATTATCACCTACTCCATCAAATTATTCAAGTTTTATAAATATAAAAGATTATTCAGGTATAGCGAAAGATGTGTTATTGAAATCATTGAGAAACAAATATATACTCTATTATCTAGATGAGTTTCATTGGTTTATATTTTGGTTAATTTGGTATAATTATAAAGATGGTAAAATTGATAAAATAGAATAGTCAATTGGTAGCATATATATACAATATACAGGATCACTGTTTATTTATTTTTTATTTTTTTTTTATTACGAAATAAATTGAACTAATTAAAGTTACATTCCAATTAGAAACAACTTACATCTAGACTCAAAATAATACATGTCACAAGAAGATCAAGAAAATGAAAGGAGCGCAATCAAAAGTAATGCCACAAATTTTTCCAAAAAACGACTACTTTCTGAAATTTCAACAAATATAATGCCAACATCAACAACAACAAAGAGAAGACAGTCATTAGGTTTTGAAATTGCAAGTATAAAACATCAACAACCGACGAAAATACCAACTATAAATTTACCACCACCAAGTACAACAAGCTCAAGTAGATCTTTACCTAATGATTTTCAAGATCGGATATTGACAATACAAGATAGATTGAAAAGAAAAGGACAGGTTAATGATAATATAAATAAACCAAAAGAGTATAAACCTAGAAAATCAGGCTTTTTGGTATCTAATAATGAATTGCAACAGAAATATTATGGATTGAACGATGAATATAAGGAGAAGCTAAAGAAGATAGAAGATTTAAGTTCAGAATTAAAGGGTCTAAAGCTTATACATCGAAATTATCAATCTAAGATAGAGATACTCATGGGTCAATATCAATCAAACATGAATTTAATAGAAGATTATGAAATGCAAATTATTAAGAATGTAGAAAATGAAGAAAAGATGATCAATTTAAAACTTAGAGAGAATAAAATAAAATTAGAGAATCAGTTTAAGGAATTTGAATCGGTTACAAATTTGGAAATCCAAGACGCAAAGAGTTATAATTTCGAGAATGTAATTAATCAAATCAAGGTATTGAAAGAAGAGAAAGAGAAGTTAGCGTTATCGATCAAAGAATCTAAGTTGTCAAATGATGAGAAATTGAAAATAGAGAATGAGAAATATGAAGAAAGTATCAAATTGGAAATAGAACCATTTGTTACCAAATTAAATGAGATCAGGACAGAAATATTAGTAAAAGGAGCAGAATTGACTCAATTAGAATCTATTCATGCTTCGTTAATGACAGATTTAGAATCATCACAACTTGAAATTAGACAGTTAAGAGAAGAAATAGGATCAATTGAAAAGATAATGAATTCATATCATTCAACAAAATTATCTTACGAAAATGAATCACAAGAATTAGAACAAAAAATAGCTGTTGAATCTCAAATAGATGAAAAGAATCAAGACAATTACAACTCAATATACCAAGATTATCAAGAAGTTTCTTCAAAATTGGAAATTAATGAAAATTATCGTCGAAATTTAGAAAATTCAATAATGCAATACGAGAATAAATTTAGAATCTACATCATATCAAGCACTTCTCAAAATTATAATAAGAACCTTTCACCCAAGACTCCAATCACGTTCATAATTGATGAATTTTCATTCTTTATCAAGAGTGTAATGAAGCAGAATATAAGTATAATTACAAACAACATACCAAGTCCAATTTTAATCAAGAGTATAATTCAAATTATAGAAAAAAAGAACTGGACATTCGAATTAAGTTATCAATCTATGATATTTAATGTAATTGGTAAAAGTGTATTTAAAAGTGATAAGATAATGATTGATGATGATTGCAATATAACTGACAGTGATGAAGGTGTTATTATCCATACTGTTCATGTTAAAGGAAGTAATACGATGAAGAATATCGAGAATAGACTCACTTTGATCGATTTTTCAAAATTGAACACTGTTGAACAGGTGCAATTTTTAAAGAGGTTTGATAGTGATAGAGTAAGAGTGGATGAGATTGATGAGGTTGCTAATTCAGTTGTTTCTAATCTGAAACCTATTTTTGTTTGTGCAATAGATGAACAAGTTGATAAATTTAATGAAATTTTACAAAGTTTGAGAGGTATAGAATGTCCATATAGAATCAAATAAACAATTCAAAAGTATGTTAGAATTATAAAATCTCTCTAACATTTTCTCGAGTTCTTGTTTAACTTATAAAAATCTCTTATAGTTGGTCAGTTGGTAGCGTCATTTATTAATCTCGCAATATGATTGGTCAATTGGGTACCGAAAATTTATAATCTCATGCTAATGTCAGTATTCTATAGTTGAAAAATAGATCTTGAGCTGCAGTTTGTTATTCTATAGCTCTCCCTCTACCAACCTTGCTGGTTCACGAAATATTCGCAATTTCATTTGGCGCTACCATCTGACACTAAGGAGCAAAATCAAAACCAATTTTTATTACACAAAAACGACGTCACAAATAGACAACTTTTCTTTTTGCAACTATTATTTAAATTGTATATTACTTGAACATGACTACTTTTTGCAAGCTTACGCTAATTGGATTATGATCCTCTGCTCTTTTAGTTTATCTTATAAAGCTGAATAACATTAAATATTGTCAATTGTGAAGTAAAACTCGTTAATTTGAATTTTTGATATTTTTCAAAAATCAAATAATGAAGGGGTCCGATTGTTAAATTTTTAGATACATTAGAATCTTCTTGACTTTCTGAATCTAAAACACTTGTTGTCTCCTCATGGAACTGCGTAATCGTGGAGATATTTGAGTGTATAAATAAGGTTTTCGCAAAGACATCTATACAAAGCATACACAAATATAATCAATTGCAACATTTGAAACTCATTGAATTTAATGCATTTGCATTTGAATAACACCATGTAAAAGCCATTTCATCAAAACGACCTCTGAATGAAAAGTGATTCGAGTAATTTTGATTTTAAATCTTGGCTAATACATTAAATTACTTCAACGGCACCTGAACGTTTAAGCAACCCATATTTATTGTAACTCAGTCTCGAGAATATGCTGCAAAAGCCCACTAGTTGCCATCACTTGTAGTTCAAAACTTTTTAAAAATTTAGCTAATTCAAAAGGAAATTTGTTTATAAATCACAAACAATTCAATAAAATGTTAAGCTATCTTGAAATAAAAGCTTAAATCTAATTCTCAGGTGTTAAACGTACATGTAATTTCATCTTTCAGGATTGTCCAACCCTATATATTGAAACCAGACCATTAAAACTTTATCTAGATCGCTAAATTGACCATACCCTTGAAGTAATACCTCGCAGTTATCCCATATAGCTTTGCTAATTACCAATAATCTACTTTTGATAGCATTTTATCTTATTTTAATGAATTTCAATTTTTCGGCCCTTCGATAAAAAAAAAAAAATATATTAATTAAATATCATCAAGATCAACTTGCTTGTTTGAGTTTGACATTTACTACACTGTTTAAGGTGTTATTGACTATTTTAGATTATTAGTTTTGATTGGTTTGATCCTTAAAAGTATGATTAATCAAACAATATAAATTCATGATTTTTGAAGAAATAATAACAGAAGGTAGAAATCATTCTGATGCAAAACGTAAAGCTAAACAACTTCTCGATAATTATAAAGAATTAAAGAAGTTTGAAGAAATTTATAAACAATCAAGTTCCATAAATAAAGTAAAATTAAGGCAACCAAAAGTTAAACAAAAAATCTTAAATTTAATTCAGTCAGAATTAAAGAAGAGAATTAATCCTGAAGAGACATTTGAAGTATGGCATGAAGATGACAAAGAAACTTCAAATTCATCTTGCATCGATGAGAAAATAGCAAACATTTTAAAATCCAAAGATGGAGAGTCTGATCATCATGAAATTAGTGAAAAATTTCATAATTTTATTAGTAAGTTTGATAATTCTGAAAGTTATACCAAAAAAAAGTTTATTATAGAAACTCATGGATTAGAAGTATTACCTATTTTAGATGAAGAAGATCCTAATAATCAAAGAAGTCATTTGAATAAATTAACCACATTATTACATTTAAGTATATTAAGAAAAAATTGGGATATAGCATACAGGCTATTCTGCACAATTATTAGATTCCCAAATGTTGACATTAAATTAATTTGGCCATTGGGTGCTGAAATATTATCACAAATATCAAATGAGAAACTTGAAATGTTTTACAATTATTTAACTAGTTTTCATATAACTAGAAATTCATATAATCCTCAAAATTCAATAATGGCACCTGTTTGGAGAACAGGATCTATTAGTATGGTTCCATTATATTTAATAACTTCATTGTGGTTTGATTTTACACAACGAAAATTTGATTCAGTAATTGAAAAAATTAATGAATTGATTTTGGAACCACCTTATGATTCAGAAGGAACGTTATATTACATTCAGACATTATGTTACTTGTTTAAATCTATTGAAATGGTACAGGCTTATCAAGTTCAAGATGATTTGGATAAAATATCTGAATTAGATCAACCATATAGATCTAAAGATGAATTATTAGCTGAGTTGGATTCATTCCATGATAAAATTTTGGATAATTTGAATAAATGTGAAGAGTTTGAATTTGAAACTCCACAAAATGAAATTACAAAACAAATGGAAATGTTGTATGATATAGTGAATGAAAAAGAAGGGTTAGTAGAGGAAGAAGTTGATGGTGATGATGCTCATAGCATTGAAAGAAGTATATTAATTCAGAAAGTCGATGATGATGATGCTAATAGTTTTGAGAAGGGTATAATTACAGATTCAGAATATCCCATAGATAATGATGATGCTTTTAGTTTTGAAGAAAGTGTAAATGGTGACGACGAAATAGAAAGCGATTTTGATATAGACGTTGCTGATGATGAGGACAAGTTAGCAGATGGATCAAATCAAGAATTGAATAATGATGAGGACAAGTTAGCAGATGGATCAAATCAAGAATTGAATAATGATGAAGTCGATATGAGCGCAATATATGGTCTTTTCGACTTATAATAAGAGATTCATAATCATTAGCAACAACTCAACCTTATAAATGGTATGCATTTGCAACATATGATGCACATTTTGTTTTTTTAAACTCCAACGGTATCAACCTTGATCTGCGCACTAAATTTGAGGCATCAACAGGACAGAATTTAGAAACATTCAATAGAACAACAATTCCAGCACGACAATCTCCATTCTTAAGACAAATAAAACGTAGATTATGTTTTGAGCAAGCGTATTTCATAGTTTTGAGATCCAAAATAAAGCTGTAAAGTCTTCAAAATAGCATTTTTATTCTTATATGGCTTTATCACGTGACTTTAAATTTTGCTAACTATAGTGACGGAAATAGAATTTTTGACAGCATTTACAAATGAAACTAACATCATTCGATAGGTAAGGAAAAAGTGAGTAGTATTAATTAGGGCAATTTCTTTTCAATCTTACTGTGCAGAAAGCTATTGACAGTTTTAACATTCTCTAATTTTCAGGGGTTGGAATTTTTTGACACAAACAAAAAATCTCCAATTCTCGCCACTTTATGAGTGATAAGTTGATCAATAAGTACGTGGACATTAACGTAGTGAACTCTCAATAAAAGCGATTGTTATATAGTATCGTACTTGAAGTTTGGATATGTCTGACTTGAAGAGCTCAATTTCGATCATTGTTCCGTAAATAGTTATTGAAATTATTCACTTTATTGAATTAATAAAGTCTTCGGAACTTTAATAAAGTTGTCAAAAACAGTATAAGTTATAGTCTGCTTTTGTCCGTAAGTATTTATTATAAAGTTACATCATTATATTTATATAAGTTCTAATAATAAATTCTTTAATTCATCATTTGAATCAACTATCATACCATTTGAATTTGTTGAATTTCCATTCATTTGATTATTATTAACTGATCCATTTGCAATACTTACATTTCCATTACTATTATGACCATTTTTTTTTTCATTTTCCATTAATATTTGATCATCATTTAACATTAAATTAAATTTTGAATCATCTCCCAATTGAAATAAATGAGGATATGTTTGATAAGTATTATAAAAATCTTCAATTGATAAAATTGTATCCTTTGAAGAATTTTTACTCTCTTTATTCTTTTCTTCTTTTTTGTCATTATTTAAATCTATTATATCATTATTCCAATATTTATTCTTTCTAAATTTTGTACAATCAATCATTGATTCAATTACTTGTTTTAGATAACTTTCCAAACCTAAACTTATCAATTCCAAAACATTAGGTTGTATATTGTTTGCACCTCCAATTAAACCATGTTCTCGACTTATCATTTTAACTATACTTGTTAATTGATCTTTATCTGGTAATTCATAATTTTGACATGCGAGCGGAGTATTTATACCATTGACTATATCACTTTGCCATTGGACTAATGAATTCACATTCAATTGTTGTTGCTCCTTATCTTGAATCATAGGAATTTTGGGAAGTATAGAATGACGAGTTAAGGTAATAGATGAATTTAATTTATTCTTCTTACCACCTGAGTCCCTTGTAATATTCTTTATTCTCCTTCTTTCTTTTATAGGTAAGGCCATAATATTCGATTTAAATTTCTCATATTGAGTAGATTTAACTTTATTCTTAGATATAGATGATAATGAAGATTTTTTATTCCAAAACGATGAAAATTCATTTGATGTTGAGCCTAAAAATTCATTACTATTTGTATCTTTTAGTGAATTTGCAAAATTTAATAATAATAATTTATTATGATATTGTAATAAGTTTCTCTCCTTTAAAATTGGTGTTATTATTGATACTAACTCAGGTCGAGATAATTTTCCAACTAAAAAATAACTTAAAGTTTCATGATATTTTTCCCAATCTTTTGCACCCAATTTAGATTGAAATTCTCGTATAAGTCTTTCCAATTCAATTCGTTTGTTTGATTTTATTTTGGAATTTGATGGTGGTGGTGGTGGTGGTGGTTGATCTTTATTACTGTTATTATTTATAGGTGCCGTGGGTGTTGGTTGGGATGGTTGTTGATTATTATTATTTTGAATTGGTTGTGTTATGGGTACTTGTAATTGGGTCTGTGATTGTTGTTGTGGTGATAAATCAATCATGTTGATCTATTAAATTTAGCTGCAAAATTGATAATTCAAATTATTATTGAGCTAATAATGAAAAATTAATGGGTATAAATTAATAAATAAATGTTAATCTATGAAGATAAAAGCTAATGATTTGCTTCTATTTATATGTGATTTATATATATATGATGAATCTCTGTTAATCTGTATTATTTTCTTTGATTGATTGATTGATTAATGGATAGTAGTATTATAGATGATTCATTAGTTTCTATGGTTATAAAAGTTAATCTTGTGTTTTTCGGTCTCTAAGTAATTTTTTTTTTTTTTTATTTCTTCAGTTTGGGATGGGCACGACCTGTATATATATTATCGAATTTGCAACCATTTTTATTTATATATATTTCGTTAATTTCAGATTGTAGAGTTGATAGAAGGGATAACAATAATACAATTATTCGATAATGATTTGTAAGTTAAGTATCTGGACTGGTTGGTTAGTTGATAGCATAAGTAAGTCAGTTACTGGTGATAAATCGGTAAAGTTTTATATAAGGTCAAAATCCAAGGACAGGATTAAAAGCATAAAAGGGTGAGCCTTTCATTAAAGAGGGTAATTTTTAACTGGAATTTGGAACGTTGATCCAGTAATTCACTCTAAAGTAGAGAATTCATTTAAACTTGCTCATTTTTTCCATAAATTGAAACCGATACAAGTCTTGATTCATGCCGATGTCCCAGAGTAAATTTCTATTTGGAAGATAACTGTAGCTGCTGCTTTGTGAATAAATTAATCAATTTTTATTAAAAGTGTTGACAAATCGGATTGTTTACCATTTTAGTCGGCTCTATTCCCGGTATTTTTTTTAGTCAAATTTATTACAAATTATTTTATTACTAAACAATAGAAAATTATGAAGACAATTTGACAAATTTGTATAAAGATAGATAATAATGGCATTATTTTAACAATTCGTTTCAATTTCATCAATAACTTTTTCAAGAGTAAAACAACATTTGATTCAAAAATGGCTGAGCATAATGAGGTTAAGAATAATCAAATATCAGAAAATTCAAGTGCATTATCTAATAATACTATAAATGAGTATGAAGCGGATGAAGAAGCTATTGCTGAAAATGCTATCGAGAAAGAAGAATTACCATTACAGCGTACAAGTACCAAGGTATCATTTTTCAATGAAAGATTCACAGCTCATCGCATTTTATTAGTTTGGAAATTTCTAAAAATTTATTTAATTATAAGTATTGGATGTCTTAGTGTATTTTCAATATATTGGGGATCAATGTATCAAAGAGAAACAAGATTAAAAAATTTGAGAATGTTAGTGGTGATTGAAGATGATCAAACTATAGATTCGGTACCTCCATTATTTGGAAATCAAATTAAAGAAGTTCTAGAAACTAAAGAAGCTAAAGAGTTAGGAGATTGGCATATTTATAATAGTACTGAATTTTCAAAAATTGCACAACGACATAATAATAACTCAATTGAACAAGAAGTAATGAGACAAATTCATCATCAAAATTATTGGTCATCAATATACATAAAACAAAGTGCGACTTATAATTTATACAATGCTATTATAGATGGAGATTCTTCATATAATGTATCAAATTCATCTATTCTATCATATTATGAAACTGGTAGAGATATAATTGCAACTGCTCAATATGTAACACCATCAATTGAAACAATCGAAAGAATGTTTTTAGACAGAAATAACATTACTCAATCACTTATAAATATAATTGGAAATATTCCAAATAATCAAAATTCATTACAAGTGTTAGCTCAATCATTACAATTTCAATTTTATGATATGAGACCATCTACCTCAAGTGTATTAATAGCTCCATTACAAATTGGGTTATTATACATGATCATAGTCACTTTTTTCCAATTTCAATTCTTTGCTGATCTACATATGGGAGTAGTTAAGGTTTTAAAAGGTAAACATTACCTAATGTATCGATTATTTACATCAATTTTTTCATATTTTATAATCAGTCTCATGTTTTCATTAGTTACATTAGCTTTTCAAGTTGATTTTACTGTTACTTTTGGTAAATCTGGTTTTTTGGTATACTGGATGGTTTCATTTTTGACTATGACTGCAGTGGGGACAATGAATGAAATTGCTGCTTTATTATTGATACCTATATATCCACCATTACTAGGATTTTGGTTAATATTTTGGGTCATTATCAATATTACACCTACATTTACTCCATTGGCTTTATGTCCTGAATTTTTCAGATATGGATATGCTTTACCGTTACATAATAGTTATGAGATTTCAAAAGTTGTGTTTTTAAACACTTGGAAAGGTCAATTTGGTAGAAATATAGGGATTATAATTGCATGGGATGTTGTTTTGGTGGTATCACAACCATTCATTATAATATTGTTTGGTAAACAAATGGCTAAGAAAATGCAAAAGGCTGCAAAAAAAAAATAAGAAACAATGTAAATAGAAAAGAAGAAAATAATACAAACCAGATTTGAACGGGAATAAAAATTGTTTTATCTCCGAAGTAGATGTATTTTAATTTTTAATGAGGCTGAAGTACATAACGATCTGTTTGATTAAGAACTCTGAATCCATGTGAAGAATGAACCTGAAATCAACCAAAAGGTTATTGAAGAGACCAACTTGTATTAATCTCGTATCTTTGAAATATCCGTTGGATAATTAACCCAATAAGGCTGATGTAACTTATTACCATGCCAAATAACGCAACTAATTATATACAGGTGCTAAATCCTAACTCTTGATCTCTATAAAAGTGACAAAATCAGCTACTAAATTGTTGAGTTTTAGTATCTTGTATATATAATAATGTCTAGTGAATCAACTAGCATCAAAGAATATAATGCAAATAATTCTCTAGAGAATAATGGTGTTGCTGATGATGATGAGCCAGTGCCAATATACAAGCAACCATCAAGAAGAAGTTCAATAGCTGAATCAATATCGAATAGTTATTCATTTTTTCATTCAAAATTATCTACTCATAGAAGAAAATTAGGTCTTAAGTTCTTATTTAATTATTTAGTACTTTCCATTGGTGTTTTAGGTGTTTTTTCAATTTATTGGGGATCGATGTATGGAAGATTAGATAGGATTAAAAATTTAAGAATGTTGGTAGTTATAGATGACATGGATACTATAGATAACATACCTCCGTTGTTTGGAGATTATTTAAGAGAAGTTTTGCAGACTGATGAAGCTAAGATAAGAGGAGATTGGCATATTTATAATGGTACAGAATTTTTAGAAATGGCAAGGCAACATAATGGAAATAATATAACTCAAGAAATAGAAAGACAAGTTCATCATCAATATTATTGGTCTTCAATTTATGTTAAGCCAAATGCAACTTATAATTTTTTTCAAGCATTACTTCAAAATAATGGAGATTATAATGTTTCTGCAAATTCAATTGTGTCGATATATGAAACAGGTAGAGATTTCCTAAACATGAATCAATACGTGACTCCAAGCATACAACTAATAGAGAAACTATTTTTAACCTATCAATCAAATATAACTGAAAGAATAGTGGAAGATACTGATATTTCAATTAATTCAAGAGAGAGAAGAACACTCATATCCACACCTTTCAACTTCTTATATATTGATAGAATTCCATATAATGATCCAGTCCTAGTTGCACCTTCTCAAGTTGGTTTAATTTATATGGTCATTTTAACATTTTTCAATTTCAATTTCTTTAATGAAATACATCAATCAGTGGTCAAATTAGGTGTAAAGAAACTTCACTTTTTGATATATCGTTATTTTGCGTCAGTATTATCTTATTTCATATTAAGTTTATTATTTGGATTAGTTACATTGGCTTTTCAAGTTGATTTTACTGTCACTTATGGAAAATCTGGATTCTTAGTTTACTGGATGATTGCATTCATGACTATGCTAGTTGTTGGTTTTGCAAATGAAATAATGGCAATGATATTAATACCTACCTTCCCACCACTACTTGGATTTTGGATGTTGTTTTGGGTAATTATAAATATTTCACCCACATTTACTCCGATTGCCTTGAGTCCTGAGTTTTATAGATTTGGTTACGCTATGCCTATTCATAATAGTTATGAAGCTACAAAGACGGTGTTTTTCGATATTTCAAAGTATCAATTAGGTAGAAATTTTGGTATATTGGCTGCTTGGATTGTATTTTTATCTTGTGTGTTCCCTTTTGTAGTTGCATATTTTGGTAAGACGATGGGTAAGAAAGTTAAAGAGCAAATGGAAAAAACAATGAAAGAAAGAGAAGAAGTACAAATGAAAGAGAATGGGACAGCATAAAATATAGATGTTTATGACTTAGCCTCATGACTATTTAACATACATTTTAATGATTCAAACTTGTTCCAACGGAACAATATCTACTAATTATTTGAAAATGTGGTATTCTACTAATTAATTATTCAAATGCCTTAAAATTGTTTGGCCGCATCTTATCATAGATATGTGAAAAACTTAAATCTTTTTAAGCGGCTTTACAGCATTTAAATGAAAAACTTATCTCTAAGATTTCAAAATTTTCTGATCTTTCTTTATAAATCTACATTCCTTTCATATTTATCATTCATCTTATCATTCTTTAGTTCGAGATTTTAGCTAAGGTGTTCCATTAATTTGCATTTATTTTTGACAGGATCTATACCAAGAAAAATTCTGAAACATGTCAAATCTTAGTGAATCAATCGATGAGGAAAAAAAAATAGAGTCGTCACACGAGTTGCAAAAAAACTCAATTGATTCTATTTCCGTAAGGCAAGAGTCAAAGAACCAAGATGGAGATGAGATTTATCTTGATGATTTCGATGACGAGGATTTAAAACCTACAAATTGGGTCGATAAGATTGGATTAAGAATTAATGCCGAAATTAGAGGTATTCAAAGAGTTCCAGAGAGTAAAAGATTTGATAAATCATTATTATCGCCATTTGCTATATTCTTATCACCTAATATGTCAATATCAGGACTTGCCACTGGTGTATGTTCAAAATATTTCAATTTGTCTTTTCTTAACTAACTCGATTTCAGGCCTTGGGTCCAACTGCTTTTGGTTTGGATTTTAGAACTTGTATTATATGTATGGTTTTTTTTTATATTATTGGTGCTTTGCCAGTTGGTTTTTATGCTTCATTTGGTATGAGATTTGGATTAAGACAACAAATATTGAGTCGTTATTTTACTGGTAATATCATGGGTAGAATATTTGCAATTTTCAATGTTATTTCATGTGTTTGTTGGAATGCAATTAATGTTATACCTTGTGCTCAATTATTGAATTCAATTAATCATAACTTCCCACCTGCTGTTGGTTTAGTTGTTTTAGTTTTAGCAACTTGTATATTAGCATTTTTTGGTTATAAAACTGTTCATTTATATGAAAGATGGGCTTGGTTACCTTGTTTCATTATTTATATGATTATTATTGGAAGATTTACTCAAACTCATGCTTTTAATTGGGGTGAAATGAAAAGTGGTAAACAAGAAGCAGGTAATGTTTTAAGTTTTATTGCAGTTTTAATTGGTACAAGTTTAGGTTGGTGTCCATCAGCAGCAGATTATACAATTAATATGCCATCAAATACAAATCCATATAAAGTTGCCATTGCTATGATCTCAGGTTTATCATTACCATTAATTTTTACAGGTATACTAGGAGCTGCAGTTGCAACTTCAACAAATATTGAAGGCTCGAGATTCCAAACTGCTTATAATGAAAATTCAATTGGTGGATTAGTCTATGAAATACTTTGCGGTGATAATCATAATAACGGGTATAGATTCATAATTGTTATATTTGCATTAAGTGGAATCGCAAATAATTTACCCGGTTCATATTCGTTATCAATTGCAATTCAGTGTGTTTGGAGTAAATTTGCAAAAGTGCCAAGATTGATATGGTGTATTTTGGGTAATTTAGCATCATTAGCATTTTCAATACCTGCTTATTATTACTTTGAAGAAGCAATGACTAATTTTTTATCTATTATTGGTTATAATGTTTCAATTTATGTTGGGTTAACATTAGCTGAACATTTTATATATAGAAAGGGCTACAAGGGATACAATCCAAGTGATTATAACGATAAAAAGACATTACCTGTTGGTATTTCAGGTATAGTTGGTTTTTGTTTCGGTATTTGTTCAACTGTATTATCAATGAATCAAACTTGGTATACTGGTGTAATAGCTAGAAAATTTGGAGAAGCAGGTGGAGATATATCATGTGAATTAAACATAATATTTGCATTTATAGGTTATAATTTAGTTAGACCATTTGAGAAGAAATACTTTGGTCGTTAATAAACAATTTTTAACAATACTATTTTGAGCCATGGAACAATTATTGACTCCTTCGAATTTAGTACAACAATGCGACATCGACATTCTCAATGTGGAGCGAATCAACAATAATGGTACAAAAACCTAATTATTTCATAGTCGGAATCAAAGTAAATTTACGAATATTGTGTCAATTACTCAGTAATTAATCATAGGTAAAATCAAGAGATGTTTTTGATCCCTCAACTCGTATTACTCGGAGCCAATTTTAAACTTTTTGATTACTCAATTGCTCTAGACACCGCCTACATCTACGTTCTCTCGTACAAACTTTTTTCCATTCTTCCCTTTTCGGTATATTTTGTTCCCCCTTATCAAGCAATTTATATTTTATTTTAATGTTTTTTCTTTCTAGATGCAACATTGAATTCCGCAACTAATCAATTGAATCAATTCGTCTTCAAAAAATGTCTGGTTTAACTAAAGAAGAAGAAAGATTAAAAGATATTAAGTATAGACAATGGGGTTCTTATGTTGGTGAACGTCAATGGGCTACAGTTAGAGAAGATTATTCAGCTGATGGTGACGCTTGGTCAAGTTTCCCTTTTGAACATTCAAAATCAAGAACTTATCGTTGGGGAGAAGATGGTTTGGCTGGTGTTAGTGATAGAAGACAGTTGGTTAATTTAACAATGGCTTTATGGAATGAAAAAGATGAAATTTTAAAAGAAAAATTATTTGGTTTAACTAATTCGCAAGGTAATCATGGTGAAGATGTTAAAGAAGTTTATTATTATTTAGATAATACTCCATCACATTCATATATGAAATATTTATATAAATATCCTCAAACTAAGTTTCCATATAAAGAATTGGTTGAAGAAAATGGTAGAAGATCAAGATTAGATAAAGAATATGAAATTACTGATACTGATTTATTTAAAGATAATAAATATTTTGATGTTGTATTTGAAGGTGCAAAAGCTGATGATAATCCTTATGATTTATATTTTAGAATTACTGCTTATAATAGATCAAATGAAGTTGCTCCTTTACATATTTTACCTCATTTAGTTTTAAGAAATACTTGGGCTTGGGGTACTGATGAAGGTGAATTAGAAGAAAAACCACATATAAAGAAGATTAATGATTATACAATGAAAATAACTACTAAAAGATTTGGTACTAGATATTTATCATTTGCTCCATCTCCAGGCTGTAATGATAATTCACCAGATGTTGAACCACAATTATTATTTACTGGAAATGAAACAAATACTAAGAAATTATATGATCAAGAAAATAAAACTAAATATGTTAAAGATGCTTTCCATGATTTAGTTGTCGATGGTAAAAAAGAAGCAGTTAATCCTGATAATGAAGGTACAAAAGCAGCTGCATGGTTTATTTTCAATGATCAAGGTGGTGTTCCACCTGGTGATTATGTAACTATACGTTATAAATTCACAAAAGATGATTCAGATGTTGATGAATATGAATTGGATCAAATTTTTAACAGAAGACAAAGTGAAGCTGATCAATTTTATTGGAAAGTTTCTCCATTACCAATTTCAGATGAGTTAAGACAAGTTCAAAGACAAGCATTTGCTGGATTATTATGGACTAAACAATTTTATCATTTTGTTCATAATTATTGGGCTGCTGGTGATCCTAATACTATAAAACCACCAGTTAATAGAGCAAATGGTAGAAATAGACATTGGAAACATTTATATATTGATGATATTTTAAGTTTACCAGATAAATGGGAATATCCATTCTTTGCAGCTTGGGATTCTGCTTTCCATTGTATACCATTTGCCATGATTGATCCATGGTTTGCTAAAAATCAAATAGATTTATTATTAAGAGAATGGTATTTACATCCAAATGGTCAAATCCCAGCTTATGAATGGAATTTTGACGATGTTAATCCTCCAGTTCATGCATGGGCAGCTTATAGAATTTTTAAAATTGAAAGAAAAATGTATGGAAGAGAGGATGTTGACTTTTTGGAAAGAGTTTTTCAAAAATTGATGCTTAATTTTGCTTGGTGGGTTAATAGAAAAGATGCCGAAGGTAATAATGTTTTTGAAGGTGGATTTTTAGGTTTAGATAATATTGGTGTTTTTAATCGATCTGAAGCATTACCAACAGGTGGTTCTTTAGAACAAGCTGATTCAACTGGTTGGATGGCTTTCTTTTCATTACAAATGTTAAACATTGCGTTGGAATTGGCAAAAACAAGACCAGTTTATGAAAACATTGCATCTAAATTTTTTGAACATTTTATAATTATAGCTGATGCAATGACATTTAGAGGGGCGGATGAAACTGATGAAAATGCAGCCAAAAATTCATTATGGGATGAAAATGATAAATTTTATTATGATGCAATTAGATATGGTGATCATTATACTCAATCATTACCTGTTAGATCATTAGTTGGTTTAATTCCATTGTATGCTTCATTAACTTTGGAACCTGAATTGTTAGAAAGGTTCCCATCATTTAGAAAAAGATTAAATTGGTTTATTGAACATAAAAAATCACTAGCTGCAAGAAATATAGCATCAATGGAAGCAAGAGGTGTTGGTGAAAGATTATTATTAGCTTTAGTTTCAAAAGATAGATTAGTTGCAATATTGGATAAAATGTTGAATGAAGATGAATTTTTATCTCCATATGGTATTAGATCATTATCGAAATATCATAAAGATCATCCATTTTCAATGAATGTACATGGTGAAGAATTTAAAGTTGAATATTTACCTGGTGAATCTGATTCTGGTATGTTTGGTGGTAATTCTAATTGGAGAGGACCAATTTGGTTCCCTGTAAACTTTTTATTAGTTGAAGCATTACAAAGATTTTATTTGTATTACGGTACTGATTTAAAAGTTGAATGTCCAAAAGGTTCAGGTGATTATTTAAATTTAGCACAATGTGCTCAAGAAATTCAACATAGATTGATTCATTTATTTTTACCAGATGAAGAAGGTAATAGAGCATGTAATGGAGATAATGAAATAGTTAACAAAGATCAATATTTCAAAGACTATGTTCCATTCTATGAATACTTCGATGGTGATACAGGTAGAGGTTTAGGTGCATCTCATCAATGTGGTTGGACTGCTGTTGTTGCTAAATGGATTCATGATAATGGTGTTACTTGTAGAATTCCAAAAACTCCAAGAACACCAATGAAGAGAAGAAAATCATCAGTATTAGTTCATGATTCCACAAATTCAAGTAAAAATGAAGATGATATTATGAAATATTTCCCTAAATCAGGTCCAATCAGTGCCAAATTAACAAGAAGAAAATCTGGAAAATCATTATTAAATTTAACAGTCAATGCATTAGATTTAAATGATGAAGAAGAGGATTCTGCATGTAAAGCAGAACTTTCAAGAGATTTACAAGGTTTGGATCATGGTGCAAATATAACTGATGAAATTTTAAAAGCTGAATTACATGAATTAAATAAAACTCAAAGTGGAGCTTCAATAGATTCAAATTTCGAAGTTAGTGATGATTTATTAGAACAAGTTAAAAATGCATTTAGGAAATATAAATCAAGAAATGATGATGAAGGTGATGTTTCAGGTGATGAATTTGAAACAAGGTATAGAAATTAGGAATATATACACCGTATAATAGAGCTACCTTCTATAATTTATAATTTACCCTGGTACACGATTTTTGTTATCAACACTTTTTATCATTCACCCTTCCATGTCAGATTCATTTGAGACTTATGAAAGTGAATTACAATTAGCTTTACAAGAAGCTAAATCAAAAATTTCACAAATAGATACAGTGGATGCAAGTATGTAATAACATTTGTCACTTAGTTCTTACTAACTTTTAGACACTCAAAAGCAATATTTAAAATCAATTGAAAGTGCCTCAGATGAAGCAATTGAAGTATTAGATCAAATGAGTATTGAAGTACAAAACTTACCATCGAATCAAAGATCTTCATATAATACTAAAATTAGAACATATAAATCGCAAATTGATGAAGTTAAATCCAAATATAATCAATTATTAGATTCTCAAGATAAACGTGAATTATTTGGCAATAGATATACCGATGATAATTCAGGAGATTTAGATTTAGAAAGTCAACAACGTAAACAATTATTAAATAATCATTCATCATTAGAAAGATCATCTCAAAGATTACAAGATTCACAAAGAGTTGCATTGGAAACGGAAAACATAGGTGGTAATATTTTAAATGATTTAAGATCTCAAAGAGATCAAATATCTGGTGCTAGAAATACTTTAGGTCAAGCTGATAATTATATTGATAAATCGGTGCAAACTTTAAAATCTATGAGTAGAAGATTGACTGCTAATAAATTTATTAGTTATGGTATAATTGCAGTTTTGATATTATTGATCTTTTTAGTTTTATTTAGTAAGTTTTCGTAATATATTAATGGACATGAGTATAATTTAAATTAGAAATTTGCTCTTTATTTATCACCAGAATCAGTGGTAACAAATGTATGAAATGTGATCGTATAAGTACATTGTGTGTTGTCAAGATATACCTGAGCTGATAAGAATGTCCATTCGTGGAGCACATGTCTACGTAAAGTTAGATTTGATTTCAGTAGAGAAATTGTATTAAGAGGTAATTCTTAGGGGGTGTAGGAAAACCAATCAAGCACCGAGCTCAAGAGTTACAATTCGAGACTTCAACTTACATTGATCAGTCAACATGATAAAATTACTTTACTTTAAAGCTTCCCAATTTAAAACTTCAGTACTGAAGCTTTGAAATCTGTACTTTTGCATTTGAAAGGTTCTCTAATACTTGATAAATTCTTTTCACCAGTCTTCATCGACAGCAAAAGGTAAGAACATCAATACCCTACTAACAGAGTATACTGAATTAGTCGAAGAGTGAACGGATATAGAAAACCGATTCTGAATGGTGAAGTAGGCTTAACTCTGTTCATTTCGACTCTGAATCAAATGAAAACTAAACTAGACCACATTAGCAACTATCAGCTCAATTAATTCGAATTCTCTTTAATACATTACGTATATATAATTATAACAGCTCACGAATCTTATACACTGTTCAATGTTTCAGATTGTTTCAGTGTCTAAAATTGGTAATAAAATAAATTTGATAGGAGAGCGGATATTATCCGAAAAAAAAAAATCTTCTTCAAAACGGCATTAGTAGTAAAACAAATCAAATCAATAACATTCTTTGCCAAATGTTTAGAAATATATCAAGAAGTATAATAAATAATATAGCAAGACCAAGACCAATTATACTAAGACAACAACAATTACATCAACAACTTAGATTTTTCAATAATTCAAAAATTTTATCGCATGGACATTTACATAAACCAAAACCAGGTGAAGAGTTACATATTACATTTATAACTAAAGATGGTGAGCAATTAACTTATGAAGTATGTGAAGGTGATAATATTCTTGATATTGCACAAGCTAATAATTTAGATATGGAAGGCGCTTGTGGTGGATCTTGTGCTTGTTCTACTTGTCATATTATAGTTGATCCAGAATATTATGATAATATACCTGAACCAGATGATGATGAAAATGATATGTTGGATTTAGCATTTGGATTAACTGAAACTTCAAGATTAGGTTGTCAAGTCAAAATGACAAATGAATTAGATGGAATAAGAGTTGCATTACCTGCAATGACAAGAAATTTACAATCAAAAGACTTTAAGTAGAAAAAAATAAAAGAATTATTTATTAAACTTGTAAATATACAAAATATTATAGAACTTCGACAATAGAATATAATCGTAAAGTGAAATATTGAAGATGAAAAAAAAAACGATGATTTGTAATGAAATTGAAAAAAATAATGAAGGATGCGAGATTCGAACTCGCGCGGATAACAATCCAACAGATCTTAAGTCTGTCACCTTAACCAACTCGGTCAACCCTCCAGATGAGAAACAAACTTGCCAAACTGGCTGATTCTATGTTGAGCAAAATTTGCGTCGCGAGGCAGGTCTGTTTTTTACAGCCCAAATTGGAAATTTTTGTCGGCGGGTCAACGAAAAAAGGTTTAATTTGGAAAAATTTGTGTCGGCCTTTCTGAGTGCTACCAAGTTGGCTGAATTTGAATACAGAAATGAAATTAACAATATAAATTTATTTGCAATCGATGATGTCAAAGAAATAATTTGAACGATTTCAAAATGGCTTACGTAACACTTGATGGTCTTTTTGGCCTTATTTTGAGATGACTGAAGTTTAATTGCGTGATTTATCGATTTTCTGCAAATTTTCGAATCTAAAGGCAAAAACAAACAAAAGAAAGTGTCATGCGCAGAGATCAACCTCAAAATCGTCTGTTTCAGATGTATTAAACTAATGTCTTATGTTAATTTTGAAAGCCACATAGGTATTTACTTATGTAAATTAAAATCTTACACTATTGCTGTGATTTTACTGACTTTACTTTTGGTATTTGTAGGTATATTTAAGTCCACAGTTTGAACCGAGTTTTTGAAATTGACGACTGATTTATGGCGTATTGTCAGTGGCCGGAATTGTCATATTAAAATCCTTCATTATAAATGAAAGTTTTCAAAACTGGCAATAAGTCGGAGGATGAAAATATCTGAAAAGGAAAAATTCCACAAACATTAAGCTCGACTCAAGTGATTACGTCTTTGGTACGAGCTAATATTGTATTCACACTGCCTAATTTATTTTACTTTTCAGTTTTAATATGTCATGTAGAATTTGCAGCAATTTACGCTACCAAACCAATTAAAATAATTACATAATTACATAATTACGGAGACTCAATTATGATTATAAATTATCATTTATTTAACCCAATCAGCCTCTTCAAACTTCACTAAGCATCCATGCTTAAAAGAGTAAATCAAATCAATAAGTCATTGAAGTTTAAACAATTGCAAAACATTTGCATAGTACGATCAAAATGTCAGATATCAAATTTAGGCAAGTTAGATAAGAAATTATCAGAGTTTAAATTCAATAGTGATAAATTCGAATTATCACCAGATATAAATCAACAAGATTATTTACTAAAAATCATCGATGTAGTAAATACGAAATTCGACAAATTGAACAAAAATGGAACGAAATCACAATTTTACGATAAGTTTAATTCCTCCACCGTTCAAGAATTTGAATTTGGTGAAGAGTTAATGATTGAAGAGACTTATGATTTTCATAAATTTGAAGCAGATTTCATAAAAACTAAAGAATTTGAACTTTTCAAAAAAATGTATGAATCTGGCTTAGAATCCTTGACTTCAGAGATTGAAAATCATAATAATTCGCATAATACCCTAACTCCAGAATTACAATTCACGCAGATTTTAAAATTCTTTACCAGTGGTCTTTGCTATTTCATTGATGAATTAAAATATTTTGATGAGATTTATAATTTTGAAGTTTTGAAAAATTATGAAGGACTAAGTGAAAAATTAGATATGTTACCAAAAGATAAGAATGCTCCTTTAAAAGTACCAAATTTGAATCATTTCAAAGATGACGATGATAATGAAATTTATAAATTGGATGATTATGATAAATTCGGAATAATTTTTGAGATAAAATTCAGAGAGTTTAGATTGATCAATCTTTGCAAGTTGTTGAATAAAAACAAGAATGATTCACTACTTGTTGTAAGAAAGATCATTAACCATCCTAACTTCAATGAGTTATATAAATGTGCTACTGAGTCAGAAATCAGAAAATATGATAATGATCCTGAGAAGAATAAATGGTTTCAAATTTGGAAAAGTTTAGTTCAGGATGATAAGATATGTCTTTGTGATAAGTATTGTGAGTTGATTTTTCAATTGTATAGATTGACTATTTTATCAGAAGAAATCGAACAGAGTAACAAGAATAGTAATGATGAGGAATTAATCCAATATCGTGAATTTTTGAGAATTGGCCGAGCTGATGTAAATGATTTTATGAAATATATTACAAATTTATATATGAGAAGGATTGATATTGCAGAAGAATTTTGCAACAGATATAAAGAAGAATTGAAGATGGAAAGTTAAGGGGTAGTAATTTGCAACCAAAAAAAAAAAAAAAAAAAAAAAAAAAACAGAGTATGGGAGAAAGTTATAATTGTTCGTAGTTACAATAATTAACAAATTCAAAAAACCAGACCATTTGTATCTCTTATTGTTAGCTTCAAGATAATTGAATATTGTAGATCACAACTTCAATTAGTCTGTTTTAAGATCAAAAGTTTATCTTCTCCTCTTTTTTTGTCTAAACTACAACATGAACGTACCATTTGCAACATTACGATTTGCAACATTTAAAGGTTGCAAAATATTCTACACGCCCAAATTGAACGTTTCAGAATCATTTCGATGTTTCAAAGTTGTTAAAATATCACATGACACCCTAAAGTCGTGTACAACCTTATTCCCCACAAAACCTAAATGTCAAGCTACCAATTTTGTGTAACTGATAAGGATTTGCAATACTAAAATTAGATTAAGTAAGGAACAGCGACGCGCAAATATGGAACCACAATAGAAAATATTTTTGATATTTAAATCTACAAAGGATCTCTTAAATAATTTTTCTTACGGTTCACTTTTCTTTACTAATGACTTATACATTATTTGCCAATCATTTCCATAATGAAAGACCAATGACGCCATTAGAAGAGGATAAAAATAATGCAGCTGCTACTCCTAAAGATGCTACTGTTACTGTTGAATCAAATGATGCTAAAAACCCTGCTATTAGTTCTTTAATTAAAAATGAAGAAAAACAATCATATCATAGATCTTCAGATAATTTAGTAGTTGGTTTATAAAAAGGAAAATTACGGTTAAAGGTTATTGGGTTTTGTTTGTATTTTAATGTATAAGGTTTATTATCGACTTTTATACCTCTATTTATTAAGTATTGTGTATTTTTAGATGTTGTTATTGATGTTTGTATTTTTCTATACAGTCTATCATGAATTCTATATCCTCATCCTTCAAATTGAACCAATCTATTTTTGCATATCTATCTAATTTCTCCTCATTGTCCTTAATCATATCAAATAAGATAAATTCCCCGAAAAACACTTTAACTTTGAGTATTGGAAATTTCTGAAGTATGTATATGTATCGATCATATGTCTTCAGCTTGAAACTTGGTTCATCAATTGAAATATAATTAAAAATTTGTAGTACGGCATTTATCCTAGTAACATTTTTTGTATTAATATGCAAATTGTAACATTTTATAAATAAAGATTGATAAATTTGCTTTGGGAATTGATAATTACATTCAAACAATTTAAGAAATAATTGCAAGATCATTTGAATCAATTTTAAATCACGACTATTCTTCGGTTTTTCACCTAATAAATTGATCAATATCTTGAAATCTTCCAATGTTGGTTCATATTTGAGTACATTGAGAAATGATTCATTTATTATCTTGGGATTACCAATGTATGAACCAGCTGTAAATACTACACCTTTCCAAAATTCAACATCCTCAGCAGAACTAAGACGTGATCTCATTTCAAATAATCTCTCCCATGTAAATTCCTCATTATTTAATAGTCTAAATGATTTAAATCTAATTTTGTCGAATAATTCACCTGTTAATCTTATCAACTTGAGTTTTATTTCTTCATTCATAATTTTAATGGACTCTATTAGTTCTAACATATTGAATCTAATCTTTGATCCAACGTCACCTTGATCTGTTATTGTATAATCGTCAAATAAGGGATATAATAGAACCAATAAATCATTTGTTAGATACTTTGACTTGGAATTTAGGCTTTTTATCAAATTTGATCTAATATTTGAATCCACTGTTGTATCTTTGATGATGTTGACTATATCTATAACTTGATCATTCTTTAGTTTGCAATTGAAGATTAAATTTGATAGTATAGAATTATGTGGTATAATATTAATCAATAAACTGAAAGGAATGACTTCTTGTTTTTCAAATACATTATTTATTAGCTCCATGTATTCAATCTTGTCTGTCTTAATTATATGTATTAGATTATTCCATTCGGATTCATCTAATTGTCTACCATGCAAATAAATCATATACCCCTGAATCAAATCATGATCAACTTTTAATTTTTCAAACTCAAAATTCTTCAAACAATTATCAATTTTATGCTTAGACATTTGATCCAACTGGTAAAGTATATGATATTTATTATGTTTCACTAATTTAGCCTCAATCTCCTTTAAGTTTATTTCTAATCTTGGTACAATCTCAAGGCGCGACTCTTGTAATAGTAATTTATTCAAATAGCAACCATCATTACAATCATTATCTATAATCTCAACAACCATCATATCTATAAGAAAGCTCAAGTCAATTTTGTCATATAATAAATCAATCATATCCAAACATAAACCATTCAGTAATTTCAAAATATTAAATAATTCCATAAATTGAATGATAAACTCACCTTTCACTTCACCATCCTCAATTTTGAGCATATCATTACCATATCTTCCCAAAATCTCTTGCATGACGGCAATACTACATTTTTTCAAAATCAACTCATGATCAAATACCAACACTTTGATCAAATTAACGAAAACTTCATTAATCAATGGAATATATTTGATGTATCTCACTAGTGACCAGATAATAAAACAACAAGAATCTCTTACTTGATTTCCGAATATCAATTTACCCCTTCTGATCTTGAAAAATAAATAATTTGAAGCTATTGATAACACCTTGTCATTAAATTTTGAAGGTAGATGTTTTTTCAAACTTGTATATCCTAATATTAACAACAATGTGTGAAATTTAGACATGTTGTAAACTGGATCAACATTATCTATTTCGTTTATGATATATTTTATTATTTGGTCTTGATAATTTATCGCAACTTTTGAAATGTATTCGATTATAAGACTTATTGACTTAGCTATCTGATACCGCAATTGCAATTCGTTGTTATTAACATCATTTATTAGGTTGTTTATTATTGATGAGACTGTTTTGTAATCAGAAATGCTAATACAAAACTTAGTCAATTTGGGTAAGATTTTAATAACGTATAAATAATGAAGATTGGTATATGATTCGCCCAACATGTCAAATACCCAATTATAAACCACCTCCGTCTGCTCTTGACTTAATTGTACTCGTTTTAGTATTTTATTAACAGTTAATAAATAACCCAATTTTAAGTTTGGGTCTATATCTTCTTTCAAACCAGTAATGAAATTGTGTAATAGATCGTTAGTATCATTTCTCGTAAGTAGTCGAGAAAGCATAATTGACGTGATGATTTGTAACTTTGAACCATTTGAATATTTCCCAAGATTAAATACCGACAAGCTGTACAATTTCCCACAAATTGAAATTTCCTTGTCATATGGTATGTTATTTAGATTGAATGGGATTAGGACCAAATTACTTAACCAAATCAAGCATATAAATTGCTCAAATTCATGATTTACCAGTTTTTCAATATTAATTAATTTATTAATCAAGTAAATATCAGCTGAAAAATAAACAGACACTTGTGTAAAACTTTTAACTTTTGCAAAATTGTAAATTATCTCTCCAATATATCTCCCAATCACTTTGTCAGTCTCAAATGTGTCTAAATATAATGTAGTTAAATGTTTAATTGGCCATTCGCAATTTAATAATTTTGAATTATTCTCAAATTCATTAACCAGTTTCACTAGCTTCAGTGTAATACCATTGTATACTCTTTCCTTATACTTTTCCAGACTATTTATTCTTATCAATTCATTTATATACTCCTCTATGTTCTTATTTAATTCATCACTTTGTTTGATTGATAAGTTTTGATTTTCATCCATAGACGAAAAAAAAAATATACGAAATAAAATTTTTCAGATCAATTACCATGTCAACTTCAATACCCAAACAACAATTTTATAAGATAACTCAAATAAGAAGTACTATTGGAGTACCACCAAAGCAAAGAGGTATATTACAATCATTAGGTTTTTCAAGGAGAAACCAAATTAAATTTCATCCTATTAATGAATCAAATGCTATTAAATTATTACTAGTTAAAGAATTAATTAAAGTTGAAGTTTCAAATGAAAAATTATCAAATTATGAAATAAATCAAATGAGAAGAATACCTATTGGTTCAGAATTTGAAATTATAAAAAATGGAATGAGAAGAGAATGTTAGAAATAGACCTTGTAATTAGTGCTTAATGTATAATTATTGATTAATGATTTAAGAATGAAAGAGGTTACTGTGATGTGGAATTTGGATAGATGAGCTGATATCATGCTAGATTGACCTTGTTCAAGTATTTGATGATGATAGAGCAATGATGATGATAGCGCAAGACACCGGAAATCAGTGAAAAATTGCAGCTCGAGAGACGTATAAGTAGAAAGGATCATGTCTTTAACAAAGGTTTAATGCTACTCTTATTTTTACTTTAAGTAACTGAGCTTGAAAATTGCTGCAAAATTCTCGAAGATATCGGCAGCGTAAATTTCAGGCTCTTTCGAAAGTTGCAAAACGCAGACCAAACTCAAACCAGCCAGTTTGACCATCATGCAATTATCGCTACATTTAAGAGGATATTAAGAGCTCAATGTATTCTGGTGTTGCACTACTATTGGTTCTTACTATTAAAACATTGAAATCTAACAAAATCAGCACCTCCAACAACAACCCTCACATACGAATCTCAGATTTATGGTCTAATTAGTTTAAGTTTTCTAACTATACCCATTACAAGACGCAAAATTTCAACTGTAAGATTTCACTAAAGCATCAATGGTGATTGGTTAATCTTGAAGTATCAATACTGCATACAGTTTTCCACTATAGACTGAAAAATTATTTTCTGAAACATCGAATGTTTTGAAACCAACCAAGGGCCTTATTCATTTCTATACATATATCTATTCAACTACAGACAATCTATTCATAGACAATTTATTTATTAAAAACAATCTATTCATTCATATTTATCTATTTCAATTTACATTTCATATATAATTTTTTATCATGTTTTATATTAAAGCCCAACAACGTGTAAAATTCACACAACAATTATTTACATCTACATTTGCCATTTGTTTCTTGCTCGTTGGTGCTAATTCAATACTACCATGTCCAGTAGATTCAAATTATGGTAATGATTCAAATGAAAAATTCAAAAAACAACAAGAAATACAGAAAAGAAAACAACAAATACAAGAACAAGGAAGACAAGTGTAGTTTCGAACTGTTTGATTTTTAATTAGTTATTTGGGGGTTAATATGTTATTTATGTTTGCATTTTTCACAATTCATGTATATGGTCATATATGGTTTTTTTATAAATAAACAATATATTTAACGAATTGTTAAAGTAGCCCGGATGACTCGTCAAATTTGAAAGAGGGTTGTTCTACCAGTCCTTTTAATAATTAATTATTGAAGTATCTTCTCCTTGACTTCTAGTCGGGCTTTAGATAGTCATTTCCCATTTTAGAAAAGTCCGTTAAATTTGCCAAAAAAGAACTCTTTAGACTGAGTTGAAGTTACAATAATTCAACGCAATTAAAACTTGCTTTACAATTATTTGGCAAGAAACTCATGACTTCTAATCTAATCTTAAGCCTAATCTAGCGCTCTTGATCGTATTCTGGTAGGCGCTACCAATTGTGTTAACCACGAGCTTGCATTACTCACTGAATGCTCTTCAACAATAGATGCTAGCTAGGTCAGATGCCTTCGAAAACAGTCTTTTGAAAATCATAGCTACTGATATAACTAGCATGTTTATGAAGATTCAAAAAGAAGTGAACCAGCTCACTAAAATCAATGGCTAATAGAACAATAACAGGTCAAATGATACAATTTCATGACAAACATTTCATTTTCTTCATACTAATTTCAGAGATAGCATCGAGGTACCAATATTTATAATGAAATAGTAGAGTATTGGCATTTCAGTTTTTAAATTGCTGCAAAATTAAATATTCACATATGAAACAATTGCCAAATTTGGTCAAATTGTAAACATTCCGAAGTTAAATTCAGATCTTTAATATCAATTAAGATTCTTCCTTAACTTCCTTATCATGAAAGACATAACTAATCAAAACTATCATAATCATTACTATGCAAACGATATTGCAAAAAATTTAACATTTGAACCAATCAAACAGAAACCAAACCAGAGAATAACACAACCAATTTACAAAGAATTCAAACATAACAACTCAGTTAGCCTCGATGATCCAGTAAAAACTATACTTGCAAAATCGCAAGCCAAAATTTCAGCTTATGAATTAAAGATCTATGAAGAACAAAATAATAAGTCAAGACGAAATTCAGTAGAAGGAAATCAAGTAGAACCAGTAGTTGAAAAGAGCACACCTGTAAAGAAGAAGAAAAATAGAGGTGAAGATAAATTGGCTTGTCATGCTGATAATATTTTACGTATGGCTATTGATTCCACAATACTTGGTAGTCTTAATTCATTCACCATGACTGAAATATATTCAGATGATGATTTAGAGAATAGTATAATTGCAAAGAGGAAAGGTAATTTGAAATTCGATATAAATGCAGAAGAATTAAATGCAGCTATAAATGATAAAATCTAATTTAGAATCTTTTTTAAGACTTTAGCTTCTTGTATATCATATTTTAATTCGTTAGTCCAGACATCAGATACATCTAAATCCTTCAAATGGCCTAATAATTGTGAATTTGTAGTGGTTTCAGTTATGGAGTCTAAGATTTTCGACAATGAGTCATCCTTGAGTAGAAAATGTCTAGGAAAATGAGCTAATCTTGGGTCTGATTTTTCATTTGGATAATCTGTAATGTAGTGGAATAAGTAGTAAGTTATTGCTGGTGCATAATTTGATCTAAAACCAACTTCAATTAGTTTCATGTACATCTCAGGTGTGACTATAAACTTATTCGACTTTAAGTACTTGTATAATATTAATGAACATTGCTTCTTATTTGTCTTTGCTAAATTGTCTAGTATTACTTCAAGTGATAATTGATCAAATATGTCCTTTATTTTTGAATTCATATAGTGAAATGGTTGTAGAACATTTAGTTGACCCGTGAAATTGAGATACATCTTTTCAAAAATCAATAAACAAGTTAGTAAGATTCTTATTGTCTCTTGTGAATAGTTGTTATCTAGACAATATGAATAATGTTTAGTTATGAATTCGTTTAAGTTCTTCAAGTTGGCAAGTGGTATTGAGTTACGATTTATGTTTATCGCCTCCTCTTCTTCATTCACTTTCTCTTGTTTTTGTTCTTGTATTTGTTCTTCAATTTTTATATTCTTGAATTTTGAACACATTGCTACATGTATATCACTACTTGAAATCAATTCAGCCCCAATCTCCTTATTTTTATTAATAAACGTCTCAATTAGATCCAACACTTTGGTCATGTCATTATCTTCAGAGTAACAATAACTCTCTATAATTTTTATACATAATTCATTATTAATAGTATTAGTTTTGACACCCTTATATACATAATGACTTTCAATTAAATCCAAACTTGAATTAATGTCACCATTAGTTGAAAAACAATGCAAGATTTTGAAAATTAAAGAATTGGTAAGACTGCTGAACACTTCTGAATCTATTCTTGAATTTAAAATTACATCATCTAATGTTATCTTCCCATCTTTGAACTGTGCCATTATGAAATTCGTATAGATAAACTTTACTAATTGATAATGATTCTCCAATAATGCTAAATCAAGACACTGTAACCATAAGAAACTTGGAATGTTAGATAATGTAGTTTTGTTTAATAACGAATATAGTCGATTTAATGAATTGGTGTCATTGTTGGTTATGAAAGTTTTAATTATGGACTTGATTGGTAGTCTATTCACATCTAGTTCTTTGTTATGTAGTTCAAATAAATTGGTAATTAATAGTTTTGTCTTGTTTGTATTTATCAAATTCGTAAAATATGTTTCATAATATATATCCTTCAAATTCAGCTGCTGTTTTAGTATATTATTCCATAGCAGGTTTAAAGTTTGTATTGTTCCAGACCTATCGTTAAACCTAAAGATCCATATAATGACATGACTCAATTGATACAACTCATGGCCATTTAAACATTTTACCCGCAATGTCTTGTAATCATCCACTAGGTACTGATAGTTATATCTAAACTTGTTCTTTTTCCAATTTGATAACAACTTAACGTATGGATATTGTAAATTTTCAATCTTCGATAGTATTTTACTTAATACTTTCCTCTGATCATTCAAACTATTTTCAAATTTTGAAACAATTAAAATTAATTCATGAAATATGAGATGTTGTGATTTATTCAATTGTGATAATGGTGATAATCCAAGCGCATTACTAGCTGGCACATTCTTAATCACTGAATCTAAACTATCGAACATTGTGGGTGGTGGCGGTATTTCATTATTGTTTTGAATTAATTCATTATTTTTAGGCAAATTTCCATTTCGTATTCTTTCGTCATGTAATTTAGATATTTTAGCGTACCATTGTAACTTTATTGGATCAGAAGTCTTATTCTTTAATATGTTTGCATGTTTTGTTAATGATTTTATATGTTTCATATAAATTTATTTGACCCTGCATCGAAATTTTTCAGGAAGCGCAGATCAAGATTAACAAGAAGGATACATGAAAACAATTAGAAGTTTAGCTACAGCAGCTAATAATAATATTAAAAAGCCATCTAACTCACCACAGTTTAACGTATTTGATAGATCAACAAAATTAATTCATAGATCAAAATATGCAAAATTAGATCCCGAATTATCAAGAAAGAAGGACTACTTACGTAACGAAATTGCAATTAAAACTATAGAAAGATTGGCATTTATAACTAGACCATTTGATAAATTATTAGATTTTGGATCAAATTCGGGTAATTTTCTAAATCAATTATGTACAACTTCAAAACTCCCAAAAGCACTAAGTGGTGATGAAGTTGAAATTAAAATAATAGATCAATTAAATAAAGATAAAGAAGTGGTCAGGAACAAAATAAAAGATGTATATTTATTTGATTCTTCTGAATCATTATTAAATAGAGATTCATCCCAGAAACTAGATCATCCATTCCCTGGTAAAATTCATAAATTCATCGCTGATGAAGAATCGTTTGATCATGAAATACTCCTTCAAAATGAAAATCAATTTGATGCTGTCATTTCTAATTTAAGTCTACATTGGATAAATGATCTACCTACCACATTATCAAATATAAACAAAATTTTAAAACCAGATGGTTTATTTATGGGAACTGTTTTTGGAGGGGATACGTTATATGAATTAAGAACATCATTACAATTAGCAGAATTGGAAAGAAAAGGAGGTATGTCTCCAAGAGTATCACCATTAATACACTTAAATGATGTTGGAAACTTATTAAATCGTGCTGGGTTTTCAATGTTGACTATTGATGCTGAAGATATTATAGTTGGTGGATTCCCTGACATCATTTCCCTCTGTGAAGATTTACAAATTATGGGAGAACAAAATGCTGTTTTATCTAGATCAAATTATTTACCAAGAGACGTATTGTTAGCTGCTAATGAAATATATAAAAGTTTACATGGTGAAATTCAATCAAATGGTGATGTATTATTACCTGCGACTTTCAATATAATATTTATGATTGGATGGAAGAAATCAAAAGATCAACCACAGCCATTACAAAGAGGAACTGGTGAAATAAATTTAAAAGAAGTGTTGTAGAATTGAAATATATATGCCAATTGAATACCTCCGAGGATAAAATATTTAGCTCTAATGGCCAAGATTTAGGTCGACTAGTTAGCCCCGCACTGGAATTGATCTGGTACCACTTTTCTACCACTTTTCCGTGCCGCAAATCACGCGATAAACTAACGAACTGCATACAAAATTCACAAGCAAAATTGATTTTTATCGCCTCCCCAGATTTTAATTTTGACAACCAACATACTTCTTTTTATCAACTAGTTAAAATGGGCAAATATAGTAAAAAACAGTTATCATCATCTGATTTGAAACAACAGATTACTTTGCCAACCTATAAATTAGATTCAAATTTAGTTTTATTACCTGGTATAATTTATAATGTTACATTTTCAAGATTTAAAGCTGCTGCTTTATTATATAGATTTAAGAATTTAGTATCACAAGTATCAATAATAAATAACTTAATCAATGAATATAATTTCAGAGAAGAAGACGGAGAAGAATTAAGTAAAGATATCAATTATAATCCAACCGTTATTTCAAAATCTGCAATCGAAGGAATTTCCGAATTTTTCAAATATGAACAAATATCAAGAAATAACTTAGATACTGCTGGTTTTGAAGTTGATTCAAATTTAAGTAATGAATTTGATTGGTTAACTATGGCTATAACTCCAAATCTTGACAAAATTAAAGATTATCAATCATTAAATATAAATACAAGTATTGTAACCGTGGTTAGAATAGTTGGTATTGTAGATGATACAACAAATATAAAATTGACATTACAAGCTATATCAAGAGGTGTTATAGTGCTGCAACCAAAGCATAAAGCTAAAATTAATGAGTCGCTAATTTCAATTGATTGGAATAATGATGTCATTGATTTAAAGAATAAGTTTTTAAATTTGAGAACAAATTACAATAAATTATATAAATCTATTGAGAAATTCTTGATTGATTATAGACAAGCTTTGAATAATAGTATAATCAACAAAAATGGTAATAATTTATCATTAATTAAAGAAACTAAAGAGGATCATAATAAGAAGAATAATAACCCGAAAGATCTTGATCTATTAACTTTAAACCCCTTGGCTAATGCTTTATATTTGCAATTGGCAGGTTCAAAAGATTTCACAAAGGCTTTTGTCTCATTACATAAGTTATTTTCACAATTTTCTTCAGCCTCACAAGATACTAAAATTGATAATAGAACTTATTTAAGATTAATTGATTTAACTTGTGGAATTTTACCCTTTCCAAATTATGAAAAATTAAACCTATTAAATCAATATAAAATTGAAAATAGAAGTGAATTAATAAATTCAATGATTTTACAATTGATTGATATCTTTAATAATTTACAAGAAAATAATTCATTTGTAAATCACTGGTTTCATAATGAAGCTACAAATATCCAAAAAGCAAATGTAGTTGCAAATCAATTAAAAAATATTAGGGTTTTATTAGAAGGTATGACTAATAAACATAGGCAACAGCAGCAACAAAATCAACAGAATAAAAAGCCAGTTTCAAGGAAAGTCAAAGATGATAATGAAGAAGAAGATATTGACGATGACGATGATGATTTAAATGCAATAACAAATTTTGTTAAAAATAAATTACCTAACATATCATCAATTTCACCAGATTCAAAAAGATTAATTGTAAAAGATTTTAAAAGAATTAAATCATCTGCTAATTCTCCAGGTGGTAATTCTGATTTTCATGTAATTCGAAATTATCTTGAAATTGTAATGGATATTCCATGGGATCAATATATTACCAAGTTTAAAACAAATAAAGAAATTGATTTAAAAGCAGCTAAGAAACAATTAGATGATGATCATTATGGATTAGAACATGTTAAAAAAAGATTAATTCAATATTTAGTTATTTTGAAATTATTAGGAATCAATGCAGAACAACATTTGCATGAAAAATTGAAAAATGATAAAAATAAAACATCGAATCATACTTCATCACCTACTAATTCAAATAGTATTGTGTTAGCAAATAATGATGAAACATATGTTGCTAAACAAAAAGCACAAAATAAAGTTAAACAATCAATTAATGACACTAATAAATTTGATAAATCTATCAATGAATCAATTCAAGTTTCGAAGAATAATAAGTCACCAATTATTATGCTTGCTGGTCCTCCAGGAACAGGTAAAACTTCTCTTGCAAAATCAATAGCTACTGCGTTGGGCAGAAATTTTCAAAGAATTTCACTTGGTGGTATTAAAGATGAAAGTGAAATTAGAGGTCATAGAAGAACATATGTTGGTGCTATGCCAGGTTTATTAATTCAAGCATTAAGAAAATCAAGATCAATGAATCCAGTAATTTTATTAGATGAAATTGATAAAGTAATTGGTGGTAATTCTGGTGTTAATAAATTTAATGGTGATCCATCAGCTGCATTATTAGAAGTATTGGATCCTGAACAGAATTCAACTTTCATTGATCATTATATTGGATTTCCTGTTGATTTATCGCAGGTTATATTTATCTGTACTGCTAATGAACCACATAATATGACGAGACCACTATTGGATAGATTAGAAATGATTGAAATTGGAGCTTATGATTATAATGAAAAATTAATAATTGGTAAAAAATATTTATTGCCTAGACAAATTAAAAGAAATGGGTTCCCTGTTGAAGATGACGTTTCTAAATTTATCAACATGGATGAAAATACAGTGAAAAAAGTGATACTTGATTATACTAGAGAAGCAGGTGTTCGTAATTTTGAAAGAAGATTAGGTACAATCTGTAGATTTAAAGCTGTTGAATATTGTGAAGCTTTAAGTAATAATGACATGAGTACTTATAATCCAATAATTGACGAGAATGATTTACCTATATATTTAGGAGTTCCTTATTCACATGGAGATTTTACATCTGCAGAGTCATCAACAAGTATAGGAAATTCAAGAGTTGGTGTAGTCAATGGATTATCGTATAATTCAGAAGGTTCTGGTTCTGTTTTAGTATTTGAAAGTATTGGATTTGATAGAAGATTTGGAAAAGATGAAAAAGATGGTGGTAGTAATGTTTCATTAACTATGACTGGTAGATTAGGTGATGTATTAATGGAAAGTGGTAAAATTGGATTAATTTTCATTAAATCAATGATTTATAAGAATTTGATCAATGGGGATAATAAATTACTTCTTGATAAGTATAATAGTTTAGATATTCACATGCATGTACCAATGGGGGCAATTTCGAAAGATGGTCCATCAGCAGGTTTGGCAATGGCATTATCTTTCCTTTCAGTTATATTGGACAAACCTGTTCCATCAGATGTTGCTATGACCGGTGAAATAACTTTAAGAGGTTTAGCATTACCTATTGGTGGAGTAAAAGAAAAATTAATGGGTGCTCATTTAAATGGATCAATTAAAAGAATGATTCTCCCAAGAGAAAATAGAAAAGATTTAATTGAAGAATATACTAAATCTATAGAAGAAGCCGGCGAACATATTGATCATAATTTTATAAATGAAATTTTAAAAGATAATGATGAAGATCAATTTAAAATGAATCAAATTGAAATTTATTATTTGAAAAGATATGGTATTCAATTATATTACGCTAAAGAATTTTACGATGTTGTTAAGATAGTATGGAATGACGAATCTATATTAAATGAAAAAATTAATAATAGGGAAATGATGGAATATCATATTTAATATATTCAAGTTTTTTGTCTTTTAGAAGATCCTTCAAAATTGATTGATCTCTTTTTACCTTCTTTTTGGAAATATTCTTTCTTTCGTTCTTTTTCCTTTTCTTTTCTTAATTCTTCAACCTTGGCTATTTTCTTTAATCTTTCTTTAAACTTTTCATCTTTTTTACTTTTACGTTTCTGTTCTTTTTCTTTACTTATCGTTTGTAATTTTTGTATCAAATCACGCTTCTTCTTTTCTTCACCACCTAACACAACTGCCCTCTTAGCCATATATGTTTTCTTCTTTTGTGGTTTCATTTCTGATATTTGTGACTTATAAGGTAAGTCAGCCTTGATTGACCTTGGTACTTTCAAAGGATTAAATCTTCTTTCTGGTCTTTCGATTTTTTTATAACTAGAATCATTGTTCATTGGAGTTTCAATTTGTTCATCAGCTCTAATTTTACCTGTTAATCTCATACCTTGCCATTCATTATGATCATTTAATAATAATGAAGTAACTGGATTATAAAATTTCTTGACTTTAACAGGATACCAGGTTTTCAAAAATATAATATCAGACATTAAAATTTTATCTTCAAATGTTGCTCTATAATAACCATCTGGTTTAGATAATGCACGTTTAATTTCACCTCGTATACCTGAAACTGTTCTAATTTGAGCACCTTCAAATTTTGCAACTTCCAATGCATTTGAAAACATATCTTTAATAAATGCAGTATTTCTGAAAATTTTATATGGATAACCTACTAGTTTTAATTTTTTCACAATTTCAACTGAAGAATTTATATCTTCTATTATACCAGTTGCTGAAACTCTAAAAGCGCCAGTAGTTGATTTATTATCAATTATATTAAAACCAACGAATGTTGTATTTGGAGCAACTAAAGGTCCATAAAATGATGCAAAACAATAAGCATGTTCAGGAGTATATTTCAACATCCTATTTCTTGTTCTTGAATCAGATGTGGTATATATAGGTAATGTTTGAAATCTTCTCCAACCTAATGATAAAATTAATGGATCTTGTGTTTTTAATATTTTTTTATGCCAACGATGCCTTCTTATTCTTGCATTCATTACACCAAATCTTAATTCAGTAGATAATAAACCACCTAAAACTAATGGGAATTTAGGATTAAAATTATTTATAAATTCACAAGGTAAATTAATAAATGTAATTTTAACATATGAGCCAGCTTTATAACCTTCTACTTTCATTCTTTGTTCTGGTGTCATTTGATCATATTGTTGTTTATTGATTTCTAATTGTTTGGCCATTTTATTCTTTTGAAATTCATACCATGTTTCAGCTTCAGTATCACCTTCAGGATCTTCAACACCAAATTCACGATCTTCTTCTTCTTCAAATTGCATTTTCAATTTGGCTTTCTTGGCTGCATTTAATTTACGTTGTTCTTCAATTGATAGATCTGAATTATCTTCTGGTTCATTATCAGACTCACCTTCATCATTTTCTTCTTTATCGAAATCGGCAAAATCATCTTGATTATCTTCTTGTTCTTGGTTTTCTTCCTTTTCTTCTTGATCTTCATTTTCCAAATCTTCAAAATCACCATATAATTCTTCATCTTCATTACCCTCATCTTCTTGCTTTTCAGTATCCACTTCGTTTAATTTTGGAGCTGTTAATAATCTATTCTTTAATATCTTATAACCATTTTCATATTCTTCGTCTGAATTTGACTCCTCTTCAAATCTTTCTTTGAGTACTTCTAAACTTGGAAAGCTTGGTTTTATACTATCATCTTGATCTACTTGTTTAATTTCTTTCTTTTTGAAGAAATCTTCTTCGTCATCTTCTATATTTTCTTCTTTTTCTTCATCTTCTTCACCTCTCCATCGTTTCAATACATCTTCAGGTTCTATATTTGGTAGATATAATAATTTATTAATGTCCCAATTTCTTCGTATTGATCCTTTCAATTTTTGTGCTGTATTATAATAACCATTTTCTTCGTCATCAGAAGACAATGCCGAATCTTCAACGTAATCTAATTCTTTATCACTATATTGATTACCAAAATCTACTTCAACTTTTCCATGTTCAAATTCATCAATATCTTCTTCTTCTTCATTATCTGATAATTCTTTATCAAATTCATCATCTTCACTAATTGATTTACCATAAACTTTAGCTTTTCTTAATAATGTTCTACCTGTATCCACTATAGTTTCTTCATCAGATAATAAATCTAACTCTGCTTCTTCGTCTTCATCTACTTCATTTAATGCATTCGAATTTGAAAATAATTGTAATCCTGGTCCTTCTTCAAATCTTTCCTTTATTGTTTTTGAAACATCTTGTAAATCAACAACTAATTGTTCTCCTTCACCTTTATTTTCATTATCCTTATTAAAATTATTACCAGTATCTATATAAACAGCATCTTTATCAACTAAAACACCACCAACATCAGACATAGGAGCATATATGATTTTCTGTTTATCTTCCAATCTTTTCCTTCTTCTAGTAGTAGTTCTAGCTGGTTTTTCACCATTTTCAATCTGTTGTTTTATCTTTTCACGTTCAATTTCTTCCAATTTTTGTTCAAAATATGGTGTAGGACATGGATCAGGTAATTTTTCAACATTTGCAACTTGATAATCACCAGCACCACAGATATGAACCATTTGATTTTCATAATTCAATGGTGTACCATGTAAATAACCATATATCGCAATTTTACGATCACATTTTGGATTTTCTTGTATTGTCATTGGATGTGTGAGGTCAGTTATTCTATCTGCTAATAAATACGGATGTTCATTTCTCCATTTCAAGGGTCTGAATTTCATAACTGATATAAATCGACACAAGTTTAATATCTCACGATCTGGATATCTTCCATTAATAACACCAGATAAATAAAATAATTTAGCACCTTGGTATACTTCAGTCCAAAATCTATGCTTCAATCTTTTTTTGGATAATCTTAATGTCGATTGACTTTTAAATAAATCTAAATGAGTAGCAACACCTAGAACTCTAGGCATACCATGATGTTGAGCAATATTTAAAAATTCCATAGTCTCCATTTCTAAACCATAATTACCATCAATTAATAAAAGGACTAAATCTGCTATTTTAGCAATGTCAATCATTGAATTTAAGTCATTTCCAACTTCTATAAATGTCAATCTTCTTCGTTTACCACTGACAACGGTAATTGGACCATTTATATCTTGTAATGTAGTTTTTGTCAATCTTCTAATTAACGACTTTATTAATGTAGTTTTACCAGTACCTGGAGGTCCAACAATTGCAACTATAACTGGAGGTGGATCATCATCTGGTGTACGATCAACCATTGGTACATGTAATTTCCGTTCATTTACATCATGACTTCTTCTTGCCATTTTCTCTAATTTTCTGGGAGCAGCCACAGCAAATGCTTTTTTATTTTGACCATTTTGATGTAGCTTCTTCTTTGCTGGAGTTTTATTTGTACTCCCACTCCTATGCGGTTTATTCGATTGTTCCATGGTTATTTTATCCCAAGGTAATCCAATCTGTTTTATATTTTTTCATCTCATCTACAAACGCATCTTAATATTTATTATGTAATCAATCTAATATTTTGCAGCAGATCAAACAAAGTTGCAAAATGAAAATATGTTATTGATATTGATACTATACTATCTACGTCTAGCTAGTTCCACCTTGTTGTATAATAAGTATAAAGTATGTAGTCCCCAAAATGGTATCATGCCATTCACAGGTTTTAAAATAACCAGACAATATAAAATTACAGGATATGCTTCACCTGCATCAATGCATTTCATAACTATTTCACACTGTAATCAAGGCAAAGTAGATTATCAAAAAGTATTGAGAGTTGATTCTTCAAGTGTTATAAATTGGGACAAACCATTTTGTATGTTGAAACCAAAACTAGGAGAAAATAACTTAAAAGTAAACGAAGAAGGAGATGTAGACGATGACGAATTTATTGGAATATTTGGTTTCATAATGCTAAAGGGCAAGAAATTGCAAAATTTACTTCGTAAGAAAATTGACATCAGTTTGGAACAATTATCAAATGGAAAATGGGTGGAATATTCTGGAAAGAACAAACAATTCAAATTTGAAAAATTCAAATTAAAAGATCCACTAGAATCATTGAAGTATGAGTCAAAGAACCTAATATGTTATAAAATGGCAAGGAGGAAAAAATATGCCAAAAGAAAGATATCATTCTACATTCCTCAAACTTTTGTTGGTGGATTATTTGAATGTTTTTTACCATTAGATATCAAACAACAAATTTTGACTGATTTCGTAAACTCTAATGATTTAATAATTCAGCAATTTGAATTTAATTGTGATCCACAATTATCTAGACCAATCATGCCACTCATTGCTGAAGATTCAACTGTCCAATGGTTTGAAAATAAATTATTAAATTTTATAAATCCAGGTATTATTCAAACTATTCCATATTTATCAACTGCAAGTCCTTGGGATTTAAGGTTCTCAATCAGCGAAACACCAGATATGTTTAAAGATACATGGGCTACAAAGATTGAAATAAATGAAAACTATAATTATAATGAAGCTGATTTACATGTTATTACAAAGGCAATCACGTACCTGGCTAATTTATTGAATAAAATAATATCACCAATAGATATAAATAATTTGGTTAAAAATTACAACAAGGCAAGTAATAGAGAGAATCCAGCAATTGAACAACTTGTAATGAATCAATATAATTTAACAAAAGAGGAAAGGATAAATTTATGGTTTGGACTAGGGAACAAGGAACTGATCAATAAAGTCTTGACCAAAATTGAAAGATTTTGGGATAACCTAACTAATGAATAGTTTAATATACAATACTATTAGTAAATAAGTTCTCTAAGTTGGCATTGAAGAGACTGAAGGAAAAACAAAGTCTTTAAATTGACACGGAACTTACACGAAGCAAAGCATTCACAACCATACACTATAATATGACCATTATACTAAATTCGCTTAACTACGAGAGCTAATATAATGGTTAATTTGAAGCCACTGCAACTTTATTTTTTAGGTTCCAACATATGTTGTTCGTTTTTATTAAATAGAATCTTCATGTTTTAGGCGTTAAAAAGAATGGTTGTGGTGCTACATGTGTTGTTATATTCTAGTAAAGCTCAAATTGATTAGAATCTCAAATCATTCTGCAATTTTGAAGGAACAACTGATTATCGTTATATTGCATTGTAAATATAATGAACCAATTGGTAGCATCGGCACTTTTTCGTTTTTTCTTCATAAAAAAATCTCTCGTAAAATTATCACCATTACTAATAATAGATTAGCGAAAGATCCATCATAATATAACACTTATTATATCAAATCATGGCAGTGTCAAATGACAAATCAACTTCTAATGGTAGTACTAATAAAGTTGCGTCACCATCTACAAAATCACCTATAAAAATAACAGCGAACGGCCATGATGAAAATAATAATTCTAAAGATCAATTATTCACTATTAATGATATAATACCTGGTTGTAAAGTATATGCTGAAAAAGATGGAGAAGAAAGATTAGCTGAAATATTACAAGAGCATCTAAAAAAAGGACGCAAAGTATATTATGTCCATTATCAAGATTTTAACAAGAGATTAGATGAATGGATAGAAATATCAAGAATAAATTTTAATAAACCGTTGATTCTACCGGAAGTTAAAACTGAAGAAACAATAAAGACAAATAAATCAAAAGTGAATAAGAAAGTTAAAGTCTCCAAAATGGATAAATCAGCATCTGCAACTAGTAAACATCTAATAACTAAAAAAGAAAAAGAACAACAACAGGAAAATAATGATGCTATAGAGGTTGGAGAAGATGAGTTAGATCTTGAAAATTTAAATGTTCAAGGTTTAAAACGACCAGGTGAAGAATTAAATCGAGAAGAAGAAATTAAGAAATTACGTACATCAGGTTCAATGACTCAAAATCATTCAGAAGTAGCTAGAGTGAGAAATTTAAGTACAATTATATTAGGTGAACATATTATTGAACCATGGTACTTCTCCCCATACCCAATTGAATTGACTGAAGAAGATGAATTTTATATTTGTGATTTTACATTATCTTATTTTGGATCCAAAAAACAATTTGAAAGATTTAGATCAAAATGCTCATTAAAACATCCACCGGGCAATGAAATTTATCGAGATTCAAAAGTTAGTTTTTGGGAAATTGATGGTAGAAAACAAAGAGTCTGGTGTAGGAACTTATGTTTACTATCTAAATTATTTCTTGATCACAAGACATTATATTATGATGTTGATCCATTTTTATTTTACATCATGACTATTAAATCAGAAAATGGACATCATATAGTAGGGTATTTTTCAAAGGAAAAGGAATCTGCTGATGGTTATAATGTTGCTTGTATTTTAACATTACCATGCTATCAAAAAAGAGGATTTGGTAAATTATTAATCCAATTTAGTTATATGTTATCAGCAATTGAGAAAAAGGTAGGGAGTCCCGAAAAACCATTATCTGATTTGGGTTTATTGAGTTATAGAGCATATTGGACAGATACATTGGTGAAATTATTAGTTGAAAGAAATAATCCAAGTTTATTTAAAAAGAATAACCCCCAATTAATTGATGAACTAGATGAATCAGATATTGAAAATTATTCAACACCACCACCAAATTTAACATCATCAATACTGAAAAATTTAAATGAAATTACAATTGAAGATTTAAGTTCAATTACATGTATGACTACTACTGATATTTTACATACTTTAACTAGTTTACAAATGTTGAGATATTATAAAGGTCAACATATAATTGTATTAACTGATCAAATAATGAGTATGTATGAGAAATTAATAAAGAAAGTAAAAGAAGGAAAGAAACATGAATTAGATCCAAAATTATTGAAATGGACTCCTCCATCATTTACTGCAAATCAATTAAGATTTGGTTGGTAACAAGCAAGGATGCAAATAATACATTTGATTATATTCAATTCTATATTTCATTATTTAAATCACCCCAAATTTTAATACTTTTATCACCTTCACCAGTAATCAATCTTAACCCAGACATATCAAACACAGAACTATAAATAGCATTATCATTCTCATTACCAGGTAATCCAGGAGATTTACCCAGTTGTAGTAAATTACCAGTAATATAATCATAAATTTCAATTTTACCATTATCATACCCTGAAAAAAGTTGATTTGATATAGGATTTATAGCTAATGAATTTATAATCTCATCATTATTCTTCTTTTCAAAATCATTTAATAGATCTCCTTCAGGTAGTATCCATTGTTTAATATTCCCATTTGAATCACCACTAACAAAAGTTCTTTCATTTGGATGTAATTTCATTGATCGTATAGATTTAGAATGTTGAGTTATGCATAATTCAGTCTTTGTCTGACGTAGATCCCATAATCTAATCGTACCATCCATTGAACTTGTAATTACTTGTGGATCATTCAGATCTGTTTCAATAGTAGTTATATCATTTCTATGACCTAATAATATCATTATTTCATTTCTACTTCGTATATCCCATACTCTAACACATGAATCTTTACCACCACTAAATAATAAATCAAATTCGGGATGAATTGACATTGCGTAAATACCACCTAAATGACCATAATATTGTCTTATTTGACAACCTTCAATTGAATTAGTCCTTTCTAAATCCCAACACTTTATAAGTTTATCCTCTGATCCAGATAACAAGTAAGGAAACTTTTTGGAGATTATTAATGATCTTATACCCATTATGTGACCCGTTAACGTTGTTTTTAAGTCTAATTCTTGATTTAAATCCCATATTTTTATAGTTGAGTCTTGTGAGCCCGTTATGAAGAACTTATTCGTTATTTCATCTATTGCAATTGACCTAATCCATCCTTGATGAGCCCCAGCTAAAGTCTTCAAAAGTGACCAATTTGAAGTTTTTAGTATCGATTCTTCATCTTGTGATTTCTCTAGTTCTTGTTTAACTTCCTCCTGTTTTCTAGTGTAGTTTTTGAATATATAATCTTGTTTTATATTTGTATATATTGTATCATCATGTATTGGTATCAAATCATCAAATAAATCAGCCATGGTATTTTTTTTTCTTTCTTAATGTTGATTAAAGAATTATACAATGAATTGAAAAATAGTGATAAAACATATAAAATAATAACAATAATACCAATTGGTGATAAGATAGAAGTGATTGATGTTGACGATGACACTGTTGAAATAGGTATACCGAAGAGTTTATACTTGAAATTGTTTAAAGAGTGCCATGCGCTTTATTATGAGAAATATTTGCAACAAGAGTTAAGTGATATAGAGGTTTATTTCATGACATTGGGGTATTTAATTACCACTAACGAACATACAACAATGATAAATTTACATGAAGAAGTAACAAGAAATTTAGAGAGACAAAGTGATGACTTTGAAATTGAAGGTGATTTAGAAATTATATCGTGTTTCTTAAATAGTCGAATATCAAGAATAAATAAAAGTTCTTCATTATGGCTTTACCTCAAGAAACTAACAATGGAACTAATTTACAAGAGGAGATACTATGTTAGGCTAGAGGTGTTGGTCAAACGATGTTTAAAAAGTTGCGAACTACATTTTGCAAATTATTATGCTAACAACTTTATGAAATGGCTAATCATAGTGAATAAACTAAATGGTATTGACACTAATATAGATGGTTTAATCAGTTTATGTCATGAAAATTTATCTGATAGTTCAATATGGACTACGTTTGGTGTTTTTTTGTTCCCACCGCCAAAATTAGTAAGATACATCACTTACGAATACAGATGTCTATTTTATGATGAGATAGCGTGTGATGCAGAGTATATCAATAACGATGAGTTGATCATAGATCAATTTAAATGGTTAATTAAAGTTCAATGTAAATATTTAACACCATATAGGGTATTAATCCAATCTGCTCCAGACACATCAATTTTCAATGAATCAATAAGAGACATAACCAACCCACAGATCAAAGATTCAATATATAAATTGATTAATGAAATATATTAAGTTCGTTAATGAGTAATTGGTAGCTCTACTTTATCTCTTACGCGAAATGAATTTCCAACTTTAAAATACGAAAGGCAAATTAATTAATTCAATGCTAAAGATTAGACAATTACAAAAGAAGAGACAAGAAGAAGAAGAAGAAGCTGCTAAACTGCAATCCCCAACACCAACAAGAGACTCAACACCAGTTAACAAAAATTCAAAAGTTTCTGCAGCTCAATTAAGAATTCAAAAGGATATAACTGAATTAGATTTACCACCATCAATAAAACTAACATTTCCACAACCTTCAAGCTTATTTGAATTTGATTTGAAATTAATTCCAAATTCAGGATATTACAAAAATGGTAAATTTCAATTCAAATGTGAAATAAACTCAAATTTCCCAATTGAACCTCCTAAAATTAAATGTTTAAATAAGATTTATCATCCAAATATTGATTTACAAGGTAATATTTGTTTGAATATTTTAAGAGAAGATTGGTCTCCTGTTTTAAGTCTTAATTCAATTTTCATTGGTTTAAATTTCTTGTTTCTTGAACCTAATCCTAATGATCCATTAAATAAAGAAGCAGCAAATTGTTTAGTTAAAGATAAAAAACAATTTGAAAAAAATGTAAATAATAGTATGAAAGGTGGTTATATTGACGGGGTATATTATGATAGAGTAATTTGAAAGCAAGGACGCACGTTTACATGTAAGGATGAAATAAGCACCAGAGGTACATATAATGATGGGATATCTTATGATAGAGTATTATGAATATATATTCAACTCCATAGTCTAATTGTATTATCGGAAGACCCACTACTGAATAGGAATCTCATTCTTTTCTCAACATCTTTAAGAAAAGTATCCATATTCATTTCTTCTTCTTCTTCTGTATTCTCTTTCTTTTCTTTTGGTTTTAGCTTTGCAAATTTAATGTCATTAATAAATCCCTCATGACCTTTCAATGTCCGTATAGCCTCAACTTTACCCAGTTCATTTAATTTCTGTATATCCCAAATTTTTATAGTCTTATCATCACCACAACTAATTGTAAATCTACCATTTGGATGAATAATCATTGATTTAACCCATGACACATGTCCAATCAAATCAGATATTAAATAAGCTTGACTTTGATTATATTTCGAAGGTAATGGAGACTGATGAGGTGTTAGAACTGGAGGTGGCAATAACCATAATTTAATAACATTATCTCTGCCACCTGTAATACAATATTTAAACTCCAATTTCCTATAAATTTCATCTTTTATTAGGTCAACTGGTAGGGTAGGAAATTTTTCAATATTGTTTGTAATGTATTCATCGATTATTTTATTTGAATGACTTGGTAGGAATTTAACACTTTCTATAACATGACTATGTCCAATCATTAAAACTATACCTGTTCCTGAATCATGTGATAATCTTGCACTTTGATCATTTGAACAAGTTAATATAAAATCACCAAATTCTGAACTAACTACATCAACATCTCTTACCCATTCACTATGACCAACGAAACTTTTAATACATAGACCATTTATAACATCCCAGATCTTAACCGTCTTATCTCGAGAAACGGAATATAAATAACTTGGATTCTTGGTTGAAAACTTTAGTGAACTGACTGTATGTTCATGACCAGACAAGGTTCTAATATGTTTAAAATTCTCATCCCAGATTTTTATAGATAAATCGGATGAACAAGTAGCTAAAACATGACATTTATTTAGTTTATTTATTTGTAAAGGCTGATCCGACCATGTAATTTTATTAATTGATCTCAGGTGAGCTTTTATTAGTTTTTCAGGTATTGAATCATCCTGATACTCATCATTTTGTAAATTATAAATATAAATTGATCCATCAAAGTTTCCAGAAATTATAAATGGTAAATTCGGATGAAATTCAACTGAGTTAATTGCTGAAGTAGTCTTGAATGATTTTTTAACTGTTAATGGACACCAATTTATCTTTTCGGTAAGTTTAATTGAATTTGGATCATCATCTATATTTAATTGTTTAACTATTGTTTTTAGATTCTGTAATTCATTTTCAAGATCTATAATTTTCTTTTGTAGTCGTAGAACAGTTGACCATTTTTTTTCTAAATAATTATCTACTATTTCTGAATCTGCTTGACCTTGGGGTATGAGAATTGATGATAATTGTGATAATTCGTCTTCGGCGAGTTGTGGTTCTAGGTATTGAATTATTGCTTTGTTTAGTTCTAATTGTTGCCTTTCTGTTAATATTTGGTTTTTTTCCATTAATGTATGTCTATTATTACTGTCTATGTTTTGATATTTCGTCTATGTTTATAATTAATTAATTTTTTTTTTTCTTTGTTTTGATGTTTCAAATTTTTGATCTCTAACAAATTAACAAATTAACTAATTAACATGATGAATTTGAATAAACCAGAAAGAATAAGAGGTGAATAATTTGATAGAGAAGTTATGTATCGTATATTGACTGTAAATTATCTACTTAAGTTTTGTTCTGAACTCACGTATTAAATTTCCCATAACGTCATCCGTATTTAATTCAAAGTGGACTTTCCTATTAGTTAATTCTGTTTCAGGTGTAGTAGAATCATCAAATTTTAAAACAAATTCAGTGACTATAGTAGATTCAGTATCCCAAGAATATTCAGTCTCAGTTGTTTCAGGTTGATAAGCTAATAATAATTCAATTTCATCATTTAATAATTCATTTAAGTATTCATAATGATTATAAATTGCCTTGTTGTTTCTATATTGATCTAATGCAGAATTTCGAACTTGTATCTGTTTTTGAATTCTTCGTGACACGTAATTTAAACGCTTGCTAATCTTGAACTTTCTATTTGTCTTGATATTTGCTGATAGTTTATTTTGATGGTTCAAATAAGTCTCTAACACTTCACTCCCCTTTGAATAAGTCTGATGTTGATTTCTTAAATTTATAATCTGAGATCGTAATTCATCATTAATTGATTCAAGTGCACTTATTTTACTTTTCAACGTATGATTTATTTCATTTAATTCTTCAATATCGTTAACTAACTCATCATAATAATTCATTTGATAAATTAAGTAATTTGTCTGTTGATATACTTGCCAATATGGCCTCCCATCTTGAAAAATTGAGCTATTTTGATTGTTCTTGTACATTATTTTGTAAGTTTGTTGATATAATTAGCCGCTTAACCGATTTTTTCAAAAATAAAAAATTAGACGAGAAATGTGTTTCAGATTTGGACTAACTAGGCAATGATAGATACAGCTTATTGACACTGAGTTTACGGGTCTATTTATTATCTCAAGTGGTGAATGAATTAAAAATAACTCTCCAGTACTTTTCTCACTTCCCCATAGTAAAAGCCGCAAAAATTTCCTTTCATCAAACAGGATCTGGCAGAGTTTGTCAGACCCTTTCTGTAACGGTTTCCGATGTAGTGTAACGGCTATCACGGTTCGCTTTCACCGAGCAGACCGGGGTTCGACTCCCCGCATTGGAGTACAATATTTACTTTTTTACCCCAGCCAGGGACAAAATTTTGAGCCATTTTTTTTGGCAACCACACGGCTGTAGAATTTTAAAAATCGGGCTTAAGATTTTTATTAGAAATGGAGTAGTTGTTGTAGTCGTTGTATACTAATCATCAATATTTGGTTCTACTATAAGTTTCAAATAACCATGAACTATATTATTATTAAATTCCCAACCTGTCAATTTACCAATTGTATTATTCACCAACTCATCATTTAGGTTAATTGCATTTGTAATTGCCACATTTTTAACCTCTGGGTTTGTCGATAAGTATTTAAACAAATCATATACTTTTTCCATATATCTGCAGAAATTATCCTTACTTCCAAAATATCGATTCATTAAAATTTCCCAATTTTCAACTTTAACCTTTGACTTTAAAGAATGCAATAAATCATTAATATAATCAAATGATTCTTGATCATTACTTTCAATTTGAGATTTCAAATCAATTATGATATTTTTTGAAAAATTGAATACATTGATATTTTTCAACTTTGTATTCCAAGTCTGATTGTTAAGTAATTTATTTGAAGTTTTGATGAACTGAGATACCATTAGGTTGTAGTTATTAGAAAGATCTATCTTGAAGGATGAGGACTGTTTGATTTGATTCTTTAGGACGATTAAAAATAGTGCTTGATATATTAAACATTGATAAAATGGTTTAATATAATGTACTGAAAAATTTGAAATTATAATTGTGAAAATATCACTGTTGGATAACTCATCAATTAGATTCAAATGGTTGAATAAATTAATCATGGTTGTGTAGTATGTAGTGTATCTCAAGCTTGGAAAGTATGTACTTTCAACCCTAATAAATGACAACCACTTAATAAATAATAATAAAATCTGTTGATTCATCAATAATAATCCAATATCCTTAAGTGATAATTGATATGTCGGTGTTTTATAATTCTTTTCAAATTCTTTTAAATCATCGGCTAAGATTTCATACACGTTAGCATACAACTCTAAATAATTTTTTATAATTGCTCTTATTGAAGTTGAATGTTTTGAACGTTTATAATAAGTACCCCATACTTTGATTGAAAATTTATCAAGTTCATAAGATAATTGATTTCCATTCTTGCCATAAAGCAAATCTAATAATTTCAGGTGAGGAACTAATGAATTCTTCAATTGGTTAGAAACTAGAAGTGACCCCTTGAATTGAAAAAATGTGTGCTCGACTTCAACTAATCTAATTTGTATCCAATATTTAGCGAGTATCTTGAATTCCCTCGTGTTTGGGTAATTTATCTTATCGTAATCCTTTTGGGTTTCATTTTCTGAATCTTCAATCACTGATATAAAATCATTATTCAACACAATATAGTTTAATAAATTGTTAAATTCAAGATAACTTTCAATTAACATACATTTATAAGTATAATAATTCTTCAATATTAAATACCAGTCAATTAAATATATCAAATCAGTTAGGTTCTCATATGATAGTAATTTCAATTTCAAAAATTTTGATATTTTTATCCAATCTTCAATTATATCTTCCTTTGGTTTATATAATGATTTTTCCAATAAGAACAGCCCATCTAATTCATTATCAAAAAGTAAACCATTACTTAAAATAATGAAAAATAAACTTAAATTCCTTAATTCAACTACATTGAATTTGATATTCATTGATAAGTTTCTGGTATTTTCATCATCTATACTTAATAACTTCTCATAGATTAATTTTGATTGTTTTATTATCTCTTCGTAATTTTGTAAATCCACGTAGATGTGAATAATAGAATTGATGTAGAAATGATATAATTTGTTGAATATTTGAAAGTTGGAGGGAAGAAGTCTTTTTATTCTTTTTACATCAACCATAGTTAAATCAATTTCTTTTTGAGAATCAAGGATTAATAAATACTCTATTAGATCTTGATCTTTATTCATCAATTTGTGTTTTGCTTTTAGATCATGATTTGTAGGCCCTTGATCCTTTAAAATATTAGAAGGGAAAGATATAAAATTAATAGGATGTGTCTCTATTGAATTATTTGATTCTAAATTTGGATTTGCCTGTTCGTTATTAACAGTAAATGATTCCCCCTCTTTCGCTAATCGTAAATTCCTACTTGTTTCCCCTAATGATGTAATTAATGATGGTATTGACTCACTATTATTATTATATGCTTGTACGAAATCATTCAGAAATTTCATCTTTTTACCCAACGATCTTTTCTTCCTCTCTTGTATTTTATTCAATTCTTGTTCATTTGGTGGTTGTGGTGGTTGTAATAAACATCTATTTGTCCTTTTGAATTTCTTACATGAAGTACAAGGTATTTGTAAATCACATTTAATTTTTAAAATTTTGCATGGTCCACATGAATAACTTCTCCTTTGACGTTTAGGTTTTGGTTTTAAATGTGGTGAAGGTAAAACTATTAGATTTTGATTTTGCACATGCTGCTCTGGTATAATTTGGATATGATCATTATTATTATTATTATTATACCCTGGGTCAATTAATGGTTGTGGTATGATTGGAGGAGATGATGTTGAACTCGAATCATCTCTTAAATTAGAATCAGAATATCCCATAATTTATGATTCTATTCTTAAGTAATATAATTTGGTGCTTTTATTCTTTTGTTGATCAATGTATTGTTAGTTGGTTGTAAAAATTTTATAGAGTGCAAATCGGGTTTATTTAGAAATTACAACGTAAAATTAAAGTTCTAAAATTACACAAAATTGAATTTACTAATGCTACCAGTTGTCTATTCAATGTTTTATTTTATCATTTCTATTTTTATGTTTGCGTTTCTTCTTTTCTTCCTTAATTGGTTGCTCATAAATTTCCTTCGGTATCCATATTTCATCATCTTTTATATCTTTTGGTAAATGCAAGTTTTTAAATGTTTCCTTTTTCCAATTTCGTAAATTCTTCTTTTTGGCATATTTACGTTTATCTTTCATTCTTAGTTCTTTTGGTCTATAAGGTGCAAATTTCTTAATACCTATGAAATCATTCAATTGCGAATCATCAGCAAGTAAGATGTCTCTAGTAGTTAATCCAAAAGTCTCTGGTGATACTTCTCTATATTTAAATTTAACTTCCTCAACTTCACCATTTGCTTTTCTTTGTCTACCTCTTTCTTCTTCAACTTCATCCATGAGTTTTAATGTGTTTGCTTCGATGATCTGATGTGCTTTTTCTTTGAGTGATTCTTTTTCCTTCTTGGCTGACTTCTTTTCTTTCAATTTATCCTTTTTTGATTTTTTTTTTGGTAGTTCTTCAATATCAACCTCTTCTTCTGCTTCTTCTTCTTCTTCTTCTTCTTCTTCTTCTTCTTCTTCTTCTTCTTCTTCTTCTTCTATGTCATCCATTGCATCCTCTTCTTCATTCCATTGTGGCTTTTCCATTTCTTGACCATAATATTGCTCATTAAAAGTTTCATTCATTTTATTATCCCAATCTTGAGCATCAAAATCATCATTTAATAAAGAATCACCAAATATACGTTTAATAGTCTCATCATCTACTTCATTCCCAACTGCTTCTTTAATCTTTTGTAAGTTATCAATTATAGTATTTAATTTACTTGTTTTTTTCTTCTTTAACATATCTTCTTTAATTTCTTCTTCTTGTCTCTTTATTTCATTCTTCTTATCTCGTTGTCTTTTTCTTGAATTAGTCTTTGATCGACGTATTGTTGCTTGATTTCTAGCATATGATACAATTTCAGATGAATTTGGATCTTCATATCTAAAATTATAAGCAGTTTCAAATTTTTCAACAGCATCATCGAAATCTTCTTCATCTTCATTATCTATCTTATCTAAATTAATCACTTTATCACCTTCTTTAGGAATCCAGGCTTTTTGATCGAGAAAAGCAGATAAGAAACCTTGTTCATCTTTGACAGGGTCAGGTAATATTGAAACAACCTCTTGTTTTCCCTCTCCATTCTCTTTCTTAACAAATCCATCATCATCACCATCTTCTGTATCTTCATCAAATGCAGATTTTATATCAGCTAATAATTTATCTTTTTCTTCTTTTTGTTCAATTGCAAATGATTTACCACCATCAATTGTCTCATTCTCATTAAATTCTGTATTTCCACTAAGTAAATTTTCACGATGATAATCTTTAAGATATAATGGTTTTTCTTTGTTTTTTTTAGCAATAGTTGCAGTTTCTGGATCATTGAAAAATTTCATATTAGGGTCTAGTAATTTCTTTGGATCTGTTTTGATTGTATTTAGGACCTTTTGAATCCCTTCATCCACATCTTCTGTAATTAAATCTCCATACTCATCTTCATCCTCTGAGGAACTTTCTTCCGAAAAACTTTCTTGTTTTTCCTTATCATGTTCATGTTTTAATTCATCTTTTGGTATATGTTCGTGTTCATGTTTTAATTCAATTTCATCCTTTGGTATAACCTCTACTGTTTCATTTGCTTGTTTTTCTTGTTTTAAAGCTTTTTCTCTTGCTTTTTTAGCTGCTGATTTCTTCCTAGGCATGGCTAAATTATGTAATTGTTGTAAAAGATTATTTGGTGATGAGATGAGAAACACCCTATAAAGTGGCGCGAGCTACCAAATGTCAGTGCCAGAAAGTGATGAAATGAAAAATACCATTGAATCACAATTCAACATTCATGTGTGTTACAAACTAACTCTTGGAAGCTCATCAAAGTAGCTGCTTAATACTTCGACCTCCGTATTTATGACCAAGGGTCATTCAAAGATTCGAAGATTAGACGAGACGACTCTAATGGTTATCTGAATTTTAATAAACAATTATATATTTCAAAGCAGATAATTATTAAACCGTATAAACCTATGATTCAATAATTCAAGCATCGAGAATATTAGTAAAGTTATCTCAGTTAACACAAGTAATAAAATTAAAAACATCCCTATCAGCTTTTTAAATACCTTAATAAAAAAACTAAGCAGCACTTTTATCAAACCAAGCAACACCGATCTAAAGAAAAGTACTATATCTAACAACCTATTCGCCAGCCAAAGACCAACTATACAAAAAAAAAGCCACCCACAAATAAACAAATCAAATATCAAATCAAACATAAAATAAAGCACTTTCCTTAAAATTCTATCCGAATTCATAATCTCCATTACCTTTTATAATATGAATTTAACTAATTCTTGATAACTTAATTGACTAAACTTATGAACTTTGACTAAATGATTAATTGCATCATAAGTTGAAAAAAAAGGACGCTGACAAAATATGCAATACTTAATTTCAATAAAAGTAGACATAAAAAATCAGATCAAAAAAAAATGGATGCTGACTTATAATTATACTCCTCTCGTCATTTTTTGTTGGCTGGTTAACATTCTGTTGGAACCGGCTTCAGATTGGAATGTGCTTCAGATTGGAATGTTAAAATTTAATTATCTTCCCCACGATTTAAAAATATCGCATCGCGAATTTTTACGAGATCCATAAAAAATTAGACGAGAAAATTGTAACTTCTCGTATTAACTCTAAAATATAAGAAACTATATTATGATTAGCACTATTATCATCTGTCAAATTGATGATAGTACAATCTAATTAGTATTATTATCAAATCTGCGTTATATTCTATTTATTTTCATTTTTAATTTAAGCTTCATAAAATTCTACTTATTATAGTTTTCATTTCTGCGTTAATTAATTATACAAATTCTATCTATTTACTATCATTTCTAATTTCATTTTCATAAAATTCACCAAATTCACACTTCATAAACTCACATAATTCAGGAATTTGGCATTGTAAAAAATTATCAAATATTTCATTATTCAATCCCAGGAAAAACAAATTAAAATTAACCAAATATAAAAAATTAATTTCAATTTTGAATAAATCTTTCAATGGTACACCAACTACATTAGTAAATATTTTTTGTTTTTGATATATATCATCAAATAATTTTGTTAGTGATCTTAAGCTACCAACAATAATACGATAAATGTTATTTAAATTGAGTCGAATTGAGTTTGTAAGGATTGTCAATTTGAATAGGAGATATATTGATTGTAAGTAAACCATGGTTGATATATTTGGACTATAAGTCTTAATCCTTATTAAAAATTGTAATATTGAAAGTGATGGAATTTTAACAAGGTTGAAAATTTTGAAATTCTTAGATGGTGTGATCCTTTGTTTATTCACTAGTTTGATCTCATTTTGTAATTTCTTGGAGTACTCATCTAAGTTTGCTAAATGTGGATCGGGTATTGGAGTTGAAGTTAATGTTTCAATTGGAATATATGGAGTTTCTAAATTTTCATCCCCCTCCTCTTCAATTTCATCTACTTCATCCTCATTGATATTTTCAAAACTTGCATCATTAAATTTAGTTAATTTTAAAGGTTTAAATTCCAATTCATCATTTGAATCAATTGAATCAGATATTATCTCTTCTTCCTCTAACTTTATAGCCAATTTTTCCAACTGAATTAGTCGAAATTTCTTAAATAATTCTTTATCCTCCTGTAGTTTTATAATCATAAGACATACTTTATTCATTAAATAAATTAAATGCCATACGTGTAAATTCGATATATTTTTAAGTTTATTTGAAATATCAAAAATTAGGTCATCAAATGATATTTCTTCAATTGATCTAGGTTCATCTACAAATGTCTCTTGCGGTGGTTTTAATGATGGTATATCTGTAACATCTTTGACAAATGTAGTCATATTCTAAACGAAAGTAATATTATAATTCTGGGTTGGTGGAAATAATGATATTTTTTTCTATGAGAAGATTTGAAAATATCTATGCAGTTTTTAACTATTGATGTTCGGATGCGTTCACTTAACAACAAGTTTTAAATGATGATGATGGAGTTCTATGACTTGTGTCGTTGCAGTTATGACTTTAAAAAGAGTGTAATGCAATGAAAATTGTATTTTATACGTGGTTTTTAGAAATTTCAAATTTGGCAATCTATTTCAAGCAATTATACTCGAAGAGTTATGAGAATTTCTCGAATAAAACTAAATTTAGTGTTTAGATTCGACATGATACAAGTCACGCAGAGTGTAGCCTAATTTGTCGACTAGAGAGTTTGTTGATTAGTGGGAGAGTTTATTTAGTTGTAAAAATGAGGCCACTTTTACGAATGAACGAATATCTTGGTTTCAGATGGAACAAGTGTATGTTCCCAGAGTCTCTTTGGTTGTCACTTGATATCGCTCAAAGTCCAAGTATTAAATTCTAGTTCACAAAGACAGAATTTAATTGTTATAAGAACAAATGAAAAATGCACAAAGATCTTGCTCTTTTCGTCTAAATTTATGCCAATGCCATCTTATAGCTCAAAATTGACAATGCCATCTCATAGCTCAAAATTGACTAAAATATATGGTCCTTAACATAATCGAAGCTTTGGTTTTTTACATTTGCACGATTTTAAAATTTTTAACTACCAGCCCCCAAATACCCCTTAAGAGTTATCGTTCGAAGTTACATTGAGAAGACAACTGGAATACAACTGGAATACCAAACTACATGAAGTAACGAATACTGTGGGAAGTAAAGTACTAGCACATAACTATGTATACAAATTTCAAGACTTGATTTTTACCGTATGTTCTTTTTAACAAAATTAAAGTACGGTAAAACAATTTATCGATTACATCATACATCAAACAAAAGAACAAGAGTAAAAGGCTTGTACTAAAAATGGATCTAGTGTTATCGAAACGCAAGATCTTTATTTAAAAAGTTGGAACAATATGACACGAGGCAGTATGAAAAATTGCAAATTTATTTTGCAATAATTGCAATAACAATTATAAACAAATAATAAACAAGAAAATAATTTGACGTGTTCTAACTTAAAAATTCATGTTTTGTGTCACGTGATCCGTTTTAAATCAAAATAAAGCTTCTATTTGACATCAACGTGATTCTACAAGCGTTTTAATACTTAAAACTAATGTTAATATTGTTCAAGTTCAAGAAGAGCACTCAAACCAGGTTGAATGCGGTATAAACTATCATTATCGAGAAAAACATTTTCCTGTGTATATGGTTGGATTACGAAGATATCGGTAATAAAAATTATTGGTGTGAGACAATACTTTATACAAAACCGACCTGCTTAAGTATGCAATACACGTGCTTCTATAGTACTTAAAAAATCCTTATACGAGGGTAACTTTAACTTCCATCAATTTTCAATTAGCTCATTAAGATTAAAGATTGAGTTTCAAGATAAATCATAAGCCAAGGCATAATATATGATCTCACTCATTCCTCATCCTCTCCATATAGTTATCAACTATCCTGCTTTATCTTTTGTAGGATATAAAGATCAAGAGTAACAAATACATTCAATACTTCATGGTCTTTGGATAGAATGGAAAAAATCAAATCATATTTTTAAGGGATTTCTATTTTTTTTTTTATCAGATTATAATTTGTTCACTGCCTCATTTTACATATACTGACTCCAGTTGCTTCGATGTTTTCACAATTATATAACCAGAGAATAGGCTCGAGATTATAAGAGAACAATACCATAACATCTTCTGCTTTGTATCCTATATTTTTTAACGGATCAAATTGTCAAAGGAATAATTTTCTTATTTTTCTATTTTTCAATTTTATTTTTTTATTTTTTTTTTTTTTTTTTTTTCTTCTATTTTTAAATTTTTAAAGAAACAAATAAAAAATTTCATAGTAAATTACATACTTTTTATTACTACAAAAACTTGCAACCAATAGTAATTATTATCAATTTATATTCATCCGTCAGTCTTATAATATATTCGTTAAAAATAACTGAATAATAAGTACCATCTACCACTTCAAATCATTCGCTATTAATTAAATAAGAAAAAAACCGACCCGCCCCTTAATCTTTGATTCAGCAATATTCAAAATATTCGAACTTGTATGCCATTTTTTGGTCAGTAATTTATATCCAATATGTTATTGTCACTATATTTTATAAGTATATTAGCATTATTTTCATCACCTATTTTAGCTAAAAGAAAATTATCAGCTACCTCATTAGTTACATGTATGCAAAATTCTCAAATTACTCCGTCACATTTTAATGTTACTTTTAATCCAGATGATAGATCATTAAGATATTCTTTAGATTTAACTACTGAAATTTCAAATTATGTAACTGCTCATATTCAAGTTTATGCTTATGGTTTTTTAATTATTGAAAAAGATATTGATATGTGTTCATTAGGTTGGAAACAATTTTGTCCAATTTATCCTGGTTCATTACAAGTAGATTCTATAGAATATATTTCTGAAGAATATACTAAACAAATTCCGGGAATAGCTTATCAAGTTCCTGATATTGATGCTGTTGTTAAAGTTATTGTTAAAGATAGAGATTCCGGTCTACAATTATCATGCTTACAGTCTAATTTTTCAAATGGTAAAACCATTTCTCAAACTGGTGTTAAATGGGCAACTGCAGTTATTGCTGGTTTAGGTTTAGTTATTGCTGCTTTATTATCTACTTTTGGTAATTCAAATGCTGCTTCTCATATTTCAGCAAATTCAGTTTCTTTATTTTTATATTTTCAAAGTGTTGTTATTGTTTCAATGCAAGCTGTTGAAAGAGTTCCACCAATTGCAAGTTCTTGGAGTGAAAATTTAGCTTGGTCAATGGGTTTAATTGAAATTAAATTTATGCAACAAATTTTTAGATGGTATATTCAATCAACTGGTGGTACTCCAACTACTTATTTTATTGGAGTTACAAAACAAATTTTAGTTCAAAGAGCAAAAAGATCTTTGGATTACATTGATGGAATAATTAAAAGATCAATTGATTATGGATTACATTCAAATCAAAACTTGATAGTTTTAAGAGGTATCAAAAGAATCGGATATAATACTAAAATTGAACCAACTTCAATTGTAGCTACTGGATTCACATGGTTTGTTTTAATTGGCTATTTACTTGTTGTTTTATTAGTGTTGTTAAAATCAGCATTAGTTTTATATTCAAGACATAAAAAGGGAAATAATAACAAGTTTAACTTTATTAAAGGTAATTTTAATAACATTTTGAAAGGGTCTATATTAAGATATATCTATATTGGTTCAACACAATTGATTATTTTTTCATTATGGGAATTTACTCAAAATGATTCTCCAGCAATGATTGTTCTTGCTGTTTTATTCATAATTTTATTATTATCAGTCTTATTATTATCATTTTACAAGACTTTAAGAATTGGTAGGTTATCCACCAGAAAATTTAACAATCCTTCTGCGTTATTATATGGAGATCAGAAAGTCTTAGACAAATATGGATTCTGTTATACTATTTTCCATGCAAATAAATATTGGTTTGGTATTGTATTACTTGGTTATAATGTATTCAAAGCTATATTTATTGCATTTTGTCAATCGGCTGGAAAAGTTTCTGTACTTCCAGTCTTCATTATTGATTTATTTTATACAATTTTCCTAATTTATGAATCTCCATATTTGAATAAACCTACAAATATAATAAATTTCATGATGTCAATAGTTACAACCATCAATTCATTTTTATTTTTATTTTTTTCAGATTTATTTGGTCAATCTGCTCCTGTTGCAAGTATAATGGGATGGGTATTTTTTATACTAAATGCTGCATTTTCATTAATTTTATTAATTTTGGTTTTAGTATTTATTATATTATCAATTTCATCAAAGAATCCAGATGCAAGATTTCAACCAGCAAAAGATGATAGATTTTCATTCCAGAAACAAGAAAAAGGAAATTATGAGAACAATTACATACCCGATGAAAAAAATCAAAATGGAGAATTAAATGCATTAGGTATTGCAGCTCAAGATCATTCACAAGATTGGGAAAATCAAATGTATAAATTGAATAATATTCAAGAAAATAGTCCAAACGATAATTTAACTCCACAATTCAATAATCCTGATGAAATATTCCAAAGTGAGAGTAGTTCAAGCTCATTATATAACGAAAAAGAATCAGTAGGATTTGGTTCAAAATTGAAAAATAATTTATTTAGAAAATTATCAAAAAAGAAATCAACTAAGAGTAGAAAAAGTAATAGTAGTACTAATAAAAATATTACAAGGATCTCTGATACTTTAGTTGATGATGATGATTTAAGTGATGAAAAAAGGAATGAAGATTATGATGAATTAAGAGAAGTTAATAATCCCTATAATCTAAATGATGGAAATCACAGGCGAATGGATAGTTCATATAGTTCGGTATCTAATAATAATCCAACAAATACAAAAGGTTTTATTTAGGATTTGATTAATGGTTTATATATACGTTTTTTAGGACATACAATATTATATATATGTATTATAGAACTAAATTTTATTAGGCAATTGCTAAAGACAAAAATATCTAAGCGATACTAGCATAGAGAACTACAAATTTTGATAGTTTCATCAGTTTAAATTTGAATATGAAAGGTGGAATTAGTTTTTTTTATAGGTCAATTTATTCGAATTTTTCCATATTTAAGAGAAAATTTGAAAATTTTCAATTGTGACTTGGTTCACCTACAAATAATTCCAGCACCTTTATTGGAAGTCTAGTGTACGGAATCCGTTTTTTACTTGAAAGTTATGGGCCTAAGTAAAAATAATGCGTAAAATTCTCTGTTTTTTAAAAAATTTTTGTATGATGAAAATGGCCCAAATGACAATTCAAAAAAAAAATTTTAAAATATACGGCCTTGAAATATGCGAGATATATAATTCAATAATCCTGATTTCCTATAACTGGTACTTGCTTCGTGATAATGTGTTGTTCATGACATATAAGCTAGTGTGTTTAGTACTAGTCGCCTAAAAGCTAGCGCGAGGAATTATTTTGTTCGCACCAGTCAATCGCATTAAAAACAAAATTTTTTTTTGATTGACACACTCGGTAGCGCTGTCCACTATATATTGGATTTAAATACATGCAATACTATACAGATTTACAAAAATGTACTGCATATTAAGTACTAACAAGTACGTGCTACTAAGGCTTATACTTTGCTATCTAATTTTAACTAAATAACAAAATCTAAGTAGATACCTATAGTTAAGCAGTATTTTATAGCCTTGATTTACCTAGTTGGAGGCTCTATCCTGTGATCGCATCAATCCATCGTGAAATGTAGATGGTTTTGAAATTGGTAACTCCATTTGGTAGCGCGTCTTTAAAATTCTGTCCTTTGATTGGTCAGTCGATCAGCTTGAATTTCAAAACTCAAACTACCATCCTAAACTAAAACCGCTTTTGTACCTGCTGAGTTATAGGTCAATTATATATAGTTATATTTTCGCTAAACCTGCTAGTTGATGAGATATTTGCACTTTTTATTTTTGTAAGCCTCATTTCCCAATTAGATTATTTAACTTAGGACCATCAGCAAAACCAATTTTTGTTACACAAAAATGACTCCATAAGTTGACCACTTTTCTTTTTGCACCTTTTATTTAAATTGTAAATTATTGACGCACAACATTCTCTAATGACCTAACGCCTATTGACTTGTAATCATTCATAACTCTAGTTTAGTTCGTGTCATTGTAATGCACTATTAGTAGTTTGCGATGAAGCAAAATCAATCAGTTTGAGTTTTTGTTATACTTAAGGTCATATGGGTTCAGATGGTCCAATTGTACTGAGAAAAACTGCATCTGACTTTACAAAGCTCATTGATTTCAATGGAGTTGTTTGTATTACTAGAGGTGCTGTCTTTGTGAGGTTATTTGACTTAAAAAATTGATTCTTTTGCAACAACAATTCATATTTTAAATCTAAGAGAAATATCAGATAGAGCACTTGAAACTGATTGAATCTCATGCAATGTTGTTTCAGGGGCAGTGTACAATAGTTTTGTATTCATATTTTAGGCTTCAAACGTTATTGAGCAGTTTCGAAGATTATATGTTGGTTTAATACAAGTCAAGTAAATTTACAAAGTTATAAAATCTTCTGATTGCAGTCAATATTAAGCATACTAGCCTCAACAACACAAAGATAAAATCTTTTTGTAAACTTAATCACTTCAATTAAAAGATATTCATTTCAATGACAACAACAGAAAGAGTGAAAATGAGAATTTTGTACAGCTAAAGGCGAACCTAATCCCTAATTTACTCAGAAATATCTATTGCCATTAATGTTGAGTTGATCTCACCTTATCAACTTCAAATATCTTGGATTGCATAAAAACGAACCTCTTGCATAAGTCAAAGTGGTCGTAGTCCTCAGAGTTATTAATCTTAATCTTATTAAGCAGAGTTCGATATATTAATCATTATATATTAATCAAGAGCAAAGTTCATTTAATAAGCCTCAAACGAATAGGGGGGTTATGGTTATGTTTGCTGTAAAGAGCACAATAGGTAATTCAAAACCGTTCGTTACTTATCAATTATATTTCAAATGCTTCAAAGTCGCATGAGCTAACTAAACATAATTAAACCCAATCTGGTAAGGCGCAAGCGAATTACACATTCGAGCAAGCAATCAAATACGTTTTGCGAGTCAAATGCAAAATAGGACTCGGTTGATCAAACAATAATTATATGCGTGGGCATTATTGTCCGTTACACGTGAGTACTTCTTTTTCGACTGTTTTCTCCTCCAATATGTTTTTCATAGTTATAGGGGGTATTTATTTTTCAAATTTGACAGCTTTTTCAAAACTAGCAATCTTAATTTAAACGGAACAGCCAAAATAATTTCAATTAACGATTCATTAAACATACATGATTTACGAATCAATAGAATAGCGATTTGTATAAAATCAATTGAAACTCAACGCTTCAATTTCTGTCTAGAGTGGTTCAATTGTGGAGGGTTCAAAAAAATAAAGTTTGCTTTGCTGTAGCGGACAAAAAAAAAAAACCCTTAACGAAGAAAATATGTTCAAACATATTATCATATAAATCTAGATTATTACTACAATAGCAAATATATAAAGATTTACCAATTGCTTTAGTAATAACCCGCTTTTATTATAAATTTGGTTTGAAATTTCCTTAAAACCTCTTTCTTTCTTTTTTAAAATTTATTGTAATTCTTCAATTGATTTACTACAAATATCAATTGAATTTAATTTATTAAAGTTTGTTATGCCTTTACGCCGTTCAACTAGAGTTAAAGATGAACCAGCATTTAAAAAACCAAAATATGAAGAAAAAAATGAAACGGATATTCCAGGAGATCCAGAAGCCGTAGAACAAGATGATGATGAATTACCAGAAGAAGAAGATGATGAAGGTGAATATGAAAATGAAGATGGAAGAAAACATAATCCAGGTAGAAAAGGTTATCAAGGTCAAAAGAAACAAGCAAACGATGATGAGGATGACGATGATGAGGATGACGATGATGAGGATGACGATGAAGAGGATGACGACGATGAAGATGATAACGAAGATGGAAGAAAACATAATCCAGGTAGAAAAGGTTATCAAGGTCAAAAGAAACAAGCAAACGATGATGAGGATGACGATGATGAGGATGACGACGATGAAGATGATAACGAAGATGGAAGAAAACATAATCCAGGTAGAAAAGGTTATCAAGGTCAAAAGAAACAAGCAAACGATGATGAGGATGACGATGATGAGGATGACGATGATGAGGATGACGACGATGAAGATGATAACGAAGATGGAAGAAAACATAATCCAGGTAGAAAAGGTTATCGAGGTAAAAAGAAACAAGCAAACGATGATGAGGTTGACGACGATAAAGATGATAATGAAGATGGAAGAAAACATAATCCAGGTAGAAAAGGTTATCAAGGTAAAAAGAAACAAGCAAACGATGATGAGGATGACGATGATGAGGATGACGACGATGAAGATGATAACGAAGATGGAAGAAAACATAATCCAGGTAGAAAAGGTTATCAAGGTAAAAAGAAACAAGCAAACGATGATGAGGTTGACGACGATGAAGATGATAATGAAGATGGAAGAAAACATAATCCAGGTAGAAAAGGTTATCAAGGTAAAAAGAAACAAGGTGGTGATGGTAATAAATCTGGAGATAGAAGAGGTAAACAAGGTCAAAATAAAGCCTTTGGTAATAAAACCGATAAAGATCACGGTAAAGAAGCAGCTCAAGATGACAAAGAAGCTGAAGGAACTAAAGATTATGCTGCTGAAGCGGATGCTGAAGGTGAAGGTCAAACAAGTTCCAAAATTAAAGATGCTGAAGATCGTGAAGTTGATAAAAATTTTAAACCTACTGAAGTTGATTTAGCTGTTGAAGATGAACCAGATGAATAAAGAAAAAGCTTCAATTCTTGAATAACTTTTTACGACGATTTATAAATTTGTACTTTTATTATAAACAATATTATTATATTCTCTTACTCAGATCTTCCTATTCTTAAAACATGATGGAATAAATAGATTTGTCAAATTACTTATGAGTATATCTTCATCGCTTTTCCTACAAAGAATTATTAGTTAAATCTGATCTGTGGATTTATATTATAACCTACTTCATCCTATATTGATAAGTTTATTATTAATTCTAAAATATGCTAAATAATGGAGTTAGTTGAACTATTGATTGTAATAAAACAGTAATTAAAATCAGTATTTTCGAAGCCCACCACCAATGTTGTACAGTAAACGAACAATAACTAAAATCAAAATCCCAACCATTTTTGAAATTACCAGTTAATATCCCAGTTTGACCATCAAAATCACCCATCATTGATCTAACAACAATTTCTCTAATTGATTTTCTATTAATTTCATTTCTTTCCTTTGAAGCTTTCCATTCATTATCATTTTCTAAATTATACCAATTATCACAACCTTCATGATCATGACCAGTTAAAATTATACCATTTTTATCCTTATTTGGAAATATAATATCTAAAATTTGTTTAGTTGTTGTAGAATTTAAATGATTTTGAGATCTTAATTTACCATTCTTATAAGGTTCTCTTTCATTATTAATATAATATTTATGTTCTGGACCATCTGTACATAATCCAGCTTCTTTATATAAAGGAATATGAGTTAATAAAATAGTGGAACCTTTAAAATTTGGATTTTCATTTGATTTGATATAACTTAAAAATGACCAAGTATAATTTAAAAATTCTTCTTGTAATGCTGGACCTTCTAATGTTAATGAATCAAGTACTACAATTCTCCAAGCATTTTCTTTACCTTTTTTATAATTTATAACATAGTTATTTTGACCAAATAATAAATGAAATCTAGCCATGTGTTGCCAAGTTGCATCTCCACTATATCCAATATCATGATTGCCTGTTAAATTTATAAATAAAGGATTATCAAAATTTGGAGTTGATCTATTAAGATCTGTCCAATCATAAACATCATTATATACTCTTGAATTAAATCTATCTATTGGATTCATTTCTTTCTCCTGTTTTAACCATGTTTTCCAATCATAATCTTCATGTTTTGAATGTGTTGATAAAACATTTTCTATATATCTATCAGGTTGTGGGAATAATCTAGTTACATATCTTAATGTTCTATTATAAAACTCAGAATCATAAATCCATTGAGAACTAAATAAATCACCCATAACAACAACATGAGAAGGTCTTAATCTATTTTTCATAGTTTGATAAATATGACCTAAATAATAATCATTACCATAATTATCTAATCTTTTAATATATTTAGTAGATGGCCAATTTCCATTAATTTGAGGATCACCAAATAAAAACATATGAATTGAATCATCTTTTGGAGGTTCTTGTTCTTTTCTTAAAAAAGGTAGACCATTAACCAAGAAATTTTTAGTTGTGGTTGATAAATATTCATCTAATATTGGATAATTTGATTCATAAGTTTCATCTTTCCAATTACATTGACCTTCATTATTTAATAAATCAGGATAAAACCATACAAAGAAATTAATACCAAAAGTTACTACAGTTGTTATATCAACTAATAATTTAAATTTTGGTGATATTGCAACCATTTCTTTGGCATCGGTAATTTTTTTTGTTTCGTGTTTCAGAGTTGAACATAAATAAAACGAATAGTTAACAGAGAATTATCAACACTTTTCATTCAATGGTCTTTTATAATATATATATATACTTTAAATAAGTAGGTTTCAATCTATAAGTTTTCTTTTAATGTTTTATTTAATTTTGAAACTTTATTTGCAATTGAAACATCAAGTGTTCTATCACCAACTTCAACAACTAAACCACCCAATAATTCAGGATTAACTGAATTTGTTAATTTTAAAGTTTTACCTTCTCCAACAAATGATGATTTACCAATTGAATTTTGTAATCTTTTTAAGATTTTTGAATCTAATGGTTTCGCACTTGTAACTTTTGCTTCAACAACACCATTAAAAGCATCATTTAATAAGCCAAACTTATTAAAAATACCTGGAAATTTATCTAATCTATTATTTTCAGCTAAAGTAGTTAAAAAATTTGCAGTTGTTTTATCTAAATTTAATGATTTTGAAATTGATGAAGTAATTGCTAATCTATCATCTTTTGTTAAACCTGGATTTGATAATGATTTATATAATGCAGTATCATTTGATAATAAATCTTGAATTTTTTTCAAACCATTAAAAGTTTGATTCATATCTGATTGTTGAATTGTTGCTGAATATAAAGCATTTGCATAAGTACCATCAATACCAAATAATTGAACAGGTGGTTTTGTAGATTTAACTGATGTAGCTAATGATCTGAAAAAAGTACGTGACAACATAATTGAACTATTTAACTAATTATATATCCTCAATTCTTCTTGTTAATACGTTGAAATTTTTTTCTAACAAGTTTATTTGGTTAATATGATGAATGCTACCAATCGGGTCCTCTATATCGGTAATTGAATTTAATTGGACGGTGAAATTAAGTATTGGTGTTGAGGTGTAATACCAAATTAGGAAATACGGTGATGAAATGCATTCCCAATCCAAATTACCTAATTAGGAAACAATGTCTTAATTTTCTTTTTTAATTGAAAAATTTTCTGAAACAAATAAATCACCACTTAAATGTTGATAACAAGAAGACTATTTAATAGTCTATATAAATCATCCACACCCAATAAACCATTATTCAATCTAATACGTTTTAATTCAACCAGTAATGAATCAAATTTAACTGAATTAGAATTAGATGATATAAGATTTAGAAGACAACGAGAATTACAATTAAAACAAGTTGAGTTAAAGAAGTATGGAGATACTTTCCCAAAACATTCACATCCAGGTTCAACACATTTTAAAAAACCAATACATTCACATTTATACAAAGGTAGACCAATTAAAGAATTAACAGTTGCAAAAAAAATGAATGGTGGTAGAAATAATCGTGGTGTTATTACAGTTCGAGGTAGAGGTGGAGGACATAAAAGAAGAGCTAGATTGATAGATTTTCATCGTATTGGAAGTGGTAAACATGAAGTTATTAGAATTGAGTATGATCCAAATAGATCAGGTCACATTGCATTAATTAAAAATCTTGAAACTAATAATTTATCATATATTTTAGCTCCTCAAGGTTTGAGACAAGGTGACTTTGTAGAAAGTTTTCGAAAAGGAATACCCAAAGATTTTATTGAAGAAATGAAATTAAATAATAATGGAGAAATTGATGATGCTTTATTATCAGCAAGAATTTTACAAAGAGGTAATTGTGTACCATTAAAAATGTTACCCGTAGGATCCATAATACATTCAATTGGGTTATCACCAAATAGACCAGCTCAATTAGTTAGATCTGCTGGGACATTTGGTAAAATTTTATCAAAACATCCTGAAAAAGGTAAAGCTATAGTTAAATTAAGTTCTGGTGAACATAGATATATTTTATTAGATTGTCATGCTACATTAGGAGTTGTTTCAAATAAAGAACATCAATTAATTAATTGGGGTAAAGCTGGTAGATCAAGATATAGAGGATTTAAACCAAAAGTTAGAGGTGTTGCAATGAATGCTTGTGATCATCCTCATGGTGGTGGTAGAGGTAAATCAAAATCAAACAAACATTCACAATCAATGTGGGGATTAAAGAAATTCCAAAAAACAAGAACAATACCAAATAAAGATGTTATAAGAAATAGAAAAGGTAGAATGGTAAGACATGATTAAATACAGTAAGGATGCAATAAACAAAGGAATGGTAATACATGATTAATTAATACTTGTAAATATATATTAATTTAACAAAATGAAGGTAATGAATTATCATTATTAAATTGTGATATAATTTGACATAATAATGCTTTTGCTAATTGAGTTAAAGCACCTAAATTGCCACTAAAATATAATCCTAAAATTATTGCAATTAATGAAATTGTAATTAAGGTTGAAAATAACCATATTATTGTATTTGGATAATTTCTTCTCGACATAGAGATTATCCATTTATCCAAGAAATTAAAGATAATACTTGATAATTGATTTGATGTAATTATTGGTGAATTATAAGGTAAACTATGAACAGGTAATAATGGTGAAGTATCTTCAATTGTATTTCTTGATCTTCTAAATGGATTAAATTTTAACCAATTTAAACAACATACTCTCTCTGATCCATATACTGAAGTAAACGAAGGTGATCTAACTAAAGATCTAATTGTTTCAAATGATGTAACTGTATCAACGGTAACTGAAGCATTTAAATCGGGAGATTTTTTAGTCAATACTAAATCTCTTGATGTTTGAACTTGTAAATTATCATTTATTTCATTGCCGCCATTAGAATTGACATCTTCTTCATTTGTTTCATCAATTGTTGACATTTTGAAAAGTGTTGCAAAATGATTAATTTTTTTTTTTTTCTTTTTTAATTTACGAATAATTACGAGTTTGAATTTACATCTATTAATTATCTATAACAGGACTAATTCTACGTTTCTTCTTACTCATTAATGCTACTCTTTCATTTCTTTTTTGTTCTTTCTTAAGATTTATCTTGTCTTCATTTATAGTAGCACTAATTTCAAAAATATCATTTAATATTTTCCATTTTGATTCTTGATTTTTAAAATCCTGGCCCATTCTAACATTCATTAAATCGTAAGCATATACCATAGTTATATCATAATTAAAATCATTATCATCATTAAATACATTATAAACTTCAGCCTCATCGGTATTTAAATAATTTTTCAATTCTTTGACTTTTTCAGGTAATTCATTTCTAAATATACAATTATTTGAGTTTCCATAACGAGTACTAAAATGAGTCAATAACAATTTTTTACATTTTAATAATTTACAAATTTGTAGTGCTTCTAGCATTGTAGTATGTTTTTTATTAATTGCTTCTTCTATCCAATTTGAATCCAATGATGCTTCATGAATTAATAAATCTGAATTAAGTCCAATTTTGACAAAATTTGGATTTGGTCTAGTATCTCCAGAATAAGAAACTTTGAAACTTTCCTCCGTTTTAGAATCCAATTTGAAATTGAAAGTTACTGAATATGCCCAAGGACAATGAATAGCTCGAATTGTACCAACATCAATTAAATTCAAATCATTAAACATTGATTTAATTCCATTTTTATCCACTTTACCTATATCCTTCCGTATTATTTTCAAATTGTTTGTGTTTGAGTTATCAAATTTATGTTCAAATTCATCTAACGAAATTTTACGATATTCAGGTAATCTAGTCTCAACTAAAAACGACTCACAACCGAAAAATTCTAACCGTTGCCAATTGAAAAATGGATGATATTGACCTTCAAGAGAATACCAATCATTTAAAAAAGTTTCAAATTGCCAAGGGACAATAAGATACAACTTAGAATCGTTTTCTGAGTTCATATCGAACCATTTGTTGATTATTGAAACTAATCCCAAGTGATGATCGGCATGCAAATGAGATAAATAAATTAATGACAATTCTTTGAATATATTATTGAAATTTTCATTATTGTTATGTCCGAAATTACGTAATAATGAACCAATAGTATTCTCTCCACCATCTAATAATATTGCTTTATATGAAATATCACCGTTCTTTGATTTATGAGGTATTCTAATTAATGTTGATATGACATTTCTATGAATTGAAGGTAATGCTGATCCAGTACCTAAAGTACATACATGAATTAAATCAGTTAATGAGTTTGTACTTTCTGGATATAAGTTAAATAATGGAGTTTCATTCATTGTTTCATATGAGATTGATTCTGGAATATTTAATGGTTGTACTTCATTTTCACAAATTGATTTATTAGTTGCTTTTGCTACATTTTTAAAATCTGTGTTTACTCCAGTATCATTAATTATAAATTGTTGTAAAGTATGTAACGATGAAATATTGTCACTATTGAATTCTTTAAATTCTTCCAGGTTTATAAAATTGAAATTTTCATTCATTAAAGATTTCAATTGGATTAAATTAGATATAAATTTTTCATTAATTATAACATTGTTTGATATTGATTTATGACTGATGACATGGTTGGTAGAATTTGAAAACCTGGAGATGAATTTTTCTTTATATTCTTGTAAGTTAAAATTGACATCATCTCCAAGAAAATGATAAACCAATCCAATTCCATCTTGTACTAATTCTATTGAATTTATTGTATTTTCAAAATAAGCCTCATTTGGTATATCCACAATTAGAACCTTTGGAAATGATTTACTTTGTCCAATTACTTGATCAGGTAAAATTTCGACACCTTCTTTATTTAATACTGGTTTTCCTTCTGTTAATTGTTTAAATAATGGTCCAGGTTGAACTCCTAAACTTATTGCCTTTTGAACATCGAATTTCCCCCTAATTGGAACAAAATCAATTATATAATTATAAGAATCTTGAGTATTTACAATTTGTGAAGCTTTTGGTAATTCAACATGTGTCTGTATGTCATTCTTTGAAGTATCTTTCTTATAAGAATCTAAATCCATACTGTTCACTTCTGAAGTATCTAATGGAAACATCAAAGATGCTAATTTTTTAACCTGAATAGATAATTTATTAGCAAATGAAACATCAGAATTCAAATTTGTCTTGTTTGGTTTTATTTTGATCGGATAGACAATGAATTCTTCATTCTTTATAGGTTCATCCGTATCATAAATGTTTAGTTTTATACCTAGACGAAAAACGAAATATCTCCAAGTACATACAATAAAGTTTAATAATTTAGAATTACCAAACACGTTGAAATTTTTCTTTGTTGCATCGGAAATAGTCAAGAACAAACCAGGTAATCCACCAATATCAGACCATGAAAAAATTGAACCAGTAATGAACAAACCTTCTAATTTCGTGAATTTTAAATCTGAAGTTATTGAGTTTATAATTCTTTGTGAACCTTCTGGTACTTTCCCAAATAAAAACCTACTTCCATTTTTAGTAGTCAAATTAATTAACGGTCTTGAAGTATCATTATTTATATGATTTATGGTTGTAAATTTAAACATTGGAATTTTGCATCTAGATTTAGGAATACTTGACGACCTTCGATTATTTTTATATATGTTTTTATTGTTTGAATATTTGACAGTACCTTTAGAATGACTCCTAACACTTGTATACACTATTCTTCTATTGACACTCAAATTTTCAATTAATTGTAAAGAAATCACCGTGAGTATGTAATTGATTTCAAATATATTGAATCATCTTGAAATATTCACGATGCGCCAAGCGCTACCAAATCACGTGAAACATCACGTGACTGATGGCTGTATGTTTCATAATGTATCACAAGATAAATTATTACGTAATCAGTAGTTATAATTGAGTAAATGCATCACTACTTTTTATTATTTTGACAACCAATTACTACTATTGCAAGGGGTTGATCAGCCGCTATTTATTACGTACTTTCTTTTATGAGTACTCCAGATTTGGTATTAAATTTATTACCAACTAACAATAACAACAACAATACAATACAAAGTTTAAATACCACGCTATCTTCAGATGATATAATTCAACAATTATTTAATCAATATATAGGTTTGAAACCATTGAAAAATGAGTATGTATTACAAGAACAAGATGAAAACCAACAACATCCTAGATTTTCATTGAGATCTTTACCATTAATCGGAAGGCTATTACCTGACATAGATGAAAAGACGAAACAAATTAATAAATTATTACAATTACAAAAATCAACTACAACGTATAAAGAATGGTATGAAATTTCTTTAAAATTAGATGAAGTAATGGGAAATAATGCATGGAAATCCGATCCAAAGTCAGATTTATATGATTATAATCAAATATATAAGAATTTAAATCAAATGAAACAAGCTAGATTAAATAATGATTACAAGTTGTTACTTTATCATATTCGAACAAAATGGATTAGAAATTTAGGTAATATGGGTGATTCAAATCTATATAGACATTCGTACGTGGGTACAAAAAAATTAATTGAAGAATATAATGAAGAATGTAAATTATCATTAGATTACCTTATAAGCTCCGAGAATGTGAATTTAGATGATAGATATTTATTAGGAATGTTGATCCAAACTCGAAAGAATATAGGTAGAACTGCGTTAGTCCTTAGTGGTGGGTCCACTTTTGGTATTTTTCACATTGGTGTTTTGGCAACTTTATTTGAAATCAATTTATTACCTAGAATTATTTCCGGTTCTTCTGCTGGTTCCATAATGGCAGGTATTTTATGTTGTCATACAAATGAAGAAACTTTTGAATTATTACAAACTATAGCCAGTCGAAAATTTAATATTTTTGAAATTACCGAATGTGATTTAAGTGATATTCAAAGTAATTTTAGAAAAATATTATACTTCCTTGGTCATTTAATTAAATATGGTACTATTTTCGATATTGAGGGTTTACAAGATACTATGATTGATTTTTTGGGAGATTTAACATTTAGAGAAGCATATAATAGAACAGGGAAAATATTAAATATAACTGTTTCACCAGCAAGTATCCATGAACAAACAAGATTATTAAATTATTTAACTGCTCCTAATTGTCTTATATGGAGTGCTGTTTGTGCTTCTTGTTCATTACCTGGTGTATTTCCTTCCAGTTCAGTATATGAGAAAAATCCAAAGACGAATGAGATTCACGAATGGAATAATGATGAATCAATGAAATATATGGATGGATCAGTGGATAATGATTTACCAATCACGAGATTATCAGAAATGTTTAATGTTGATCATATAATCGCGGTACAGGTTAATCCTCACGTTGTTCCAATTTTAAAAATATCAATTTCGAATATTGGTGGAGAGATTGAAAATGATTTAAGTTATAAAATGAAACATTTACTTAATAACGTTTATGATTTTTTTTCATGTGAAGCTATTCATTATTTACAACTTTTAAATGAATTAGACATATATAAGAATCTATCGAATAAGGTAATTTCAATTTTATCTCAAAATTATTCAGGTGATATTACAATTCTTCCAGAATATAAAGTTTCCGATTTTATTAAATTATTTCACAATCCAAATCCTGAATTCTTGCTTGATTTTATTTGTCGTGGAGCTAAAGCAAGTTGGCCCAAGGTATCAATTATACATAATCATTGTTCTGTTGAATTTGCATTAGATAGAGCAATAACAATACTAAAAGGGAAAATCATAACTTCTGAAAAGAATAGAATTACTTCTGGTGTTAAACGGTCTCAATCTTATAATCCAAAATCAAAAAATCAACAAAATATAACATTGGTAACTTCTCCAGATGATCAACATCATAATCAAAAAATAAAGAATAAATCAGATAAACAACAAATCTCAGAACCAAATACTCCAATTAAGCAACGTCCATTTGGTATTCAAAGACATCATTCAACTTCAAATACCACAGCAGCAACAAAAGCAAATATACCAAGTAGATCTAAAAGAAATTCAATGAGTGCTGCAGAAGGTAACAATTCGGATTCAGAAAGTAGTAATGGAACATCAAAGAAATTATCAAAACGTGTTTCAACAACAGTGTTGACTCATGGTTGGAATAGAAAAGTAACAACTACTGATTCGGTAGATTCAGATAATACAATAACAAACGAAGAAAATAATAATACAAATGGACATCAATATCAAAGTACACAAAAGATTCGTAAGGCTAGATCATCAGGTAATTTCCGCCACTCAACAGATTTCATAAATGGAGGAGTAGTACCCCAAAATACAAATACAAAATTGAAATTCAATCCAGATAGAATTCCATTGAAAAATAATCCATATTTGGAGGACAACATTCAAAGTATCCTACCCAAAACCGATATTGATTTTGTGGATAGTAAAGAGAATAATCCAAATTTACCTACAAGGTCAAACAGTCATCGAAATTCGTATATTGGATTAAATAGACTCAAGGATAATAATTTATCAAGATCAAATAATAATTCAACATTGCATTTGAAGTCGTCACATTTAAACGGGGGTGAGTTGTTTAAGAAGTTGGAGAAAGAAAATGAGAAGAGGAAAAGTATTTTAAAGAATGGAAATAATGATATGAATGATGTTGGGTTAGATCTATTTACGAATTCAGATGAGGATGATTTATGTAAATTTGAACTTTCGAATGAAAATGATGACGCAAGTTATGATGATGGAGAAAGTGAAAGTAATGAGAATGATAGTGATGAGTTTGATGATGCTAATGATCCTAATGAAGATGATGAAGAAGAAGATGATGATGAGATTAAGAAGTATGATGTTGATGATGAAATTAAACCTGAGAAGGAAGGTTCTGTTCCGATGGATAGGGTTACTGATTCTGTTGTTGATGAAATTGAACCGTTTATAGGCAATAAATAAATAAATTAATCTTTGATGAATAAATCTGCTAATCCCCAATATTCTCTTCATTTGAAGTTATTGTGGTATTACTATGATGAAATGGAACCAATTATAGGTAATAAATAACTCAATCTTTGATAAAACTTAATAATATAGGAATAATTAGACCAGCTAATTCCCAATATATCCTTCTAGTTTCAGATTTTGGTGTGACTGTAGTATTACTCTCTTCTGTAGTTGGTAATTCTTCAAACTCATCATCATTATGAATATGGTTAATTATATATATGAAATTACCACCCGAAAACAAAAATAATAAACCAATGAAGAGCCCAGTATTCTCAAATTTGAATATACTTGATATTGTATAGATTATAATTGATGATAATGGGGTCAGTAATGCAAAATAACATAATTGCCAATATATTTTATTTAAAGATAAACCATTCTTCATTAATAAAGTAGATAAACTAAAAGCAGTAGGCAATTTATGAATAATAATAGCTAAATAAATAAATAAACTCATATCTGAATCAATTATGAATGATGAACCTAATGAAATACCATCTACAATTCCATGTAAGATAAAACTTAGTGATAATGAGTCCATAACCGTATTTTGTTTGAAACTTGCATGATTTGTGAATATCTCAAGACCATACATTGTAATAAATCCAAATATCAACGGTAGACCAACTGACAAACTATTTATATTTTCTTGCATCATTTCCATACCTTCTGGTATTATAATCATAAATGCCGTGCCTAAGATTATGCCAGCACTCAAATGAGACAACACATTAATATTAGTATATGAAGTATTAGATATCTTTAATGGGACTATGCTACTACCAAAAGTAGTAATAGTCATGAATATACAGAGTATAATCAATTCAATAGCTTTATTCATATGTATCAATAATCAAATCTGGATCTGAAAAATCTGAAACGCGTAACTGAAAAATAAAAATATTATGGATTCATTAATACTGGATAAACTAGAATTAGCTATTCTTTATTTTAATACTAATGATTACATTAAAGCACTAAATATATATAATCAATTGATATACAAGCTCAAGAATTTATCCATAACTGCTATAAAATCCATCAGAAAGGAGTATAATTTATATGAGATTCCATTGATTGGATCGATCATCCATCCAAAACTAATCTCAATATTAGATCAAAGATCAGCTACATTTGAGAAATTAAACCAATTGGATAATGCGCTTAAGGATTCTCGAGAAATGATTGATTTGGATCCATTAAGTTGTAAAGGGTATCTCAGAACTGGTAAATTATTAAATAAAACTAATAAATTAAAAGAAAGTTATAAAGTATACCAGAAAGGAGTATATATAATTGAAAAAGCAATAAAGGAACATAATATAAAAGTGTCTGAGAAATTATTCACCAATTTGAAAATGCAATATAAGATATTGTATAAAGAACTCAAAATCAGGAGAAATGAAGAAATGAAGACTAAGAAGAAATTAAGAAAGGAGACTGATGTTTTTGCTAGATTGCCTATTGAATTAATTGAAATGATATTTGGAAATCTATCATTAAGGGATATACTCAAATGTTTATTAGTTTGTAAATGGTGGTATTTTATATTACTTTCGATCCCACGACTATTTAACTTTCAATGCAAGTATAACATAACTGGACAAGAATTCATAAATGGGATCAAACTATTTAGGAAAATGAACAAAAAAGTGTGGAATTTAACTATTAATCACGTTGCATTGAATAAATTTCCCAATGTTTTGGAGTTGATTATTAAGGAACCAGGGCTAAGTATTACCAAAGTAGATTTAATTGATAGACAAATGAGTTTGGAGTTATTATATCATAAACTCAGTAAATTAAACTGGAAATTGAATGCGTTTCATAATTTACAATCGCTAAATTTGGGGATTTATAGTCAGATAAAGGAGCCAATTTTACTACTAAATTTATTCAAGAATCTAAAACTGCTTAAGATTATAGTTCATGACAACAAGGGTCTGAAAATAGGTTTACCTTCAGATAAGATGTTTCAAATAATTAAAGATAAAGAAGTGGAAGATTATAAATTGGAAGAACTTACACTAGTTAATCACTCACAAAATATTATTTCATATCCACCATTACTAGATAAATCATTTTCAAATCTAAAGAGTCTAACGTTAGTTTCATTTGATTTTGCAAGTATACTACCTACATTTGGTCAAATTTTATTAAACGCAAAAGGTATTAATGAGCTATATTTGGAAAACAATTTAAACATAAACTTATATATATTCTTACAAATACTAGTGAATTATAAACCTGAGTTCAAGTTGAAGAGTTTTACATTTAGAGAGTCGAAAGTCAATGCACTCATATCATTAAATGAATTCCTGATAATTGATTTACTGAGAAATTTCAACCAATTGGAAAACTTAGATTTATATGGAAATTGTCTATCATCTAAATCTTTAAACAAATTAATAGAAACTTGTTTTGATAATTTACAAGAATTAAACATTGGAGCATCTACATTTTTAAGTTTTTCAAAACATGAAAAACAGAAAATATCATTCAAGAGAATACTTTCAATTCCAAATTTAGCAAAATTGTACATTAATGAACTTAATATTGAAGAATATTCAATGATTCAAATAAATAATGAACTCAAACCCAAGAACTTAGCGGTGTTAGATTTAAGTTTTAATAAAATTGATGGAGTATTCCTAATTAAAATTTTTGAAAAATTACAAGTTGATAATTTATATTTAAGTGGGAATAATATATCGATTGAGACACTAAGATACTTAAAGAAGAAGAATAAAGTGTCTCAGATATACATGGATATAAATAAATTAAAGTGGAAAGTATTTGGTATAAATAGTTATGTTTAACATGGTAGCTCCTTTTTCAAAATTTAGTCAATATCTCATCTCAATATTATTATGGTATTAACAAGAAGTCAAGCACATGAATTAAGAAAACCAAAAAAGATAAAATTTGACGGCGATGAAGATGATATAATAGAGAAAGAACTAAGTGTAGATGATGTCGAAGAGAACGAAAAGGAAGATGAAGAAAAAGAAAATGCCGAAGAGGAAGACGAAGAAGATGATGATTCTGATGAGGCACCAGAGATGGAGAGTACAAGCAAATCAAAAAATGAAATCATAGCTAGAGAAAGAGAAGCTGAGCTACAACAACAAGAATTAAAGAGGTTAGAAAAAGAAAAGAGAAAATCACTCGATAAGCGTAATAAACAACAACAAGAACTCAAGAGGAAACAGAAACAAGAATTACCTGAATTCTTACCAGATAATATTGAATCAATAATTAACGCAGATAATGTTAAAGAAGAATCAGAGGAAGATGTGGTGGTGGTGCCGAAGAATAAACATTTTAAATTAGATGATGATAGATTATCTAAACTAGAGGAGAAACTCAGACAAATTAAACAAGATAAAAAGAAAGCTCAAATAATTAGAAAGGGACCGGTTCATGTTGCTGTACTTGATAAAAAGCCATTAGTACCCAAATCAGAATATAAAATATTGAAAAATAAAGATAAATGGTTGAATAGAAAATCAATAAATAGGAAATGAACAATGATTTGAATACAGATCTTAACATCGCTAATCTTTACTACTCTTAGTTAAACATGGATCTCTTCGGTTGGTTACTTATTTCCTAAATTGTAAAATCTAAATAAAACGAGATCTCGAAAAATAAAAAAAAAAAAAAAAAAAAAATTAAAAAATAGCTTTACAACCAAGGGTATTTAGATCCAATTCATTGATTTACCCTACTGAAAACGGGTACTACAGATCTATAAAGGCTTAAAGTAGTTAGTCTGAAATTAATTGATTATAAATTGGTTGGTTTTGATTCAAGAGGTTTTTTAGTTCATTCACAATGTCATCAAATAAATACGATCTTAAATATGAAAAGATTCCTTGGTATAGATTAGTTAGTTATGATTTAATATTATGGTTATTATCAGTTGTTTTTGATTGTTTTTTTAGAGAAATTAAACCGAGAGGAGCTTTTAAAATACCGAGAGATGGACCAGTTATATTTGTTGGAGCTCCTCATCATAATCAATTTGTTGATCCAGTTATATTAATGAATCAAGTTAAAAAAGAAGCAAATAGAAGAATATCATTTTTAATAGCTGCTAAATCATATCAATTAAAGGTAGTTGGAACATTAGCAAAATGTCAATTATCAATTCCGGTAATTAGACCACAAGATACATTAACAAAGGGAAATGGTAAAATATTCATAAATATGCAAGAAGAACCATTGAAAGTTATTGGAGTAGGCACAAAATTCACTCAAGATTGTATGGTCAAAGGTCTTCTTGCATTACCTCAATCACTTGGTGCCTCTGAAATAACTGAAATTATATCAGATACTGAATTATATATTAGAAAAGAATTTAAATCAACTGATCAAATAAAAACTTTATTAACTAAAGGTACAAGTTTTAAAAAAGCAGATAAAATAGATCAAAAAAAAGTTTATAAAATGGTATTTGATCATTTACTGGATGGTAATTGTATTGGTATTTTCCCTGAAGGTGGATCTCATGATAGACCAGATTTATTACCTTTAAAAGCTGGAGTTGCAGTTATGGCCCTAGGAGCAATGGAAAATAATCCAAATTGTAATGTTAAAATAGTTCCCTGTGGTATGAATTATTTTAATGCTCATAAATTTAGATCAAGAGCAGTTGTTGAATTTGGTGATCCACTTGAAATACCAATAGAATTAGTTAAAAAATATTCAAATCCCGAGACTAATAGAGAGGCAGTTAGGGAGTTATTGGATCTTATAACTACTGGGTTAAAAGCAGTGACTGTTACTTGTGAAGATTATGAAACTTTAATGTTAATTCAAGCTGCTAGACGATTATATGCTGGTAATTTAGTACAACAATTACCATTACCTTTAATTGTTGAAATGAATAGAAGATTAATTATAGGATATCAACATTATAAAAATTTACCACAAATTCAAAAATTAAAAGAAAAAGTATTAAACTATAATGAATTTTTAAAGTCATTATATTTACCTGATCATGATGTTGAGAATTGTAAAGAATCAGCTAATAAAATTGTCATACTCCCAATATTAATATTTAGAATTATGAAATTGTTATGTTTATGTATATTATCATTACCTGGAGCTATATTATTTTCACCGGTATTCTTGGTGTCGAAGGTGATAGCTAATAAGAAAGCAAAAAAAGCATTGGCAAATTCAGTAGTTAAAATAGCAGCAAATGATGTTATTGCAACTTGGAAAATTTTAGTTTCAATGGTTTGGGCACCTGTATTATATTCATTTTATGCATCAATTGGGACTTCTTATTGTTACAGACATAATATATTATCATCTTTCAAATTATTATGGTTATGGATATTATTATATGTCCTTGGTGTTTTGGTAACTTATAGTGCTTTAATCTTTGGAGAACAAGGTATGGATATATTTAAATCTATTCGTCCATTATATTTATCTATTTTATCAGGTTCATCAATTTGTGAATTGAAAAAAATGAGACATGAATTAAGTGAAGAAATAACAGAAGTTGTAAATACATTTGGACCAGAATTGTTTCCTAAAGATTTCAATTTATTAGAATTAAAAGATAGGTTGAAAATTACAGATTCTAAAGTTAATTATGTAGATAGTGATGAAGAAGAAGATAAAAAGACAGAAGAATTAAGAAATAGAAGATTACAAAATAGGAAAAAGAAAAAATTAAAACAAGATGGAGTTCTCGAAAATGATAATAGTTCTTCTGTTTCTGATGGCTTAAGTTTATTAAATTCTGATAATTCATTAACTAACCTCCCAATGTTTTCAGATTATCCATTATATAAAAATGCAAACAATCCAGATTTAAAATTAGAATTACAATCAAATTTTAATTCAACTGCAAATTCAACAGTTTCTATAGTTGATGATTATAAATATGCTTTAAATCAACCTCATTTTTCATCTCCATTAAGACCAACACATATGTCAAAATCAAATTCATCAGATCAAATAGAATTAAATTTTAGTAATAATAAATCAAAGAATCTAAAAGATAGAATAAAACAAAAAATGAGAGCAAATAGAAATTCAGACAATTAACTTCATTATATTCGTAGCAAGATCATTAATGTATATAATTTTCATAAAACTTTGATACTCAAGTTTTTCATTTATTCATTGCTTGATTTTCAAAAAATTCAGAAACTTGAGTTGAACTTGTAGCATCTTCAATGTTTTTATCATCTCTAATTCTAACAAATCTAGGAAATCTTAATGAAATACCTTTACCATATTGTTGATGAGCAGCTTTATAAATTGGACTTAACGATAAATCAGCAGTTTTAACTTCAAAAATTAATGATGGATCAAACCAAACATCTGGTTTTGCATTTGAATTATTTGTATCATAAACAAAATAATTTTTAGGTTGTTGAATTTCAGTTGGATGTAATTTTGTATATAAATTACTCAACATTTCATCACTAAATCCAGTTCCAATTTTACACGTAGTTTCTAAATCTCCTGTATCTTCATTATATGAAGCTAATAAAAAACCTCCATAAGTACCTGTTCTTTTACCTTTACCATTATAAGCACCAATTACAACTAAATCTAAAGAATCTCCTTGACCATCTAAATAATCTTTTTTCAATTTCAACCAAAATTGTGATCTTTTACTCGGCTCATAATGTGATTCATGTCCATCTAAAACTTTAACCATTAAACCTTCACAATAATCTTTTATTGATTGTAATAAAAATTCATGAATAATTTCATCACTTGATTTTGATTCAGATGTTGAATCTCTACAAGTTGCAAATTGTAATTGACCTTCTAATGGATGAATGTGTTTTTGCATATATTGCCTTCTTTCAGTCAAGGTTTTAGTTAATAATGGTTCTTCATTATAATATAATAAATCAAATACAAATAAACATATATGAACAGTTATATCTTTTTCATTAACATCTTTTCTTTTTCTTGTGGATAATGTTTGAAATGGTAAAATACGTTTCAAATTTTTATCCCATGCAACTGCTTCACAATCTAAAATCATTGATTTATGTTCTTGAGTTTTATGTAAATTTGAAATAATTGTAATTATATCAGGATATCTTTCTGACATATCTTCACCATTTCTTGAAAAAACTTTAACTGCACCATCATTACATAAATGAACTTGAGCTCTTTCACCATCATATTTATATTCACATGTAAAATTTTCATTTGCAAATTTGTCTAAAACTTCACCAACTGATTTTGTAGGTTTTGCCAACATTGGTTTTAAAGGTACTCCAGGAGTAATTTTAACAGTATCTAAAATATTGAAAATCCCACCTTCAAATGCTGCTTTTATACAAATTTCATAATTTGGAGTTCTTGTATATGCTTCTTTAAATAATTCTTCAGCTTTTGTTAATTTATCAGTTGGAATTTTTAGATTTGAATTTTGTTCATATGAAACAAATGCTTGAGCTAAAGATACAGTAACTGTTTGACCAGCTAATCCAATTCTTAATTTACCTTCTAATGATCGTATTAAAAATTTAGCTTCTTGAGAATTTTGATCACAAGCTGTTAACATTTTTTTAATTAAATGAATTTTTTTAGATTGTGAATCTTTACCTTTTGATTTGGCAATTTCTTTTAAATTATTAAAAACTGTATCAATTTGTAATGGGGCTGGTTTTGAAAACATTGATGCTTGATTTTCTCTTGATTGTTGAGCAACTAAACCTAAATCACCAGTTTTTTTATAATCTTCTTTAACTTTGGTGGTGGACCTACCATAACATTCAGATATTGCTTTAATTAATATTGTTTCACCTAATCCTAATTCTAAATTATCATAATCTGGACCTAATTTATTTATAGTTAAATAAACAACACGTACTAAATTTTCATAAGATTCTGATTCTTTTATAGTTCGAAGGTACAATTGGGATAATATGGATATTTTTTGTAATCTACCCGGTTCCTTTTCAAGTCTTTCAAACGTATCAGCTAATAAATTAAACGGTATTTGTTTTCTTGTTGTTTGATTATCTTGTATAATTGGTTTTGATTCATTTAATTGGATTAAAGTTTCAGCTTCTTTTGTAGTTATATCACCATTTGAATCATCATATTTAGCTAGATCTGAGCCACTGTCATTGGCTATAGATTCTTCAATTTTTGGTTCTTCATTTTTTGATTTTTTTAACGGAGATTTATCAAGTTGTGATGTACCATTATTAGTTGCTTTTCTTTTTAATGGTGAATTTAATGATGGATTATTACCACCAAAGAATCTTCCTAATGTTTGTTGGGCTTTTGGAGCCATTCTATATCTAACTGATTTAAATTGATTGTTAATTAATAGAGAAAAGTTTCCCCTAAACATAAATTTGTTTCAGAAATTAAATCGTGTTTATATATTTTTTTTTTTACGTGTTTTTGTTTTTATTACGAGTCACGTGAATCGCACGCGTCGTCTAATTTTAATTTATATATTACAGTTATTAATATTTATACAGTTGCATCCCATATACTTTGTGGTCCTTTTTCTTCATACATATCACTACTAACAAATACTTCTTTGCCATGATGATGAGTTGTACCACTAAAAATTTGTTTTGCAAATATTTCCCCACCTAAAAAGAATAAATCTTCCCATGATCCACCTTGTTCTTTTGGTAATTTCCATTCAGGAAAATAATCAGGGTATTTAACCATTTTAATTGAATTTGGGACTTGACTTATATCATTTATTTGATTTTCATTAATATCATCATTTTTTTGATATTTCATAATTGTAGAATTAATACCATTTGAATTTAATTTATGATCATCAGTTGGTGGTTCTTGAACTAAATAATCTTCATTTAATTTAATTAATAATGCTTCTTTAAAACCTGGAATTTTGAATGTAGATCCGATAAATATTAAATTATCATAACAATCTTGTCGTTTATCTATATCGGGTATTTGTGCTAAACTTTTATAAACAGCTTTTGAAATTTCATTAATTAATGACTCACAACCTAAAAATCTTTCTTTACCAACATAAACTTTTTCATTTGTTTTTGAATCAATAAAATAATTTTTCTCCAACTCTTTATTTGGTTTCTCATCTTTCTTGGTTTCATCTTTATTTTCATCGATAATTTTTGAAACATCCAACATTTCCTCATCATCAAGATCATTTGTTTCTATATTATTATATGCATTGAAGTCAGTTTCATTTAAAACTTCATATATTCCACTAATTTTCAAATTTTCAACTTGTTCATCAGTTAAATTGGGTGAATTATTTTTGATTTCTTGATTAAGTGAGTTTCCACCAATATTTAAAATCTTACTTGCAAATTTGATAGTTTGATAATTTACAATTGGAACAATTTGAGTTGTATTATATCCAATATTTACAACTAATGAAGTTGTCAGTTGTCCTATTGCAAATGTAGAAGCTAATGATAAATCCAAAATATTAAATGCTGTAAATTCCAAATTTTCAAAGATATATTTTGTAAGGTATTCAATTGATTGATTTGACCAAGTTAAAGATGGGAATAAAATTAATAATGGAATTTGGTTGATTGTTAATATAGGATGATTTTTAATTATACTTTGTAATATTAATTTAATTAAAAAATTGAAAGCATCTATGTTTACTAATTTAGAATCTTTAATTGGATATATTTCTTCATCTGTTTCTCCTGATGATTTAAATTCTTTGGTTGATTTATCTTGATAAACAATTGATGGAATTTTATATTGAGGTGGTGATAAAGAATCTTGTAAACCAAATGAAAAAACTGTATATCTTGATCCTGGATTTATTATTAGAAAGTTTTCTTCCTTGTATAATGGCATTGAAGTTTGACTATTGTATTTGAATTTTGAACTTGTTGTTTACGATTGAAAAAAAAAAATTGAAATTTATTCAAATCTAAACTTGGATAATTGATACAATTACACGACCATATAACTTTGCAGTAAACGATGAAACTTGATAAGCAGAATAATCAATAACAAAGATGCAAGTAGATTTTGAGCTGAGCTTCTAAAATGATATGATTATGACCCTGCGACTCCTTGCCTTTTTTGTTGTATGTATTTGAATGGACTAATAATAATCAAACTACAGTCGGTAATTAAACATATGCATTTGCAGTGTAAATAATCAGGTACGTTTCAGTTTTGCATGGGGTTGTATTGTTACTTTTCGAAATCATTTCATATTGCATAAATGAAAGATAAAATTCAATCTCTATTATGTCTGGCAACAGATGAGATAGAACAATCATTACACCTCTAATGTGTAGATAGAAGCCTAAATAATATGCCATATGCATTTTAGACTTGCAATGCCACTATAACATCCTCTAAATTTACAAAATCTATTGCTATACTCTTAAGGGGTATTTTTAGGGGGTGGGGATGGTAGCGCTCATTCTCTTTTTTGTTATGTTGATGATCCTGTATATAATCTGTAACAAAACCAACATTTATTACACAAAGAAAAATCTCCGTCTATTTATCACTATTCTTTATCTCAGCAATCCACTTAAATCAACTGAATCGTATCATCGTGACCGGTGAATTTGTAAAGCGTGTTTTCAATTATTTAGTCTTGTCGCAAGATCGACTATGAGATTTAATTATTAAGAATTGTTCAAATTATAAACTATTTTGCAATTTTTACGAAAGTACTAGTAGATTTCAAGAAATTATTCAGACAATCAAGGGTAATTTCAATGATTGCAACTTTTCCAACTTATCATAATGTAAGAACAATAATAACACCAAATTGAATAAATTTTTAGTATATTTTGGTGCATTTGAAATTCACTATTCTTATATTTGGATCAATTCACAACAGTAACTCAAAGTATTACGATTATATAATGGTTCAATATATACAACCAAATTATTTTTCACTGTTTACTTCCGCAATCTTGAATATGGTTGAATCCCACTCTTGATGATTTTGTCAATTTTATTTCTGTCCAGAATATAAAATAAAATAATCGAACGAACAGCATCAGAATAACAGGTCGTGATGAAGAACAAGTACTCTTCAATCAATTATTATCAATAATTTATTCCTTCTCTTTGAAATTTTCTTTGTGTTCTTCAGGATTTGTTGTTGTAGAAAGGTAATTTATAAATCTCAATAGGTCAACAACGAAACACTTTCAGTAAACTGGGGAGCCGCATTAGAATAAGAATGCTTAGGAGACTCAAATGCATCTATTCTCATGACAAATGAAGCCCTTTGTTTTTATATTTTAAATGTAGAACATCAAAATTTCGAATTAGATTGATTTACTCTTGAACAGTTATCAACTCCCTTCTTCTACAGAGAATAAACTACAGTATTAAAGGAAGACATATCAATTAGTCTTAGCTCATTAAAGGTGGTTATGTGTAAGTAACTCAATTACAAATAAAAGTGGCAAAAAGAAGAAGTTGTCAATTTGTGAAATTTGGTTTTGTGTAACAAAAATTGGTTTTCATTTTGCTCCTTAGTAAAAAATGAAAACAGTTAAAATCGCAAATAACTCACGAGCTATTAGATATTGTTGAATATTGGCTATGTATAATTACTCTAGAAACCAAGAGCCATATACTAGCACTTGAATCAGACCGATATATCAATTTTAAAGTCGATGGTATTAGCTTCGAATGTAGGACGAGAAACTGATACCAGCTCTTGCCCTCATAAAAAGATCTTTCGGCTTGGCTTTCGCTTCACGTTGGCTGAAAGCTCGTGCCTCAAAATTAAGAAAATTGTGAGACGAATTTGACTTTAACTTATATGCAGTCTTAAATTAGTTAATCACAGAATTTAAATCGTGAATATCTCAATCAATACTCATGCCATTGCTCTCAAACTTTTTTTCATTAAAGCTTCAAAAAGCGGAAAGTGGACTGAGCTTAGTAGCATTTAAAAACCCTAAATTTTGATCATTTTATTAATCAATCAAAAATGACAAAAAATGATAAATTGAAAGGTTAGCGCATTTAAACCTCATGTAGCATATTCTAAAATACTTGATTTGGTTTATTTGGCCACAATTATTCTTTGAGAAATATTTCCAAGACGCCATAATCGTTTTGAAATTTTTGCAAAAATTTTTAAAAATTACTTTTCCAATTTTGAATACCTTAACACAAAAATATCCAAGCTGTTTAGCATGCAGAACTACAAATCTGGATAGGTTCATCACGATTAAATTTGAATATTAAAGATGGAATTAGTTTTTTTCAAAGGACATTTATTCGAATTATCCCATACTCAAAAGAAAATTTTGAAGTTTTCAATTTTGACTTAGTTCACCTTTAGATAGGTCCACTAGCTTCATTTGAAGTCTAATATATGAAATTCGTCGTTTATGGGTCTAAATAAAAAGATACATAAATTTCTACTTTTTGAAAATTTTTCGTATGATGAAAAAATGCCGAAATGACAACTCAAAAACAAAATGTTTTGAATTTAAAGATTGGTGTATGTGGGATATATAATTTAAAGCTCTTGATCTTGTATAAATAGTATTTATCTCGAAAAACTGCTTTGTTCATGACTTATGAATCAATATATTTAGTACGAGTCGTCCCAAAGCTAAAGCGATAAATTATTTTGTCGCACAAAATTTATCGCATCAAAAAATATATACTTTCTACTTTAGTATGTTTTTCATCGCATTGGCTTCAAAAACGAAATACTAATAATTTACTTTGTCACGTTGGTCTAGAACCATGTGCAAGCCATCAATTAAACAACAGCAAATTTCACACGATAATCACAAATATAAAAGCCAATAAAAAAATAGCTTCTAAAATCAAAGACTAACGACATATGTTTCAAGCCGTTAAATAACCTCTAATACACTCAAAATTAATAAATCATCTTTTGTGTTACGCACTACCCTTGTAATTAAGTCACGTGATTTGAATCTATTTTTGAAAAAATGATTGTATCTGTGTATGAGACCTATATGAATGGATCGGTTTTGAGAAATTGAGTAAAACACTGGAAGACAACATCATCTGAATCTTAATGTGTAAAGAGTTAAGGGCTGCTTTAGTTTTCCGGGTCAGAATTTTTTTACACAAATGAAAAATCTCAAATTTGTACAGCTTTTCTTTTGTACAAACATGAGATAAATCAACAGAACTATATCATTCAAATCAGGCAATCGTCGTTGAATTAATGTCAATAGATGTACTAATCAATCGCGCATTTTTTTGAAGTTGAAAAGAGCAAATATTGAATTTTAAGATGTTTGTGTATAATATAATACAGAATTGAAGAATGTCGATAATGAATACTTTGATGCTTTTTCGAACAGCTTTAACATCAAACGAAAATAAAATTAGATAATTCACGAAATTCAGATTACATTAAGTATATTCATTAATCATCAACATTAGCTAAGAACTTTTTATAATTTTCTCTAGTATTTAAAACACTTTTCTTACTTAAATTTCTGCTAATCATGTCATTATTTTTATTATATTGATTTTGTTGTAAAGGTATAATATTTTCAATTTCTTGATCAAATGAATCTAGTAATTTAACTTCATTTATAAATGGTAATTCTTCTGCTTGTGCTGGTAAAGTAGGTAAATCTTTAAATGAATTTTCAGTTGAATTACTTCTAGATTTAGGTTTTAATATATTTTTATTTTTTGATACTGGTTCAGAAGAAGCTCTTTGAATTTTTGGTTGTTGTTTCGCATAGAATTGTGGATTATTTAATAAATTAGGTGAACTTTCATGATGGTGAGAACTGGATGGTTTTGATCCTCTTTCAAATCTATATGGTGTAACTCTAATATTTGATGATCTTCTTTTTTGTAATTTAGGTTGTTGTGGTTGATCAATTGGTTGATGATATCTTTTATCTCTAACTTCTTGTTGTTGTGGAATCTCAGACATTTCAAATTTTATACTTTGATCACCATAACTTTCATTACTATTTAATGAAGTTGCATCAGAAACTTGATTTGGAATATTTTCAGCTTTAATAAATTTCAGTAGTACATTATTAATTATTCCAATTGATCTTACATTGAATAAATTGAAGTATATGAAAATTGATAAGGCAATTAAACCAATTATACCCCCCACCAAACCTAAAACAACTAAAATTATTGTTAATTTTATAAAAAATTCTTTATAAATGAAAATTGTAGTACATGATATTATACCAAATAATATACCAATTAAAAAACTGGGAGCATGAAAACTCGAAGCTTTATTCATTAATGTTATCATTAAATTTTTGAATTTGTTGTTATTTTTCTTGTCTTGTGATTTAATTGATTCTTGATCTAATGATTTTATTGAAATTGTAGGAGATTTTGAAGGTAATTGATGATGACTATGAATATCCGAATATTGATTTATAGATTCAGCTGTAGTTGGAGGTGTTATTAAATTTAAATTTTTTGATGAAGTATAATTTGAAGTAGGTCTTATTTTTTTTCCTGATCTGATACTATCATCAACACTACTTTGAATACTAGCAGTTTCATTATTCGTTGAATCTTTAATGATTTGATAACTACAATTGATCAATTCATTTAAGTAGTTGTTTATATTCTCTTTTTTGTTGATAATTCCATCTTTATCAAGAGTTTTGTTAGTTGATGAATAATCATTATCATCAATTTTCTTTAATCTGAAAACACCATCTGGATCTTGTCTATAAATTAACTTCTTCTTCTTTTTGGCAGTTGATGTAATTGACTTTTCGTCCATTTTAAATTGGACTTTAAAGTAATTGAACTACTGAATCTTTAAGTATCAAATGATAATTATGAAATTAATATATGACAAAATACTGAAAATTAATGTAAAGATGAGTAAAAGATTAAACTTAATAAAAATGTGGAATGTTAATCTAATTTATACGAAAAATTATCGACGCATTAGTCAAATTGAGGGTTCATTCCAATTAAATATTTAATTTTTATCAATTTAAAGTTTTTGATTTTGTGTTATATTTCTTAAAATTTAATAGGCTGAAGTTGGGGTTTACCTATTCAATTTAGACGATAAATATGTTTGTTAATTTAAATTAGTTTGTGGTTGTATTGTATATTATATTATTTACATAATCTATTGTATGAGAAAAATTTGCAATTTAGTCGATTATTTACTTTTCATTCATTTTAGTTATAATTACAATTCATTTGAAATTAGTCGTTAATTTCAAATATTACTTCCTATGCACTTTAAGCTTTTGAATAAGTTAAATAATAAATATTAAAAGATGGTGGCTTGTGAAATTTGTTGAATCTAAGCTTGACAAAAAAATTAAAAAAAAAAAGAAATAAAAAAAATTAGCCGAGATCCAACAAAAATCCCTTTCTGGTACCTGAAATTATGAATTTTAAGCCAAAATCCAACTGAATTTGAGCCCTAGCGATCAAATAAACATGTTTATTTACTCTCTGTTATCTTGTGATTTTTACAACTTTCAAAGCTTTCAGACGGTCTGAATATTTTGTATCGATTTTGTTACTCTTTCTGGTTGACTTGGCAAGAACAAATGATGATTACATGTTGTAGATGGGAGAGTAACTAAAATATCATTTCAAATATCAAAAATTTATTTATAAAGTTTATTATCAGAGAATAATTATGTGTGTTTGTTAGTTTAACAACAGAATAAATATTTTTTATTGTAATATCTCAGATGGCTGGCTGGTTTGTAACCTATTTTTTTGATTTTGTTATCAGTGGTTATCTTTTCAAGATTGTCCAACAAAACACTTTTAGTAACGCATTTTCTCATATTCTAAGTCCTAACATGTGAATCTGCTCTTGTTATATTCATAAATTTAAAGTTTAGGTAGATGAGATCTGTGAGATCTGAGATCTCGTATATTGTTTTATATGCACTACTAAACCCTAATATTACACAAAGCTGAATTGATAAAATAATTGAATAATTGCAATTTTGTTCACTGGAACCTTATACTAGTATTCACATAAAATATCAATAATCTTCCTTTGAACCTTTCAGAGTAGAGCTTATAATCTTCCGTAATTTGAGCTCACTTTTGAACCCGACATATTTCAGTAGTTATGTTACGCAGTGACTCCAAGCATATAAACAGGCTTTAAAAAAACAAACTCAGGTCTATAAGAGGCTATTACTTATTGAGTTTGCTATCCCTATGATCATAACCTATGATAAAAGTAATCAACTAAAAATACGCACTTGGTAGCCTGTGTCCCGTCTAATTTTTTTTTTTTTTTATACAAACAAACTAATTATAAAACTAAACATTCCTGTCTCAGATCAAATAACTATGCAGATGGCTCAGAAAGAAGATAACGGTTTTAAATCTATGCTGATTTATGAACGACAGAGAGAAGAATTAAGACGACAGAAATCGATCTTCAAACAACATCATTTAACAGATGCAGAATTAGATAAACAACAAAATAATTTACATTATAGAAGACCCACCCAAAAAAGTTTATCAAGACAAGCAGAAAGCAGTAGAGTCTCGGAACCAACCATTCCAGCTAACAATAGTTTCACTTTCAAAAAATCAAATTCTCCTACTGATAAAATTCGAAATGTGCATCCTAATTTAATGTTTCAGAATGAGTTCAATTATGATAATAAGGAAACAAATAGTGGGCCAAAAATACATCGAAGACTTGCAATAAAACCACTTCCTAAAAGGGTATCTGTACATGGAGCTTTTAATAATCAACCAGGTGATTTAGTATTGGATAATCTATTTTCGTTGAATCCAACTCCATCAGCTTCAAAAAAACCGGAACAATTAAGGCCAAATACACCATCTGTGACAGAACTACAACCAACATTGAAAACGGATTTCTTTCGTCGACCGTATGTAGCAAATTCAACAAAACAAAGTGAGTCGCAAATTCATCGTTTTACAATTCCTAATCAAAAGAGTAAAAGTGCTTTACAACTACAGACTACTTCAGATATCGAATCGGAGCTAGTGTCTAAGAGTGCAACTAATACAAATTTATTAACTACTCAAGCAAAAAAATTGAATTTGCCAAAGCCTTCAACATCAAATAACAATAAATCTATTGGATCTCCACAGTATTATTCACCTGTCGAAGACGATTTTATTGATGATTTTGATCCTCCTACACCTAAAACTAAAACACCAATAGATATAAATTTCAGTTCACCATCATCTCCTGATATGTTTAAACTTACAACCTCAAAGAAACAAATATCATCATCAAGGAATACACAAAGTCAAGCTAAAAAAAGTATACAACGAGATAAAATTCCTCGAACAACATATCCAATTTCGACTCAATCGTCAAATAATAGACATACCTCTTCAATTTCAACTCAACGATCAAAAGCAGCACTACCTAATTCACAACGAACCACTTTAACACAACATAATAATCCAGTTTCATTACAAAAATCTCTTAAGGAGCCTAATGTGCCTGATAGAAAACGATCTAGACCAAATCATACTGCTGAACGAAAAGTAAAGTATCAAAAAAGTGCCAATTTATTAATTCGAAAGTTACCACTTACAAGATTAATCAAAGAAATAAAGTTAGAACTGATTGGTCCTGATGTTGGTGTAATATGGCATTCAAATGCAATATTAGCATTACAGGAAGCTTCAGAATCATTTCTTGTTCATTTATTAGAAGATTCAAATTTAAATGCGAATTATGCTCAACGATTAACTATAATGAACGAAGATTTAGAATTGGCAAAACGAATAAAAGGGGGGAAATAATATATATTATTATTACAAAACTACTGTATGTTCATGAGGTGGAGTACCTTTAATTAAAATTTCTTCATCATCTTCATCAAAATTTGATCCAATATTATCAACTGATTTTGTATTTCTTTTCAAAGTACAACATTTAATTTGCTGTATAAATTCATCTTGCATTATTTCTTGTAATGTTGCTCTTTGATTTGGATCAACTTGTAACATTTTAAAAATTATACCTCTTGCAGCATGTGGTAACAATCTCATTAATCTATATGGTCCATGTATTTGTTTATGTGATGCTTTCTTTTTAGAATCTGAATCATTCTCAGATTCCATTCGTTTCTTTTCCTCTTCAAGTTGAGTCTGGGTTATTAATTTTTGATATTCGGTATCTTTTTCTCTTTGTTCATTGAATTCTTCTTTTAATCTATCCTTTTTCTTTTCATATTCATCTAATTGATCATCTATTTCTTTTAACTGTGCTACTAATTTCTCAACTTGTTCATCAGATAATAACTCATCATCTACATTTGTTTCTGTATCCAGTATTATTTCTTCTTCTTCCAATTGTTTCTTTCTTTTATTTGACCTAACAATTAAATTTTTCAATTTTCTTTGTTGTAATAATAATTTATGACATTCATTACTTAAATAATAATCATGCCAATTATCATCAGGCAAACAAAATAATTTAAAACTGTTGTCTTTCTCTGGATTAGGTATCTTCCAAGGGAACCTTTTTAAAGTCATACAACAATATATAATAGCAATTGACCATAAATCAACCGGTTGTGGATTGTAACTATTTGAATTTTTTAATACCTCTGGTGCTAAATAAGGATCAGATCCAACTATACCATGACATGGATGAATGTTTTCCTTTTGATTTGAATTTGTACCATATTGATCATAAGGATATTTAAAAATTACAGCACTACCAAAATCAATAATTTTAAGTATACCATCCATTGTAATTACACAATTATCTAATTTTAAATCTCTATGCGCTAATCCTAAGCTATGTAAATAATTAACACCTTCTAATATTTGTTTTAAACAACAATTAACTTCATTTCTTGACATTTCTCCACTCATTACAACTGCAAAAAAATCAATTGGTGCATATTCCATAATTTCAAAATATCGATTATTTTCATGAATTATATCAATTGTTTTAATAATATTTGGATGTTTTAAAGTTGATCCAATACAATATTCAGCAGTACATTTTCTTGTGTAATCTTTTAATGATTCTGTAGATCTTTTAGCTCTAAATTCTTTTACAGCAAATGTTTTTGAATCAGATGGTCTTGTTATTAATTTAACCGATCCACCAGCTCCACTACCTAATTCTTTTCCAATTTTACCATATTTTTTAACCAATGGTGAATTGTCATCAGTGAATGGATCTCGATTCGTACTGACTGAATGTGAAGCATTATGTAATAATTGTGTTGAAGTTTGATTTATAAGATTTGCCAATGAAGTTGAGGAATGTTCTCGAGATGATAATCCACTATTTGGTCCTGATGAAGCTGCTATTGGTGGTGGAGAATGAATATTATTGTGGTATGTAGGTGATAAATTGTGATTTGTTGAATGTGGAGTATTGTGTGAATTCTTTTTAGTAGGTTTAAAAAATCGTTTTAGTTCCACCATTGATCCTGACTTTTTAAATGCTTGATTTGAGTCCTCTTTATTTAACTGATGAATTTGTGGTTGGGGAGAATGTATGCCAGGGGAAACTGAACTTGAAATTTCTTGAGATTGATGTTGTGAATGATGATGATGATGTGAATGTTGTTGAGTATGATTATGATATTCATTGGTGGTAGTTGGTGATGATAAACCGTCTCCGGATTCGTGTTTACCTATGTGAAATCCAAGAAACTTTCTTTGAGAATGATTTGAAGTTGATGGACTTAAATTATTTGGATCTTCATTTTTATGTTTGGAAAATAACTTTAATTTATGTTTATCGGGCATTATTAAAACTTTGGAATTATATTAATTTAAGTTGAATTTATGTCAATTTGATTCTGTTCAATTAAATAATATCCTTGATCATATAAATCTTAGTTTTTTCCCTTAAATATCAATATTATTCAAATGACTTTTTCAAGCAGTTGTTTGGACAATGAAATCGAGGCTTGAATTATACTTCAAACTCTTCTTATTATTGTCAACTATTTGGTTAATCTATTTGTTCTAAAATAAATTATCAATTGATAATAAATAATTAAAGAAAATAAAAAGGTAGTGTGTTGATTTAATTGGATGGAAAAATTAATAATATGGAATATAAGATATTATGTAAGAGAACCTTATTTGCTACCAAGTGTCGTTGTAATATATGTAAGGAATCAATGGAAATGAATCGACCTTTATATTGAAACATCACCTGTTTTTTGAATAATCTGTTGCAGAGTCTAATTAACCTAGAGAAAAGAAAAATGGATCATGTTAGATGGATCAATTAATTATAGGTACCGAATCGCATGATAATAATCGATTTAGCTATCTCTACCTATTTAATCTAGGCTTGTGTACTCTTCAGTAAAATTCGAGCATCCTAGTCAACTCAACTTGAGCAAAATTAACAATGGATTACAGTTCACATTTTTCTGTCACATCCTAGCATGGCTATTGATAAAGCAATTTATTGTCAATCATTATCGTGAATCATTTTAAGTCAATACCAAGTACGGTGAGCTTTTGTTCAACTGAATTTACGAGCTAAACTGTTCAAGTTTATAATGAGTCAAAATTTGATGGTTTAACATCACAATGTACGTGCTATTGTAACGACTCTAGTTTATTACTTTGTAACCATACTAAGAACTTCCAAGAGACGTTGCAAGGAAGAATTTAGACATGTAATTAAGTACATGAGGTAATCAATATAATACTAGTCATGGATTCCAAATACTGAAATTTTTTGAAATATTAAGATGGATGCAATTGAGAGGTTTCATTGAATCAAAACCAACATGAAGCTAAGAGTGGGTCTATACTGAATTGTTTAATAAACTAATAGTGTGTTAACAACTTGTGTTGACTTTTCAAATCAGAATCAATTAGAAAATATTTAACTACAGGTTGTACTGACAATTGAGCTCATGGATTACATTCCTTATATTAACTTTACCACGATGAGCTACATTTAGACACTGTACTGAGTATGTACGTGATATTTTGCATGAATTCTTGCTGCAAAATTGTAAGTTTGCAAATTTGATTAAGTCTACAAGTACAGCACCTTTAGCAAAAGCAATTAGCTGCATCCAAATCACAAAACTTAAAAATTAACTTAAAAATTACTATATGCATACAATCACGTACCAAAAGTACCCTTCCTTACTTACATATGCTCGAAATTTTTGAAATTTTTGAAATTTTAGTTTAATCGAGCTCACTTCATCTCCAACAGCTTTCATCGCAATTAATGCACATGGATTAGACTAAAATATAGACGTATGCAAACCAGTAGATTTCGGCTCGTTAATGGTGGCCATGTGTAAGTAATTCAATTACAAATAACAGTGGCAAAAAGAAGAAGCTGCCAATTTGTGAAATTTGGTTTTGTGTAACAAAAATTGGTTTTCATTTTGCTCCTTAGTAAAAAATGGAAACAGCAAAAATTGCAAATAGTTCACGAACTAATAAATTTGGTTGACTATTGACTATGTGTAATTACTCTAAAAAGTAAGATCCATATACTAGTAATTGAAAAAAACCAATATTTCAATTTTGAAGTCTTTGGTATTAGCTTTGAATACAGGACGAGAGATTAGTACCAGCTCGCGCCTTAATGGAAAATTTTGAAGCCGAGCTCTCGCTTCAAATTGGTTGACAGCTCGTGCCTTAAGTTACGAAAATTGTGAAACGAATTTGATTTATATGCAGTCCTAAAGTAGCTAATCATTGAATTTAAATCGTGAATACTTCCCTCAATTTTCAAACAATTGTTCTCAAACTCTTTCCATCAAAGCTTTAAAAGACTAAAGCTAACTAAGATTAATATCTTTTAAAAAACTGTAACTTTGATGACTTTATTCATCTTCAAAAAAATGGCAAAAAACGCTAAATTGAAAGATAATCAACACTTACACTTTAATTAGCAACTTCTAAACTAGCTGATTATGTTCATTTGCTCCAACTGTTCTTTGAGCCTTGATTCCAAGACTCCATAATCGGTTTGAAATTTTTGCAAAAATTTTAATTCACCTTTGAAAAATTAGTTTTCAATTTTGAATACCTTCATACAAAAGTATCTAAGCCGTATAAGCATGCAGAACTACAAATTTGGATAGTTTCGTAATGTTTAATTTTAAATATTAAAGGTGGAAATACTTTTCTTCTAAGGTCAATTTATTCGAATTTTCCCATACTTAAGAGAACATTTTGAAATTTTTCAATTTTGACTTGGCTCATCTAGAAATAGCTCCTGCGCCTTCATTTAAAGTCTATCATATGGAATGCGTTGTTTACTAGGAAGTTTTGGGCCTAAATAAAAAGATACATAGAATTCTATTTTTTGAAAATATTTTGTATGATGAAAAATGGCCAAAATGACAACTCAAAAAAAACTTTAAAATATACAGCCTTGACACATGTGAGATATATAATTCAATAATTCTGATTTCATATATGGTACTTATTTCTTGAAAATGTTATTCACGACCTATCGGCCAATGAGTTTAGTACGAGTCGCTCCAATTATTTTTTCTTGCACCAGTTTATCGCACTGAAAAGTAGATACTATTAAAAAATTCTGTCAAATTTGCTTATATGCAGTACTGTAATTTTGAAATTTAAATTGGATATATTTCAGTCAATTATCAAGTTTTCGTATTCAAAGTTAGTTTATTACATCGTACGCTCTATCTAAAATAAACTGATGGCATTGTGCGCTAGATAAATTTAAATTTTGATGATTTTATTCTCCAATAAAAAGATGGACAAAAACACTGTTTTGCAAGATAAGTAAGACTTAGACTTCATTTAGCAACTTCTTATAATTCTGATTTGGCTAGATCAGTTCTTAAGATTACATGTATGACGTTTTAGAATTGTCATAACCAGTTTGAAAATTTTGCAAAAATTTTAATCCAGATCGTGTTCCGTACCTAAATTTGAGGTATAGTACATATAATTGGTCTTTTAACTGAAAATCATGGTCGCAAATAGAAAAATACATTGCATTCTATATTTCCAAAAAATTTTGTCTGGTGAAAAAGTTCCAATATCACAAACCGAAAAAAACATTTTTGGATTTCGAGATTTTACATATATAATGGTACAGAAGAGGTCGCCAGGGCTAGAGCGAAAAGTTTTTTTTCGCCCCCAACCATCAGACATCATATCATATACACATTTAAGTATAACAAAAATAGATACAAAAACGTAACCGTATATTCTGTAATAACAAGTTCGTGCTATTAAGTATCATTTCGCAGATGTTTGCGATAAAGAACTTTATTGAAAATTCTAACTTTTTGTTAATTGGCACATTCGGTACCATATATTAAATTCAAATACATATAGTACTATAACACAAACATAAAGACAAAAATGTACCGCATATTCTGTAATAACAAGTATGTGCTACTAAGGCTAATATCTCAGCTTAAACTATCTAATTTTAATTGTAAATATGTGCATTTTGGAACAGATTACTAAATCTAAGTAGACGCCTATACTCAAATCGTATTCTATGACCTTGGTTTACCCAATTTGAGGCTTAATGTTGTAATTGCATCAATCCATCATGAAATACAGATGGTTTTACAATTTTGTATTTCTCAAAACTCATGCTATCATTGCAAACTAAAAGTGATTAGGTAATTTCTGAGCAATAGGTCAATTATATATCGTTAGATCTTCGCTAAACTTGTTAGTTCATGAGATATTTGGACTTTTTAAATTTTGTAAGCCTCGTTTCCTAATTCGGTTATTTAACTTAGAACCATCAGCAAAACCAATTTTTGTTACACAAAAACGATTCCTCATATGGACCACTTTTCTTTTTGCAACTTTTATTTGAATCGTAAATTATCCACTCATCGCAATCTCTATTGACCTAAAACTTAAAGATTTATTATTATTTATAGCTGCAATTTATTTCGTGCGATTATAACGTAGTAATAAAAGTGTACGATGAAACAAATTCAAATAGTTTGAAATTTTGTTATTCTTGAGGTAATGCACGTTTGGATTGTCCAATAGTACTGAGAAAGTCTGAATTTATTTTGCCAAAGTTCTCTGACACTACTGAGATTGTTTGTGTTAGTAGAAGTGCAGTTTTTGCAAAGTTATTCAACTTCGAAACTTTTGCATCAACTAAGTGGATTTAAAATTTGCAAAATTGTCAGATTGGGCACTGGAGACCGGCTGATTCTTATGCAATATTGTTTCAGGAGCATGATACAATAGTTAGTTTGTGTTTGTATTTTAGGCTTTAGACGTTATTGACCAGTTTTGAAGATTAAAATTTTTGTATGATATTAATTAAGAAAAATTACAGACAATATAAGCAAACACTTCTGGCTATTCTGTATTACGTAAATTTGCCTCAAGAATACAATGTTGAAATCTTCTGGCGAACTTAACCACTTATCAAAAAGATATTCATGTTTATGACAAATGCAGAAAGAGTAAATAGAATAAAACTGCACCATTGAACAGAGCTAAAAGTGAACCTTATTTCAAGCTGAGATTTTTTACTTGAGATTGAATGATAAAATTATTTAAAATAACTACGATTAAAAGAGTCAGTCATAACATTTGACACTAATTGAATCGTATGTGATTTTACGTCAGGAACACAATAGTAGCCAGTAATCAAAGTTTATCTATTTTACTAAACCCATTATCTATTCCTCATCTTTATCCTTTATTGCTAAACCTCTAATATGTTTTTCTCTTTCAGATAAATTAGGTAAATCTTTATTATATCTTTTATTATTATTTTGTCTTCTTTTCAAACTATCAATTTCAATTCTTTTAATTTCTTGAGCTTGCCTAACCACTTTTGGAACATGTCTATGTTTTGAAATTCTTCTTATTTCAGGCATATATTTAAATTTTTCTTTTAATTTTTCATCATATTCTAATTTAGATCTTTGTTTTGATGATTTAATTGCAGATCTTGAAGATGCATTTGATCTCCAAATTCTAATATTTGTATCTTCTGAACCTGTTAAAATATATTTTGAATCCATTGAATAAGAACAACAAAATATTTTTTGCATTCTCTTCGTGTGGTATATATCCTTTGAATGACCTTCATTTATATTATAAATTCTTAATGTTTTATCATATGAACCTGTTATTAATTCTTGACCAGTTGGACTTATATCAATATCCATAATTGCACCAACATGATCTTTATATATATTCAACGATTTTTTTAATTTTCTCATATCCCATAAATAAGCATTATGATCTTCATTACCAGTGACAAAATTGAATGATTCCATTGGATTCCAACAGATACAATTGTTTTTCAAATTGGTTATACATTTTTGAATTGGTGTATTTGTTCTTAAATCATATAATATTATATTATTTTCGCTCCCACCACTTAAACTTGCTATTATATTAGTTTCAGTTCTATTAAATTTAACTTTTGATACATTATTTATATCCCATGATAAATTTGAAATATATTTTGATCGATTTATGTCCCATAATTGAATTTGAGCACCTCCGGTAACAAACAAATCTTTATTATCGTGATGATAATCAATACTAGAAAATGAATGCTCTCCAATAAATGTTTTAATAAGTCCATTATTTTTACTTTCATAGATTTCATTATCATTTATATTATTTTCAAAATCATCAGTATCTACTGACCATAATTTAATATATTTATCATTACCACAACTCAACATTTGATTTTGAGGAGTCAAGCATAATCCAGAAATCATACCATGATGTGCTTTAAAACTTATAATTTCATCACGACTTACAAGATCCCAATATTTTATAACACCATCACCGGAACCACTTGCAAATTGTGATAGGTTTTTAAAATTTTTGGATAATGTATATACTCCATCTCTATGACCATCACCAAGCTGACCTATAAATGGCTGTGCAAACATTCTTTCTAATTTAGTAGCTTGTAATGCTCTAGTATATTCTCTTGCTCTTTCAAATGGATGTAACGCAGGATTTAAATTTCTAGGTAATGATGATTCTTGAGTATTTCTAACTGGTACATAATTATCAGATGACCGACTTATTGTTTTAACTTTCATATTTAGATGTAAAAGGGTATGGCTAAAGATTAAAGATAAAGATTAATATTTTCTCATCTCATTAAAATGTTCTGCACATAAAAAAAAAAATCTGAAACACTATGGAACGATAAAGATAACATTCAATGGAAATAACTAAATAATAACGCCATCAAATGTTGATATTGAGATGAAAAGTCATATATTTCTCAATTATCTACGTGATTATCTAAAAACCTTGATCTTTTTTCCATTAGAAATGTATAAATTAAGCTAATCTATTTCCTTGAAATTTGTTAGACGAATTGCTATGTTTTACAAATACATCCTTTATTTTGACGTTTTACCGTTTCATTTATTTAGAGATCATAATTGTTCTTCTGTATAAATTGAACGATTATTGATTCCAAAGTTGTTTGCCCGGTTTCATTAGTATTTTTGTCAATTTCATCAAAATCCTTAAAATTTCAAAATCAAGAGTATTTCCATGCAAGAGAATCAAGAAATGCAGCAAAACTTAAGTTTCGAAACTACTCAATACTTCTCTTTTACTATTGAATAACTTTAGCTCGTTAAGTTGTTCAATACATGATCTGGTAGCGATGTGGCACCTCGTAAATTTTTATTCATCTGCAACAATTGAAAAAAAAATCTAAAACAATTCACAACTGTTAAATTAAATTTCTTCATCATGACTGATCTTTTACATAAATTTAATTTCAAAGTAGCTGATGCATCACCAGAATATAAGCATCGTAGAAAAATACAAATGATTAGATTTTTCACTGCATCAGCTATCACTATATTTGCATCTAGATTTGCTTATAAATCAACGATTTCAAGACAATACATCCCTACATTATTTCAAGGTAATCATTTACCTCCATTATCTTATAACTTCACAACTGATGCAGCTGTAGCTGTAGGTACAGGTACTTTATTATGTGGATCAGTTTCATCGATGGTTATATTTGGTATTGGTTGGTGTTTAGACGTATCTAATTTTAAAGAATTTGGTTGGAGAATGAAGACTGTATTTGGAGGTTATGAGAATGAAAGAAAATTGAGTAAATTGCCTATGGATGAGGAGAGTAAATATATTCAAGATAGTCTAAATGATATATTGGAAGGTAAATATGATTTTGAAGAGGAAGTGGAGACTCCAAAAAAGTAATTCTGTAAATAGTTAACTTAATGAAATGTTTATGATTTAAAAATTGACAACTCTGATCTCTAAATCTCCAAAATTAAAAAAAAAACTTATAACATTACAAAAAACATGAAAGATACGGGAATCGAACCCGTGACACCTGCTTGGAAGGCAGATATGTTAACCACTACACCAATCTTCCTGAAGTCATTTGTCCGGTTTAACCGTCAATATAACTTTTCATACACACACTTTTAGTATCCCCTCCAGCACATACATATGAAACCATATAAACCACCTTAGCAACATGGTGGTGTCAGCTACCACTTCCTTCTCGTGGGCAAAATCTTTTATTGACTTCTATCGATGAATAAAATTCTTTTTTCTATATCAAAACCATACTTATTAAATCTCTTTCAATTTTTTCCATTTATTCCTTTGTCATTTTCATTTGATTCTACTATTAATTTCTCATGATAAATTTTATGATTGATTTGTGGAGTTAAGTTACCTCAAACTTCAGTTACAGCATTTTCTGCAAAATTGTGCTTTCAGGAAATTTGGAAAGACCAGCTGCAAAAACACGTGTTTTCACTTCAACACTCAACCAAGAGTAATGAAGTCCTAAAACATTTCAGACTTTGTTATATGAGCCATTCTAGATAACTTCAAATGCTTTATTTTGCAGTCCTAAGTGCATTTTATTAATTATTTGCAGCAATTAAATTTTTATCTTCAATTTAACATGGTAGCGCGATTTTAAAAAATCAGTCAACAGTCATATCAACATTATTATCTTATAAAAATGCCAAAACAAGTTCCAATAGCACCCCAATTAAATCCAATCAGATTAAAAACCAATCTCAAAATGGCAATAAGTAAACTTCAATTCATCCAGGAGAAAAAGCAAGCACTTACAAAACAACAAAGAAGATCATTAGCAGAACTACTTAAAAATGAAAAAGAATCAAGTGCTAAAATTAGAGTAGAGAATATAATTAGAGATGATATATATATTGAACTATTAGAAGTTGTTGAATTATATTGTGAGTTATTACTTGCACGTATCAATATATTATTAGACCCTGGTCAAACTGAATGCAATTCAAGTTTAGTTGAAGCTGTTCAGAGTATAATTTATAGTTCTTCATATACTGAACTAAAAGAATTAGGGCAAATCAAAGATATATTGAGTTTCAAATATGGTGCTGATTTTACTAAGGAGGCTATTGATAATGGAGAGGGAAATGTTCCTGAGAAAGTTGTAAAACGATGCAAATTCGATCCACCTAGTTCTGAATTAGTAGATTTATATTTATGTGAAATTGCTAGATTTTATAACGTACCATATTCGGGGTTGAAAGATGAAATAATTGAAGAAAAAGAGGTGAGTCAAGATGACGAAAAAGGTGAAAAGGAAACAAACCAAACTACTGAGAAACCAGAAACTAAGAAAACTGAGGGAAGTGATTTAGATTCCTTGAAAGCAAGATTTGCAGCTTTGAAAGGGAGATGATAATAAATTTACGACTGAATAAAAACGAAAGAATTAAAAAACTACCTCCATTTGTAATAACAAACCATCTCTGAGTTGTCTCTCCTGCTCTCTATTCAATGTTGCAGTCAGTTTCAACTGTAGTATTCCATGTATAGAAATCAATATTTTTTTTGCTACCAACGCACCCGATAAAATATTTCTTAAATCAACAATCTCCTATTAAACCAACTGATTACAACTGTAACAATTATTCTATTTTATATCCTTAGCATTACTTGCATCTTTACATTATGGCACCACGTTTAGAAGAATCAGAAATCAAGAAATATTGGCAAATTTTTAAAGGTTTGAATCCGATTGATAATAAATTAACTGGTGATAAAGTTGCACCAGTCCTTAAAAATTCAAGATTACCAGATTCCCAATTATCTAAAATATGGGAATTAAGTGATATTGATAATGATGGTAAATTAGATTTTGAAGAATTTTGTATTACAATGAGATTAATATTTGATTTAGTAAATGAATCAATATCTGAAATTCCCACAGAATTACCTTCATGGTTAATTCCATCATCTAAATTAGCTATTATACAAGCAAATAAAGCGGTCAGTCGAGGAGGCGAATCATTTGATTTAGATGAAGAAGAAGCTTTAAGTGATGATTTTGATTGGTATATATCACCAACTGACAAATCAACATATGAAACTATTTATAATTCAAATAGTGATTCATTAGGTAGGGTTAAATTTAATTCATTAAATTCATTATATGATACATTATCAAATGTTCCTAAATCTGATATATCGTCAGCTTGGAATTTAGTTAATCCAAAATCTTTTGAAAGTATAGATAAAGATCAGACATTGGTATTTTTACACATTTTAAATCAAAGAGAAAATGGGAAACGTATTCCAAGAGGTGTTCCAGCTAGTTTACGAGCTACATTCTCAAAAGAATTACCAAATTATGATCTAAGTGCTCAAAATAAGCCACATTATGATACCGTAAAGCAAAGTTCAAAAAGATCGTTTGCTGAAAATTATTTAAATAAGATAGGTCAAGGTAGTAGAAATAATAAAGGGACTGATTTTTCAGCAACTGAAGGTACTGATTGGGAAGAAGTTAGATTAAGAAGAGAATTACAAGATTTAGAAACTTTATTAGAAAAGGTGCAAAATAATTCTAAATCAAGTGAAAAAGAGAGTACGAATAACGATTTAATAACCTATGAATTTGAACAACTACTCAAATATAAGACAGAGAAATTAAATGAGCCTAAAAGTCAAAGACCAACAAATTTATCAAATGTCAAATCTGATATTGATGACATACAAAATCAAGTAAACACCCTAGAAGAATTCTTATCAACACGAAATCAAGAACTTTCGAAGTTAAATAAGGAAATTGATGCTTTAAAATAATAATAATAATATATATTAATTGTCTATTTTTTACCTTCTTCTTCTTTTTCTGGTTCTGGTTCTGGTGTTGGTAATTTAAAACTTTCCGGTGTAAAATCTTTACCATCACCAACAGGTTCCCAAACTGATGAACCAACAGTAAAATTTCTCCAAGCTTGAGTTAATTCCAAAGGTTCATAAATAACTCTTTTCTTTTCTTCATCATATCTAACTTCAGTATACCCAGTAGTTGGGAAATCTTTTCTCAAAGGATGACCTTCAAATCCATAATCAGTCATAATTCTTCTCAAATCAGGGTGTCCAACAAAGAAAACACCAAACATATCATAAGTTTCTCTTTCATACCAATTTGCACCTTGATATAATGGAACAATTGAAGGAACTGGTGATGTTTCACTAGCATATGTTTTAACTCTAATTCTTGAATTATGTCTTGTTGATAATAAATTATATACAACATCAAATCTATTCGTTCTTGAAGGATAATCAGCAGCTGTAATATCCATACATGCTTTAAATTGACATGATGTATGATTTTTTAAAAATAACATAACTGGACGAATTGCGGATGGAGCAACGTATAAAACTAATTCATCTTTCCAAACTGAAAATTGTTGAATATATTTAGGTAAACAAGATATGATATATTGACCAAATTTATGTAATTCTTCAATTTGAACTTTATATTCTTCAGTGGGATTTATTAAAGGGACATAATTTTCAGTCATTGGTATTTCTTTTCTTGGGACATTATTGTAATTGATTAAATCATCTTCATCTGCAATTCTTTTAATGGTGGTTGAAGAAAATGCTTTATTTGAGGCAAGGTAAGGTTTGACATGGGTACGAATTGATGATGATTTTTTCAAAGTATTTCTGATAATATTTAATGATGACATTGTTGATATATTAGTACATATAAATGCAAACCAGTTGAGATCTTGTCTTGTTATTCTTCAAACTTAGTTAAACTCTATCTAGTATAATGAAAAATTAATTCAATACAATTGGTTAATTTTGTAGATGTTTTTTTTTTCGTTATTTTTTACACGACATAGTTAAAATTTTTATATTACTATGTGTTGATGAATAGATGAAGGTTTAAAACGGTAGTTTAACTGTATTGAGTGCTAAATGTGGTGTAATTATAGCTTTAGTATTCGATACTATTTATATTGGTTTTTAAATGATTTTAAAAAGTTAGACGACAAAAATTTGATGAAAAAAAAAAAAAAAATGTTGCGCTATTTTACGAGAAATCTTGCGCTTTAGTGTTTCAGGATTCAAATCTTTATTATAAGAATTTTACAAGATATGTAGTTTGATCTAGCTCGTTAATCGTTAATTTAAGTCACTATATCTTTATTCTATGTATTTACAGTTGATCAATTGGAGAATTTATCAAATTGGAATTTCTAAATTCGGTAGATTTCTCTCAATGGGCCCGTTTAAAGCAGGAACATTAACTTAGCAATTCAATTCACGATTATTAACGCTTTTTAATAAGACTACTGCTCTTCAAGACCGTTAAATCTAGTGTTGTAAAGCGTTGATACTTTATGCATCAATTTTTACGCGTCAATAATTTTTTCTTTATTTTTTTTTTATTTTTTTTCATAGAAATAGAATCCATTCTTTTACGAAACATTCAATTATTAAACAACTTCTAGAGTACCAGTTTATGTCTAATGGAGGTTAAACAACTACAATATCAACAACAACAACAACCACCAACACAGACCCAACCAACACAAATCACACCAATTACACAACAAACTCAACCTTCAACTCATTCAGATAAACAAATAGATCAAAATCAAATTTGTCAATTAATTTGTTCAACCGGTCAATATCAAACATTTACATTAAGTCTAAATGATAAAGTAATACATAATAATCAAATAATTTGGCAATTTGGAAGATCTCCTGATTCGGACCTCCAACTAAACACTAGTTCTCGATTATCTAATAAACATTTCAAAATATGGATTAATATCGAAGATAAAAGTTTATGGATTAAAGATTTATCTACTAATGGAACATACCTTAATAATAGTAGATTGGTGAAGAATTCAAATTATTTATTAAATCAAGGTGATGAGATATCGGTGGGAGTGGGGATTCAAAAAGATGTTGTTAAATTTATATGTATATTTAGTGATTTATTTAATCCTTCAAAAATACCTGAATCTGATCTAGCTATAAAAGATCAAGGAATATATAAAGATTTTATAATTAAAAATGAGACTATTGGACAAGGAGCATTTGCAACTGTTAAAAAAGCGATTGAGAGATCAACTGGTGATTCATATGCTGTTAAAATAATAAATAGGAGGAAAGCTATAAATACCAGTGGTGGAAATGTTGCAGCTAATGCATTAGTTGGAGTGGATCGTGAATTACTGATTCTTGAAAAATTAAACCACCCAAATATAGTCAGTTTAAAAGCTTTTTATGAAGATATGGATAATTATTACATTGTAATGGAATTAGTCCCCGGTGGTGATTTAATGGATTTCGTAGCTGCTAATGGTGCCATTGGAGAAGATGCAACTCAAGTAATTACAAAACAGATACTATTGGGAATTAATTATGTTCATAAATTAGGCATATCACATCGTGATTTAAAACCAGATAATATTTTAATAATGCAAGATGATCCTATATTTGTAAAGATTACCGATTTCGGATTGGCTAAATTTAGTGATAATTCGACATTAATGAAAACATTTTGTGGTACGTTAGCATATGTAGCACCTGAAATCATAACTGGGAAATATGGGAATTCACAAACACCATTTGAGAGTCAACAAGGAACTAAAAATAATTATTCTAATTTGGTTGATATTTGGTCATTAGGTTGTTTGGTATATGTATTATTGACTTCTCATTTACCTTTTAATGGGAAAACACAAGCTCAAATGTTTCAAAAGATTAAAACTGGTGAATTTCATGAAGCTCCATTAAATTCATATGAGATATCTGAAGAAGGGAGAGATTTTTTAAAGAAATGTTTACAAGTTAACCCAAGACAACGATTTACTGCAGAACAAGCATTAGCACATCCATGGTTAAAAGAAGTACAACAAGAGGAGGATTCAAAATCATTAAGTTTATCACAGTCACAATCTCAACAATCTAGAAAAATAGATAATGGTATTCATGTGGAATCAATGAGTAAAATAGATGAAGATGTAATGTTGAGACCGCTAGATAGTGAAAAGAATAGAAAGACAGAAAAACAAATACAAGATTTTAAAGTCCCAAAAAGGGTTGTTCCATTACCTCAATCACAAATACCACACTCTCAAAAACGTTATGATTTATCAAATTCAATATCACAAAAGAAAAGACAAAACAACATAATAAACAACGATGAATTAGGAATCAAGAAATTGAAGATAGAGAGGCCAAATATAAAATTGCAACCATTTCCAAATTCATTATTCAAGAATGAGATTGTGATAAATAAACCCGTGTTTTCAATAGGAAGAATGGAGACATGTGATATTGCACTAAATGACGATAGATTGTCCAAAATACATTGTATAATAAAAGAAAGTGATAATGAGGTTTGGTTACTCGATATGAGTACTAACTCATGTTTGCTTAATGATTCAATAATCGGAAAAAATAAAAAGGTGTTGATGAAATCGGGCGACTATTTGTATCTATTTATCGATCATACTAATGATGAATTAATTGGATTCAAGATAATATTTGAAAATAAAGAGAATGAAAGAAGGGAGGAGATTGAAGTTTTGGGGCAAGATGAGGGTGAGATGAAGATGAAGTTGGAGATATTGAATGGTCAAATGTCGAGTAGTAGGTAAGGATACAGTAAATTGTAAGGACGCAGTGAATAATATGGATGCAACAGTCGAGATATATGAAAATTCAAGGAGTTGTTAATTATAAATACATAAAGATTAGAAATAGTACATGGTCGAAGTTTAAGAAGTTGTTAAAGTATATATCATTAAAGTCTTTATTTTATGACATCAATGATTGACTCTATTCTATTTTACGCAGGTATTCTAACTATATACAATAATCTCTCCATGTCATTGATACTTGTATCTTTTCTATATCTATAATTTCTACACATGATTTTCTCTGTTCCGTGAAATCAACAGTTTAATCCTGACTCTTTTCCTAATATACACATTAACCTCTTCATTTCGTGACATTATCCTGCCTCGTTAACAAATATATAGATTAATCTCTCCATTTGGTAATGTCAACAACATCATCCTGATTCTTCAACAAAAAACCAATATTAAAACTCTTAAAATTAATTAAATGGTAAAACAATCTATTCCTTAAACTGTCTTCATTTACATCATAAACATTTTTAATCTCCTCATAACTTATCAAATTTCTTTCAAGACAAGCATGGATCAATTCCAGTCGATTTAAATTCCATAGATTTCCATCATTATTCAACCCAGATAAATAGAAATTATCAACAACTAAATAATTATAATAAGTTTGTAACTTGTTTCTTAAATAGTACTCTGGATAAATTTTCACTGGAAGTGATATTAAATTCAATGATTTGGTTATTTTTCTAACATTTTCTAGTTCTAAATTATGTGCCGTTTTATATTCGATATCTTCTACATCTGAAGTACTCTGATGGTATAGTTTTGGTAATAAGTTTGGTAGTATGCATGTTGATGGAGTAATTCTTGGCATATGATAACATAATAATGGTGTAAATTCACCAAATACAAGACAAATAAGTAAAAAAATTGGTATTTTGAATATGTTTGGTGGTACTCTTTTTAGAGTTTGAAATTCAGCTCTTGATAATTCAAATAGAACATCACTCCCTTTTGGTTCAGACCGTGATGTGTCAAAAAGTGAATTCTTTCTCTCTTCTTCTGATTCTGAGTGAGATTCAAATCGCGATACTAATTCACTCTTATTTTCCGACTTTGAATTAGACTCTGATTGAACTTTGGCCATATATACTTGCTGTGACATTTTTTCAACTAACTTGGAGAACAGACCAATTTTCAAATTTACATTCTTTCCATCAGCATCAATTGAATTCGCTTTATACTTGTTTCGTATCTCATTAGTCAATTTATAACCACTCCAGACATTCTTAATCCCAGTCTTGTAAAATTTCACTATAATTTTACCATATTCTTTAAATTGTTTAACCTTGCGAAATGATTCATTAGCACCCACTGATTTAAGAATTTCATCCTTTGATGGAATACTTATAGGCAATGTATTCTTAGCATTTATACTTTCATGGTTATATTTTTTCCATATTGTTGGTACTTGTTTAATTAAACTTGATTTTGAAAATTTATTCATAGCAACTTTTTTTCTCAATGATTCCAATTAATAGAATATATACCAAGAATGATATAGAAATATGGAAAAATAGTCAAATACATGAAGATATACTAAAGTTTATAACTGATACTCAAGAAGCTATAGATGGTAAGACTAATGGTACTGATTGTGAAATATCAAATACTGTGGAGAAACTTTTGAAGGTTCTAGATCATGTTTCAGAGGCGATTGAAAGACATCCTGTGGTTTATGAAAAAGATGTTTCTCGATTTGGTAAAATTGAATTCAAGGATTTTTACAAAGATGTTGAAAAAAATAGCGAAAATTGGTTACTGGAGATTTCTAATGAGAGTCTTGATGAGATAAGTGCTTATTTTAATGAAAGTTGGGGAAATTATTCAAGAATAGATTATGGATCAGGTCATGAGCTAAATTTTATCTGCTTCCTATACTGTTTGAAACAATTAGGGTTAATTAGTGCTCAAGATTATCCAGCTGTTATTTTGAAGGTATTCACGAAATATATTTTCATCATGAGACAATTACAAAAGATTTATTGGCTTGAACCAGCTGGAAGTCACGGAGTCTGGGGATTAGATGATTATCATTTCTTACCATTCCTATACGGAGCAAGTCAATTAAGTTCCCATCCACACTTAAAGCCTAAATCAATACATAATAGTGAACTTGTTGAGATGTTCGCTGATCAATACATGTATTTCGAATGTATTAATTTCATAAATAATATCAAAACTGTCAATAATGGAAATAATGAGAAATTGAGTCTTAGATGGCATTCACCCATGCTTGATGATATATCAACAGCTAAAAATTGGACTAAAGTAAAAGAAGGTATGGTTAAGATGTATAATGTTGAAGTATTGAATAAATTACCAATCATACAACATTTTAAATTTGGTGAACTAATAAAATGCCCTGACGAGATACCTGAACATGAAGAAAGTGAAATTGATGAAGTTGGTCATGGTCATGATCATTTGAATACTTGGGGTGATTGCTGCGGTATTAAGATTCCTAGTGCTATTGCTGCTAGTGAAAGTTTGAAAAGAAGTGGTAAGAATCAAATACCATTTGATTAATATATATATTACTACTTTTTGATAACCTTACAAGTTTACATCTTTAATAACTATTCTATTGCATCCTTACTTTCCATTCTTTTATTCACTATCAAAAAATAATCTGAGAATGTCCAGGGCATAGATCTTTTTAACAGCACCCTGAAAAAGCTCAAGGCATGGATCTCGTAAATTGAAATAACCCCGGGCATATAGATCCAATTAATTGAATTAAAATTTGCATTATTCTTGAATGGTCAATAAATACTTTGGGACGTCATATTTATGTCTTTGTATAACGATAGATAATAGAGTTTAAAAAGAAGTGATAAAAGGCAAATTCCAGTTGATCAAATATGCATTTTAATGGCTCTTTGACATCCTTCCATTATTTATCTATTCTATAGCATCCTTACGTTCTTTTATCCTTACTTGCATCCTTACATTTACTCACTATATCCTATATTCGTCGATATCAAATAATTATTCTTTGGAAACACACCAGGAAAAGGTAACAACACTTTAATCTTTTTCTTCTCGTCATCTACTTTTGAAATATGAACAAATCCCAAAACGCTAGTATCTAATAAATCTTTACCTGGAGAATTATTAGTAGCTTCAAGATGAGTAATTGTAATTAATGAATTTTCCAAATTTGAACTTGAGGGATCTTCCAATATTTGATAGTATTTATCAAGTATATTCTCCTCATTATTTGTATTTTCAGTTTCTTCATCACCAGCAGGTAAAAACGACATAGTACTTAAAAAATCTTTAGTCAATACAAATTTGTACAATTTTAAACCTTCTAAATCTATATCTATTTTGAACGGAGATAATCGATTTTTATAAGTACCATGAAAATATTCCTTTATGCTTTGTTCTTGAGCCATTCTTATAAACCTATCACTTAATTCAACACAACCTTGAGATTTATTAATTTTAATTATATTAATTGAGTCTTTTTTATGTTTGAATTTGTTTTTTAAATCAAGTGTTAATTTCTCATTACCAATCACAACCACAATATCAATTTGAAAATCGGTAATAATTGTCTCTATTAAGCTTACATCATCTTTATTTTTCAAATTGTTAATCGGTGGAGTATCTATAATTATTCCACTTTTATTTACCAGTGGATCATTTTCCAATCTTGATAGTACACTTACTGCCAATCTAGAAACTTGATATTTATACAAATCTAAATTATCTTTATAATTTGTAAATCCATAATTTTTAACAATTGGTTGTTTTGGATTTTGACGTGATGTACCAGTAGTAGTAGTTAATCCATACCCATTAAATGCTTCAATATCAAAGGAATCAGAAATTGGAGTTGCTGTAAGTGAACCCGGTAAGGAGAAAACACCATCTCGAGGATTTAAATTGACTAAAATTGGGGAATTATTTAATTTCAATGAATAAGAAGATAAAATTTTGGCTAATGATGATTTTCCCAGGAATTTGCCTCCAACTATGAGTATTCTTGGTCCCGATTTATTTAATTGTCTTCTTGATTCTATAAACATTGATAGGTTTATAATTGATGACATATTCGTTTCATTACTTAAATATTCTGAAAATTCATTATCTCCATTATCGTAAATTGAATCTTTATTATCAACTAGAAAATACCCTATTTGGGAAGTCTTTGGTGAATAAATTGCCAATTTTGTACCTGATAATTGTAATTCTGTATTGTTTGGTAATTCAGTACCATTAATTTCAGCAATACCTGATATTACTTTAAATTTGAAAAATGACTTGAATGGAATTTCAATTCTCCACTCAGAACCTATTGGTATAGTTATTATATGTTTTTGTATCTGTTGTTCATCTATAATTATTCCTGATTCGAATCCTGGTAAAGACATATTGGTGAAAAATAATTTTACAGTCGAATATTTTTACACGATAAAATGGTAAGGATGCACTTAATGAATCGTATGGTAACGATGCCAAAAATTATAAATAGTATAGATACAGAGTGTTAGAACAGTTTTAATCACTAAATGTTCATATATTAAATATATTTAACAGTTTTCAAATGATAATTTCTTTGGTTTTATCTTCATTTGATTTTTAGTCAATTTCAAAATCTTCTTTTTACCAGTTTTATTATTAATTAATTCCATATGAGTATTATAATCAATATCACACTCATTCTTACTCAGCATCTTATCAATATGTCTATCTTCTCCATCATCAATGAATGGATTTTTTAATTTGGCCCTGGGTATTTCATTAACCTTCTCTTGATCTATTATTTCAACACCATCATCCTTTTCCTCATTCCATTCATTTACTATATCCTTAGTTATTATTTGTTTCCCAGGTGTTTTAAATTCAGGTTCTTGTTCACATTGTATTTCATCAGTTGTTATATTTTTATCTAATTCAGCAGCTTGTTTTAATTTACCTTTTATTGATAAATTATTTAGTTTTCTACCACTTCCTATTGTTGATGTCGTTGGTAAGAATAATCCAAATGATATTCTCTCATTATTCACTATTTCATGTTTTTTATGACGATGTTTACTTGGTGATTTAGTAGGTGTAAATGGAAAATTAATTGTTTTTGGGGTGGTCGTATTTGTTAATTGTTGTTTTTGTTTTTGATTTGTTGCTGGAGTTGGTAAATATTGATATGATGTTGATGTTTTAGTTTGTTTTGGTGTCTCTGGGATCATTGATGACATTTGATAAGTGAATGATAACTGGAAGATAAGTTGATATGATAAAGAAAATTGATAAAATTGTAAAGACGTGTTTTAGTAAAAATGGCTGGTTCAAAAAAATTATTTTAAAAGGGGTTATGCTACCATGTGTATTTCTGATATTTTGATTAATAAACGAAGTAAAGACTAATTAACATTAGTATTTTAGAGTGACTCGCTTTTGATCCGACTACAAATGGGCAGCAATATCGAAAGTCTATGTATTAATGGGTATCTAATTGAATCTGTGTAAACTATTTATAACAATCTACTTATTCTTTATCTTTACATTTAATCCAGTAAATAGGTCATGGTAGAACCCTTCAACCATTTCCTTAATCTTTGATCTTCTATCTGTTGTTATTTATTATTCATTAGTCCTAATCCATATAGTTTACAATTTTTATCCTCTTGTTCATCTTTTTTTAATAAAAAGTATGCAAGCTATTGATATTAAAATTCCTGTTCTTTATTTTAACATTTAATCCAGTAGATAAGTCAAAATAAAACTTATGACAACTTTAAAACATCATACATGTAATCTTAGAAATCTAATTAGCAAAATCAGCATTATTAGAAGTTACCAAATGAAATCTAAGTGTTACTTATCTTGCAAAACAGCGATTTTTTCCATTTTTTGATCGAAGTATTAAGTCATCAAAATTAAAATTGTAGTTATCCGGGACCTACAGATATCAGTTTACTCTAAGTAACTTGACAATTCTAATGAACTAGTCTGAGAAAGAAAAGTTTATTATTGACGAAGTTATTCAGAGTTTAAAATTCAAGATTAGCTACTGAAGAACTGCATATAAGAAAGTTTGGGAGAATTATGCAACAAAGTAGGTATCTTTTAATGCGATAATTTGGTGCGACAAAATAATTTGTTGTGCTAGATTTGGGGCGACCTAGTACCAAATTTAATTGCTTGTACGTCATGAGCAACGAAGTAAGGAAATCAAATGAACAAAACAAATATAGAGGAATTCAGTCTCAGGAATATACTAAGAGATTTTCTGTTGTCGAATCCATCACTTTCGAAGTTCCATAAGAAAGCTAATCCAAGTGATCCGTAGTCTCTCAACTCCAGCTCCTCAATAGACGTAAATCGATACACGATTAAGTCTTGTAACAGAGAAAAGGGTCGTATTCAGTCTAAAAACTCTCAACTCTCATAACCTCGTTGCAGATAAATAACTAATTATAATAAAAAAGGCTATTTTTATGTATATTCGTTATCAAGTTATTCAATTGAACCCACGTTGATCTTTGATTGAGATCTACAACTAGTATTTCAAGCATTATTGTTGATTTATTAATATCTGTTATTTTCTGTTATTTTGATCATTTATTTGACTCTACCGTTCTGAAAATTCTATCCATTATTCCTCGAATTGGAACCTTGACCTATATTCTATTTATAGTGGCAAATTCCTCAAATTTTCAGTAAAGCAACAAAATTCAAATAAAAACTTTAAGTTCTCAAGCAAGGATATAATCTTAGAATACTTTTATATACGTACTGTGCTGCTTTCAAGCATGAATTGGTGCTCTAAAACCTTGGAAATCAATGCCAATTAAATTATCAACAAGACAATTTCAAATTTGATTTAAGCTTTATAAAAATAAATTCTATACCTTAAAAAGCCTAATTTGTAAGTTTTAAGATTCCGTTGCTACTCTAATATCTTCAAAACCAACAAAATATATTTCAAAACATTTAGGAGGTATTTCTTAAGAGGCTAATTGGTAGCGCCTTTTTACTTTTTTGTTATGGTAATCCTGCATGTAAGCTATATCAAAACCGAAGTATTTTACACAAAAGAAAAATCTCCATCAATTTATCACTTTTCTTTATCACAACAATTGCTTGTATCAATTGAATTTTATCACTAGAGTCAATGAATCTGTAACTAATGGGTTCATAATAACAGAGTCCCCGTGCAAAATTGAAAGATACGGATTGTAAGTGCTGAAAAGTTGCTACATTTAATACATTCACATGTTTAATTAAAGAGAAAGAAGTTCTTTAAATGTTTGAAAATTATTACATTATTGATTATGGTGTTCTTTCTAATAACTTATATCTAATACGATTTCAACGTTATCAACAGTTGGTTTTGATAAATCTTGTAAAAACGGTAGTAAATCCAATAATTCATTATCATGACTATCACTAAACCAACTACTTATAGGTATTGAATTTTGAGGATGAAAAATATATGATGTTGGAGAATTATCTATAATTATTGTTTTTGAAACATCTCTACCCATTTGAGCTAAATTTTTAATAAAATTACCTTGATAATTATAACATGAATCTCTGAATAATCTATGATGAACCAGTTTATTTAAATCTAATTTATCCAATAACGGATCTCCATATTTTTGGACAGATGCAGTAAATACAACAACTTCATACCATTGACCTACTTTTTGTAGAAATTCATCTACTCCTGGACGTTTAATTACATATACATGATGTACTTGACCATCTATTTCAACAGGTATAACAAAATCAGCAGATCTGATATATTTAAAACTTGAATGTACTAAAGTTTCATCTAAATCTAATATAAGACATTTTTTGGATCCAAATTTCTCCAGTTTAAAACCGAGTAAACAACCAGATTCGGAATCATGAGCTTGTCCATCTTGTAATTTAGTTAAATCTAAATAAGATTCTAAATCTTCTTCTTCCTCATCATCATCATCTTCCTCATCATCACTTTCTAAGGATTTGTCAGGATTTTTATTCTCATTTACTTGGGTTATTAAATCTCCCGGATTGTTTTGATTGTTATTATTATTTAATGTGGATGATTTAGGAGTATGATTCGGTGATTCTTCAGTTTCATTTATTGAATTTCCTTCATGATTAATTTCAAATGAGTTTTTCTTAGATAATTCTAATTTTGTTTCATTATCATCCTCTTCTTCAATGTCATCAGATTTAGAACCATTAACTTGTTTAATCTTGGAACTTTTTGTATCATCTGAATTATCATTTCGTATCTTATTATCAATTGATTTTGAATCGTTATTATCGGAATTCTCATTTTCAGCCACCCGCTTTTGACCTTGCTGTTGACGGGGTTTCCTTTGTCCTTCTCCTTGTTGTTTTTGTTGTTGTTGTTGTTGCTGATGAGGTGAAAGTTTTTGATTCTGAATTTTATCATTCCCATCATCCTTTGAATCGGTTGAGCAACATAGTAATGATGATAATAAACCCATCCTTAAAAATCTATGAAAATAATGAAATGAATAAAAATTAAGTCTATTAAGTTAAATGAAAAGTAATGAAAGAATTAAAATAAATTAATATGAAATGTAAATAAATAATATAGATGGGAATATAAATTATTCTCTTATGCTTGTTAATTATTCTCTTTTTGTTGATTGTTGTCTTGTTTGTTTAATTAAACATTGAAAATTTAATTTAAGTTTTTTTCCTGGCTAAAAGAGAAAAAAAAATATGCGCTACCAGTCTTGTGGCATTTTTCGTATAACTTATTTATACCAACTGTCGTATCAGAGTTGGCTCCATTTGGTCGTATCTCTCATTTAATTCTCGTACCACTGTTGTATGGTTTTAATGCCGTACCTACGCTGATAATTTACAATCGAGTGTAATAGAATGCTTAGACAACTAGAGAGCTTTGCTACTTTTAATGAGAATCATCTACTGAGAATACAGCAATCAAAGTTTTGATAGTAATACTGGTTTAATTGGTATTTCCTTAAAGTAAATCTCCGAACTCATCTAAGAGTATCAAATTACACCTAGACAACCTTCTTATTCATGAACATATAAATTCAATACTCAACTATTTAAAATCAAACTATAAAATTTCAAAATCTGAATCATCAGAAGAACTAATAATTTCATAATCTTCATTTTCATCTTTTGGTAAACTCATTTTTGATTTTTCTTCTTCTTTTTCAGTTTCTTGTTGTACAGAGGTAGTTTCTTTTGCAATTTCTTGTTTTATTGGTTTAGCACCCGGTTTTGAAATTTTTACCATTGAATGAGAATATAAATGACCACCATAATTTAATTGTTGCAATTGTTGATTTGAATTACAATTGGAACATAAATCAAAATTTGAACAAATTGTACAATTAAATCTATCACCTTTTAATGGAATAAAATCATCAGGATAACAAACATCACAACATACATTAGGATGAACTACTTCTTCAACTTCTTCATTAGTATAATATGATGTAGTTGATGAAACTTGTGGTTCTTCATATGATTTATATAATTCAGTTGAATCAGCAACTTTGTCATCAACTTGTGGTTCTTCATATGATTTATATAATTCTGTTGAGTTAAGAACTTCAATTTCTTCATCATCTTTATTATTTAATCCTTTATCTTCATGTTTTTTTTCCAATTTATCTTGGTAGTATGATTTTGCTTCAAATTTTAAATTTCCAGACATATTCTTATTATCTAAATTACAAAATCCAATATTAAATTCATTTTCAACAGTAATCTTAAATGGATATTTGGTATGATTATCATTTAAATTAATATTAAATTTGCCAGTTTTACCAGGAGCTATTCCATTTTTTTTATCAAATTCATAATCAGCGATTGATGCACCAAAACAATTAAAAATTTGAATATATATAGATGAAGTATTAATGACTTTATTTGACTTGTTTGTAATTATAACTTGTGACAAAGTACCTGATTTAGGAACTAACGCTAATGAAACCAAATCTGAAGAATTTAAAACTAAATTATCTAATTCTTTTTCTTCTATATCTAAAATATTCAAAACTGAACTATCTTCATCTTCATTTAAATTCTTGAAGGAATTGCTGTATAAGATAAAAGTATCATAATATTTATAAACACCTTCAAATTCAACAGTTGGTGTAATTACTTTCAATTTTAAAATTGCAATCGTATTGGAAACATCATTTAATCTTAAATTGAAAGTTTTTGATTGATTTGGTTTTATAGCCTGAACACCTTTAACTACAATTGATTCAGTTAAAACATTGTTTTCTTTATAAAATTTAAATTGGAAATCACCACCTTCGATAACCTCATCTGAATTATTAACCATTTCTAAATTAATCAAACTTGAAACACCAGGTACTCCATGTTTAACATAAGCAATAACATCACCAGCAGAATAAGAAGGTGGTGAAACTGAAACTGTATCTTCTTTATTAAAAGAATCAATTATACTTTTCAAAATACCAAGCTTAATATCATGATCATCTTCCTCTGGAGCAGCTGAATTCAATAATTCATCCAAAATTTCTGAATCACTAATATATTTTTCAACATTATTAATAAATCCACTAATTCCTTCTGACGATAATAAGTTTTCCAATTTATGCTTAGTTTCAAAATTACAATTTTCTAATGGAATATCATATATAATATCATCTTGAGCAGTATTATTAAATTTATTCAAATTAAATTTATTTCTATCAAATAAATCATTTGGTTTTGAAATTTTAGCCATTGGATGTGACGATAAATGTTGACCATAATTTAAATTCTTTGATTCACAAGTGGCACATAAATCAAAATCAGGACATATTAAACAAGCATATCTGACACCTTTTAAAGCAACAAAATCATCTGGATGACACATATCACAACAAACAAAAGGATGAACAACTTCATTATTAATATCATTTGATGTTTCGGCAGTTGAAGTAGTTGATGATTTCTCATCAGTTGATCCTGGTTTATTAACAAATAATTCAGAAACATGATCAATCAAACCATCAATTAAATGATCAAAGTTTAAATCATTAAGTTTTCTCTTTTTTGAATTATCTGTATAATCATGAATTTTAGTTTGTAATAATTGAGTTAAAATTTCAAAAGGTAAACTTGAACCTGAAGCATTTTCATTCTTTTTTACTTCTTCTTCATTAATAGAAGCTGTAGTGGAAGAGGAAGTAGATTCGGTATCTTGTTCGACATTTTCATATTCATTACAAACTAATTTGACGTGATTCTTGACTTTTAAACTCCTGAATAATGATTTAAAATCATCATCAGTTGATAATTCAATATATGACTTGTATTTTTTTGATTTTCTTTGAAATTTTACTGATTCAGATAAATCAATTTCATTATTTGTATTTGATTTTAAGAAATTAATTAATTTTGATTTTGAATTAACTTGTTTAAAAGAATCTTTATTAACATAAATTGTTTTATCAATTGACGAATCAATTGAATTACCCGAATACCTATTGGCTTTGACTTTTAACGTAATAATTTGATGGTGTTTATTCATGATTAGTTCGAATAAGTTATTTTTTGTGTAACTCTCCCTTAATCTTTTATTTTTGCCTTCTAATCTTATCAATTGGTGTAACTCACACGACTATTGATCATTATTACTTCATTTAGTACTGTTACTTTTTTATTAGTGGCCACTCCCTTTTTTTTCTGATAGCCGCTTAATTGATTACTCCTTAATTAATTAATAATTGTAATATTAGTTCCATATAAGTGACTTAACAAGCTTATATTCTTCTAAGCTTATTTATAGATCGCTGAGTATTTTGAGATTTACATCCTTAGTCTTAAAGTCTGAGGTTTTTGCAAATTTTCGTCTATTTTTGTCAATTTACGAATAGACAAGACTAAGCTCTGAGGTTAGCTTACAGTTTGAGCTACAATCGCATTCAGAATTGTTCAATCTAACAGTAATAAGTCAGTTCCGAATCATATAGACTTTGTTTCGAAGATTTGTTTCACATTTATAAATATTTGATTGACCATCACGCATCTCATCACGCATCTCATCAACATCTATATACCGAACTTCAAATCGGAAGCAATTGATTAACAGTGGCAAATAAAAAGAACAACTTTGTAATTTAGTTTATTTCATGAGTAATACTAATAAGAGATATCCAAAAGCAGTTGTATTTGATTTAGATTATACTTTATGGCCATGTTGGTGTGATACCCATATATACACCCCAATTAAATCACTAAATAATTCAACAATAATAGATTCAAATAAATTCAAACTATCGTTTTACAAAGATGTTGAAAAAATTATATTAGAATTAATTGAAAATAATATTATTATAATTGGAGCAAGTAGAACAGCAACACCAAGTGTTGCCAAAAAAATTTTATCATTATTAGAAATAGGAGATGAACCAGCTATAAATCATTTTGATTCATTACAATGGGGTCAAGGTACAAAGATAAATCATATAAGGAAAGCTGCAAAAGAATTGGATATCGTAGATGAGTTGAAAAATGGAGAGTTTATATTGTTTGATGATGAGTCGAGAAATAAAGATGTTGAAAGTATAAATGTTCATTTTGCTCATATAAAAGATGAATCAAGAGGACTTACAATGGAAATATTTAACAAGGAATTAAAGAAATGGCATGAAAAGTATAAATAAATTTTGATTTGAATAGTTAATAAGGGGGTTCTTATAATACGCTACCAATTGGTTGGGGGGCTATTTTGATTAAAGTCAAATTACATTACAATTACTAGTAAGTTAGGTATAATTAGAGTTACAATACTATAATTAGAGTTAACATTAGAATATAGAAATATAGAATTAAATGCAAGTGGTATCTAGTAAGACTTACGGCAAGGTTATTCTCTATGTCGAAACTTTTTACCTAACGATTTTCTAAATCTGCACAAGAAGCACAAGAAGTAACTGCAACAGACCAAAAAATTTAAAATTATATTCGATATTAAATGTCAAATTATTAGTAAACCGTTTTTTCTTGAGAGGTGTTTTTCTTTCGTACTTTCTCGTATCCAATAATTATTATAATATTGATGAAATAAGTTATTGCATGCTACGACTTCATGTATTTTTGAGTAAACTGGATAATTGCATGTTTTTAAGAGACGAACAGAAGCTACATTGTATATGATTGAGTCTTATAAGTAGTTTAAAGAATCAAAGAGTATTACATGTATGACATGAGTTAACCAATTTACTTTTTGCATCTAATGATTAAAAAAGTGAAATGTAAATAATTATATGATAGTGGATCCATGTATGACCTTTTTAGAAAATACATTACTAAAAATTGATGATTGCAATATAATAAATGGATCAAATTGTGGTTACTTCATATATTGATTGTCCCTCGGTTATCGAAAATTGGGGGTTGAAAAAAACTAAACCGCCAAAAAAAAATATCAAAGATTAATAACCGGAAGGACAAATTCTTATGTAATACCATATATTCACAAGCGCATTAATGGTTTACCTATAATAATAAATATTATATAGAAGGTTCCAATTTGAAACGAATTTTCGAATTAAATTGAACCAGCGGTTACAAGTATAAAAAAGGTGTGTATAAGTTTCAATTAACCAATAACCAGTTATTACACTACCTCCCCGCATAAAATCATATTCATATCTTATTTAGTGGTACTCCAGTTTTCAACAGTTTATATATAAATATTTTCCATTTCCCATTTTCCTTAAATTTTTCATTATCCCTTTTTCTTTATATTAATTTATTGAGATACGGAAAATTAATTAAACAACTAAATTACATTTCAATTCAATTCATTATTTTACACATTTAAATCCATATCCAATTTTTTTTATTATAATTTATTAATTTTCAATTGATTTGAAATTCACATATAAAAATGGCAAAATTAGATTTTAAAGATAAAGTTGTCATTATTACCGGTGCCGGTGGTGGTTTAGGTAAATATTATTCATTAGAATTTGCAAAATTGGGTGCAAAAGTTGTTGTAAATGATTTAGGTGGTGCTTTAAATGGTCAAGGTGGTAATTCAAAAGCTGCAGATGTTGTTGTTGATGAAATTAAATCAAAAGGTGGTGTAGCAGTTGCTGATTATAATAACGTTTTAGATGGTGATAAAATTGTTGAAACTGCAGTTAAAAATTTTGGTACTGTTCATATTGTTATAAATAATGCAGGTATCCTTAGAGATTCATCAATTAAAAAAATGACTGAAAAAGATTTTAAATTAGTTATTGATGTTCATTTAAATGGTGCTTATGCTGTTACCAAAGCGGCATGGCCATATTTCCAAAAACAAAAATTTGGTAGAATTGTAAATACTGCTTCACCAGCTGGTTTATATGGTAATTTTGGTCAAACAAATTATTCAGCTGCAAAGTCTGCTTTGGTTGGTTTTGCTGAAACCCTTGCAAAAGAAGGTGATAGATATAATATTAAAGCAAATACTATTGCTCCATTAGCAAGATCAAGAATGACTGAATCAATTTTACCACCTCCAGTTTTGGAAAAATTGGGTCCTGAAAAAGTTGCTCCATTAGTTTTATATTTATCTCATGAAGCTACTGAATTATCCGGTCAAACTTTTGAAGTTGCTGCTGGTTTCTATGGTCAAATTAGATATGAAAGATCTGGTGGCATTTTATTTAAACCAGATGAATCATTTACAACTGAAGTTTTAGCTAAAAGATTTAATGAGATTTTAGATTTTGATGATTCTAAAAAACCAGAATATTTAAAAAATCAACATCCAATTATGTTGAATGATTATCCAACTTTAACTGCTGAAGCTAGAAAATTACCATCAAATGATGCTTCAGGTGCTCCAAAAGTTACATTAAAAGATAAAGTTGTTTTAATTACTGGTGCAGGTGCTGGTTTAGGTAAAGAATATGCAAAATGGTTTGCTAAATATGGTGCTAAAGTTGTTGTTAACGATTTTAAAGATGCTTCAAAAACTGTTGAAGAAATTAAACAAGCTGGTGGTGAAGCTCATGCTGATCAACATGATGTTGCAACTGATGCAGAAGCAATTATTAAAAATGTTGTTGATAAATATGGTACTATTGATGTTTTAGTTAATAACGCAGGTATCTTAAGAGACAGATCATTTGCTAAAATGACTAAACAAGAATGGGATCAAGTTCAAGCTGTTCATTTATTTGGTACATTTAATTTATCAAGATTAGCATTCCCAATTATGGCTGAAAAGAAATATGGTAGAATTGTTAATATTACTTCAACTTCAGGTATTTATGGTAATTTTGGTCAAGCAAATTATTCAGCTGCTAAATCTGGTATTATTGGTTTATCAAAAACTTTAGCAATTGAAGGTGCTAGAAATAATATTAAAGTTAATATTGTTGCTCCACATGCTGAAACTGCAATGACTTTAACAATCTTCAGAGAAGAAGATAAAAACTTGTATCATGCTGATCAAGTTGCCCCATTATTAGTTTATTTAGGTTCAGAAGAAGTTCCAGTTACCGGTGAAACCTTTGAAATTGGTGGTGGATGGGTTGGTAATACGAGATGGCAAAGAGCTAAAGGTGCAGTTTCAAAAGATGATGTTACAACTGTTGATTTTATTGCTGAACATATTGAAGATGTTACTGATTTCTCAAAAGATACAGAAAATCCAAAATCTACTACAGAATCATCAATGGCTATTTTATCAGCAGTTGGTGGTGATGATGATGATGAAGAAGAAGAAGATGAAGGTGATGAAGAAGAAGAAGATGAAGATGAAGAAGAAGATGATCCAGTTTGGAAATTCAATGATAGAGATGTTATTTTATATAATATTGCTCTTGGTGCTACAAGTAAACAATTGCACTATGTTTATGAAAATGATTCTGATTTCCAAGTTATTCCAACATTTGGTCATTTAATTACTTTTAATTCAGGTAAATCACAACATTCATTTGCTAAATTATTAAGAAATTTCAATCCAATGTTTTTATTACATGGTGAACATTATTTAAGAGTTCATAAATGGCCACCACCAACTGAAGGTGAAATTAAAACTTCATTCCAACCATTGGCTACTACTCAAAAAGGTACCAACACTATTGTTGTTCATGGTTCACAATCTGTTGATAACAAAACTGGTGAAACTTTATATTCAAATGAAGCTACTTATTTCATTAGAAATTGTCAAGCTGATACTAAATCTTATGGTGATAGAAGATCATTTGCAACTAATCAATGGACTGCACCAAAAAGAGAACCAGATTATACTGTTGATGTACATGTTTCAGAAGATCAAGCTGCATTATATAGATTAACTGGTGATAGAAATCCATTACATATTGATCCAAATTTTGCAAAAGGTGCTAAATTCCCAAAACCAATTTTGCATGGTATGTGTACTTATGGTTTATCAGCTAAAGTTTTAATTGATAAATTTGGTATGTTTGATGAAATTAAAGCAAGATTTACTGGTATTGTTTTCCCAGGTGAAACTTTAAGAATTTTAGCATGGAAAGAAGGTGAAAATGTTATTTTCCAAACTCATGTTGTTGATAGAGGTACTATTGCAATTAATAATGCTGCTATTAAATTGGTTGGTGATAAAGCCAAAATTTGATTTTATTTATTGTATATGATTTAGAAATATATATTTATTAAAAAGTGTCTATTAGGGTTCTCTATATGAATTCAACTGTTTCTATTGAATAGTTTGATATTTTTTCGTTATTTAATTTAGCTTTAGTTTTGTCCTCCTGATTTGATAATAATAAATTTTCAATTTCATTCTTGGAGTTGTTATTTGTATTCTTTGATAAAAGTTTATTAGTTAATGATAAGTTGAAACAGTTCGATTCAATTAAGTTTAATTTTGAATCTACTATTTGTAATAGATTTTCCAAATTTTCATTATTTCCAAATGTCAATAACCCTCTAACATCAATTAAAATTTCAATTAGATACCAAATATTATCTGAATTCAACTTAATCAAATTTGAGATTAAGTTTACTATATCAATTGAATTATTATTCTCATTATTTATCTGTTTAATATTGATCAAAATTTCTCTATGATTAAATTCATTAATTATTCGATTTATCAAATCTATTAAAATTTCATCTGACATATTTTGTTTAAATAATTGATTGACCAATTCTTTGCATGATATTCTAGGACATGTATTTATAGTTTGTCTTAATAAAACTTTTAAGTCCAATTGGTCAAATAATTCAATTAATCCTGATGAATACTTATTTGGAAATAATGGATTAGTTAATAAATACATTAAAGTGTATTCAGGTATGAATTTAAAATTTTTAAAAGTTAATCCATCATCATTGATTTGAAATATTAAGTCCAATATTGAATTTAAGAAGTTTATATCTATAATTCGATCGTTTTCAGCTTCAAATTCTTTGAAATTGTAAATTTTCTCATAGTTTTTGGGTTTTGCAATTTTGATTTCACTCCATTGTTTGTTATTTTTCAAATATGGAATTAGTATGGATTCCCATTTGTTAATATTTTCAGATTCCATTGCAGTTTTTAACGAATCGTAAATTTCATGCAATTCAGTTGAGTTTTCTCTTTCTTTATCTTCGTCAATGTCAAATATATCCAATACTTGATTAAAATTATTTTGGTTTGGGTTCCCATTTATTGATTTACCTAAACATTCATCGATTTTATTAAAACCAACATTTAATTCAATACTGTTTAAATATACATTCATATCTTTATCTTTTAAATTTATGAAATATGCATTTGTTAATTGTGTAGATTGAGATGATCCTTTAATTTGTGAAACCAAGTTTAAGTAAATTTGATCAGGTTTGAAATTGCCAGTTTTACTACTTTTTGAAACGAATTTAGATAATAATGCTTCATATTTAAAATTGATTAAATATAAAGTGTCTGAATGACTGATTAATAAACGATCAGGTGCACAAGCATGTATTGAAGTTAGATCATTATCATTTTCGTCAATTATGGAACTTGTGGATACTGTTGATAAAGCTTTAAAATTTGTAATAGATATAGATTCAATGAGTTTTGATTCTGGGATATACTGATATAAGATCCCTGAGATATATGCAAATAATGGGTTTTTTGATTTTGATTCGGTGGTTGACGAATTTATCTCAATTATCGATTCATTATCCTTTATAGAATATAATTTGTATAATAAAGAACTCCGTTTCTGACTAATAGTTAATAGAAATAGTTCATTGTTCTCAGTTAAATCATTAATGAATGTGGAATTTAATAATTTATTGTCTTCAACATTTGTGCCACTCCCTAAGCTTAATTCATTATTTTCAAATTTTAAAAACTCAACGGTCCCATTCTCATACACTATTAAATATTTATCCTCGCTCAATATCCTCAAATTTATACATTTGCATTTAGCTTTTAATTTGATTTCAAAAGTATCAGTAGCTGGTTCAATGGTATTATCATTAATTTTAGCTTTAATTAACAAAATGTTATCTATTTTATTTCGATCAGTTAAACTTACTAAATAAATCTTGTTATCATTATATATAGTAGTATCTATTGCGTTCACTACTGTCGTTGGATTTAATGAATGGGACCATAATAATTTTGGACTTGGTTTAATTAAATAAGTTGAAATATTTGATTTTGAAATACCTAAATCTATTGTATTATTATTTGACGGTATTGAAATTTTGATTTTCTCATTTAATTTGAGATCTGGAATTCTTGGTAATGAAGTTATAGGGTAATGATCATATAAATCTGGTTTTATTGACATGTTGGGTTGGTGATAAAGTGATGTCATCTCCATACTAATAAATTTTTTTTTTTTCGATTTTTCTACGCATGGTCAACTAAACATCCAAGAATAGAAGAGATATGATAAATGAATAAGTGAGAAAACACAGTTGAATAGACTTGCAATTATATTAACGAGTTGTAAATGCTTGTTTTACTTTTAGCTTATTGCTGCGATTCTGCAAAGTTGATCGCTTTCATAATTTTTTAATCATCGTAAAAATTTTTTGCAGCCAAATCTAAATACCATTCATCCTGTGCCTTGTCTGTTCATGCATTGAAAAGTTTCATTATATACGATAACTCACAATCCTGGTCACCTACAAGAAGGTGCATCTTTTTTACAGGACATTGAAAGTAGAGTTGCTAGTATCGATGGAAAACCAGAGGTGAATAGTAACGTAGTGAAATTAAATCGTCATCATGTAGATACGTTACTGGGGGGGTGAGGGGGGTGTATGTACTCTAGTTTACATGTTTTCAGAGTAGTGACTTGTGAGAGAGATTTTAGTCATTTTTATGATTTGATTGATCTACACCCTAAGTGTTCGTCTAAATCAAAGTTTATGATATCACTTAGTTGCGACCAGAATCTCCACCCACAGTCAGATAATAACGAAGATGGTTAGGTTACACTCACAAGAAATTACATTTGAATAATGAATTTTGACATTATACTGTTTACTATAATTTTAATTTTTATTATAATTCTATTGTACACTCTCTAAGTAATTTAAACTAACTGAAAAGCAAACTAAATTAAACCCTTTAAACACCCTTTAAGCTACTTCTTGTAAAAAAACATCATCAGCATAGTAATAGTCATCAACGACAACTTTGAATTCATCAGTTTCCTTATTGTATGAATCGATATGGAATGAAGTTAAATCTTTAACAACAATAGAAGCACCAGCTTTTCTAACTTTTTCTGGGTCATAAGTTGAGCAGATACCAACAACAAATGCACCGGCACCTAAACCAGCTTCAATACCAGCTGGAGCATCTTCGAAAACAACTACTTTCTTATGAGCTGCGCCATAACCTAAAGTTTCTCTAGCACTTTGATAACCTTGTGGATGTGGTTTACCTTTTGTAACTTTTTCAGCAGTAATAAAACAATCTGGTTTTTCAATTGTTAATAATTTTAGCCATTTAGTGGCTAATGGTAAAGTACCAGAAGTAACAATTGCCCATCTTTGTTGACCATTCTCGGTTTGTTCTCTTGAATACTTATCAAATGATTTAACTAATTCAACTGAACCTGGGATTGCTTTAGCATGATGACCGAAAGTGTCTGGTATATTACCTTCCCATTCTGTAACTTGATCGGGTATAGCATCTTCTGGTGACCATTTTTTGATAACATCAAAGGTTCTACAACCATGAGATGTTCTTATAATTTCTTCTGGTTTTACATGTGGTCTATTTTTACCAAAATCTTTCCAAAATTCTGAAATTGCACCGGTTGAGTTAACTAAAGTACCGTCACAGTCGAATAATGCAGCGTGAACATAAAAAACAGCTGGTTGTTGTGATTTAGTCATTGTAATATATAATTAAAAGTAAATCGAGTTAATGAATAAAATTAAAATTCAATTGATGAATGAGTTGAAATGATAAAGAATTTTAGCACCTGGTGAAAATCAATGGATATTTATATTTCCATTCAAATCAGGAATAAAAAATAAAAAAAAAATTGATTAAAAAGAAACAAAGTTTTACTAGTGTTTTATTATTACTTTTGGTAATTTACTAATTCATCTACTGATGATGATGAGAGGTTAGTATTCAAAACTATATGGTTGTGCATATAAAAGAATTAAAATTAAAAGAAACGAGATTCAACATATGTAATATATTACATAATAATCCATCAAAAAACGATCTCTTCTTATTTTTTTTCTATTTTTTTTTTGACAGATTTCAAGAATGGATTTAAGTAATTCCATCAACTGACTACATCTTATATTTGCTTCGACTTCTTAATATTTAAGTTAAATTGGTAATTGACCTTATGCTTTCCAAATTAGAACTGGACATCCATCAATCGATCGATCAAAGGATTTACCCAGTACTAAGTCTACATTCTTCTAATTTTACATTTAGCTTTTGCTTATTGTTCTCGTTGTAAATTGTATGATATTTTGTGTATTTTAATGTCGTCATAGATATTGATAAAAAAATTTTTGAGTATTATCATGTAATACGTTATGTAAGAATTAGTAGTGTCAAGATTATTTTATACCTTTGTTATGACATATGTCATATAACGACTACTCATCTCGATAAAATTAAAAAACTTAAAATAGGGGCATTTCCAAGAGTAAAGGGGAATTAAGGGAATAAACTAAATTTCTTGCACAAAATACTAAGCATACTACAATTGTACAATTTTGCATTAGGGAAACAGCAGAACCGCTCTTATCGAATCTTTCCTATTGTGACAAAAACAACTACGCTCTGAAGTATTAAATCTAAACGAAATTACAAAAATAAAAAAATTAAAAAATAATCGGTTGAAAATTTAAAAAGTTAATTTTACTCAATAATATACGATTGAATTGACAATATTCAACTTATAATTGAAGATTCTCAGCGTCTGCCAATGCCAGTGGAGTTGAAATTTCCTCTTCATTATTGAGCCATGTTGTACTAATCTCTAGTGTTCTTTCAATCCTATTTGAACGAGTAGTTAATGTCTGTATTACCAATTGGTTCGTTTCTAATTCTTAAGTTCTCGAATCAATCAAAACGCTTATATACAATACAATTACTGATAACGAATTTAATATACAAAACCTTTGATGTAGTTTAAAAAAGTATAATTATTGCAAAATGTTAATTCGGTAATTACGTTAGTATTTTGTGTTTCCTCTAATTATTTTGAGTTCTATTCATCCTGAATGTTTGACACTGCACGTGATTAATAAATTCAAATTAGGAAAGGAATTTGAATCCTTTATGATAAATAAACAAGAACCGTATTCAATATTTTTCAAAATAAGGCTCTCGTGACGGATCTATGAAGCTAGATGCAGTTTACAGGTTTATGTAGTTGTCATTATGAATGGCATTAACAGATAGATATAGATGTAGTGCCCTCAGAATTCAACTTGTAGTTGATCTAGAAATGTTTCACGTATTTTTTTCTTATTCTAAAAGTACCTTAAAGTGAAACAAAGGTGAAACTAAATCTGTATACAGAATCGAAATGTTAATAATAATGTATTGTCTTTGTGATAGTTTGACTTTTGTATTTTTCTTTTCTTCTTTCCTAATTTAGTATTAACAATTAAAAATACGTCATAGATCTGTCCTCTTTATTACATAATACATTACAAACAATTCAATTACATCATATAACATGTCAAAAAGTTTGAAGACACACGTGAAATAATTCACGGGCCAATGAAATTCGTACTGTTTAAGATTTGTTTTGGTTGCAAATTTTTCAAAATTTAAACTTTGAAAGTTTATCAGCATTCCAGTGCGATATTAATACTATAACATGTAAAATGATAATAAATACTAAGTGCACATTAGGTCAAATCTCTTCGCGAAAAGTAGTATTTTTGTAGTTTTTCATCATTGATATGCCAAGGAATTCACTGAAGTGAGCTCAAAATTCGGTTCAACTTGTCTAGGAACTAATGCTGTTTACTCATAAAAAATACAACTCTCAGCATAGCTCTATACTCAAGTTTAGTATGTATAATTAATTTTTTGGTCTAGATCTTCGAGGTTTAGACGACGGCCATATTTTGAAATTGCTGATTAATGCACATATTTCAGACGAAAGCATCACGGTCTCAAGCAAATAAATATACATAGATCAAATTAATATCTGCACTAAGCGTGAATTGGTGCTCATCAATTTCAATTGAACTATTAGCAAATCAAGCGCATACCTCAAGCGCATACCTCAAGCGCATACCTCAAGCGCATACTTAATTAAGTCTTTGCAGATAGAATTTAGTGCTCAACAAGCTTATTTCCGAGATTACAAGTCTCCAGTGTTGTTCTAATACCCTCAAAACTAACAAAATATATTTCTTAACTTTTAGGGGGTATTTATTAAGGGGCTAGTTGGTAGCGCATAGTCCAAAGTACCGCTCAATTTTGTTCTCGATTCAACTGGATATATTTTGGAGAAACTTTAATACGCAAATTGATGAATTATCAATTTTTCAAGTTTCTCATGCAAATTCAGGATGTTATGTTTATATCGATCCTTTATAAGTTATGGTAAACGATTTCAACTAGAGTCTCAAAATACTATAATGTATATACTTGATTATCTTTATGTATTGGTTCCATCGCAATTTTGACAGACTTCTATCGCTATAAACTCTTTTAATTATGTTCGTGTTCAGCATATCAAAATAATTTGAAATAGTACTATACAGCGAAAAATGGTAGTTTGGAACATCTTAGCCGTATTATTGAGATCATATTACACTGAAAGAAATGTTTTGGGTTGTATAGCTTGTTTATATACAAGTTTTATTTCAATCTATTGGTTTGTCAGGAACACGAAAGTTTTGAAACTCAAATAACTTCTCAACAACACAATCTCTTGCAAAATAGCAGCAGATATTAGATAAAACATACCCAAGGATTATAGTGGTGCTACTCTCGAGGAAATTGGACTACTCCTTCATAACAAAAAAGTAAATCGAATCAAAGCCAATTGCATTTAAAGGTGTTAGAGAATAAAAACGTGGCCTGTATTATATCAAAGCTAATTTTAAAGCTTCTGAATTGACTAAACTAATTTTTATTTCGTGAACATAAGGTATTTTTGACTTAAATTTCATACCAGTCGGCTTAATCCTATGGCAAAATTCTTTTCTTCTAGCCAAATTTTATCGCACTAAAAATTCATACTTGTAGCGAAATAGTGAAAAATATCGACTTACATGCAGTCTTACAATAGTTAATCTCAAAGTTTAATTTGTAAATTAATCAAGCTTTAATTCTCAAATTTTTTCATCAAAGCTTCAGCAATTTTAAAGTAGGTTATATTAATGATTTTTGAAAATATACATAAAGTCAATTTATTCGATATTCTCTTTAGTTAAGAGAAAATTTCAGATTTTTTCAATTCTAGACTAGGTCTGCTTGAATCAAGCTCAGCACTTCGTTTTGACGTCCACAATATGTATAATGTGTTGTTCAATTGAAAGTTATGGCCGTAAATAATACACACTCTGCGTTTTCATTTGAGGCAAATTTTTTGTATGATTGATGAAAAATAGCCAAAATGATAACTCAAAAAGGAAATTTTTGAAAGTTGAAGTTTGAGCTTATCAGAGTATATAATTAAAGGCTCTTGATCTTATATAAATGGTATTTATCTCGAGAGGATGTCTTGTTCCTGATTTATGAATCGATATATTTAGTACTACTTGTACCAAATCTAAAACGAGAAATTATTCTGTCACACGAATTTATAAAATACATACTCTCTACTCGAGTATATTTTTTATCGTGTTGGCTTCAAAGCTAAATCCTGCTAACTATTTACTTTGTCGCACTCATCTAGAACCATCTACAAGTCATCAATCAAGCAACAACAAATTTCACACGATAATAACAAATATAAAATCCAATAAAAAAAAGCTCTTAAACAAAAAAGACTAATGATGTATGTTTCAAGCCGTTAAATCATTAGCAATACCCTGAAAATTAAGAAAAATTATTTTGATTTTGGCACGACCCTTTAGTAAAGTCACGTGTTTTACGTCGAAATAATAAAAAGTGATTGCATTTGTATATAAGCCTTATATGAACGAATAGGTTTTGAAGAATTGAATTAAACACTGTATTGCAACAATGCCTGAATTTTAGTGTGTAAAGAGTTAAGGGCTGCTTTAGTTTTCAGGGTCAGAATTTTTTACACAAATGAAAAATCTCAAATTTGTACAACTTTTCTTCTGTACAAACATGAGAAAAATTAACAGAAACATATCATTCAATTCAAGCAATAGTCATTGAATTAATGTGAATGGGTGTAGTAATCAATCGCGCATCTATTTAAAGTTTAAAACGAGCAAAAATTGAAGTTTCAACATGTTTGTGTATAATATAATACAGAATTGAAGAATGTCGATAATGAATACTTTGATGCTTTTTCGAACGGCTTTAACATCAAACGAAAATAAAATTAGATAATTCAGGAAATTCAGATTACATTAAGTATATTCATTAATCATCAACATTAGCTAAGAACTTTTTATAATTTTCTCTAGTATTTAAAACACTTTTCTTACTTAAATTTCTGCTAATCATGTCATTATTTTTATTATATTGATTTTGTTGTAAAGGTATAATATTTTCAATTTCTTGATCAAATGAATCTAGCAATTTAACTTCATTTTTAAATGGTAATTCTTCTGCTTGTGCTGGTACAACATTTTTAATACTTTGGTAAACTTTTGATTGGATAACCTATGGACGATAGCTTTCTATTACAACCTGTCTTTTATAATACAGACGTTAAATAAAGACTATTGAATGCTTCCGTGTGCCCCATGAGTGCTGAAACTTTAAAAGGTAAGAATAAATTAGCAATATTTTTCTTTATTTGAAAACTTTGTTAAGAAAATTCAAAGCAATTAGTTTCTAACTATCAAAATCAAATTGATCAACCGATTTGCTTTCGAATGGTACCAAGAAGGATACTATTTGATTTAGCTTTGATTGCGTACTGCTTGAATGAAATTTGTCATAAATTACTGGCATTTTTAAAATTTTTTTTAATGCGCGATCTCGGTACATTTTTATTTTGTGTCAGATCTCGGTTGTGTAGATTTGCAAGCGATCTCAGATCTAGATCGCGCTATTGCACGAAGATTTTGCGTTTCTTTATTTTTAAATGAATTTTGCACATTTATTAATCATTGCTGAGTCTTTTTGCTGCTCTGAAAGTAGAGTATGAGTCAAGGCTTTAGAATTCGTTTTTTTACACCTTTAGCAAACCGTTGAAGCTGGATTTTTTCATATGAATTGAGTTTAAATTGATTTGAATGGATTTAAAAAAACCTTATCGATATAGTTACTCTTCTTTGTTCATATCAACAACACTGATTTTTGATCTATGTACTCAAAGTAAATAGCATTTAGCTTACTCAAAGTATTGAGTTGCACTAAAATCGTTGTCATTATTAACTCGGTATATTAAATTACTAACTAAGCTAGGATCTTAATTTCGAGTTCAATATAGTATAATTTCATGCTTCTGTGCTACTATTTCCATTACACATCAGCTCGTGAACGTCAATAATAGTTGTATCGTTTGATTCTCTACTAAGTATTACTTCAAAATCCAGTGGAAAAGTCAAATTAACTAGATTATAATTATCTTTCCTTTAGTTTCTTTGCATATTTATCTATTAGGTTCCTTTGTCTTCTATTATCGAATTTACTGACTTACTCTAACTTTACCAATCGATAACAGGGTCAATATTTCCTCTTGCAATCATTACTAAAATATAGTGAAAAATTACAGAATTAAATAGAGAAGAATTAAAAATACAAACTGCTCATAATCAACATCCTTTTCGATGGTACGTGAAATCTCTCAAGAAGCCCAAGACATCTTTTATTCTGCTTTATACTTGATACAATTTGTATATAAATAGTGGCGATTTAAGAATTGTTAATATGTACACTACTCATTTTAATAAATTTGTTATATAAATATATATGAATTTATATTGATAAAAAATCATAATCCATCGACCAATAATAAACATCACTGATTATTAATTGAAAAGAGAATAATTTAGTTTTCTTTTATGAGATTATTTACATGTCAGTTAATGAAAGATATGTAATAAATTTATCATCAGATGAAGGTGAAATAGATGATAATGATATTGAAATTATTGAATTTAGAAAATTAACACAAAATTTAATTAATAATCCACAAGCAAAAGAGACTAATAATTTGAATGATAGTAAAGAAGATGATACAACTCATGAAGATGATTCTGAAAAAGTTGTTAAAAAATTATCAGATTCTCAATGTCCTATTTGTTTTGATGAAATAACAAATGCAACTATTACTTCATGTGGTCATTTATTTTGTTTAGAATGTATTGAACAAAGTATATCAAATTCATCAGCAAGAGGTCAAATTAGATCAAATAATAATAATTCAAGAGGTAAAGGTTTATGTCCATTATGTAGAAAACAAGTTAGTTTTAAAGATACTATTTTATTAAAAATGAAGAAATCAAATATTGCAAATTTACCAAAATTAGGGTAATAGTATCATTAAATTTTGTATCATTTACAAATATAAACCTTCAAGATTTTCTTCAACTTTATTTTTAAGTACTCTTTCTTTTGCAGATTTAAAATCATCCATTTTCACTTGCATACGTCTTTCTCTTAATGCTAATAAACCAGCTTCTGTACATATTGCTTTTATATCAGCACCTGATAAATCATCTTTACCAGTAACAATCTCATCTAAATTAACATCATCAGCTAAGCTCATTTTTGATGTATGAATTGATAAAATCTTCTTTTTAGTATTTGCATCTGGATTTTCAAATAATATTTTGCGATCAATTCTACCTGGTCTAATTAAAGCAGGATCCAAAGATTCAATTTTATTTGTTGCCATAATAACTTTTATATCACCTCTATCATCAAACCCATCTAATTGATTTAACAATTCCAACATTGTTCTTTGAATTTCTCTTTCACCTCCAGATGTAGATTCATAACGTTTTGTACCTATAGCATCAATTTCATCAATAAATACAATTGATGGAGCATGTTCACCAGCAATTTGAAAAATTTGTCTACATAATCTTGGACCATCACCTAAATATTTTTGAATTAATTCAGAACCAACTATTCTTAAAAATGTAGCAGAAGTTTGATTTGCAACTGCTTTTGCTAGTAATGTTTTTCCTGTACCTGGAGCACCATATAATATGACACCTTTTGGCGGTTTAATACCCATTTCTTCATATAATTCAGGATGAGTTAAAGGTAATTCAACAGCTTCTTTAATTTCTTGTATTTGAGATTCTAATCCACCAATATCAGCATATGATTCAGTTGGAGATTTATCCAATTTCATAACAGAAACCATTGGATCAGCATCATCTTGTAATACACCTACAACAGCAACTGTTTTATGATGTAATAATACCGAACAACCAGGTTCTAATAAACCTTTATCAACAAATGACATGATTGAAACATAATATTCTGAACTTGCAGTCAGTGACACAATTGCATGATCATCATCAATTATTTCTTCCAAAGTACCAATTGCCATTGGATAACCTCTTAATTCATCGACTTTTTCTCTTTCTTCAGCTTGTTTTGCTTCAGTTGGTTGAAAAGCTTCTTGATTTGTAACAAATTCTTCTTCTAATAATAAATGATCTTTAATTCTTTCTAATTTTAATAATTTTAATTTACATCTTGTATTTGGATAAACAGACGGTAATTTTATAGCAGTATCTGGACCTTTTCTTCTTTTTTTACCAAATTTTGATTCAACTGGTGGTTCATATTTTGGTTTATCTTTCTTTTTATCGTTCTCTTTTTTCTTATTGAAATTGTTGCCACCTGGCATACCCGAAGGTCCTTGTCCCATATCTATCTATAATAATGTGTAATATATATTTGATTGTTGTATAGTAACCAATTGGTTGTTTGAAAAAATTGACCTTGCGTTTTAAACTTTTTTTTAAAATATTTCGCCACCAAAAAATTATATCGAGATTTGATAAATAAACAGCCAAATACCAACAAATAATAGTAGATTAATAGAGTAGTTTGCTACTATTGTGAAGTAAAAGAGAGAGTAAATAGTCATTATTTTTACAACATAACAATTTTAATTATACAACCAATCTATGGTTGATGAAAAACCTAATTAACACACTACTACAACTTCTTATATCTTAAACATTATTAATTAACACACTCCATAATCATTATTAGCTTTGTTTTCTTATAATTCTTGTGATTCTTTTGGACCTTTACCTGATTTTTTTGGTAATAAGTTTTGATGAATATTTGGTAAGACACCACCTTGAGCAATTGTAACATGACCTAATAATTTGTTTAATTCTTCATCATTTCTAATTGCCAATTGTAAATGTCTTGGAATAATTCTTGATTTTTTATTATCTCTAGCTGCATTACCAGCCAATTCTAAAATTTCAGCAGATAAATATTCTAAAACTGAAGTTAAATAAACTGGAGCACCTGAACCAATTCTTTGAGCATAATTACCTTTTCTTAATAATCTATGAATTCTACCAACTGGGAAAGTTAAACCAGCTTTAGCTGATCTTGAAGTTGAAGCTTTTTCTGAAGTACCTGCTTTACCTTTACCACCTGACATTTGAATAAAATAAGTTTAATTCTAAATTAAAAGTTGTTGATTGAAAAAGAAGAAGAATGAAATGAGCATAAATACTTAAAACAAAATATTAAAATATAAACAATTAAAATTCAAGAGAGAGATAAGTAGTCGTGTAGATATCACTTTCACTTCATATGCTACCAATTGGTTACTCACTTAACTTACCAGTTTATATATTGAATTTAATAAGGTGAGACTAAATAGACTAGTTAGTCAACTTTAGCTTAGTTTGCTCACTAGCAAATTCCATGATAACATTAAATTTGGTGCCTTTCGAAAAGCCGACTTGGTAGCCACCGTTCTGAAATTTACGCTGAATTCACGTAATACGAATTAAATAGTCAAATCAGTATAATTAGAATTGAAACAAAATTACAATGATGCAACTTTAAAGACATATTTTGAATTGTCGAATATTGAAAATTTGATCAAAAAGAGCTACATGAAATTTGTGGTGAATTGTCAGAAGATAAACATGTAATAAAGAAACCTAGTATCGAAGCACCATGCAATTAGTCAAATAATCTTACTAGTATAATCATGATCAGTTATTGATTTATAATTCAAGATCTTAAGTATTACTCGACCTCAACCTCAATCGCTAGTCTATTAACAAAATATGTTATAAGAGAATCAATAATAGATACTAAATCCTTGGTTATTGGTCAGATGGACTGAAATTATGATCTGTATTTGATTTATTTGAATGTCGCTTGATAGAAACTGTTCCAAAGCCACGCCGATACATTGTATGCTAACTCAAAATTTTTCATGGGTTAGTATCCATTATACGCCAAGCAAAATAGTCGGATCAATGGTGACGATGATCACGGTCATAAATTGCTTGATCAACCCAAATACAAACTGAATAGCATAGAACTACAAAATAACACAAGTTTGAAGATTAAGAATTCCTGAATTACTAGAATTTCATTAAACAAGAGCAATCAGAACACTGTTATCTAGCCTATTCCAAAACGAGAAATGGACCTTCACTTTAATTTACCTTCTAAGATCCCAGTATCGCAGTATTAGATCAAGTTTGCTTTAATATTGTTGAAACCTGTTGATAACTTGTAAAATACAAGTAATGAAGACAGAACTTTTGAATTATGTTCTGAAGGTCAAAATGCATTATATCCAGGTAGTTTCATATGTTCTAATTGATATGTAGCATGTATATTTAGTATATAACTAGTTTGTAAAATGTAAACTTTAAAGTCGAAAAACTCTACAAATACAAAAAATCTAGTCAAGCAACTAGCTGAATTGGAGTCAGAAAACTCAAGATCAAGTGTTACCTTTCTCAAAAAGAGTGGACCCCTCTGTACTTTAATTACTTCAAGATATTCTAAATTTCAAATTAATCGCATTTACTTCACAGTTACCAGTTCTCATGATGATAGTTTCACATGAAATAAACTATCATGCTAGAACATTATGATTTATACTGATTCGGCTCCTTAAATGTATACATTTCAGAGTATTTCACAATTTAAATAATCATTGCAAAAGAGAAAGTTGCATATTTGTGGAATTCGTTTTTGTGTAACAAAAATTGGTTTTGATTTTGGTCCTTAGTAAAAAATGGTAGCGTTTTAAACCCAAGTAACACGTGAACCAGCAAGGTTGGTAAGAGAACATGGATGGCTAATTAAACTAGAGCTCAAGAGGTGCAGATTGCTAATATCTTTGTGCTTAAGATTGCGGTATAGTTTTGGTCGATTATAAGGCGAGCAGGAATTAGTCGCCGTATAGTATTGGCCGACAATAGGGCGAGTTGTTGTCATATAATACGAGTTTGTTTTCTATGCAGTCTATGATTATAAACAGTAAAACTTTATTTGTCGATAACTTGCCTAATGAACAAGTTATAGTTCTTAGAAAATTGAATCAATTTGGATAAAATTAATGTTAATAACTTTTACAAGTAACATGACAAGTCATCACTTTACATTTTACTCGGAAAAGAAAGTGAACCGTTCGCTGAAAACTACCAACACCTAGACTTTGCTGTGCAACTTTTAAAGTATTTAATATAGTGTATTAAACATTTCTATTATCTTCTTAAGACTCCATACTCGTTTAAACCTGGCAAATAGTTATTTCATTTTTGAAAACACAACTTCTCAATTTGGAATGCCTTAACAGAATTAACTTTGAGATTTATCAGCTTGGAAAATGACAGGATTGAGTAGTTTAATCTTGTTTGAATCAAATGTTGAATGTGGAGTTTGGGTTTGCATAAGGACAAATTATTCGAACTTTCTCAAACTAAAAAGTTAATCTCTAAATTTTTCAATTTATTTAAATCAAACCAAACCCTGTGCAGCACATTGAATTAAAGTTTAATAAGCATAATCCGTAATCTAATTGACAGTGATTGCCCCAAATCAAAACATACATTGCTCACCACTTTCTTAAAAACTTTTTGTATGGTATAAATATGCCAAACGAAAAGGAGATTGTTTGAGATATACAGATTAAATACGTGATATGAATAAACAAGTTCCATTATTTCACTGAACTGGTATTTATATTTGGAAAATGTGTCGTTCAACAAATATGGGCAAAACGTTGTGATACGAGCTCGCCCCGAAGTTGGCGCGAGTAATCACCGTATTGTAATTTTGCATTATTATAATTAGTTATTAGTGTATCCTCGTCAAGATAAATGACACCCTTAATTTGAAATAGTGTAAATTTACGGCTTAAATGATACAATATACTTGATCAGAATCATACAGTTGACTTGTAGGTTTCTCAAATTATTTCTAATATGATCGACATAAATAGTCATACAAAATTGGTCACGTGACTAGGTCTCGTAACCTTTTTTTTCATGTTGGGATGGAAGGAAAAAGGTATATGGATGTTTTTGGGAACAGGGAGTCGGATATAAATTATAGAAAAGGAATAAGTAATTAGATTTATAATTGAATGGACTATCTAGCGCTTATTCAGATTTTAAAATCATATTCTATAAAATGTTGTAATTCTTTGAAAAATGGCGAAAAATGTTTAAAATTCGATTTCGATTGACAGACTCCTGATCAATTGTATCGCTGAACCGTTAACGGATTCAATTATATTGGCTTTAATTTACCTAGGAAATTAGTTCTTAGGACAATATTGGGGCGGTTTTGATATATTTGAGCGCGAGATCAAAAAAACACCCTTGTTGGTCGAGGAAATATTTGGGTTACCCGGCTCGAATCACGCGATAAAAATTTCCAACAGAAATATGGTGTATTCTGGACGGGTTTAACACATACCAGGCGACTTATTTGAGCTCAATCTGTGTGTTATACCAAGAGTAATGCCAATTTTCAAACATCAAAATATTAATGAGCAACCACGCGCAATTTTTATAAAGAACATATCGTTTTTGGTCTCGTTTGAACGATAATCTTCAGATAAATTTGAATCTAATAGTTAGAGATTGCCTTCGTTCAATTCTAGTTTCAAGGATTTGATTTTTTACCCTTTCACCTTTTTGACCAATCAAAGTAGTATAAAAAGTTTTTAATATTCAAAATTGTAGCTTATATGTGGTCCTGTAATAGCTAACTTGAAAACTTAATTTGCAAATAACTCGGTCAATATTATTTCTACTGCTCTATTCTTAATCTAATAGATTCTTCAATTAATTCCGAGAATACTGATTTTAATAGCCTTGAGTAGTGCATAATTTTGATCACGTTATCCTTCTTTCAAAAAATGCAAAAAAAAGCTTCTTTGCTACCTAATCAATACTACGACCTCATCTATCAACTTCTAAAGCATCTGATCTGGTTCATTTCACCTTAAATTCAAGAACTGTGACGGTCTAAAGACGCCATACTTGTTTTGAATTTTTTTCAAAAATTTCCAAACCACTTTGAAAAAATAGTTCTGAAATTTTGAATGCCTTAACACAGTAGATTTCAAGAGCTTCAAATCTGAGTTATTTTATCATACTCAGATTTCAATAAGGAAAGTGGAGTTAGATTTGTCGTGAGGTCAATTTATTCAATTTTCCCCATACTTAAGAGATAATTTCTCAATTTTAATTCCTTTCAATCCAAATCGTGTTCAGCACCTTAGTTTGAGGTATAGCACGTATAATCGGTTGTTTAATTGAAGGAAATGGTTGTAAATTAAAAAAACATTTGTATTCTTTTTGCGAAAATTTTGTATAATAGGTGAAAAAATGCCAATATTACAAACTGAAAAAAAGATTTTTGAATTTTAATTTTACACATATACTGGTACAGAATCAAAGACAACTGATTTCATTGAAATAGCTCTTATCTCGACAGATTGCATTTTTCACGAGATATAAGCCAATGTACGTGATACGAAGGCGCCTCAGGGCTAGTGCGAATTTTTTTTTTCTCACTCCCAATCATCATATCATATACACATTTGAGTATAACTAAAACAGATAAACAAAATCGTACTGAATATTCTGCAATAACAAGTACGTGCTATTAAGTATCATTTCACAGAAATTTGCGATCAAGAAGTTTATAATAAAAATTCTAAATATTTGTTAATCGACACACTTGGTAGCGAATATCACTATATATTAAATTTAAATACATAAAATACTATAATACAAACAGGTATACATAAATGTGCAGCATATTCTGTAATAACAGGTATGTGCTACTAAGGCTCATATGACAGCTTAAATTCTATATTTAAATTTAATTGTAAATATATGTCTTTTTTGAGCAAATTACTAAATCTAAGTAGACGCCTTTACTCAAGCATTATTTTATAGCCTTAATTTACATAGTTTGAGGCTTTATATTGTGATTGCATCCATCCATCATGAAATACAGATGGTTTTGCAATTTTGTTTTCTTCAAAAGCCAAGCCATCATCCCAAACTAAACATGGTTATGTAATGCCTGAGCTATAGTTTATCAATATAACGTTAGATATTCGCTAAACCTGCTAGTTCGTGAGATATTTGCACTTTTTATATGTTACAAGCCCCACTTCCTAATTGGGTCATTTAACTTTGGACCATCAGCAAAACCAATTTTTGTTACACAAAAACACGATCCAAAATTGGCAACTTTTCTTTTTGTAAATTTTATTTGAAACGTTAATTACTTGAACATGACAGCATTTTGTAGCCTGAAACCACCCTTTTTATAATCTTTGACAGCTCTAGTTTATTTGATGTGAAGCAAATACGTTAATAATAGTTGAAAAAGAAGTTTAACAATTTAATTTGAAATTTTGATAAGCTTTATATAAAGAACGGAAGAGAAGACCAATTTGTTTCAAAACAAGTTGTGTTCGACTCTTCTTGGTTTCCTAATTGTAAAACAGTTAATTGCTTTTGTAATGGTTTTGTATTTGTACAGTTATTCATCTATAAAGATACATTGTCACAAAGACATTTCAAGTATCATCCATAAATAAAGAGTTCATAAAGGTAATCTATAGTTTGAGCGACGAAATCAAAATAAGGTGATCGTTTTAATAAAGGAAAGTTGGGAGATAATAATGTTTATTCATGTTAATTATAAACCTCTTAATGAAAAACTTGATGGTGATTTATAAGTTTTAGTATGATTTGATATACTCTGTTGTTGATCTCTTGGCTCTAAATTTAATGATATTTGATATTGTTCTTCAATTGTTGGACATTTATCAAACCATGAATCTAAATACTTTTGAATTTCACTAACTTCTTGAAAATTATAACCAATTGTTTTGAATCTATCAATTCCAGAAACAATCTCTGAAGTTTTAGCTCTTTTGGCAAAATTAATTAATTTAGTTCTATTTATCAAATAATCTGGATTTCCATGATATACAAATGTTAAATCTGATAAATAAACTCCAAAAAATGGAACACACGGTTCTGAACCTATAAATTTCAAGACATCTCTATATTCATTAAAATTTCTGGAAGAATTCATCAACTTATTCATATTCTTCAAATGAGCTATTGATTCGGAACTAACATAATTCCATGTTTTCTTTAATCTATGTATTGGGGATGAATATAATGCAGATATTATAGCTGTCATTGATGAAAAATTATTATACTGTCGACTTTTTTCAGCAACTAGAATAAAATATCTTATAATTTGAACTCTTTTTTTAGGATCTGATTTCCTTAAAATCATATATGCAACAAAGTTCGTCAATTGGTTAGAAGCTTTAATAAATGCAGTAATTGAACTAATATTTTCATTTAAACCAGATTTTTTACCCCAAACTTTTGCTAAACAAGCAAATTTTGTAATTTTGCAATACATTCGAAATTCTCTTAATGTTAATTGTCGAGCTAATTCGACATAGTCTATGTCCATTAATTTTAGTTTTCTTGGTAATGTTGATACTTTAATTAATGGAGCCGGTAGTTTTGTATCAGAGATTATTGGTTCTCGTTCAACATAAATGATTTCTCCATTTAACAATTTCCGAAGATCATTAGCCAACATTTTACCAATTGAATATGAGAAGACTTGTGAAGATTCCGCAAATGCTAGCCATTTTTTCAAAATTGTTTCATTATAATAAGACCTTGACCATTGCTTTTCAATTAATAATTTCATTATGTTCATCACTCTTAAGCGAATTGGATTTTGCTTCTTCGATATCCAAATATTATATTCCTCAAAACTTAATCCTTCAGGAGCTTGAATTTCGAAACGTGATATTAGTGAAGATATCAATTCATCCAATGACATCATTGAAGCAAAAGTTAATAGGAAAACAGCATTAAATGTACTATCAAACATATCATGATGAGTCAAATGAGCAACTAAAGCTTCTTTAGTACCTCCTTTGATATTACCCTTAACATCTAATAATAAATCGAATTCTTCATCACCTTCAAGGTACCAAGGAGTATCTTTTGAACTTTTATGACCGCCACTATAGTAAGAATGATCTTCTGATTTCTCTGACAGAATAGTATTACTTCTTTCCATTAATAACAACTGAACGTCAAAATCATCGTGCATGACTCGAGTAGCATAGTTAATAATGGTTTCACGCTCTTCAATTAATTGTTGTGTAACTTCCAAAATAACTTGACATGCAGCAATCCCATCATTCAAATATTCCGATAGCAAAATGTCTGGATTCACTGATATTGATTTAAAATTGTTTGAATTGTTTAATTGATCAAATAATACATTAGATAATAATAATGCAGTTTTCTCCGTCGGTATTCTTAGAATGTCCTTATTGTAAAACAAAGGATCTTCATCTTTCAAACCTTTGAATACTTGAGGATCTTCTAAAGTTAATGATTGAGTCGACATTATAATTTTTAAAATTAGATTATGAAATTCTTGTTTCAATTGGAAAAACTGTAGAACAACAGGATAGTCAAATGTTAGATTGCTCGTATGTTGACCAATTCTGTCTGAAGTTGATGAGGTGGAATTAAGCATATTGCTTGGATCGACAATTTCATCATTTGGACCGGTATATTTCTTAATTAAACAAAATACAGTAAAGTCAAGAGATTCAATAAGATCAATCATTGAACTTGCATGATAAAGATACCTGTAAACTAATCTCAAAATTTGACTGTTTCTCTCATTCTTTAGATTTTCATTATAATAATATGTTTCCTGAACTTGAGAATCTAAATATTCCAAGGTATCTTGACTTACATTAATCATTTCCACCAGGTATTGATACAATGATTCATATGCTTGATGGTCTATAATTATCTTTGTATGATATCGATTTTTTAAATCATCACCACTTAGATTCAAAACAGGATTGTCAGCTGAAAAGAATGGATTACACCAATTACCACCATTAAATTCATTTGCTAAAAATCTAGGAAATGCTTGAGGAACAATATCAAAACGATCCTCGCCTTCATCTTCAGAAGCATCAGAAGAATCATAATCAGCCTTCTTTATTTTCTTACCTTCGCTTAGTTTATAAAATGTATCAATTACAAAATCTGTACTTGACCTTAGGCTATCAACCTCTTGAATTAAGTAATCGATGTAGGTTTTAGACTTAATTATTTCATATTTATCAATATCTATATCTTCAGCTTGCCCAGATCTCAATTCACTAAATGGTATAGTATAATTTCTATTTGATTTCTCCAATGTAGCATTTTTCCTTGACAATTCATCTGAGAAATGTAAGACATTCAAATGTAAAATACTATTCATATAAATCTGTGAAAATGACGTACAAATCATCTTGAATTTCTTTCTTAAAGGCTTTCTATGTTTTGTATCAATATAATCATCTCTATTTAATCTCAATGCTCCTAATAGTATTAAAACTAGTTTATTTAATCTTGAAAAATGAGTGCTGAAAAACTGAACATTTTGCTCTTTCAATGATTTTATTATCAAATCTAAAATATAACGAAAATCCTCTTTGAGTTGAGTCCAATATGTTACATCTAATGAATGTTTATAAAATAAATTGTCCATGGCAAAAAAAGGTCTACTGAATTGATGATATGATGAGCCACTACTTTGAGTTGTGACTGAAGTATGAGAATCACGCTTAAACGAATCAAAAGGTCCACTAAAATTTTGATTCTCTAAAGTGTTATCGATATTTTGATGTCCTTGAATTTGCACTGCAGATGTAGCTTGAATAGTTTCACTATCGGGATATCTAAGATTTGGTGATAAGGAATCTGATTGAAAAAATATTAATGGAACTGATTCACAGTAAATATCCAATTGTTGACAATAAAATACAAAATCACCTTTTGTTGTATGCTTTGGAAGCCAAACTAAAGTTTCATTATATTTAGATCTATAATCTTCAATTAATTGTTCAGCTTCTAAAACGTCAATAATTTCAATTTCTTCATTTTCACCATTAGTATTAGTAATAGAATGTTGCTGAGGCGTGTTATGCAGATCTATAAAAGGTGACAGTGAAGGTTGAGAAACTGGTGAAACTTGATTTGAGGAGGAATGTGATAATTTTTTTTGTGGCAATTGAATATTTGAAGTATTACCAGGATTGTTGTTATTATATTTTGAATCGGATGGATTACTAGCTTCTGAACTAGCAAAACTAACAACTGAATTTTTCCTTGTTGTATTATTAGGACTATTTCTATCTGATTCTTGTAAATTTTTTTGTAGTAGACTGGTAAATGAAGGTATTAAAACATTAGCTGCAGTATTAGCTGCAGTTATTAAGTCTAATTCTTTATTATCTTTCAATTTATTAAGTACTGGTTGAACATAATTAACTGATCTAACATAATTATAAGGAAACCATCCTCTTTGTAATTCACCATGATTTCCTATTGAAACACCATCCCACCAACCTGTTGAGGATTTAGTAATAACATAGATTGTATCTCCTAAATTTAATGATAAATTCGATGAATTTGGCCCTGCATAATCATATAAAGCAATTACAGTATCTAGTATTGGAGTTGATTTGTTATTATTATTATTATTATTATTATTATTATTATTATTATTATTATCATTTTGAAAGAACAGTTGTTGATTAGTATTTATATTATTTTCAGGTAATATTGTTGAAGGTGAAGGTGAAGATAATGAAATTGAAATTTGTTGTGGAGTAGGAGACGGAACAACATCCGGTGCAATTTCATCATTATATTGATGATGCGACATTTCCTAAATTGTAATTAGTTCTTAAGCAATTGGTTCCATATAGTATCTTTATAATATAACAGTATAATAGTATAATAGTTTACAACCAGTTTGGTAACAGTGATATTTTTATTATCAACTAATATTTTTTTTTTTTTTTTGTCCGACCTTTCAACATACATTGGTATTGGTATTGGTATTAATTGTTTGGTAACTGGTTAGAGAGGTTACTACTTGTTATTGAAATTACACTTACTATTAAAATTGGTTCAAAATTATAACGATGTCATTGTTTTTTAAATCATCTTTGGATATCGACATAAGATTAGATAATGAAGAATCAAGAAAACATGTTGAAATTAAATCACCTCAAGGTAGAATTGAAAAACTACCTATTTATAAAGATGGTGAAAGTGTTAAAGGTACTGTTATACTAAGAACAAGAGAAGGTAAAAAAGTTGAACATTTGGGTGTTAAAGTTCAATTATTAGGTTTAATTGAAACAAATATTGATGGTATAATAACTTCAGAATTTTTATCATTGGCAACTGAATTAGCTTCTCCATCTCAATTAATTCATCCTGAAACTTATCCATTTGAATTTAAAAATGTTGAAAAGCAATATGAAAGTTATCGTGGTAAAAATGCTTTATTGAAATATTCAATTAAGGTAACAGTAACCAAAAAATCATCATCAGAAATAACAAAAGAAAAAGAATTGTGGGTATATACATATCCTATGGATACATTATCATCAACAAGTACAACTTTAAATTTGAAACAGCAGGAAGTTTCAAAAGATTCAAAGCAAGAAAAGGCGAAAACGAGTGGTGCCTTGGGAAATTCTAATGAAGCAGACCACGTAGCCAACAAATCAAGCACAAATAAAAATTTACATGGTGTGAAGATGGATGTTGGAATTGAAGATTGTTTACACATTGAATTTGAATATTCAAAATCAAGATTTTCTTTAAAAGATGTAATAATAGGGAAAATTTATTTCTTATTAGTTAGATTAAAGATTAAACACATGGAATTGTCATTAATACGAAGAGAGACTGTTGGAGCTCCTCCTAATCAAGTTACAGATAGTGAAACTGTTGTAAGGTTTGAAATTATGGATGGTGCACCAATAAAAGGAGAAACAATACCGATTAGATTATTTTTAAGTGGATTTGATTTAATGCCAACTTATAAAGATATAAATAAGAAATTTTCAACTAGAACTTATTTATCATTAGTTTTAATTGATGAAGATGCAAGAAGATATTTTAAACAAAGTGAAATAATACTTTATAGAGATCAATGAATATAAACAAGATGAGGTACCATATCTGTACTGTTGATGTTTCTGTTATAATATGCTCAGAACAATCAGCGTATCATATATATACGTCACTATTCTTCTTTTCTTCTATGCCGTTTGGTAGTTAATTATGACAGAACAATTAAAAAAAAAAAAAAAAAATTATCAATATGGAGCCCGTAGAACAAGAATCAATAACTCCTGTTCAAAATAAGGAACTCGATGAAATTGGTAAATTGCTCAATGATAAAAATAGCTTAAATGGTTTGCTGAATCTATCTCACAATTTTAATTCAAGACTTTATGGTATTGATCCAAAAACACTTGTTATTAATGAATGTATGATTTTAGCTTCAGCAATGAGGAAAACGAATAGATGGTCTCAAAATGGGGTTGCTTCTTTATTATCATCAAGTGATATATTTGGTAAAGCAAATACAAATGTAAATTATAGTTTCAATGATGATGAGGATGGTCTAACAAATGCAATTGGTTCAACATTAAGCCATGGGCCAAAATCAGATAAAAATCTACTTATTGGAAGTAATAAATCGAATAATACTAATAACATTAATAATTTAAAAGGTACTCATGACAATCCATTATTAGCATCATTTTTACAATTGAAATCTATATTAATTGAATCTCAAAATTTATATGATATTGATAGTCTTACATTATTACAACCATTTTTGCTAATAATTAAATCATCATCTACTTCAGGATATATTACTGGTTTGTCATTAAGATCAATATCTAAATTTTTAACTTACAGTATCATTTCCTTTAAATCTAAAAATTTACAATCTTCATTGATACAAATTGTTTCATCTTTAACTCATTGTCGATTTGAAGCTGCTGATCAAAACTCTGATGATGCTGTTTTATTAAAAGTTCTTAGATTATTAGAAGATATTATTAAAAGTTCATTAAGTTCTTGCTTACCTAATGAGTTAATGTCAGAAGTTATTCATACTTGTTTATCTTTAGCTTGTAATAAAAAAAGAAGTGAAGTTTTAAGACGAGCTGCTGAAATGGCTATGATATCGATTACTGTTGAATTATTTACTAAATTACATGAAATAGAACCAGAATTGGAACATGGAAATGACGATATACAACCAAATTTGTTAAACACTCAATTGCCAGAAGATTTAATTGGTGGGACTAATTTGAAAAGTTCTGAAAACTTATCTACAAATGAATTTAATGCAAATGTAAGTGATCAACAAAAAACTGATACATTAAAAGAGGAATATGATTCAAAAGAGAAACCGTTTAGTATTGTTTGTTATAATGAATTTTTTGCAATTTTAATTTCAATGATATCACCATCAAATCAATTTCATAACATGGAGAGCTCAAGAGTTTTTGCTTTATCATTAATAAATTCTGCTGTGGAGGTTGCTGGATTAGACATAACAAAACATTCGTCGTTATTAACTATGATTTCTGACCCTATTTCAAAACATGTTTTACAAATCATCACAACTACCGAATCAATTTCATTATTGAAAGAATCTTTACAATTGTTCAGTACAATTGCTATTGTTTTGGGTAGAGAACTTAAACCACAATTGGAATTATCGATAACATTAATTTTTCAATCAATCTTACCTCCAAATTCTAAGCAATTGTCAAAAGATAATGATTTAAATGTGACTGCTAGAACTTCCATATCTAAAGAAGTTTTAATTGAATCTATAAGTTTACTATGGACAAGATCATCAATATTTTTCACAGATTTATTCATTGATTATGATTGTGATTTTGAAAACTCAGATCTTTCAATAAAAGTATTGGATTATTTATGTCAATTATCCTTACCTGAATCCGCTGTAATCACTACTGATAGTGTTCCTCCATTATGTCTTGAAGGTATTTTATCATTTATATCTGGAGTTCATGAAAGAAGTAAAACTAAAAGTAAAATTGATAAACCATTACATCAACTTATAGAGAATAGAAATAAGAAAACTGCTTTTATCAGATGTACTGAATCATTCAATAAAAAACCCAAAGAAGGAATTAAAGCTTTGGCAAAAGAAGGGTTTTTGAAAGATGAAAATGATTTGAAGGAAGTAGCAGAGTTTTTTTACTCAAAATCGGGTCGTTTAAACAAAAAGAAATTGGGTGAATATTTAACTGAACCAAAAAACAAAGAATTATTCAATTATTTCATCAAATTGTTTGAGTTTACAGATTTACGTCCTGATGAAGCTTTAAGGGTCATGCTTAAATCATTTAGGCTACCTGGTGAGTCTCAACAAATTGATCGAACAATGGAAGCTTTTGCAGAATGGTATGTTGAATGTCAAAAAAATTCTACATCAGAGTCAAACGAAGAAGAAGAAGAATCGGTATTACCAGATAAAGATTCTGCATTTGTTTTGGCTTTTTCCATCATTTTATTAAATACGGATTTACATAATCCACAAGTTAAAAAACATATGCTGCTTGAAGATTATAAGAAAAATTTGAGAGGAGTTTATAATGGAAAGGATTTTCCTGAATGGTATATTTCAAAAATCTATTCTTCAATAAAGGATAGAGAAATTATTATGCCTGAAGAGCATCATGGTACTGATAAATGGTTTGATGATATATGGCACAATATGGTCTCAACTCAAAATTTGAAACAAATGCATAAAACAGATTTAGAGAATATTGATTTGTGTCAGTTTGATAAGGAATTGTTTAATAGTCTTGCTGATACACTTATAAATACGATAATAAGAGTGTTTAAAGAAGCTACGGATGATCATGTAATAACCAGATTAATGTCTTCAGTTGATAAAATAGCTAGTATTTGTTTACAGTATGATTTAATTGAACCAGTGGATAAATTAATTAGTATTTTGGCTGATTTGACAACCATAACTACAAGTGACTTCAAAAAAGATTATTTAGATGACAATATTCGTGAAAATATTCCAATTACTCAAATGAATGTTGAAAAACAAGAGGGGGAGATTTATGTTAGTGAATTGGCTGTTTGGTTCGGTCGTGACTTTAAGGCTCAATTAGCAACAGTTGTTTTGTTCAGAATTATAAGGAGAAGTAATTGTAAGATTCAAAATTCCTGGGAACACGTTTTGAAAATTATACTAAAATTATTTGAATACTGTTTAATTGATCCTAATTTGTATAGTGAATTCCAAAAGAAAGTAAAACTTGATTCATTACCAAAAGTAAAACCAGAATATCTGATAAGGAAAACTAAACCATTGAATAATTCAGGTCTTCTTTCAACATTTCAATCGTTTTTAAGAAGTTATTCAGATGATCCTCCAGAACCAACCGATGTGGAAATTGAATCAACTTTATCGACTGTTGAATGTGTGAAATCGTTAAATATACCAAGTATATTTGCTATGGTATCCCAATGTTCTTCAGATATTATAAAATCGTTTATAACTATTTTGCTAAGTTTATTACCTGAACTTAATAATGACTCAAAAAGATACTACGAGACTGAGTTATTATTTATCTATGAAGTATGTGTCTGCTTTTGTTTATTGTTAAATGATCAATCGATGATGGGTAAGGTTATTGAAAAATTTCAAATCAATGGTTTAACTAAAAAGAGTCAGTTACGAATGAAAGCTTATGATTTACTTTTATTAAGGAAATGCGAAAACAAAGAAAAACTAATCACAGCAATAACAAGTTTGAAGGATCTCGATAAAGAATTGTTGAGTAAACAAGGTGGTCAAATTTTTCAACCTTTAATATCTTTAATTGATGAAGATTCATGGTCTTGTAAAATATTATTGGATGAAGAGGAATATTGGAAATCATTACGAATCTTTGGCTCATTTCAAGTATATGCTGCTGAAATAATTAATTTCTTGGATAGTTTTGTTAAAAATTCTACAAAAGATATCACTTTCAAAAATTACGTATTGTTATTAGGATTATTAGATGAAATTTCATCTTTGGGAGCACTTGGATCTCAATTTGAACAAGGAAATGCAAATTCAACGAAGGATCAAAATGCAAAAAATAACGATTATTTTAAAGATTTGATTACACTTTCAAAGCATTCAATTGATTTAACTGCAATCTTGGTACCATTAGTGAAAGAAGATGAATTCAAAGGTAAAGGAGTTGCTTATTCAGCAATTCAAGCATTGGCTCATCAATGTTTTAATCCTTGTCGTGAATTAAGAGAATATGCTGTTAAAACGATACAAAACATTATTTTATCTTTTGAATTTGATTCTGAAGTGAAAATCGCCGAAGTATTTGATTTTGGTTTATTTCCTTTATTATTCGAATTAACAAAACCTGAAGTAATTCAATCTGATGTTAATGGTTTTGAAAAAACTCAATTTGAATTGTTTAATTTGGTAAGTAAAACGTATTTAAAACAGTTCGATTATATGACTGATGAAGATAAACAAAATATCTGGTTGGGTTTAATGAACAGTTTACAAAATTTTCAAATATTGGATGAAAGTAAAAAAGGCAAATATTATGAACCTAGTGCTGAAGTGTTGAAAAATTTAGTTTTGGTTTTACAAAATAATCGATTTTTAATAGAAGATCATTCACAAATTTATAATCATTCATGGAATATAATCGATAAATTAACCCCAGGATTAAGAAAAGATTCAAAAATTGAAGAAATGTCAGCTGAGCAAATTTCAAACGATAGAAAAACAACTAAAGATGGTTTAGATGATATAGAAGAAGGTCAAAAATCTGATCATAAATAAATGTATACATTCTATATTTTAATTTTGATGGTTTAGTAGTAGATCTCTAGTGTGAAAAAAAAAAAAAAAAGAAAATTGCAAGGTTAAACAAGATGGTCAACCAGTTGAAATACGAAGAAAGAGCTGAAAAGCATAGTTCCCCTGTAGCGCAAAGGCTTTTTAAATTAATGGAAGAAAAACAATCAAATTTATGTGCTTCAATTGATGTAAGAACTACAAATGAATTTATGGCCTTGGTTGACAAATTAGGACCTTATATCTGTTTAGTTAAAACTCATGTTGACATAATAGATGATTTTTCATATGAAGGTACAATTAAACCATTGTTGAAACTAGCTAAAAAGCATAATTTTATGATTTTTGAAGATCGAAAATTTGCAGATATTGGAAATACGGTAAAATATCAATATACTGGGGGAGTTTATAAGATTTCTCAATGGGCAGATATAACTAATGCTCATGGAGTTACTGGAGAAGGAGTTGTGCGAGGTCTAAAAGAAGGTGCTTTTGAAACAACAAATGAACCTCGAGGTTTATTAATGTTAGCTGAATTATCATCCACTGGTTCATTAGCACAAGGTGAATATACTGAAAAAACTGTTGATATAGCTAAATCCGATAAAGAGTTTGTTATTGGATTTATTGCACAACGAGATATGGATGGTCAAAATGAAGGTTTTGATTGGATTATAATGACACCTGGAGTTGGATTAGATGATAAAGGAGATAAATTAGGTCAACAATATAGAACAGTAGATGAAGTTATACTGACTGGAACAGATATAATAATAGTTGGTAGAGGTTTATTTGGTAAAGGAAGAGATCCAGAAGTGGAAGGAAAGCGTTATCAAAAAGCAGGTTGGAATGCATACTTGAAGAAAACAAATCAGTTATAAGACAATACTATTAGTATCAATAGTCTGTATATACATATATTTATATATATAATAGTTGAATATATTAAAGTTTCAGTAATAAAATTTGACCAGGGCCAAATTTTGACCGAAAAAAAATTAACATACATATATATATTCGGGCCATAAATACCAGTTATCTAGTTTCATCAATAAATTACAATTAATTATATGTCTGCCGAAATAAATTCAATTTCTAATTCAGTTGAAGAGTCACCACCGGCTCTTCCACCAAGAAGAAAATCAAATTCAAACAATTCAAAAGAAAATCATTCAATGAATAGTACTAAAAACATTAAAATAGATTTAGATGATAAAGTTTCACAAATTTTGGCCATTAGACAATATGAACTATGTAATTTACCTCAATTAAATGAAATATCTGATTTATTTTCAATTACTAATGTTGATGAACAAAAGTTAAAACAAGATTTGAAACAATATAAATTAAATGAAAGTCTGTTCGATAACGAAACATTTTGGATCAAATATTTAGATGATTTGAAAAATGACTGGTTAAGAAAAAAAGAAATTGACGAATTTGAATCTGAGATCATAAAAGGGATACCGGATAATTTGAGATATTTGGTGTACATAAAATCATTACAAATTAGATATAAATTGAGTAATAAGTCATCATTTGAAACTTTGACCAATGAATCTAAATTCTACAGGCAGGATTTAGACGCAATACAAAACTTGAGTCCCAGGGCCAAAAGTGTGTTGGCTGTTTACCGATATTTTAAGAACAAAAACTTGAATTCCAAAGAGATGGATATTCAAACATATAATGAAGATTCAACTTTGAATAGTCTCATAACTGGTTTTTGCGATTTACTTTCAAATGTTTCTGAATTAGCTGAAGAGGATTTGTTTTACTTTTTATTAAAAATTGAAAAAATGTATGAACATCTTAATAAGGATGAGCTTCATTATAAGATTAATCGATCATTAGAGGTGGAAGACACTAAACTTTTTGAGCATATAACTTCACAAGGCGTAAATTTATTTCATTCATATAATTCAATAATTATTAACTTGTTTAATAATAATTATTTCGATAGGGTAGAAATTTTCAAAATTTTTGACTTTATTATATTGGAAGGTTTTGACTTTGTTATAAAGATAATATTATACTTATTCAAAATGAATAAAGAAAAATTAGCTAATGTTAGTGGTGACGAGTTAATGGAATATATGAGATCAAAAGACTTTTTAAATAATGAATTTGACTTTCAACAGATTGTACAACAAGAATTTCAGCTTATAAAGTTCGAGAATGAGTTTTATTTGATTAGTGCAAATTCTTTGAATAATAATAATAATGAGTTAATGAAATTAAAAGAGATTAATCAGGATTTGAAATTGAAAATTGAGGATTTAAACAATAAGATAAATAATCTACAGATTACTCATGATGAAATATCAGTTCAAAGTAAAGATTATACAGAAAACTTAGACAAAGCTAAGGCAGAAAATGCTGAACTACAAAGCTTGAAAAAAGAGCTTGATCTAAAATATGAACAATTAACAATGAAGGAAAATTTGAATAATACCATTAAAGCTAATAAAGAATTTTCGGAAAGAAACTCTGAACTTGAACAACAAATTAATGGAGCTAATAATTCAATAAAGGAATTAAAGTCGAAGCTAGCTAAGAAAAAGAGTGTTTAGTCAATATTAATCATAAAGTTAAAATATTTTATATTATTATGGTAGAAGATTTGGTTTATGAATAAATGCAGAATAAATTAATCATGAATATTGTAATACCTGAAAGTTTGACTATTCATTTCATTTCTTATTCAACTCTTCTACTAATTTTGATTCGTAAAAATAATGCATGAATTTGACTGGTTTTTTTTGATCTATTCTATCAACATGAAGAACTGGAACATCATAACAATATTTGTCAAACCAATCCTTATTTTCAGGTTTCATAATATCAATTGTTCTCACCTCGATATCATTTGGATTATTCAATAATGGTGATTTTAAAGTTGTATTTAAAATATTCTTTGCATTAGTACAAAGCATACAATTATCCTTCGTGAAAAATGTTAATTGGGTGTTAAGGATATATGAGGTACTTGTAAACTTTCTATAAACCAACGAATTGCTTAGATTACTTCGTATTTTTGAAACTCTTTTAATCATGATAAAGTTTGACCAGGGGAATTTTTTTTTTTTTTTTCAATTTTATGTATTAACAATTCGAAGAATTTTAAGCAAAAATCTAAAACAATCGACCAGAGTAACGAACAATTTCATCTTGTTCTGCTCATGTCTTTATATTGGTATCTTGAATAATACATGTAGTATTGTTGGGTAAAGTAAAAATGAACAATTTTGATGAATTTTAGCAGTAATTTTCAAATAATGTCAATTGAAACCAATTTTGATCTAGTAATAATACTCCATTTAGGTAGCTCATACTCAGTGGAATCACTATTGAGCCAAACTCTCATATATTGATGAAATGGGATGATCATTTGTAAAATATATTACTTTGAACTAAGAATCAAAAGAATGGCAAGTAAAAAGCAGTCCGAATAGAGAGAGTACAAATTGTAGATCAAATAAGCTCCATACCAAACAATACAATGTGTTATGATTAAAAATGTTATCACTAAAATGTATTCTGTTTATAGTTAATAAAAGATTTTGGAAAAAACAAATTCCAAACAATGTTTGAAAAATGCCATATAAACACTAACCGATTTGTGGAGATATTACCGAATTTAGACTAAATTTAGAATTAATATTTGAGAGGCAATTATTGTTGGACTTTTCAATAATTAAAAAGCTAGTTTTGAACAGGAGTAAATGATATCATACAACTCAATTTTATATGACACACAGTAAGAATCAGACCATAAAGAAATTTAGTATTACCGTTGATTCTATCCATTTGCAATATTTCCAGTTGAGTTTCTACAATTTTGAATTCATTATTCAAAATTTGATATCAACTAGGTCAAACATACATTACATAAATTAGACTATTTGATCCTTGATTGAAGCATAATTAATATTAAACTTCAATCAATTGTTTATCATGATTATTACTTATTATTACTTATTGTGATTACGTAATAGTTTACGTAATCCAATTTTATTTAAAATTCTTCATTTTATTGTATCGGTAAATTAAAAAAAGAAACATCTTGAGATCTATCGTGTATTCTTCGTTCCAAACTCCGGAGAAAAACTTCTTGTCACTTACATTGAATTTGATATTAATAGTAGAGACTTCATGCTTAAAGTTATTATTGAATTAGAAAAGATTTCAGATTTAAGACAGACATGGATTTACAAAAGATGAGACCGGTGATATAATTAAATCTTAAAACTGCCCCACTTTATCGAATCTGTCTTTTTTTTTTTCTTGTTCTTAGTCTTCTATTTTTTTAAACAATTTGGCAGCTTTTGTGATTCTAATAGATGAGTTTAGTGCAAATTATCACCACCACCCATCACCGTCACCCACAATTTGATATTTTAAAAAAAAGAAATTACCCTTCGTTATATATAAACCAAGAACGTTCCTTCAATTTAATATTTAACATCTCATAGTTTATTTATTTACTCCTTTTGAGCTCATTAATTTTTGATATTGTTCATCATAGTTTTACAATTAGTTCATTAATAAAAATCAATTAGCTAAAATTAATTAATAATGCCTTCTACTTTATCACAAAAATCAGTTGAGTCTTCTAACTCTGAACAATCTCCTGTTGGGAAAGTTGAGATAGCAGGAGATGGTGGTGAATTTATCATAATAAATAATCATAAATATTATAGACATGATTTAATGGCTGCTTTTGGTGGTACATTGAACCCTGGAGCTGCACCTTATCCAACTTTTAATATCAATTCAGCACCTGTTGGTTTATGTGGTTTTGCTTTAACAACTTTTGTTTTATCACTTTATAATGCTCAAGCAATGGGAATCAAAATTCCTAATGTTGTTGTATCATTGTGTTGTTTTTATGGTGGTGGTGTTCAATTTCTTGCTGGAATGTTTGAATGGTTAAGTGGTAATACTTTCGGGTTAACTGCTCTAACATCTTATGGAGCATTTTGGCTTTCTTTTGCTACGATTTATATTGATAGTTTTGGTATTGGTGCAGCTTATGAAAGCACAGATCAATTGGGTAATGCTGTTGGATTTTTTTTACTTGGTTGGGCTATTTTCACATTGATGATATTCTTAACCACTTTAAAATCTACTGTTTCTTTCAGTAGTTTATTTTTCTTTTTATTTCTTACATTTTTATTATTAGCTGGTGGAGAATTATCAGGAAGAGTTGGCGTTTCAAGAGCTGGTGGTGTTATGGGTATTATAACAGCTTTTATTGCATGGTGGAATGCACTTGCCGGTACAGCTACTCCACTCAATTCTTATGTCCAACCATATTCAATTCCTTTACCAGGAAATGTATTGTTTGGTAAAGCTAAGTAAGTGTTATATGGTAAAATCATATAAACAAGAATCTAGACTTTCAGTGACTGGACTGTTATCAATTTTGACATTTAATTTTATGAAATTTGATTTAATTTGATGATACGAATTTAACGCAATATTTATTTATTTATCTCAATAATATTAAGACTTATACACAATTTAATTAATAATTTTAAAGTATGCTTAGTATCTTGTAATCTTGTGCTTTGTGGATGATTGGTCAATTTCTTCTCAAGATAGATTTTCGTTGAATTAATTTGCTTGTGCTTTCGGTTAGCAATTACTTATTGATGAAAATGACACACTGTCTTTACAGCCTCAACAGTGATCTCTTATGAAAATATGATCTAGCTCGTACAATTATTGAAAAACAACGTTTCGATGAGATAAACCTCGTAAAGATCTGCAAGTTCAAACAACTATATATTAGAGTACCAGAACTGTTCCATGAATTCGATCATTTAACTTTGAACCATCAGCAACACCAATTTTTGTTGCACAAAAGCACGATCTAAAATTGATCTTTTTGTAAATTTTATTTGAAACGTTAATTACTTGAACATGACCGCATTTTATAGCCTGAAACTAACCATTTTGTAATCTTTGATAGCTCTAGTTTATTTGATATGAAGCAAATGCGTAAACAATAGTTGACGGTGGAGTGAAACAATTCAATTCGAAATTTTGATGTGCTTTACATAAAGAACTGAAGAGGGCACCAGGCACCAATTGTTTCAAAATAAGTTGTTTTTAACTCTTCTTAACTTTCTGATTGTAAAGCAGTTGATTGCTTTTGTAATGGTTTTGTATTTGTAGAGTTATTTCACATTGAAGATTACATTTTCTCAAAGATGATTCGTGAATCATACACCAAAATTCCGCTGAACAAAACCAGATACGGTTACGTTATCTGTAATATATGGCCTGAAATTAACACACCTGCACTTTTATACCCTGATTGCAGTATTATCAATGAATATTTAGGTGGTTTTACAATTTTTTAGTAATAAATTTAGAAATTCTATGATTTTGTGAAACAACTCAACGTCTTAGGCCGATGTAGACTCTAGTTTGACATCAAAAGTATGTTCAAAATGTCTGATTACCAATATAATCTATATTATACTTACTTACTTTATCTAATTCACTAATTTGCTGTTTCACTATTTTGATATGCTGTTTCACTATTCTGTTATGCTGTTTCATTATTTTGATATGCTGTTTCACTATTCTGTTATGCTGTTTCATTATTTTAATATGCTCTGCACTTCAATTACATAATCGTTTAAATACGAACAACGGCACAAAGCACGACTTTGAATAATTACCTCTCTAAAACTAACTAATAGGTCAAAATTAGATTCCAATGGAATAAAGTAATATAATCAGACAACAGATCATAAACCTTCTCAAACAAGTTACGGAAATATACGCGATTGCCGAGATCTGATATGAGCCCTGATCATACATCCTAACCTCAGTACCTAACGATATAAAAGCAATACCTCCTTGCCTCAATACATTTGTAGGTCCTTACATCAAATCATAAAATATCCTTGCATCAATTACACATCCTTAACTCAATACATAACAAAGTTGTCACGTGATAACTCAAAGAGACAAAATTTTTCATTATGCAAATATCACGTGTAATTGAGGTGTTTAATCTGAAAAGCATGTTTTTTTGGTGTTAGGGTCTTTCCATAAATTTGGAAAAAAGTAAAGCACAAAAATATTTAGTCACGCTCATCCAATCAAAAGTCTTACAATATATAATTAAAAATTGAAAACATGAGAACACATTACATGACTAAACAGATAGACTATTACAAAGTCAGAAAATAAGCTCAGTGCACGTGTTAGTGTCGAAATTTTATGAATATTCAAATGTGCTACCATATGATTTTTGATTTTAGGATGTTATATTAAGTATTGAGGTTAGGGTGCAAAATTGGATGTTCTGTTCATATCTCGGATAGGTCTCGTAACTGATGTTTATTCCGGATGCATTTCCGTCGGTTCCCGGACGGAGATCTGTCAGATTTCCGAGAATTCACAGAGATCTTGGCAAGCTAAGAAAGATCTAGGCTAAATAGATCCAAGCTATATCAAGCTCTACATCCTAAACAACTCGATTGTTCACTACAGATATACTATTCTGTCCAAATCATTCGGTATTGGATTTACATTATTATTGTAGTATGATTGTGAGAATAGAAGCTAGTTTGCGTGTATTGCCTCGTAACGCGGTATAGATGTACAATTGATATTGAATTTGGTAGGTTGCAAGGTCACATATCAACATATGGTTAATCAGCGGAGAAGATTTTGCATGCGGGCTACCAGATGAAGTCACCAAATTGCAAAACCATCTGTATGCTGAATTGACGCAATCACAAGATAAAGCCTCGGACTGTGTAAAATCGTACACATTTACAATTAAAATTAGATAGCAAATTTTAGTTGACATATAAGCCTTAGTAGCACGTACCTGTTATTACAGAATATGGTGTACATTTATGTATATCTGTTTGTATTATAGTATCATATGTATTCAAATTTAATATATGGAGAGCTTCGCTACCAAGTGTATCAATTTACAAAAATTTAGAATTTCCAATATAAACTTCTTGATCGCAAATTTCTGTGAAATGATACTTAAAAGCACGTACTTTTTATTGTAGAATATGCAGTACGATTTCTTATATCTGTTTTAGTTATACTCAAATGTGTATATGATATGATGATTGGGAGTGAGAAAAAAAAAATTCGCACTAGCCCTGAGGCGCCTTCGTATCACGTACATTGGCTTATATCTCGTGAAAAATGCAATCTGTCGAGATAAGAGCTATTTCAATGAAATCAGTTGTCTTTGATTCTGTACCAGTATATGTGTTAAATTAAGAATCAAATATTTTTTTTTCAGTTTGTAATATTGGCATTATTTCACCATACAAAATTTTCTCAGGAAAAAGAGTACAAATGTTTTTTTAATTTACGACCATAACCTTCAATTAAACAACCGATTATGTGTGCTATACCTCAAACTAAGGTGCTGAACACGATTTGGATTGATGGAACTAAAATTGAGAAATTATCTCCTAAGCCTAGGGAAAATTGAATAAATTGGCCCCATATAAAATCTAACTCCACTTTCCTTATTCAAATCTGAGCATGATAAAATAACCCAGATTTGTAGTTTTTGTTCTAGGTGTTTTTTGAAATCGATTGTGTTGAGGCATTCAAATTGCAAAGTATTTTTTTATAGTGTTTCGAATTTGTTGAAATATTTCCAAACAATTATGGCGTTTTGAGCCCGTTACAGTTAGAGTATATAAGGTGAAATAAACCAGATTAGATGCTTTAAAAGTTGCTAGACGAGGTCTTAGTATTTATTATGTTGCAAAGAAGCGTTTTTATGCATTTTTCGAAAGAAGTATAAAACATTCAAAATTAATTTTCTGTAAATAGTACAACTGTCATTCTCATTTAAATTAATTAAGCTATTCATCAAGAGATTCTGACACCGAAATTGAGAAATTTTGAAATTTTCTGTTAATCATGGGGAAATTTGAAGTCGACTTTTCAAAAAATTTGACACCACACTTAACATTTAAACTGGAGCATGATGAAACTATTCAATTTTGTAGTTATGGCACGTAGATAAACGTAAGGATTTGATGTGTTAAGGAATTCGAAATTGAAAAAGTAGTTTTTCAAACGTTGTTCGAAATTTTTGCAAAACAATTTCGGCGCCTTAAAAGCACTATAAGTACAATTTTTGAGGCTAAATAAACCAAATCAGCTATATTGGAAGTTGCTAAACTAGGTCTATGTGATGTTTATCTCTTAATTTAGCGTTTTTTACCAATTGTTTGAAAATAGTTAAAACAATCAAATTTATGTTTAACCAGCACATAAAACACCATTTTACTCTAAGTCAAATTTATGTTGAAATAAGTTTGAGAATGAGAGCTTGAATATTGACGGAGTTATTCACATTTAATTTTCAAGATTAGCTATGATGAAACATCATATAATTTGTTTCAGAATATGCAAAGAAAGAATATATTTTTCAACGCGAAAAATTGGTGCGATAGAAAAATTTCTCGTGCAAGCTTCGGGGCCACTCGTACTAACCTCTTTGGCCTATATATCGCGAACAACGTAATTAAACTAGATAAATATCATTTTAATGAAATTAAAAATAAGGTTTGAATTATATATTCCGAATACCGTTGTTTTTCATCTTTCAAACATGGCATATCCACAACAGCTATACTACACCTTTCTTGATTGCCATCATCTATAAGAAGAGATGACTCTTTTCAGATTAACTTTTTAATTGGTTAAGAGATTGTTTCAAGCAGAAAGTTGTCAACAAAAGCGATGAAGCTCGAGCTATGTCCCATTACAGTTGGACTAAAAGTGGACAGATAGTAAATGCGTGTTGTTTTACGTAGTAAAAGATAAATTACACATTTCGTAAATATATATGCAGCAGGATTTCAAATTCATAAAAGGCTGAATGTTTATATATTAATTAATTGATATTACTTTGACGTATCTCATAAAAGGGGGTGTAAAATTTATATGCACATCGGTTAATAATAGAAAAATGGAATTTTCTATTGCTGTTTATTTTCCTAATTGGTAAAATTACATACATTTTGGGACAAAATATAAACAAATTAGGAACTTAGATAATGAAAACTCGACTTCCAAAAGCGCAATTAAAATGATAAAATCAATTTTGAGTTGGACTCAATTGTTGCAAAAAAGAAGAGATATAGAATATTTCTAGTTGAACAACAGTAATACATTCAAAAACCTCCTTACGTAGATTAATCAATGAATTCTATATTGCACTTGGTTGTAATGTGATGTTTATTATAATAACTTTAATAATAATATATTATTATTGCTTCATATTCAATGTCACCCTTTTTTATTTTAAAAGCAAAAAAAAAAAAAAAAAAAAAAAAAAATAAAATAAAAATAAATTTCATTTCACTTTTTTTCAAGTTGAATTTGATCAAACTTATTTTACTTTTACCAACAAGAACTTAACTTTGTTGTTATCTTTATAAATTAGATTGTCTTAATAGTCAATTCGATTTATTAATTAGTTTAATTCAGTTCAATTCAGTTCAATTCAATTCAATTTGTATTTCTTTATTTTATTTCATCAAGTAGCAAGTTTAATTATTATAATTTCATAATTATAATTTCACATCGAATTAATAATGTCATCTACTTATTCAGCATATAAAACAAGTGGGAAACCATTATCAGTTGAAGCTCAATATCATCAAAAATTAAAACAAGGTGTATTTAAATCTCCAAGTGGTACTATTGTCGGTGTAAATTCAAATGCTTCAGATACTGCAGCTTTACTTGCTGCTTCATCAGATTTAACTGTTAAACCATCATACGAACGTTCAGTTGCACCAGAAGCTCAAACTGCTGCATTAGCAGCTAGACGAGACAGTAAATCAAATACTTTAGCTTCAACTACTTCCTCAGATATTCCATCAACTACTATTCGTGTTGGAATTCCATCTTTAAATTCAAATTCAATTTATACGGCAGCTCATAAAAACTCAGCTTCATCAATGAAATTAAGAACTGATCCAGGTAAAGATAATAGAAGTGGTCTTCAATCAAAACAAGCGCCAGGCGGTTCTTTGAACATTGATAAAATTAATAAATTAGCTACTAAAAACTCTTCCAAATCATTAACATCAAGATTTAATCCTGATTTAGATTATAGATCTGGTTTAAAAAAGCAAAAACCCACTGAATTTTTAGATCAAGAAGAAGAAGATTTAGCCGCATCAGGTGCAGCTGCATCGTTAAAACATGGCGGACCAGATTTTTATTCAAATCAAACAAGATCAAATACTTTTAAAGCTGGAGATATAGTTAATTCAACATTATTAGCTGCAGCAAATACAAAAGCAAATGAAAAATTAAATTCTTTAAAGTCTACTACTCCAAAATCATTAAAAGAACAAGCTCAATTATATGCTAATGCTTTAGCTATTGCTCAAAAGAATTCAGATGAAAGATTGAAAACTCATCAATCAGGTTTAATCAATTTAGGTGGTGGTTTGACTATTACTCAAGCAGAATTGGATAAATTAGCACTGTCATATGTTCATCCAATCTTGGATGATATTGAAGGTAAAGCTGAATCTAAAAGAAGAGTGGATTTAGAAAAGAAACAAAAACAATTGGAATTGCAACAATTGCATGAAAAAGCTAAACAAGAAGAACAAGAAGCAAAATTAAAAGAAAAACAAGATATTGAAGCAGCCAAACAAAAACGTTTAACCGATAATGAACAAAAGAAGAAAGATGAAGATGATAAATTTACTGAACATCAAAAAGTTAGAAATGAAGAAGTTGATCAAAAAAATCAAGAATTGAAAGATTTGGAAGCTAAACATAATGAAGAAAAAGATGCATTATTAAAAGAAAAGGAAGAAAATCAAAAACAAATTGATGAAGAAGAAGCTGAAAAGATTGCCGAAAGAAAAAAAGAATTGGATGATTTACAAGCTGAAAAAGATGAAGAATTAAAACCTACTTTGGATGAATTATCAGAAGAAAATGCTAAATTGAAAGAAGTTACCGATGCAAGAGATGAATTAGCAAACGAAGTTAAAGCTTCTGAAGACACCAATAAGGAGTATGAAGATAAATTAACTGGGTTAAGATCAAAATTGGAAGAAACTAAAGGAGATATTGAAAAATATACAGCAGATCTTGAAGAATCAAAGACTAAACATGAATCTACAGACAAAGAATTGGCTGATTTACAAATTAAACATGATAATGAAAAATCAAATGCTGAATTAGAATCAAAAGATTTGGATTCAAAATTAGAAGATTTGTCAAAACAAAAAGAAGATCATACTAAATCAAAAGCTGATAAGAAAAAACAAATTTTATCAGGATTAGATGATAAAGTTAAAGATGAACATAAAATTAATCAAGAATTACCAGAACATTTAAGATCTGATGTTGATGATAAGAAAATCAAAGATACTAGTTCAATTTTCACAATTGAAAAATCTGAAGTTGCCAAAAAACCATTACATGAAGTGGCTGAAAAAGAAACAGAAAAACCAAAACCTAAAAAGGCTGATTTAGCATCTCCAACTCCAGTTAAAAAGCAAGTTGAATCTTCAAAACCAAAAGCTACCACTGCTACTGCAGCTAGTGGTTCTACAAAAAGACCAGTTACTCCTTCAGCTGCACAATCACCAACTAAAAAGAAGTCTTTTGGAAAAAGATTGAGTTCATTTTTTAAATCTTCATCTTCTCAACCAAGTCAAGCAACAACTAAACCAAAGACTGCTCCTGCAGCAAAAACTACCACTGCAACAAAACCTAAAGAAACAATTGCTAATAAATCATCAACAGCTAAAACACCTGAAAAGCCAACTAAACAAACATCAACAACCACAGCTAAACAACCTGCAGCTAAAGATGCTGAAAAGGAAGCTAAAAAGGTGAAAAAAGCTGATGGAGCTGATTATGACATTGATGATGAAATATCATTAAATAAGAAAAATCAAGGTGGTGTTTTTAAGGAAGAAATTTAAATTTCTTTGTAATATAGTTTGCCTTTACTTTTTGTTTATCGTTAATATATAATTTGAAGTTTTATTTATTAATTTCTATTTACATTAGGCTTCCAATCTATCACTCATATCAAAATCATCAGATAATTTAGTTCTCATCATTTCAAATACTAATAAAGCAACTGAAGTAGCAGGAATAGTACTTAAAGCATTTTTTACAAATCCACTATAAGCAGCTTCAAACCATGTAACTTTTGCTCTAGTTTTCATTCTATAAACTTGTTTGAAAGTATCTAAATATGAATTGTAATATAATTTAATAAATGGTTTATCATTAGTTTTTGAAGCATTATATATATCTAATGCTTCTAATCTTGATAAATGAATTTTTTGAACTTTTGTTATTGGATATTGTATAGCTAATAATGCAAATGCAGCACTAGCTCCAGCAACTAAAATAAATGAAGATTTTAAAATTTTCTCCAGTTTATATCTTTCCAATTTTTCCAATTTTTGATCAACTTGTTTTTCATTCCATTTAAAAGTTTTTTGTAAATAATGTTTAATCTTTTCTTCACTTTGTCTATAATAAGAAATCATTCTTGAAGTTATATAATAACCTCTAGTTTTAATAGTTTCAAAGGTTGAAAAATAAAATGCAAATCCTAAACTTTCTTTAATTAATGAAAATCCATATCCAGCGAAAACTCCAATTAAACCAATTTCTTTTAATTTATTGCAACCAAATACCCAAAGATTTTGATGAGAACCTTCCAACATTTCAGATACTGACAGTCTTGTATATATTGCATCTACTGGAGCTGCAGCTAATGATTGAGTTGCACCAGCTACAAACCCCGCTCTCCAAGTATCAATTGGAGAATACCAATTATAATTTATTTGTCTTTCTGTTAATTTTTCTCTTTGTTTATTATAGTGATCTAAAACTGTTAAATAAGTAGTATATAATACGATTCCAGTTGCTGAATTTGCAATTAATGGAGGTAAAACTTGATCAGGTATAAATTTCCAACCTTCTTTCTTTAAAACATTTATCATCATACCTATAGTTGAATGAGTTCTGAATCTATATGGTTTTTCCAGTAAATTATCATTTTTATCAGCAATTGCTTTTACATATGCTAAATAATCGAATCTTGAAGGTCGAAATAATTTTACTGGAGTTCTTAAGTATAATGCTTGGAGTTGATAAATAAAGGCTCTAATACCAGCAGCAGATAGCGATACAGCTTGATTACTATTTTTTTTATTAGAATCAATATTAATGGAATCGTTGTAATAATCTGTTGATAATGAATCATTTAGTATTGTATTGTATGAAAAAATTTGATTCCACTGTTGATAATTTGATTTCGGTATGAATTCGCTTTCTTTCATATTTTATTAATTGGAGATATTAGATTTATCAATTTTAATTGTATATTCTCGATTATTGACATTCATAGTTTGATTTCAGTTGAAAAAGGTGAAATGTTTACTTAAAAAAAAAACGAAATTCGCCATGCTTGAAGAGAAATTAATTTGGTAAAATAATACAAATCATCAACAAGTTCGTTATGTATACATTATATACTTCTTCTATAATAATTCTTAAATGATGTCCATGCTAATCTCCATTCCTTTTGATGTAATTTAGAATTGAAAACATCAAAATCATATTTTTCCAATTTCTTCAAATATAAATTTGTTGGAATATTAATCATAAATGGAATAAATAAAGCGTCTGGAATATCACCTCTCCATTTTGGATAATTTCCACTTATCAATCGACTATTAATCTCACCATTATTAACTTTATTTATAACTTCTTTAATTTCCAATTTTGATTTATTTAATTTATCACTTGCACTTAATAAATGATCATTAGCAGTAGTTGCCATTGCAAATACAATATTCTTTAATTTCTCTTTAATATCATTTGAATTATCATTATTATAACCTTGAAATAATTTTAATAGCTCTTCTTGAGATAATTCATTTTCATTCATTAAGTCAATTGGTAAAATTATTTGATTTCTTGATTTTGCATAATATTGTAATGCAATAATCATTGAACCAATAGCAGTAGCTTGACCTATATGAGCAGAAATATCACTTAATAAATTTTGTAAAATTTTTGAATTTTCTAATAATTCAATTGATGATGGAGATATTGACAGTGATAATAATAAACCTTGAGTTAAATAATTCAATTGAGAATATGTTCCTTCTCCATAACTACAAATATCATTAATAGATTTGAAAGTACCATTATTTTTAATAAATAATCTTCTAGTTTGTAAAAATTTTTGAAAACAGGTCAAATCTAAATTTAGATTATTATTTAAACCATCTTTTAACAAGATTGCAATTGGTTCACCAAAATCTAATTGATTTGAATTTGATGTAAAAACTTTTAATAATAAATCACTCCAAAATTTAAATTTTAAATCAGAAGTTGAAGCACCAAGGGTATTTGATAATTGATTTGATGCTTTATAAGCAATTGATTGAGAATTGGACCCACCTTGATTAATCTTATTAATTTCAAAATTAAAAGCTCTAATAGCTAAGAATGAATTTCTGCAAGGTTCAGGAATATAATGTGATATAATATATGATGATCTATCGTTCTCTTCAAGTAATTGATATAAATTCTCTTGAGCATTCAGTATAAGTAACTTAGTATTAGTAGTAGAATAGTATTTTAACCATATCTTGTTGTTATTGTTAATAGTTGATCTTGTAACATTCATGGATCAATTTTAATCAATATATAATGAAAAAAAAAAATGATTGCAAAATATTTCATCAAACTAATCAAAGTGATTTATACGAGATGATCATTGAAAATGTTGGTACTAAAGTTTATATGGATTTCAAATTAGATGATATTGTATTAGGTAGAGTAGTGCTACAATTATATGATGATTTAGCTCCATTATCAACTAAAAATTTTATGAATTTATGTCAGGGTATTTCAATAGATGGTCAATATTACAGCTACAAGAATTCATTTATAGACAAAGTTATCAAGAATTTTATTATTCAAGGTGGTGATTTAAATGGAAACATCTCAACAATTTACGAATCAAATACAACAAAATCAATACCTGGTGAAAATTTAACTGATGATTTCAATGAACCTTTTAAATTATGTTTAGCTAATAATGGTAATATCAATGAAAATGGTTCACAATATTTCATTACAACATTTCCTCAACCTCATTTAAATGGTAAAAATTCAATTATTGGTCATGTACTACATGGTAAATCAATATTACGAGAAATTGAAAAAGTATCAACAAACAAGGAAAACACTCCAGTTTCCAAAATTGAAATTATAGATTGTGGAACTTGGAAAGATGGTATGGATGTTCCTATTTTTAATGCTAGTTATAATTCAATAGGCGGTGATATATATGAAGAGTATCCCGATGATGATAGTCATATAAATCATAATTCTTCAGAATCAGTCTATAATGCAGCTAATATAATTAAAACGAGTGGTACGTTATTATTAAAAAAGAATAATCCAAAAGAAGCCTTCCTAAAGTATAAAAAATGTCTTAGATATGTTTTGGAATTTATACCTGATCAAGATCAAGAACCACAATGGTATGAAAAATATCTAGAACTAAAAAAAAAATTATATTTAAATCTAGCTTTAGTTTGTTTACAATTGAAAGAATATAATAAAACTGTTGATTATTCAAGTTATTTACTTGATATGAATAATATTTTAAAACAAGATAAGGCAAAAGCTTTATATCGAAGAGGTATAGCATACATTGAGTTGAAAAAATATAAACAAGCTATAATGGATTTAAAAGCTGCTCAGACATTAATTCCAAACGATGAGAGTATAGCTAACAATATTCAAAAAGTTGAACAATTACAAGAACAAGTTAAACAACTGGAAAAGGCAAAATATGCAAAATTTTTTGGATAAGTATGGATGCTATTCAAGTTGATATATTATGAGAGGTAAGGATGATATTTTGAGTTTTGAGGTAGTTTCAAAAGCTAACGAAGCAACATAGCTTTTGAAGTTTCATAATATAGGTATTGTTATATATAGATGCAAATTTATAAAATGCGAAATGCAAAATGCTATAAATTAGTCATATGGATCATAAAATAAAAATTGTAAACTTAAACCTTCCATAATTTCTATTATTCATTGGATGCATGCATAATCGTTATTGTCTGGTTGATTCAGTGGATCATGAAAATTTTCTATTATTTCTCTGATTAGTCATTAGAAGCATGATCGTTATTGTCTGAAGTTGGTGGATCATCAAATAAAGATTGTAGATTTAAACCTTCAATTTTAAATTAGTCATTGGAAGCATGATCATTATTATTAGGTTGAGTTGGTGGATGATCATCAAATAAAGATTGTAAATTAGAGCCCTCAATTATCTCTTCGCTAATAACTTCATCAGAAGTATTATTTACCCGCCTACTCATAATCCCCGAGGGAAATAAATTTGAACTTGATCCTCTCATATGTTCAAATATTCGACTAACATTAGGAAAATTGAAAAATGAACTCGATCTTGTCTCTGTTGATTCTGTATTATTATTATTATTATCATTATTATTATTATTATTATTATTATTATTATTATTATTATTATTATTATTATTATTATTATTATTATTATTATTATTATTATTATTATTATTTGAGTTTAATCTAAAATATTGAACTCTTGAACCACGATTTAAATTTAAGATATTTGAGTCATCATTTGAAGTATCTGTTGAAATATTTCCATTTCTATTATATAGATCATATGGGATTGTGAATACTGTAACATGTCTATTATCTTGATTGTTTGATGATTGATTATTTGATGTATCTTGTATTTTAAATCGACATAGCGGACATGTAATATGATTTTTTAGCCATTCAAATAAACAATCTTGTCCAAATATATGATTACATGGTAACTTTATAGGAATATGTTCGAATGATTCTTTATAATCTAGTAAATAAATTGGACCTTGATTGGAAGTCGTTGTTGTCGTTGTTGTTGATGATGGTGCTTCTGTTCTACTATTTTGAAGTGTAGATGATGCTTCAGTTGTTGGTGCAGTTACTCTAGACGATGCTTCAGTTGTTGATTCAGTCACTCTACTATTTTGAACAGTAGATGTAGCAACAGAATCTTTATTATTCATCCTTCTTCGTTTAGAAATCACCACATCATTAACAACTTCCTCTTCTTTTTCATTCAATTTTTGAAACTCTTCAAAACATATAGAACAAGATGTAGAATTATTATTCAATTTCAATTCTTCAAATGTTACAGGTGGTAATGATTTGAATTTTTCAACAGTTAAACCTTTTTCATCATGCATACCATTTATAATTGATGAATAAGCCATTTGAGTAGCTAATCTTATAAATTCTTGAATAACTCTTGGATCTCTATTATTTTCATTATTTGGTAATGATAAAACTAATGAACCTGATCTATTGGGACTATTTGGTCTATTTTCATCCGAAAATAGATAATTTACAGTTATGACTATTGCTCTTGAATCAGTAGAATTTGTAGTTGATCCTGAGTTTGAATCTGATGAAGGTGGAGGTGGTTGATTATTGTCACTAGGTGCCGTTTGATTATTGTTACTAGTTGTCGTTGTTTGATTATTTGCATTCGTGTCTAATGTACTTTCCATGATATTATTAGCTGTAGTTGATGCTGTAGGTTGCAGATTTGATCCTTCAAGATTTAAGTTGTTATTACTATTAATATTGTCATTATTGTTATTATTATCACTATTATTATTATTATTATTATTATTATTATTGCCGTTGTTATTCATTTTGAATGATTCATTCAACCAATATTTAATGAAATAAGTTCCAAGTTTCTCTAATAAACTCCAAAATATGATATTATAAGAAATAATAAAGTACTTAAATTTATCTATTACTATTGTTTATAAGTGTTACTTCAATAAGTTGTTTAACGGTTGTTCAATTTGCCTTCTATTACTAATTTATTTGAATTGTATATTTTTTTTTTTTTTTTTTGATTTATTATTTTGCAACTATTTAAATAGTGACTATACAGAATGACTATACAGAATGACTACGTACGGATGTAAAATGCTATAAGAATCAACGTAAGGATGAAACAAACAAACAAGCAAACAAACAAACAAACTCTACAGTTCTTTGAACAAACTGACAATAACTGACTATATATATATACACATATATAAATATATATAAACTCAATCTAACTTATTTTAATTCTATAAATCTATAAAAAATAATAGCATAAACATAATCCACTAATTAATAATTTTTTTGATATTGATAAAATATTTGAATTTGATTCTCTAGTTGATGAAGAAGAAGAAGATGAAGATGAAGATGAAGATGAACCTGAAGATGATTGACCAGAAGAAGCAGATAATCCAGTTGTATTTTGTCCTCCGGCTCTTGGTACTTCATCTGTTATAATTTCGATATCTTCATCATTAGTATAATAAGCTTGAGCTAAATGAACTTCATAATCATCTAAATCAAATACAACATAAGCACTTCTTAAAATATTATCACCAAATAACATATAAGTACTTGTTGAACTTTGTTCAAACATACCTAAAATACATTGATTTGAAGAAACTTGTAATGTCAAATCGGAAATTGGTACTTGAATAGTTTTATTACCAAACTGAATATCTACTCTTCCATCCGAATTTAATAAATTACAACTAACAATATAAGCACCAACACTTTGAGAATATTGACCACCAATAGCTTGACCTATTGCATTTAATGTATCAGAAAATACATAAGATAAAGTAGAACCAGTATCTAAAACAACACCAACAGAATCAGTCAATACATCAGTTTCAGTACCATCAGAACTTACAGTTTTCATATTACTTACTTCAACTTCAGTTCTAACAGGATAATTTATAGTTTGATAAGTTCTTAACATTGGTAAAGTTTCTAAAGTACCTTGATATTTTGCATGATCAACAGCGCCAAATAAAATTGAACCTTCTCTTGCATCTGCTTGATTTAAATATACCGAAAATGCAGATTTATTAATAATACCTTGATTTCTTAATTTTAATGGTAAATTTTCATACATATAACCATATTGAGTAGTTACTTCTAAACCAGGTAATCCAATACCTAAAACTCCAATATCAGAAGAAGTTCTATTTGCTATAGCAAATGATAAATCATTAACAGTTATATTTGAAATTGAAACATCATCATGACCCCAAATTCCTGAAGCTTCAGTACCATCAGCATATTGAATTTGAAAACTATCAGTATCATTTCTTGTAAAAGTATCCGAATTACCAGTATTGAAAGAACCATGAGAAGTACAAGAATTTGAACCAGAATTACCATTACCACCACTATTACCACCACCATTTCCAAATGGAGAATAAGTTGGATTTGAACCAGGGCCATCAGTCATATAAATAGTAGTAAAAAAACCTAATTTATTTTCATCATCATCAATTAAAGTTTCAGATTTTGTTGGATCAAGATTTACATCTTTTTTCTTTTTTAATTGTTGAAATTGTTTTTCATAATATTGTTTAGAATTTAAAACACCAGTACCTTGATTAAGCAAATTAATATGAATTTTTTCTTCAAGATTTTCATCCGCGTCCGCATCGGCCGCATCGGCCGCGTCGGCCGCGTCGGCGTCGGCGTCGGCGTCGGCGTACGCATCTTTTCTTTTTTGATATTGATTTGACATACATTGTAAATCATGAGACATTACCCATAAATCAGAAGAACCAGTATCTACCAAAACATTATTTTTATCTTTATTTGTACCAATTTCTAAAGTAGCCATATAAAAAGTTTGTTGATTTGATAAAATCATAGTAAAATCACCACTACCATCATCATCATCTCTTTTAAATAATTTTGGAGAATCATCATCTTCAGGAGAAATATTTTGTCTTGATTCACCTCTTCTGACTTTAAAATCTATTTTAAATAAATTATTATCTTTACCGTTATTATTATCTAAATCAATTGGTTTATAAGTTAATTTTGCCAAAATTAAAGAAGAATAAAAAAATAATAATTGATTAATTAGCTTCATAATAAATAATAAATAATGAACAATAAATAAGAGTGGTGGTAACTTAACTTAACTGTTGAGAAATGAAATTATGTAAATGTAAATGTAAATGTAAATGTAAAAATCGTAGGGCAAGTAAATTATTGATTTATTGATTTATTGATTTTTTGATTTTTTGATTTTTTGATTTTTTGATTGAGTAATTAGTTTAATTTAGTTTAATTTAGTTTAGTTTGACTTTGATATATTTGAAGTTGATTAAGTAGTATTAATTATTAATAATAATAATAATAAATAATTGACTATGAATAATAAATAAAAAGATGAGTAATAAAAATTAGAAACTTGATTATTGATTATTGATTATTGATTATTGATTATTGATTATTGTTATATAACTTATGGTTGTTCGTATTCCTATAAATATATTGTTGTAAAAAAAGATGCAATAATAAAAGTTGAATGAAAAAAAATATAGAATAGAAAAAAATGGTAGCAACAAATTTTTGATTTTAAAGTGGAAAAATAATGTCTATTTATATATTTACGATTAAAGATAAAAAATGACAACAAGAAAAACAACGACAATGACTGCGACAATGACAATGACAATGACAATAATGACAACTATTACTATTACTATTACTATTACTATTACTATTACTATTTCTATTACTATTACTATTAGTTTACGGAGGCTAAGAAATTTATATAATATATATAGATATTGCGGAATAAGAAAAATCTAAAAAAGAAAGGATAATACTAATAATAATAATAATAATAATAATAATTCAACACTAATTCAAATTTAAATTTAGACTGAACAGTTAAAATCTTATATGATTATTATTATTATTATTACTATTATTAGTATTACTATTATTATTATAAACTATACATTAATTAATAGTGTTAGATCAATTTGAATAATGAGATCAATTTGATAATTAACTACTAATATTTGTTTCAGTTATAAAATCGGATATAATTTAATTAAACAAGGGAAAAAAAGAAAAAAGAAAAAAGAAAAAAGAAAAAAGAAAAAAGAAAAAAGAAAAAAAAAAAAAAAAAAAAAAAAAATAAAATTAAAAAAAAAAAAAAAATAAATAGGCGCAGAGTTTTTTGTTTTTTAATGATGTCGATTTCGATTTCGATTTCGATTTCGATTTTGATTTCTAATGACGTAAAATATTAATCAATTAAATTATTGTTTTGTTGTTTTATTGTTTTATTGTATTATTGTATTAATACGATTGATTTTGATTTAGATTTAAATTTTGATTTTGATTTTGATTTTGATCTGTATTATTAATAACCTAACATCTATAGAAATATATATATACTGTAGTATCCTATTCTATTTTTAAGGACCTTAATTTTCTAACATAATACATAAAAATCAACTAAAAAAAAAAAAACAGATCGAGGCAATGTACTTAGATTTAGTGATCAAGTAGATAATTAAATAAATTAGATCAAACAATTAAACTGGGGAGTAAAAAAGAAAAAACAAGACCTAATGCAAAAGAAGGGGGACAAATAATCTACTCTAAGGGGCTAAGAGTTTATTTAATGTATGTATGTATGAATGTATGAATGTATGAATGTATGAATGAATGAATGAATGAATGATTCGGTTTCAAGATTTCAAGACTTTTTTTTTTTTTTTTTCTTGATTTTTTACTAATATTATTAATCACATCTATAATTAGAAATTAGAGTAATGTTACTAATGTTACTTTGTATTCACCAATAAAATACAAGAAAATCCAGTGTAAAGGTTATGAAACAAATAAAGAAAAAATTAATCATTTTTAATCATTTGGTTGTTTTTATGTTAAATAAAGAAAAAATTAATCATTTGGTTGTTTTTATGTTAATCCATTTACTTACTTACTTCTCTTTGAAAGAAACATTATTGATTATTTGTATGATTATTATTATATGCAAGTAATTTAATTGTAGATCATTAATTATCATTTATATTCATTGAATCAATCAACTTTTTAGTTACTAGGTTTTTTAAATGATATATTCTCATTCAATTAATTATAATAATACTAATAATAATAATACTAATAATAATAATACTAACAATAATAATAATAAGGTCTGATCTTGTTATTTCGGAAAAAGGTTCGATTTCAGATGTTATAACTTAATTTTTTTTTTGCGTGTCTTAAACTAAAATCTAAATTGAATCAAACTTGAAACAAAGTTGAATCAAATTTAAATCAAAGTCGTGTTTCAGAATCAAACTTGAATCAAAGTCGTGTTTCAGAATTGCGTTATATTACGCGCTCATAACCGAAAAAAGTTTATTTTTGTGTAATATTATTTCTCGTATAATTTTAGCGTTAATACAATATGCATAATAGAAGATCTAAACATTCATAGATCTAGAATCAAAACAACTATACTTTATTGATATTCTTCAATCAAGAGTTTAATCTATAAATAATTTTATTTATTACAACTCCATTAATCTATAGATAGTTATACTTTATTGATATTCTTCAATCAAGAGTTTAATCTATAGATAATTCTATTTATTACAACTCCATTAATCTATCTAATAATTTAATTTAATTGAATTTAATTTAATTTTCTCTTCTTACTTGAATTATATCCATTAATTTCATCATTAGTCAAATTTGAATCATTCATAATTGCTTTTTGTCTAGCATTTGATAATTTATTTTTAATGTCAATTACTTCTTCTTCTTTTTCTTTTTCTTTTTCTTCTTTCTCATTATTTAATTCAAATTTGTTAATTTTTAATTTATGCGGTGGTGGAGTCGTTGTCATTATTACATCATCATCATCATCATAATCATAATCATCATTATCATTATTATTGTCATTAGCGTAAATTTCTTTAATATCGTTATTTAGAACTTTTTTCTCATCATTTGTTCCTCGTGAATCTTTCAAATCTATAAAATCCGGGGTAGTTGATTTTGAACCATTTGCTTGATCTATTTTATTTTTATTATTATTATTATTATTATTATTATTATTATTATTATTATTATTATTATTATCATCTTCTATTTCAATAATCTCTTGACTACCTTTTGTTTTGTTGCGACTACTACATTCGAAATCTCTATCATTTTTAATTTGATTATTTCCATTATTATTACTTTTAGTTTGATAAAATTTTTTCGGATCAATTGTCATTTTATTAACACCATTTAAAATATTAAATTCTCTATATTTAGGTCTAATATCATTTGAACAACTACTTGAATTTTTTCTAACATCTAATTCTAACCATTCTAAATATTTAAATTTAATTGATTCAATTAATTCATTATCTGATTTATCCTTATTAGTGTTAATTACATTTAAAAGTTCATTCAATAATCCCTTAGGTAAATATAATAATTTTTTTGGAAATATTTCATTCAAATATGTTATAATTGGATCTGCAATTTTTTCAAATTTAAAATGATCATCTAATCTACTATTTGAAAATCTTTTCTCATAACATTCTACAGGATCTGATAATTCATTAATATTCCTTTCTTGATGAATTTCAATCACATCATCATCTTGAATAGTTGGAAATGCATTGACTAGAGTTTCACTTGATTCAACTTCTTTTTTAGTTTCTTCTTTAGTTTCTTTTTTAGTTTCTTCTTTAGTTTCTTCTTTTTCAATTTCATCTTTTTCAACTTGTTCATTATTTTCATCCGGTTTATCTTGTTTATCTTGCTTCTCTTGTTTATCTTGCTTCTCTTGTTTCTCTTTTTCTTCTTCTTTTTCTTCTTCTTTTTCAATACTTGTTTCTTGTTCATTTATTGGATTTTGTTTTTTATGTAATTCTAATAATCTATTAATCCACAACTTCCTCTCTTTATTTCTTTCTTCAGCTTTAAATACACTTCGCACATTATTTACCCCATGTTTTTTCCAAAATGATTCACATTCATTAATATTATTTAACCATTTTCTAACATTATAAATAACATGAATACCACAATCATTAAAATTATTTTGTCGCGGTACTCTTGCATGAATAACTCTAATTCTATCCTTTTCAATATTTAAATTATGCTTATCTTTACAATAATCAATTATAAATCGTTTTAAAGGTTCTTTAACACTATCTCTTTTAGCACTAAGTGAATCAAATACAAATATTTCACTAAATATTTTTTTTTCATTCCCATTTCCTTCTTTTATTGATTTTAATAAATTTGGTAAATTTCGAATTATACAACAATACCAATGTAAATTTTCAATTATTGGAATTATAATATATGAAAAACTCATTAAATCAATTTTTGAAACCCATCTTTTAATATTTTCATAATATGAATTATTTGATTTTAATTTAGGGTAAAAAAATGAATTAAATGCAAATATTTCATTTCGTTTAATTATATTTTCTTCTATTGCTTTTTCAATATCATATTTTATACAAAAATCCATAATCATATCATTTATCCAATCATTATTATATAATGTACGAAAATCATGAAATGAAATAGAAAAATTTTTAGAATCTGGAAAAGTATATTCTAATGGTGGTGAAAAATTAGCTGGGGTTTCAAATGGGACAAAATCTTGATCTTTAAAAAGAGAACCAGAATTTGTGCTCTCATCATCATCATCACCATCATCATCATCATCTAAATCAACAACATTCGTATCCAAGTTAATGTATCTCTGGGGTGTTCTTCTTGATCTTGTTGTTCGTTTAAGTGGCATTGTATTAATATCAAAATCAAAATCAAATCTTACATTTTTTGTATCTTCATCATATATTCCTGTTGTTATTATTCTATTATCTATTTTTTTTAATGCTGGTTGTGATAATGTTTTATCATGTATAACTTTTTCATTTGGATGACTTTTAAAATAATCTCTAATTTCTTCATCTCTACCATAATGATTAATCATTAAATAATTACCATTTAATAATTCCAAAATAATTGAATTCTCACTAAATAACAACTTCTTTAACTGTGTTTCAATATTAATCACAAAATTGTCCACCGGTTTATTTTTATTACTTATATTTAACCAATTTCCATTTTTTGAAATTTGTAAAGTATATGAATTTAATTGATTTGTACGATAAATTTTTTTATCTTTTGATTTTGTAAATGATTTAATTTCAATAAATGCTACTGGATAATCACTTAATTGATTTTGTTCAATTGAAATTAAATTTCCAAAACAATCTAAAATTTTATCAGTATGTTGGTTATCATTCAAATTGGCTAATCTTTCTCTATTCAATTTTGTTTTTTCTAATTTATGATTTATCGAAATATCTGAATCCTTTGAATCATTTGAATCATTTGAATCATTATCTGAATCTTTAAAGAATGTAGTAGATAATAATGTCTTTCTAGGTTTTGGTTCTGTCATGGGCGATGAATTATTTGGCGAATTATTTGGGTAATCTTCTTTCGGTATTTCTATTTTCTTTGGAGTTAAATTATTAATTGGATTAAATTTACCATTTATATTTATTTTACCTTTTTTATTTCTTGACATTACTGATGTAAATTTATTTGGATCAATTGACTTATATTTTGATTTACCACTAATTGATGAATCTTGTGATGATGACATTAAATAAATGAAACTTTCTTCTAATTAAACAATAAATAACATAAGATTAAATTAAACTATCAATATCACCAAGTATATCCCTAACATACGATTCAATATGAATAACTATCAATATCACTAAGTCTATTCCTTCGTTAATGTACGGTGCAATACTATACTGAAATGGAATAGAATGAATACTATAAATTTTTTTCTATGTATTGAAATCAATTTCGTAAAAACTATCAAAGGCGCTACCAATTGGATGTCCAAAAAAAATGACATTGGATCATTACACTCTTTTTAACAGAATGATGAGTAATAGTACGGCTAAAAGAGACATATCAATATCTAAATCATTATCATATTTACTTAGACACGGAGCAGAGAAAGAAAATTTATCAATTGATGAATCAGGATATGTTAAAATATCACAACTATTAAATCATCAAAGATTAAAAAGTTTTAAAACTACATTCGATGATATTAGTCGAATTGTAAAGATTAATGATAAACAAAGATTTCAAATCAAGGACGATTTAATATGTGCTACTCAAGGTCATTCAATGAAAAATATAAATAATGAAAATTTACAATTATTAACTAAAGAAGAGTTAATCAATCTCCATGTTTACCATGGAACTACAACTTCAAAACTTTCGATTATTAAATCTTCAGGTGGTCTTTCAAGAATGAATCGAAATCATATTCATCTTACATGTAAAGAATACTGTACGGTTTCAGGAATCAAAAAACAATCGAATGTTTTGATATTTATCGATATTAATAAATGTTTAAATCAAGGAATAAAGTTCTATAAAAGTTTAAATAATGTTATATTAACTGAGGGTGATGAACAAGGTTATATTAAATGGGATAATATTGAAAAGATTATACAATTGAATAATACTCATAATAAGGATAATTTGCAAGGTATAGAATTGAATAAAGATGAGATATAATATATATTATCTATGTCATTATTTACAAGTGTTTGATGCATCCTTACATTGTATCTCTTACATTGTGTCTGCATCCTTACTATCTGGCATCCTTACATTGTATCTCTTACATTGTGTCTGCATCCTTACTATCTGGCATCCTTACTCAATTTAACAGTTTTCGCATTCGATAAACTTCCCATTTTTTCTTTATGATTTTGTTTAATTGTTTCATTATCGCCTAATTCAATTTTATCATGAAAATTTAATAAATATTTCCCATTATTTTGTTTTTCACCTTGAACTAAATTTTCAATAAGGAATTTATTTATATCTTTCAATTTTTGAAGACCAATTTGTATTTCATCATTTGATTGATTTTGATTCTTACTTTGTTTAATTTCTTGTTTTATTTGTAGTCTTGCTGCTTTTAATACTGTTATATCATTATGGAATGCTATTCTAGTAGCTCGAAGTGCTTCTCTATATACTTTTAATGTTGATAATGACATTGAAGATTTGGTTTGGTAGGGCCAATATAATTTTTTTTTTTTTTCTTTCTTTCAATTATCACCAGAATAATCAAAATTGGACTCTAAGGTATTGGCTGTTATTAGCAGGGGCAAGCTGAATTCTAATGGCTCTAAAGGAGGATATTGATTAGATAGGTGAAAGATAGTGTGGAATTAGTGTAACATCCTTGGACAGAATTTGATTTTTTTGTAATGATGATAAAGTATTGGCCGTGGTTGTCAAGATTCAATGGAAGGATGTTTTCTAATGTTGATCTTTAAATTAAAGTAGACTTAACTGAATAGAAGTATCAAAGTTGTTTTATCATTATTAATTCCAATGAAAAAAATTAAAACTGGTTAAGTAATGATTTTGAGTTATATGAGTCAACTTGCGCAAGGAGTTTATTAAAGGAAAAGATTACTTTAGATGGCGATAGTAGCATTATTTTCATTGAAAATTGATGCTATTTTTAATTACCTAGTATGTATGTGGTATGATTCCTTGTCAAATTGGACTTGCTAATATAAACATTTTTCAGGAACGAATTCAACATCATTTCCAAGCACATTGTGCACCTCCAAATCAATAACTATTATTTGGATTAAGGTAAACTACTAGTCTGGTTTAAAGAGCAGCTACCTCAACATTTTAACGGCTCAAAATTAGCATCAACTTCAAAGAATTCTAAAAATATTTTAGGTTCAGCTCTAAACCAGTCAAATTAGAGGCATTCTGAATCATTTTTTTTGTATGGATCAAATATAGTCTACCTTCAATGCAATCGAAAATAACATAATCTGAATCTTGACCTGATTCGGAGTATATCATAGAACTATTGTTTGGAGTTTCATCAAGCATTTTGAGAGAATAAGTTGTGTAGTTTTGTATAGATAACTGATTGTACCAAGTGGGATAGTGCAATCAGTTCATTTTAGAATCATTTATCAAGAGTTGATTAGATGTTTTTCAATATGGAATGTGAATGACATGATTTCCATTCATCAAATGATTTCATTATGTACTTAAAATCCGGAAACCTTGTACATTAGTTTAAACTTATCAAGATTATCAATTTAATTAAATTTGGAATTTTATTTTTAAGAATATTTTGAAGCAACTTTAAATTAAGTTAGTTTTAAAATGTTTTTAAAAATTACTAATCGGATTCATTGAGTTGAATATTGGTGGTAGTCAACGTGGTATCATAATGCATCATTGATTAGTCTTTACAATTTCATGCTTGAAGAACAAGTGGAGCTACTCCGATTATTAATTATAAATTGAAAACTATTTACAAACTACTCAGCATCAATCCATATGTTTTTGTTTTTTGTATAATGAGAGAGATTCAATGAATCAAAAAATCAATTAAAGTATCACTTGGAAACCAATTTCTTTTAGTTCAATTAAGTGAATCTTTCCAGTTTAAAGTTGATGGGGTTTCGATGTTTGAAGCTTGAATAATTTCCATAACCTTAATGCAAATAACTTCATGCATTTTCAATTTATTTCTTGATTTAGTTCTAATTTTGATTCTTTCGAATAAACTAAATGGATTATCAACTTGATTGATTAAATTTATAGCATGTTTATCATGTTTTTAATTCAGCTTTTTTAAGGTAAATTTGCCACATTATAGACTGAATAATCACTTTTATACAAATAATTAGATAAACAAGTATCCTCATAACAAGAAACTAAAAAATTTGAATTCAATGTATTTGTATTCAGATATTTGAGTTCGTAGTAGCATTATTAGTCGATTTTTTTTAAATGCGCATATTTTTGTTAGTGTTTCAGATGTCCCAAAAAGGAAATTTGCTATTTTTATTAGCAAAATCTAAAGTATATAAATAAAATATGAGTATTAAGGCATCGTTAGTGGAAAATAAATAGATCAGAATATGGAATGATTCCGCAAAGATCAAGAATTTGATAATGAAGAGTCTAATGAAACATCAAAATTGAAGAAACTCCAATATTCAGCAAATTAAGTCTATCATTACAAAAATTATAAATTTATTAAAAAATGTATGCATTTTAAATATATGATATGTCTATTCTATATTTACCTCAATTGTATACTTGCTTGTAATCTAAAACATCCTTACGTTCGTGTATGTCTTGCATCCTTAACTGCATCCTTACTCTTCTTCATTTTCTTCACTTATATCCAAGGAAGCAAAATTATAAAATCCTCCGCCAGCAAAGGATGAAGATGAATTAGACAATGAACTTGATCGTTTATGCAAATATCTATTAGAATTAACATTAACCGGCACTGAAAACTCAACCTCGGTATCATTTATTGGATCAATAATCGAATTTGTACTTTCTCCAAAAGTGGTTGCTGTGGGAGTAGTTAATGGAGAACTTATAGTTGGAGAAGAAAACGTCAATTTATTATTTAACTTCTTATTTGGGAATTGAAATTGTGGATATATTGGTGGTCTTGAATTTGGTGTAGGTAAATTAGGTGGAGTAGGTAAATTACTCTTTGGCATTTTTGAACTTGGTTTTAATACAGATGTGGAAGATCTTGAGAAGTAATCGCTTGATTCATTTAGTGGGGAGGATATCATGTATGGATCATTTAAACTTTCTGTTGAGCTTGTGGAGTATCTATTTATACTTTCTTCTGAGTTTAGTGATGATGTGTTTGAATTTATTGATATTGTCGATGAGGAAGAACATGAATATACTTTTTTGTTCCTGAATGAAGTCAGTGGAGGTTGAAAAATATTCACACTATTATTTCTATTAAGTTTCCTAATTGTTAAGTGTTGATGATCTGAATCTTCATCAGATTCAATTGAGTTTGTTTTTGTTGTAAAAAATGGTTGATCCAATGATATTGTATTTGCTCTAGTCAATCTAGTGGTTGAATCTATAACTTTCAGATTTGATTTTTGTCGTTTTATAACCCTTTCATTCACATTTGTAGAATATGATTTTGATCTATGATGATGTAGGTTAATTTCGTCTTCAGATTGTGACATTAAATTGAATGATTTTGCCCTTGTTAATAATTTATCAGATCTTCTTACTTTATTCATATTTATCTCACATTGTAACTTATGATTTATATCTTTCATTTCTATATAATTTTGAGGATGACATAATTTAGAATATTTATTATAAAATTGTTTATATCCACCATCTAGAATAACTATATCTGGATATGATAAATATGGATAAACATGAGAATTTAATTTGCGATCCATTTTTCTTAAATGATTAGCCATTATGGGACATCTAAGTATACTAAACTCACAATGGAAGATAATCAACTGATTCTTATTTGATTCAGATTTGTTATTTATGAATATATCTTCTAGTTTTTCTTTACTTGATACATTTAATGCATTAATTATATGTCCCCCTTCAAATTCATAATCAAATCTACAATCAACAATTAAAAACTCATCAAATTCAGAATTATGATTTCCGGAAAGAATCTTGTATAATTGGTCTTCATTAATTCGTGGTAATAAATCATTTGAAACTTTGAAAGTCTCAATTGTTGAATTTTTTAAAATTGAATTATCTTCAGTTAATGTAAAATTTTCAAAATCTTTTGATGTTTGACACATTGAATGAAATCTTCTAATTTTTAATCCTTGTGGTGATGAAGTTATAGTAGGTTGAGAATTGAGAATTTCATTATCATTTGTTGTTGTTGTTGTTGTTGTTGTTGTTTTTCTTTGAATTGGTGATCCAAAATTTATTGTCTCAAATGTATCTTCTTGATATTCTTCATCATCATCACCATCATCATCATCATCTGTTTCTTCAATATTTTTTGATTTATTATTATCTTCTCTTGGTGAGCTGGTAAATTTTGCCATATGTAAGTTTGCAAAGAAATTTTGTGACAGTTTTGAAACGGCTTCAGACATTGATTTTGTTAGATTTTTAGTATTTTTCTTGATTGAATTTGGTAAATTTGATAAATTTTTAAAAGGAACTCGGTTAAATAAAGGTGAGGAATCACTGATGATATTTTCTTTACCAATGCTTAATTGACCTTTACTATAGTTATTTTCCTTACCAATGCTTAATTGACCTTTACTATAGTCATTTTCTTTATCACTCAATTGGTCTCTGGAATTGTTTCGGTTCTTCAATTTATCATGCCGTGGGGTCGATAAAATGCAATTGTTGAAATTCTGTGAATTCAAATCGCCAGGATTTAAATATTCATTATCATTATCGTTATCATTATCGTTATCATTATCATTATCATTATCAATATCATTATCAATATCATTATCAATATCATTATCATCATCATTTTTATTATTATTATTATCCATTAGTTCTAAATATAAACTATCAGGTCTATCCCTTTTAAACCTTAAATTTGATGTACCATTTTTTGTAGATGTAATTGTATTAAATGAATTTAAATCATTATAATTCATGACGACCAATGACCGATTTCAATTTACAACTTTCCAATGTAATCTAATGAATATATAAATGGATATATAATTAATTGGTTGAATATGCGTTTGCAATAATAATATAATATAATAAATTTTTTTCTTATTATTTTTTTTCCTTCTACTTTTAGATTTTTCAATATTTGTTTATTTTTGTTTATGTTGCTACCAAGTGGAATTTCATATTATATGGATGATGTTCCATTGTTACTACAAACAAATATTCGTGTAGTTGTTGATTTGAGAGAGATAGATAGATAGAGAGGCTAGATTTCACATCAATTGTTACTCTCCTCGAGCATTTTATCAATAAATCGCTTCTTGCTTCTATTACTTTGATTTGTAACAAAATCAAACGTCAGTTTCCATTTTCTAATACCTAAACGTATATGGTGTTCTTAAAATATTAGTTTGAATCAAGTAAGTGTACTGCTTAGCATTCATACACGTTCGAGCAATCGATTAATTTACCATGGAATCCTGAGAATTTTTCACATCCTTACAATAATCAGTTGATGAAATTTCAGGTTCCATTTCTATTGTTTATTACAAAATATAACATAAATAAACATTTCTCGGTTTAGCGCAAATGTTGCAAAAAAACAAAACATTTCCCGATTTAGCGTAAATGTTGCAAAAAAATAAAACATTTCCCGATTTAGCGCAAATGTTGCAAAAATGTAAAATATTTCCCGATTTAGCGTAAGTGTTGCAAAAAAGCAAAACAATTCCCGATTTAGCGCAAATGTTGCAAAAAAACAAAACATTACTTGATTTGGCATAAATGTTGCAAAAAATAAAACATTTCCCGATTTAGCGCAGACGTTGCAAAAAAATAAAATATTTCCCGATTCAGCGCAAATGTTGCAAAAAAATAAAACATTTCCCGATTTAGTGCAAATGTTGCAAAAAAACAAAACATTTCTCGATTTAGCGCAAATGTTGCAAAAATGCAAAATATTTCCCGATTTAGCGCAGACGTTGCAAAAAAAGCAAAACATTTCCTGATTTAGCGCAAATGTTGCAAAAAAGTAAAACATTACCCGATTTGGCATAAATGTTGCAAAAAAATAAACAAAAAAAATCAAATATCATCATCAATTAGCATATACTTATATTCAATTTAAACTATTTAAATACTCATCCATCCCCTTTATATTCCGTATTTCTGAATCATCAAATATCAATGTAGAATCACCTTCATCTTCATCTTTAGTTATCTTCTCACATATTTTCTTCTTCCCTTTTGTTTTAATTGAAATTGAATCTGATTCATCTGTCAAATATGCATTTAAATTCAATGATGATGAACTAGAGCTTAATTTCCTAAGTCCAGTCCCGTAAAAGTTTGAATTTGAATTTGAATTTGAGTTTGAATTATCTTGTTTGTTGTTATTATCTTCTTCGTCATTGACTCTTTTTCTGAATATTGATGGTGGTTCAATTAAATCAAAATGTTGTTGTTTATTCTCTCCAATTGGACTTGATAATGAACTTATTGTTGGATTATAACTATCGTTTAAAAGTTGATTTCTTTTGAAAAATCGTTTTGATGGACTAAAAAATGAAATTATTCTCGATGGTGAACTTTCTCCTATGATTGTGATGTTATTATTCGTTGGTGTGATTGAACTACTTTGTTTATAAGGTGATAATTCATTATTCGTTGGTGTTGAACTGGTTGTTAGTTTGTATGATGATATATCTTTCAAATTTAATGGCTCTGGTATATGTTTTTTAGTTGGTGATTCTATGTCTAAATCATTTAATATATTTGTCGTATCTATATCTTCTTCAATACTTTCAGATGATGAGTCATCTAAATAAGAATCTAATAAATCATCCACATGATGTAAGTCTTTATAATTTGATTTTAAATTTGAGGAGTTTGAGTTTGAGTTTGAGTTTGATGTTGATGTTGATGTTGATGGTGATATTTTAGGGGGTGGCGTTAAAGGTAAACTTGGTTCACCATTATTAGATTTGAAAAAATTTTTCAATCTAGTAGATAGATTCAATTCCTGGTTATTACTAATCTGTTTTTTACAATCTGCATCTTTAAAAATTGCCTTATTGAAATTAAGAAACTTCTTAATTTCAATAGTATTCAAGTCATACGTTGTGAATGAATGATGTTTAATCTCTTCTATACTTATCCTATCATTTGCATTTTTGACTAATATCTTTTTCACTAGTGATTTAAAATGTTTCAATTCTTCAATATCTTCTTCTTTTACTCTTTTTGAATGTTTTATAACAGGAAATTTTAACTCTTGATTGACTATATTTTTACACATTTCAAATTCATTTTTCCCATTGAATGGTAAATTATTAAACATAAGACAATATAAAGTAATCCCCAAACTCCAAATATCTATCCTATAATCAATTTTAATCTTATTTGCTTCATGATCTTTATTTGTAATTATCGAATATCTATTATTAACAAATTGACATAATTCAGGAGCATAAAAAGCAGGAGTACCCATTATCTTAGCTAATTCAACATCATCATTAGAATTATTTTCGATAATTAAACTAACTCCAAAATCAGAAATTTTAATAGTCCCATTTTGATCAATTAATAAATTTGAAGGTTTTAAATCTCGATGAATTATATTTTTATAACAATGTAAATATTCAAGACCATTCAAAACATCTCGTAATATTTTATTAAGTATTAAAGCTTTTGGCTTATTATATTTCTCATAGTAATGATTATAATTCCTCCAATCAATTTCTCCAAATTTACAATATTCAAGAATTAACAATATTTTATCAAATTTCAAATCATCAATGACTTTATATAATTTCACTACATTCGGATGATTACATTCTTTCATTATTGAAATTTCTCTACGAATTTTTGAAATTGATGACATGTAATTCTTGGTGATTAATCTCTTTTTATCTATTCGATTTATCGTTTTAATTGCAACGTATGAATTTGATTTTGTTGTTAATTCACCTAATAATACTTTACCATATTGACCTTGACCGATTTTTTTAATTATTTTATATTCATTATTGATTACTTTTTTATTTGATGATTGATCTAATATGATTGATAATTTATCTTCATCCATTATAAATTATCTTATAAAGTTAAATGCTATATCATTAGTACTTTGATAAATGTTTTGAATATGGTGCCCGTTCGCAGTAATAATATTTTTTTCGTAACGACGCAACAACACGGTAAGGATGCAGCATAAAGAACAAGTAAGGATGTAAGAATGCTGCTATATGGTAACGATGTAAGTAAGACTACCAATAACAATTAAAATAACAATGACAATATATAATAATAATAATACAACATAATCTATACAGAACTATAATCTATAATCAATAAACATCAATCTCATCAAACCATCAACTCAGAATTTCTTAAATCATCCCTCATCATCTTTTCATCTCTATCTTTCTCAAATTCCATATTTAATTCATTTATAATTTCATCTTCTTCATCAGTTAAACCAGTTATATCAGGTGGTATATCATACATTTGAACACTTGGAGAATGATTTAAATACCTTATTTGTTCCATTATCTCTTGTTTAACACTTTCTAAATACTTTTTCAGATTTTTGTTATCTATCCTACCTTCCAATTGTGGATGTAATGAATAATCAGGACCAAACCAGTTATAGCTCGGTAAATAATTTGGAATTTTATGATCTAGAGTCACATCATTTAATATTGAAGTTTCATAACACCATAATCTACTTACATTTCTTGGAGTATATCCACCACCACCAAGTACCAACATTGGAATACCAAAGCTTTTTATAAAACTTACACATTCTCCATGAGCTCTAATATTTAAATTAAAACAACCTAATCTATCATAACCAAGACTATCAGCCCCACATTGTTGAACAATACAAGTTGGTTGAAATTTAGTAATTAAAGGTTCCATAATCAGTTTAAATAATCGTATATAATTTTCATCATCTATTCCATCCCGTAATGGAACATTTATAGCATAATTTTTACCATTCCCCAAACCTATTTCATCTACTGATCCAGTCCCCGGGAAAAATTCACCATTATATTTATGGAAAGATACTGTCATTACTCTATCTGTTGTATAAAATGCTTCTTGAACTCCATCTCCATGATGTAAATCAATGTCGATATACATTACTCTTGGATGAATTCTTAATAAATTAATAATACTTAAGACTATATCATTAACGTAACAAAATCCACTTGGTTCAAATTTTTTAGCATGATGTAAACCTCCAGACCAATTAATTGCAATATCGGACATATTATTAATTAATTTCCTACTTGCATCGAGTGAAGCACCTGTATAAATTGAAGAATAATCATAAATACCATCAAATATAGGACAATCATCACCAATATTAAATTTGCCCAAAACTTGGTCAGATAATGTTTTAACTTTTTCAGGTGTTATAGTTTGTAAAAAATTAATATACTCTTCTGAATGAAATTGGAGTAGTTCTTCCTTGGTGGCTTTTCTTGGTTGATAACAATCCATTTTTTCATATAATTTATAAGAAATCATTAAATGATCAGTTAACATTAATCTAAATGGTTTCATTGGATGTAATGAACCATAATGATATTGAGAAACTTCGGGATTAAAATGATAAGAAACATTAGTTTTGTTGGAGATTATGTTTTCATAATATAATGGAATATATTGTTTTGTTTTTTCATCACAAGTAAAAGTATTAGTCTCATTTATAATAGACATTTATCAATAATCGTAGTATTTTGGTTAAACGGTTGGTGATATTTTTGGTGATATTTTTTCTTCCAACAAAATATATATATTTTCAATACCATTTTGCCACTATTGAACAATAGTTATTCATTAGTTAATCAATAGTTATTAATTTCCAATGTCTAATAGTGCTGGTTTCGATAGACATATTACTATATTTTCACCAGAAGGTAGATTATATCAAGTTGAATATGCTTTTAAAGCTATTAATTCTTCAAATATTACATCATTAGGTTTAGTTGGTAAAGATTCATCAATCATTATATCTCAAAAGAAAATACCTGATAAATTATTAGATTCAAAAACAGTTTCTTATATTTTTAAAATTACTCCTTCAATAGGTGTGGTTGCAACTGGTTCAATTGCAGATGCTAGAGCTCAAGCAATGAGAGCAAGATCAGAAGCAACTGAATTTAGATATAAATATGGTTATGAAATACCAGTTGAATCCTTAAGTAGAAGAATGGCTAATTTATCTCAATTATATACTCAAAGGGCATATATGAGACCTTTGGGAGTTGCTTTAACATTTTGTCAAGTTTCATTTGAAGATGAAAATAAGGGACCACAAATTTTTAAAAATGATCCTGCTGGTTATTTTACTGGGGTTAAAGCAATTTCAACTGGTCCAAAACAACAAGAATTAAATACTTATTTAGAAAAAAAATTTAAAAAAATTGATTATATAAATGGTGATTGGAAAGAAACTGTTGAATTTGGTATAATTGCTTTATCAACTGCTTTGGGAACTGAATTTAGAAAAAATGATATAGAAATTGGTGTAGCTACTGAAGGGGAATTTAAAATATTAACTTCAGAGGAAATTGATGAAAGATTGATTGCCATTGCAGAACAAGATTAAGATTAGGTAAGGATGCAAACAAGATGTAAAGATTAAGGAAATGCAAATATATACAATTAACCTTTTTTTGTTTTTGTTTTTTTACCATACATATGGAATAAACATGTATGGACATGCTTTAATATATCTATCCCAATCTTTACCATACTTTCTTTGACACTTTCTTTGATCTCTATAAGCTCTATGAACTAAAACAATAAAGAAAAATATTGGAAAGAACCATGGGAATGGACTTGCAAAGCCACACATAAAAGCCCAAGTTAAAGTTTGAATATAATCAGCAGTATAGTGCATTTTTCTTGCATAGATATACCAACCATCAGTTAATAAAACACTACCATTTTCACATTCAATATATTTGGGGTTTCTCAAATCTGAATAAGGTAAATATGGAAAAGTTTTTCTTAATTGAGTATTACCAGCAATTGATCTTCTAAATGAATTCTTTTGTCTATTACCAGTATCAAAGAAATAATAAGCAATGGAAATAGTAATAAATAAGAATACATTATAAGTTGTAGACCAATTATATTCACTTGGATCATGATAATTTATAAACAAAGTACATTGACAATAAGTAAATGGAACACCAGCAATATTCCAGAATAATAACATGAACCCAAATTTCTCATATGCCATATCCCAAGTTGGAACAATTAATTCTTCACCTTTGGCACATGCATTAGCATATAACCAATGAGCATATAATAAAAATAAAGCTTGAGTTGAAACAAAACCATATTTTTCATATTGTTTAAAACATAAACCAAATGATAAAAAGAATAAAATAAACCATGGAATTCTAACTTCAAAAAACATCTTTAGGTCTAAATATTTAAATAATCTAGGGTTGAGAGGAGCTCCCATAAAACAATCATATATATGATTACCAGTCATTCTATGATAATCACCAGTGTAAAAAACACAAATAATATATAAAAGTATCGATAATGATAATCCATAAAATATAGCAGTAGTCATTATTCCACCAAAATTATCCAACATGTAATAAATTGGTAAAATATTTGTAAAGTGTAATATTAAACTAAGCACAATTGAAGTATAAAATGACCAAATTGCATTACAGAAATATGATAATTGCTTATTATTTAAATGTGTTAATGGTTGTCCTTTTGTCCATACTCCAGGTAATGTTAAATAGAATATCGCTTGTAAAATAATGAATCCAGTAAAATATAACCAAGTTTTAAACGAAGGAATACCATGAATTACAAAAATATTAAATAAATGACTGATAAATTGAGAAAATGTTTCTCCTTCTTGTGGTGTTGCAAAGGAACCGCCATAAAACTCAGCACTTATCCACATATAATACATTAATAATGGAAACCCAATCATCATTCCCAAGGCACCAATTGGACCACCAAATTCCCATTCAATTTCATTTTTGGGAGTATATCCCTTTGGAGCAGTTAATAAACTAGTAGTTTCTTCCTGATCTGATGGCATAACTTATAATTGACTATTAATTGACTATTAATTGACTAGTATTAAACCAATATAAGCAACAAACACTTGAAAAATTATTTGATTGTTTTTTTATTTTCATTTTTATGTAATAAAATTATACGATATAAACGATCAATACTATTATATACTACTACTACTGCTACCACCACCACTACCAATTGACTTCAACCATACAACTATACAACTGTTGTATACTAAATAACATATACATTCTCATCTCCTACTTATGGACCAGTACATAAATAGATATCTATTATAGTATTAAATCTTTATTCGAGCCGCACCCATAATAAGAATAATAATAGTATATATATTTTTTTTTATTAGACTGATAAACAACAACCAAGAGGCATTAGAAGGCACGTATTTCATATTGATAGTTATAACAAAAAAAAAATGGAGACTCCACCGGAAGATGTTATTAATAATAATAATAATAATAATAATAATAATGATACTGTTAATTTGTCAGAAAGTAATAATTCAGCTTCTAAAAGAGTCATTAAAAAACGTAAATATAGTAGAGGTGGTTGTAATGAATGTAAACGAAGAAAAATTAAGTGTGATGAATTGAAACCATATTGTCATAATTGTACAAGATTAGAAAAAAAATGTATTTATCAACAAAATCAAAAATTTCGATTTGAACTACCAAAAACAATCAAGCATGGAACAAAAGGTCACGATGTGATAAATGGTAAGGATGAAATAAAAGGTGACGATGTAATAATAAATGGTAAGGATGTAATAAATGGTAAGGATGAAATAAAAGGTCACGATGCAATAACTAAATCAGATAACTATATTTATAATCAAGATGAATTACGGATCAAAATAACAACTAATCCAAGTAATCCAAGTAATCCAACAACCGATTTTAAATTTTACCAGGATTCAAGTTTATCAAATTTATCAAATTTAAGAGGTTCAAATCAAGATAAAGAATTGACAAATTTAAAACAAGATCATTCTAAAAAGTTTAAAATATCAGATATGTTATCTCCTGATACCGACTTCCTAAATGATTATAATTGGTCAAATATAAATTCAAATGATGTTCGTAATTTATTTGATGATGCTAGTTTATTAGTTCATGATTCATTAGATTTATTTAATTATAATTATAATTATAATGAAACTTTTCAAAATTTAACTCCACCAAATTTACCAAATTTACCAAATTTACCAAATAACGAAATTGGAAGTATTGATTTCCCAATAGAAAACATAAAAGATAAATTAAATCATCATCAACAACAACCACCACCAAAACCACCAAAACCACCAAAACCACCAAAAACTACAGAAGTCACAATCAAATCACAAGTAATAATTTCCGAAACTTCATTATTCAAAATTTCAAATTCAGAATTGGTTGATTTGAGTTTATGTGATTTTGAACTAGATGGACCACATAGAAACTACCTTTTATCCTTATCCATGACAGATTTATCATTTCATATATTTCCATTTGCTGAATCATTTGAATCTAATCAAGTATTGAAAATATTATTAAAGTATTCTCAAGGTTGTTCTTATTTATTGACTAGTTTATTAGCTAGTTCTGCAACTTTTCAATATAATCAAACAGCTGACAAAATACATGAGACGAATAGGAATAAATATACAAGTATATGTTTAAAATCATTATCTGAAGCATTCCCACAAAACAAAGAAAAATTCCACAGTATAACCAACGATATAGAAAGATTATTACTCACCATCCTTGTCTTGACTTCAAATTTCACAGCAACTACAACAACAAACTCATCAAAATCAAATTGGAAAACTCATCTCAGAGGAGTGAAAGATTTACTTCTTAAATATTCTAAACTTGCAAATTGCTGTAAAAAAAATCTGAAAAATTATAATGGGATCAGTGATGGTTTGGCATTGGCTAAGACTTGGTTTTTTGCAATTGAATCATTAGCTGAATTGAATGATCCACTAGGTGGGACTTTAAAATATCAAAAGAAGAATATTTCTCAATCAACAGATATAATTAAAACTGATGATAAATTAGATTGTTCAGATTCAAGTCATTTATGGTTAGAAACTGGTTATTTTAACCGTGGTAGAAATTTAGAATATCATGATAGTTTAGTTAGAATTGGATTATTAACAAGTTGTCAATTTAATTTATTTAATGGGTATTCTTTGGTTGTTGTTCGTCTAATAGATGAATTAACAAAATCGTTAGATTTATTAAGAGATGATAATAATAATGCACAGTTAAGTGGAACTCGTGTTCTCAAAATTATGTCAGTTATAGAAAAGGCAAGAATTAATGAGATAGTACCCAAAATATCAAAAGAAAATTACATTATTCCAATTACAAGTCAGGCACATCCAGAATACACCGGAATAGATAAGATATTATTACCTAGTTCATGTTTTGCAAGGGATAAAGAAATCATTTATTCTTATTTTGATTTAAGTGAACAGCTACATATTGATTCAATGTTTTTGAAAGTGTTGACTACTCCTGGATTATTAAAATTAGATAAATCACATCCGTTAATAAAGGAATTAAAACACAAAATTTTAAACTCGTTATTCTTCATAAAAGAGAAAAATGAGAGTGTTAGAGAAGAAGAGGTTTTTTTGCAGAGTGATCATTTTTATTTAAGCGTTGGATTGTTTGATCATAGGGCAATCATGATTCAAAGTGCCTTAATTCAGTGTTCTAAAATTGTGAATAATTTAGAGGAATTTGAGAGGTTGGAATTATATTTCAAGGGGTTAGCTAAATTGGGCAATGGAAGTTCTGTTTTTGCTTTAAATGATTTAAATAAATTGAAGATGAATTTTCTTAATGGTGGGGATGATGATGTTTTGATTAATTCTCAAAATAATATTCCATTTTCATAGATTAATATACAAATGTGAGGATGCAATAGGAGCACTCAAATTGATTAATGTTATATCCTTTTCTAGCTATGATGATTCTATTTCTGCTTATTGATTCGATTTTACTCGTTTTGCATATGAGTTTAATGTACAACTTTTGAATTAAATCATTTGAGAAGGAGCCTTTGAATCGTTATCTTGAAGGTTAATTACATTAGATGCAACTAGTCTTAAATGTATTCATTGACATTATTTGTGTGTATATGGTATGAATTCTGTTCGTGAAATTTCAAACTTTAAACTTGAAAAACTAAAAAACAAAAGCAGATTCAAAAAACCAAACAACTTATTTAGAATCAATAAGTCCAAGAGAGTCAGATGCTACTATTTTTGTGACGAATGGATTACTGTATGCTAAATATATTAAGAATATCAAATTTTCGAACTAACGCGCTATACTTCATCTTTTTAAATTAGTTACGCAATTTTCTGAGATAAAATAAACTAGGGTAGCTAACAATAGTAGATATTTCAGTTTTAGGTCATTTAATGTATTGATGTATGAGTAATTTACAATTTAAATTAAAGTTACAAAAAGAAAAGTAGTCAATTTTGAATCGTGGTTTTGCGTAATAAAAAATTGGTTTTGCTGATGGTCCAAAGTTAAGTGACTGAATTAGGAAAGGAGGCTTGTAAAATATAAAAAGTACAAATATGTCACGAACTAGCACGTTTAGTGAAGTAAAAGCTATGTGACCTTAAACTGCAGCTCAAGATCTACCGAATGATTATAATTAGAAGCTTGCTGCTTGAGTTTTGAGATATCCAGAGCTTATCTGACAAATCAGACTTTTCATAGGCTACACCCCTAAAAGCTGCCCATTAAGAACGAATTTATTACAGTAGAGTCGAATTCAGCATCATAATTCATACATAAGACGATTATTTTGTAAAGTAAACCCAATCTATATTACATAAAAATTAAGAAACATAAGCCAAACTGAACCCCAATAATAATAAAATAAAATAACATAAAATATAAAATAAGCTTTGCAATATCAAATAATAATTAAAATAAACGAATGTTTTCAAAATTCTTTCCATTTTTCAACTTTTCGAATTGATGGTATTTTATCCTTAGGTACGTTAGTATCACTTAATGGAGGTAATTGAGAATCAGAAATTTGAAAATTTGGTCGTAATAACTGTGAAATTGGAGGCAATTTTGGTTGTGGAATTGATTTTGTAAATTTTGCCTGTTGTTGTTCTTTATTTTTATTATCTAATGAATCACCATCAACATCACCATAAGCATCCTCCATTAATTCATCTTCATCTACTTCATCATCAAATCCATATTCAGAACCTGGTGATTGTGAAGTTTCAACTAAATCTTTTAAATTTGGTTTTTGATTTCGATGTATATTATTTACTTTTGTTGGTTGGTAATTTGCTAAACTATTTGATCTTGAACTTAATGAAGAACTACTACCAGAATCTCTATTTAATGATAAATATGAATTATTTGAATTTCTTGAACTTAATAATTCAGGTTCTAAATCATTTACTTTCCCATTATTTCTTGATGATGAATCACCCGATGAAGCAGATGAAGCAGCTTCATCACTTGTAGTTGATTCTGAATTTGTATCATCATTATTATTTTTTGAAGGTTGTGGTGGTAATTTTGAATGTTTATGTAATTTTTTAACTTTATTATCATTTGAATTTTTTCCATTTTCGTTTCCTTCAGATTTACCTGGAGATGGACTTGAGCTTAATGAATTTGAAGTTTTTGGAGAATCAAAAAATCGTTGTTTACTTTTATTTAAATGTTTCTTGAAATTTGAACTATTTATATTATGCATAAATGATGATGCTGATAAATTTGATAAATGATCATTTTTTTTAAAATCAGTTTCATTTGATGATGTTAATTCTGTTTGAATATCTGGAGGTGAAGTTGAATTTGAATTTGAATTTGAATTTGAATTACTATTTGATGAAGTTGAAGTGAAATTATTTAAATTTGTTGATGGTAAAGGATGTTGAGGAAACGGAGCTTTTGGTGGGGGGAGTGGGAAACTAGTAGAATAATGACTTGAATTGTTATGACTTGTATCTGATGAATAACCATTATTACTTGCATTGTAAACTCCATTGTAAATATTGCTAACTTGACTACTTGGAAAGAAATATGAAGGTGTATAGTGCAAATGTGATTGTTGTGGATTGACATTTGGTTTACCAATTGAACTTATAGAACTTTGCGTAGACCTATCATCATTTGAACGAATTAGTGTTTTATTAAATGGTGGAGAAACTTGATGATTTGAATGATTTCCATTTAAAGGTGGTAATATAGGTAATGATTCTGAATGATTGTGTAATTGAGGATGTGGTAAAAAAGTAGTATTATGTCTTGATGTATATGGTGATGATGATATACTTGAACTTGGTTGTGGAGGTGGTGGTAAATTCACCGATGGTGGCCAATTCATATTTTGTTGAGCTTGTGGTGGTGGTGGTTGTGCAATAACTAGAGGTGACTCTTGAACCACATTTTTTGATTGATTTTGACCTGAAACAACATAATATTTACTCATAACTTTCGAAATTGCTTTATCTAAATCCTTCCAATTGAAGACCTTTAAATCTTTTTCTATATTTCTTGGTCTTGGATTTTCCATACTCATAATTAAATTGAAAAAATCACGATCATCTTTATTTGACCTTGAAACAGTTGTTGGTTTTAAACTTTGTAAATTTCTCCGTATACGATTTTTTTCTTCAATACCAAAACTTTGATGAACTAAATATTCCAATAATAAAATTATCTCAACCGATGTGCAAATAAATTTATTCCTTTGTTGCCAATAAATACATGATATAATAGGTTTTACGTTATTGTAATCAACTGATGATATTGGATAAAAATTTATTAATTGTGAACCATTATTATTAGAATTATTATTATTTTCGTTTGTTAATTCGAATTTAACTAATCTCCTGGATTCTTTAAATTCATAATCTGTCCAATTTTGTGTCATTAAATTTAGATCTTTTGTAAAATTTAAATTTACTGCAAAATTTGGATTTAAATAATGGGAAAATTGTCGTACGTATTGTAGACCATGTGAGGAATTTGAGTTTGAATTATTTCCATTATTACTATTATTATCGCCACCCATACGATACAGATGAGATTGAAATTTCGAGCCTGAATTGTCATCTGAGGAATATGGGGATTGAGCTGAATAACCATTGTGGTGACTATTCATAGGAGTTGAAATGTTATTATTTGAATATGAATGTGGTTTACCTTGTGGAATTTGAAATCCATTTGAGTAATTATTTTGTATTGGAAGTAAATTGGGAATTAAGTTCGGATTATGATTTGGATTCAGACTTGGTTGTGATTGTATGGGATGATGTGGAAACTGTGAGGGTAGTTGTGTCTCTTGATTATGATGATTCAAATTTTGTGGTTGAGGAGGTAAATAACTTGAAGAAGTAGGTGAATGTTGACTTGTAATTGATCTTGATGAAATTGGGGAATTTGAATTGGGATTAGGAGATTGTAATAGATGTTGATTTTGTAAATGTTGCCCTTGTTCTTGATTTGAATTATAATTCGGGCCCAGTTTCGTTATCATTCTTTTATATTCAACCATAATTCTTTCTTTTTTTTATTTAGATAATACCTAGTGAGTTGTAATCACTATTATTGATCCTAATACTTTTTACTTAGTTGTAACTTTCTTGATGAAAACTTGACTTGTCCGTGCGCTTTTTATCTATAAATTAAACTAGTGTTCTAATTGATTGATTTGAATTTATAATAGTTGGATTTTGTAATTTATTCATCAAATTATCAAAAACTTTCACTAAATAGTTGTGCTTGAAATAAGCTTAAACAAATATAATTAGTAAAAAACTTTTTTGGAATAATAATCTGTTCTTATATGATTTAAATAAAATCTATGGAAATAACTTAAATAATAAATAAATAAAGCACAATTTAAAATTAAAAATATGAAGCAATCACAGACAGGACGCTGTCTGTCTTTGTCTCTCACACTGTTTTTCTTTTGTAGGAATAAATGGAAAGTAAAATGCCAAAATTTGTATGTATTATCACTCAAGTTTAAATTTTGTTTGAAAATAATTTTAATATGAACTATTTTAATATTAAATTAATAATTTATGTATAAAGTATTATAATTTTACTTACTTTATTAAGGGATTCCGTATAAAAATAAAATAAACTAATGTATAATGTGATATAATAATCAATTGATGTTTTCAAACACTTTGAAAGAATTTGATTATATTATTTTACTATGTAACAAAGGTTAATACGTAATACTTGTTTAAAAATGTATGTTGTAATAAATTTTTCACAGCGAACGCAACTGTTAAATCTGATGATGAAACCTCTGATTTAATTAAGTATTTTTTCTTATATCATTACCATATGTTGTAACATAAACTCTTAAGCCGTTGACATAATATACAACCAGAATCAAGTATCTTGATGTAATTAAGCTTTTTAAATGAAACATTTTTAAACACCCAAGGTTTGAATTTTAGTTTTATTGTTAAATTGAGAAAAAAAAAATCTGGAACGGACTTCCATTTAAGAATTTGTTTTTAATACGTACCGCGATCAATAAAAGGAGTTCGAGTGCTTTCAAGTTTATATGAAGAGTTCTAAGCTGAGACATGCTCATGTTCATTAGATTGTCACAGACTTATTGTTAAACATGTCCTACTTTTAAAACTTCATTGGAAATATTTGAGATTCGAAATTCGAAATCCGACGCATCTGGTAGCAATAATACGCTTTGCCTCGAGAAATCAAAGATCCCCAAAACACAATTATTTCATGCGACAGAGTTTAAAGTTTTTCACATTGATCGCTTTAAATTTAATACCGGAATAAATATTTAGGCTTTTCAAGTTGTTAAGTTGTTAAGTTGTTAAGTTTTACTCTAATAACTTTAAGTCGAATAACCTTTGATTGAATCAAATCTTTGGTCGATTCACCATCGCGAATTTTCAAAATCTTTTGGTTGAAAGTTACTTTGGGGTGTAAAATCTGTTATGGGGTGTACTGAGTTTGTTGTTTGAATCTCGAATAATTACGATTATTTTAATAGGTCCCTTTTTCGTTTCACCTCTGATTACATCCGTATTTGTTTATAATAACATTGAAATATACTAATGTTGCTTGCGAGTAATATAGTGATGCTTGATTCATATACTAAGCAAAATCATTCCTTGTTATTGAAATTGATGCAAATCAAGTATGAAGTTATTGAATTTTGAAAGTCGCACGCTAAATTCGAATCCCAATTAAACGACAAATTGATTTATTGTTTAAGTTCTCGCTAACATTTTGTCTAATTTCCTTGCGAATCATGTCAATCAACAAGTGTAATTAATAACTCAATTCCGCCTGAGTATAAATAAGTCCATATGCAAAAAATAGACGATTGTTAAATAATATCTGAGTACCTTCACTCCTTAATTGTTTCATTTACTTTGCTTCCAGACAGAAGACAGAAAAGAATCATATAATCTACTCTACATTATTACATCATTTAGTACGAATCAATGCGGTTAAATAGTTATTCACGTGACATGAATCAATTTAACTCGAAACCAAATAAGACAATTTGATATTCTCTATTCAACCAATTATTGCAATAAAGAACTTCAATCAGTTTTTGTAAGACTTCTTTCTTCACAGTATTCAATAGAGAGAAACTAGTTACGAAAATAAGGTTTCAAATCTAAAAAAGTTAAAATTATAGAATGCATGCGGATACACAATTGTAGCTATACACACTTGTAGCTATACACACTTGTAGCTATACACACTTGTAGCTATACACACTTGTAGCTATACACACTTGTATAAATACAATCAATAACAACAGATGATTGAAGTTATATAATGCACTGTTATATGTAATTGCAATTTGTACAATTAAATCATAATTATGCACCAAGGCGTCAAAGTATAGAATTGCAGAATTGTTACAATATTAAGTATAATTTTAAAGGGTATCTTACGAAACATTTTATAAATAAGCTTTTTTAATGAATTCCATTGCATATTTTCTGTAGATGTTGTTTACATTCTTGTTGCAAATTTTTTCTTTGTGTCCTTAATTTTTTTTTTTCCATTGGAATTCAAGCGCTCTAGTACAAAAGATTGGTACGGAGGTTTAATTTCGTTCCGAACCCCATCTTTCGTTTCAACGGATTCCGGTGCTGGTACGGACACCGTGCCAATCTTTTTTATTTCACGATTCATGTTTCAAAGGAATATGGTCATATTAATACATGCATGATCATCATATTTGATAATAAATAAGATATGATTTCATATTTTAGATCATGTTTTTCTGCTGTTCTAGTTTAAAAATAGCGATGTTCTACAAATACTTGCCTTTACAGGTAACTGATTAGATCAAGCAATTGGTTATAGCTTTTCTTATTCCCATTCGTTTTGTTTGACTTTTGTCTCAGACAAAGGATTTAATCTACTTTAGCTCCACTACTTGTTTACATAATACAATTTTGTAGCTGGTTCAGCCGGGTAAGTACATATGCTTACCTGATAGATATCGTCTGTGAGTCAAGTTAATTTAATACAAGTACCTCTTAAACTACTCTGATTTAAAATGAAGAGGGTGGGGCTATTGATAATTAAATTTAACATGTGTATTGCTTACTTACGAAGCGTGCTAGTAACGTACCTTTATCGATCAATCGTCAAATTTTGTCAATATGCTAATTTTAAGACATGATTCATATATGGAAACATAATTTTAATGAAAGTTTCAATTGTTTATGATCCGGAACACATGCGATGCACAGCTTTACTATTTCTTAAAAATTTAAGAGACTACGTTTTGCATAAATTTGGTACACCAGCAAATGTCAGATATACAATTTCATCGCCATCATTGCCTTCATTTTGAGTCCGCGTTAGATGTTGATGAAATTTAGTGGTACTTTCTAGTAAAAGTTAAGAACAAAGCAGGCGGCCAATAAATTTAAAAAAAAAAAATTCATCTCCTATTTAAGAAGCTCGTTCAAACTAAAAGATAATACATTAGCTTTCAAAATTCTGAATTCCGCAGTTATTAGTTTCGCTATATACATAACTGTTATTCATATTGTATGAATGAATGGGATGATTTATAAATAGAAATTAAAAATTGTACATGTTTCAGATTTTTTTGGTTGTATATGCAGGAAAAGTGTTTCAGTTGCAAAATTAATTACTATAGGTATAATTTATAACTCTCAGCTTTAAATAAGCAATAACCTTGATCTTTTATTAATTTAGACATAAACTGACTACTTTGCTGCTTTTAAAATTGCACTTGAATTTAATGGTTTTAATCCATGCAGACATCAATTTCGCCACAATACAATTAACTAAGTGATAATATCTGCTTTCTCTCCCATTACATCCATACTCGGATTTTATAAACCTTTTCGGATGTCCCTGTAGGTTGTTCGATATGGTTTAAAAAGAGGCTTTGAATTCTTTCAGATTCGATCATTCCAGACATGGCTACAATCATACGAGAAATCTTTATTTTATAAAAAAGTCTTGAATTCTTCATACACAATGTGTTAAATTTATTCTTTTAATTGATTCTACCTAGTGGTGTGAATTTTTCAACTAAACATTACAGTTCTCCAGTATCATCTAATTGAAGTCCAAAAAGAGCAGACTGAGTGAATACTAAAACTATCAATTACAATTAAAGAATGGGTTGTGTTCTTCATTGCTCATCCTTGGGCAAAAAACTGTGATTAAGTAAAAGTATTAACAGAATTAAGAGAAGAAACATACTATTAACGTTACAAGAGAACCAGCAAACTTCTGGTGTAATGAAGTTTCTATCTTTAGCTTAGAAGTTTATTGTTTGATATACTACAACTTTCAAACTTAAGCTTTTGTATGTTGTAAGAATTTAATCTAGCTAACAAGATTGAGTCTCAGTTATTACAGAATCGATGCTTATAGTCTGTTTTTTAGTCTCATAAATTATCAAAGTATGAAGTAAGTGGCAATGATACAAGTGATCAAAGCTGAAATTTCGCTAGTCTATCAACTAAAGTTCTTTAAATTTATTTTACACAATACTGACATACCGTACAGCGTAAAAATCAAGTGTGGAAGATTACTAAGCAATCGATTATAATATAAAGAATTTGAAGCCACTTAGTTCATGTGAAGGCGTCACTTTTTTTTAATCTTTTTCTTGCTTTTTTCCAATTATTTTCAAAAGTTATCTTCAAAACAATCAAGATTAAAACAATTTGACCAGGCAAAGTTGGCTTCTAAAGCACGAATCAAAAGTAACATACGCTATTTTATTACTGGAACCGCTGCAGCGATGTTTTAATACCTAAAATCTATGCCACCTTCCTACTATACATTAAGCGCAAAAAGAATCTACACTTGCGCGATTATTTCTGAAACAATATACCGAAAACGCGAAAAGTCAAAATAACACAAAAACAAGAAGAAATTCCTAATTCATTTACAAACTTTAGTCAAATATTCTAAGCCAGGTATTTATGCGAAGTATATTGTTCTTGGTATCATTTGGAAGAGAAAGTTTCGGAGATTACAAATATGCTAATCATAAAGCCACTACTTCTAGTTTCTACATGAAATATTCAAATAAAGTAGTCAAGCTCCACAATTTGATATATAAACCTTAATATTATGTACTTATTGACTACAAAACATGTAGAAAACATGTATATGTCTATTTTTATTATACTTTTGATTTCGTGTAGTTATTGTTATGAAATATTTGGTAAGCTTGTTTCCCTTATACTATAATATGGATTTTAAGATGATGCGTAAATGATTGGTGCAGCAGAACAATTTCTTACGACAGCTTTGGGGCGACTCGTACAAAACATATTGGCTTATAGGTCATGAACAAACCAGTTTCTCGAATTGAGTACCATTTATAAAAAATCAGGAGCCTTAACTTATATATTCTACATATTTCAAACGTTTGATTTCAAAATTTTTTTTGGACTTGCAAATTCAGCATTTTTTCACCATACAAAACTTTTCCCAAAAAAACAGATCAGTGTATCTTTTTCTTTGGGGCATAACTTTCAAAGAAACAATGAAGTTAGTGTTTTATGCCCCAATCAAAGATACTGCACTTGATTCTACTTGTTTCTAACTGATATTGAGAAAATTCGAATAAATTGATCTAACGAAAACTCTAGCTCCACACTTGATATTGAAATTGAAACGTGATGAAACTATTCAAATTTCTAGTTTTGCCTTCTAATAAGCCTTTGATATTTTTCTGTTAAGGTATTCGAAATTAAAGAAGTAATTTTTCAAAAGTGGTTGGAAATTTTTGAAAAAACTTAAAAATGATTACGGCGTTTTGGGAACATTTAAGGTAAGATGTAAAAAATTACAAATCGAAAAGTCACAAAAGTAGACTATTATTTTTTATATGTCAATATATCAATGATGATATTAATCACACTTACCAAAACTTCAACACCAACCAACACCACAACAATAAACTCCAAATTTTCTTCATGTGAATGACCCAATTGTTCTTTCAACATTTGTAATAGATCACTTATAACTTCTAATCTTTGATTTAATAATTCAACTCTTTGATTAATTTCTAAATAACCTCTTGTTGCTTGATAAATTGGTTCTAAATGAGGTTCAGACCACATTAATTCAGGAGAATCTAAAACAGAACCATGTAAATTGATATTTATCCTTAAGATAAATAATTCACCAATTGATTTCATAATTTCATCTCTTGTCATTTCAACTTTACCAGTTTGGGCAATTTGTTGAGGTATATCTTGAGTATCTTCAATTGTATTATCTACCAATTCTTCAAATAATGAGATTTTAACAGATTGAGCTAATGCATGAGATATACTTAATTTTAGCATATAATTATTATCATCTTTTAATGTAATAAAATCATTATAAATTCTTGGTTGATAAGATTTTGTAATATAATAATTAAATTCTTCAATTTGTATATCTTCTTGAGATAATTTCTCCAGTTCAAATTTAGCTAAATCAACAAGGAATGCATTTTCTTCTTTTATTGTATAACCCCACATTACAACGACACCATATTCAAATATAAAAATATCATTTTTTTTACCAATATCAATTTCACCACCATCATCAGCTAAACGCATTAGTTTATGATCATTAATATTATCATCTAATATTATCAGCAGATCATTTCTCCAATCCTTATAAATAAAAGGAGTATATAGACATTCATCAAACAATTTTGGACTAGTATTATGAATTCTTTTACGATCTTTAAACCATCTTAATAAATCTTTCATTTTATACGACCCACAAGTACAATAAGCACTTACTCTTGGTAATAAATCTCTATGAGATTTACCTAAAGTTTCCGCATCTTTTCTTGCCGAAGTATCAGTAATTTTTTTAACTTGAGAATAAACTCTTGAAGTAACATTTTCATCTTCATCATCATCATCATCATCTTCATGATCATCATCATTTTTATTATTTATGGAATCTAAATCAGGATCTTCTGGTAATAATTTTAATTTTTGAGAAGTTCTTGAAGTTCTTTGTAAACCAATTTTATTAGCTTTTGATAATTTATTTGATGTCTTGGATATTGATTGTTGCGATAGTTTAACTGGATTTTCTGGAATATTAGAGTTAATATTAATATAATTGTTACTACTATTTGATTTATTTAGTAATGGAACATTTATATCTGAACTGTCAGTCATTCTTAATAATCAATTGTATCAGCGGTCACTTGTTAATGTCAGTTGTTAATGGTGAGACGATAATAATAAATTATTGTAATAGAATAAAAGTTGATAATAAAATATAAAAATATATTTGTAATAAATTACGTAATCGGTTTCAGGAAATTTATTTTTATAATGAGCATCTCTTTAGTTTTGACAACCAATCCATTACTTTTTACAACCAATTACTATATAAGTCATTAATAGGATACACACTTCATAGGTTGTTATGGTGGTAAAGAAGAAAACTACTGAATCATCTAGAAGACATGCTTTCACTTCTTTTAAAGAAAGAATAGATGGTATTAAAATTGAACCAAATATAAAATTAACTAAACGGCCCTTCGATATTGAAGTTGTAACATCACATTTACTAACTACTTTAGATCATTGGAAAGAAATCAATTTATCTAAAATATTCACCGATTTTTATGATCAAATTGAATCAAATTCTCAATCATTACCTCAAATAATATATCATCAATCGTTTATATTTAATAAATTATATGATTCAATTAAACAAGTTGATATACATTCAATGCAACCATTATTAGAATGTTTGACTCAATTTATACATGATTTAGGACCTGATTTTTTACCGTACTATTTAAAAACTTTAAATTTATTAACGAATATCGTGGTTAATATTGATCCAAATGATTTACAAAACAATAGAAATAGTTCAAATATACTAGAATGGACTTTTAACGCATTAGCCTTTACTTTCAAATATTTATCAAGACATATAATAACTGATTTAATACCTACATTCAATGAATTATTACCATTATTAAAATTGACTAAAAAGAAATATTTATCAAGATTTTGTTCAGAAGCATTATCTTTCTTAATTAAAAAATCAAATGAAACTTCCCTACAACAAGTTATTAAATTTTCATTATATGATCAAGTTGAAACCATATTGGAAAATGATTCTTATTGTGAATCTTTATCTATTTTGTATGCTGAATCTATGAAAAACACCAACGGCACATTTCATACAAAATCAAATCTTATATTAACTACTTTATTAACTAATATACTATTTAGTTTAGATGATGATAAAGTCAAAAATAAATTAATTGGAATACTATCTGATATATTATTAGATTTGTTAAATCATGGAACTAATGAGTCTTGTAATAAGTTTTACATTTTAATTACCGATATTTTAAATGATTTGATGAAAAATTCAAATAATTTAACTTTATTAACTACTTGTCAAATATTGTCAACTTTATCATTTGCTGAATCAGGTAGAAAAATAAATGATTGGAGTTGTATATTAAATACTGTTAATAATTTGATTTCAAATTTGAAAAATTTACAAGATCCATCAATTGAATTACTTGAATCATTTGTTTATTTGTTATGTATTGTATTTAGAAATTGTGATATCCAATTATTGACAAAGAACTATCGAAATTATTTTGAAATAATTATGAATTTAAATGGTGGTAATGAATTTTTATTATTTGCACAATCTAGTTTGACTATTGTTAAAGCTAAAGTGACAAATTTTGGGTTAATAAAGTACATTCAAGAGTATATAAACAAAATTGATGATGATCAATTACCTAAATTAGCTTACTTTTTAAGAATAACAGACTATAGATTTGAAATACCCAATTTCAAATTAGACATTAACGAGAATACCAGTTATGAAGAGATTTATTGGAAATTATTAATATCAAGTTATAACGATAAAATTGATTTAGATGTAACTTTATTAGAGAAAATTTTGTTCAATTTGAATTCATCACCATTGCATAAGGAATTAGCAGGAACTATCATCAATATACTAGTTCAAAAGAATCATACATCTAATTTATCAACATTTATAGAGGATTCATTTGAGAAATTTCAAAATTCAGCCAATTTCATATCTTCAATAAACAAATTCGTCATCAAAACCGGTGACAATGACAATTTATTACCTAAAGTTATCAACTGTTTATATATTCCAAATCATCAAGTACGTCTCAATACCATCGAATTATTATTTACAATTTTAAAAGATTCACCTTACCTTTCACAAATTAGAATAATTGAACAAATTCCGTTAGATTTATCAAATGGTAGAGATATAATATTGCGTATAAGGAACTTAGCACTTGAATTTCAAAAAGCGGTAAATGTATCTGAGATAGATAAACAATTAGTCATTCATTATTTATTTGGAGTTTTATCAAATAAATTTCAACCATTTTGGAATGGAGTTTTTGAAGCATTACCTATCATATCAAGTCATGCCACAAATGAAATAATATGGCAAGTTGCATTTAAATTATTAAATACAAATGAAGAATCTGAACATTTTGAATTGGATGAGTTTTCACAAGAGAGTGATTTAATCAATTGGCAACCTAAAAAACATAAATTATTTAATAATTTCACACAATTTGATAATAATTATCTAATTCCATTCAGAAATATTCATAATTCAATTATGAAATTATGTAAATTTGATCTTGGAGAAACTTCATATGATGAGATTTTAAAATTGCATATTTTACAAGGATTAAAGACTATTCCAAATGCAATTGAATCACATACTGATGAATTAGTACCAATATTAACGAATCAAAATAAAGAATCATGGTCAATAAAAGAAAGAAATGGATTATTGGAATTATTTACCAAAATTAAAGGATTAAAGAAGAAGACCATGGCTGATGATTTATACTCATATTTATTAGATCATTTATTAACTAGCACTCATTCAAAAACTCAACAATTGGCACTTGATGTATTATTCAATTTTAATAACTCTATAATCAACAAATATAAAGATAATTTGAAAAATTTATTAGATGATACGATTTTCAGTGATGAGGTAGCTATTTTTTTATCTTCAAGTTCTTCAATTAGTCATGAAGATAAATCTATAATTATGCCATTCATAATTAGGATTTTATTTGGTCGAGTTCAAGGATCTCCAAAGAGTAATTCTAAACAAGGTAAAAAATTTCAAGTCATATCAGTACTTCCAAGTTTAACAAACAGTGATATAATTTCATTTATTCAACTAGGTGCAAATAAACTAAATTATCAAAATTATTTTCAGGGAATCGTACCTAAAGTAAGTCTAGGTTTAGATATAAATGAACTTAAAAAAATCAATGGATTTATTAATTTATTAATTGAAGTATATGAAACACTCGGATCAAATTATGAAGAAGCATTAATATTTACAATTGAACCATTGGTATATTCATTAGTATCAGCTCAAAATTGTATTGAAAGTGAGTGTAATGATATCGTAATGGATAAAATCGCAAGATCAATAAGAACAAACGGTATGAAATGTCTTAATGAATTGTTTAAAATCGTGGGAGAATCATTCAATTGGAAATCTTATTATGATTTAATTTATAATAACTTAATTTTACCAAGGTTGGATAATTTTGCCAATGAGAATTTACAACAACCTTCATCATTACTTCAATTAATTACAAGTTGGATAAGCAACTCAAATACGGTAACATTATTATATATTGATGATTTTAGTATTGTTAGGGCATTATTGTCTATTCTTTCAAGATCTAAAGATGCTAAAGAATCAGTAATTACAAAAATATTAGATTTTTCAATTGAAGCATTAGAGAGAAAAGATGAAATTGATGATTTATGGTTTACATTATTGGCATTAGTTGTAGATTCATTATTACAGAATCTTGCAGAGACAATTAAAAATATATATGATAAGGAAGTTGGATCAAGGGCAATCAAGATTCTATTGTTATTGATTTCTGGTAAATATATTGATGATAGTGAGACGAAATCAACACTTATTGAATCATTAACTATTGCATTAAAGAAGAATAATAATCAAATTGATTTAAATGATAAAGCAAATATATTGATTTCATTATCTTCATTGATTGATACATATGACTGTGAATTCAAAGATATTGAACAATTTTATACAACAGTTTCCAAATTATTCAGATTCTTTCCGATTAGAAATGTTAGAGAGACTTTATCTTCTGTTATATCATCAATTGGTGCCAAATTTGAAGAAGTTGGTAAAACAGATTTAATTGTTGATTTGAATTCATATACGATCCGAGGTGAATTTGATTTTGAAAAACGTTTAAATGCATTCAAATTAATTAATGAAGAGTTATATAATGATTTATCTCCATTACAATGGTTACCATTAATTAATAATTCTTTATTTTTCATTAATGATCCTGAAGAATTAGCAATAAGATCAAATGCAACTTATATGTTAAAACGATTTATTGATTGTTATTCAAACAAATCTGAAGCAGAAGCAATACCATATATTTCACAATTGAAAGATTTAATATTACCAAATTTAAAAATTGGGATAAGAAAAGATAATGAAGATATTCAAAGTGAATATATCTCATTGTTGGAATACATTGTAAATCATTCAAAATATTACACAGAATTGGAAGATATGAAAATTTTATCTACTGATGATATTCAAATTGATAATGAAGACCAAGTAAACAATTTCTTTCAAAATATTACAAATATTCAACTTTATCGTCGTCATAGAGCTATCAAAAAATTGATTGATTATAAATCTGAATTAAATGAATCAAGTATATCACATTATATATTACCTATTATTGAAAAATATGTAACTTCAGAAAATGACAAATATAGAAATTTGGGACTTGAAGCATTGGATACGATCAGTGCTTTATTAAAATCAGTTACTTGGAATCAATACAAGGCAATTTTAAAAAGATATGTTTCAAATTTAAAAACTCAAACTCATTTAAAACAAAAGGTTAATTTAATTGTATCTTCTTCAATAGCATTAATTCAATCTAAAAATGAAAACACTATGCAACTACCAAACCAAGATGAATTGGACAATTTTATATTATTTGAAATGTCACCTACTTTATTAAAAATTTTGAATGTTAGAGATGATGATACTATTGTTGCTAGAGCTCCTTTATCTGAAGCATTGACTAATTTTATATTATGCATTAGTCCATATAAAATTGATGGTGAATTACCTAAAATATTAACTAATTTATCTCAAGTAATGAGATCAAGATCAGAAGAATTAAGAGATGCAGTTAGAAAAAGTCTAGGAAAGATATCAATATTACTTGGACCAATTTATTTCCCATTTATTTTAAAAGAATTAAAAACTGCCCTTTCTAGAGGTTCTCAAATTCATGTTTTATCCTTCACTATGCATTATTTACTCACATGTATTTCCAAAATTCTCTCTCATGGTGATTTAAATGAATCTGTTAATTTAATTATTGATATTGTAATGGAGGATATTTTTGGAGCAGCAGGTCAAGAAAAAGATGCAGAAGGTTATACTTCCAAAATGAAAGAAGTTAAATTTAAAAAATCTTTTGATTCTACTGAATTATTAGTTTCTAATATTTCATTAAATCAATTTGGTGAATTAATCAAACCGATAAAATTATTATTAAAAGAGAATATATCATATAAGACACAATTAAAATTAGATGAATTATTAAGAAGAATTTCTTTGGGGTTAAATCATAATTTTGAATCTAATGATATTAATATCTTACATTTATGTTATCAAATCTATCAAATGTCAAAAGAAGAAGAAAAAGTGAAAGAAGTGAAAGAACCAACAGAAAAAGAAAAACATTTCCTAACTACATTAGATCGTAAAGTTGTTAAAGCACATGTTGATAAATCCTTATTTAAAATTACTTTACAGAAATTAAGTTTAGAATTATTGAGGACGGCAATTTCAAGACATGAAAAATTATTAACTGTTGGAAACTTATCTGAATTTGTACCAATTTTAGAAGAATCAATTAAATCAGATAATGAACAAGTCATAATTGCATCTATAAAAATACTTATAATTATAATTAGATTACCATTTGATGAAAATGACCAAAATGTGTTTAAATCATGTATGAGAAGATCATTAATACTTATAAAAGACTCACCTTCTACAAATGCCGATATTTGTCAAACTGCATTGAAATTTTTATCAACTACAATAAGGCATAACCAGGAATTAAATCTAAAAGAATCAGCAATTAGTTATATTTTAACTCGTATTCAACCAGATTTAAACGAACCAAATAAACAAGGAACAGCATTTAATTTTTTAAAATCAATTGTGTCTCAACATGTAATGATTCCTGAAGTTTATGAATTGATGGACAATGTAGCAAAAATAATGATTGTGAATCATTCTAAAGAAATTAGAGATATGTCAAGATCAGTATATTTTCAATTCTTAATGGAATATGACCAAGGTAAAGGTAGGTTAGAAAAACAATTTAAATATCTAGTAACTAATTTATCATATCCTACAGAAGAAGGAAGACAATCAATAATGGAGTTAATACATTTGATAATTTTGAAATCTGGTGATGTGTTATTGAGCAAATTGGCAACTAGTTTTTTTGTATCGTTGGCAAATGTGTTAATTTCAGATATGTCTAATAAATGTAGAGAGATGGCAAATGCATTAATTTCAACAATTTTCAAAAAATTAAAAGATGTAAGTCAGTTAGAGAAATTTATAATGATGTGGTTGAAACAATCAAGTAATCAATTGTTAAAACGATGCGGATTGAATGTGTACAAGATTTATATTATTGTGTTGGGAATGAACAATGAGAAATTGAATAGTATAGCAAAGGATAGCATATTGCATATTTTTAAAGCTGCTAAGAATGAAGAAGATAATGATATTGAATGGGAATTATTATATTCTGCATTAGTTTTATTTAATACTATTGCATCTATTCAAAAAGAAAAGGTGTTTAGTAAGGCATTTGAATCATTTTGGAAATGTATAGTAGATATTTTATTATATCCTCATTCATGGATTAGATTAAACTCATCAAGACTCATCACATTGCTATTAACACATTTGAATGATACTAAATTTAAGGTATCTGAATATGAAATACAGACTATTTCAGTTAAATTGATTCATCAATTAAGAGCACCAAGTATCTCAGAAGAATTAGGAAATCAAATTGTTAAGAATCTAGTACTTATTGGTATGAAATGGGAATCTAAAAATCAAGAATGGATAAACGATGATGAGGATGGAGTTGTAATCGCTAATGATTATTTGTTAGATAAGATTGGTTCAATTATTAAACAAGAAAATCTACAATCTGTTGAATCAAAAAGAAGCTGTATTAAACTATCAGCAATGTTTATTCAATTCACTAATGATTCAAGAATACTCAAGGTTTCAGAAATGATCATTTCCGCATTATACAACTTTACTGATTCTGAGTATTCTAAATCTGTTGAAGATGATGAATTGATCAAATTGAGTACGGAGGCTTTGGATCTCGTTAATTCAAAAATTGGAATTACGGAATATACTTCAATTTATTCCAAAATAAAGTCACAAGTTAATAATAGAAGAATGGAAAGAAAGGCAAAGAAGGCTCAATTGGCTGTTAACCAACCTGATATAGCTGCAAAACGAAAATTTAAAAAACATGAAAGATTCAGGGAGAAGAGAAAACATGAAAAGGATGAAAATGGATATTATAAACCAAAGAAAAAGAGAGTATTTTAATAGCGTATTTAATAGACGGATTAATGGTATATTATGGAATTGACAACTTGTTATTGTTGAGGGAGCATTTTTTTTTTATTTATTCGACAGACGGTTCAAGATCTATTTTAACTATGTTATCAACTTCTTCTTGTTTAATTTGTGATTGTTCTTGTACATGTTTTTGATCTTGTGCATGTTTTTGATCTTGTTCATGTTCATGTTCAATTATAACACTAGTATCTTGTTCAACACCTGGTGTTTCATCCCCGCCATCTTCTTTTCTAACTTTTTGCTTTTTGGTATCTTTCTTATCTTCACCATCTTCATTCGGGTGTTTTTTCAGATTATAAACTTCCATTTCTTTTTGATATCTAATTTTATCATCCTCATATAATTTAAAATAAGGTTTTTTATCTTCTTCAGTCAAATTTTTCCAATTTTCAGTCATATTTTTAGATAAATCATGAGGTATATGATCTGGATCAGATTTTAATCTTTCTTTTTCTTGTTCACAAAATATTAAGTATGCATTGGTGGGTCTTTTTGGCAAATCTGGGTCTCTTTTTGCCAAATTTGTATTCTTTGAGTCAGTAGATTTAGTTGGTCTTTTGGTTGCTTTTTTACCATTTCTGGACTTTACTATTGAATCATCTAACATTGCTGGAGTTGGAGGTCCCGCCATTTCTTCAAATGAGTTAAGTGAATCAGGTAATTGATTTACTCGAGTTTCTAATCTTTCCAATAATATAGTGTATTCTAATCTTAATCTTCGAATTGATGACTGAGTACGATTTAATGCTATTGTTGCAATTTCATTACTTTCTTCAATTTCTAAAACTCGTCTTTTCAATTCTCGACATTTTAATTTAAATCTATCTTCTAGAATAACCTGTTAGTAATAATGATGATAAAAGTGAATGAATTGGTTACTGACCTTCTGATTCTGGTATGTTATCTTTATTTTGTGTTTTCATTATTGGTAGTTTTTTGATTGTTGAACAGTGATGATGATGATTGATCTTTTTTTTTTTCAGTGATAAATATGAATAAAATTACCATGAGCTAGCTATTTGGTTAGATTTGTGTAAATATAATCAACTTAAACACACTACTGTTTCAATTGGACTATTCTCTTGAACCTCTTCAAAGAGTTGATGTTGAACTGTCTACAGATTTAAGTGAAAGTCATTTCATACATTAATTTTCAATTTTAAACAACTATTTTAAATTAACCAAATAACCGATTCCCATTTCCTTCGTCATAATATATCCTCAACCTCTCATTATAATAAGCCAGAATAAACATTTTGCTCATGTTCATTAAAATCAACAATTTGCTCTCTATTAACATCAACATTAAACTCAACCCTTTCAACATAATTAGCAATAAGATTAAAAACTCGTAATTCTAAATCAACCAATCTAATATCAGAATCATTCATCTCGTCATCATCATCAGTATTATCACAACCAACTTTATAACTTAAAGTTGTAAATTTTTTATAATTTAATTCAAAATTATATTCTCGAACTTTAACTTCATAATAACTAAATAATAATTTAAAATTATAACTCAATGTAGATCCAGCACCAACTGATTTAATTAGTGTCATTTGAATGCTTGCTAATTTATTAAGTAATGAACTATAATTATTCATAATTTCTAAATCATCAAATTTTAAAGTTTTATGAATATATTTTATATATGATAATCTACATTTAATTAATTTTAAATATTCTTTGAATAAGAACTTTAATTCATTTTGAACTGGGATGTTTATTAATTGAAGCATTGATAATTATGAAAAAGTGCAATGGCCATTAATTAATTAAAATATATATATTTGAAAAATTCTTGATTGGTTCCTAATACATTATAAGTTTAATTTATTAATTGTTTCAGAATATGCAATGAGATATGTAAGATTTGCTATTATTGCAAATTTGGACGTTTATTTTTAAACAAATCTGCATTAATTATCCCTGATATTTTATGTTTTCGTCAATTTGTTTCAGAGTATGCATGAGAAAATAAACAAACTAATATGGAAATACCAGTGAAATCTGATCTTAATAATAGTACACTTGTTTATTGCAAGTCAAAAAATACTAACAACCTCTCAGTTAATGATAAACCCAGAAATATCCATTTCGAAAGCTTTTAATCAATGATAATTTAAACAAATTGGTTATTTTCATGGTCAATTGCTGCAAAAAAAAAGACAAATCAGGTAATAATGCGGCTATTATATTGCCTAATCTGGGGTGGTTGCAGGGACAAGGAAATTCCGACGGGAGGCATGGTACATTTGAAAAATCAATTGATTGATTACACGTATTGAACAATTAAACACTACAATCAACAATTCACAATCACGTACACAAAAGTATAAATTGATTACTATATATACATTACATCTTGACAACTCAAGAATTAATATTACTCAACTACTTTTTATATATTACATTCTTTTTATTAACAAGTTATCAATTTTATTATTACTATTATTATTATTATTATTATTATTATTATTATTATCATGACTTCTGAAACAATTCCAAAGATTACTATCTGTGTATTTTGTGGTTCTTCATTTGGTAATCAAGAATCATTTAGTGATCAAGCTACTAAACTTGGAGAATTATTGGCTTCTAAACAATGGGGATTAGTTTATGGTGGTGGATCAACTGGTTTAATGGGAGCAGTTGCTCGTGGTTGTGCTACTAATAATGGATATGTTCATGGAATTATTCCAGAAGCTTTGATTTCAAGAGAAAGAACCGTTGAAAATTCAAACTTTAATGATAAATTAAAAGAATCAATTGATAATCATGATGGATCAACCCCAATTCCAGATTCTAAGGAATATGGTAAAACTACTTTAGTTAAAGATATGCATACTCGTAAAAAATTGATGGGACAAGAAGCAAATGCATTTGTTGCATTACCTGGTGGTTATGGAACTTTAGAAGAATTAATGGAAGTTGTAACTTGGCATCAATTAAATATTCATAATAAACCGATTGTTATATTTAATATTAATGGATTTTATGATAATTTTTTAAAATTTATTAAAGATTCAATTAATTCAGAATTTGTTAGTAGAAAAAATGGTGAAATTATTAAAATTGCTAATAGTGTTGAAGAAGTTTTTGAGGCTATTGAAAATTATAAAATACCAGAAGGTAGATTTAATTTAAAATGGGAACAAACGTAAGAAATGCGGTCACGATGCATATAGAGTAGGTAGGGAGGATGCTTATAGAGTGGGTAGGCAAGGATGCATCAAACTTAAACACAAAAATTGTAAATCTATAGTCTATAAATATATATATATATATATCAATGAGGATTATAACTACTACTTCCTTCTTCTTTTTCATCATCATCTTCAACATGAAATAAATCACTAAATTCATCTTGCGGTATTTCAACTTCAAATAAATAACCACTTGAAACATCATAAATCAATCCCCAAACTTCTATACTTGAATTTTTTAAAGCCATTGAAGCACTTGGATGTCTTTTCAAAGCTAATACACTAGATATAACATTTAATTCAGCCAATTTTTTAGCTTTTAATTTTGGATTATCATTATATTGATCTAATAATTTAACATTGGCAGCTCTAATATGTCTAATTGGATTTAACCAAAGATCTAAAACACCACCTATTTTCTTTTTACTTAATGACGCCCATATTCCACCACAATCAGTATGACCACAAACTATAATTTTTTTAACTTTTAAAACATCAATTGCAAATTGAATAACTCCTTGCGAACTAATATCATTTGAATTTATAATATTTGCAATATTGCGATGTACAAATATTTCACCAGGTAAACAAGCTAAACATTGATCACCTGCTCTTGAATCAGAACAACCGATCCACAAAGTATGAGGAGATTGACCTTTACCATTTAGTTCAAATATTTGATTACCATGATTATGTTTAATTGAATCAATATAATATTTATTATTATTGAGATAGTCTTGTAAATTTGAATCTTTAGATAAAGTAAATGGGAAATTTGTATGATTTGCAGCTGATCTAATTGGAGGTGTTAATTTTGTTTGTTCTTGAACATTTGGTATTTCATCTTTATTTAATAAATAATTTTCAATATTTTCTCTACCCATAATAAAATTTGAATTATTAAATAATCTTTTGGTAAGTATTGGATGTGATATGTAAGTAATTTTGGATAGTAGTTGTTTATTAAAAGAATTGAATGGAAACACGGCGAACAGAAATGATATAAATGAAATAAATGAAACAAAATGAATGAAATAAATGAAAAGTATAAAAGTAAGAAATTGTTGGGTATTCAAAACTATATATATATATATATAATTTGATAAATTTACGAGTGTTGATTTAACCTGAGGCTTTAGTTTTAATACGAAATTGGATTAAAGTCCGACAATGACCATGGCGGCACCAATGCCACCAATGCCACCAATGCCACCAATGCCACCAATACCACCACCAATGCCACCACCAGTGACACGCACCACTGGCACCAACATTAGTGTGGCATTAGGAATTAATACCATTTTAGTAATATTGAATTGATGTCACTAATATTATATATTACGAAATGTGTCTTGCATGAATAATTAAGTTACACAAACAGGGTAATAATCTTGATACCAATTAATCCGTCCAATTGTTGGGCCCGGATTAGTACGATATTTTATGATTTCTATTATTTACAGTTTATTATTCCGTCATTGATAACATGTAATATCATAAATACACTACTTTTTTTCTTTCTTACATAATCAATCTCATCTCTTCCATAATCCAATCTCATCTCTTCTTATCTCATCTTATGTCATCTCAAGAGTCACAGGAGTCAAAAGAGTCAAAAGAGTCAAAAGAGTCAAAAGAGTCAAAAGAGTCACATGATTAAGTAATTGGTAGCGTATCAGTGGTTTCTTTATTTGGTTAATTGGTTAAAGTATTGATTGCAAATTTTAGTTAATGCACTACACCAAACGCGTGTTACAATAATTTTATATATATATAAAAAAAAACCACCATTTGATTTGGCAACTTTATTTGTTTATTAAATGACTTCAACTAAACCTGATCATATATCAGATAATGAAGATCATATAAATCAAGGTCAACAAAATGGTGGTGGTTTATCTACAACCAGTAACTCAGAGGAAGATTTAAAAGAACTTATACAAAAACTGATTCAACCAAATTCCGCAAATCAAGAACAACACGAATTTAATTTACTAAGTAAAGATTTGAAACTTAATAGATTAAATAATTTGATTGAAAAATCTCAAATTTATTCAAAAATTATAGCTGATAATATTTTGCAGTCTTCATTACAGCAAAATAATAATAATAATGATAGTAATGATAGTAACAATAATAATAATAATTATATACCAAACGATGAAAAAGAAAATGTTGAACCTGATGGTGGTGATAATAAAAGGAGAAAGACAACTAAGAAGAAAAATAAGAAAGATAAAAAAGATAAAAAAGATAAGCAAGCCAAAAAAGCCAAAAAAGATATTACATCAATGTTATCTACCAATATTAGTTCGTCAACTAAATCAAAAAGAGATGAAATTGAACAAGCTCAAACTACAACTCATAGATTACAACCTATTTTAGTAACTGGAGGTACTCTAAAAAATTATCAATTGGAAGGTTTGGAATGGTTAGTTACTTTATATCAAAATGGTCTTAATGGTATACTTGCTGATGAAATGGGTTTAGGTAAAACATTACAATGTATTTCATTCATTGCATTTTTATTAGAAAATCAAATACATGGTCCTTTTTTAATTGTTGTTCCTTTAAGTACTTTATCTAATTGGTATAATGAATTTAAAAGATTTACTCCAAAGATTAAAGTTTTAAAATATACAGGAAATAAACAAGAAAGAGCTGAAATAAAATTAGATATAAGTACTTACGACGTTTTCATAACGTCCTATGAATTATCGATTAAAGATTTTAAAAAATTAGATACCATTAATTGGAAATATTTAATTGTAGATGAGGGTCATAGATTAAAAAATAGCCAATGTTTATTAATTAAAATTTTAAAGAAATTAGATTGTGTTAATAGATTACTTCTAACAGGTACTCCATTACAAAATAATCTAAATGAATTATGGTCATTATTAAATTTTATCCTTCCTGATATTTTTCACGATCTTGAATTATTTCAACAATGGTTTAATTTTGATGAATTAACAAACTTACAAAATGAAATAGAAACTGATGAAGAAACTAATAAAATCATTAAATTTAATATTCAAGAAACATTAATTAAAAATCTACATACAATTCTTAAACCATTCATATTAAGAAGATTGAAAAAAGATGTAATTAAAGACTTACCTCCAAAGAAAGAATATCTTATAACTATCCCATTAACCAAATTACAGAAAAAGATATATCTCGATGCAATTAATAAAAATTTAAGAAATGGATTAATTGAATGTTATTTAAAAGAATTTATTGAATATAATCATAAATCATTATTCAAAAATTTTGACATTGACAACTATTTAAAAAACAAGGACAATTTAAATAGTAAAAGAGTTGTTGATTCAAAATCAGATAAATCATATAAAGAAGTTGAATCAGATGACGATGATGAATTTGAAATAGAAAAATATAAACATGAATCAACAATTCCATCATATTCAAAAGCGTTGGAACAATTAAATACAATTCCAAAATCACAACAACCTCAATTTTTAATAAAATCAATACTTTCACATATTATTTCACATATTAATCATTTACATTTACAAGCTTTAAAATTAGTTCAATTGAGAAATATATGCAATTCACCTTATTTATATTATGAACCATTCATGCCTGATAAAAATTCAGATTCACAACTTTTCAAAATCCTAATTGAAAATTCAGCTAAATTTAAAGTCCTCAATCAAATACTACCAATAATTACAAAATCACATAAAGTATTAATTTTTTCTCAATTTACTCGTATTTTGGACTTGTTAGATGATTGGTTAAATTATGAAGGATTTAATATTTGTAGATTGGATGGATCAACAGCACAAACAACAAGAGAAGAACAAATTCAACTGTTCAACAATGACAACAAGTATAGGATATTTTTGTTATCTACTAGAGCAGGAGGGTTAGGTATAAATTTAACAGGAGCTGATACCGTTATTTTATTTGATAGTGATTGGAATCCTCAAATGGATTTACAAGCAATTGATAGAGTACATAGAATAGGACAAGATAAACCAGTTAAAATATTCAGATTTATAATTCGAAATTCAATTGAGGAGTTATTGATAAGTAAAAGTTCATCAAAAAGATTTCTTGAGAAATTAGTTATTCAAATGGGTGAATTTAAATTTAATAAATTGAAAAGTATAATTGGTAACACTGAAGATAATGCTGATGATTTGAATGTTAAAGAGTTACTCGAGTTGTCTAAGTATAATTTTAAGAATACAGAACAGGGAAAAGAGGAAGATGATGACCAGATTTTATTAGATGATGATGAAATTAATGAATTTCTTGATAGAAGTGTTGAAAATTATAAATCTATTGATGATTCAAAGTTTAAAAATTTGTCTATTTTTGAAACTGTTAATAATATGGATAAATAAGATGTTAACATAAAACGGTAGTTTTTGTTTATTGCCTATTACTACATTGTTTTGTAACATAATATTCTGCTTCTTTATCAAAGTTCTCTTGTCAGTAGCTCTTGCATCCTTACCTTTAATTATTTGATACATTGTCTTCTTGTAATTTTCCATCCTTACTATTCTGTTGCTGTTTTAACTAATTTAAAATTTGTAATCTAAAGCTTTGCTATATTATTTTTTGAACATTGTTGCATCCTGACCAGTTCAACATTTTCCCTCCAATGAATAGCATTATAAACAGCACCATAACTCCAAGTTAAATCTTCCGCACCTTGCATAAATCCAGTATATTTATTAAATTGTTCACTCATTCTACCTTTATCGGAATGGAACTTAACAACATTCAAATAAGAATCACCATATTCCAACAAAGCAGATATAACCTTATCGTACTCATTAGTATCATAACTAAACGCTCCCTCTCCCTCAACAATATTCTTATAAAAAGCAGCATTAGTTTCATCTATGATTATATCTTTCTTTTTTGTAATTAAGTTATATATCATCCTATAGATGAATTCAGCAGCTGTTGCAGTGCTTAAAAACCATGGATTTCCTTCACTTGTACCATATCCATCATAAATATCTTCAGGATACCTTCCAAGTGCGTTTCCAAGTTCAAATTCATGTAGTTTATTTATTGGATATATGGATTTGAAAGCCTGACTTAATAATCCTAATGTAGTCATTACTTTATTCTCATTTGCAATATTAAGGTCAGTATGTATTATAGCTAAGATCGAAGCAATATCCAATCCTGATCTATCACTCTTTGGATGTTCGTTGATGTATATACTATTTAAAAATCCAAAATCAGTTATGAATTGCTTCAATTCAAAATAAGCCAAATTCAACATTTCTTCAAACTTTGTATCATTGAATGCATGAGAATATTCTATTCCTAAACTCAATGAATTTAATTGCACCATAGCAGTAAAGAAATGAATTGAATTAATTTCTTCCCATAAATCAAATCCTTCAAATTTAAAATTTGACATAATATAAGATAAATCAGGTTTAATTATTTTATGATAAACAAAACTCGAGTTCAAACCATTGCCCATTTCTAATCCAGTCTGGTTCAAGTAAGTAAGATATTTCATAATTGATTGACTTCTTAATGCTGGTCCATCACGTTGTGGTCTTCCCCAATTATCATCGAATGAAGTTAAATCAACATTGAATTTAGGTTCTCCCAATCCATTCAAACTTGTAAAATTTCCTGATCTATTATTGATTCTCTGTAGTTGATATTGATTCCAAATGTACCATTCTATAATATTTTGAATTTCAAGGTCGGAATTAGTTTCGAGTTGGGTGATTAGGGTTTGGATTGTCAATGCACTGTCTCTGACCCATTCGTAATAATAATTTGGTGATTCAATTGATGGTGATGCTATTATTACTCCTTTTTTAAGTTTATCGCCGCAGCCTATATTTTTTAAAATTGAATTTATACATATTCGTTTTTGATTAATTAGCCAATCTTTAAATGAGTATTCAAATACTGATTGAAAGGAGAATACCGATGTTATTATAAATAGAATGTTGAGTATTTTCATTGTGGTGTGGTTGTCGGTTGGTTGACGGTTGCTAGTCGATGATAAGATAACAAATTTTACGAAATTGAAATCTCGATTTTATGTCATCATGTTATACTATCCACAGTATTGAATAGAGTTTTTATAAGAGTTACAATTAGAAAAGTGTTGTTGTTCTAGTGTTTCATAATTTAAAAAATAGTATTAAAAAGTATTATTATATATTCAAAGATGATGATTCTTATTCATATTTATTTGGAAAACTTATAATCAGTTTTGCTGTATTTCTTCTCATACCTAAACTTCTAATCAGTCTTCTTGAATTAAAAATTGGTCTTGCTTCACCATCTTTGATAGCTCTATTAAGTCTATTTAACCACCAATTTGCAAAACATAAACTAACTAATATAACAACAATTAAAACACCAAGTATACCGAAAAACCAAGCCAATGTTTCAGCATCCTGCCCTGGAACTTTAACATTCATACCAAATAAACCAGTAACTAAATTCAATGGAACTAACATAGTACCAATCAATGTAACTTTTGAAAACATTTCCAGAATTTTATTATTTGAATTAAATGATTCAACTTGTAATTGTGCAAGATAATTTGAATGTGATCTACTAAAGATTTTCTCATATGCTAATAAATTTTGAAACATTGTAATTATATGATCTTGAATATCACCGAGATATAAAGCAATATCTGCTCTTGGTCTAGCTGGATTATAATTTTGTTGTTGCCAATTTAAAGAATGTGGTTGAAATGAATTTTGTTGTTGAATATTAATTGATGAATTTTCAGGTGAAAATGTTTGTTGTTGTTGTTGTTGTTGTTGATTTTGTTGTTGATTTTGTTGTTGATTTTGATATCCTGCTGCTTCATCTTGACATCTTTTTGCAAACATTTTAATAACATCAGCTTTACCAGATAATAATCTCATTAATGTCATTACTTTTCTTCTTGAATCACCAATTCTTTGTAACATATTACTAAAATCCGTATCTCTAGCAACAAATACATCATCTTCAATTGCATCTGCTTCATATTCAATTGCATGAATTATAGGAGCAAAACCATCAGTTATATCATCAATTAATGCATAACATAACCAATCTGCAGTAACATCAACATAATCACGTAATTGTCTAACTCTTCTTCTTACATTTGCTGGATGACTAATTGGCGAAAAATGAAAACTTAAAATACCATCTCTAAATACAACAATGTAAACATTTATTGGTTCAAGATAATCTTCACTTTCTTTATCTGGTTCAAATGTATGAAAACATACAAAATAATAACTTCTAAATAATTCAACTTTTTCTCTTGTTTCTTGCATTCTAATATCTTCTGCAGTTAATGGATGAATACCAAAAGCTTTTGCAAGCATCTTCATTTCTGAATCTGTTGGACAAGTACAATCTAACCACCAAGTTTTTTCACCATTTTTAAATAATTCACGTACTGATTGATTTGGTGATATTAATGATTGAATATCTGGAGCATGTATAGTTTCTTCATTTTCTGAATGGAAAAATGAAAAACGATCAGGTAAAGTACCATTAGTACCATCAGAAATTCTTGCCCCACCAAATTTAACTTGTTCAACACTATCATCATTTATAGTCTTCATTTCAACATCATCTGATGAAGTAGTATCTTCAACAACTTTTTCCCTGGTGAAATTGCGAAGTATATTCTTTGGTGTGTATTTCATAGCTGCTGATGATCTATTACCAGTATGAATTGAAGCTGATGATGAATATTGTGGATATCCAAATTCATTAGTTTTATTTCTTGCTAGAAATTCTTGTTGCCTTTCAGTTTCTTCACGTTCTTCTCTTATAAATTCATCAATTTCATCAAAATCAATACCATTAATTCTAACATGTTCACGCAACATTGGAAAACAAACATCTTCTTCAGTTTCTTGTGAGGATCTTGATGCATGAGAATCAGCTTCTGAATCTATTGAACTTTTACTTAGTCTTCTTTCATGTGGTTGATTATTATTAGGTGGTTGTAAATTAATTTTTGAAGATTGTGAATCATTTGTCTTTGTTCTTGTCATTTCATCAATTGTACTTTTTCTACGTTTATTGAATATTGGAATTGGGAAAGTATTATTATCATCATTATCATAATTTAAATTAAAATCTTTCTTTAATGAACTCATATAAACTTTATTTTGTTGCATTTTCTGTAAATTTTGCAGTGCAATATATTTTTCATTATTAATACTAGATCTTCTTCTTGAATTTTTTCTCTTATCTGGTGGTAATTGGTTTAATGGTTGTGATTGTGAACGAGATTTAGTAGATGATGATTTTGATTCTTGTTGTTGTTGTTGTTGTTGTGATGTATTGCTTATTGGATCATATTCATCATCTGATATAGCACATGTATTATCTATTTGATGTCTATGATCATTTAAAACTTCATCAGTGTTTAAAGTACTTGGATGCGATTGATTATTTGATTCTATATCCGACATTGCTTATAATCATTGAGTATAAATTAAGGTATTTGAAATTTGACCTTGCCAAAACGTGTATTATATAAATTTACTTTTAAAAGCGTTGTAATTTGTAATAAATTAAAATCCTCTTGATAACATGAATTTACCAAAACTATAATACTTTTATATCATTTAATAATATATTGCTTCCTTTTATAAGTTGGCAGAATTCTATTATATAGTTATATTTGAATATAAGTGGATGATGCTTTCATGATGAAAAAAAAAAGAAAAAAAAAAAAAAATAAAAAAAAAAAAAAAAAAAAAAGAAAAAAATTCTGGAAATAATTTTTTGCATATAAATTTATCTGGTTGGTACACGACTAGTTAATATAAGAAATTTACGAGAATTGACACATAAATTGAGATTCTTATTTCAATTTCTTAGTTAACATAAATAAAGAGCCGTGGTTTTATGTTGAGGGTCAATAGTTCATGAGTGAGCCTGTAGAATATAAACAAGAGCCATATGACTAAGATTATCTAAAATAATAGAATACAATAAAGTAGAAGGAGCGAAATTGATAATATAATTATTTGCCTCATAGATTAAATTGTATTGTATAGTGTAATTTTCTATGAGACAATTTAGCGAAATGGCACGTTTATCATTATGCGACACTGAAACCTTATTTCTTGACATTACCAAAATCTATCGTAAATCACGTTCTAGATTAATACTACCAAGTAAGTACCTTCTACTTAACTCATTCCTATGTTTATATTATAATATACTGAGTCTTTAATATAATAAAACAGCTTAGTCCTTTTTAATTTAAAGTTCTTAGATTCTTCGTATATGCGGTATTAATTAATGGTTATGGTCATTGTCCAAATTTCAAAATAATTGGTCCGTAGTACCAATACTAACAAGAGATGAGTGAAAATAAAACAACTCAGTAAGTTAGTAAATTAATTAAAATACAATCTTAAGATACTCTCTATGTCACTTTAATGTGTTTATGCAATATTTGATAATTATTTGATAACAATTATGGTATAAAATTTTCTAGTTGAAATATTGGTGTCATAATTAACAAGAGAAGGGCGAAAATACCTCATTAAGATAGCCAGAAGTAGCAGTTACCTAGTTATATGGTCAATAGATACTCTACGGTGTATATCTTTATGTGTTATATTGTTATATTCATTTATCTATAATTCTATCTCTTGATAAAATTTTGATAGTACGATTTTTTTGATTTCTCGCCTGGTGAAAAATATTTTAATTTTCAAGATTGCAACAAATTGTGCCTATGAAATAGCGTAAATTTAACTACATTTGTACCTTTTGCATAAATTATTATGATGTTGTTACGATGTTTTACCAAAATACGATGTTGTTCAAATAGAACTAAAACTTTGCACTCAATTTTTTTATATCAAAAATTTTATCTTTCATCATCAGTACTTATAAAACAAATAGATAAAGAAGCAATTGAGAATAAAGATGACGTGACTCGGAATCAAAATATGCGGAGACTCGATGACAAATTTCAAGAGATAGATTTAATTGTATCCAAAGGATACTATACCGAACTAACAAAATTCAAAGATTCCAATAATTTGATCATTTATTCAATTAATAAATTAATGAGTAATTGTCCAATATTCATGAATTATAATTACGATTTAGAAGATCCTTACTTTCTAACTCGTGACAATTATTCATTTTCTACGGAATATTATAAATTCATAAATGAAAGAATACCCATCGCACAACAACTACTAGAAAATACAGACAACTCATTGGATATACTATCTTACAAGATTTGGATATATTATCATACGAACCAAGTAGACAAAATGGAAGAGTTATCACTGTACTTGACAAAACTAGATGAAGAATCACTAAATTATTACTTACAATCATTCATTTACAATTTCGATATTGAGAGGTTTAAAACATGGTATCATTACATTATACTAAACAGTTACTTAACATTATCCTCAAATTTTTTTAATTCATTAATCTACAATCTAATCCGGAAACATTGTCTATTTGACAACTTATTTTATTTTTTTCAATTATGGATTAATTCAACTCATGAAACACCTAATGTTAAAACAGTGTCTATGTTATATAAACAATTTTTCAAGTATGGTACAACTTTGGAGATCAAAGAATTTAGAAGAATATTGAAAAAATATGAGTATATTTATCACGATTTAATCAAATCAATTGAATTTCAAAATTATATAGTAGCAAGAGCTCCACTATCATTCAAGAAACAAATCAGTGATGAAGATAAAGAAATTATTCAACAGTTATGTACTACTGACGTTGAGGAAGCTTGTTATTCATGGTTGAATTTTATGAGTTCATATTCAAATTTAGAAAATATAAACTTCATATTGAAGATCTATAAGGAAAATTCAGGTAATGATAGTCTACCTAGTCGATACTTCAAGACATTAATTAAATATTATGAGAAACATGACTCGTTCATCCCCTTGTTGCAACTATTAGAAAAATCACACAATCAAATCAAATATCATCCATCATATTTGAAAATCATCTTAGGTACATTTATTTACTCATTTTCAAAATACAGTCCAATGTTAGTGGATAGAGTCAACCATCTTTTAGGCAGTTCAGTATTTCAATTAACTAAATTATCATCACAATTTTACCCATATCATTTAAAACAAAAAATGGATCCACTAAAATATGATCCAAATCAGTGGCAATCAATAACTTATAAACCAAACAATAATCCAATGAACGATCAAATTGAATATAGAGTAAATCACGGTTTCAATTCAATTATAAATCGTGGAGTCATGCCTGATTTTAAAATATTATTAGATACTTTTCGATTCACTAATTCATTAAATTATAGACTCAAAATTAAACAAATTCTTAATAGGACCAGATTATATAATTTGAAGAATAGAATGACTTTTGAAATTAAATCCATGATTCATCCAAGCTTAACAGAATCTGATTTATTGCATTTCTACAGCACAAATAAGGATAATTTGAACGATTCACATAAGTTTAATCTTGTTCGACTCATGATTGATCGTAGGATGTACAATGAATCAATCGAATTGATTGATTCCATTGATGAATCATATTTAAATTCAAAAAATGCGATGTTGAAATTCGTGTTGACGATTAGAGCACATTTGATAATTAATAATTTTGAATGCATTATATATACAATTGAGAATTTCAAGTTGGATAGGATATATATGAGTAATTATTTATTGAATCAGTCTATTTACCTCGAAAGCATTTTGTTTAATCGATTAAAAAATGACAAGTTGGAGAAAGATGAATTGCAATTGGGTAAGAGATCATTGTTGAAGCTTAGACTGTTTATTGGTGATGTTGAACATATATTAAAGAAGGATGAAGAGGAGGAAGTTCCAAATTTGATTAGTCGAACAATGAATGTTTTGAATGATTGGATTAAATGATATAAAATATAGATAAAATATATAATGATTAATGAAACTGGATCATATGAGCTCGATTGAGATCTAATGAAAAAATTGAATGAAAATGTCCAGTGGAATGTCTAAATATTCTAAATATTCATTATTTACTCGTTTTTACCTTCTCTGAAGTCGACTTTGATTGATATATTTGAGCAACAGGTCGTAAGTATAGGAGGATTTTTTAACCGTGTTCTAGACTTCAAATTGCATTAAATTCAACTAGTTTAGTATGTTGTGCTATCTTCTACTTTTGTATTTAGTAGATATCGTGTTTGTGAAATATCAGCTGCAAAAAAGTCAAAAGAATGCTTATCTTTTGATAATAATATCCTCCTTGTAAGTATATGTGGCAAACAACTCGATTGTCCGTTGAAGAATGTTTAAATTATCAACAACCATTGACTTCAAGGTTTTTCTGGCTTCACAAATTGAGTAGAGAATTAATTTAAGCTGAATCAGATATTGAAGACCTTTAGATTTGACACTTTAGTTCTTAGTGATCAACTCAAGCTCCATAAATGTTTTAACTCTAAGAGGATCTTTTTTTTGTTTATTATTGCAATCTTCTTCAAACCTGTCCCATGTACGAAAATTATATTTAATTTCAACAGTAGTAATAAATGAGGTAAAATCCAACTCTTGAATTGTCTATCATACAAAAAAAAAATTGATGTTTAAAACGTAAATTGCCAGAAATGATATCAAATAACTCTTTGGTAACTCATGTAATCCATTAATAGCTTGATCCCTTGCTTGGGTAATTGATTTTTATTTTCGGTGATTAATGAATTTAATTTAAAATTTCGCGTGGCAATTTTTAAATTAATCAGGTACCAAAAAAATTATCTCGTAATTCGCCCCAAATCTCGTATGAGCAACTCTTCTTTTAGATCCACCACAGTAAATACTTAAAATAAGTGAAGAAATGCGTTCAATAAATTTATTCTGCTTTACTATCTTGTCAGCTATTTAAATCATCTCTATCATGCTTCGTAGTGGGCGAATTGACTACATGCTAAATATTCGTTATCCGGGGTTTGAATTATCAGATATCTGCAAATGCTAGCTTCTGTTAAGATTCAATTGTATTGAATTGAGTAATGTACGAAGTTTATTCAAAGTTATCCCAGCCCTCATACTGATTTCTTACCCTAACTTATGTCGTTTCTTGCTAGCCTTAATTCTGATTGTAATCGTCATTATTGATTCTTTATTCTCTAACTCAATTCAAAAGTACTTCATAAGCAAAAAACTCATATATTAATTGTACTTCTGTTTGTCTCATCTAATTTGGAAGTTGATTTGTCTTTAATGTCTATAATAACTGCTGCGAAGTTCACTTCAGATTCTTGTGAGATGGTCTTCCAACAATCAGGCAGTTTATTGGTACTAAATTTCAGTATTCCCAGTAAATGTTAAGCGTCAAGACCTCTTTAACGCAGATTGACTGTCATTAACTTTTCCAACATAAAGAGAAGGATATCAATTTTTCATACAAGACAACGAGATGTAAAACAGGTAGACGATTTGGGTCTTGGGCAATTCTGAGATATACACATTCACATCGAGCTACAATTACGGCCAAATTGGGATGGCTTATACTTTATAATTAATTCACTGAGTGACATCATTTGAGTTTTCACTTCAAATGAGCACATAACTATGCTAACAAAAATCATAGTCACATAACTTAGTCTTCACTTAAGTTTCTAGCTAGAATGCAACTTTTTATAACACCTTAGTAACAGTTTATTCTGTTTATAATTTTCTAGCTGTCAACCCTGGACGTAAGTAATTGGTAGCGTGTTCAATTTTCTTAATGGCAAAATTTACAACGATAAAAAAAAGAAGTATAGAACCATAGAACCGTGAAAAATTATGCTAAAAAGGTATAGCTTGGGATTTCTAAAATCCTCGTTAAATATTCCTAAAGGTTTGGGTAGGACACCTATTCATAATAATTATCAAATTACAAGAACTTTCAAATCTTCAAGTATACAGTATTTTCAAAAATCAAAAGTTTTGCAGAATAAGGATGGGAATAAAGATAAAGATAAAGAAGATAGAAAAAAACAACAACAAGAAGATGATGAACAGGAGAAGATACGTCAAGAATTCAAAAAGAAACATCCAGATATTGATCCAAAAAATTTGAAAATTTTTAAAATTTCATTTCCTCAAATTGGTATATTAGTTGCATGGACATTATCAGGTATTTTATTATGGTATTCATTAATAAATAACGTTACTGAACAAAATGAATTATCAATGCAAGATTTCATAACAAATTATCTTGAAAGAGGTTTAGTTACAAAATTAACAGTTATTAATAAGTATGCCGTTCAAGCACAATTAATTCCCGGGGCTGCAAGTCATTCAACATATACTAATTCACAAGGTTCACCAGAAGTTGTATTTACAATAGGGTCAATAGCATATTTTGAAGATGAAATGGCACAAGTTCAAGATAGATTAGGAATACCTATTAATGAAAGAATTCCAATTTTATATGATGAAAAACACCTGATTTTAAGTTATGTAGTACCCATCTTACCAACTATTTTATTAATTGGTGGGTTATTTTATTTAACTACTAGAAGATTACCAACACAAGGTGGTGGAGCTGGTGGAGGTCCTGGTGGAATCTTCAAAATTGGTAAAAGTAAAGCAAAATTATTTAATCAAGAAAATGATGTTAAAATTAAATTTAAAGATGTTGCAGGATGTCAAGAATCAAAGGAAGAAATTATGGAATTTGTTAAATTTTTACAAGATCCACAAAAATATGAAAAATTGGGTGCAAAAATTCCAAGAGGTGCAATTTTATCAGGTCCACCAGGTACAGGTAAAACTTTATTAGCAAAAGCAACTGCTGGTGAAGCTGGAGTACCATTTTTATCAGTTTCTGGTTCTGAATTTGTGGAAATGTTTGTTGGTGTTGGTGCGTCAAGAGTTCGTGATTTATTTAAAACTGCAAGAGAAATGGCACCATCAATTATATTTGTTGATGAAATTGATGCAATTGGTAAAGAAAGAGGTAATGGTAGAGTTGGAGGTAATGATGAAAGAGAAAATACTTTAAATCAATTATTGGTTGAAATGGATGGTTTTGATACTACTGATCATGTTGTTGTATTGGCAGGTACAAATAGACCTGATATTTTAGATAAAGCATTGTTAAGACCTGGTAGATTTGACAGACATATTTCAATTGATATTCCTGATGTTGAAGGTAGAAAAGAAATTTTTAAAGTTCATTTAACTAAATTAAAATTGAAATCAATAGAAGATATTGATATTAAACAAAAAGATGTTGATTTTGCAAAATTTCAAGATTTGAAAAATAATGCTATTGATCAATTAGCTGGTAGATTATCAGCATTAACTCCCGGGTTTGCAGGTGCTGATATTGCAAATTGTTGTAATGAAGGTGCTTTAATTGCTGCAAGAGAAGATGCAAAAGCTGTAGAAATTCATCATTTTGAACAAGCAATTGAAAGAGTTATTGCAGGTTTAGAAAAGAAATCAAAAATTTTATCTCCAACCGAAAAGAAAACCGTTGCTTATCATGAAGCTGGACATGCAATCTGTGGTTGGTTTTTAGAGTATGCTGATCCGTTAGTTAAAGTTTCAATTATTCCAAGAGGTCAAGGAGCTTTAGGTTATGCGCAGTATTTACCAAAAGATCAATATTTAGTTTCTCAAGAACAATTTAAACATAGAATGATTATGACTCTTGGTGGTAGAGTTAGTGAAGAATTACATTTTGATACTATAACAAGTGGTGCAAGTGATGATTTTAAAAAAATTACATTAATGGCTCAACAAATGGTTTTAAAATTAGGTATGTCTAATAAATTGGGCCAAATTTGTTATGAATCAGGTGGTGATGGTGGTTTTAAAGTACATAATAATTATTCAGAATCTACTGCAACTATAATTGATGAAGAAATCAAAAAACTTATAGATGAAGCTCATGAAGAATGTAGAAAATTGTTAAGTTCAAAACTTGATTTAGTTGAAAAAGTTGCACAAGAATTATTTAAAAAAGAGGTTTTAACAAGAGAAGATATGATTAGAATATGTGGTGAAAGACCATTTTTGGAAAGAAATGATGCTTTTGATAAGTATATAAAAGGCAAAGATGCATTTAAAGGTAAACCAAAACCAAAAACTGATGAAGGTGAACCTGAAATGGCATAATTGTAAATAGTTTTATATTTTAAAATAGATATAATATAATTGTAAATATTATAAATAAATGGAAGACTATTTTAATAATGAAACTAGTTACAGTGCTCTTGTAAGCCAATTCGAAATCTTTAGGCAGTTGCAAGCTTTGTAGGTCAATGGTTGGAAAATCCGCCTACCAATTAAATTTAATCAGCAAATAACCGTTTCTTTCATTGAAAGTTTCATTTTAATTTTGAAACCATACCAATTGGAACACTTATTTTGACTCATCGTCGATAATAAAACTATCATTTATTCTTGAATCGTCATCCTCATCAAATGTTTCATTAGTATCCCTTGATTTGATTTCATTTGTGTCTCTTGATTTCGTTACATTTGTTTCTCTTGGTTTCGGTCTATGACCAGTCATTAAATGTTTTTTATACATTTTCGGATCGTGAGTAGTAAACTTACAATTTCGAAATATACATGAAAGTGAATGCTTAACAACATAATCATCATACAACATAGTATCATCATCTGAGCCCAAACTAAAAGAATCATCTTTATCGATGTTTGTATAATGATCTTTTTTATACCTGTTACCTTTGTTTAAAGCTTTAATAATCCTTCTCGACTCATCTTCCTCTCTATTTGAATCAACAAATTTAGCAGTATCACCTTGACTATCATATAGACTATCACTAATTGGTGTTTCATTTTCGCTTTGATCTGAATCAACAATATTCCATAAACCACCTTCCTCATCATCACTCAATTCCTCTAAATGGCCATTATTAGTTATTACTTCACCAGTTAGTATATTTATTTCATCACTTTGTTTTGAATCATCAATTTTCGAATATTTATCAAGTATTGACTTCCACTCATTTTGAAATCTTCTCAGATTCGATTTCTTTATCTCCCTTAATTTAGCTTTACGTTTATCACCTTCTAAATTATCCAACCGTTTCAATTCGTTTTGTCTTGCATAATAATATTCATCATCATCTTCATTGGATGATATTTTAATCAGGCCTTGCGAATCATCCATAAATAAACAAATGAAAAAAAAAATAATATACTAGACCAGATTTAAATGTAAAAAGATAACGATTATATATATTTCCGAAATTAATAAATATAATATTAGCATCAAACACTAGCTCGAGGTCTTTGTTTTTATAAATTCATCCCAACAAGTTTCACAAATTTTTAAAAATTTCTTCTTTTCAACATTTATCCAATCTTCTTGTTGTTCACTATCTTTAGTTTCTGTAGAATTAATACTTGATAAAGGAGATTTACCGTTCCCACTACTTGTTGTAGAACTTCCATTACTTCCATTACTTCCATTATCACTCAAATCATTTTTCTCAAATATTTTAAAATTAAATATATTTTCATTCATAAAATTTATACTTCCAAAAATTTCATTCTTCTTAGGATTTAAATTTACTGGTAAATAATGTGGTATAGGATAAGGATATGGTAATTGTACTGGAAGTCTTTGAGGTGGTGTTGGTTGTGATGGTTTTGGTGGTTGAGGTAATTGTGTCGATGCTGATTTCATTCTTGATTGAGCTGTTAATGGTTGAGCATTTGGTGGTGCTGCTTTTTGAACTTCTCCTGCAAAAACATCAGTAACAGGATTTGAATTTGCAAGTAAACTATGAATTTCTTTATACGAACTATTTGTAGATTTAGCTTTTCTTGGTAAATTAGTATTCGCATTAATATTCACATTTGAATTAATTATTTTCTTTGTTGGTTTTAAAGTTTGATATGTAATTTGTGCTGATGGTAAAGAAGCCCTCGATAGTGAATTAGAAATTGGAGCAGGTGCAGGCGGTGGTAATTTCATTTGTTGGATTGGTGCAGAATTAATCATAGGATTTGGTTTTGAATTAGTTGATATATTTAATGGTTGTGGTATTTTATCTCTTTCCAATCTTCTCCTTTTTAATCTATTCAAATCAGCATCATCAGAAGCATAAACTTTCAATGAGTTTATACGTGAATTTGATGTAGTATTAGGGTTATAATTTTGGGGTTGTGGTGGAATATAATGTGTTTGCATTTGAGAAAGTGGTGGAAGTTGTTGAATTAATTGTTGTTGTTGTTTTTGTCGTTCATTTTCCTTTTCCAATTGAACTTTTAAATTATTTAGATCCTTTTGCATATTTAATAGACCTTCTTGATCCACATCTTTACCATGATTTCTAATATTTATTAAATATTTTTGTTGTTGTTCAATTTTTTGTGATATTTTAACAGTAGTTTTCATTTCATCAGATACTAAAGGTGGTAAACCTGGTGAAACAATACGTAAAGCTAAATCAGCATTTGAAGTACCATTTAAATTTAATTGTTGTGGTTTATTATGACGTTTTAATGGTGGTGGTTGGATATCTATATTTGAAAGAGAATGTTTTCTTGATATATTTGAAGTAGTTGATGTTATTGAATTTGGTAATGATGGTGGTGGTGATATTTGTGAAGTTATAGATTGAATTGAAGGTAAATCAATTTTAGACATATGAAGATAAACTTGGAACTAGGGATTAAAAATTGATTTGAATGGATTTGATTACTAAACTTTGTGATGGATATTTATAGTTTATTCGTTTATTTTGATATTCTCTTTTTAAATTAATTATAAACGATATAAAATTCAAATATGAAACAAAGGAATATAATAATTAAATTTTTGTTATTTCAACTTTTGGTTCAAGAATTTAATAAATTTATTTTTTTTTATTTTTTTTTTTTTTTTTCTTTATTTTTTTATTTTTTTGAGTTTTGAATATTTATATATTATACACTACTAATATTTACACGATCAATACGTGAATACCGTCTATTTTAATATTGTATGGACTTGAATTAAAGAAAGTAGCAATCTTATCGATAGTTTGTACGTTGAAATCTAGATCTCCAAGTTGGAATATTGTCAAAATGGTTGCCAACTCAACAATTAGAAAAAATTTAACGTATGTATGCATGTCAAGTTTAATTTTTAATTACTAGATTCGTTTATTACTGTGTTTCAAGCTTCTTAGACCGCTAAACAAAGAACAAAAACAAATTGAGGTATATTGACTAATTGATCTATATAATTGAAAGGAGTTATATGTATGTGTATCTATGTTTATCTTTGCATTTGATTTTGAATTTAAGTTCATATGTAGTGGTGCATATATTACAATTATTACATAATATTGTTTCAGAAATTTTATGGGTGACGAATGATTCATAAACAATTTAAATTTAACTCAACGACAAGAGTTAATAACAATTAAAGCTTTGTATGACTCTACTCGATAAATTATATTGTTACAATCATGCTTTTGATGTTTTAGATTAATTTTATTGTAATTTAAACTTTTAAATGACTAAATTTAAACAATAGAATTCGTTGATAATTACCTATAAGCAGATCCACGATATTTATTAATAAATTTGGAGCTTGAATAAATAAAATTAGACTGAAGTAGATAAAATTCCAACTTAAAACAGTTGTATATATATATAAAATTCCTCTAGAATTATAAAAATAGAGTGTTGTAAAGTACAGTTATACATTTCCTTGTATTATGTACCTTAAAACTTAAAACTTAAAACTTAAAACTTAAAACTTAAAACTTACAATGCATTATTGTTAAGTTAGACTTAGAGTTAATTTTTAACATGATTTTTAATATTATTGAATCCTGTATATATAAATGAATCTTATTATTATATGTACGGCGTGTTAATAATCTCCAATTATTTATTATCAACATATTTGAAATTCTCGATTAAACTTAAACTGAACGAACGTCAACTGATGGGATGGAGATTTTAATGAGGACAATCATTTTTAGCTTTCTTTTTGGTTAACTTATCAAGCTATGTTTATTTATTCAAATAGCCTGTAAATATCAGCAAGAGCTCTATTTTAAATAGTAGCCGTATTTCTCATAGTTCCATCCGCCTAATCTCGCGTAACATTCCAATTGTTAATTTTGTGGTTATTATTTTAACATGGTCGTCCCTTATTTGTTAATTTTTACATTTAATATCACTTATAATCAATTGTACATATAGTATTTTTTGTATAATTTATATCTCGTAATAAAAATATTTGTTATCTTAAACCTTAACTAGATTATTGTTATACTTTACAATTGTTTATTTAAATTTATATATAATTCAAACTATAGACTAAATTGTTTAAGCAGTATATTGTTCCCAACCTTTTGGTCTTTTAAAATTATTAACAGTATAATATTTAGTTGTACAACTATAACCTCTCCATGTGAAATCTTTATCTGGATTACAATTACAATTTCTACTCAATCTTGTTTCTTTATTAACTGGACAATTTGTAAAAGGAACATGGAAATATCCAACATCTTCAAAAAAATGAACTTTTTCTCTTGGTAAAAATAAAGCAGCTGCAATTGAATGAACTGGTGCATCACCCCATCTTTCGTAAAAGAATCCACCAGCTTTATCTAAATATTCAAAATATTTTTGATATCCTTCTGATCTCCAAAAATTTAAACTTGCAATTTCAAAATTTGACCAGAAATGACATCCATTATATGTTTGACCTTTATCATCTGAAATCCAATCTAATAAATTATTTTGAGCTAAATATTTTGGATTTGCTTCAATAAATTCTTTTGTAGTTTGCCATAAAGTTGGAATTGTTTCTTTATATTCTGGTAATGAAATTGTAAAACTATATTCTTTACCATTATCTTTCATCCATTTGAAAATATCATAATTTACATCACAGTAAATTTTAATATCTGGTTCAACTCTCCAATAATATTCATATTCTTTTAAAATTTCCTGTCTCCAAAAGAAACCACTTTCAAATCTACACATATGTCTATAAGATTCTGAATGTCCATAAATAATCTTCTTTCTAGTCATTTCTTCTCTAACTAATGCCGCTTTTTCTTGATCAATCCACGCAGGATATGACCAATGTTCTTTTGGAATCAAACCAAATTTAGCTTTACCTGAAACTAATGCACTAACAGTATCTTTAAATTCTTGATTAAATTCTTCTTCATTAAGAAAAACCCAATCATAATGATAATTTTTATTAAATCTATCTTCAACTTGTCTAATTGATTCAGCTAATGAAAATAAATCTGAATTTCTTGCCAATGAAACAAATGTAGCTTTAACTTTATCTGTTGCAACATTATAATTATCTGAAATATCAATTTGAGGAATTGGTTGCGGTTGGCCATCTACAGAATATGCTTTTGGCAATGGACCTCTTTGTTTACCACCTTGAACTATGTTTTCACCTTGATTTATAGGTTGTCGATCTAGAGTTTCTGGTTGAGTTTGTTGTTGTGAAGGAGGTTTAACATTTGTAGTTGAATCTTTTTGAATATTTGTTGGTGGTTCAAATGATGACCCTCTAGTTAATATATAACCACATCCAATTAAAATTAAAGCAAATATTCCAAATCTAATTAATCTGGCATTAGATCTAGTTGAAGCCATGGTAAAGATTAATTGATTAAAATATCTAAATGTATCAAAATTGGGAATTAAATAAAAATATTTCGTTCAATTCAGAGGTCGAAAAAAAAAAAAAAAAAAAAAATTTAACGTGTCTTCAAAAACAAAAAAAGAAGAAAAGACGAGTCTAAAATACATAAGGAGGCGTTTCATTATTAAGTATATAAATAGATCGATATATCCAGTATGAAATTGGTTTTAGTTCTATTTGTTTTTCGAATTGGATAATGAACGAATGACTTCCGGGTTGGGCTTTACTCTCAAAGTATTCAACGTTTGATATCTGACCATACCCTCAGTTCAAAATTTTAGGTGAAATGTAACATTTTCTTGTGCTTTTTCTAACCATAAGGTGTTGTATTGCAACAAAACTATTTATAGTATAACTATAGTATTCTATGCATGAATTCATAAATTTGGAATTAAATTTTTCTTTACTTCTTTAACCAATTACGGTAAATCATAATGGATTCAAATGTGTTGAAGACCCTTTACATCTGGATAGGAAATTTTCACTAGCGTATCCTTAAACTAAATAGGATTTAACCTTTGATATCCGTTTCTAATTTTGTATTTGTTTTATTTACGTTGTTCTCGACCCATAAGCCAATAAGCTTAGTACGAGGTCGCCTAAAAATGATCGCGAGAAATTATATTGTCGCGCTAAGTTATAGCTATATAAAATGCGTATTCTTGAAGGTAATTCTGAAACAAATTTACTTATATGCAGTTTCGCCATAGTTAATCTTAAAATTTAAATCGTCAATAACTCTCTCAATATTCTAGCTACTAACCTCTAACTTTTTTCCTCGAATATTCGATTATTCTATAATAAGCTGATGCTAGTATCCTTGGAGGAAATATAATTTTGATCATTTTATTCTTCATTTAAATAATGTTAAAAAACGCTATTTTACAAGATATCGAACACTTGGACCTCATTTATTAACTTCTTATACCGCTGACCCGGTTTATTTGATGCCCAAAAAATTTTGTATAATGTTTTCAGGACGCAAAATTTGCAAAAATTTCATACCACTTCTGAAAAATTACTTTTCCATTTTGAATATCTTAACACTACAAAAATTAAACCACATCAGAATGGGAGATCACAAATCTTGTTACTTTTATTGTACTATAATCCCGATAGTCATTGTGGAGTTGAATTCTTCTTAAGGTCAAATTACTCAATTTTCCCCATACTTAAGAGGAAATTTTGAAATTTGTCAATTTTAGTTCATGTCATCTAGAAACAAGTTCAGCTCTTTAGTTTGAGATATTATATGTATAATCCACTATTTAATTGAAAGTCATGGCCGTAAATTAAATGTACCTTGTCTCAGTTTTAGCAAATTTTTTGTATTGTGAAAAAAGCCCAAAATGACAACTCAAAACGAAGATACTTGGAATCAAAAGCTCAAAGTATTTTGAGAATATAATTCAAGGCTCCTGATTTCATATAAATGGTATTTATTTTGAGAAAATGTGCTGTTTATGACTTATAGGCCAAACAGTTAGTACAAGGTCGTCTCAAATCTAGCGCGACAAATTATTTTGTCACAACGAGTCATCTATACTCCAAAATGAATCTATGTAGTATAATAAAAACAGATAGATACAAGTTTACCTCCTATTCTTTAGGTATATTTAAGCAATATTAAGACTCATATCTTTTAATGTGGCGATTGTATAATTGTAATTAAAAACTTTATACTTTTGAACAGCAACATATTTGGTAGCGACGTTCACCATACATTATATTTAAAATCAGATTATAATATACTAACAAACGAGTTCATTGATCTAATCACTATGTTGGTGTCTCCGTAATTCATTTTATTCAATAATTGGAGCTTAGATGCATTTGAAACTAAAGAGAAAAATAGCCAATGGGCTCATAATGGCTCTCCACACTATATTCAAAACTTTATCCAGGAAAGTAATTGATTCCGGTTTAATAACATTTGTTGCGTATTTGAATCTTTATTCAATTATAATATTTCAAGCTCAGATCTCAACGTTCGACTCACTGCAATATTCAGTAACTTAATACTATGAGCTTCTGAGTTAAGATCATAAATTCTCGTTAAATTGCAATTAGAAACACCAGATGCTAAATTGCTGAAATCTATTGACTATTGTTTCTCTTACACTAAAATTCAATTGGCTCATTGGCTATCAATGGAATCGGATCACAGTTTCTAGCTTTTGAATGTTTATTACGCACATTGTATTAAAAAATAAACACCTAAATATATCTTAAAAATCTAAAGGTTATAAACAAAGAGTGGGGAATAAATAAGCACTATAGATTCGATTACAATATGTTTCAGCTCTCGTGGTCAAGCAGTACGTATGAAACTGAAACGATGGTCGTCTACAACTATGTTGATTGATAGAAGTTAAAAATGTAAATTAGCTCATTTGGGTGCAAACCATTTCAAATTTACTTTGGTTGACATTTCTAACTCCTTAACTGTAACCGATTATAAACTAAACCCTATAATTTTCGGTATTTGTTTGGGAATTTTTATCTTATTGTTTTGAAAACGATTTCAATCATTTTATCGTTGTTCTTTCTATTTCAGGCAAGTGTTCCGGAAATTTTTTAGATCCAAATTAGCTATTGTTCCCCACCAAAATTTAAGGAATGAAAAATATACTTAAATAAGCTTAGATTTCCCATGTACATTATTTCAAACTTCATCAATTGATTTATCGTTATGACTTCATCCAAAGATTTTGATGTTGAATCTGTATTATCACAATTAACTTTAGACGAAAAAATTTCATTAATTGCTGGTATTGATTTTTGGCATACTGCTGCCGTACCAAGATTAGATATTCCAAGTTTAAGATTTAGTGATGGTCCAAATGGATTAAGAGGTACTCGTTTTTTCAATTCTGTTCCTGCTGCTTGTCTTCCTTGTGGTACAGGTTTAGCTGCTACTTGGGATAAAGATATTTTATATCAAGCTGGTGAATTAATGGCTACTGAAGCTTATTCAAAAGGTGTACATGTTATATTAGGTCCAACTATGAATATTCAACGTGGCCCATTAGGAGGTAGAGGTTTTGAATCATTTTCTGAAGATTCTTATTTAGCTGGTAAAGCTGCTGCTTCAATTATAAAAGGTATTGAAAGTAAAGGAATTGCATCAACTCCTAAGCATTTTGTTTGTAATGATTTAGAACATGAAAGAGAATCAAGTAATACTGTAGTTACTCCACGTGCTTTGAATGAAATTTATTTAGAACCATTTAGAATTGCAATGGAAGAAGGTAAACCAACTTGTTTAATGACTGCTTATAATAAAGTCAATGGTGTTCATGTATCACAAGATGGAACATTATTGAACGATAAAGTTAGAGATGAATGGGGTTGGAATGGTTGTATTATGTCTGATTGGTATGGTACATATACTTCAAAAGAAGCAATTGAAGGTGGATTAGATATTGAAATGCCTGGTCCAACTGCATTTAGAAATTATAGAGAAATTGGTCATATGATTAGAACCAGAGAATTACATATCAATGATTTAAATGATCGTGTTAGAAATGTATTAAATTTAGTTAAACATGCAAAGAAAACAGGTATACCTGAAAATGGAGAAGAAAGTACAAAAAATAATACAAAAGAAACTTCCGAATTTCTTAGAAAATTAGCTTCAGATACTGTTGTCTTATTAAAAAATAAAAATGAATTATTACCACTTAAAAAAAGTGAAAAAATTGCAGTTATTGGTCCAAATGCTAAAGTTGCATCTTATTGTGGTGGTGGTTCAGCTGCTTTAAATGCTTATTATACTACAACTCCATTCGATTCAATTTCAAAAAAATTAGATTATAGACCAGATTATTCAGTCGGTTGTTATTCTCATAAATATTTACCAGGAGCAGGAGAACAAGTTAAAAATGGTGACTCTACTGGATTCGATATGAAATTTTATTTAGAACCACCAACAGAATCAAAAAGAACTTTAATTGATCAATATTCAATTTCATTATCTTCACATCATTTAGTTGATTATTATAATGATAAATTACCAAAGGATAGATTATTTTACATTGATTTTGAAGCTTATTTCACACCCGAAGAATCTGGAGAATATGAATTTGGTTTGGCTGTAGTTGGAACTGCTCAATTATTTGTCAATGATAAATTGGTAGTTGACAATAAGTCTAAACAAACTAAAGGTACAAGTTTTTTCAATTGTGGTACTATTGAAGAAAGAGGAACAATAGATTTGAAACAAGGAAAAAAGTATAAAGTTCGAGTTGAATTTGGTTCCGCTCCAACTTATACATTATATGAAAAAGGTGGTGAATATTTTGGTGGTGGTATTAGAATTGGTTTAGCTAAAGTGATAAATGAAGAAGAAGAAATTAAAAAATCTGTTGAATTAGCAAAATCTAATGATAAAGTTATTTTATGTATTGGTCTTAATGGTGATTTTGAAAGTGAAAGTTTCGATAGATCACATATGAAATTAGAAGGATTACAAGATAAATTAGTTGAAGAAGTTTTGAAAGCTAATCCAAATACAATTATAGTTAATCAATCAGGTACTCCAGTAGAATTTCCATGGTTAAATGAAGCTAATGGTTTGATTCATGCATGGTATGGTGGAAATGAAGGTGGTAATGCAATTGCTGATGTTATATTTGGTGATGCTAATCCAAATGGTAAATTATCATTAACTTTCCCAAAGAAATTACAAGATACACCTACATATTTGAACTTTAGAACCGAAAAGGGAAGAGTTTTATATGGTGAAGATATATTTGTTGGTTATAAATATTATGAGAAAATGGAAAGAGATGTTGCATTCCCATTTGGTTTTGGTTTATCTTACACAAAATTTGAAATTAAAAATTTAAAAGTTACAAGTTCGGAATCAGAATTGTCAGTATCTGTTAATGTAGAGAATGTTGGTAAAGTAGATGGTGCTGAAGTTGTTCAAGTTTATATATCAAATGATAATGGAGATGAAAATGTAATTAGACCAATTAAAGAATTAAAAGGATTTGAAAAAGTTTACTTAAAAAGTGGTGAAAAGAAAACTATTGATTTGAAATTAAGAGTTAAAGATTCAGTTGCATTTTTCGATGAATATGAAAATAAATGGTCTGTTGAAGCTGGTGAATACCATGTTTTAGTTGGTGATTCTTCAGATAATATCACATTAAAAGAATCATTTAATGTTGAGAAAAGTTATTTATGGTAAGTGTTTATTAAGTCTATGTATAATTTTCCCATTCTTCTGGTTTTGTTAAACCCATTTTCTCATAAAATCTTCTACCACATGAATAACCTCTAAATGTAAAATCATCATTTGGTTTACAATGACATTTATGTTGATATCTATATTCGGGATTTAATGGGCATTGAGTATAAACACCATGTCTATAACCTACATCTTCAAAATAATGAATTTTATCCTTTGGTAAAAATAAAGAAGCTGCAATTGAATGAATTGGTGCATCACCCCATCTTTCATAAAAAAATCCACCTGTTTTGTCTAAAAATTCAAAATAATCTTGATAAGCTTTTGATCTCCAAAATTTTAAACTTGCAATTTCAAAATTTGACCAAAAATGACATAAATTATAAGTTTTACCTTTATCATTACTTATAAAATCCATAAAATTATTTTCAGCAATATATTCAGGATGTAAATCGATAAATTTCTTGGTTTGCTCCCATAATGTAGGAATTGTTTTATCAAATTCATGAATTGAAATTGTAAAACCATATACTTTATTATTATCTTCCATATATTTAAATAAATCATAATTTAAATCACAATGAATATCTGTATCTGGTTCAACTCTCCAATACCAATCATAATCTTCTAATAATGGATTTCGCCAAAAAAATCCACTTTCAAATCTACACATATGACGATAACTTTCTAAATCTCCATAAATTATACCTGCTGCTTTCATTTTTTTTCTAGATTCTTCTGCTTTTTGTTGATCAATCCATTCGGGATATGACCAATGCTCTTTGGGTATAGTACCATATTTAGTTTTACCTGAAACTATAGCACTTGTTAAATCTTTAAATTCTTGAGTAAATTCTTTATCATTAAAGAAAATCCAATCATAATTAAACTTATGATTAAATCTATCTTCGACGGATCTAATAGATTTTATTAAACTGAATAATTCTTCATTACGAGCTAATGTAACAAATGTAGCTTTAACTTTGGAATTTTTGCTAGTTTCTTTTTCCTTTGGGTTTTCTGGTTCAAATTGAGATTGTTGCATTTTATCATGACTTTCCTGAATTTGAAATTTTTGACTTTGTTTATATGAATCTTCAATTTTTTCTTGATTTGGATCTAATAAATTTTCCTCTTTTTCAATCTTAAGTTCTTCTGGTACTTTGATTGTGTCTTTCGTTGATGAATCTTGTGAATTAGATTGTAAAGATTGACTTACATAATCATTTGATCTATGAGTTAAAACATATATAATGACCAATGTAAGAACTATAGCTAAATATTTTAGATATGGTTGTCTTGAATTTAATATAGCAAAAGGTTTCATGATAAACAAGACCCTTTGAATATAAAAAGATGCAACTTAATTAAATTGTTTGAAGAATTTTAAATTTAGATTTAAATATTGCATAATTTTTTCGTAGGGCGTGTTTAATGTTGATTTCAATTTTTAACAATTCTTAATTAATATTGTAAATACTTTATATGATGAGTAGAGGGAATTCATTGTGATGGTTAATCTCTTCTTATGTCGAAGTGTTACATCATCGTTGGATGACCTTCTACCTTTTCTTGGTCAGATCCTTAAATCGAATTGTGGCACAAAATCAAGACTGTTAAAAATAATAGAAAAAGCTTGTAGTAAAAAAAAAATAAGCTTTTATTAATCTAGATAATACCCTTAGATACCCTTGATAGAATTGATTCAAGTAAATATAAGCTGTTGTAGTATCTGGTTGTTGATAATTCATTAATTGTCGGAATCTAGGGGTTCTTATTTTATGTAAGTTACTTAGATTTTGTAACCTTCTATTATCAAACTAGACACGCATGTTGTAACATAAGTTTGCAGCTAAATATAATAGCAGCAGGTGTAAAAAACAAGTTGTTTCACGTCAGATCTGGCCGACAGCCAAAAGCGAGTTATATAAAAAATGACCACTGATACTAGTTTTCAATCACTCCATCTTTATCAGGTTGTAGAAGTTAATAGTCAAAGTTAGACCTACTTATTACCTTATTTTAAGTAGAGTAAAAAATCATTGCTCTTTTGCCGTTTAATTTAAATATTAACTTGTTTAAGCTCAAAATTTGGCCAAAATGTGAAAAAATTCAAAACTCACGAAAACTCTCTTAAACAGCTAGAACATAATTGAAATAGATAGATACACACCATAAGACACCACTCTTTCAATCCTATACTATTTCATTCAACATTGGCATCAAAATGCCCAAAAATTAATTGTATCACGTGGTGAAAAATTAAAGCTCATGACGCGAAAAAAAATTACCAATTCGTACTATCGATCTCGATGGTACATTTGTCAAATCTAACAATACAGAGAAGATTAGCATTGTCCTTGCATAAAGATGACACGCTTTACAAAGAGATTTACAGTTTTTTTTTGCAACCATGACAAAGATATCATTAGACAAGTTTCAAATCAGTAGCAGAAATATACTTTAAGTTATTCTTTGTTTCTATCATAATTTTTCCAGGTTCGAACTGGTTAATAAATATGTATTTACACTATAGACAAATTTTAAACTACATCACTAATAATTCTAGCAGCTTCTTTATAAGTCTTTAATAATTCTAAACATTTTTCTCTTTCAGCTTGAATATTTTCATCTTCTTTTAATAATTCATCAAATAATGATTCATTATATAATTTAACAACTAATCTATTTTGAATATTTTGTTTTACATGATTAACCAATAAACACATAATTGATTTTGGAATTTGATCTTGAATCATTTCTCTAACTATACTAAAATAAGAAATAATTAATCTTCTAATTAATTCACATTCCATTTGTTCTCTTTCAGTTAAATCATTAATTGAATCATCAAAAGTTTCATCTTCATTGGATTCAGATACTGATAATTTATTTAAATCATGATGTATTCCATTTGAAACAAAATTTGTATTAAATTGTAAAGTTGTCTCATGCGTTTGTGGGAATTTAAAAGGTGTTGGATGTAATTGTGCTTGTGTTTGTAATTGTTGTTGAATTACGACTGGATCTTTACCAAGGAAATAATTTAAATATGACTCTTGACCTATTGATTCAGCGTGTGAACTTGATCTTTTACGTTTTGGAACTTCATCATCAACTGAATTTATATCCTCAACTTCTTCTTCATCTTTGTTCTTCTTCAATATTCTTTCACTTGCTAATCTTAATTTTGAATTCAGTTCCAATTCTTTTTGTTTTTGTCTTTCTGCAACAACTATACCCATGGCTTTGGCAGCACCCAAGAAATTTGGATGATTTGTATTTATATAAGCTTTATGAATTTCAATTAATGATTGAACATATTTTAAAGTTGGACCTAATCTTTCTCTTAATAAATCACTTACAACTTCAATTAATTTACTTTGTAATCTTGGATATCTATTCATTTCGTGTGCAATATCAGATGAACAAACTGAATGAACAATTTTCATTAATTCTTCATAAACTAATTCAACACATTTTGAACTTGGATCTTCTAATAATGAAATTTGTGGTTTCACCAAAATATCAAATGCTAGCTCTGGTACAAATAACGATGGTCTTGGACCAGTTGAATTTCTAATAGCCGTTCTAATATCATGTATTGATAAATTATGAACTGGATTTATTGAAGCCAATTGTGAACCAAAAATTTCGTTATATATATAATAAATTCTTGCCCCACCACATAATTCTTTCGTTGCAATTTGATCGGAGGTACCTTCAATTGAATTAATAAAAGCATTGGCAAATTTTGTCATTAATGTTAAAATCATCGCACCACGTAATTCTTTTGATTCCAATTTACCTAAATCACCATATGAATTTAATTCTTGTTCAGTTTGTGACATCAAAGTATTTAATTTTGCTTTTATATCCGGTAATCTTTCTTTTATATGATTCATTAAAATTTTATTTAATGTAGTTGCAAGATATTTAGTACCACATTTATTTGACATTGATTTATAAGCTGGATGATTAGCAAAAAATTGTTGTTCAGAATATAATGATTCATCCAACAGTTTATTTTCAGCAATATCTTGTTGAGATCTATTAACAATCCCAATAAATCCTAATTTCAAAGGATAAACATTCCCTTTTAAAATATCTAAGGCATTTGTACCTTGATCCATTAAATCCAATTTTGTTAAAATACCAACAGTTCTTTTACCAGTTGGATCTACTTGTCTTGCTAACTTCAAAGATTCAGAATTAACTAAATCGACATTTGCAGGAGAAACAGCTAAAATAATACAATTTGGTTTTGAAATATATTCAGAAATTAAGTTTCTAATTTGTCTTTCAATATCTGTTGGTTGATCTCCAATTGGAATTTTTGTTAAACCTGGTAAATCAACTAAAGTTAAATTTAAAACATTTGGTGAATAAATTTTAAGATTAATTGGTAATCTTGAAATACCTTTATTTTGACCAGCTATTCTTAAAGTTTCACTTTCAATTTCTTTTCTAATGTCTGAAAAATTATAAAATCGTTTATTTGGAATATGTAAGAATTCTCCCCACTCGGTACCTTGTCTTTTATTAGTACTACCATTTAATTTTCTTAAATGATCTTCTAGATTTATTTCACTATCTTCTGAATCATTTCTAAAAGATTCTATAGGTACTTCATTTTCGTTTATATTTATCAATTGTAATACTAATGGTCTTCTAGTAACTATACCAGTGCCTCTTGGTAAAAAATCTCTACCAACAATATTTTCTAAAACAGAAGATTTGCCACAAGATTGAGAACCAACAACAGCTAATATTGGTAAATCTATTTCAGCTAGTTGAGTTGTAGTTACAATATCTTGTAATTTATTCACAACTGGTATAAGATCTTGTAAAGACATAGGGGAATATATATAAATATATGTATTGATGGAAATACAAATTTTTGTTGCTACTTTAAATTTGAAAGAAAAACAAACAAGAGAAAAATGAAACCAAACCAATGGCAAAAAACAAACAACGCAAGGATGCAAGTAAGAGACTACACAAATAATCACAAAGCATCCATAATAATACTCTACACATTTATACCTTTCATTTGATACTAATATTGTAAAAATTCGTTTTTGACATCTACACTACTCTGGTTATTATACGTGTTTCAAATTTCTATACTGGCTTAAATTTTTCACTTGTCCAACCAATGTTTTTAATATTACTATTTATACTAAACTTATGTTGTGGTCAATTGGTTTTATCTGATAATAAATGGATAAATCAACATTATACTAGAAGTATAGATTTATCAAAAGGTTTTGTTAAAGAAATTGATATAATTGATATTAAAAATATAGATAATAAACCCCAAGATGTATATTATTTTACAATAAATGATGGATTTGATTCAATTGGTTCTATTTCATTATTTCAAGCTATTTTGAATGAAAATCTGATTGAGGTGGTTAGCGAAGAGATTGAATCAAAAATTTATAAAATTAATTTACCCTTCCCAATTTCACCAAATTCAAATGTTGAATTAAAGTTTAATTATATATATTCAAATACTTTAACTCCAATTCCTGGTAAAATTTCATTAGATGATACTCAACAATTATTATTTAAAACTAACAAGTTTCCATTTTCACCGTATGAAACAAATGATTATAGTTTATCATTCACTGGTATGACAAAAGGTCAAGAAATGGAATTACATTTAAATAAAACTGAAAATTTACCAGTTTTAGAACCAAGAGTTGAAAGTAATACATTGAAATATGGTCCTGCTTTTGATTTACCTCCATTTAGTTTACAACCAATGGGTTTAATGTATGATCATAATCGTCCATTAACAAAAGCAAATAATTTGTATAGATCAATTTGGTTACCTGCTTCGGATATAAATAAAGTTTCAATTGAAGAATATTATGAATTAACAAATCAAGGTGCTCAATTAGATAAAGGATTTTCAAGATTTGATTGGATGAAAGGTAGATATGAATCAACAAGAAATCATTGGGCTTTAAGTCATTTAGAAATTCCTTTATTAAATAGAAATTTAGAAGAACATTATTTTATTGATAAAGTAGGTATGAATTCAAATTCGAAATTTATACAAAATCATTTATTATTACAACCAAGATTTCCATTATTTGGAGGTTGGAATTATAATTTTACTTTAGGTTGGAATGAAGAATTATCAAAATTTTTACATCTAAATGAAGATTACATTTTAAAATTTCCATTATTAAATTCTGTAAGAGATGTTGTTTATGATAATGTTTATTTAGAATTTTATTTACCTGAAAGTTCAGAATTTAAAAATTTTTCATCACCAATACCTTATGAATCAATAAGTGTGGATAATGAATTATCATATCTTGATGTTTCAAAGGGACATGTCAAGGTAACTGTGCATTATAAAAATTTATTTGATAATTTACATAAACTTGACGTTTACTTGACTTATAAATATAGTAAAACTGATTTTTATTTAAAAATTGGTAAAATATCAGGTTTTGTTTTCATTGGTTTAATTAGTTACTATTTATTAGGATTAGTTAATCTTAATATAAATTAATAGATTGTTAAGATGTATGTAAAGATGCTCTCAAATTATCGATTGCAAACTTTCCAACTGTTCTTTTCTCAATTTCATATCATCTAATTTTGATTTATCAACTTGATATAAAGAAGTAATTAGATATCTACCATTAAAATTAACACCATTTAATACTTTTGCAGCTTTTTCAGCATTTATAAAATTTGTATAAATTATAAAACAAGAACCTTCATTAATTCTAATTTGATTTATATTACCAAATTTACCAAAGAATTCATATAAAGATTTTGAAGAACTATTAAATGGTAAATTCTTTACTTGAACAATTGGAAACATGGTATTAAAATTTTTCTCGTATATTTTCTCGTTTAAAATTAAATTTATAGTAACCAAGGCATGCAATTACAACCAATAATAATACAAATAAATAGCTATAAATTGAAGTAATATCTTTTATAACTTCATCATAATGTAATTGTGTAGTTGGTGTTTCTTGTTGTTCTAATCCTTTATCAAAAACAACTGTTTTTATATCACTAATTATAATATCTTTCACTGGTTTATGATTTCCATCAGTTTCAGCATTACTTATCTTTTCTAATGTATCAAATCCATTTATTAATTGTCCAAATACAACATGTTTACCATCTAAATGTGGTTGTTTATCACTATTCAATATGAAAAATTGTGCACCATTAGTATTCACCCCTGCATTTGCCATTGATAACCTACCTAATTTATCATGCTTAACTTGAAAATTTTCATCATTAAATCTATCTCCATATATTGATTTACCACCTAAATCATCATAATTACCGCCTTGAATCATAAAATTTTTAATTATACGATGAAACTTTGAATTTAAATATCCATAACCTTGAGCCATTGATGATAATTGAAAGAAATTCTCAACTGTTGTAGGTACTACTTCTCCAAATAATGCTAACTTTAAATCTCCGATGACTTGATCATTTTCTGAAATGGTAAATGTAATTTTATGAGTTACAACTGGATCTCTTTCTAAAAGTTTCTTTTCATCTTCTGTAAATGTCAATTTATTAACCGGCACCACTGCTGATATCACCAAAGTTATGTATAGTAGCAAATTTATCAACATTTGATGATTGTCTATTATTTTTGACGCACGGGCGATAAGCGAAGAAAAATACGAAAACTGAAACTGAAAACTGAAAATTGACCAAAAACAAAATACATTACAAATAATTAGAGAAAATCTTGAATACAATTAAGATTTAGAGCAGTGTACCATACTACCATTTAGTATTATAGAGATATCGTGAATTATGGGGTCTCCATTACGTGAAAACGTACATTTCGACAAAGAGCTCAAATGTTGCATTTGAAGCGTGCTTGTTGCTCCTCTAGAAACCTTATTCTCTCAACCAACAGCCCGCTAACTCTATATACCTTAGCTACGTATCACTCAATTAACTACAATTGATCAATAATTCTCAATCTATATAAATAATTCTCAATCTATATATATAGCGTGAGCAGTTCAAAAGTTGATACGATATTTTTTTTTCTTTTCTCTCCAACAAAAAAACTAGTGGTGGCAATATTTTAATCAATAATGAATGGAATCAATGTTGATATAAATCATTTAAAGAAAGGAGAAGTCAATTTAGGTACTTCAATTATGGCTGTTAATTTTAAAGATGGTGTTATATTAGGTGCAGATTCAAGAACAACTACTGGTTCATATATTGCAAATAGAGTAACTGATAAATTAACTCAAATTCATGATACAATATATTGTTGTCGTTCTGGTTCAGCTGCTGATACACAAGCTGTTGCTGATATGGTTAAATATTATTTACAAATATATTCTGCTCAATTACCTCCTGGTGAAAAACCAACTACAAATATTGCAGCAAATGTATTTCAAGAAATTTGTTATAATAATAAAGATAATTTAACTGCAGGTATTATATGTGCTGGTTATGATGAAAAAAATGGTGGTTCTGTTTATTCAATTCCATTAGGTGGATCAATTCATCAACAAGAATATGCTATAGCTGGTTCCGGTTCAACATTTATTTATGGTTGGTGTAATGAAAATTATAAACCAAATATGGAACAAGAACAATGTATTGAATTTATAAAAACTGCATTAGCTGAAGCAATTAAATGGGATGGTTCTTCAGGTGGTGTTATTCGAATGGTTATATTAACAAAAAAGGGGGTTGAAAGATTGATATTTTATCCTGATGAATATGGTGTTTTAACAAGGAAAGATGATTTATAGAGATCGAATGTATAATTTTTTTTTTTTTTTTTTTTTTTTTTTATACCGTTCGCTTATACCACCGAGATCTGAAAAATTTTGAAATATGTCATTAGATTCAACAAAATTAGAAATTACTACAACCGAAAAACCGTCACCACTCGAAAAGAAAGAAGATTTGAAATTTGGTCAATCTTTTACAGATCATATTTTAGAAATTGAATGGACAAAAGAAAATGGTTGGGGTATTCCAACTATTAAACCTTATCATAATTTTCAATTAGATCCTGCCACATCAGTATTACATTATTCTTTTGAATTATTTGAAGGTTTAAAAGCTTATAGAGATTCAAATGGTAAAATTAGAACTTTTAGGGCTGATAAAAATATGGAAAGAATGAATAGATCTGCTAAAAGAGCTTCATTGCCAACTTTTGATAGTGAAGAATTTTTAAAATTAATTGATAAATTTTTAATCGTTGAAGATAGATTTGTACCAACAGGTAAAGGTTATTCATTATATATTAGACCTACTTTAATTGGTACTTCAGTTGGTTTAGGAGTTAGTGCTCCAACAAAAGCTTTATTATATGTTATTGCATCACCAGTTGGACCATATTTTTCAGCAGGATTTAAACCAGTTTCTTTAGAAGCTACTGATTATGCTGTTAGAGCTTGGCCAAAAGGTGTTGGTTCTTATAAATTAGGTGCAAATTATGTTTCATGTATTGAACCACAAGTTGAAGCCGCAAAAAGAGGTCATTCACAAAATTTATGGTTATTTGGTGAAGAAGGTTATATAACAGAAGTTGGCGCAATGAATGTATTTTTTGCATTTAAAAATGATGATGGTACAAAAGAATTAGTTACACCTCCATTAGATGGAATGATTTTACCGGGTGTTACAAGAGATTCAACTTTAGAATTATGTAAATCAAAATTAGGTAAAGAATGGTTAGTTAATGAAAGAAAATTAACAATTTATGAAGTTAAAGAAAGAGCTAATAAAGGTCAATTAATTGAAGCTTTTGGTACTGGTACTGCTGCTATTGTTTCACCAATTGATAATATTGAATTTCAAAATGAAATTATTAAAGTTCCAGTTGATGCTGGAGCTTCAGGTGAATTAACAGCTCAAATTTGTGAATGGATACAAAATATTCAATATGGTGAAGAAGAATTTAAACATTGGTCTAAAGTTGCAAAATAGATTTAAATATAAAGCCAAATTCAAATATTCAATATGGTGAAGAAGAATTTAAACATTGGTCTAAAGTTGCAAATTAGATTTAAATATAAAGCCAAATTCAATTCATCTTCTCTCGATCTCATGTTGCTTAATTTACGATTGTGATCACATAATAGACCAGATTTTGTGGAGATCAAATCAAACTAAAAATCCTACGGCGTTTCTAATGGTAAAAGCAATTTTTTTTGTTTACGGGGTAAGAATCTGGGGGACCTGATTATTTAAATTGCCTATTTCTTCAAAATATTTGGCCGAGGATATTCTTTGCTGTCCAGGCTAACATTATTAAATATTTGACCAAGAATATTCTTTGTAGTCCCGGCTAACATTATTGGACGATAAATAATGTCACAGTGCGTTTACTAATTTTCGTTACTATTTATCAATCTTATGCGGTCTAAAAATTATTAATGGGCGTTTCGGAAATACTGCATATAAAAATATTAGGTTTTTTTTTTTTTCTCTTATCAATGGATGCAAAAAACCAATAACTATTGGATTCATAAGCTTTTTTGCGATCTTGTCAACTTGCAAAAGCTTAGCAATGACCACGAGACAGCTGAAATATTTAGGATCTGAGGATGTGATGTAGTTTATATATGGCCCTGAAATATCAAATTGAACAATACACACTTTTTCTTGTATCCATGTTTTTACACGGCATTTTGATTTAGCCACATAGATAGCTTTTGCAATGTTCTTTAATTTAGTGAATTTTGCAGATGATAAGATAATAGAATTACAAGTTGCAAAACCTAAACTGTATAAACAGTACCTCGTATAATTTAAATTAAGATAATTAATTGATAAGGAACGTTCAGTGTAACAATGTATCCACTCTATATAAATTGATTTATATTCCCAGTTTTTGATAGAAATCGAAATTCATCAATTATGCCTGAAAAAGAGTTAAATTACATTAGATCACACGACGCTGCAGAGTCAGATGAAAAAAATGGTGGAATTTATATTGATGCATTTGATGCTCAAGAATCAAAACCAGAATTGAAAGGTTGGAGTAAATTTGTTGATGGTTTTAAGAAAGCTGATGCTGAAGAATTGGGTATTGACCCAAACTTAAGTGAAGAAGAAAAAATTGCAATTATGACGGCAAATTCTCCATTGTCAAGATCATTGAAGAATAGACATATTCAAATGATTGCAATAGGGGGCAGTATTGGTACTGGTTTATTCGTGGGTTCAGGTTCTAAATTAAATACTGGTGGAGCCGGTGGTTTGATGATTGCTTATATTATTATAAGTACAATGATTTATTGTACAGTTCATTCATTAGGTGAATTAGCAGTCACTTTCCCAGTTTCTGGTGCTTTTGTTACTTATAATAGTCGTTTTATTGATCCATCTTGGGGTTTTGCAATGGCTTGGAATTATGCTATGCAATGGTTAGTTGTTTTACCTTTAGAATTGGTAGCCGCGGCAATGACGATTAAATATTGGAATGAATCAATTAATTCTGCTGCTTTTGTTGCAATTTTTTATGTTTTAATTGTTGCAATTAACTTTTTTGGTGTTAGAGGTTATGGTGAGGCTGAATTTGTATTTAGTGCTATTAAAGTTTTAGCTGTTTGTGGGTTTATTATCTTGGGTATTGTTTTAATTTGCGGTGGTGGTCCAGTAGGTGGTTATTTAGGTGGTCATTATTGGCATACATCTCAGTATGAACCTGATCCTCCTTCAGGTCATTTTGCTTTTCCAAATGGTGCTAAAGGGGTTGTAACAGTTTGTATGTATTTTCAAATCATTTTGATTGTTTTGTTGGTATAACTTTGGTCGTCCGCCCGAGTTATTTCTTCGTGCGACAAATATTTTTCAGCCGTGAAAAACAATCGCGCTGAGAAGATTTGAAGCGCAATTTATCAACAAAATCAACTCAGATCAAACAAGAATCAATTCTAACTGAAAATATTATAGTCGTAGGTGCTGCCTTCGCCTTTGCAGGAACTGAATTAGCAGGATTAGCTGCTGCTGAGACCTCGTACGTAAAGATATACTTGTTTTTTCATGTTTGAAGGTTTTCAATTTTAAAAAAATTTTAAAAAAAATTTTCAAAGCTTCAAAACATCAAACTTGGTACTAACAACTATGCGGAAATGTTCGTAAAAGCTTGCCAAAGGCCTGTAAACAAGTGTTTTGGCGTATTGCTTTGTTCTACATCATCTCCTTGACATTAATTACATGTTTAGTTCCTTGGAATGAACCAAGATTATTAAGTGACGGTGCGGCTGCATCAGCTTCACCATTTGTTATTGCTATTACGAATGGAGGTATTAGTGGATTACCATCAGTTATGAATGTTGTTATTATGATTGCAGTTTTATCAGTTGGAAATTCTTCAGTTTTTGGTAGTTCAAGAACTTTGGCAGCTTTAGCAGCCTCAGGACAAGCTCCAAAAATATTTGGATACATTGATAAGCAAGGTAGACCATTATTTGGTATTATATTTCAGTTAATTATTGGTTTGTTATGTTTCTTGGCTGCTTCACCAAAACAAAATACAGTTTTTAACTGGTTGTTAGCATTATCTGGTTTATCATCAATTTTTACATGGGGTTCAATATGTTTCTGCTTAATTAGATTTAGAAGAGCATTACGTCTCAAAGGTAGAGATACTGGTGAATTACAATATGCTTCACAATGTGGGATAATTGGTGCTTATTGGGGTGTGATTGTTAACGCTGTTGTTATTTGTTTACAATTTTGGATTGCTGTTTGGCCAATTGGAACAAAACCAAATGCTAATGATTTCTTTCAAAACTTTTTAACTGTTCCAGTTGTTCTTGTATTTTATGTTGGTCATAAATCATGGACTAAAAATTGGAAATTTTATATTCGTGCAAAAGATATTGATATTGATACTGGTAGAAGAGATTTAGATTTGGATTTAGTTAAACAAGAAGTTGCTGAAGAAAAAGCTTATTATGCTTCATTACCATTCTATAGACGTATTTATCATTTCTTTTGTTAAAATATCTGGAATATTTATAGGTTGTATATTAAAATAAAAAAGATTTGAATTATAAAATTGGGTTAAAAATGGAATAACAATTCTATTTTCTAAATAACTATTCAACTGAAAAGAGTTAAGTTGGATTAACAACTGTTAGTATGTCAGTATGTCAGTATTACAAAAATATTCCTCAAAAATTGTATTCTTCGAATTTCATTTACCATTGATGCGGAGACCGAATTTTTTGATAACATTATTGAAATAACTTCTTAATAACAAAGACTGAAAGATACGATTACTACATTAATTTTAGTATAAGTTTCATAATTCTAACATCGTGTACATCATTCAACTTTTTGGCTGCAAAATTTTCTTTTAGCTACCAAAAAAATATAAAAATAAATTTACCGAGCCAAGATTGGTCTATCACCAACTTCAATCGACCATAACTCGATCAATTTTGATGCTAGCGAGTTGAAACTAAAGTGCAAAATGATCCTACGAACCTCTTTACCATTCCTGTTGCCACACCGATTGTAATAAGTGCTGAATCGTAGCTTAAACTAATCGTAGCTTGGAGTTAAAAGAACTGCAGCAATTCGTCAAAGTATTTTACATTATACATTAAATTACAAACTTTAACCTAAACTTTTATGAGATTGAGCAAAAGATGTGACTGGGGCTAAAGCAACATCATCACCTTTAGCAATTTCATTTTCATATTCTAAACTGTTCCATTGTTCTTCATACTTGTTGTAATGACTGTAAATAACCCAGAATAAGCAACCAGCAAGGAAACAAGCAACTGCCAAACCTGTAAATAACCAAGTCATCTTTGGATCAACTGAAACACTTGATAATGCAATACCAAGAGCAGAACCAAAAGCATTAGTAACTAAAAATAATGACATGATAAAACTTTTCATTGAAACAGGTGCTTTTGTATAAGCATATTCTAAACCAGTAATCGATGCCAAAATTTCTGACAATGAAATCAAACAATAAGCAGGAATCTGAATTGCAACATGAATATTATTACCATATTTACAATTTCCTGGTTGATCGTAACATGGACCAGTTTTGTAAATAAAATGTTGTAAAACAGCAGCGTAAATCATAGCACACGTACCAAACATAAAACCCCAGAAAATTTTTGAAATTGGTTTGAATGGTGTAAACCTTCTAATAAATGGATATAAAAATCTTTCGAAGATCGGAATAAAGATAATAATTGCAATACTATTAAAGCATTGTAATAAATCATTTGGAATACCATGAGATCTCATTGAACCAGCTTGTGAAACAAAATTATTTAACATTTGACCGTAAACCAACCAGTAGATTGGATAAAATGCAAAAACTTTACAAGCATACAAGGATCTTTTGACTTCATCGACAAATTGATCGTCCCATGGGAAAGCTTTTTCTGGATTGACTGATGGTTTGGCAGCATCAAATTTAAAACCACTTCTGACTGCGATCCATGTACAGCGAAACGTTTTATTGATGATTCTATCACCAACTGGAATCTTAACATACTTGTTTCTACCCAAAATTAATGCAGCAACTGCAATCCAAAAAAAACAAAAACACAATAAATAAGCAGTCCAGAACCCCCCAGCATGAGCTTCCATCTCAGTAGTCGCTATAACTGACAAAGATCCAATATTGATCATCAAATAGAAGAACATGAACACATTTTGAACAGTGATATTTGGATCAACAATAACTCTTTCACCTTTCTTTGTTATGGTGATTCTAGGCTTGGTTTTTGGAATTTGATCCGCAATTAATGGGGAGACATTACTAAATTAATGTTAGTATTATCTTTGAGTGTAAGTTTCTTAATTCTAGCATAATCGTGTACATCGTTCAACTTTTTGGCTGCAAAATTTTTTTTAGCTACCAAAAAAAATAAAAAACAAAATTTACCGAGCCAAGATTGGTCAATCACCAACTTCAATCGACCATAACTCGATCAATTTTGATGCTAGCGAGCTGAAACTAAAGTGCAAAATGATCCTACGAACCTCTTTACCATTCCTGTAGCCACACCGATTGTAATAAGTGCTGTACAGTATCCTCCAAGGGCTGTTTGTCTTCCGAACAGGGGAAATGACGTTATAAACAAAAGGAAAATACCGATAAGGTAGATTCCACAAGCTATTGAAATAGTTTTGAACTTTCCCAAGTATGTATCAGCTAACCAACCACCGAAAATTGGAGTAACATAGCACCAAAATTGAAAAAAATAGGACAAAGCAGTAGCACCTTGATGACCTAAATGTAAAGCACCGGCTGGATGATCATTTGGTCCATTTTGCATATAGTTTTGAAAAGGAGCTGATAAACCATAGTATGAGAATCTTTCTGCCAATTCAACAACAGCAACTAACCAACAACTCATTGGAATTTTCTCAGAAATATGCCTAAGTGTCTTTAATTCATATTCAGTTGGTTGTCTACCTTCATCTGTTAAATCATCTGAGAAATTTAATGTAAGATTATTTGAATTAACTTTTTCAACAGTATCTGGATTTGTATGAGGTTGTTTACTTAAATCTGGAGTATCTTGTTGTTTTTCAACAATTTTTACCTCTTGATTTGGATCTGACATTGTCGATAAAAGGGTTGCAAATTAAAAATTAAGAGATCTAAATGTTTTTATAGTAACGAAAATTTTCTTATCAGAATAATGTTCAATAACCCAATCAAAAGAAATGGTGAATTATAGGGCATTTCTTTTAAAAGGCAATTTACATTGAATCTCATCCGATACGCACGGCGGTAAATATTTGCAATTTCTTTTTTTTGACGTATGATTCAGATCTGAGAGATTTCTTGAAACATTCTTTACCAAGAAATTGATCTGTCTCTATTTAAAGTGACTAGAACAAAAGAAAGAACGATTCCAAACATTAATGGTGTGATAGAAAATAACAAATGTGACTCCATTGTTGTTAGATATTGACAAGAAATTTTTTAGTTCGTGCCGCTCGTTAAATCAAATAGAGATCGCCGTAGGAACGGTCAAAACTGGGGTACCGTTTATTAAACTTGCCAATAACCAGGAAATAAATAATGCATCTTTTCTAACAATTCCTTTTTAACACCATGGGGACTTGTACTAACAGAATATTTCATTGTACCTTTTAAATCATTACCAATTTCAGACCCCTTTTCAGCAAATTCTTCTATTAATTTAGAAGCCAATTTACACGCATTTGCACTATTAGCTTTTAAATTACCAACAACTTGTTCAACAGTAACTGGTTCTTCACTTTCATTCCAAGAATCATAATCTGTTGACATACAAATCATTTGATAAGCAATTTCAGCTTCTCTGGCCAATTGAGCTTCTGGTACAACACTCATATTAATAACTGAACCACCCCAAGATCTATACAATTTTGATTCAGCCCTTGTTGAGAATTGAGGACCTTCCATACAAATAATTGTTAAATCTTCTTTAGCAGTTTCTTTAGTATGTAAAACTGAACCATTACCTTCTAAAAATCCTGAACTTGGAATTGAATCACTAATTAATTTATTTAATTTTAAATCAAATGGTTCTCCAAACATTGCATGAGCAACAAAACCTTTTTCAAAAAAAGTACTTGGTCTAATACCTTTAGTTCTATCAATAATTTGAGTTGGTAATACAAAATCTCTCGGTTTAATTTCTTGTTGTAATGAACCAACAGCACTAAATGCAACAATAGCTTTAACACCTAACTTTTTCAAAGCAGCGATATTAGCTCTACTTGGTACATTACTAGGTAATAAATCATGATGTTGACCATGACGTGGTAAAAAAGCAACTGGGAATCCTGAATCTGTTTTAGCAATTGTAATTGGACCTGAAGGAAAACCCCAAGGTGTACTAATAGTTAATCTTGCAACTGGGTGCAAATTTGGCAAATCATATAAACCCGTACCACCAATAATAGCTAAAGTAACTTGACCATCATAAGTATGAGGCAATTGTTTTAAATCTATTTGATCTCTATGAACCGACATCTACCACGTTCTAAGAATATTTTATTATTGTTGTTGATAATGAAACTTTAAATGTGGCATCAGAAGTCGTGCAAAGAAAAATTATTCATCAATTAATGTTTAAAAGAAGATTATCTACAAGACAAGTATTTACAAGAAGTAAACCAAAAGAGACAAAGAAAGTAGTAAATCAATATTTACCAACTACTGCTTTACCACAAATACCTGATCATATAAAATCAAAGTCTCTCAAAGAAATTTATGAATCAATAGGTGCTAAAGATGTATACGACCGTTTGAATGAACCAAAAGGTGTCAACTTCAATATACCAAAACAATTTATAAAACAAGACCAAGTACCAGAATCTAAAAAAATAAATCATCAAGCATTAGATGAAAAACTTAAAAATTTTATACAACAAGAAAAAACTGATGATTCATTAATATCAACAAGTCATGAAATTATATCGAGTTTAGAATCAAACTTAAATGAAATGTATCCTATGTTATCACATCCTTTAAAACGTTCAATATCAGGTATATCAAAAATAAATCCAGAATTAGATAATATAGACGATGAATATTTATGGGAATTATATCCAAATAATAAAATGTATGGTATACCACCATATCAATCAGATGTATTGGGTTTTAAAAAATGGGAAAATGATTTAATAGACAAAAACCACAAACAAGAAATGGAAGATGAATTGAACAAGAGGGAGTATAAACAATTTGTAGCACAACTTAAAGGTAATTCATTATTTGGTACTCAACATAGAAGGAAATTGAATAGAGATTTGTTAAAGAAGTTTAAAAAATTACAAAAAGAAGGTAAAATACCTAAATAGTTTATTCAATAATATTTAATTCAACGTCTCCATAACCAAATTTATGCTTATTCTCTTCGTAAACTCTTTTTAACTCATCTACGTATAATTTATGATATTTATCTAATAATTCAGGTGGAATTTTCGTCTTTGTGGTGGTTTTCTTCGATTTAAATAAATCAGTGAATGAATTTGTCCGTTTTACTTTTGGTGGTTGTTCTGCTGGTTCTTCTTCTGGATGATTTAATTTATACTCCTGTAATGCACCAGCAGGTACATGAATTGGATTACCAACACAAATATTTATTGGATTTCTAAATGGTAAGAAACCAAAATCATAAATAAATACACCTCTAGCACTGAAAAATGGCACTGTAAATTGAAATGTCAGTTTCATCCATTGTTGAAATTTATATCCCAACGAGCCTGGTTTTGGTCTTGATAATCTATATACATCAGCTTCACCAAATGCAAATGTAGGTACTAAAGATACATTACCTAATTCAATAGCTAGTTTAACAAATCCCTTACGTTTATTCAATACTAATTTAACTTCTTTTTTACCATCATCTTCATCTTCCGAATCACTACCAATGTCTTGTCGTTCTTTATAACCATACCCAATTCTTGCATGTTTTGCAATCATATCATTTAATAAAGATTCTTGTGCACCTCCCACAACTAAACAAACTGAATTATCACCATTATTTATTAAACTTTTAATATTTTTTGCTGATGCACTCGTTATACCTAAACTCATTAAATAATCTCTATAAAATGGAACAGTAAATTGAGTAGTTAATGTTAGTGGAAATATTTTACCAAGACCAGGAAATAATCTTTCACCTTTTGATGGATCATGGAAAAATGGTTTTAACCATTTCATTGGTGGTTCATAAGGTTCATTTCTTAAAGCATTTGTTCCGAATAACCCCACAACACCCATTGATATAACTCCATGTGGATGATAACCAAAAATATATCTTGGACCAACAGATACATTTTTATATGATTTCACCGAAGAAGTATCTGCATCATTTAATCTCTTCTTCAAACCAACTTTTTTAAATAAACTATCAATTAATGTACGACTATTTTCACTTACTAAATCTTCTTCATCTGAACTATCTACAGTTTCCTCTACCATTACATTAGTAAAAGTTGGATCTAATTCACATGATTTATGTACTTGAATTGGAAAATAATTTACAAACCATTTCCATATAATTAAATTTTTCATTGAATTTCGAACTCTATAGCTTACTTTACCATTTGTTGGGGTATGTAAATCAAAACCATACCACCATATAAAATAAGGTAATATAACAATTAACCAAATTAACCAACCTAAAGAAATTGTAAATAAAAATAAGCAAATGAAAAAGGGTATTGAAATACAATGCCAAATAACTCCAAGGGTCTCTAATCTATGAGATAATGGAGTATTCAAAGGAGCAACATTAATAAATGGACGTTTCTTTTTAGGTTTCTCTATTTGAGTTTTAGTTTTTCTCTGCCTTAATTCTGGTGTTGTTTCACTCATTGATAATAAAAATGATTTACCATTGAACAGTATTGAATCTTATTGAACAAAAAATAGTAAAAGTTTTAGCCGTGGTGCATAATTGGGGTGTCTGCATGTGACCCTTCACGTGAAAGTTAACTCGTAATTTGGCACGTGATCGAAAATATATTTCTCTCAAAATTTGGTTCAGATTTAATTAATTAATGGATGGTAAAACGCATTATTGGGTTAAAAGAGATAAGAAAAGGAAACAGTCAGACTTTGACAGTGTATTTGAATCATTAACCAATCAAAAGAAATTGAAAACTAATGATACTCCATTTTTAAATTTATTCAATGGTTTAGAAACTGATGAAAATGTTAAATTTCGCTATGGCATGTTTCAAAGAATTTGGTCACATCAGTTAGTAAAGATCCAATCTATACTAAATAATGCAAATAATGAATTATTCAATAATTTACTCGAGTTTTTGAAAACTCCAAAGTCAGATAAATTAGATATTGGTTATGTTCAATTAACTTCAAACACAGCAAATAATTTTAGAATTTTGAATGAGTTTTATAATTATATAACTGATAAATTAGATTATAAGATTGTTAAATTGAATAGTAAAAATTGTGTAAATATTAAATCAGCATTACGTGAAGTTGTAAAACAAGCAGGTAAAGTGCAAACAGGTAAATTAAATTATGATTTAGACAATATCAAAGGTGATGAAAGGATAGTTGTAGTTTTAGAAGATACAAATTTAACAAATAATCAAGTATTAAATCAACTACTTAAAATTTTAGCTGCTCATGATCTACAATTAAAGGTTATTCTCGGATTATCTTGTTATACCGTCACTTCATGGATTAATTCAAATTTGCTGGATGATTTAAATTTATCTACCAAAGGATATAAATTTAAAAGTAATGATAATAAAAGTTTAGGTTACATCATTTTAAATAATTTATTTTTAACACCTGAATTAAATGATGATAATCCATTATTAATTGAAAAAAAATTAAGTACAATTATACTTTCAAGATTTGAAAATGCTAACAATTCAGTTGATTCATTAATATCTGAAATTAAATTATGTTATATGATATGTTTTTACCAATCACCATTGTCTATACTACTTGCAAAAGATGAATTTTCAGAGTTATATATTGATGGATTACGAAAATTACCAAGTTTTAAAAAATACATTGAGATTCAATTATATGATAAACGAGATGTAAAGGAGATATTTGACTCAGTTGAAGAATTATTCAAGTCTACTAAACTAAAATATAAGAAATTTAAGTTGACAATCATGAATGCAATTAATGTGATTTATGATATAGACCCAAAAAGAAGTAAGGAAAAGTTTGAGTTATACAAATTACTTATAAACAATAAGCTACTAAACTCAAAGTATTTAAATGATTGTATTAACAATTTAAACAATTATACTAATGAAGCATTGTCTGTTATACTACAAAATATAGGCAAAGATTGTAAGGAAGAAATAGAAGGAGTTCAAGATGAGTTCTTCATTGAATTTAACAAGACTCTATCCAGAAGAAACTTAAGTGAAACATTACAAGTTTATTTCAACAATGATTTGTTAACTACTCCATTAGAGTATATGTTATTTAATGAAGTTTTCACAATGAATGGAGGTACACTAAGTCTGACATCTTTATTTGAAGAGAACTTTGAAAACTTGATGATTAAATTACTAAGACCAAATTTAAGAGAAACAGTTGAATCAAGTTTAGAAAGTCCTGAAACATACTTGGGCAATCCATTATTAGGTGATGAACCAGTAATTGCACCCACATTATCATATTTATACAAGATTTACAAAGAAGCACCAGTTTCCATTAACATGTATGACTTCTTCCAAGCTTATAAATCAGTAGTGCCGAGAGTTATTAGAACAGATGATGAAACATGGCATAAAATGGTTTATTCATGGTTTTTACAAAATTGTGCAGAATTAATGCATTTAGGATTATTACAAATGAAACCTAAAGGTGATTATTTAGAGAAAGCATTATGGAAAGGTGTATAAATGTATATTGCACCCAGTGTAATTAATTTATTGATCAACCTCAGATCCCGGTTGTTCATTACTATTTTCCAATTGTTTATTTGTCTCTTGACTTTCTTGTTTTAATTTTGCTTCTTCTTCAGCTTCTTCTTCTTGTTCTGCTGCTTTTTCCATTTCTAAATCTTCCTTACCACCAAATGGATTAGTATATTGACTTAATGAATCACTTGCTTTTGTTGAAAATTGTTTAACCGAATTAACAACTTTTTCATGATGACCAGATAAAGCTGTAATAATTAACATTAATGAAAAAAAAGCTAATATTATCATAATGATAAATCTTTGAGATCTAAACATTCTATTTGAAATTTGAGTTGAATTGGCAATCATGGTGTAACTAGTGATAATGATTATTTTTTTTTATTAAATTTCTATATATTTAACCAAATGCTACCAATTGTATCAAAATGTTTAACGTCATTAGGAGTAAATTCTATTAATTTACCATTATCATTTTCTTTCTCACCTTTACCTATTCTATCATAAGCACACCATGTATATCCAGCACAATAATTTAAATGTCTCCATGATTCTTTTGGTTCATTTTCAAATGGTTCTGTTGCTGTATTATCAGGTGGAACAATAGCATGAGTTATTTTTAAACTACCTGACATAAATGTTTTAAATTGATCTAATGTTTTCAAGTCATTATATCTCTTTTTTGAATCAAATTCATGTTTAAAATTAACTTTGGAAATTTGATTGCAAAATTTGAAACCTGAATTGAACCATAATAATTTATCATCTTCATCATTTATATGAGCAGGATGATTTGAACATATTTCATTTGATTGAAATGTATATGCTTTACCTAATTCTAAAATTCTATCTTGTGTTGGGGTAATTTCACCAATTGAAGCAGCTGGGTACTTATTAAATTGCCAATTTTCATCACCCATTAAACTTAAACTTAACCAAAATAATTCTTTATCTCCATAAACTCTTTTTTGAACAGGTAGGTAGAAATTCATATTTGCCATCATGATAGGTTGAAAAAAATGTAAATCTCTATTAATTACAACTAGTCCACTTTCCATTATATGAGTTATCTTATGACCAAACATTGGACTTGATTTAGTATGTTCTGTGATTTGAGATAAATCAAATAAAACTTGATCTAGTTGATTGTTCATTAATTTGTAAAAAAAGACAAAATCATCAGTTGGTCTGTATTCTGGTGTGTTTCGATCTCTGAAAAATAATGTACCTGATGATTTATACTTGTTGATAATGAAAAACTCCTCTGGTTTGATAGTTAATATTGTATCAGCATCAATGAAAATTATTTCTTTAAATGAATTAAATAAAATTGCAAGTATTTTAAAACCAAATTTTTCAAATTTAATAGCATATTCTCTTTTAACTGATGTTGAAACGTTAACTAAAGTTATTTCTTGAGATTGAGCCAGAGCTGCTTGTCTTAATTTATCTTTTGATTCTATTGATAATGTACCAGTGGCATATATGATTTGTATAGGTAATTTATTTTCATAATAGCCGAGTAAATGAATCATTCTTATTGTATCTTCAATATGCTCGTCACCAATAGTCATAACAATACCTTTACCAGTTAATGAATCCCTCAAACTTTTGAAGAAACTTGATTTAAATGATGTAAATAGTTTATACTTTCTCCCAGTATTTAAATTTTCATATTCCGGTGATTTTTGAGTCAACCATGGGAAAGCTCTTGATTCAAGATCTGAAATTGTAAAGTTACTCTTTTCTTTTATTAATTTACCTCTTAAATGCAAGCCATGAACTAAATTTTTTTGAATTTTTGTGAAAGTATTATTCTGCTCTAGGAAACATTTATTGAAAACTTTTACCACATGTAAATTATCATAAATTAATTGTTCGTTCTCCTTTATCGTCTTTCTTGATTCTTCAAAATCCTGTTTTATTTTATTTTTCACCTCTTCAGTTATTTCAACCCCTTCTTCTTGCAACTTCTTTATACTATCACCTTCATATTGATTCCAATATAAATAATCAAATCGATTATAATCAGGTTCATGTGCTAGGTCTATACTTGTAAACTTGTTGAAATATAAATTACATCGATCTTGTAAATTAAAATTTGAAACTATTTGAAATAATTCTTCGTCACTAAAGTTATATAACGATGACCTTATTTGCTTTCCAATATCAAATATTGGGTATTTTTCATTTAGTAATGTATTAAAATCAGTAGTTGTTATTTGTTTATAATTAAAATGCTCTACCGCAAAATGTCTTTGATTATATAGTATTAAGCAAAATACTAGAATAAACAATAGCGACACTTTCAATAGTTGTTTTGATTTTTTAACATTTATATAAATCATTGATAAGGTTGGTAAGGCTAAAACCAAAACATAAAAATAATAAAAAAAAAAAAAGAAAAAATAGAAAAAATAGAAAAAAAGTAAACAAAGAAAACGACAGACCAAATTAGATGAGATACGACATCTAAATATCGGCTAAAAATGGAAATGTTTCAGATCTGAGATCTATATACATTGCCAAAAATGGACAAATTTGAGATCCGAAACATAAACCGCTTTGAATTTACTTACTATGCATGTTCTTATTTTATGGCGTAGAAATGGCTGCAAAAAAAGAAATCACACGAGTAAATAAACCATATTAATATTCATTATTCATTATTTAACTTCTACATGTTCAACATTTGATTTAACACCAGCTACTTCATCATCATTTATATAATCTTCCATTTGATCATCTTCTAAACTAGTATGATCTTTAACATAAAACCAAATTAATGGAATAGCTATAATTAAAGAACCTTGAGCTAATGCCCATGATGATGCAAGCATATTAATAAAAGGTGTATGAACAGCATCTAATCTCCATGCAATAGCAGCACCAGCAGATTGAATACCCTTATAAAACCCAGCATATAATGCAGTCTTTTTTGGATTATTTGAAATAGCACCCAAAATCCATAATGTATAAGTTTGAAAAATTGCATCATATAAACCATAAAATATATATAAAAATACAGGACCAACATAAGCAGAATCTGAAAAATCTAATGGAGGAATTTCTGGTGGATCACCTTCAACTTGTTCTCTTGTAAAACCTAATTGAAATTTCAAACCTCCACCCCAAATAGCAGCAGTTAAAAGGAAAATAATAACCCAGCCAATTCTAGCTCTAATAGATCTTCTAAAATATTTCATATCCAAAATATATCCTAAAATAATAGCACCAAACATTTGAGCAAACCAATATAATAAAGAATTTAATGATCTTGTTCTAATATTAAATCTACCATGATTAAAATTATTAAATTGATAAGTATAAAACCAATTTGATGCAAAAAACATTGGGAACATAAACAAAATCTTCGGTTCATTTATTAATAATTTGTAAAGATTAATTAATTCAGTTTTCCAATGTGGATCTTTTTGAGATGAAACTTTAGTACCATCACTTTTATAGACTTTTGAAATTGGTAACATGGCATTTGCTAACGCAGCACCACAAATCATTAAAATAATGAATGCAATAAAGGTACCATCATTTGCACTTGAGGTATTATTTTCTAAATTATTTACTAATGGTATAATTGAACCAATAACAGCACCTAAATTAAAAATAACCCAGAAGATCATAATAGCTTTTCCTTTATTATCTTCAGTTGGATAACTTAAAACAATTTGACCTTGAGCAGCCCATAAAACAGCAGCACAAACACCAAGGAAAGCACCAGCAAATATAACAAAACCTTTATTTTGATTATGATTAAAACTTAATAAAGATCCAGCATAAATAGCATAACCAGTACCACCAAATGTTAAACTTGCTCTAACACCTAGTGAATTACAAATTGTACCAGCAAAAAACCCAATGGTTGCAAAAGTAGAATATAAAGCGACTGATGCATTATCTGATGTAACTCTATCTTCAATAGAAGCACCAATACCAGTTAAAGCATTAAACATACCAGGAGTCAAAAATATGACAAAAGCAACCATAACAATTTGAGTCATTGCATTTGAATACCTAAATTTTAATCCAAATAAATTGATTTGTTTATCATACCATTTCCCACTAGATTCAATTTCTTCTGAAGTATGATGTTTCAATACTAAATGTTCTGGTTGTTCTTCCAAAGAAGCTGATTGTTTTTCAAAATCATTAGATGATGATGAATTCATATTTATTATACCTTCGTTTTTATCGCTCATGACTAATAATGTAAACTACAGATTCTTTACGTTATTTATACATTTCGAATAAAAAATATTTTAATTTAAAGTTCGATTTAATATGGGGAAACGTAAAATTTCTTAATTAATACGTGGTTTTCTTGAAATGTTATCTGGTTGTAATTTGTAGATAACAATTTCAATTTGTCGGTTTCAAAAAAAATTTGAGATAGGAAAAATGACTTGATGAAACATATAGTCAGTTTTTAACTCGCGGTACAAGTTCCTTATTATAATCATAGATAAGATCGATATCGTTCATTGTTCAACGGTTATGAGAAATCGCCAAGTTTCGAGATTTACAAAATCTTTATCAAAAAAATTTTCGGTTGCATTGAATCACAAGATTAAACTAGAAAATTAAACAATATGTAACTTGGTGGTAAAAAATTGAAATATTATAATTATTTCCTATTCCGTCGAAAAGGTACCATTTTTTCATCGACCTGGATAGTTTGCGGCGAAACGAGCAAATTTAGATTTTCAGATCTAAGATTTCCTGCATAAAGTTGAGCCGATGTACGGCGTATAAAATTAGAAAATATTCCCCAAACCAAGAATCGAAACATGTACCTTTCAACTTTCTTAGTTTAGTTGTCAGCAATTATTTTTACGATGTATAACCCCACCGCATCCACCGCATCAGGGTTTAGTATAAATACGTTTTGGTTGTACTCAAATTAATTTTTTCTGATTCGTCATTGTTACATTTGTTTTGTCTATTGCAACATGATTACAAATGTTTTCCTATATTAATTATACTATCTATTAAGTTATCTATTACTTTATCAGTTAGTATTGGTGAATTAAATACAACTCTAAAGAACTCACCTTTTGAATCATTAACTGGATTAGGACTAAAATCAACTAAATATTTTCCAAGTTTATGTAATTCCCTCGATATGAATCTTGTTGTTTCAGTATTATTAGCAAGTTTATTAGGATTATAATAAAAGCAAACTTGTAAACATTGTGGTTGTTTTGGACCAACTAATTCAAAATCACCATTTGATAAAATTTTATCAATAAAATATTGTTTAATTTCAAATGCATGATCAATTCTTGATTCAAAACCTTTTGTACCATAATATAACCAAGCTAAGTAAAATTTAAATGAATCTGCACGTCTACCACAACCCATTGTTCCATCAGCTAAATCATAATTTTCTCCATCATCATTATCTTCTTCTCTACCGTGAAATAAATAAGGTGCTTGTAATGACATTGCAACTTGAAAATTATCAACATTTGGTAATAATAAAAATGAGCAAGTAGTTGGAACACCCAACATTTTATGTGGATTTACAGTAATTGAATCAGCAAATTGACAACCTTCTAATCTATCTTTATATTTATTTGAAAAAATTACGTTACCACCCCATGAACCATCTATATGATGATGAATGTTATACTTTTGACAGATTTCATGTAATTTTGTAAATGGATCATATGAACCAAAAACTGTTGTACCAGCTGTTGAATTTAAATATAATGGAGTATAACCTTGTTTAATAGTTTCATCAATAACTGCAATAAGATGATCAACATCCATTACTCCATTTTCATCAACATCAACTTTAAAAACATTTTCTGATCCAATACCTAATAAAATTGCAGCTTTTACAACTGAATAATGACAATGTACACTTGAATAAATTGCAAATTTATAGTTTTGATTACCTTTTACTTTTGTATCTGGGTATTTCAATGATCTAGCCACTTGTAAACTTGTAATATTTGACCATGAGCCACCACTAAATGTTAAACCACCACATTTCTCCTGCTTAAAAAATAATTTAGCGTATTTCTTACCAATATGATTTTCAATAACTGATAAAACAGGTGATACAGTATAAACATGAGAATTTGTATTTAATACACTTAATAAAATATCCGAAACAACTCCTATTGGATTGTTTGATGCATATAATTTATCTAAAAAACCTGGATTCCATGTATTGACTGAAAATTGTAATACTTTATCTATGACTTTAAATAATTCTTTTTGATTACATGGTTGATCTAAATTTGATTCTTGAGTTAACTCTTTCTTTAAAAAACTTGGTGGATGATAAGTACCTAAAGATTTAAGATTATATTGAGAAGATTTTGGGTCTGCTTGGTCAATGTATGATAGAATCTTTGGTTTTAATTCTGTTAATAAATCATCCAATTCTTGAACTCTATTTGACTCTAAACTTGATTCAATTGTCATTTGTTGAATCTTGTTCGTTTTACTTTTTTTCAAATTTCCACATGAAAGAATTGTTACGTAATTTATGCCTCACCTTAAATAGGAAACAATGCAGCAAAAAAATTTGATACATGAAAAAAAAAAAAAAAATAATTTGGTGCGATAGTTTAATTTCTCGCTTTAGCTTTAGGGCGACCTCGTACTACACAAATTGGCGTATATGTTTTGAACAACCCAATTTCTCGAAATAAATACCAGTTATTTGAAGTCAGGAGCGGTGAATCACGTACCCTGGATGTTTGCAATGTTATATTAAAAATATTTTTTTTTTTTCTCTTTCGATTTTCGGCCTTCTTTCACCGTAGAATTTTTTTATTCAAAAAATAAGAATCAATGTATAGTTACATCTAGGGCCATACTTTCAATTAAACAATGGGACATTTGCGATAAAGGTGCTACACCTAATTAACTGATTTAAACTGAAATTGAAAAAACCCAAAATTTTCACTTAACAATGGGAGATTAGAATAAATTGACTTTAGGAAAATTCAACTCCACAATCAAAATCGATGATGAGAACATGATAAAAGTATCAAATTTATAGTTACCACACATTGATGAACTAAAGATTTTTTATGTTAAGGTATTCAAAATTGGAAAACTGATTATTCAGAAGTAGTTCGAAATTTTGAAAAGATTTCAGAACAATTTTGGCTTCTTGAGATTGTCATAGTCTGAATTTTTGAGATCAAATATACCAAATCAGCTTTGTTAGAAGTTGCAAAATGAGGCTTAAGTGTTGCTTATCTTGCAATTGGCGTTTTTTGGCGCTTTTAGATGAAGGATAAAGTGATTAAATTTATATTTCTTCAAAGAATACTGACATCAACTTACTTTGAATTATTTGAGTATTTGAGGAAGATGTCAGAGGTGAATAGCTAGAAGATTGAGAGGGTTATTGACGATTCAAATTTCAAGATTAACTGTTGCAAAACTGCATATAAGTAAATTTGTCTCAGAATTATGCCAAAGTATGAATTTTTCGATGCGATAAATTGGTACGATAATATAATTTCTTACGCTAATCTTGAGGCGACCTCGAGCTAAATTTTTTTATATGTAAACTGAAGATATTATACACCCCCGAAATACAGAGGAATCAGTGTAAGACTACTAAATTAAAGTGAATTACAAAATTCTGACAAAGGCAATAAATTTAAGTTACAACTAATGTATATTAAAATTTATAAATGCTAAGAAACTAATGTCCAGCAAATTATATATACAAGATAATGTAGCAAACCGAAAATTATTTGAACTTAATATAAATACCGAAATAATACGAATGTTTAAAAACTATATTCAAGCAAATAATGAAATGAAAAGAATAACAATTGTTGATAAAATTGATGTTGAACCAACTTTATAACCAGCACCTTCATATGAGCTGACAGAAGCAACAGTATTTTGTGAAATAGAAAGACTTGAACTCAACGTTGTAGTAACTTGTGAAATTTCTGGTGTTGAGTTCCTTTAGTTGGATTAGTTGAACCAGATTCTTGTGTAACAGCTCCTGATGAAGCAGGTGGCGAACCTGATGCATTATTAGATCCAGTTGGTTTTGGTGAAACAGTTGACTGACCTGGAGCTTTTGATTCTTCAGCTGTTGTAGCTGGTGTTGTACTTTGGGGAATTGATCCAGCATTAGTATTTGATTCTGTTGGTTTAGCTCCTGTTGGTTTAGCTGCAGTTGGTTTTGATCCAGTTGGTTTAGCTGGTTTAGTTACAGTATTGTCATTTGTTTTACCAGTTTCTTCTGATGAAATTGGACAATAAGTAGTATAAACAGTTTCAACTGAGTTCACAGTAGTAGTAACATGGCTCAATGTACCTGGAACGGTAGTTTCATGACATTTATTTTCTTCACATGAAGTAATAGTGATAATTGTGGTTTGGTCTTCTGTGACAGTATTAATTGGACCTGGAGTAGTTGCATTTGACCAAATACCTGATGATTTAGAATGTGGGAAGGTAGTTAAGGTGGTGAGATATGGTCCTGATTCTGATACAATACCACTGCCAGTTTTTACCGAACCGTCTGAATTGGTTGTAGTCCAAGTTGAGGTAGATTCTGTAGTTGAGTCATTAGTTGATTGAGGGAAAGTCGTTAATGTTGTAAAATATGATCCAGATTCTGATACAATACCACTTTCAGTTGCTACCGAACCGTCTGAATTGGTTGTAGTCCAAGATGAGGTAAATTCTGTAGTTAAGTCATTAGTTGATTGAGGGAAAGTCGTATTGTTGTAAAATATGATCCAGATTCTGATACAATATCACTTTCAGTTGCTACCGAACCGTCTGAATTGGTTGTAGTCCAAGTTGAGGTAAATTCTGTAGTTAAATCATTAGTTGATTGAGGGAAAGTCGTTAATGTTGTAAAATATGATCCAGATTCTGATACAATACCACTTTCAGTTGCTACCGAACCGTCTGAATTGGTTGTAGTCCAAGATGAGGTAAATTCTGTAGTTAAGTCATTAGTTGATTGAGGGAAAGTCGTATTGTTGTAAAATATGATCCAGATTCTGATACAATACCACTTTCAGTTGCTACCGAACCGTCTGAATTGGTTGTAGTCCAAGTTGAGGTAAATTCTGTAGTTAAGTCATTAGTTGATTGAGGGAAAGTCGTTAATGTTGTAAAATATGATCCTGATTCTGATACAATACCAGGATCAGTCTCTACAGATCCATCTGAGTTAGTTGTTGTCCAAGTTGAGGTAAATTCTGAAGTAACAGCAGTAGTTGTGGTTGATGGTTCACCTACGCTTGATGATTGAGCACTTGAGCTTGATTCACTTGAAGGTTGGGTAGCTGAGCTTGATGATGGAGCAGCAGAATTTGAGTCACTTGATTGTTGGGTAGATGAGCTTGTTAATGATGAAGATGGTGGTGAGATAGATGATTCACTTGATGATTGAGCGCTTGAGCTTGGAGCCGACGAGGAAGCAGATGATGAGCTTGGTAATGCTGAAGAGCTAGATGGCTCATCTGGAATTGATGGAACAGGTTTACATTCTTGACATTCTGATGGTTGACCAGGATTTGGAACTGGACCCTAAAATTTTTAAGTTAGTATCAAAATCTATTGTTTCAAATTTAAGTATACATACATTATATTGTAATGAACCAAATAAAGTTGAAGGTAAGCCCGCACCTGAATCGGTAACAACTTTAAATTTTGACTTATCATAACCAGTACCGATCTTAAAATTTTGTTTTAATGAACCAAGACCTTTTAATTGAAGAATACCTGTTGAATCATCATAACTCCATGAATTTGAAAGTAAACTAACTAATGGAACAGTTAAACCAACTTTATTACCATCACCAAAACCATAAACATTGAAAGTCTGAGGAGTTGAAAGAGCTTCAACAATAATTGATGAGTCTTTATCTTTCAAATAAAAAGCTTGACCAGATGAAACTGGTAAACCAGCGTTAGCAATATAAATAGTAGAATCTGAATCAGCAGTAATACAACCAGTACCTGAGATTTTAGATTTTTGCCTATAAACATGATTCATAAAACAAATTTGACCGTCATTATGAATTTCTCCAAAAATTGAACCTAATTCAACAAAACCTTCGTTTCTTTGGTTTTGTGAAAAGACTAACAAACCATTATTGTGCCATGAAATTGAAGTAATACCCATTATATTTGGTAATATACCTGAAGCTGCAAGATACATTTCACCGTTATTTGTAAATGAAGCACCAATTAAATCATAAGTTGAGGAACTTAACGAAGGTTGTGAATTGAATGAAATAATACCATCATTTGTAATACTATTAATAACACCGAATAATGTAACAGTTAATGCAATTATTGAAGAAGTACTTGAAATATAAAAACCAGCATCTTTTTGAACTTCTAAATCTCCAACGAAAACTGAAAGAGCATTATTAAGAATTGACCATTTTGCACCTGAATCTATTTTAATATCACCAATACTTAAATTAATTGGTCTTGTTGAAGTTTTGTCCGTGGAAACAGTTAAAGCATTTGCAGCTAAAATGAATAACCAAGCTGAATAAGCAAATCTTGCTAACATTTTGTAAATAATTTTTAATCTATAGATTAACTCTAGATTATATATACAACTCTGACATACTTTAGGGCGTCCTAATCTAATTATAATGCTTTAGTTGAAAAACTTGTTGGTATACTTACATGGTTATTTCCGATGGAAAATATCGTGGGGCTCAAAATCAATTTTGAAACAAAGTAAAGAAATCGTAAGAAAGAAACTTTAATTCAAGGATAATATCGTGTTTTCGAATTTCAAATAAGGAAAATTTCCTGCCACATCTAGCATTTGTAAATAGATACACAACACAGGAATTATGCTTTATTGTTTAATTTATTTATTTTTCAAAAAAACATCTATAGTTTAGTTAATTTAGTCCACATCGGGACGACATAACCTCACAATAAGATCTGCAAGATTCTTTATTTTCAGAATTACGATTTAGTTGACTGATTTTACAACGAACGTCTAATGCAGCAAACGTTTGAACTAAGTTTATCGAATGATAAAATTCTTGAACCCTTCTACAATTGTTTAAACAGTCTAACATTATAATGAAGACGCGTGTGACAATAAAAATTATAGAAATTTCGCTTATAGTCTATGTATAACGTGCAAATACTCTTCAGTTGATGGGTTGACTTATGCACCAAGAGAATAAAAGCGGGGCTCTTTGTTGAAAAGGATTTAATATGACTGTATCATAATCCATATCATCAGTTTTTAAAAATTTATACTTTGGGCAGTTTATTGCATATTGATTGACGCTATATCCTATAAAAAATTAAACACAATTAGACTCGTGTTTGCTATTACATTGAAAATCAAAATATGCTCATATTTCCAGTAAAAAATGTGTTGCATTAGTACAGATCATTTAAAACACATTACAGTGATTTATCAAATTGTCAAAAAATATTTCAAATCTGAACTAAATTCTAGAATCCGTGGAAAATAAACTATTAGATGTAGTAATGTTGCTACGAGATAAATGGTGAGTTAAATATAGAAACAAGTTGAAAGAATTGCACTTATTAGAGCAGAATTAGTCGTGGTAGAGATTTTTGAGAGAATTACTTCCAGCTGTTTATTCCAGTGTTTACTGTATATGCTCTGGAATTACGTGGTTACGACGTGATAATATGGTAAATACAAATTATGTTTAGTCAATTGTTATTATTAATTATAGTTTATTGTTTTCTATCGACAATTATTGGTCAAATATATTTTTCAAATTAATTTGTTTATAATTGTAATCAGATTTTCAAACTTAATTAAATAGTTATTCTGATTTTTATCAAATCTCTATTAACATCGATTATCCAAGGGAGTCAAAGATCTATGGCGAATACTATTCTCCAATCGTAAGCCTATTAATTAGATGAAATTTTGAGCCTTTGAAAAAAATTAGGCTAACCATGTCGCTTAACTTTAAAATGGAACTTTGCGCCTTTTATTGCGCTTTAAAAAAAAGGGTTTGACAAAATTTTACGTAATAAATATATATTTTATTCTAATTAAATACTTGTTCTAAAAATTCTTTTTCTTCAGCTAAATGCATTGCTTTTGAACCTGCAGCAACTGAAGCACTTGGGTCTCTACCAGCATATCTTAATTCTAAGTCTTTACCAATTTCTTTCAAGGTTGTTTGAATTCTTGGTGTAACAAATGACCATGCACCCATATTTAATGGTTCTTCTTGACACCATATTAAATCTTCAACATTATTAAATGAACTTAATGATTCTTTTAATTGTGCATATGGGAATGGATGTATTTGTTCTAATCTTACAATTGCAACTGATTTATCATCACCTCTTTGTTTACTTAAAGCAGCAAATACTTGACCAGAACATAATACAACTTTTTTAACTTCATCTCTATTACCTAAAATATCTTCTATAATCCATCTGAAATGAGATTCACCAGTGAATTCACTTAAATCTGATTTAGCTAATGGATGTCTTAATAATGATTTTGAGAAAAATAATATTAATGGTTTTCTAAATTGACGATGCATTTGTCTTCTTAAAAGATGGAAAATATTTGCTGGAGTTGTTGGATAAGCAACTTGCATATTACAATCTTGATGTTGTCTTTCTAATTTTTCAGGACTTGGGAAATATCTTGGATCTTCATTACATAATTGTAAATATCTTTCAATTCTACCTGATGAGTGTTCTGGACCTTGACCATCATAACCATGAGGTAATGATAAAACAACACCAGATCTTTGTTTCCATTTGGATTCGGCACCAGCAATAAATTGATCAATAACAACTTGTGCAGTATTTGCAAAATCACCAAATTGAGCTTCCCATTCAACTAATGCATCTGGTGAAGTTAATGAATAACCATATTCAAAACCTAAAACACCATATTCAGATAATGATGAATTTGATATATTGAAAACACCTTGATCTTCACTCAAGTTTGATAATGGGGTCCATGTAGATTCACTATTCTGATCATGTAAAACAGCATGTCTTTGAGAGAATGTACCTCTTTCGACATCTTGACCGGATACTCTAACATGATAACCTTCTAATGCTAAAGAACCATATGCTAACGCTTCACCAGTTGCCCAATCAATACCTTTACCTTCTTCAACAGTCTTTTTTCTTGTATTTAAAATTCTTTTCAAATTTCTGTGTATTTCAAAACCTTCTGGAGCTTCACTTATAGCAGCACCAATTTTTTTCAAAGTAGCTTCATCAACAGCAGTTGGTAAATGTGGTAAAACTTCAGTTGCTAATTCTTTTGGTGATTTGAAATCTTCCCATGGTGTTGTTAACCATTCTCTTGAAGTTGGTTGATATTCTTTAGCTTTTGAAAATGATTCTTCAAGAATATTCCAAACCCATGTTTTATGTTCATTAATATCTTCAGCAGTAAAAGTACCTTCATCAACCAATTGTTTTGAATAAATGTCAATAACTGATTTTTTCTTTGCAATTGATTGATACATGACTGGTTGAGTAAATGCAGGTTGATCAGTTTCATTATGACCATGTTTTCTATAACCAACAACATCAATAATAACATCTGAATGGAATGTAGCTCTCCAATCAGCAGCTAAATTGAATACAAATGTACATGCTTCAACATCATCTGCATTAACATGGAAAATTGGAGCATTAATTGCTTTTGCAATGTCTGATGGATATAAAGTTGACCTTGCAAATCTTGGATCAGTAGTAAAACCAATTTGATTATTTACAATAACATGAACTGTACCACCAGTTGAATAAGCTGGTAAATTAGCAAAACCCATAGTTTCATAAACAACACCTTGAGCAGCAAAAGCAGCATCACCATGTAATAAAACACTCATTGCTTTTTTAAATTCACCAATATCATTTTTATATTGTTGTATAGCTCTTGTTTTACCTAAAACAACACCATCTTCAGCTTCTAAATGTGACGGATTTGCAACAATTGATAAATTAACATGTTTACCTGAAGTTGTTGGCCTTGCATAATTCATACCTAAATGATATTTAACATCACCTGAGCCTTCGTCAAATTCTTTTGAACCAGCAAATTCTGAAAAGATTGATTCATTTGGTTTACGTACAACATTTGATAACATATTTAATCTACCTCTATGTGGCATACCAATAACTATATCTTCAACACCATATTCTACAGAAGTATCAATTAATGATTTCATACCTGGAACAATAGCTTCAGCACCTTCTAAACCAAATCTTTTATCATTTGGAAATTTAGTTGATAAAAATGACTCAAATGATGTTGACCAAATTAATCTATCTAAAATTTGTCTTTTTTGATCTTGGGAATATTTAAAAGGATTTGGAATTTCAATTCTTTCTCTTAACCAATCACATTGTTCTTTACTTGGAATATGAACATATTCAACCCCATAAGATGAACAATATAATTTTTCACAATTACCAATAATTTCACGTAAAGTCATTGATTTTTTACCACCTTGAGCAAATCTAGGTAAAATACCAGGACCTAAAGTAATTTCTTTATCTAAATCTTTTTCAGTAAAACCATAATAATCTAAAGTTAATTCTTTTGGAACATAAGCATGATCACCAAAAGATATACCCAATGGATCAATTTTAGCTTTTTGATGACCTCTAACTTGATAAGCTCTAACTAATAATTGAACTTTTAAATGAGTAACAACATCTTCAGTTATTGGATTTTGCCCCGGGTAAAAACTAGCAGTACCACCAGAAACAGTTGGAACTAAAGTTGGAGGAGCTTGAAAAGCTTGACTTGGTTTTACATTATCATTCTCTATATTTTTAAAATAAGCATTCCAAGAAGCATGAACACTTGATGGATCATTTCTCCAAGCTTCATACATTTCATCAACATAATTTGAATTATTACCTTGTAAAAAAGTATCAGTTGCAGTTGCAAAAGTTTTGAATATATTTATTTTAACATTTGCTCTTATTAATTGTGTACGAGGATGTACACTTTTTCTGAAAGCTCTAAGCATGATCGAAACTCCGGATTCCAATTCGTTGTTAGAAATGAGAAAAATTTGTTGTATTTTATATTTATATGGTTAGTGTAATTCGTTACAAAATTATATAAAAACTCCTATATGTCCGGGAAGAGCTACCAAATTATAACAACCGACTTCATGACTATGATCACAAGAACTCTTTAGCTTTTCTTCTAAATGCATTACAATCTCTTAACCATTGACCGTAATCTTTTAATGAATATATCTTTTCCCCGTAGTAGTCCGGAATTGGGTTTGAAAAACTTTGATATGATGGATCTGGTCTATTTTTAATTAATCTGGTTAAAAACTCAGAGTTTTTCAATTCAAATTGTTGAAGTTTTGATTTATTAATTAATTTAAATGCTATTGTACCAATAGTTGGACCAGCTAAATAACCAACAAATGCACCTAAACCAACTACACCTCCCATAACCATTAATGGATCAAATCCCATGATTGGTTTTTCTGGATCTATTTCAATATTACCTAAATAATTTAATGTAATTAATGCCCCTCCCAAACCGGTAAATATACCAGATACCATATTAATTCTATTACTTTGTTTTTTTAATTTAAAGTATTCAATCCATGTTAGTGGTTGACTAGTTGATTTATATCTGAGACCAGTTATAGCTTTTCTTGTTAAAGCTTTATTATATACACCAAGTTGAAACATACTGTTGGAATTTTTTTTAATGAGCAAATCGCACTATAAATGAAAACTTACGATAAAATTATACAATTAATTAGAACAAGAAAACACTATTATGGATTGACAACTATATAAGCGACATTCGCTTAAAAAGCTACTCGACAATCTACTCTAGCTCATACTCTTTAGTCATCTCTCATACTATTAAATTTCAATTGCAACATTTTCTTAGTCGTGTAAAAAATTATCAACAGAAAAATAATCAACATCAAAACAATTATGAATAGTAATGTACTAGCGATGAATGGTAGTAGTAATATATCATATCCACAATCAAAAGATCAGTTAAATGATTTATTAAATAAATATTATAAATTACTACTTGATGCTGAAGTTGATGAAAAAGAAAAGGTTAAAATAGAATCAGAATTGTCAAAGGTTAGTTTACAACATCAAAAATTTAAACAAGAAGACAATGAATTTATAAATGATTTATTAAAAAGTGAAATAAATGAAGAAATAGACTTTGATTTATTTGAAAAACAAATTGGTGGTTTTTTATTATTATCAAAGGATTATGATTTGCCCGAGGCATTACAAAACCAATTTCAAGATGAAAAAGAAGTATCAAAAGTTTTAATAGACGATATAATTAAAAAAATTACTACCATCGATACCAAGTTTGAAAATAGAGCAAATGCAGTAGGTATTAAAACAAAATTTAGATCTTACCTCAAAGATAATGACAAAATCATATGTAATAAAATATCTCAAAGGTTAAAAGAACTTGAAAATTTACCAAGTAATTTAGGTACCTACGGGGCACCATTAGATGATTTAAAAATAAAAGCATTAATTGAATTAAAAAGTTTACAATTATTAGCTAAACAAAAGCAATTAAAACATAATATAATAGTTCATGAATCACAACAAGTTAAATATAAAAATCCAAATTTAAAAGACATTCCCCTTTGTTTGTCAGAAAAGAGATCATTTAATCTAAGATCTAAAATCGAACAAAAAAACCCACAATTATTAGCTTTACAATTGGAAGAATTGAAAAAGCAAGAAGCAAAAGAATTAAAACGTCAATCACATATTTCAAAAGTTGAACAAATTTTATCAAGTTCAACCAATTTTAAAGAACATAAATCAGTTATTGAAAATTATAGAACTCACTATCTCCTAAGACAAATTAACAATTTCCATCAAACTACCGAAAAGGAAGAAAGTAAAAAATCCGAAAAGAATGCTAAACAAAGATTACAAGCATTAAAAGCTAATGATGAAGAAGCATATCTTAAATTATTAGATGAAACAAAAGATCATAGACTTACTCATCTTCTTAAGCAAACTAATCAATTCCTTGATTCATTAACTGAACAAGTTAGAGCTCAACAGATTGAAGCTGAAGAAGGTGTAGTTCCTGCCAAAAGTGGTAGTCCAGAAGCTATTGCCAAACCTGTTGATGGTAAAGAAGAGTTACGTGAAAAGACAGATTATTATGAAGTTGCTCATAAAATAAAGGAAAAAATACCCGACCAACCGACAATTTTAGTAGGTGGTAGATTAAAAGAATACCAAATGAAAGGCTTAGAATGGATGGTTTCATTATATAATAATCATTTAAACGGTATATTAGCAGATGAAATGGGTTTAGGTAAAACAATTCAATCAATTTCATTAATTACATATCTTATTGAAAAGAAACATGAACAAAAATTTTTAGTCATTGTTCCATTATCTACAATTACAAACTGGACTTTAGAATTTGAAAAATGGGCACCGTCTGTTAAAATTATAGTTTATAAAGGTTCTCAACAACAAAGAAGATCAATGCAATCAGAAATTAGATATGGTACTTTTCAAGTTTTATTAACTACTTATGAATATGTTATTAGAGAACGTCCATTATTATCCAAATTTCAGTATTCTCATATGATTATTGATGAAGGTCATAGAATGAAAAATGCACAATCAAAACTTTCACAAACTTTAAGACAATATTATAAAACAAAAAATAGATTAATTTTAACAGGTACTCCATTGCAAAATAACTTACCAGAATTATGGGCCTTGCTAAATTTTGTATTACCAAAAATATTCAACTCAGTTAAATCATTTGATGAATGGTTTAATACTCCATTTGCGAATACAGGTACTCAAGAAAAGATCGAATTAACAGAAGAAGAAAGTTTATTAGTTATTAGAAGATTGCATAAGGTCCTTAGACCCTTTTTATTAAGAAGATTAAAAAAAGATGTTGAAAAAGATTTACCTGATAAAGTCGAAAAAGTTTTAAAATGTAATCTTTCTGGTTTACAATATGTTTTATATCAACAAATGTTGAAACATAATGCATTATTTGTAGGTGCAGAAGTTGGAGGTGCCAAATCAGGTATAAAAGGTTTAAATAATAAAATTATGCAATTGAGAAAAATTTGTAATCATCCATTTGTTTTTGAAGAAGTTGAAGCTGTTTTAAATCCTACTAGATTAACAAATGATTTAATCATGAGAGTTTCTGGTAAATTTGAATTATTAGATAGAATTTTACCAAAATTTAAAGTTTCAGGTCATCGTGTCTTAATGTTTTTCCAAATGACTCAAGTAATGGATATTATGGAGGATTTTCTAAGATGGAGAGATATGAGATATTTAAGATTAGATGGTTCAACAAAAGCTGAAGATCGTCAAGATATGTTGAAAGAATTTAATGCACCAGGTTCTGAATATTTTTGTTTCTTATTATCAACAAGAGCTGGTGGTTTAGGTTTAAATTTACAAACTGCTGATACTGTTATTATATTTGATACTGATTGGAATCCTCATCAAGATTTACAAGCTCAAGATAGAGCTCATAGAATTGGTCAAAAAAATGAAGTTCGTATATTAAGATTAATTACAAATGATTCAGTTGAAGAAGTTATATTGGAAAGAGCTCATCAAAAATTAGATATTGATGGTAAAGTTATTCAAGCTGGTAAATTTGATAACAAATCGACCGCAGAAGAACAAGAAGCATTTTTGAAAAGATTATTAGAAGCAGATGCAAATGGTAATGATGATGAAGAAAATGATTTAGACGATGATGAATTGAATGAAATTTTAGCAAGATCAGATGAAGAAAAAGCATTATTTAATAGAATGGATCAGTCAAGGAAAGAAAAGAAATTGATTGAAAAGGATGAATTACCAAGTATATTTACAGAAGATATCTCTCATCATTTTGAAAAGGATACGAAAGAATTGACTAGAATGAGAGAAAAGAAAAAAGTTAAATATGATGATGGATTAAGTGAAGCTCAATGGTTGAAGGCAATGGATGATGATGAAGATACTGTTGAACAAGCTATAAAAAGAAGAGAAACAAGAATTGCAAAAAGAAAAAGAAATAAGGCTATACGAGAAGGTTTAATTGAAGCAGATATTAATGATGATGATGTAGGTGAAGAAGATGATGAAGATGTTGAATTGGAACCAAGAAAGAAACAAAGAATTGATAATTTTATTACTTTATGTCAATCTATCTTAGATGAAATTCAACAAATGACTGATCCAAATGATGACCATAATATTGGTGAAATTTTTATGAAATTACCTTCAAGAAAATTATATGCTGATTATTATAAAATTATTAAAAATCCAATTTCAATTAATCAAATACAGAAAAAATTAGATCAAGATAATTATGATTCATATGAAGAATTTATCAATGATTTGAATTTAATGATTTCAAATGCAAAGACTTATAATGAAGAAGATTCTTTCGTTTATATTGATGCTGTAGCTATTGAAAATTTGATTAACAGTAAATAAATGTATAATTGATACTTTTCAGGGCTTTTGTAAATACATCTTCGTACACTTGAAACATGATGTGTAATTTAACTCTACTTATAGGTTTTTTTTTTTTTTTTTGACTAAAGTATTTCCCCTGGCCATCGGACCCTGTAATCCAAATCGGGAAATTTAGAAAAATAAAAAACGCTAGCGACTTAATTAATAAACGCGATATTTGTTGAATTTAAATTAAAATTAATAAATCGTTTAGATTACTTTTTCCATCAAGCATTATATTAAGACGTCAATCAAATATCCTACGTTATAGCCAAATTTTGATAAGGTTTGAGTTACGTTACAAACATCCTCAATTAAGTTATCTGTTATTGAATTACTTTATCACAAGTTCTCATTGAATTGACTTTGTTATCATGAAAATGCAAAATGATATTGATCCAATCGCCAAAAGGAACAACTTTGTAAAGTCATTAGATGCAATTAAAAAGACTTTGGTAGCTAATAATATTGATTTGGTTTTAGTTAGACTGGTGATATTTTATTCATACTACCGCCTGAAATTATACACCAAGTACTAATATTCCAAGATGCTCAATTTCTTTATTTTTTGAATTAAAACAAGTGTGTTCAATCGCTTTAGATATTATTTTTTCTAATGTAAGGTTTGGTGATCCTGAAAGCTGGCATAATCCACAATTAAGGTCTGGAACTTTTCCGCTAGGGTGATGTGCCTCACGCTGCTATCATTATTCATTAGTTCAAAGCGTTGAAACGTTAATAAAAATAGTCAAAAGATTCAATGTAGATTTCATGGAAACAATTATGAGAATCGATTTCAAGATCAATAATCCTCATTTTGAAATACGCTTTAATGATTTATTTACTGGTATAGATATTAATCTAGGTACTCGTGGTGCTACAAATAGCAATACTAAAGATTTGTTCTAGTTGAATATTAGAAAGATTCGTATCGGTAAGGGATTTTTACAATTTGATTCGCTACCACAAAATATAATTGAATTAAGTATTGTCATTAATGAAATTTTACCTTTCAGGATTTGAGATATTTTGTACATTTAAAAAGATTGTAGAAGTATCGAATTGATGTACTTGTATTCAATTATTTACCTAAGAATATGGAAAAGTTAACTGCTTGGTCTACTTCGGGTGATTGGATGCAAATGAAAGTTCCCAACAAGGTTATAGAAAACTATATCGAATTCAATTCCAATTATGAAGCTAATTCAATCGAACATTTATTCAGCTACTCGCCTAATATGTTAAAATTGAATATAAATCATCAGGGTGATCTTGGCTATTTTGATTTCGGCCTACGCACACTGTTGAAATTTCTATCATTATATTGTGAATTAAACGATTATTCAGCAATATCAGGTTTACAAAATTTGGTCGAGCTTAGGATTTACGATTGTCTTGCATTACAATTGTTTTCATCATCAACCTTATTTCCCAATATGAGAAGACTCACTTTTACCTATAGTTTTAATCATGACGGAGAAGAAGAAATGGAACCGCATAGAATAGAGATCCCTGACTCACTAGAATCACTAAGTTTAACAGCAAATGGTATGTCAATACCGTTTTCAAGGTTTCCAAAAAATATAAACAGCTCAAATTAGAAATTCCATTTCCTGACAATTTTGAGTTGATTTTTCCAGATAGTATTTATGCTTTGACTATAAAGTATTCAAACTTCTCTACTTTGGATAATGTCAAATTTCCTAAAAATTCAAGATCTTTGAAAATTGCCCATAATAATTCTTTGACTTCAATGAAATCAACTAATATTGGTGAGTTGGAATTTGCTAGGAGATTAAAGATCCGCAAGAACAAGAAATTTTGTTGTCATGATATTGAGATCATGACTAAATCCAAATGCCTTTGCAAATTTGATAAGGTTAGGTAAGTATTAGATTAATCAATAAATAGCTAGGTAGTTCGTTATAACGAGCATGGAATGTACTAATTCGGCTATAACTTTGTAAATATTACAGTATTACAATATTATCTCTCGTAAATTTAATCGGAAACAATTACTTGATTTGGAACTTTAAATAGCGCCACGCCATTCCGATTTTTCCACGCCATTTATTGTTTAAACATCATAATGGAACATCAATTCATAGCAATCAAATCTACACCGTGAGGTGAGACACATTCTAATTCTTATGGCACGTTGTAAACAATTTCAATGACCAGAGATACAAGTGTTTTAATTTTGGTTTCTCCAGAAAATGGTCTTTAGCGTAGATCTTAGTTACATTTGCGGAGCTGAAACAATTGCGCTCAATAAAGCTTAATTGATAGGAAGATCTAATCTTTTCTATAATTAGACATCCAATCATATTTATATGATTGATAATTATATCTAAACTATATGCAGGATGTGATGCAAAATAATATCAAGCAATCTACTATAAGTTTCAAATTAGTCAATTGTCCAGATCTCCAAAAGTTCACTTTTCAACATGTCTTCAATTGCATTTGGAAGGATCTCAAAAACTTATAATAAATCATTCTTGGTTAAATCGTTGACTGCTTTAGCTGGTGCTTCAGCAATTGCAACTTACTTTTATCAAAATAATAATAATAATAATAACAAACATAAAGATAAAGGTCCATTATTAGGATTATTAGGATTTAATGGTGATATCAATGTAAGAAAATCTCGTGTTCCAGATGGTAAAGGATTCAAAGATTATCAAAAAGTTTATAATGAAATTGCTCAAAAATTGGAAGATCATCCAGAATGGGATGAATATGATGGTTATTATGGAGTTTTATTAAGATTATCATGGCATTCATCAGGTACATATTCAAAAGATTCAAATACTGGTGGTTCATTTGGTGGTACAATGATCTATGGACCTGAAAAAGATGATAAAGAAAATAAAGGTTTAACAAATGGCCAAGATTTCTTAGAACCATTATTGAAAAAATATCCATGGATATCTCGTGGTGATTTATGGACTCTTGGTGGTGTTTGTGCTGTACAAGAATCTGGTGGTCCAAAAATTAAATGGTTACCAGGTAGACAAAATGATGATACTGGAAAACATGTACCTGAAAATGGTTTACTTCCTGATGCTTCAAGAGATGGACCATATGTTAGAAAAGTTTTTAACAGAATTGGATTTAATGATAGAGAAACAGTTGCTTTAATTGGTGCTCATTGTTTAGGAAGATGTCACAGAGAGTATTCTGGATTTTTAGGACCATGGACCAGCAGCCCTTCTACATTTTCTAATCTATTCTATACTGAATTATTAGGAAAATGGCATGTTAAAAAATGGGATGGTCCAAAACAATACGAAGATGAAGAAACTAGTAATTTAATGATGCTACCAACTGATATGTCATTAAAAGAAGAGCCGTATTTTGTGAAATATGTTAAAATGTATGCTGATGATGAAGAGTTATTCTTTAAAGATTTTGCTGAAGCTTATGCTAAATTGATTTCTAATGGTGTAACATATCCAAAAGATGAAAAACCTTATATATTTAAAACATTAGACGAGCAAGAAGAAAATTAATATACAGGAAAACTATCTTAAACTTACGAGAAATGCGCGGGAAACTAACCACAAAAGAAACCATAGCCCTAGGGCTATTTTGAGAAGTCACGGCCTCTCATAATTAATGCACTTTCACTAAACAAAAGATTTTTTTGAATTTTCATCATCTAAATATCTACGTTTAGTACTATATTCACATCACAACTAATATAACCAAGATGGTATGTAATTGAAATCAAGTATAATGGAAATATTCAACTTCACAAATGTGGGATCAAACGTTAGACTATCAGGATGTAACGTGGAATTCAAGGTTACTTTAATATTATTTTCACAAGATTGAATTTTCATTATTTGTACAACTACGGAGAGTGAAGTTATATCAAAATTAAGTAGAGTACTAACAGTTTATTAGTCTGATCCAGTTACCATTAGAACTAGAAAAGTTATTACCAATCCACTTTTATCAAGAAGACAATTTGTCATTGACGTTTTACACCCAAACAGAGCCAATGTTTCAAAAGATGAATTAAGAGAAAAATTATCAGAAATTTACAAAGCTGAAAAAGATGCTATTTCAGTTTTTGGTTTCAGAACTCAATATGGTGGTGGTAAATCAACTGGTTTCGGTTTAATTTATTCATCAGTTGCTGATGCTAAAAGATTTGAACCAACTTATAGATTAGTCAGATATGGATTAGCTGAAAAAGTTGAAAAAGCTTCAAGACAACAAAGAAAACAAAAGAAAAACAGAGATAAAAAAATATTTGGTACTGCCAAAAAAGCTGCTAAAAAAGCTGCTAAAAGAAATGCTGAGTAGGTTAATAGGTCTATTTAATATAAATTTTATAATTGTATCATAGAGAACAAAGTCAGGATTCCGATAAAATAAACTGTGGGGATGTAATAATCACCTAGAGTATACTCAAGACTGATCAAGTTAATTAAAATAAAGAACTACAATGTTGATTTTACTCGAGAATCGAGATTTGCTGTAAAAGATTTCCAGCATTTAAATTTTAGCCTCTATTTCTATCTCCGTACTAAGTAGAAACTGAATTGTAAATCAAGGTTGGCTATGACTGAGAATTAATTGAGTCTATATTTGGCTGCAAAACTTTATTTCGCTTAAACAAGATTTGGCTGCAAAAGAGACTTAATTGAGGATGAAGAGATAATAATTAGAATAAAGGCATTCTTACTTATCCTTACTTTACTCTAGCAATTTATATTTTAGGTTTTACTTCAATTTCATTAGCAAATAAATTTTCCACTAAATGAGCAATTACTCCCCATCCATAACCATTTGAAAATCTTCTTCTTACAATTATATTATTATGAGCATCAGGAGGTAAATTAACTAAAACTTTTCTCCATATCAAACTATTTGAATGATATTTATTTGCAATTTTAACTTGTTTTTGTAATTTCCATTTTGAATGATAATTAAATAAATATTCAAACCATGTTGAATCAGTATTTATTTCTGGTGGTTTATCAAATTCATAATATTTATCATGAAAAATAACATGATGACGAGAATCAGGATTTAAGATATATGTTTCAGAAGGTATAGGACAAATTAAAGTGTTAATTGCAGATTCAATAGCTGATGCCCTAGGTGGGACGATTATTGATTTTGAGGAGTTATCTGAGGTTGTTGATTCTGTATCTTCATCTAATGTTTTACCCTTGATTGAAAAGTTTTTATACTTCTTCTGACGTTTTTTAATCTTTGGTTCTGCTGATAAACTTAAAAATTCTTTATATTTCTCTTTTGCAAATGATAAATGATACTTTTCGGTTGTTTTCTCATATTCTACATATCCATTATCTTCTGGTGCTTGGGAAACATCTTGTGTTCTTTTAGTTTCAACTGATGATCTATCATTTTCAGGTTTATATTTTTCATCTTTTATATGATTTGTTCTTTTCAATTCTGAAACATCACCTAATGCTTCATAATCTAAATATAATAAAGCAGCAGTTCTTAATGGGACAATACCATCATTTATTGCGTTTGCATAAATTGTCAAATGTTTGAATTTACAAAGGAATAATTTAATTGGATCATCAGGTAATGTTTCTAATATTGGTCTAAAAGTATCTCTTTTTTGATCATTTAAATCATCTAAATGTGGCAATCTCTTTGACAATGTTAAATCTCTACCTGTTTTACCTAACGTACCAATATCTAAAACCCAAGAAAGTAAGAAATTTAACTCATTTAATATACCTAAAAATGGACTAGCTAATGAAACTAAATTTTCCATTTCAATACCTTTTTTATCAAAATAATCAAAACCTTGAGTTACTAAAATATATCTTAATGCATATAATTGAGTTACACCACCTAATGAATGAGCAATAAATGACATTTTCCCAATTTTATAAGGCAAATTTTCAATTAGATCAATTATATATTCTGCAATGTTAGTTCCCAATTTTTTAACACCTTTTTCTGTTCTACCTGCATTTTCATTATACCCTCGTATTAAAATATTATCATTAACAGTTTCTAATTGATCTTTAAGGTATAACATATCAGCAGATAAATTTGAAAAAACTCCATGCGTGAGAATAATTAAATGTATTGGTTTTTCAGGATCTTTTGGTTTAGTTTGCCATAAATCATCAGTAGTTAATTTAAAGACTGTTAACTGAGGATTGAAAACTGAATTATCAACAGATTCGGGTATAGAATCAATATCGGAAGTGAGGGAACTTAATGTTTGTTGTAATTTAGAATGGTTAATCTTCTTTAAAAATGATAAATCATCACCAATTGTGAAATCATATTCAACTTTCGACCTTCTAGTAATTACAATTTGTGAAATTATATCTATTTCCCATTGAAATTCTTCGTCACTTTTTTTGGAATTATCATTAAGCAACAACGTAACATTAAATGATTGATTTGGTTTAACTTGATTTTCAAATACAACTTCAGTATTATCTTTATTATCTGGCTTAAACTCCTTTAATTGATTATAATTGAATGGAATTACATGACAATATAATATAAATGGACCACTTATTAAATTAATAGCTCTAATACTTGTTCTTTCAATATTTTTCAATCTAAGATAAATTTGTTCTATGTTCTTATCTAACCTTTTATAATTTACAGTATATCTATTGACTTCACCAATTTTTAATTGGTCTTTATCTCTATACCATAAGGATGGATTCATTCATGGAGTAAACGCGCAGTGCAAAATTATTTATATTTATTTTTGATATTTTCAAATACTTTAAATAAACCAAATTTATATAATAAACAATATTCAACAATGAATCTAGGGACAAAGAGTAATACATGTCCAAGGAGTGTAGACATTGTACCCCTATAATAATTCAATTTTGATCCATTTGCATATTCAAAATCACTAACCACTTTTTTCGCATATTTTTCAGCTGGCATGGGCATATTTTTCGCAGCCATTCTTCTTCTTTCAATAAATGCTTCTTCCATTCCATCAACATTAAATAAACTTGTCTTTGGGAAATCTCTTTTATCTTCAATATCAGTTTTAACACCACCAGTTATAATGTTAATAACTTTAACGTTAAATGGTTTCATTTCTAATCTTAATACAGCTGCATATTGATGAATAGCTGCTTTTGTTGATGAATAAACACAACTAAATGGAAATGGAATAATTCCACTAACTGAACCGGTAAAACCAATAACACCTTTAGCATTTATAATTAAAGGAATTAATTCCCTAACTAATCTCATTGGACCAAAAACATTAACTTCAAAGCATTGTTTAATTTGTTCATCTGTAACATCAGTAGTTGGAAATGTACAAGATTGACCAGCATTATTGTACAATATATCTAAATAAGACCCATCTTTTTCAATTAATTTCTTAACACCTAAAGCACTTTCTAAATTTGCAACATCTAATTCAATTGGAATAATACCATAATCCTTCAACTTTTCCATTGGTTCCAATCTTCTAGCACCAGCATATACTTTATAACCTCTTTTAGCAAACTCAATTGATGTAGCAAAACCTATACCAGATGAAGCACCAGTTACCAATACAACTTTTTGTCTATCATTCATTGTTCCTTGGTTAATTTTTTTGGCGAGAATTATCACCGGTCGCTTTTTTTTAAAATCACCAGATCAAATATGAATATTGGAATTGTAGGTGCAGGATTAGTTGGTTGTTTATCAGCATTAGCTTTCACAAAGAAAGGTTATAAAGTTAGTTTATTTGAATTAAGGCAAGACTATAGTAGTCTGACTGAAAGAAGTTTAAAATCTATCAATTTAGCTGTTAGTAATAGAGGTTTACGGGCATTAAAAGAAATTGATGAATTTATTCATGATAAGGTTTTAGAAAATGTTATTCCCATGAAAGGAAGAATGGTGCATACTGATAAACTTGAAAGTCAGTTATACGGTTTACATGGTGAAGCTATAAATTCAATAGATCGTGGTTTATTAAATGACATTTTAATAAATGAATTGAAAAAATTGGGTGTTGAGATTTATTTTGAACATAAATTAATTAAATTAGATCCAGAAGGTAATATTTCATTTATAAATCATGGTCATATGAAAAATTTTAAATTTGATTACTTAATTGGTGCTGATGGTGCCCATTCGCAGTTTAGATATCAATTACAAAAACATTGTAGAATGAATTATAGTCAAAAATATATTGACATGCAATATTTGGAATTGTATATACCTCCAATTAATGGTGGGTTTGCATTTGATAAAAATCATTTACATATTTGGCCAAAGCATAATTTTATGTTAATTGCATTACCAAATACTGATCATTCATTTACATCGACTTTTTTCAGTCCTTGGAGTGTTATAGAAGGGTTAGATACTAAAGGATGGTTGGAATTTTTTAAGAAGGAATTCCCAGATGCTTATGATTTAATTGGAGAAGAACCTTTAATATCTGCTTTTGAAAATAATCCAAGAGGATCACTCATGCAAGTTGAATGTTATCCTTATAGTCATAAGAAAGCTATTATTATTGGAGATGCTGCACATTCAATGGTTCCATTTTATGGTCAAGGTATGAATTGTGGATTTGAAGATGTTCGTATTTTATTCGAGCTTATTGATGAATTTGGTATTGATAAAGGGTTTGAAAAATATTCACCATCAAGACATGAAGATTTAAAAGCAATTTGTAAATTAGCATTAGACAATTATCATGAAATGAGTTCAAGAGTGGTTAGTTTAAGGTATTTAATTAAGAAAAATTTAGATTACACATTAGGCAAATTTTTCAGTTGGTTACCATTATACACCATGGTTTCATTTAGAGATGATATACCATATTCCAAGGCAATTACTATATCCAAAAGACAAGATAGCATACTAAACGCTATTACAACTTCATTCGCCGTTGGCGTAATATTTTTTGGTGTAAAATTATATAATCGCATTGAAAAAATTTATTCTACGAAGTAAATGATAAAATATACAACAAGATCAATACATACTAGATCTTTTCTACTTCAAAACCAATCACCATTAAAGGTGTTTTTAGACACTTTCAAACAAGAAGTCAAAAAATCAAATGAACTAAAGCAAAACATAAAAGCTTTACAAGATGAATCTGGTAGAATGGCTGAATCAGAAGCTTTTAAAAGAGCAAAAGAAGCTTATGCAAAAGCTCAAAAGGGATCATCTGCTGCTGGTAAAGTATTGAAAAAAACTGGTGAGACTATTGGTGATACTGCTTATAAAGCTTGGGAATCTCCTGTTGGTAAAGGTGTTCGTACAACTGTGAGAGTCTCTTCAGAAGCGGTAGACAAAGCTTTTGAACCGGTTAGAAAAACTCAAATATATAAGGATGTTAGTGAAGTAATAGATGATGGTAGTTCAACTGCTTATGGTGGGTTTTTAACTAAAGAACAAAGAGAAATTTTAAGACAAAAAGAGTTGCAAAAAAAATTAGCCAAAGGCTATCAAGCACCAGTTAGAGAAAATCAAGAAGCTGGAGGTGAATTAATAGCAACTGAACATAAAGCTTCTGGACCTTCAGTTGGTGAAAAATGGGAAGATTTTAAATTAAAATCACCAATTGGTAAATTAATTTCTATTTTACAAGAAAAATGGGAAGAAAGTGAAAATGGTTTAATTTCATTAATGCGTACAATAGTTGAAAAAGTTACTGGATTTTTTGCTGAAACTGAACAAGCTAAAACTATTAAACAATTTAAAATGATGGATCCATCTTTTAAATTAATTGATTTTCAAAAAACTTTAACAAATTATATAGTACCAGAAATTGTTGATGCTTATATAAAAAATGATGCTAAAACTTTAAAACAATGGTTTAGTGAAGCTCCTTTTAATGTATGGGAAGCAAATAATAAACAATTCATTCAACAAGGATTATATTCAGATTCAAAAATATTAGATATTAGAGGAGTTGATATAGTTACATGTAAACAATTACAACCAAATGATATACCAGTTATAGTTGTTTCATGTAGAGCACAAGAAATTCATTTATTTAGAAAAGCAAAAACAAATGAAATTGCGGCAGGTACAGAAGATCATATTCAAATGAGTACATATGCAATGGTATTAACAAGAATACCAGAAGAATTTGATAATAAGACAACAGATGGTTGGAAGATTATTGAGTTTGCAAGAGGTGGATCAAGACCATTTCATTAATTGTAAATAGACAAATACACGTAAATTTTTTTTTTTCAACGACCAAAATGTCAATAGCTAGTAAAGAAGAAGCAGCAAAGATATTTGAAAAATTAAAGAAAGATCCTGCTAATCAAGTTTGTTTTGATTGTTCAAACAAAAATCCAACTTGGACTTCTATTCCTTTTGGTATTTTTTTATGTTTACAATGTTCTTCAGTTCATAGAAATTTAGGTGTCCATATATCATTTGTTAAATCTTCAAACTTAGATTCATGGCAAAGATTACAATTAAGAAATTTTAAATTTGGTGGTAACCAACATGCTAAAGATTTTTTTATTAAAAATGGTGGTTCTCAATATATAAATCTGGGTATTGATGCAACTACAAAATATTCTTCATCCGTGGCATTAAGATATAAAGAGAAATTAAAACAAAAATCTCAACAAGATGCTTTAAAACATCCTGATATAGTTACATTGGATGATTCAACTGATAATTTATCATTAACTGACCTGGCAAGTGAATCAAATGATGATTTTTTTTCAAATTGGTCAAAACCTGTAAATTCATCACCATCACCATTAATAACTCCAAATCAATCACAAGAAGAATTACCAAAGAAAACAGCAAAACCAATATTTAAAGGTAATTCAACTGCCAAAAAGTCAATATTATCATCAAAAGGAAATGGTCCAAGAGCTTCAAGATTGAAAAAACAACCAACTGAAGAAATTGATTTTGAAGAATTTGAAAAAAAAGCAAAACAAGAAGAAGAGGAAGCGAAAAAATTGGGATATAAAGTCGAAGAAGAAGAGAAACCAAAACCAACACCAAAACCAATAAAATCAGCACCATCAAAAGTTAAAGAAGAAGAAGTTAAAGTTTCACCACCTACCCAACAGTTTCAAAAATTAGGTTTTGGTATGTCATATGGTGAAAATACGTCAGCAGCATCAACAAAAAAGAACATTAAAGAAGTTAAATATACTGGTGAAGTTTCAAATAAATTTGGTACTCAAAAAGGTATATCATCAGATGAATTTTTTGGTAGAGGTCCAAGATTTGATGAAAATGCAAAACAAGAAGCAAAATCAAAACTACAAGCTTTCAATGGTGCTCAAAGTATATCTTCATCATCTTATTTTGGTGAAGAAGAACAAGTTCAACAGAATAGATCAGGGTTAACAGATATTGAACAAAGTGCAAGAGAATTTGCTTCAAGATTTTCTGGTAATGCAAATGAAGATTTAGAAGTTTTGAAAGATGCTTTAGAAGATGGTGCAAATAAATTGGGTAATTATTTAAGAGATTTTTTAAGATAAATATACAAGAATCTTATTAAAGCCTAAGCTTTTCATGAGTCGAGCTTCTGAAATTGATAGACTTCTGAAATCTCTTCATCAAGACAAGTTGGTTGGAAGTAATTTACAAGATTTGATTTATTGTTTGAAAGGTAGTATATTGGTAGAGCTACCAATTTTTTGTTTGCGCGCGCGCATATTGATTATACAAAATTGATCGATATTCAATTATCAACACTTTTTTGACCCAGACTCGTGTGCATTACGTTGGGGTCATAGCATTCATCAGCGGGCCATGAGGGATAAATAATCTTTTGTAAAAAGCATTAAGTTATACATTAGTTTAATCTAGTTTATTCTACATGCGAAACCTCAGTTTTTTCATTCCATTCATCATTCGTGACTGCCATTCTATGATTTTTGTACAATGGTGGTAATGGCTCAACTTGCTTTCTGAATATATGTCTTTGAATACCATTCCAGAATGCTTTAGTTTGATAAGCTGCATGTTTATGAGCTGGAACAGCAAAAACATCATCTAATTCTTCTAAAGTCAAACCTTTGGTCTCCGGAAGGAACCATAAAACAAGGAAAAACCCGACAAGATTCCAGCCAGCATAAAATCCAAAAGCACCACTAAGATTGAAAGTTAGTATATTGTAAATTGAATGGTAAAGTCATTTAAAAAAGAATTGAATTTGAATATAAAAATCGGTAGCTCTACCAAATCTTTTTTGGCGCGCGCGCATACTCTGCACGACCGAACTTGATCCATATTCAATTGTCAATACTTTGCAATGCTTTACCTAAGACTCGTGTGCATACGTTGGGGTCATAGCATTCATCATACGCGGCCATGTAAATGCTAGTATAAAGTTGAAGAACCAGCAAGTAGCTGTGGCCCATGACATCCCGAGATCTCTAATGTAAAGTGGAAAAGCTTCAGCAGAATATGTAAATGGGACTGGACCCTCACCTGATGAATAAATAGCTGAGTAGATATAAATACCAGTAGCAACCATAGCTAATCTACCTTGTCGATTACTTTCATGAATCAAAAAACCAAAACCAGTGATTAATAAAAATATACACATCAATGGAAACGTTGTTAACAATAATGCTCTTCTACCAAATTTATCAATAGTAAGGAAAGCAGGGATAGCGAATATAAAATTGACCATACCAAATCCCCATGATGCTAATAATGCTGAAATATCATCAAATCCTGATTCTCTAAAAATACTAGATGAATAATAAGCGATAACATTGATACCACAAAATTGTTGCATAAACATTACAATCCATGAACCAATTACAGCATTTCTATTTCTAGTGATGGTAAACATTTGAATAATTCTTTTCCAAGTTGGAATATCTAATGAGCCTTCTTCTTGCAATAAAACATACTGATAAAATGAGTCTCTTGCAGCTGCTACAGGTAAAAGTCTCATTTCATTCAACGATTCATAAGCTTCTCTATGTCTACCTTTACCCATTAACCATCTTGGTGATTCGGGAACATATGGAATTTGAAACAAAACAATAATAGCTGGAATACAAGCTGAACCTAACATTAATCTCCAATTTATACCTGATTCAATTCCATGTTTTGGAACGTAATAAAATGCCAACGATGCTACATAACCAAACATAATACCGACAGCAGTAAAAAATTGCCATAACATAACTAAAGCACCTCTAACATGTTTAGGAGCACACTCTGCAGCGTAAGGTGGAACAGTAGCTGATTTAATACCGATACCAACCTGTAATGTTAGTAACTATCAACAAAGTAGTGTGTGTTCCAAAAAAATGGTCGCAAAAAAAATTTTGCAGCCAAAATTTTTGTGAACAACAATTAAAGTCGTTTAATAAATACCCCTAAGAACATTCGAGAAAGCATCAAATGCCACCAATTATTCGTGAAACCACTCCATATACAAGTGACAGCAGAAACAAAACACGTCCAAAATATAACTTTCTTTCTTCCATATTTTTTGTTAAAAAAATCTGAAAACCAACATGCTATAACACTCGCTAAACATTCTGTTAGTACTCTCTCATGTTGAAAGCATTATAATTGGCTATAAACCATCAATTATAAGCGTTAAATAAAGTTGTTTAACATACCTATGAGATATGGTGACAGGTTAACAAGACCCTCAATTAAATCGGCATTTTTCATCTGATCAACCCCAAAAGCCAGCGGATAATACAAAGTCAGTCCGTTGATAACTGATTCGTCCATACCTTGAACAGCTGCGGCCATGGCTCCCACAGCAACAACAGCAATCATTTTCTTTCTCAAAAACCATTTTTTAGTAGCTTCTTTATATAAAATTGATTTTTCTTCATCAGTTAAGAAATTCATTGAATTAAAAGCACCTGGGGCTCTAGCTAAAGCAGCAGCTTTTGCAAATAACTCAGGATCTAAGTCATTTTTAGAAGCGTAGTTTCTTCCCATTTGCATAGCTTGTTTTTCTGTATATTGTGATAAAATATTGCCTCTTTCACCAGCTTCTCTTTCTACTTCTTCATTATTATCTTCAGTTAAAGGATCTTGTTTGTTTAAGGATGGTGAAGATGATGAATTATCAAATAAACCATCTTGATGTGGTTTTTCTACCGAAATATCACTCATGCTTCAAAATTGTAGTGTAAGAAAAATTTGATCAAGAAAAACTCGGAAAAATTTGTTATTTATAAGAAAACACAAACAAAACTTTATAATCTGGGGCGAACACATTTAATCAATGATTATTGAGTGATTGCCATACAATTATGCAAGTTGATTTTAGGATAAATTAAATATAAACTTAAGCCATTGTACTGTAAATTATATGCAGGATTGGATAATATTTTTATTACCCATTATTTATGACATCACGCTTCGAGAACATATTGGTATCAAAATTCGACACGCTTAACTATAATAAGATAATTAAGAATATTATCAAATGGGAGCAGACTATAGCTTCTACTTTTTCTGAAACTCGTTTTTTTATCATAAGCCAAAACATAACAATTAATCAATCTCGAATATATATAAGCTTGTATTACTATTGTTTATTGTTTTGAATACACTTTTTGTTTGCTATCAATTGTGAATGTGATTCAACCTAAAAAAGTTTAAATATTAAAAATTTTTAGCGCTTCCTTTCATTCTTTTCGTGCCAGAACCTCAAAACAATTAATTTAGAATACTGTACTCCATATTAAAAGGTTAAGAGCCAGCTTTATTAACATCATCTTTATTGAAACTGGATTTATGGTACAAGTGTAACATTTTGTATCATTCGGTTAGGTTAAACTTTTTCATAAATTGGTCACTCTAACTTGTTATATTATTGAAACGGGAAATAATTCAAAAAACAAATGTTTTTTTAGAGATTCAATTCGTCTGGTCTGTAAAACTTCTTATAATTTCTAATCAACTTTTGACTTTATTTTTGAAACTTTGTAAGGTGGAGGGGTGATTACAAATTTAGATTCTAGGTTTATAATCTATATAGATAAGGAGTACGATTATAAAAAAACGTTTCAGACTTTAGCATTGAAGATTATTGGATGTTTAGAATGCAAAAGATAATACAATATTTTGATTACCATCAATTTTCGCTAACTTTCTATATTGAGTTTTGATATCTTCTGGCTTGTTATATTGTGTTTCTCCGAAAATCAGATTTACGAGTTTTTTTTTTTTTTCTAATACTAGCTTTCCCCTCCTTTAGACGCTTGAACTTTAAATTTCTAGCACAACTACTATTAAATAATCAGAGACAAGAAAAATGGAATCTATTCGAATCTATTCGCTTTTAGGAAATACCAGATCTGTATAAGAAAAGTATAAGATTATAATATGTCAATTTGATTACAATCTTTTTTAATAACCGAAATGCTCATATTTAAGATTTAGTGTTTGAGATCTTCGGTTTTAGTAGTAAGTACACTTTAATGGAACATAAACAATGTCCTATTCTCCAGTTTTGAAACCTCAATATTCTTAAGTTAATGATCCACATACATTTCTAAATCCAAAAAAAAATGTTCAAGATTGGAATTGATGCATTGTATTAAAGGTAACAAAGATAGTGGAACAAACTGTATTATCCAATAAACTTTTTTCATTATATAATACTTCTGCATTTTTTTTTTTTGGTAAAACTTCGTAAAAGTTTTCAATTGAAATATGTAAAGGATGAAAATTCTACCGTGTAAATTATGAGAAAGCTTGAAACTTATAACAAAATATTGAGAGAAGCTCAAATAGAAATGCGAATTATACTTGATTTCACATAAAACAATTCAAGTTTTTCGACTTAAAGCTATCAATCAGTCCTATTAAAGTATAAAATAGTCTAGGCGCTGCCAATTAGATTAAACTATAAAGTATAAAGTTTTCAGATAAAACTAGATACAGTTATAATTTGAGGTAGGAATCATAAGATTACGTATTGAATTGAATGTAACTCTGTAAATCCCTGGTCACATAATAAATTTAAATTTAAGTTTACGTTTTAAGCAACTAATATAATACTGCATATAAGTCATGTTTGTCTCTATCGGATGTAGACTTTCAACCGATATGGAGCGAGGATACGGCCAATACATTTTGTATTGCGGCGAGAGCTGGTATTGCGGCGAGAGCTGATACCACAGCTCGCACAACTTCGTCCTAAAGTTTTAATTTCATATTTGATTTTGCTTGAAACAAACACTTCTAATCGAGTTTGCTTTTCATCATATATTGAAGATAAACGTATACTTACTTTGTTAAGTTTATCTTTTGAGAGCCTGACCTATTGCAACCTCTATTAACCAGGAATGTAAGCTCATTTTATTTGATCAACGAAACACAAAAACCCTGATTTCTATTGATAAATCTCGACCCAATGTGACCAACCAATGTTTTAATACAATTTCACTCAATCGTTTTGGTTCAATCCTCTGTCTAATTTGTTACCCCTTGATTCATACCCCTTAAAAAGTAGATATTAAAGATTTTGCTCGTCGAGAAAACAAAGCTTAAGTTCTAAGTTTTTTTTTTTTTGTTTGCTTTAAAAGTATCATTGACGTTGCAACTCGATGAATGATGTCTTGTTTTCTACGTTTTGCTCGAGAGTCAATCAATGATTAATCCACAACGATGTCTCTTTATATAGAGAAAACTGTACATTAACTACAATTATTTTAATACTCAGCTTTTGTGACTATTATCCTTTTCGGGAAAAGTTAAATTAATGTACAAATTTTGCAGCAATTCAGATTCAAATTTTGTAGCCGCTTAACTATGGAGATCTAAAACCCCCCACAAATAATATTTTTTTTCTTCCCGGGTGTATTTCGCTTTTTCGGAGATAACCAGATTATCAAAATCTCAAAAGTATATCTTGATAAACAATATTCTAATTCATTCTTTCAATCATTACCAAATGACTTCTTTAGCTAAATTAAATGCTCAATATGTACAATATATTATTAAATATCCATTATTAACTAAGTCAATTACAACTGGTATTTTCTGCGGGTTAAATGAAACAATTTCATCAATTTTAACTGGTGAATATAAAGAATCTAAAATATTAGGTATTAACATTAAACATGTAATTTCAAAGAAATTAGTTAAAATGATTATTTATGGTTCTTTAATTGCGACACCAATTAGTCATTATTTATATTATATCATAAATAATAAAATTTTTATTGCACCCTTGACAAGTAAACAAAAAGTATTACAAATTTTAACAAGTTTATCAACAGTTACACCAATTTTAAGCGCATGTTTTGTTTCATGGATATCATTAATTAATAATTATACACCAGGTAAGGAAGATTTGTCAACTGAATTGAAAAGAATCAAAAATGTTGTTTCTACAGGTTTAAAAAAAGGTTATTTTTCAGTTTTAAAGACGTCATTGATTACATCATTATTTGCTTTAATTGTTGCTCAAAGATTTGTACCACCTGAACTTTGGGTTGTCTTTTTCAATCTTGTGTATTTTATAATGGGAACTTATCAAAATACAAAATTGAAAAATTTACAAAAATTAAATAGAAAATAAATAAATATTCGCAATGATTAAATATTCTTTACAAAAACAATTCTATAGAACAATGATAACTGCTCATGCAGTAGTATATCAATCTCATGGTGATCCAAAAGATGTATTATTCACTCAGAAATATCAAATTGATGACGAAAATTTAAAAGAAAATCAAGTATTGGTTAAAACTTTAGCTTCTCCTATTAATCCATCAGATATAAATCAAATTCAAGGTGTTTATCCAAGTAAACCAGATTTTACAGATAAATTCGATAGCTCAAAGAAACTAGCACCTACTGGTAATGAAGGTTTATTTCAAGTTTTAAAAATTGGATCTAATGTTGAAAATTTTAAAGTTGGTGATTGGGTAATTCCAAAACTGGTAAATTCGGGTACCTGGCAAACTCATCAATTGGGTACAGCTAATGATTTTATTAAATTACCAAATCCAAAACAAAGTGAAGAAAAAGGTAAAACAGGATTAAGTTTAAATCAAGGTGCTACAATTTCTGTTAATCCACCAACTGCTTATTTAATGTTGACCCATTATGTTAAATTTAACAAAAATGATTATTTTATTCAAAATGGAGGTAATTCAGCCGTTGGTAAATATGCATCGCAATTTGGTAAATTATTAGGCATTAATTCAATTTCAGTAATTAGAGATAGACCAAATTTACAAGAAACAATTGATAAATTGGAAAACCTAGGAGCCACTCACGTTATAACTGAAGATCAAAATGAAAGTAAAGAATTTGGATCAACAATTAAAAACTGGAAAGGTACTGGTAAAATTAAATTAGCTTTAAATTGTGTTGGTGGGAAATCTTCAACTGGTATTGCAAGAAAATTAGACCCAAATGGTTTAATGTTGACATACGGAGGTATGTCTATGAAACCAGTTACAATTCCAACTTCATTACATATTTTTAAAAATTTTACAAGTACTGGATTTTGGGTAACGGAATTATTGAAAAATAATCCTGAATTAAAAATTAAAACTCTAAATCAAATTGTTGAATATTATGAAAATGAACAATTAAAAGATTCACCATCCAATGAAGTTAAGTTTGATGAAAGTCAAGATTTAGCAAGTTTATATATTAAAGGTATTGAAGATTCAAAAAATGGTAAACAATTGATTGTATACTAGATATTAAAATACATACTATTTATGACATACAATAACTAAGGTAAAGTCATACGACCATCTCAATTATGAACACCTAAATAAGACATTCAGAGATTTTGCAATCAGATATGTTCCTCGGAATAAAGTTGAATCTAGATTCAAATTTGATCTTTTCCAAATGTAACGATTTGACTTTTTGAGGAAAATAAACTGAACCGGAAAAGCCAATAAACCATTCCCCTTAATGTCAATCTTTGATAACTTCGTAGGAAAATAAACTTCACCATGTATTTCATTAAAATCTTCCCAACTTATATAATGATCTTCAAACGTACAACGTATACCTCCTGTCAATTCAAAAATGAATGATTTCAATGAAGAAAGGTGCTATCATCAAATAAACCCCAATCAAATGATGAATCAACTATTGTGAATGTAGTCAAGTTATTGCATGATTTTATTGATGAATAATCACTGACCAAAATCTCCTTTAAACGGATATTAATTAAGGTTTGTGGAAAGTACAATTGTGTAGGCTCGTCAGCTATGAGGTTAGTTCCATTAAAATGGAAATATTTTTAATATTTCGATTGCTTAAGCACCGTATCTAAATCTGTAAAACTAAATTCATATTCAAAACCTTCCCAACTATTCTTGCCTGCTGTCAAACCATCAATTAGTTCACCTTTCAAAAACCCTACCGAATTTGTTATATAAAGATAAAGTGAGTTTTCCATGTCCAAAAAGTTTAAAAGTTCAATGTTTCTGAAATCGTTTAATAGAACGTAAAAGTCCAACAAATTATGATTTAATTTTTCTTCATACCTTAAGTCAAAGAACAACTTTGTTGGAAGGTGCATTAATGGAATACAGGATTTCATTACAATTTCATAATGTTCAGGATTATAAGAACCAAAGTGAAAAAATTAACAGCGTACCTGAGAATAAGGGTCCATATAATTCTCATCAAATCTATCCCGATATACAGCGCTATGCAAGGTATCAGCATCATAAACAATCAACTTTGTAATAAATATTATCTTAGGATTAACACCAAATTGATTTAATAACTCGTTAAAAACTCTGAATTCTCTAAACTTCAATGCATCAGTAAAGTCAAAATTTTCGCCTGTTGGTAGTTCAATGTATCTCATACCTTCAGGTTCTTTAAATTCCTAGTAATGGTTGTTTGAAATTTCAACTTTTGAAAATAAGTGCTGAATTGCAAATGGTTTTAAAACTTTATCATGTAAAAAAGCAATAGCTATTGATCTATTTAAATATGAAGTGATGATTTCAATTAATTCAAATGGTAATTCAAGTAATGTTGATAAAAGTTGAATAGTAGCTTCTTCCATATTGATGTTGATAGTTGTCGAAATCATTTTTTTGAAATTTTCTTAATGTAAATATTAATTTTCAAATTCTATTCTGAAACAAATTATTTTTTGATTATGTAATTTATGCTACACAAAACCGAACAATTAATTCGCTAACATTTATATCAGATTCCATTAAAGATATGATGCTAAATAGGTATCGAATCGCTTTTATAACTACCTTTTTGTGTATCTATGACGACATAAACCAAAGCAAGATTGACTAGCGATTACTACTTTATTATTCAATTAAAAATAATTCACTCTTGAAGCAACTAAAAGGATTATAATGAGCTTTTTATTGAATTAAGGGTGTATTCGAGGAACAACTTAGTTTGTCTTCATATTGATCATCGTCGAAATGTATAAAGAATTGTAAACTACTTACTCAAACAATTGGTAGCGACATTAGATAAATTTATACGAAAGTTTAATCGCAAATTGAAAATTCATCTAACTTACGAATCGTTGACTTTCAGGCATTGGTGCTTTAACTAATAATACTCGCATTGAGAAGATACTCTTGACAGTATAGCTGTTTCAATGATATGCGACCAAAAAATAAATTTTAGATGAGATGGTTCCTGGGAGAGCAAATGAAGATTTCACTCATCAAAATCGAATCTTTTTGAATTATCAACTGGTCATTAGAAAACTGGATCTCTAGATCATCATAGACTTAACATTTCAACGAATCATTTATCTTGTAGCTTGATGTTGTCAACTTGTCGTTTATTAGATCTTAAGAAGATCTTAACTTTTTTAATCTTATTACCGACGTTTCTCGTAACGGCTTTGTAATTTCTTTTTTCTGTTGATAAGCACAAAGATGCATCAATCGTAGATGACCGAGATCATGTGCCAGATCTAGAAAAAATATTTTCTATGCGTCTTTCTTATCAATTAAAAATAATATATCACCAGATAAAACCAAGTTTTTCTTTTTAACCAATGTCTAGAGCTTTATCATCGACTAATGTGTTAATAGAAGGTGAAATCATACCAGCTACAATTATATTCTCAATTGAATCAGGTAAAATTTTAAATATTATCAAAAAAATTTTACCATCGGGAGATTCCGTACTTCAAATTTACAATGTTTTACCAATAGATTATAGAAATGTTACTCCTGCAATTATAATGCCTGGTTTAATTGATGCTCATGTTCATTTAAATGAACCGGGTAGAACAGAATGGGAAGGTTTTGAAACTGGAACAAAAGCAGCTGCATTTGGAGGTGTTACCACTGTTATTGATATGCCATTAAATGCAATACCACCAACTACAACTATTTCAAATTTTAATTTAAAAATTCATGCTGCTAAAAAACAATGTTGGGTTGACGTGGGATTTTGGGGTGGTTTGATACCTGATAATTCTGATCATTTAATTCCATTGATAAGAATGGGTGTACGCGGATTTAAAAGTTTTTTAATTGAAAGTGGTGTTGATGAATTTCCTGCAATCACAGTTGAAGATATAAAGAAAGCGATGAAGATTGTAAAAGGTGAAAAGACAATGTTGATGTTTCATGCTGAAATGCAACCAAAAACATTCACATTGGAAAGTTCAAGTTCTCCAGAAACAGAACCAGAGACAATAAACAATGATAAACTTGAAATTGTTGAAGAAGAATTTAATGATATAGATCTTGTTATGAGTCCATCTTTCATTAACCGTGCACCTAATACAATTGTTAAATTATTTTCAAATGATAAAGGGGATCATTTACATGAACACAAAAATTGTCATTTACCTCATGATCATGCTGGTTCAATAGATCATTCAGTATTATCAGACGAACAAGCAAGAGCATTAGCTAACACTCCAATATTGGCAGGTTCAGAACCATTATATGGTAAATATGCATTTAAAGCAAATCATAAACAAGGTAAAATAAACACACCATTAAATTTAGCAGCTGAAGAAGATAAAAGATTAGCTGATATTGATCCAACATCATATGCATCATTTTTAGCGTCAAGACCAGATAATTTTGAAACTACAGCAATTGCAGAAATTATAAATTGTTCAATTTTGGAACCTTCAGTCCCATTACATATTGTTCACTTAGCTACACATGAAGCAATACCTTTGATAAGAGCTGCAAAATCTAAAGGTTTACCAATTACAGCTGAGACTTGTTTCCATTATTTATCATTATCAGCAGAAAAGATTTCAAACTGTCATACACATTTCAAATGTTGTCCACCAATAAGAACAGAAGATAATAGACAACTATTATGGCAAGGATTAAGAAATGATATAATTACAACTGTTGTTTCTGATCATTCACCATGTACACCGGATCTAAAAGGTATGGAAAAAGGTGATTTCTTTGAAGCTTGGGGTGGTATATCATCAGTTGGATTTGGTTTGCCTATATTATATACAGAAGGTATGAAATTAAATCCACCAATTAGTTTAATTGAAATAAATAAATGGTGTTCAATAAATACGGCAAAACAAGTTGGTATAGAACATAAAAAAGGTGAAATCAAATTAGGTTATGATGCTGATTTGTTAATATTTGATCCTTCAATTAAATATATTGTTGAAAATAAAGATTTATATTTTAAAAATAAATTAACAGCTTATAATGGAATGGAATTTCAAGGTAGAGTGTTGGAAACTATAGTTAGAGGTCATAGTGTATATGCATTTGGTAAGGGACATTCAGATCTTCCAAGGGGAAAGTTGATATTAGAACCAAGATCATAGACAATAAAAGTATAGACAATATAATGGAAGTGATATAGACAATGAAAAATATAGATTATTTATTTGGGAATAACTCTTCATATGTAGGTAAACCATCATTGGAAGAAGCACTTGAACTGGAATTGGACCTCGATCTTAAATTATTGGCAATTTCTTTCTCATGCTTTGCTTTATAATCTTCAATGTCTTGTTCTAACTTCTTTTCCTTTTTAAGAAATTTCTCTTTGAGTTTGCCATTTAGTTTAAGGTTGTTTAGAGTGTCAATCATAGCAGTTAATTCTTTGTGTTTTTTTAATCTAGCTATCTTTTGATTTAATCTTCTTTCGTACGAATCAGCCATGGCAAATGATGCGTTTGAAATTTGAAAATATTATTGCTTTATATGATTAGATTTTTCTTACGTAAGCAAGTAGAAGTATGTTTTATGCACAATTTCTAAAGTATATAATGTAAATTGATAAGAAGCAAATACATAGAAGAATAATTATTATTATTGGATTAGCGCGTAAGTTCGATTTGCTTTCAAAACTATGCCTTTATTTTATTACATTTCGTTAGAAGTCTTTGAAAAATAACATTAGAAATGATCAAGACCAAAAATTTGAGCTAAAAATCAATTGCAAATCTTCGTTAGTGAATGAAAATAGATAAAGCCATCTCTAGTTTAATAAAATATATATAACTCTCTAAACTTGAGGTAAATGGTACATCGTTAAAAAAAAGATAGAAACTTCTGATACAAGGGTTAGAAGAACATGAACTACAATCATACTACAATCAACAAACAATGGGCCTAGAGTCATAATAATAGTAGTTATAATTAGTTGGTCCAATTAATTCCATATTTTAGTTATCGTGAGACTATAAAAAATGAAATTTTATAACTAAAGATTTTACCACGTGCGTGCGGCGTGGAATTTTCCCTTTTGGTGTTACTAATAAAATTAAAATTTGTTTGATGGTTTTTTGACTTTTAAAAAATACAACATCAATTTAATCAACAATTATAACAATTGAATTGAATTGGTTTTAGTGTCATTTATTTTGTTAGAATTATCATATAAATTAATATACCAATCAATATAATTTGTTCTCATGTCTACTAGTCAAAAAAGAATTGCATTACCGGCAAGAGTTGAACCAAAAGTATTTTTTGCTAATGAAAGAACATTTTTATCATGGTTAAATTTTACAGTTATATTAGGATCATTGGGTGTTGGTTTATTAAATTTTGGTGATTATGTCGGTAGAATATCAGCTGGTTTATTTACTTTCATTGCAATGTTAACAATGTTATATGCATTAGTAACTTATCATTGGAGAGCAAAAGCAATTAGATTAAGAGGAAGTGGACCATATGATGATAGATTTGGACCAACAATGTTATGTTTCTTTTTACTTGTTGCTGTTATTGTAAATTTTATATTAAGAATCAGAGCGTAAATATATATTAATTTTTCTTTCTAATGTCACCACCAAATATTATAGCGATATTCTTAGCTGAATTTGATATAAAAGCTGGCTATAAATTAATATGGTCCAAGACAAAGACAAAGACAAATATTAATCTAGATGGTTTGGAATATAAAGTTTTTCCATCTGGTGTTCATGATTTTAATAATTCAACAACTTTAATTAGTCATTTTGATGAGAAATTATACCTTGGGCTTTCTGTTTTTTATCAACATACATTTGGTGATTCAAATGATAGATCAAATGTGAAAATGTTTTCATTGGGGATATTAACTGATGGTGAAAATGGATTTGAATATGTTAATTCATTAAATTCTAAATTGGTTCAATTTGTTAACAATCAAGAAAAGAATTATAGTACATTTGAGGAGATATTTAAGTTGTCTGCTGCTGATTCAATTATTAATCATCCACTTACTAAATTGCCTAAAATGATCAAAGATCTTGGTCCTTTGTTACTCACAATTTATAAACAATCATTATTACGAAAGAAAATTATATTATTTAATAAAGGGGATACTTTTGACGCTGGTTCATTCACTTATTTAATCTCATTATTAAGTACTATACCGGACCAGCCAACCGCACAGCCTATTTATCAAATTGGTTTAAATGATCTCGGTGGTAAATTATTAGAAATTGATGGTTATATAGCTGTTACAAATGATGAAATAATTAAAGAGAATAGAGTTTATGATATTGGAGTAGATTTGGAAGAACCAAGAGTATTTTCAAGGGATGGTCAAATATATGCAACTCATTCAGATTTTGAAAGATTCAAAAAAATATATCAACCAGAAATTGAAGTTAGTAATTTGGAAACTGCTTCAAAAGATGACATATCTATAACTCCAACAGAGATCGAAACTACTTATTTACAAATCCCAGATTGGTATAATACTTTAGTTGAATCTAATTCATGGATGAATTCAATATGGTCTGCTTTTTCGTGGTTTGCAACTGCTGGACAATTAAGCCAAGAACAGCATTTACAAAAATCCACATCTATTGAGTTCAAGGATCTTGTTAACATTGTGGGTTATTTTCACTCATTGACTAAAAAATGGATATATATAATAAATGAATTAATATTAGATAAACAACAAGAAAGTGATGAATTATTGGTTAATTTAGAATTAACATATCAAGATTTAGTAGAAATGGAATTGGAATACTCAGATTATGAATTTATAAAGGAGTTTATTTTGTTATATTTTGAATCTGTTTCACTGGTTGAAATTGAAGAATCTATATTTTCAATTTGTTGTTGATTACAGACCACCACATTCAATAAATCTAAGACTAAGAATTGGATTAAGTTTATAAAATAGCTTACTCACTCAAATGAGTTACTGGTAACTATATGTAGCAAAAATCGGATTAAAGTATTCAATTTATGAGTTATAAGAAGTTTTTACTTGATTTTTTGATTTTCGTCGGATGAAAATAGAATTAGCATTTGTTTAGCTGCCCTTCGATATATAACAATTGATTATACTCAAGTAAATCTGATTCTTATATTTTTCACTTCATCGGTATACTATTCTTCGACTATTGATTTCATATCGTTAAACGCACGACTTTATTTTATTATTTACAAAATTTCTTCCAACATAATTTATCAATAATTCTAACTAATGAAAGGAACCCAACAACCATCATCACGTAAACAAAATGGTCATCGTAATAATAATAAACAACGTCAAGATCTGAAAAATGATGATAAATTAATTCATTTAATCTCTAAATGTGTTGGAAAAATTGTAATTGCAACAACATTGGATGGTAATCAATATAAAGGTTTATTAATTTCAAATAATTTACAACCAAATTTATCAGTAATTTTAAATAAACCACAGAATTTAACAAAAGATGAAAAATTACCTGATAATTTAGTCATATATGGTAAAGACCTTGTTGATTTAGAAGTTGATTTATCTAAAAAACCTGAATTTAAAATTGATGAAGAAATTACAACCAGCACCAAAATTAAAGAACGTGAATTAACTAAATGGATACCTGATGAACCAATAGACAATAATTTATTGTTAGAAGATGATGGAAGTAATTGGGATCAATTTGCTAGTAATGAAGAAAAATTTGGTATAAAATCAACATTTGATGAACATTTATATACTACTAAAATTGATAAAAATGCTCCTGATTATCAACAAAGATTAGAAAGAGCAAATAAAATAGCTAAGGAAATTGAATCACAACAAACTACAGATTTACATATGTTGGAAGAACGTGGTTTAATTATTGATGATTCTGGAATTGATGAGGAAGATAAATATTCAGGAGTTGATAGAAGAGGTAATGAATTATTAGCAGCTTTGAAAAATACAACAATTGCTCAAGATAAACAAGTTCATAAAAATGATTATAATTTAGTTGATCCAGCAATTGTATCATCAAGCAAAGAAAATTCAAAAAAATTGGATTACTATAGGTTAAATTCTCAAAGTGAAATTAATTCATTTAAACAATTTAGTGCTAATTTTAAAATTCCACATAAAGTCCCTGCGGATTTATTACCAATTTTATCAAAAAATGTTGATAAACAAAAGGAAATTATAAATAAAAATCAAACTCAACAACAACCAAAGAACAATAAATATAATATCAAAGCTGCATCATTTACACCTACTTTTACTCCATTATCACCACAACAACAACAACAACTACAACAACAACAACAACCAACTTCACGTACATTTAGTAATGGATCATCATCTACATCATCATCAAAAAGATATCATATAACTTCACAAGATTTTTTTGGTATTGATAAAATACCCACTAAAGAAAAACAACAAGATAAAATTAAAAAATTTAAAACTGGTTTTAGTTTTGTTTCAAGTGGATCACAAGAATTAACATTTCAAACTCCACCAACATGGGATTCAACAATTGAAGAATCATATTCAAAATTATTTCCTAAATTTGCTCCAATACCTACTTTTAGTTCACCAACACAATATAAATATCCAATGGCTGCTGCTGCTGCTACTCAACAACAAGCTGCTGCTATTGCTGCTGCTCAAATGCAAGCTGCTCAAGTTCAAGCTATGATGTATCAACAACAATTTCAACCACAACCTTATTATCAACAACCACAATTTTATCCAAATCCAAATACTTCATTCATACCGCCTCCAATAATTCCTTATCCAAATCAATTTAATCCACAACACCAACAACAACCACCAAAGAGATTTTCAAAGAGAAACAATTGAGAAGAGGAAAAAACAATTGAAATACATAATGAGGACAAATTAAGACTCATTTAATGATATAAGTATTTGAATACACGATGAAGACAGAAAATAATAATCCCCCTGATGTAGTTAATACGAAGTAATCTAATATACGAAATTTTTTTTGCAGCCAAATTTCACGTGAGTGAGCCTGGGGCTATTTTTGTTTTTTTTGCAGCTAATTTTTTTTATTCTCGTTTTATTGGAAACGTTTTGAAATCGAAATTTTTCATTTTAATCATCACCACCAAAAATGAAATACATTCAAACTGATCAAATCTTAGATATTCCAGAAGACGTTACTGTTGATATTAAAGCTAAAGTCGTTAAAGTTACTGGTCCAAGAGGTACTTTAACTAAAGATTTAAAACATATTGATGTTACATTCACCAAATTAAACAACAGAGCTATCAAAATTACTGTCCATAATGGTGACAGAAAACACGTTGCTGCTTTAAGAACAGTTAAATCATTAATTGCCAATTTAATCACAGGTGTTACTAAAGGTTATAAATACAAAATGAGATTCGTTTATGCGCATTTCCCAATTAACGTTAATGTTATTGAAACAGATGGTCAAAAATTTGTTGAAATTAGAAATTTCTTGGGTGAAAAAAGAGTTAGAAATGTTAAAATTCATGAAGGTGTTACTATGGAATTGTCAACTGCTCAAAAAGATGAATTAATTGTTACTGGTAATTCATTAGAAGCTGTTTCACAAAATTGTGCTGATATCAAACAAATTTGTAATGTCAGAAATAAAGATATCCGTAAATTCTTGGATGGTATTTATGTTTCAGAAAGAGGTACTATTGTTGAAAATGTTTAGATTAATATAACAAATTTTTAATAATGTTTTATAGTTAATGGTGTCATATTGGGTTTAAATTCATTAGTGGATCGTTATAGAGTTCATTGATAATAAAGAACCATCTACGATCACACATTAACTCTCTAATAGTGTACTCTGACTCAATTTTGACTCGTGCAACTGATTTAATAGTTTTATTTGAATTTTCAGAAATGAACATTTAAATTTAATAGTTAATGAAAGTTGCATTTTTAGGTCCATTAGGTACATATACTCATCAAGCAGTAACTCAACAATTTGGAGATATAGAATTACTCCCGCAGACTAGTATAGGTGATTGCTTTGAGAAATTAAATGCTAAATATGTAGATTATGCCGTGGTCCCTTTTGAAAATTCAACCAATGGTCAAGTTGTATTTACTTATGATTTATTAAGAGATTGGTTATTACGATCAAATTCATCATTTAAAATCGTAGCTGAACAATTTGTAAGTATTCAACATAATTTACTTTCAAATTTGAAGTCAATAGATGACATTAAAACAATATATTCACATCCACAAGTATGGACACAAGTTAAAAACTTTCTAAAAGATTTATCAGTGGTTAAAATCGATGTTGATTCAACATCCAAAGCAGCTGAAATTGTATCAAAGGATACAACTCATACTGCAGCTGCTATATCATCATATATGAGTTCAAAAATTTACAATTTACCAATATTGAAGAAAAATATAGAGGATAATTCAAATAATACCACTAGATTTCTAGTATTAGGTTATGATAGTTTAGAGGAGTCTGGAGAAGTAACTTCATCAATAATGTTAACTTTAAATCATGATGATCCAGGTGCTTTGTGTGATATATTAGTCAAATTCAAATCAAAAGGTATAAATTTAACATCTATAAATTCAAGACCTTCAAATATTAAACAATGGCAATATGTATTCTTTATTGAAATGATGGGTGATGTATCAGTCATTAAAAATGAACTAAAAGAAATTTGTTTAGACTTTATAATTTTAGGAACTTTCAAAAGGAAACCAATTAGTAATGTATAACTTCATTTATTTACCAAATTTTTGATATGTCCATTCTGTATTATCTAAAGGACAGGCATTTCTTGTTTTTAACCATCTTTTAATACAATGTAAATGAAAAGCATGATTACAATTACCCCAAGCAGCAATACATTCATCATTACCATTTGCAATACTATTTGGTTGACATTCAATACAAGGTTCCATTAAATGATTTCTACAAATTGCACAATTTTCAATTTGAATATCTTAAATAGTTAGTAATCAATTTAAATCGCGATCAATATATTTAATACATACCCCATGACCAAAAAGCAACAGCAGTCCATTTCTTTACTTCAAATTTCTGTTTAGATTTAGGAGCATCATCAACTAATAAGTTAGTATTACTCAATTTAGACTGGTTGTTAAACATACTATCCATTCGATCTTCTTCCATAATTAATAAATTAATTTTATATTTTTACGCGAGAGATCCAAAAAAATATAATTTAAATTTAGTGCGAAAGTTGATGCCACCTTTCGCTTCAGAATTCGTACGAATTGGGCTTATTAAGTCTAAATTTTCGTCTATTTATATTTACTATCTAAAATCCAAATCCACCTTTTGAATATGCCATTGGTTTCAAATCTGGATGTGGTACTGCTTCAAATGTATGCTTACTCAATTTCCATGGACAATTATCATCATCAATCTTTCTATATCCTTCACCATCATCTTTTTCTACATTATAATTCTCATTTTCGTCAAATTGTAAAACACCACCAAGATTCCCTGTTGAATCACAATAATCAGGAGCACTAAAAACGGTAATTAATCTACCTTTTTGTTCATCTTCAATTCCTCCCATTCTTACTTCATGTGATCTAATTATTTTTCTTAATTTATTTGTAAGACAGAATCTTTCAGTTATATCAGGACCAAATTGTAAACCAAGTCCTCTTTTAGAAGGTCCCCTTCCATTTGTTTCTTGTGGATCTGTCCATAATAATTCCATAGCCAATCCTTCTTTTGCAGGTTGTGTAGATTTGAATCTATTTATCTTTCGAATATCATCTAATGTAACGTTATCATTTGAAAATAATCCTCCATGCATACATAAATATTCATAATTGATTAAAGTAGCAAATGGTAAACTACCAAATGATTCTTCAAATGCTTCAAATACTTTTTTGGAATATTTATATTCTACTTCATCAGTAAATCCATATGTTTTATTCATATCTGAAGTTTCATGATTACCTCTATTTATGAAAATTGAATTTGGATATAATATCTTTAATACATATAAATATAATGCAACTTCACATGACCAAGAACCTCTATCTACAAAATCACCATTGAATAAATATACATGATCTTGGGAAACATGTCCATACTTTTCAAATATATTAAGCACATCAAAGAATTGTCCATGAGTGTCACCTACAACAGTGAATTTCTTACCACCAACTAAAGTATTTTCTCTTGGTTTTAATTTTGAATGAGTTAAAGCTATTTCATTCAATGATGATTCCTTTTTAAGTAATTCATTAACTTTGGATATTATTGCAAATACATGTTTTTTAGGTAGTTTACCACCATCTTTAAATAATTTAATCATATATTTTAAATAAGACTCATCTAATCCATCGATGGCCACGGTCACCTCATTTTCTTTCTTTTCAGTTTTAATAATTAATTCCGGCCCACTCCAATATTTTTCAATTTGTATACCTTCATAATCCAATGAATTTAATATACTTATTTGATCAACTCCAGCTATTGCTTTTTCAAAAGCTTGTCTTTTTAAATAATTTGTACATTGTTTATAATTTTCCAACGTTAATTTATCATTGGGTAACTTTCCTAATACAATTTTAAAACATGCTTGTGCTTTTTTATGTTGTAATATAGCCATTAATGAAACGCCTTTTCTATAATATGCCTTCATGAAATTTGGATCAATTTCAATTGCCTTATCACAATCTGCAATGGCAAATCCATAATTTTCCAATTTTATATGAACTTGAGCTCTATTTGAATAATAAATTGCATTTTTATCATTTATTTTTATAGCTCTAGTATATGAATCTATAGCTTCATTAAATTTATGTTGTTTAAAAAGAGTATTTCCTTCGTTTTTAAATTCTTCAGCCTTAGACATTGAATAATTTTTTTCATCAAATAATTTTTTTCATTAATATACAAACTATCTAATTTTTAAGCCAGAAGCTGGATAACCAATTGATGTTATATTGGTTATATTACAGACTGTACCTTTATATTCTGGTTTATACTTAGCACCTACCAATGCTTCTTCAACATATGATTCTCCTTTGTAGATTGGTGTATAACTCTTACAACAAATTTCAAAATCAGCGTATGGATTAAATTCAATTTCAATAGAATCAGCACTTACTGAATCTGCTTTAGTCTTTATCTTTTGAGCTTGTTCTGCTTTTGGACCATTTGAAATCTTAATCAATTGTTCTGCAAAATATGAAGCCAGTGCATAGTTTTTATTCTTAAATGATTGAGTCATTGCAACTTGTAATGCATTTTGTTTATGTGGATTTTGTAATTGACATTTTGTAAAATATGCAGCTAATTCTAAATTGCGTTTAACTTGATCAATAGGTAATGCTCTTCTAGCTAATTCAGTTGATAACCCAAGAATATATTCACGACATAATACTAAAATTTCTTGACATTTATCTTCCTGTTCTTCATCTTCAACTGTAAGTACCGCTATTGTATAAATACAATTTTTAAATGTTTTTATAGCTTCTTCTAAATTATTTGCTCTAAATTGTTTAAAACCTATTGATAATAATTCATCTAATGATTCAAAACCAGGTATAATCGGTTCAAACTTATTTGGAGAATCTTCATCTGCATCTTGTCTTATAAAATCTTTCATTGCTGGTAAATCATCAGTACCTGGTAAATATAATTTAGAAGCTCCATAAACTTGTAAAAATCTTCGTTTCAATGGTTCAAAATTGACCACTCCCAATTGTTTATTTAATAAAGAAGATGCTTGTTCAAATGCACCTGCAGCAACATAAGAAGCCGGAGTTTTTGCATTTCTTAACCAATATTCAACTTCAGTAATTCCAGTACCTTCAATTTCAACTTTTTCTTCTTCTGGTAATTCAACATCTTCTATATCCCAAGCACCTTCTTCTTCCTCTTCAACTTCATCTTCAAATTCAATTTCTTCTGGTGTTTCAAATTTTTCTTCATCTTCAATTGTTAAATTTTCTACTTTACCAGTTAATAAAGCATTTTCAAAATATGTCAATGAAGATTCTTTTAATGGCCAGTTTGTAATTGGTTCATCAATTGGTTTTGGAGGTTCAATAGCTTCTCCTAATTCAGGTAATTCAACATCTTTTTCAGAAACACCAGCTTGTTCTAAAATTTCCTTTGCAAATTCATCTAAACCATTTGATTTAGCTAAGGTATAAGCTAATGGTAACATTCCGGATGAAATATAAACTTGACATCTTTTCTTAATATCATTATTATATAATGTATTCTGAACTAATGCACTTAAATCACCTCTGTGTTCAGCAACTATACTCATTTTATCTAATCTTTCTTTATCACCTTTATATAAATACAAAAATGATAATTTATCAAATAAATGTAATTGTTGGTAAACTTGTTCAATAATTTTAATATTACCTTGATTTAAAGCTTCTTCACCTAATTTATTCCAAATCTGAGGGTTATTTAAAATTTGAGCTTGTTCAAGTGCAACTTTTAAGTTTGAACATTCTAACGCTAATTCAAATCTTGTTTCTGGATCCTGAACAAAATGTAATGCAACTTCAGGAAATCCTTTCTTTTGTAAATATCCGATTATATTTTGTCCAACTAATGTTGAGTTGTTAATAATTCTTAAAACTTCACCAAAATTTTTATTAACTAATGCACGTTTGAATCTATATTCTGTTGGATCAATTTTAACAACTTCGACTTGACCAGCTCTATTCAAACAGAAAACTAATGTGCCTTGGACTTTAGTTATATATAATGTGTTTTCTAAAGTCTTAATTATACCATTATCGCCATTTAATAAAGTATACTTAATATGATTAAGGGTAGAATATAATAAAATTCCTGAATCATCCCATGCTGCACTTTTAATTCTAATTGTTTCATGCATTGATGTAATCAATTCTAAATCTTTATTTGCAATTGTAATTGTATGTTTTGATAACAATGCAACATATTGTCCATCATTTGACCATGAAACATATTTAACATTATTTACTAAAAGTTCGCTCAATTCTTTTCTTTGTTGGACATCATAATTTATAACTGAATGTGATTTAATTAATAAAATTCTACCACCACTACCACTTAAAACATCATTAATTGAAGAATCTAATTGAATAGTTTTTGTAACATTATTATTTAAATCTTTAATATGTAAAGTTTTTGAACTTTTAATGAAAACAACAAATCTATTTCTTGAAATAAATGCTGCAAAATTACCTTCACCTTGTCTAATATCATTTGGTTCAATTGCACCAGTTGCATGTTTTGGTAATGTAATTAATGCATAATTTGATTGATCACCTTCACCATGAACAACTAAAATTGAGTTATCACTTTGATTATATGACAAAGTTCTCATAAATGACCAAGTTTTACCAATTTTTTTTAATGATAGCATTGGTAATGAATTTTCTTGTTTATTAAAATCAAATGATTGAACTTGTTTTTCACCATTAACATAAAATAATTTGTTTTGGAATATAGAATATGCTGGTCTTTCTCTTTCCAATTTAAAAACCATAACTCCCAGATCATGACATGCTGCAAATAAATTTATAGTTGGATGACTTGCAATCAACCAAAATCTATCATGTTCTCTTCTAAATTGTTTAATTGGAACTCTTTTATTTAAATCCCAGACTCTAATTGTTTTGTCGTCGGATACTGATAATATAATATCTTGATGTGGATGGAAAATTGCTGCTAAAACATTACCAGTATGACCTCTACAAGTATCAACTTCCCAAGCTTTGGTATCTGACATTCTCCATAATTTAACAACTCTATCATCACCAGCTGAAACAATTAAAGGAAGTGTTGGATGAAATGAAGCATAATTTACTCCTTTATCATGACCTTCCAATACATATTTAACAATTGCATTGATATTTCCAAATATATCTTGTTGAGGCAATTGTTGTCTTTGTATTTGGTCTTCAAATGATCTTGAATTTGTTGGTGCTGAATGTTTTTTACGTAAACCAGAAATATCCCAAACTCTAACAGTTTGATCTAATGAAGCAGAAACAATTAAATCTTCAGTTGGATGAAATTGTGCACTCATAACATAATGGTTATGACCAGTTAGACATGCAATTTCTTGTCTATTTTGCCAATTCCAAATTCTAATAGTTTGATCATCTGAACATGAAATTATCCATGGTAAATCATGATGAAAAGCAACACCTCTAATATAATCTAAATGTCCATTCAATGTAAATATACATTTTCTTGTATTTAATGACCAAACTTTAATTGTATAATCATCACCACCTGAAACAAATAATGGTTGAGTTGGATGAAAATTAACACATCTGACGGGGCCTACATGATCTTCAAATCGATCAATTAATGTACCCATTCTATAATCCCATAATTGAATTGTTGATGAATGTAATGAAACCAATGCCCAAGGTCTTTTAGGATGGAAAGCGACACCCTTAGCCCTCGAAGACTTGGATTCAAATTTGGTTAGCATTTTCATCTTTTGCCTGTCAAAACAAAAAGTGTTGAAAAATTTGAACACGAATTAAAAAAAAAAAAAAATATAAATAAAAAGTCACGTGTATTAAACCGTCTATACTAAAAATGAAAATATACCCAAAATCATAGAACTAAATATACCTATATTCAAACTAGTTGAACCTCCTGTTGTAGCTGATGTGGATGCTCTTGAATCTTGTACAAATCCACCTATACCTGCACTTGGATTATATTCAACTGTATTTGTATTTTGTGATTGGTCATCAGTTTGTTGATTTGCAGCAGCTGTATTTTGAGCTGGAACATTGGCTGATACTTTGCTAGTTGATGTTTGAATTGATGTTATTGTGCTTGATCCGGAGGTAATTACAATTGTTGAAGTTTTTTCATTATTCTGCGAATCGCCTTCATTTTGTGGATCATTACCAGTTGCATCAGGACTACCTAACCACGTTTTATCGTTTGTCAACATTACATCAGTATCATCACCATCGGTACTATTATATCTATAAGCATGATAATCTGCTTCATCAGTTGAGTTTCCATGATATAATGGAACACCTTCAGGTATATCAGAAGCTTCAAACTTAATATCTTTGACATAAGCATAATAATAACCATAATTTTGAATATCTTCAGAATCCCAATTAATGTAACCACCAGCCCAATCAATAGTACCATTACCATTTGAAGGATCACCACCTGGCCATAATGAAATTTGAATTCTTGATGGAGTTTGTGGATAATCATATCTATTTGTTGTATCATTCCAAGTTAGGTCTCTTTCCAATGTACGCACCTTTTCTCCATCAATATACCAATCAGTTTTATCTTCTTGCCAATCAATTTCATAATAATGATAATTTTCAAAAGTATTATTTGTTGTTGAATTCCTTGAATTTGTATAATTTAAAATACCTTGGGCATAAAAATTAGTTTCTGGTGCAGTTAAATTATAACCAACAAATTCATAATCTAATTCATCTTGAACGTCAGAGAACAAAATAAAAGCAGTAACAACACCACCGTCTCTTGAAGTTTTTAAATGAGCACCGACTCTACCGTACCATAAATATTTAGTTGAAGATAAAACAGTACCTGTAGTATGATTAGGCATTTGAACTAACAAAGCTTCATCATGATAATCAACCCAACCAGTATAAACCCAATCAGCTTCAGAAGCATTTCCTAAATAATCAGATTGTAATTCAATTTCTTGAACTTTATCCTTTGATTCCCAAGTTTGGCTGAAACTGTCCATTCTTGGCATAGGCATACAAGCAGTTAAATTAAAAGAATACCTAATATCACAACCACCTAAACAATAAGCACCAGTACCACAAGTACCAAATTGTGAACAACAAGGTTGATCTTCTGGACAGTGAGAAGTTGAATTACATTGTATATCAGCAGCAGATACTATACTTAGCAAAGAGAATAGCAATATAACGATAGATTTCATCTGCAAACAAATCGAACCCATCTGGTGATAATTGATGATACAATATTTTTTTTTTCTACTACCAGATCTCACTAATTTAACGAAAGGAGTTAAAATAAAAACACGACAAAAAAAGTTTCTATTTTTAAAACTGGTTATGTTTTGTACCAAGCCTTAGTCGTCTAATAAATTTATAAATTAATCACTTATATTTAATCACTACACACTTTGAGCATTGAATGCAGCACTAACACCCAATAATTGTAAAATACTTAAAGCAATAGCTGAAGCAATTCCAAAATCTCTCTTTTCTTCAACTTCTCTTGTTGAAATTGAAGCAGCTCCACCAATTGATCCTGATGCAATTGGTGAGTTCCAATTAGCAATACCACCAAATTTACCACCAGTTAAACCTAATTCAGCAATAGTAGTGGCATTAAATCCAAAAACATTTGATAAAACATTTGCTGCAATATTTGCACCTGCTGAGACTTCTTTTTCCAAGTATGATTTTAATTCTTTTGGATCAGTTGGTAATGATAAATCTCTCTTTTGGAAAGGCAAAAATTTGTTAATTAAATCTTTTAATCCATTTGCATCAACTGGTAAATTAGATAAATTTAATAAATCTAATGGTTTTGGAATTTTTTCTAAAATTTCACTAAATTTAGTTGGATCTAATTTTGATAAAATATCTAATGGGAATTGAATTCCTTTATTAAATAAATCTGCAATTTGACCAGTTGATAATTTATTTAAAAAATCTGAAAAAATTTGTGCTGGAATTTTGGCAAATAATGAAGCTAATTGACCACCAGGAATTTTATTAAAGAATGCTTCAATTTGTTCTGGTGAAAATTTTTGTAAGAAATCATTGAAAGCTTGTTGTGGGATTTTAGCTAATAATTCAGCTAATTGAGCACCAGGAATTTTTGAGAAAAATTCAGTAATTTGTTCTGGAGTAAATTTTGATAAAATATCTTGTAAAATTTGAGCTGGAATTTTAGCTAAGACTGAAGCAAATTGAGCACCTGGAATTTTTGAAAAGAAATCAGTAATTTGTTCTGGATTTAATTTTTGTAATAAATCATTTAATTGGTTAGCTGAAGCTTTAAAAATATCTAAACCAGCATTAATACCTTGAGGTAAATTAGTTGGAATAATTTGACCAATTGGTAAAGTTTGAGCAGGAGCAGGTAAGTTTGAAGTTTGACCAAAGATTTTTGACCAATCTAAGAATAAAGCGTCAGTTGTTGAAATAGCTAATAAAGTATAAGCGACTAATTTTGAAATTCTCATTGTGAGTAGTTGTTGTTGCTGATGACGATTATACGACAGATTGACCTCTATTTATACTTTTCAAAACGAGTTTAGGGGATGTTATAATTCTTCTATTTTTGACATTTGAACCAATGGAATTGTATATCCTGATTGCTGCAAAATTTAGCTGCAAAAAAATGCAACAACGATCTAAAAATTTACGAGAAAGTGCTCGTAACCAAAAATCTCCAACATTAAAATTGAATTATAAACAGATGGTTAGAAATGGTTTGTTAACATAATTGACATGGCGAGTTTCTGACATTGACACTAGACTAATATTAAATAAACTATTGAAATGAAATATATTCTTTGTACTGAGCTACATTTATCACTTGGATCAACTTATTTCTTACCTCTTGACGTCCACAATCACTTCATATCAATACAGTTCAAACCTATTCTTAGCAATAAACTAAATCCCTTAAGTATAATTAATCCAACCACGTGTAATTCCACCAACTATTATCCGAGTCGAATAAGGTATATTTCCATACAAATTTGAAGAACTCATTAAACTTTTTAGTGGAATTGAACAATGTTAACTACTTTATGTTATATTGTTGCAAATTAAATCTAGTAAAATCTTGGCTTTAATAATTTGTTGTGGGTCCAAATTTCGTAAATTTTAGATCTAAAATTGCAACAAAAATATATGCACGTCAATGTAACATAATAATTGAAGGGTAATTTATTTATTCACTCTGACTATTTTCTATTTACTAGAAAAGAAACTATACATATTAGGATCATATTTTGAAGGTTGATCGTAAATCAAATTCGATTGGGAAGTGGAATTTGAATTTGAATTTAAATTTGAATTAGACTGAGGAGTATACGTTTCTCTTGGTGGTGGTTGAAATGATCTTTGATACGATTGTTTAGGAGGAGGTCTTGGAATTTGTGGAACTATTTGTGATTGTTTAACTTCATTTAAAAATCTAGTATAGAATTCAAGTCCCTTTTTTAAATTATTATGAAATTTTTTCCAATCCAGATAGAAATTCTTAATTTGATTTTCTTGAGCCATGTTTTTATTATTCCCCATTATTGATGGATTCTTCTTAAGAAAACTTTTATAATCAGCTTGCAATTTCTTTAATAATTGTTTCTCATTGTTTACATATTCATCTAATTTTAAATTAAACTTCTCAAATTTCTTGAGCTCTTCCGGAAATATAATTGATTTAATCTCATTAGAATTTTTGAATTTAGAATTCAAAATTAAAATATCTGAAATATCATCATTGTGTATCTCCTTTTTGAGCTGTTCAATAACTTGAGATTTATTCCTTTTAATTTGGTTCAACTCCTTCAAAACATTCTCAATTAAATCAATTTGTTGGTCTTGAGAATTATCAATATCTAATAGACTGATGTCCATTTCAGATTTAAATAAATTTTTAAACTCAATTGAATTTGAACCGTTTTTGAGTTTATTGAATAATTCCATATTTATAACCTTGTCTGATTTTGATGCTTCATACATTACTTTCTTATATTCAATAGCTTTATCCTGATCAAGCACAGAAATCTCGTGATAAATTTCATTTTTTAAATTCTCAATATGGGATTTATCTTGGAGATCTTGATTTGCGAAAGAACTTATTTCATCAACTATAGAGACCACATCGGTTGAGATGCCCGACTTATTTTCCAACTTTTCTTTTATCTTTTTCAAATTAGCAGGTAATCCCAAATCTTCCAATACTGAATTTGCTTCTTCATTTGATATTTCATAAAAGTCAATTTCACTTCTTAATAATTGGGATTTCTCTTCAGAATAATAACTAGCCATTTCATGGATATTGATAGGTATGACATTCTTCAAAAATGAATTATAATTATCTTCATTTATCTCTTTGAGTAGTTCAATATTTTTTAGTTCTATCTTTTTAGTTGAATCCATTCCTTTTATAGCTGGTAATGTTTGTAAATTTGGAATTAAATCATGGTAAATCAAATCGTTATCTTTAGTTAAATCAGCAAGTTTTATACCTACTGCATCTGATTGATACTTATAATTATCCAACAATTCATAAACGTCACCAGATCCCTTGCTTACGGATTTCAAAATCTGTGGATTTATAGTTTCAAGTATTTCTTGAGATTTAGTAAAATAAGCAATGGCATCTCCATATTTTCTATTGGCTTCCAATTGCAATCCATGAAAGTAAAAACTGAGTGATTTATAAAATTGATATTTGAAATAGATAATTGAGGTCCAACTTTCATCAATTTGAGCAGCCACGAGATTATCACTACTCTCGTCAATATCTTCAGGTTCATCAACTATGTCAAATTGATTTTCTTGGTTTATCATATTGTAACAATCTTCAAAATACGAACTTGTAGATTTGCAAAGTTTAGAAATTAAGGAATTTTTGGACTGGTTCAAATCGGAACTAATAACTTTCAAAGTGAATACTTCTTGAGATTGGGCCAACGTTAATTTACTCAAGAATTTTATAGTACTTTGATTCAAATCTTGACTAGGAGCATGTAAGAAATTTTCATTTATAAAATCGAATATCCCACTTGATTGTTGTAACATAAGAAGTACTTCTTTAATATTCAGTTCAGTTTCATTCAATTGTGATTGAGTATACTTTGTGACTGCAAATTTAGACAATAATGATCCAACATTATATAACACATTTGCTTTTTCGAAAGGTAAAGCATTTTGAGAATATGATAAATCAGGTGAGAAAGAATCATACCATATGAATTCTAATTTCTTATGTTTATTCAATGTATGAAATGGAATTCTTAAGTCTAACAATTCTAACTGACTGTAGTACTTATAATATAATTTCAATCCAATTAAATCTGAATTCACACCACGTATATCTTGTCTCAATTTATTAAATTGATTTAAATCATCTTGATAAGAAGTTGTATTTCCATAGATAGATAATAAATAGTTATTCAATGGTTTTATCCAATTGATTTCTTCAGTTTTCTTTGAAGGTATAGTTAATAAATGAGTTTTCATTATCAACAATTGATTTTTAACCTTGCGAGAAAAGTAAAAAAAAAAAATGACAACTGATTAGATTATAGACATTATGCTGAATCAACAGATGCACACTATAGATGATGATCAACCAGATGAATGGGATCAAAGAATAATTAATACAGGTTGTCATCAAGAGAATTTAAATTTACAACTATGTCATGCTGATAATGGTGATTGGAGAAAATGTTTAAAAGAAATGGAAGCATTTAAGAAATGTTGGGCATTGAATAAAAACGATGAAAGAACATATACTGTAAATAATTAATGAGGAGATATTCTTGTAAATAGTTGAAATAGGTTAATATACAAAAGCGTTTTGTTAGGGTTTTAATGGAATCAATTTCGGACTTATTTAAAAATTGGTTATTCTCGTTCAATCTATTTCTATTTACACTGGGATTTAGAGTTTGTAGAATATAATTAGAAATCCTAATTTCATTAGAGAGACTTCTGTTAGAATGCTTAGGTGATACGTTTTGTTGACCGAATATTGTTTGAGCTCAAATAAAATTGTACGAATAGATGCCAAAAATTGAAAATTACTAACTAAAATGGCATTAACCTTCGCACTAAAATTAAACAATTCAAGAACAATTGAATTTTTTTAGTTGACCCGACTACATATTTCTCGCCTTAGACTTAGGGCGACCGTACTACACAAATTGGCTCATAGGAATAACGCATTCTCTCAAAATAAGTACTAGTTATTCGAGATTAAGAGCCGTAATTTATATAATCTACATAGCTCAAGTTTTAGTTTTGAAATTTTTTTTTCAACTGAAATTTCGGCTTTTTTTCATCATACAAAATTTTGATCAAAAAGGTGAACTCAAAGTATATTCTTATTTAGTGCCACAACTCTCAACTAAATATCGGACTATATGTAGTATACCTTTAAATAATGCTCTGAATGAAATTTCGCCTCATTTAAATTAAATTTGGGAAATTGCAGATTTTTCTCTTAAGTATGGGAAAAATCTAGCTGCACAAGCAATAATCAAATCAAAGTATGATAAACCTATTCAAAATCGTAGTTCTCTCTCAGTAATAAACCTCAAGATATTTTGTGTGAAGATAATCTAAATTGAAATATTAATTTTTCAAAAATGTTTCAAAAATTTTGCACTTTTTTCAAAATCAATTTTGCGTTTCAAAAACATTACACATAGGATCTTTGAGACTAAATAAACCGAATCAACTAACTTAGAAGTCTCTGATGAGGTTTAAGTGCTGATTATTTTGCATTTTAGCGTTTTTTTGCATTTTTTAAACTTAGATTAAAACGACCAATGTTAATCTTTTTCAAAAGATAGCTACGTCAGCTTATTTTGAATTTGTTGGAGATCTGATAAAATAGTCTCGAGAACAAAAAGTTGAATATTGAAGAAGATATTTACAAATTAAATTTTAGGATTAACTACTATAAGACTGCATATAAAGGAATTGCTGATTGAAATTATTTATATTAGAGCGGGCTTCCTTACCGACCAACATAAAACGAGAAGGCGGCGGAAAAATTTATCTGTGAAGGCGAGATCCGATACCATTGCCCGTCCTACATTTAAATTTATTAAATTGTACCAAAAGAGAAAACCTCAAACATCAAAGTAGCTTTCATTGTAACACGATACACCCAGATTATTGGATGAAGACTTGATGATCTATTGAACCTAAAATTACAATGACCACATGTATAAATTTCCCTGCTTCACGTAGTTCATAACATCGATAAGTTATAACAAAGTAATTTCAACAGCAAGGAACAAATCAAAAGCTAAAGTGTTTATTTGTGCTGGTAATCGTGTTGAGATACTTTTAAAATTTAGCGGAATTCACATCCACTCAAGTAAGCGCAAAACCAAGCCGCAAAGCGCGAATTTGGTTGCAGATCTAGATCTATAGATCTGGCAGAAAAAAATAAAAAATAAAAAAATATATACCATAAACACACATCACAAAAAATATCAGAAAACCATTAGTTTTTGGTGGTTCAGAATCATCCCCTTGTGCTCAATTTTTATTCAAAATTAACTGTTTTTGGTACCATTCAAACGAGAAAAAGTCGTACAGTTCGAATTTGATAGTTTTAAAAGCACTGCTTTCGATTTACATAACAGAGTCTGAGTTTTCTATGATTTAGTGGTATACTCAAAGCATTCTTGCTCATTAAAATGATTCCTTGAGTTACCTTTAAGTCAAATCTAGGAGGGAAAAATTATATAAAGTTGCTACAACACTTGGTATGAGTACTACGATACGATTTATTTAGCAGAGAAGTCTCAAAAGCTTGCGTACTTCATAAAAAAATTTAAAAAAAACCTTATATGCAGTACGATGTTAGTTAAACTGAAACTGAAATCTAAATTTGTAAATAACTCCCTCATTATTCAAAGCTTTTATTCTCAAATGTAATTGATGAAATTTCTTCAGCGGGCCAAAGTTGTATGATACTAGTAAAGTATTAAATATAACCAAATTTTGTTGATTTTATTCCTCAATTAAAAAATTGAATAAAACGCTATTTTGCAAGATAGTTAACAGTTAGACCTCATTTAGTAACCTCTAGTATAGCAGATTTGGCTGTTTTAACCATAATGATTATTTGTATGATGTTTTCCAAACGCTAAATTCATTTTGAATTTGTTCCAAAATTTCAATTCACCGTCGAAAAATTACTTTTTGGATTTTAAATACCTTAACACCAAAAAATCTGAAGTATGTCAGGCGTGGAAATTACAAACTTGGATAGTTTCATTATAATTTAATGTGAATACTGATTGTGGGAATAAATTTTTTTCATGGTCAATTTATTTAATTTTGTCCATAGTTAAGTAAAGATTTCGGATTTTTTCTATTTGAGTTTAAATTAACTGGAATTAGGTGTAACACCTTTAATTGATGTTTAATATATACAATTTGTTGTTTATTTGAAGTTTGTGGACCCAAATAAAAAGATTGACAGATTTACGTTTTTTGAAATATTTTTGTATGGTGAAAAACCGCCAAAAAGACAACTCAAAAAAAAATGTTTGAAATTATAGTTAAAGTGTTTAGTATATATAAATCAGGGCTTCTTATTTTGTATAAATAATATTTATTTCGGGAAATTGCTTTGCTCATCCCATATAAAACAATCTATATAGTAGCCTTGAAATTGGGACGAGAAATTGCTACGTCGCACGAAGTTTATCGTATTAAAATATACATACAATTTAAATAATTCTAAAATAAATATCGCTTATATGCAGTATTGTATAATAGATCCAAAAATTTAAATTGTAAATAACTCCTTAATGCACGAGCTAATATCGTCAAACTAAATTCATTGACAGATTTTACAATTCTAGAATACATTGATCCTAATTTCCTCAAAAAATACCTAGATTTGATCATTTTATTCGTCTTTCAAAAAATGCAAGAAAACGCTAATTTGGATGATAATTAATACTTAGACCTAGTGCAGCAACTTTTAAGCTAGCTGAATAAGTTTGTTTAACCCCAATTATAATACCTACAACCCTTTTCAGGCGTCAAATTTGGTTTGAAAATTTGGCAAAGATTTCGTTTCACTTTTGAAAAATTACTTTTCCAAAGTTCAATACCTTAACACAAAAAGCCTTGAAATTTATCAGAGTACCAGAGCTACAAAATTGAATAGTTTCATTATGTTCTAGTCTGAATATTCAATGTGGAATTAGATTTTTCGTTAGGTCAATTTATTCGAAATTCTCTATACTTAAGTGAAAATTTCGAAATTTTCCAACTTTGGTTTAAATCAACTGGAATTACGTTCAACACATTTTATTGAAGTACAATATATATAATTCGTAGTTTAGTGGAACGTTACGGCCTGAATAAAAGCGTACGCTACGATTACTTTTTTCGAAAAACCTATGTATGTTGAAAAACCGTCGAATTTGCAACTCCAAAAAAAAAATGTTTGATTATTAAGATTTAAGATATATAGTGTATACAGTTTAGAGCTCCTGATTTTGTAAATTTGCTTATTATTCCGAAAGAATGGATTGTTCCTGACTTATACGCCAATGTGTGTAGGACGAGTTGCCTTGATGCTAGATGTTATTTTGTCGTGCCAAATCATCTTTACATCATATTTAAATATGTTTCATAACATAATAGAACAGATTTATAAGGATATACCATATATTCTGTAATAGATTCGTGTCTTTTTGATAGAAAACATTACAACTCTATAAGCCAATATATAAGGGGCCAAAGGAGGTATATTCTACTAAACAAACATTTTCACGATGTAAATATCAAATATTTATTAAGCTATAAAGATATAATATTTATTGGATAATTTGACATTGACCACAAGTACCATTTAAAGTACCTTCAATTTCTTGAATGATTTGTTCAGCAATTTCAATTTTAATTTGGAATGCTTGACAAACAGTTTTAACTATGTCACCAACGAATGCAAATTTGACTTGTAATGCTTCACAAATACCAATAATAATAGCAGCTAATGAATTAACGATAGCTTCTTTGGTACATGCTAAGGCTTTGAAGATGTTACATAAAATAGTACCTAAAGATTTGAAAAAGATTTCTTTTTTAATTAAGATAGTTTGAGCAAGACCACAAACAATTTTAATAACAGTTTGAATGATGATTAAACTTCTTTTTTCAACTGGACCAGTAGTAGCTAATTTTTGATAGATGTTTGAAACAACAGCACCTACATCATATGAAACATCTGATGGTAATCCTTCTAAAGCAGCAGAAATGGCTTTTGGAGTTTGAACTAATAATTGGTCAGCTTCATCTTGTCTGGTAACTAATGAAGTATATTCATTGTTGTTTGAAACGGAAGCAGCATTGGCTGATAAAGCAATTAAAGCGAGTGAAGCAATTTGAGTCAATTTCATTATTTTGAGTAGTTGTTGTTATTGATGAGAAAACTTAAAGAAAGTGACCTTATTTATACATTTTTATCGATTCTAGAATAAGATTTTCAAGGGCTCTATCCAACCTTTGCATCGGTTATATATGTGTATTGTTGCCAAACATTCTTTCACAAAACATGGGATTCAAGTCAAATCTGAGCGTATAATTGAAAATTACCGCCTAAGAATTAATTTTGTTACTAATTAAGGGCTAAAGTTACTATTCTTCGTCTAAAATAAATACCCGCCGCGGGCGTTGATCAAAATAGGCAATCTTGAAGAGGAAATTTGTTTACAAATAAACCAGTGAATTGTAAATCTTTTAAAATTTATCTTGGCAACAACAAAGAATGTTTTAAAATTCCATAGCTCCTTAAATCTATCATCAAACTAGCTATCTATATCTAATCAATCTTGTTTGAATCAATTTACCCGTATATTGTACTTTTAGTCTAATTGGTTACCTTATTGATCTGATAACCTAACCATCTATACTGAATCTTATTCTTTCTGGTTATACAATGTCGAAATTTAAGGGCACAAACATGCATACTGTAATCTACGCGGATTTTTGTATAGAATACACCGTCATATGATAATATAACAATAGTTACTTAGTTCTTAAACAATAAGGTACTATTAACGGGCTTACCGTAGTTATTGAACTAAATATTGTATACAGTCGATTTTATTTAAACCCTCGTTTAAAGTACAAGCGAATGCATTAGAATCCTTTTACAACCCTTTTTGATTTGATCTTAATTCTTGGCTTAAAATTTATATGAAGAATTGTGGGCCCTGATTCTTAAATTAAGCAATCGTACTTTAGAATTATATATTGAATTATAAACAATAGAAATCTAAGAAAACATATTTATGAACCAATTTAGAGTCAAACTTTGTGACCATAATAGTACTGAGTTTGAGGCAATCTGATAAGCTCATTTTGATTGCTGTTTATTTCCCCAGCTTAAATTTATTGGGGTTAATACTCACCATGGCTTTGCGATTCCAAAATAAGGAGAGTCAAAATTAGGAGATTATCGGAAATTAGGTATGGTTGTTATAGTTTAAAATTCCATACTATGTACCTCGTTTCAAAATGAATGCTAAAGAGCTAAAATGCGTGCACAAAAGCTTTGATTGCTGATGAATAAGGAACAATCAAACACTGTTTTTGTTTGAGAACTAGCCGAAGTAAGCGATTCTTTAAATTATTATTATTAGTCTAGCTAGGCGATTGCTTGAATTGTTTCGTAGCTGCACGAACCTTAATAAGAAATGATTTGCAAGTATTCAGGGAGAAAATCTCCAATAATTGACGATAATCATGGGCTTTTTTGATTTTGTAAAATTGGTGATCCTTTTTATACTCGTATGATGGGATTTTCAGGAGAGAAAAGTGTTTTCAAAGATTAATAAGAAGAACCAATATAGAAGAAGATCAATTAAAGTCACTGTCGCATATTAGTGCCTATATATTCGACTTCTATGACATTAATGCATGTCCCTTAAATTCACGACGCGTCCAAAATTTTTTTGTTTATTTTCTTTATGTTTTCATAATTTGCAGGCATTCATGCCAAAAGCAACCTCAACTCCAGAGTATAAGAAGTTACAAGAAAAAAATGATGAGTTAAAAGCTGAAATTAAGTCATTGGAATTTACGCTAGAATACATAAATGAAGATCATGAATTAATTTGGGAATAATTCCTCCATGCTGAAAATGAATTAAAATTGGAAAGATCAAGAAATAAAAGAACCACTCCAAAAGGTACTAAAGGTAAAGTTACCAAGAGTACTAAAGCTAATAAGGATAAAAATGAAAAACTTGAAAAAGCTAATTGTTAAACAATTCGAATTGAGGAATAAGATTGATAATCAAATTGTTTACAAGTGCTACCGGTGGTTTTATCGTTAATAGAGACGATATAATTAAAGCAAAGGAAGAAGTCAAAGTTCGGAGAAACGAGATTGAAGAATTAAGAAAACAACAAAAAGAATTGGGGGGATGGGCTTAGGTTGGCCTTTAAATATGTGACGTTTGATTTTGAGATGTTTATTGTATAGATTGTTTTATTATGTATATATGATGTGAGAACTATTTTCTGCTTTGATCAGATTGAACACTTCATTGATATAGAACTTGATGAACTATCTCTTTATAAATTGATTTTACCAACTTTCCAAAAATAACTCAGTTCATCAACAACTAATTGGTTTAGTTGTAAAACATTTATAAGACATAGTAAGAAATACTGTACTCTTGACTTATAAAAGTAAAGATCACCAAACCATTCTAGAACATCGAGCTGATTTTTCATTATGTCCCTATTATGCAACATTTTGATAAACTTCTCAAAATCCTCCTTTTGCTCTAAGATAGCAATTGTACAGCTTATTTGGGCGATTTCAATAAATCTAATATATACAAAAAAAAAAAGACATAAATCAAATTTAACATTCGTTGATAATTGTACAATTACTTTGGCAAAAATTGGTAAAGTTTGCAAAAAAATTAAAAAAGATCCAAATGGTTCAAAATCAAGCAAATAAGGTCATACAAAAATAAACAGTCTAGTAAGAGCTTATACATCTCATAGATGCCAAAATATAGCTTCTAACTTTGTCAAGGGTAAAATTAGGAAATTTTCGACATGCAAAAAACTATAAGTGTTTGTTAATTCGCATAAATTTTTCAAAAAAATTTGCAGCTTCGTGGCCCAAATGATACGGCTGAATGTTGGCTTTTACTGCCGCCATGGCCAAACGGTTACGGCATCTCCCTCCTAAGGAGAAGACTGCGGGTTCGAGTCCCGCTGGCGGTGAACTGACTACTGACTGACGAAGGTTTTTTTTTTTTTTTTGAGCCAATCAGTCATAGTAGAACTAAAACTAGTACTATAATATAACAATCTTTATAACAATCTCTATAACAATCAATGCCCACTCGAGTTTGTTATCTGTCTAATACTCACACTTATCTTTATAAAGCAAGCTGCGGAAATTGAGGGATTAGATTTCCAGCCATCTAAACCTCAGTGAAGGATTTCTTAATTCTATACAGAATATTTCTAATTCAAAGCTTCGTAGCTTAGTCTAAGGCTATGCTAAAGAAGTAGCGTGAATAGTTACTCACCCTTACTACCATCGCTAAAGTGCTCAGCCTTTCCTTCGATAACCGATCTAGAAAAATCTTAATACTAGACACAGCAAATTAGCAAGACGCTTTTTGAAATGATAAGAAAAAAATAAAAATGAACTAAGGGATCAAATAAAATTAATATTCACTACCCTTTCCCTTACTTGCAACGGCGGCAATTAGATTACCTGATCAAGAGATACTGCAAAAAAATTAGTTGATATCTTTCATCGACTAAGCCCATTTAATTTTTTTTTTCTTGCACCTAGTTTTTTTTTTTTTTGCAGCCATTTTTTGCGCTTTTAATGCGCAGTGTGCAACATTTCCTATTTTGGAATTGTTAGCAATTCTGATACATCGTGAGATTTTCATATTTAAACTAAACTGTGAGCAAACCGAGCAACCTATAAGTGCATAACAAATAGTAAGTTCAGATATTTAAGCTCAATTAACAGTTTATCACAGATTTTTTTTTATTGTATCAATTTAACTCTTTTGGTTTATGTTGTTCGTATAGGCATTGCATGTACGATCAAAAAAAAAAAAAAAAAATTAAATGTGGCTTATTAAACTTTAAGTATGATTATAAACTATCTTTAAAAGCCCGATCAAAGTTAGGCTATCTCCGAATGCGCAAGCGAACCAAGTACAATATTCTTCTCAACATTTACACTATTTTGAATTATTAATAAAAAATATTTTTGATAGGCGAAGTCAAATTAAAGTTATTAAAGTTATATATTTCCGTAAATGAAACAATAAACTCCATCAAAATGAAAGATTTTATGTAAGAAAAAAAGTCAAATAAGCAAGCAGGTTTCATATTACAAAAGTTAAAGTTTTAAGTCAAATAAGCAAGCAGTTTCATATTACAAAAGTTAAACTTTCAAGTCAAGAAAAATTTATACTTTCTACGTAATTGATCATTGATCAATCATGAATCTACGTAAATTTCAGATCAATTAGTGTAATTAATAAAAATAAAGTTTAAACTTTTAATTGTCACATCACTTTATATACTACACTACTCTACTCATGTTTAATATAAGGTTTCTTCAAAACGGCTTTTATCATTTCACATTACTAGTCAAAATCGTGTGATATAAAATCGAAAATCAAATTAAAGTTAGATCCAATAGATTGTACGGCTTCAAATAAAAATAATGATTAAAAATAATGATTCAATGCTAATCCAATTGATAGATTAAACTAAAACTAAAACTAAAACTAAAAGCTTTTTCATATAAAACAATTGATTATCCCGTTTTTTTTTTCTTGGCTCTTTCTTATTTTATATATATATTGAAATACACAGCCTCTTTTTTATATTTTTTATTTTTTTTTTTTCCAAATGCATAGAAAACTTGATAGGATGAAATTTTAATTAGTGCCAAAGCAATACCAAATTAATCTATTCTACCCCCATATTTTTTAATCTAAAATCGCCATAGTTTGAATTAGATTACTACGGCCCTAATATATTTCAATACTTATACTGTAGCATATGTTTCTTGTTGTAGAATTTCTCCTTATATTATATATTTTATATATCTTATATATCTTATATATCTTATAAAATATTTCCAATTTATCAACACTAATTAATAATATTTAATTTATAAATCGTCATCTTACGATATAAGCAATATTCAGTTTTAATAACAGCTTATCATCTATAAAGAGTTAATAGAATAGTATAAGATCGTTAAAAGAAATTATTATTATTATTAGTATTAATTTTTTAATTATCTATTAAAAAATAAAAAGTGAAAAAGTGCTGCCAAATATTTTTACCATCATTCATTTTTACAACCAACCAATATCATTAGACAGACCATTACTTTTACTGCTCCACGATTGTAGCATCAGCATCATAACTATTCACATCCTATCATCAGATTGTAAATAATAATTTACCACACGGGTTATTATTTATTAGTATTATATCTACTATACAATTTTTCATTTTATTTTAACATATTTTATCATATTTTATCATATTTTATCATATTTTATCATATTTTATCATATTTTATCATATCTTATCAAGCAACAATATTAAAAATTATAAACCATTAGCATATTTAATTACTTATTTATTTATTTAGTTATATTTATTGATATTTATTAACATAGCATATATTATTAGATTATGGCACCTAGGACTCCTCAAGACAGATTAGGTACTGCTTCTACATTACAAATTCCAGATTATGATCAAGATGATCTATCTTCAACAAATTCAATAACTCCATTAAAGAAAGATGATGAAACGACCAACATATATCCAAATCAATTAAATCATGAAACAGATTCATCTGAAGGTTTATCAAATCAACAACCTTCTCAAAAGAAATTATCTTCAAAAATAGGCACATCTCAACTGAATAAATTAGTTTCTATTTTATCTACAGCTTCTCATCATCAACAACCTTCAAATTTTCACATATCACCTGAAGAATTATCAAATTTACATGATCCAAAATCATTAAAATATTTATATAATATAGGTGGAATAGATAAATTGTACAATATGTTAGATACATCAAGCTCAGGTTTAGATAACAATTCTGATTTTTTATCGAGACAACATTATTTTGGAGCCAATAAATTACCTCGAAAAGTTCAAAAATCTTTTCTTAAATTATGTTGGGATGCAATGAAAGATAAAGTATTAATTATATTATCAGTAGCTGCTATTGTTTCATTAGCCTTGGGGTTATATGAAACTTTTGGTACTCCAACACATTATGATGATGAAGGTAAAAAATTACCAAAAGTAGATTGGGTTGAGGGTGTTGCGATTTTAGTTGCCATTTGTATTGTTGTTTTAGTTGGTGCAATAAATGATTATCAAAAAGAACGTCAATTTGCAAAATTAAATGCTAAAAAAGAAGATAGAGACATTATAGTAATACGAAATGGTGATCAGAAATTAATTTCAATTTATGACTTACAAGTTGGTGATATAATAAATTTACAAACTGGTGATGTTGTGCCTGCTGATTCAATATTAATTCAAGGTGAAGTAGAATGTGATGAATCTGCATTAACTGGAGAATCAGAAACAATCAAAAAAGTGCCAGTTGATTATGCCTTAAAAAAATATGAAGAAAACCTTCCAACTGATGAAGATATAGGTTCAAGAAAAATTAAATTTAAAGATCCTTATTTAATTTCAGGTTCAAAAATTTTATCAGGTTTAGGTAACGCTTTAGTTACTGCTATTGGTAAGAATTCAATTCATGGTAGAACAATGTTGAGTCTTAACCAAGAATCAGAAACTACTCCAATGCAAGAAAGATTAGATAATTTAGCTGAAGGTATAAGTAAATATGGTTTCCTCGCAGCTATAATATTATTTATTGTTTTATTTATTAGATTTTGTGTTGAAATTGCACCTGGTGGTTCGTTAAATCATAAACCTTCAGCAGATAAGGGTAAAAGATTTATCGATTTGGTTATTACTGCAGTTACTATTGTTGTTGTTGCAATTCCTGAAGGTTTACCATTGGCTGTTACATTAGCATTAGCATTTGCAACTACAAGAATGGCACAAAATGGTAATTTAGTTAGGGTATTGAAATCTTGTGAAACAATGGGTAGTGCAACTGCTATTTGTTCAGATAAAACAGGTACATTAACTGAAAATAGAATGAGAATAGTGAAAGGTTTCCTTGGATTAAATAACGAGGGTGAATTACTTGAATTTGATGATGCAGTTGAGAATAAAGACGAACCTACTTCATTTGATGTTTTAAATGAAATTACACCAGAAGAAAAAATATTTCTTGCAACAAATATAACTTTAAATTCAACAGCATTTGAAAATGTAGATTATGATGAAGAATTGGCAAAATTGGCAAAAACAAAACCAAAAAGGAAATCATTTTTAAAAAAATTATTAACTTCAAATGAACCAGTCAATTATCAAGCAGCAAATGATGAACCATATTTGGGAAATAAAACAGAATCAGCATTATTAATACTAGCAAAAAATAAAATGGGTTTATTTGATAATAAAAGTTTAGAATCAATAAGGTCAGATTCCAAATCTGAAGTTTTACAAATTATTCCATTTGAAAGTTCAAGAAAATGGTCAGGTATTGTAATGAAAATTGAAAATGGATATAGAATATATATTAAAGGAGCAGCTGAAATAATTTTCAAATCATGTGGATTCCAATATAATTCTCAAGGTGAATTAATCAAATTAGATAGAACAAGAAGAGACAATGTTTTAAATAAAATAGATACTTATGCAAATCATGCTTTAAGAACAATAGCATTAGGTCATAAAGATTATATTGGTGAATCATGGCCACCGTCAGACTTAAAATTAGATGATAATCCAAAAGAAGCAGATCCATTGAAAATTATTCCTTGTGATGAAAAATCGTTTATACTTGATGCATTGGTAGGTATACAAGATCCATTAAAAGAAGGTGTTGCTAAGGCGGTTTTACAATGTAAACATGCTGGAGTAAGTGTTCGTATGGTTACTGGTGATAATTTAAACACAGCCAAAGCAATTTCAAAAGAATGTAACATCTTAACATCTGAAGATTTGTCTAATGATTATGCATTCATGGAAGGTCCTCAATTTAGAAAATTATCAATGTCAGAAAGATTTAAAATTGTTCCTCAATTAAGAGTATTAGCTAGATCATCACCTGAAGATAAAAGAATATTAGTAGATACATTACGTAAACAAAGAGAAGTGGTTGCTGTTACTGGTGATGGTACAAATGATGCACCAGCTTTGAAGTTAGCTGATGTTGGTTTTTCAATGGGTATTTCAGGTACTGAAGTTGCTAGAGAAGCAAGTGATATTATATTAATGACTGATGATTTTACAGACATTGTACAAGCTATTAAATGGGGTAGAACAGTTGCAACATCAATTAAAAAATTTATTCAATTTCAATTAACTGTTAATATAACTGCTTGTGTTTTAACATTTGTTTCAGCTGTCGCTTCAAGTGAAAATCAATCAGTATTAACTGCTGTTCAATTATTATGGGTTAATTTAATTATGGATACTTTAGCTGCATTAGCTTTGGCAACAGATAAACCAGATGAGTCATTTTTGAATAGAAAACCAGCAGGAAGATCAGCACCATTAATTTCAACATCAATGTGGAAAATGATATTGGGTCAATCAATGACACAATTGATAATTACGTTTATACTTCACTTTGCAGGTAAACAATTATTCTACCCTGGTCAATCAGATATTTCCGATCATCAACAAAAACAATTGGATGCAATGACATTTAATACTTTTGTCTGGTTACAATTTTGGAAATTGTTTGTTACTAGAAAATTAGATGAAGCTGATGAGATCAAATCAGTTAGAGGTAGAATCACAATGGAGAATTTAAATTTCTTTCAACATTTATTTAGAAATTTATATTTTATAACTATTGCTTTGATTATTGGTGGTTGTCAAATTTTAATTATGTTTGTTGGTGGTGCTGCATTTTCAGTAGCTAAACAAACTCCAGGACAATGGGCTACTGCTATATTATGTGGTTTTATTTCACTACCCGTTGGTTTGATTATTAGAATTATTCCAAATTATTGGGTTGAAAAGATTTTCCCAACTCGTGCATTTAAGAAGTTCATTTATATTGTGGGGTTCGGTTGGTTAAAGAAGAAGAAGAAGCATGATATTGATTTGGAAAGTATGCATAGTACTGATCGTAAAACTGTTGATCATAAAAATATATAGAAATCAACATTTTGTAATAGTAATGAATATAGAATTATTTAACGATTATGTAATTTCAACTCTCAAACTAACCAATGTTTTACGGTCAATCATCAGGCTAAACAAGTAATTTCAAAAGTGAAGGAGACGGGATTGAGCATTCATATTGATACTTTTGATAGTCTTTACCAAAAATTTGTGGCTAATAATTCAGTGCTTACTGATTAGCTGGAAAGTCTATTACATCACCATAAAAGTCTCAATGCAGACGAGTTTCATGTTGAGTATCAGCTCTTTTAAATTAGCATTTTTTGATTCGAAGGTCGTTGATCTAAGATTAAATTTTCGGTGGCATAATAATACTAAATGATTTATATCATCAATACCTTTTATCAATACCTTTTATCAATAACATTTGAGAAGAATTACTTTTTCTTGCAACTGATGACCTGAATGGTAAATATTTTGGTCTTCATGTAAGATTGCGCTAATATGACTCATATGTCTTTTATTAAGTTCGATTTCTTATCAATAATTGTAAATCCTAAATTCGTTTATCTAAATTACTGAATGAACCGAACGTTTGAATTTCCGCTGGCCATCTCCAAAATCAAAGACTTGTAAATCCTGTTAATCACTGACCGTTGAATTATCATTAATCAATTTGATCAAATAAATTTAACCTTAGGATCTTCATATATCCGTGTGGTTTCTTCATACATATTGATAGATCATACTTTATGATTTGAATTTTGCATGCATAAATCAAAAAATAGAGGAAATCAGCCAGAGTATAGAAAAATCTCAAACTACATATTCACTATTGTCTTTCGCTGATTAGATTTATTACCGAAACTTTAAATTCACAATCCATAGTTTAGTCAATATTCACTCATTATTCAAATTAAACTTTGTTAATTTAGGCCTCGGCTTTGTATACAATTAAATAATAAGAAATAGAATTTCTATTGTTATTGTAAATCGAACGTCGCATTTTTACGGCAACCTGCATCAGAGCTACTATTACAGATAGTATGTGTTCTGATTACCCACTAATTACGAATCCGCTTAAACCTTACTTACTCCCTATAGCCAAACATCAACTCCACAAAGTTTTTAGTCTTATAGTTTTTGTTTCACTCCGTGGCTCAATTTTTTTGCAGCCATTTTTTACACATAAAATTTTCCTGCTTAAATTCTCATCCTAATAATTTTGATTTACAATGAAAGTTTAAAGTTGCCCAGTACACGTAATTGTGTCACATTAGAAGTATTATATTTTGTGTCAAATTATTTTATTGTTGTTACTGTAAGATTTCATATCAGCCATGTTAGAAATTAATTAAAGATAAGAAAGTGAAACTGATTCCACTATCAATACTCAAATGTCCAATTGAATATTGTTAATTATAATTATAATTTCAAATTACACAGTTTTAGTATCCTTACGCCATCACTACTAGCCGAACTCATAACCAAAATCAAAAATTGCAAGAGTAAATATTAGGCGTTCAGAAGTAGTAAAACTAAAACGCTCATAAGGATAACTTTAAATGTGACTGTTAAACGCTTTTTGATCCTTTTTAATTAACTATCCATGTTTTCAACAATGGTGAATTTGATTTTTACCAAAGCAGTCTAACTAAAATAGATGTTTTTAACGTTTTCTAATCTGGTGGTTAAACGCTTTTGATCCACTTTCATTAACTATCCGTGTTTTCAACAATGAAGGTTAAAAATTTTACCAAAAGAATTTAGAAATTACACAGTTTTGCACCCAATGAGGATGGAATTTTACCAACCGTCACCTGAAATTTAGATGTCAATGAGTGAATTAATTCATATGTTTACCTGATTCAAAATTGTATAAATACGCTTGAAATTCACAGTCTGAATTATCAGAGAAATCTAAATCAACGAATACAACTACAATTATTAAAATGCAAGTTATTAAATTTATTATCGCTACTTTCTTTGTTTTCTTCACTCAAGCTGCTTCAATTGCTACTAAATCTTCAAATCAATTAGAAATTAGAGATGCTACTCCAGTTTCACAATCAATTATTGATGAATTACAATCAGAAATTCCAATCATTGTTGCTACTGTTTTAAATGTTTTAAATCAAACTGAAACCGATATTACAACTTTAGTTGACAACTTATTAGCTGGTTTAGGTTTAGGTTCAAACTTAGATGCTTCACAAATTATTGCAGCTACTAAACAAGATATTCAATCTCAAGCAACTTCATCATCACCAATTTCATCAGATTTATTACCATATGTTATTCAATTAGTTGAAGGTATTGTTAAATCATTAGACATTACGGTTGGTGATTTATTAGGTTCATTACCTACTTTAGTTGGATCATTAGTTAAAGCTTTAGGTTTAACTTTAAATAATGTTGTTGATTTGGTTGTCGGTTTATTAAAAAGCTTAGGTGTCACTTTGACTGATTTATTAGGTTCATTGCCAGGTATTGTTGCTGGTTTAGTTAACACCTTAGGTTTAACTTTAAATCAAGTGATAACCTTAGTTGTTGGTTTAGTTAAAGGTTTAGGTATCCCATTAGGTGATGTCTTAGGCTTAGTTGGATCAATTGTTAACTTATTAGGATCAACTTTAGGTGATGTTACTGCTTTATTAAATGGTATCTTGGGTGCTTTATAAGCTAACAGCCTATAGAATTTTGTCTCAAGCTTGGACTTGATTGACCTTTTTTTTATTTTTGTTTACCTATGTGATCTTTGATAGTGAATATATATTATATATACTTAGAGGTTCTAATATCGACTATTATATTTACAATCAGAGGAATTTGATCTAGAGCAATTTTCATTATTGTCTAATAAAATTTTGCAACCATTCTCTGATTTAAAGCTTATTCAAAATGGCTCAAAAGCCATACAACCAACGTATTCAAACTCTGAATCTTCACTCAATTAACTTTTAGCTACATATTTTTGAGCCCAACTGATGACGGGTATAATTGATAATGCCTTATACGTCTTCATTTAATACTTAATTATACCCACATTTTGAGCTCTTCTTTTGACTACAATGCTTCTATGCAACAATCAAGAAGAAGTTTATCGAGTATGTGTAGTTTAATGCACGACACTAAACGTTTTATGCTTTATGAGCGTTGTACATCAATAGTATACTGCACATTCTTATTATATACGATAATCTTTACACGCCCATAACCTTTTGACATATTATAACTGAAATAAGATCATTATTGAAACCACAATAAAGAACAATAAGGAATAATATGAATATGGTTTTCTAGCTGAGTATAAACATTACTTGATTGTAATGTTAATCTGTTAACCAAAAAATTTGTTGCTTATACTTTAGTTTCTTTAAAAGTTGCAAATTCAGCAGCAGCTGCTCTACCTAACGACGCATTAATCAAAAGAGAAGTTTAAGCTGGCTTAAAATTTTACAGCGTTGCTGCTATTGAAGCTAGAGATTTTAAAGATGAATTAATCAAGGTCTTGCCAACCATCATCAACATCATTTTAGACCACTAGAAAATTCAACACCCAAACATTGCAGAAACTGTCAAAGCGATCCTCAAAGGTTTAGATTTAGACAGTGACTCAGCAACTACTAATGAAATTGTTTCTCAAATTTAATATTATGGTAAAAGAGTTTGGGTAACTGATGTTGAAACATTATTGCATAGAATTGTCGCTTTAGCTTTCTATGTTTTGAAAATACGGAGAGCCAGACTTGTACAGGTCAATTGTTGAGATTACAAATGCTTTAGGCTGGACGAATATTCCTAGTGAGACATTAGTTGAACAAAGTCAAGCTCAATTAAAAGCATATATAACCAATAAATCAATATTTTGTGCGACATTTCGGGGATAAAAATAATTTTGAAATTCTTTATGAGATTCAACTTGAATGATTGTTTCTATATTTTACAACTAGCTATTATTGCTTTAATTATATATCTAATACCAAATTTGATAACTCCTGATATTCTAGATGGGTTTGATTTTAATCAGGTGATTCTATCAAAACAAATATGTTCAAATAAACCTCAATATTGTAAACATGTGATAAATCGAGGTAGAGCCATAAATTCATTAATTGTTAAACTGTTCAAAAATTATGATATTGTGTATATTGTCCATTATTCGATAAATAACTGGGAAAATGTAATCATTAAACTACTTAGTCCAGTTGTTCGATTAGTATCGAGTAAAGATAAAGATAGAATTGAAGAAAGCTTAAATGTGATACTTGCTATTCTCCATTCTATGATATTTCATACTTTGAAAGGAATGATAATTTCTAGAATGTGGGTGTTCTTTATATTTGGTTCTTTCTTCATACTATCTCCTTGGGTATCAATATTAAGTCCATTGGTTAACGTAGTTCGAAGTTCAAATATATATTAAGACTATTCAGAATCCAAATTCAAATGCACTCATGTCTGGTTCTTCAAATTCTTGAACTGGTGGTTGTGATTTAACTTCAACCGATTTTTCAAATTCAATATCTCCATTTTCTACGTCTTTCTCTGATGTACTTATGAAATTCCAATTCTTGATCAATAATAAAGATAGATAATCACATCCCATTCTTGTATATATCATACATACTTTGATTATAAATTGAAACTCTTCTAATTTGGAAATTCCAAGCGATCCTTTTAAGTAATTTAATTTCTTAGTTCTTAAGTCATTGAATAGTAAAATCAATACAGGATCATCTTGTAAGAAAGAATGACTTTTAATTGACCCTTGTAAAATGATATCTTTAAATTGCTCTGTTATTATTTCATTTGGTGATTTGATCAAAGCTTGTATTGATATTTCCTTCTTGTTTAATTGCCAAAATATCCAACTCGTAATCCATTTATCTCCGTTATTCACAGCAGTGGGAATAATATACTTTTCAATAACTTGTAATAATACTGAATCATCCTCTGGGTATATCTTTGCAATTGCTATTGCTAATGGTATATCATTACATTTTGTAGCTAATGTACTACAAGAATCCCATGGTGAATCTCCAAGTAAAAAGAAATAAGCAGCATCTAAATATCTGTGTTTTCCTAATAATACAAATGCATTTTTTAAAGCTGCTGATTTCCAACGAGGTTGTGTAAAATCATTTGATAGGAATTTTAACATTTTGGTCTTCTCTGAAGATGTACTTGTTCTCCATAAAGTAATTAATATTTGTTTCTTCTTCAAAGCTAGATATAATAGTGATATTAAACCTTGTGGATCTCTCGCTTTTGAAAACTCATTCTTAGCCACGTCTTCCATCAATTTAATTAGTTTATCTAATTTTATCCAATATACTAATCCAGTCAGTTTTACTACATCCCATGACAACCTAAATTTATAATATACATAAATATCATTTAATAATACATCTTTATTATCTGAATGTAAAGCCCAATTTATATCCCTCATATTCAAATATTTCTGTTTTTTATTCAACTGAAACAATTTAAAACCAATCATGAATCTAACTCCATTAAGATCCAATGTTTTGAAATGGGACTTCAAATCTTTAATTACCAAGATGATTGATATTAATGTTGATTGTTGATGTCTAGTTAATAATGGTAATGATATTTTTATCAATTTATCAATTAATAAATTGGCTAATTCTGAGTCAAAATCTGTAAAGACTTGTATTATTGATTGTCTTCTAGTTAATTTTGGTTTTATATCTTCCATATTTAAATCCCACGTTATAAATTCATCTTTCCTTAAATGCTGAAAGAGGTTAACTAATACTTCTTCACAATATTCAATCTGATTCATATACAAACTCTGTATTAGAAATTGAGGATGATATACAGGTAATGGACCATTCAAAATACAAACCAAATTTGAAATATCAATGACATTTGAATCAGAATTATAACCAGTAAGTAGTTGCCTTATTGTGGAATCGATTGTCGTATTTGAAGTACCCAATTTAATCCATTTATCGTCAATGAAAAATTGATTACCAGATCCAATTATTAATCCATCATCTAACCATATACTATCACCAATTTCATGACTCGTAAAATCTGAAATATCAATTTTTTTAATATTGGCATAAGTTGGTACATTATTTGTATAATCATATCTTAATTGAGTATATAAAAGGACATATCTATCAAATCCAATCGATAGTATTGCATTGGATGTAGTTTTTAATTTTGATGGATTAATAAATGTCCAATCTAAGTCTTTAATTTGACGTGGGAGTGTTTCTTCATACTCCAATACTTTTTGTTTAATATCCCAGATGGTCAACCGATATCCTGATTCATCAACAATTGCAATTTTGGAAATTATGATAGAGCCATTCATTTTTGAGCAGTTGGAGATATTTGTATTCATCGAGTGTGATAATGTCCAGGATATAATACTACCAAATTTTAATTTATAACTTTTTAATAAACCTTTTGAATTTATAGTTGCTAATAATGTTCTATTTGATTGACTTATAAATACATCAATTGAAGAAACTTGATATATTGACTCATCTTGTGGCAATGGTAAGATCTTAACTTCCGAAAATTGTATATCTTTGACAATCTCATCTTGATAAGTTAATGATAATTTCCACGAATGTATTATATTGGTTTCATAAATTGCAATTACACAGTAGCTTTTCTTTGCTTGAGTGTTGTCTGGATACTCAATCATGAAGAAAACTCTTGGAGTTAAATCAATGTCAATTTTATTATTGATTATCAAATGTGCAGTTTCTTCTTTATTACAATCCCATACATTTATACTCTTATTCTCTTCATAGGTGACTATCAAATGACGTCTTTTTCCATCTTTAATTGGTTCAATATCGTTTAATATTACACTATTGATACATCTTGAAGTCGTAATTAACTTAAATTTTCTAGTTAACGATAATCCAACTTGTAAATCTATTGGTTCCCAAATATAGTTATTTTCTTTAAAATTTGATATTGATAATAAGATATTTGAATTTGTAAATAACGAATTTGATTTTATTAGTTTTCTTATTGATTTAGTATGACCTTGATATCTATTAATTAAATGAAATCCCTTTGCAATATTTTCTGGATCTATGTATTCGAATCGTATGTTGTGTTTATACCTGTCATGAATTGATATTGATAATTGTTTTATTCGTTCATCATTATTAAGTAATGAAATAGGTGATATTGAAATCAGTTGACGTGATAAGTCATTTAATGGTATTGATTCTGATGCAGCTTCAAATGTTTTTTCAGGCCACTCTAAATCTCCCAATTTGAATTGCCCAAGTTCAATAAATTTAACATTATTTGGAGGGTATTGTAAAACATTACAAATTGCGTAAATTTTATAATCACCCAGTCTTGAAAAAAGGAATAATAAATCATAATCGGAATCTAAATTAAATATGTCTTTGATTAATTCCTGTTCTATGACTAAAAAAGTCAATGGTTCTTCATCTAATTCCAAATTACTCCATTCACAGACATGATTATGACTACTAAATTCATAAGATGCCCATACGTGAAACTTATTGCTTGTTAATGTGTATATTATATCACTTACTCCATTTGAATTGTTTATATATCCTCGTATTTTAGATATGTTTGCAAATGAATCAATTTCGTTATTTTTAACCACTCGTTCTTGTTGTTTTCTATAATGAAATTTCTTTATATATGTTCCCTTATCATGTTTCAAATAAGATACTTCAAATAATGTATTGTCACCAGATGAGATCCTTTGCCAACATTTTAACAATCGATCGTAAGGGTTTGTCGTAGTCAAAATCATACTTGCATTCGAATTGATATATAATTGATCAACATCATTGACTTTAAATTTCCATCTTTGTTTCAATTTATATTCTCTGTACTCATCATATAAATAATATAACCTCAATTCATGCCTAAAATATACTATAATTTCGCTTTCTTCAATTGCTAATTTAAAGTTTAAAATTTCAGAATCAAATGTAAATTCCTTATTAAATGTCCATTTAGGAAACTTCATATACTCATTAATAGGGTTGAATAGTATCAATTTATTCTTTAAACATAGTAATATTATACCATCTTTATAATAATTGATTGAAATTGGATCGGACTCCAAATAAATTGTCTGCAAGATTCTATCAACATTATGAGGTGTTGGTTTTTTATTCTTTGTAGTTAATGTAGCACCAGTTATAATCAAATTATTACCACTTCCATATATTAATAAATGATGATTCTTCCAATTAGCTTGTATTATTGTATTTTCATTATCATTAACTTCTCCAGGAATAAATGAAATTGTCATTAGGCCGAAAAAAAAAATATATCAAACGATTAAATTTTCATTTATGGGTGCAAGTTGTAAAGATCAGAAGAAAGCATTAGCTATATGTTTACAAAGAAGTCCATGCGTCTTGATAGAAAGAAATACCCCCAAAGATTGTTTAACTAAACCAGAATTAAAACAAGACTTACCAGAATTATGTAAAGCTAATTTACGTGCTTTTATGGAATGTAAGCAAGGTATGTTTGATATGAGAAAAAGAATGAAAGGCAATGCTCCTTTATCAACTGGTAAATATGATGAAATTTATGAAAATTTATCATCTGGTAATTTCGATCCACAAGAAGAAATGAGAAAATTGGAAGTTTTAAATAGAAATTTATCAAAACAACAACAATTGAGAGAAAAACAAGAAAGAGAAAGATTGAATGGGAATGAACAATAAGGATGAATGCTTGATGTATAGACAATGAAGTCATAAAGTTTAGAAAGCTGTACTTGAAAATTGAACAAATGGGCCTAGTTAAAAAATAGAAAACTGGTAATGACTCGAGTTTTGAGCACAGTAGGTCCAGGTACAGATGTTAAATGTAAGCTAATTGGAGTAAAGAGAAATACCAAATATAAATGATGTTGTAGATAGAGTTCTGAAACCTTGTATATATTTTAATGCATTTTTATGATCATGAAAACTCATTGTATTCTGAAGTAGTTATAAAAAGCAACATCTCCTGATCACTGAGAATTGTTAGTGTTTCGAATAAGTTCAGGTAAACTCTTTCAGACGATTATATTTGGTCAATCTCATTTCAATCGCTGACATCGACTTCTGATTCACAGGTTACGTTCTTCACTCATGTCCGACATGGTTTGTCTAGTCTATGTTTCTTCTCAAGTAGTTCTCCTTCTCCGTAACCAAATTGTTGATAAACTTTTTAAAAATAGGATTAAACTTACTTAATCCATTAAAGACATCCTGTAATTCAATCATTTTCTCAACATGTTCAATTAAATACTTATTCTTCTCAACTCCGTTGTTCAATTTCGTATTATCATTGATTTCCTGACGTATATCGTCAACATAATTATTCAACAACATTTCAAATTCATCAACTTTATAAACTCCATTGTAATTATCTTGCAAGATAGAATTTATAAACTCAAATATCTCTAACGTCTTTATTAAATTACTCTTTGCAAGTTTAAACTGAATCAATTTATCAATTACGGCTTTATTCAGTTGATCTATTTCCAATTCTTTATTTATTTCAACCATGTCATTATTTAAATTGATTAATGCATTATTATACAAATTTGTATTATAATCTAGTTTTGAAATGTTTATATTTACTTGATTATTGATGAGTTGAGTATTATAATAATCTAAATGTGTAATTAATGAAGATATATTATTCGATAGCTGGTTATAATTTGGTTTACTTGTTGTTGAATTTCCAGTTGAAACTGAGTTTTGTATAAATTGGTCAATGTATGTAGATGGATTGAAACCGTCATTGAAAAACATCAATATAGATTCCGACATCTCTTCTGGCATAATGAATGTGTTTTCTTAACTTATTGAATGATTGTTTAATAAACGTATAGCTTTTTTTTTTTTTCACCTTTTTGTATAAGATTGAATAAGGAGCAAAATACAAAACGCGAAATTAGATTGTGAACATTCAATTCAATACTCACAATAATATATAGAGGAGCTAATTCAATATTATAGCCTTATTAGCTATTATTTAAACTTGTAATTGAATTATTTCCCATCAAAAATTTTTCAAATATACGAGGCGCCGCAGTCCTAATTAGTTTTTTTTTTATCAACAAAATTATCGGTGCAGCCACTTGCAACGCCACTTAAGAAAATAAAACAAAGTACACGAACCAAGTAAGAGACATGTTCACTAGAGCAAAACAGAACAAAACAATACAAGACAAAACAATACAAGACAAAACAATACAAGACAAAACAATACAAAACAAAACAAAGTACACGAACCAAGTAAGAGACATGTTCACTATTTCTATGTATGAATTTGGCATATCCCACGCTAGCTACGCTACGCTACTAGACAAAACTTATAATTAATATAACTTATATATTTTATTTTCTAACTGCTATACAAAAAGCTACGCAATTTTCTTTCAGTCACAACAAAAAGACGACCAAGCAAAAATTACAAGCAAGCTTATAATTTTGGTCTTGGGTCGAGTTGTTTGAAAACTGACTCAATTGCAGTAGCCTTCATCATATTACCCTTAACTTTTAACTTACCATTCATGAATAATTTTTGACCATTAGCTTTACCATTTGCTAATTTAACAAAATCAACATCTTTTAATAATAATTGAACATCACCTTTTGGTGGGTTACCATCAACTTTTGTTAAAGTACCAGCTTTTTTTAAGTCTAAAACCCATGATTGCTCTTTACCTTCTTTGTTTTTTAAAGTAATGATAATTATAGCATTGACAGCTTTAACAGCTTTTTCAACTGCTGATTTATCTTGTAAACCATCATATAATTGTTGGAAAAATGGTGAAGCGTTAAATCCATCGACTTGAACTGACATTGTAAATAATAATAATATAAACTTGTTTTAATAAAATTGATAAGGGAATATAAAGAAAAAAAGTAATATCGAACTTTGTTGGAAATCAATTTGGTTTTATATCAATTTTTTTCAGCCCTTAGTTTAATAGGAATAAATTTACATATGAAAAATTGTTACCCCAAATTATTTAATATGAAGGAAAGAGGTTTATAGTATTAGGCTTCAATTAACATAACATGCTCTAATTAATTGGTAATTAAAAAAACCCGAGTGCTGACTAAGTATTTACATAATCAAAGGAAGTGGATTTACCATTTGATTTTTGTTGCCAGTTTATAATACCTTGGTTCGAACTATTGATGTATGGATGTTGTTTCATGTGATTAGCCTATTTAGGCAATTAAGAATGATTATGTCACCTCGGTAGTGAGATTTTAAAGTCGTGAACCAACAAAATACTACAAAATTATGTAATAAGAATAATGATATTATTACTATTATTACATAATTGTAATTATTATTATTCTTATTATTATTATTACTATTATTACTATTCGACGATATAATATTCGACGATATAATATTGTCGCATGATAACAGTGTATAATATTAAAGTCCGAGACTTAGTATAAGGTAGTAGGTAGTATGTAGTATTTAGTATGTAGTCATTACTATCTATAACCTTGTCAACGTGTTGCAAGTTACTCTATTGTAATGTATTCTAATTACTCAAAATCTCTAACATTTGTTTCAGCTCAATTTTCAGCTTCAAATTGCTGTCAAATTTTAAATTTCATATCAAGTTTGTGATTATAACAACGTATAAAAAGTCTGTATAATTTTTGAAATGTGGGGGTGGAGATAACAAAAGGTACAGTATTTTAATTTCTCATGCTAGTTTACAATGATTATTATATTAGTTAGGTGGTAAGTAGTACAAAGTCGATGCCAAAGGTTAGTGTCTGGCTAGTAGTAAAATTGTTACTGTTCAGTCGATTTTGTATCGATTTTGTATCGATATTTTGTATCGATTTTACAATGAGTAAAACGTCAAATTTACAAGAATTGACAGTTATAATTACACTTGTGAAAAATGCAGCCAAATTGAATTGAATATTTAATTTACTTAATCATTTGGCTTATCATACTTTTCATATAATCAAACTAAGACAATTTCGATATAATAAAACTTTATTTATTTAAATTTTGAAGTTTTTGAAGTTTTTTAGGTAGATACTCGGTCCTGTTTTTTTTTTTTTCCCTCATATAAATGTTTCAGAATTTTTTCATAGTAGATAAAAAATTCTAATTTTAGATTCTCCACCTCTTTGAATGGTCTATGAAATCTCATTGATCTACTAAATTGTTTAATGAATTTTCAATTTATGTATGTCAAGTTTAAAAATCATATGCTGATCTAATTGGGCCTAAATTAAGCTTGAACGGCTAATATAACTGATATAACTGATGAACTGCAAAAAAGAACACATTGTAAATTTAGTCCATCCACACGCAAACTGATGATTGATTGACTAAGTAAAGTTGTTTAAAATGATTAATGCGAACGTTACTTTGTTGCAACTCAACTTAACTATTGACTCGAGTGGTTTTCTATTTTTCAATAGTAGCCTGCTTTATTTTTCTGATACGAGTTTTCTATTTTTCAATAGTAGCCTGCTTTATTTTTCTGATACGAGTTTTCTATTTTTCAATAGTAGCCTGCTTTATTTTTCTGATACGAAGGCTTCTAACCAAGAGTTTATATTTACATCGAAACTTGAAACTTGATCTAACAAGAGTGTATAAAATTTTTTTTACTAGGATTGCTACTATTTATTTTGTTGATTTTGAAAACAATCTAATTTTCTGAGTTTAGAAGACTGACTAATCATCCAACCAAGCGAATATAGGTATTAGTAACTAGAAATTAGTCATAAACTTCTACAATTGTGTGAGTGTTCGAAATTGAACTAGGAAATAATTTCAATTTAATTTGATTTTAGTTTACAAGACTTTGCATGTTTCAATCCAGGTTTTACTGCAATCAAATAATTCATTAGAGGCTGAATCTGGGACCCATGTTTATAGTTCGACAGTACCGATTTGGATGGTTCGTAAAGTTGCAAAATTGATGTAATAATCAAAACGCAAAGTATCGCGCGATATCTGATCAAATACGAGGTACAAACAAAAAAAATGAATACCAATAGAACGCGCATAAAAACAATAGAATAGCCCATAAATATATACCAAAAGCTAAATAGATATAACAGACCAAATTTTCAGCAAAATGCCTTGTGTTTGGTATTAATCGAGAGCTAAAACATTGCTTAATTTGATTTTCTTGGTCTCAAACTTCAAATTGTAATTTCTTTTTTCAAAACTAACAATATAGACCAAACGTGATGCGGGAATTTGCGAGTAAATTCTTAATGCAACTTATAACACATGGGGTTTATATAAAATTAAATCTTAAAGTGGTAAAATAAATGATTTAAAGCTTCTAAGATTATCTAACTGATGATCATTTCGAGCGTTGATCCTAACCCATAAGTCGACCAATTTTACGAAGCACGCCTTGAACTTATGACGAAATATTATTATGTCGCACCGAATCATCTATGTATCATAATCAAATTAGAGTTATACCATAATAATGACTGATATACACAGGTTTATCACGTTTATTATTGCATTAAGTACGTAGAATAAATACATTTCAGATTGTAGCTGCTATTTAATTTTCATCGAGAACTTTATAATTTTGTGAACCAATATATTTTGGGTCGCGTGCAACAAAACTGATTCTGTAGGGCCATTTCGAATGGTAATATGAAGTTGACGGATGATACGGCATTAACTTTCGCACTAAATTTACACTCGAATCTTACATCAATTAAATTTTTCACGTTGACGCGACAAAATTATTCCTCGCCCTAGTTGTAAGGCGACTCGTACAGAACATAGTGGATCTTATGTAATGAACAATGCATTTACCTGAAATAAATATCAGCTATATGAGATTAAAAGCCTTGAATTGTATATGTTAAACATTTCAAGTCTTTGATTTCAAACATTTTTTTTCATCTTGTATTTTTGGCATTTTTTCACCATACAAAAATATTTCAAAAAATGTAAACCTGTATATCTTTTCATTTAGGTCCACAACCTTCAAATAAATTACAAAATATATACAATATTCCTCAATTAAAGGTGCTGAACTTGATTTTAGTTGTTCTGTTTATGGAAAATTGAAAAATTCCATAATTTTCTCTTATGTATGGGAAAATTCGAATAAATTGTACATACAAAAAATTTAGTTCCAATTTTAATTTAAACATGATGAAACTATCCAAGTTTGCAGTTCTGCATACTGATATAATTTAGATATTTTTATGTTAAAGGTATTTCAAAATTAAAAAAGGAATTTTTCAAAGATGTTTCGAAATTTTTAGAAAATTTCCAAACCGAATATAGCTTCTTAAAAACATTATAGAAAGAATCTTCATGAGTAAATAAATTATATCAGATGTTTTAGACGTTGCAAAAATGAGGTTTAAGCGTTGAATATAACGCTAAATAGGGTTTTTTGCCATTTTTTGATTGGATAATAAAATAATCAAAATTGAGCTTTTTAAAAAAGGACACGCATAAGTCTAGCCTGAGTTATCTGGATTTTTAAATAAAAAAGTTTGACGAGTTCTGGTTGAATTTTGAAGGAGTTATTCACATTTCAAATTTCAAAATTAAACACTATAGGTCTGCATATAAACAAATTTGTTGCAGAATTATACAAGAAGGCATGTATTTTTTCAAAGCGATCATTCGTTCCGACCAAAAAATTTGTCGCACTAAAAATGAAGCGACCAGTACTAAATATATTGGCTTCTTGCTCATGAACAAAACATTCACTCGAGCTAAATAGATATATGAATTCAGGAGTGTTCAATCGTACAAGGTATTTACTTCAAGTACTAGAAATCAAACATTTTTCAAATAGAGAAAGTGGGAGGCGATTTCAAACTTTTTTATGTTCCTTTATTGAAGGAACAACGGTTGAGTGCCACGTGAATTAATTTACGATGAGTTTTATTCTCGGTGAATAAAGTTGCCCTCAAAAATCGCGTTTAGTCTTGCGGCGATTCACCTGAAATCGCTTGTAACGAATTACAGCAAATTACCAGATTATTAGCAAAGGTGGGATTTCAAGACGGAATTTCTTACCTAAAATTGTTTATTCTTATCTTCAAAAATTTCTTTTTCTTTATCAATTGCCATCGATCGGCATTTAAAAATTTTATATGCAAAAAGACTAAAATTCAGCTATAAATTGAACACCATAAACGTGTTTTTGACAATCATCAATGAGTGATATTTCAGAAACTGAATCTATTGATTCTTCAATCTCAACACCATCTACAAGATCAAACGAAATGAAAGCGACTAACGAAGCAAATCAAATTCATTATCATTATCATTTTCATTATTATTCTAACCCACCTCCAACACCTCCAAGACACCATCATTTTAATCCTCGTGATTATCATAGAAGTGAAGAAGTTCCGTTTACTTTTCCACATCCTAGAGAATATAAAAGACATTATCATAAAAGAAGACCACAAGCTAATGAAGAGTATGTTTTTGTTGAAGAAGCGGAAGAAGAAGTTGAGGAATTTGCTAGACCAAAAGAATCAAGAGGTAGACATTGTCATGGAAGAAGAAGAATTTGAAGGAGAAAGACCAAGACATTGTCATCATAGAAGACAAATGAATGCTGAAAATGATTTACATCACCATCATCAAGGAAGAGAAGCTGGTAAACCAGTTATTAGAAGACCACATCATCAACATCGTTGCTCACATCATTAAGGTACATCCTGATTTATAGTTTATAGTGGTATATCCTGGTTTATAGTTTATAGTTTATAGTTCAATTTATATATATTTATATAGTTTCTATCGTAATTAATTTTTTTTTTTTGTTTTAGATTTATTAGCTCATCACTTTTTGATCACCATATATAACCATGCCATTTAATTCAAATTCATCTAAATATCAAGCAGAAAACACGTTAAATAAACTATATTCATCAATATTAAATACAAACTCATTAAAACCAAGTTCTAACAACACTACATTATCAACAACACAAATTTTATCAAATCAGTTAAATCAAAAACATCAACCCAAGGTAAATAAAAAGAAGAAGAAGAATGTCAAACAACTAGAGAAAGACAAAAAATTTCAGAAATTCCTTAAGTATAATTTTATAAAGAATAAATCAGTTCGTTCAGAAGAAGAACAGAAATATGTCAAGAAATTAATACGTAGGAATATCAATCAAATAAATAAAGCTTCCAAGATTGATGATTTCGAAGTAGAAAGTGAATTAGAAAGAGTGAAATTGGAATTATTAAATGAAGTAGGGCCAAAGGAGAAAAGAAGGATTAGAAATCGGAAACATATTGAAAATAAGGGAAATAATTATCGTGATTTTGAAAGTAAGGGAAATAAGGTAAATAATGGATTGACTCCTGGTTTGGCTCCTGTTGATTATGAATCTGACGAAGAGGAAGAAGATGCTGAATAGATTATAGAAATTCATAGAGTAGTTGGCTAATGAATATTTATTAACAAATTTGATCTTTTGTGTAACTTATGAAAATATCGATAAGATAATCAGTTTAGTTCCAAATATGATGAATGCAGCATGGGAAGAATTGATAGAAAATAGCAGAGTCAATGTTTCTATTATATACGATAGAAAGTTAGGTAATAAGTTTCAAATGTATATTAGGTTAATACTCAAAATTGACTTAATTGTATCATAAGATCATCAATCTTTCTTTTTCAAACCCATTGTCTACCTTAAACCATCATTAGTATATAATAATTAATTCAAGTTTAATCGAAATTTTTGTATTATGATAAAAGTCCAAAATGACAACTCAAAGAAAATACGTTTGAAAATCACGACTCGAGGTATATTGGGTATATAGTTTGAGCTTTCTGATTTTATTCAAATGGTAGTAGTCATCTTGAGAAAATGCGATACTCTTGACTAATCAGCAATACATAGCACGAGTCGCCTCATTGCTAAGGCGAAGAAAATACTATGTTGGCACTATAATTGGCGAGAATTACGTACCAAAAATAATTATTCAGAAAAACAAAATCGATCTACATATGCAGTCTCATTATAGTTAAGCTCAAATTCTATTTCGTTAATAACTCCATGGATATATGAACAATTATTCTCAAAACTTCAAGTATGCATAGTTTATAATTCGAAGCTACTGATTTTGTATAACAGGTGCTTATTTCAAGAAGAGCTTTGTTCACATATTAGCCGATAAAGTTCAATACGAGTCGCTCTAATGCTAGTGCCAGAAAGATATTAATTTGGCAACAAATTCGGGCGTGAATTTAAAGAGTATGAAAATTAACTCTGAAACAATTTGGCTTGTATGCAACCTTTTCTATCAGATTTGACTACAAATCAAGAAGTTAATGATAACGAATATATTATTATGCTTTACTTATATTCATGTAAAATTTGAATTAAATCAATTGTCAATTTTCTTATTACTCTTTTCTTATCATCTAATCCATGTTTCAATGGTTTCAAAATATCATTCTTGTACCTTTCAAGATTGTCAAATTCTTTAAATATTAAAATTAAATCCTTTATTGCTAACTCTCTAACTTCAAGTTTATTATTCCTCGATAATTTAATCAAAACTTGAATTATTTGATTTATATCTCCTTTCAAAATCTGAGGATTTTCAGATAATATGATATTTAAAATTTTTAAACTTGCAATATGATTTAAATTATTTTCAAATGATGTCATTAATATTGGAAGTATTGTTTTTATATGATTGATTAGTATTCTTTTACTCACATTTTCAATAATTAAAGATAATGCACTAAATGAAACTTCAAAATTATCTGATTGAATCAAATAAGGTAAAATAATTTCAAAGATTCTCTGTTTATAAAGAACCTTTACATTCAAATTATTAGTTTTTGAAATCAATTTTTTAGGAAGATCTTTATTTTCAAAAATTTTTAAATCTATGAATAATATTTGAAATGATCTTCCTACTAATTTTGAATTTGTAGATTTATATAATTCAAGTAGATATTGTAATTGAGATAATCCTTTCGGATCTAGTTTCATTAAGAGCCCCTTTAAAGACCATATCCAATAATCAAAATTTTCAGTTTCAGATTTGAATTGAATTTCCTTAAAGTCAAATTTATTAACTAACAATGAAATAGTTAATAGATACTGCATTCTAAGATATGTATCAAATGTAGTAGGTATTTCTGGAACATCCAAAACACATGATTTATCCACACTTGATAATATTTTATTGAATATTCCAATTTCAATAGATGGTTTTTCAAAAACAAACTTAAATTGTGACTTGTAATGATTCAATACTTCTTGATGTTTTGAAACATCTATAAATTTAATTATCAATCCAATCAAATCTCCTGATATTTCTATAAGCGAATTGCTCTTGTTCATATTTTCCAATTTATCTAAATATATTTTTAAAAAATTTAACCAACTATTCATAAAGAATTGTGACTTGTTTTGAATTTTTATAATTAAGATGTATAATGTTTCAGTAATCACTTGAACATTCAGTTCAGTAATTTTATTTAACAACCTAATTGATAAAAGTTCCAAAGCTTGATTTGAATTACAAAGTCGTGATAAAATGTTGATCACAAATTTAAATTTAATTATATCATCATCAAGTAAGTCTAATAATGGATTAATTATAGTTTCTGAAGGGTTAACTAATGTCAACCCATTAATTATTTCCACCACAACTATATCTTCTTTTAATTCAGTGACACTTTGCACCAAAAATTCTTTGAAATATGTAAATACCAAATCAATTTCGGAAGTAGTTAAAAAATTATACCTCATCATTTTAATAAGAAGGGAAACTACTTTTCGTTTCAAAGTTTTTTCAAAGTTGGATGTGAAATTTAACAATTGACTTAAAAAAATTAATATATGCTCCTTATAATTATCTAATGCGTTCGGTTTTGAAACTTGATTATAAGCACTAAAAATATATCCTAATACGTCTATGAAATTACGTTGTTTTGAAACATTTAATGATAAATCTTCATTTTTGTCAAATTCATCAGGCTGTTCGACAACTAAAAACTTTCCCAACAATTCATATTTAAATAAATAATTTACAATTTTACTGAATGTCACATCATTGGATATTGAAAACAACAAGATTGATGAATTTAAAGATTTTTCAGTTAAATTGAAATTTTGTTTAATTTCATCGAGTACATAATCCAACATTAAATTTGATTTAGTAATTAAGATTTTTAATATACTTAAAGTTTCATAATAAATCTCTTTTTCTTCTCCATCATCGGTAAAATCATCATCTGTAGATTTAAATAAATCTATAATTTCAGTGCTATGTAAAATTTGAAATTTTAAACTATTGTACAACAGCAACCAATAATCCTCTATATTATTATAATTCTCGACACATGCTCGTATTGTTCTCAATGTGTCTAATCTGATTTCTGAATTTGTAGAAGAAGATTTTTCGATCAAATTTAATATAGCGTCTTTGGCAAAAAGACTTTGAGAAGCTAAAGTTTCCCTTAATTTTAATTTTAAATCTTGTGCTGTTATTTTATATGGATCATTAGCTGGTGGTTTAAAACTTATTGGAAAATAGCAGAAGGAGTTATCAAATAATTCTTCAATTAGTGGTGAATCGTCACCAAATGTATATCTTTTATTAATCAATGTATTTATTTCAAACGAGTTTAATAAATTTCTCGGATCTTTTTCACCAGAAGCAATATGAATAAATGTTTTGATATATAATTCTGTAATTTCAAATTTGGAAAGATTTTGTAAAATTTTAAACGCTTCATATCTAACTTTCGCTAAATGTTTCTTTGGATCATAATCAAGTAATTTATTTAAAATTTTATCAGTATTAATCGGTAAATAATTATTAAAATTAATTAACGAAGATAGACCCTGAAGTACAAATTTAGTAGAATCGTCAAATTTATTCAAATAAAAATCAATTAATACATTAATATCTTGTCTAGATAACGTATTAATACCGTTCAAACTATATGATAATAATGATAATGACTTTGATCTTATCAAATCTCGTTCATCAGTTAAAAATGGACCAAGATATTGAATTAATTGTAATAAAGTTAATTGTTCTGTATTTATGTAACGAGTAACATCATCAATATAACCTTTCTTATCTAAATCATCGTCATCTAAAGCAATATACTGGTTAATTAATACTGGTATATTCATTAGTCTTCTCGTGTTTCCGTATAAAAATTGGCCCTGACGATTTTTCGTTTTTATTTTTCGTATTTTTTTTTTTTTTTTTTTTTTTTTTTCCAGAACCAAAATTAGAAATCTATATGATTGAAATACCAGATCTAAATAAACAACATCGACAACACCAACATCAACAATCATTCCATATAGATAATGAACCAGATGATATAGTAGAAACAGATGACATATATACTGCTACTAATGATGATGATGATGACAATAGTATTACTAATGAATTTAATGACTTTAATGATAATAATATAAAACAACAACAGATTGAATATGGTTTAAATATAATACCAAATTTGAAAGAGCATTCAATTAATTTTAAATTACAACATCCAGCGAATTTGGAAATACCTAGAACTTCTACTCCAGAAGATTTAGACCAAGTTGGTCAGTTAAAATCTCCTATTTCGGCCATTATTCCTATCGATCATACTCAACCTTCACCTCAATTACCTCCACCACTTTCATCAATACCTTTACAGAAACTAACTTTAAGTCAAACCAATAATGAAGAATTTGGATCTATACGAAAGGGTTTAGCTACTGATTTAAAAACTCCTGTTGAATATACCCTACATATTGTGTTTACTCAATTTGTAAGACATACAGAACGAAAATTAAATCAATTTTTAGATTTCCCATTACATGAAGAACCACCGATTTTAAAAATATTTGAAAAAGGTAAAGATCCTGTATTTGATAAGATCTTAAAAGAATTGGGTTATATTGCAAAAAGAAAACCAAAACCTGTGATTGATACAATAATGTTCTGGAGAAAATCAAAAGGAGAAGTAGCTGCTTTAGCTGCTTTAGAAATTGAAAGAGTAATATCGATAGCTAAAACTAATTTAAACAAAGTGTCAGATGATAATAAATCCATAAAAAATAGTACTGGATCTAAGAGAAGTTTAAGTTTAATGAGATCAAAAAGTATTTCCAAATTGTCTCATAAGCGTAATCAGTCTGTTCAAAGCTTAGAAGAACCTATGCATGAAGAATATATAAAACAAAAACAATATTATGATTTACAAATTGCTAATGCAAGACAAACTGCCATTCATGCTGAAAAAAAATCAATTGCATCAATTTATATTCTATGTAGAGTATTAATTGAAATTGTTGAACAAGCTTCAAATGCAATGGATGAAGACTTAGGTGATAAATTAGAGGAGATTGTTTATACTCAATTGAAAACCACTGATCCAACAAGTTCTGATCAATCAATGATAAGAGCTGCAAACTGGAATTTATTTGCTCAATTATTAGGTGTAATGTCGAAGCAAAGATTCATCTCAGTAAGTGATAGGTTCATATCTGACATTGAACAAATTCCAAAAGATGTTAAACCAGAATTGCAACCAAAATTATATTTACTAATTAATGGTATGAGATATTTAAGATTGAAAAATTACCCCATTGATGAATTTGAAGAGAGTGCTGAATTTATACAATCATTGGCAAAGTTTTTTAGTTTAACAACTAATGATATGTTATTATATGGTTATTGTGATGTTTTAAATTCACTTATTTTACCTTTAGCTAAAAGTTTAACTGCAGAAGTAAATTATCCAACTTGGGTAGAAGCAATTGATAAGATATATAAAAAAGGAATTAAAATGTGGAAGCTGAATTTATCATCACCAATGTCAGCAAATTTACCATTATTTGATAATCATAAAATTCTCACTTATAAATCTTCAAGTTGGTCTTATTCAATAACATTAATAACAGCTGCATTATCAGTATCAAGAAAAGATTTATTTCAAAATTGGTTCCAATTTATAGAGGACAATTCACTGAAGTTAAAACCAAAGGTTGATGATAATGAAAAAACAATTTATATAACATCAATATCAAGATTGACTTGGGTATATCTCAACAGATTTCCTGACACCCTTAATAATACCATCAAACGTTTAGATTCACTATTTCAATTATTATTTTTCAATCCATTATCAAAGAAACAACAATGGATAACCCTTGATTCCAATTTAATAACTGCTTTAACTGAATTAATTACTATTGTTGGATATACTCACATAAATTATATACTAGAACATGTTTTGATCAAATTGATTCACAGTTTTCATGGAACAATTGAATCTATAAATCCAGAAAAGTTAATAATTGCAATTAAAAGTTATATTTCAATTTTGACATGTATTGAATTCCAAGAGAAACCATCATTTCCAATTGATGATTTTGAAATAAAAGAATCCGGGGAATTTACATTTACGGCAAAAAGTGCTACTAATTTGATAGCTCATCAGGAGATTTCTAAATCGTTAGGTTCCTTGTTGCAGCTATTTGATCAACACTATGGAAATAAATTCAACGAACCTACACAAACTAAAAACAATGGAATTTTTCAATTCTCAAGTGTGACATCTACCAATTTCAATACAGAATTATTTTCAACCTTAATATATGCTATTCCATATATAATGGTTCCATTGAAACAGGATTCCCTTTGTGGAATATCATTTAAACAAATTGTTGAATTATTAACTAGAAATGTTTTACACACTGATGACAAAATATCCTCCACCTCCGTTAATGCTTTAAAAAAAATTGCAACAAGAACGAATCCATCTACTTTATTAACTATATATGCAAAATTGGCATTTAAATTAAGTGACAAAATGGGTATTTACGACCCTACTTATCAGTTTTCTGATAATTTTTTAAAATTACAAAAATTATATACTGAATTGCTAAATTGTTGGTTGAAATCATTAATTGAATTAAAAGAAAGCAGGAAAAAAACAGTACCGGAAAACATCTATCAAAAAAAGAAGGAAGATGATTTATATTTAGTGACTGATAAAAATTATGATGTGAATCAATTGGAAGAATGGAAACCTATTGATGATATTGAATGGAAATCAATAATAACTGCGATTGAAGGTATTGAAGGTATTGGTTTATTTTTCCTTTGTTCACAAGATCCAAAAACTAGATATTATAGTTTATCAATTTTGAAGACGGTCGAACAATTTGATCAAGTTATTTATGACATTACAAATGAAGCAACTACGAAAAAACAACATACTCGTACTTCTTCAAAGTTTGTTGCTGATGAAGGCACAAGATTGATCCACGTTCTCGAAGAAATTGATTTTATGAACTTGATAAAACCATTTAAAAAGGAATTGAGTATTCCGGAAAGAACAAGATTGACTAAATTGAAAAATAAAAAGAATATTTTATTAAGATTAGCTGAATCTGAACAAGGAATTGATTCTAAAATTTGGTTTAGATTATATCCTAAAGTAATTGAAATATTTTTTGAAAGATGTCCTATACCAGTTGCTGTATGTCGTGATATTGTATGTGTTAGTCTTGTTCAAATGCATGAAATTGTTTCTGATTATTCGGAAAAGGATAAATTCTTTTCAGTTTTCCTGAAGAATCCAACGGGTAATATTCCTCCTGAAATTTTAATAAATCAATGGAAATTGTATCTCATATTTGTTTGTACTTCATTAACTACCACTGGTGAACAAAAAATTTCACTCCCACAACAACCTACTCATGGTAGAAAAAAATCCGTCCCTATATTTATTCAACATCAAAAGATAACTAGTGCGAAGTCAGTATTTAGAATGGTTTTACCATTATTAAATTCATCACAGATTAGAATTAGAGAAGCTGTAATTTTGGGATTGAGTCACATCAATATTAACATTTTCAAAACATTTCTTGAAAATATACCATTAGCTACTAATGATTGGAATTTGGATAGACGTAATTATGGTGACGATAGGTACAGAATTGAAATTATTCATATCATGATGAACTTAACTGCTAAGTTCAAACAACATGATTTAATTTACAATGATGATACAATAATTGCAAATTTAGTCACGATCGTAAAGAAGGTAAAATCATTTTTAACATTACCTGACGTACAAATTAATATTGATTTTCAAAGACTTCGAAGATATTTTGCTGGATTTCTTGAGAACGTTTATATAGGATTACAATCAAAATTAGATGATTGGTTACCTTTTGAAGCTAGAATCTCATGTTTTAACTATCTTAAAGAATGGTGTGGACTTGGGGATTCAAAAGGTATAACTGAAGATAGATATGATATTATGATTCAACGTGTTTCTAAGGATTCTCCAGCAATTGCATTATTAGATTTAGAAAGGAAAAAATTAGATCACGCTAGTTTAAGTTGTATGGCTACTTTATGTTCAAGTCAAATAAAACAAACAATTGTTGGTGATATAGCAATTGTATCATTTGATATTCCTGGTTTGATGAATTGGATTGAATGTTTATTGAATTCCGAATCTGAAAAAGTTCAAGAAATTGGTTCAACTGCTTTGAAAAACTTATTGATGAATAATTTTGATAATCCTGAAATTAAATCATTTGTTATAAAACAATGTTATACATCACATTCAATATCCATTATCAGAAAATACTTTTGTACTTTTGCCGATGCATACATGGAAAAAGAAGATGATGAAACAGCACCTGAAGATATTGTATCATTAGCTGGTTATTTATGTGGTAATTATAAATTAGATATTAGAAAATCAGCAGTTACCTTGTTAGAATATCTTGAAGAGAAACATTTGAAAACAAACAGGTTGAGAATAATTGTTGATCAGATATGTAGTGAGAATTCGGTAATATTCAAAAAGGCGATGTATGAAATGTCAGTTAAAATGCAAACTAAACCTGAAAAATTGTTTATAAGATCAAGTTATTTACTCAAGTATTTTAATTATGTAAATAATGATGCAAGAAAAGATATAGTGGTATTATTACTTCCAATGGTTAGTAAGATTGTATTAAATGAAGACCCACCTTCATTAATGTTGATTACAAATCTTATTGAGATTACAATCAAATATGGTGATTCATTTTCATCTGAATTTCAAGCATTATGGAATTCATTAGCAACAAACAATTTTGATAAAGTGTTTGAGTTCCTATTCAAATTATGTCTTGAAAAGAAACATTCAATATTTGTTCAAAGTAGTAGGTCAATTATCAATTATTTAACCCTTTCCAATCCATTATTTGTTATTGAAAAATTGATAAGTAATTTACAACCAAAATTAATGGTCCCACCACAGGTTAAATTAAATTCTCCTTGTGATGAGTTCTTGGATTTACCTTATGTCGCAGATTTAAATAAATTGATACCTCTCAATGAAAAAGATTCTGCATTTTCAGTTGGTCAATTATCAATGGTTTTTCTTGCTGATCTATTGATTGAAAAAGATGGAGTTATAATTGAAAAATTACCACTATTATTACACATTGTTTTTTCATTATTAGATCATTATTTACCTATCATTAGAGAACAAGCAGCTACTTTATTAATTCATATAATTCACGCATTAAGTGATGATCCAAAACTGAATGAAGTGATTAAAGCATTGAGAACTAAAGATAATTCAAAAGATTTATGGGTTTATGATGATTTAAACAATGATAAAAAAGGAGCAAGAACTCCTGGAAATATGGATTTATTAATTAGAAATATAATCTCAATTTTTGATAAAATTCCAAATTTACAAGATGATTGGAGTAGAGTTGCATTGATTTGGGCTACTACATGTGCAGTTAGACATATTGCATGTAGATCTTTTCAAATATTCAGATCATTATTATCGTTTTTAGATCAAAGTATGCTTAAGGATATGTTGCATAGATTATCAAATACAATTAGTGATGAAACTGTTGATATTCAAGGATTTGCAATGCAAATTTTAATGACATTAAATGCTATTACTGCAGAATTATCATCTGAAAAATTGATTGACTTCCCACAATTATTTTGGTCTAGTGTTGCTTGTCTAAGTACAATTCATGAACAAGAATTCATTGAAGTTTTATCAACAATGAACAAATTTGTTTCTAAAATTGACTTAGATGCAAGTGATACTGTTTCCTGTTTAATTTCTACATTTCCTCCAAAATGGGAAGGTAGATTTGAAGGATTACAACAAATTGTTATGGTTGGTTTAAGATCATCAACTTCATGGGAACCGTCACTTAAATTTTTAGATAAATTGATAACTTTAAACGATTCACAAATTATTGGGATGGGGAATCCAAGAATTTTAACGGCATTATTAGCTAATATGCCTAGATTTCTTCGTTCATTTGATTCTGATTTAGATATTTCAACAACTGCATTAGGCATTAGTAGATTAGCTGAAAATAGTAATAAGGATTCATTAGCTAGAATTTTATCCTCATTAGCTAAAGGCAAATTTAGGTCAAAAAGAGATTTTTTAAATCAAACAGTTCAAACAATAGAACGTTATTTCTTTCCAGATTATGAAGCACAAACATTAGTATTATTATTAGGTTTATTATCTAATAAAATTGCATGGGTTAAACTTGAAACAATGTCAATATTAAAATTAATTTTCCCCAAAGTTGATCTACAAAAAGATGAATTTTTAGGAGTTGGTGCAGATTTGATAAGTCCGTTACTAAGATTATTATTGACTGAATATGCTGATCCTGCATTGGAAGTTTTAGATGAAGCTGTAACTATATCAGGATCTCAATTAGATAAAGATGTATTGAGAATGTCACTTGGTAATACATCGATGAAGAAAGAATATGAAAATACAGCTACTTTATTTGGTATACCTGATGAAAGTGGTTGGTCAATTCCAATGCCAGCAGTTACAAGTGCAAGTACAAGAAATAATGTCCATGCAGTGTTTTCTACATGTTTAGTTACAACAGATTCTGTTGAAAAGAATGAAGAAGCAGAAGTTGTCTTCCATTTAGAAGAATATTATCCACCAACTGAAAAAGTTAAAAAAGAAATTAAGAATACAGATTTTTATAATGACTCAAATTCAGTTAACGTTGAAGATCCGCCTGAAGCGTCATTAAGCAACGTCTGGGCTGCATTAGATGACTTTGATTCATTTTTCACCAAAGATGCTGATGGAAATGGAGTCGTATTACCTATTTCGCAATTACATTCAGCTAATGTCCCATTGAACAATAATTATCATGGACATTCAGCTTCTGTTGATACAAAATATAGTACTTCAAGTGATAATTCATTAATACCAATGGATTCTGCTCCAAATATTTACGATAAGAATGTTTCACTAATATTAAATAGAAGTTTGGCAAGAACACAATCAAACACATCTTTCAAAACTAATCTTGCCGATTCAATAGGTAATTCTCCACATTCATCAAATTTATTTCAATCATCAATTAGAAGATCTTATATGCCATTTAAAAAAACAACTCCTCAAAATTCAAGTTTAACTACTCCAACATTACAAACAGGATTTGATAAAACATCATCATCATCATCAACATTAATAAAAACACCAATACTAACTACTCCAAAATATGATCTAAAAGATGAAGGAGTTAACAGATTTGAAGGTCTATTAACTGGTAAAAAAAGATCAAAAAAATCAATAATTACCAAGAATTCAATATCTCCAAATGCATCTCAAACTAGTATATCACCAGATTTACACACACAAACTAGTTTTACAAAGAAACCAACTTCAACAGAGAATCAAAAGAAGAATTCACAGAAGTTTAAATAATCAAATTTAATATATGAGCGTCCATGAATGTTTTTTTTATCGTGTAAATTTTCAAGCAAATTCCTTCAAGTACTTTCTCGCACTATCACTAGAAAAAAAATAAAGAAGAAGCGAAAGGCTAAAATTTTTCATATCAGATCAAAATGGCAAAAAAGGGACCACAACCAAGTGATAAAAGCAAAGCTAAAGCTAAAGCTAAATCAGCGGATGATAAAACATTTGGATTAAAGAATAAAAATAAATCGAAGAAGGTTCAACAACAAATAAATCAAATAAAATCGGGAGTAGACGGTGGTTTAGCGAAAAGGAAAGAAGCCGAAGCTAAAAGGAAAGCAGAAGAAAAGAAAGCAAGTGAAGATGCTAAAAGAGAAGCTGCCAAATTATTTGGAATACAACCACAAAAAGTTCCTTTTGGAGTTGATCCAAAATCTATACTTTGTGAATTTTTCAAACAAGGTTTATGTACAAAAGGTAATAAATGTAAATTTAGTCATGATCCAAATGTTGGTAGAAAAGATGCTAAAAAAGATTTATATACAGATACAAGAGAGGACGAAAAATTGCAAGACACAATGGATAATTGGGATGAAGAAAAATTACGTAAAGTTATCTTATCAAAACATGGTAACCCTAAAACTACGACTGACAAAGTTTGTAAATATTTTATTGAAGCAGTTGAAAATGGGAAGTATGGTTGGTTTTGGGTTTGTCCTAATGGAGGGAATGAATGTAAATATAAACATTCTTTACCACCTGGTTTTATATTGAAAACTAAAGAACAAAAGAAATTGGAAAAACTAGCGGCTGAATCAGCTCCAAAAATTACCCTTGAAGAATTTTTGGAATTAGAAAGATCAAAATTAGATAAATCAAAATTCACACCTATAACAAAAGAAACATTTGCAATATGGAAACAAGAGCAAAAAGACAAGAAGGAAAAATTGAAACAAGATGAAGAAAAGAAATCAGGTAAGAAGATATTAACTGGTAGAGAAGTTATATTAGAGAAATTTAGTGATAAATATTATACTGAAGAAGATGATGGTAATGAATCTTGGGACTTATCACAATTCAAAAAAGATTTACCTGATGATGATGTACAAATCAAAGATTATGGTGATGGTTCAAATGCACAAGAATATTATCAAGAGGAAGAGAAGAAACTAGAGAATGGGTCTAACCCGATAAAGGTATAATATACATATCATTTGCATAATTCATTTAATTCAATATGTGAATCTTTAAAAAACTTTTCATCTGAATCCATAAATAAATTAATTTTTGTATCTGTACCTTCTAAATCTTTTAAAGCTTCTATAATCCTTTGAATCCATTTTGCTCCTTTTTTATCAGTCTCTTGTAAATCTAGGAAACTTGGTGATGAACAAAGATCGTTTAAATCAAAACTTGAATTGCTTGAATTTGGTGAAAATTCGGGTTTTCTTTTAGGTAATGGAGGTGGTAAATCATAATCTAGATTAGTACCATCCGATGATATATTTGATGTTGGTGATGGTGACCGTTTTGGTCTTTCGGGTAATGGAGGTTTTCTTAATTGTTTACCTTGTAGACTTGCAGGTTTTTTAGGAACCATTGGTGGGACTTTTGTATTTGATAAATCTATTAAATCGGGCTCGGGTATTTTCTTGATTTTGGGTATTTCTTTTCTTTTTATTGATAACAATCTTAGTAGTTCTTTATATATATACATGTCGTCATCAGTATCACTAAATGAATCTTTAACATATCTGATATTAATTGATATTACTTGACTTGGGAATTTTCTAGCTATATCCACATAAGCTTCCAAGTCATATTCACCAGAATCTCCAATACATATAAACTTTTTCTCTGGAAAATCTTGTAGAATTTTATATAAATATTCTTGTTTTCTTAAACTTGGTGTTTCCAATAATGAATTAATTAAATTACCATGATATGTTTTCAAATGTATTGATCCAGGAGGTAAATTAACCAATTGTAAATATTGATAGATTATATTAAATAATTGCGATGGTGAATTTGAAACATAGAAGAAATTAACATCTTCATTTTTATAAATTTTAATAAACCAATCTATAACACTGGGTATTGACCAATCAAGCATATCTTTAGTTAGTAAATTTCTCAACAAGTGTCTTTTATCACCAATAACTCCTGTAATTTTGATTGTATCATCGATATCACTAATTATACCAATCCCATTACTTTTAAAAATCATAACATCTTGAAAGGCAAAAATTGTTTCTGAAACTAATGATTGTACTTGGACAACTGTAGGTTTATAACCTATCTCAATTGTAGTTTTGAAAAATCCATATTGATCAGTATATAATTTTTCAGTTTTTATATTATCTTGTTTTATGTTTTCACTTCCTATTCTTATTTCAATTGGTGTATTGGGTATATTCTTGGATAAAAAATGCTTCAACCTTTCTCTTATCATTGTATCCGAACCAAGTGGTGATTCTGAACCATTAGATTGTATACTTTCAGTATCACTTGAACTTGAACTTTCAGGATTGAAAATTTCTTGTTTTACATCTTGATCTAAATCTATATTTGTATTATTCTGTTTAATAATTTTGGTAATTACTGATAGCATCATTCTATTTCTTCTATTCATTCCACCAGAAGCAGACATCCAACCTTTAACTTTGATATAATATTTATCACCATGTTTAAATGAATATTGTGGGAATAAATGTATTGAAGTATTTGGAGGTAGTAATAATTGACCATCTTCATTATAAACAGCTGAGTTATTACTAAATGCTTTAGATGCAATTGAACTTATTGAACTAGTAACTTTAGGTATATAAACATCTCTTGTAGATTTGGCAAAATTGATAAATCTTGTAGATCTTCGTTCATTATTTTGATTTAACATTCTTTTAAACAATTTTCTATTCTTCAATAAATACTCAAAGACCCTTGAAGATTTTTGTGGTTTAAATAATAACGCACTTAAAGCGTATTTAAATATTCGTTTCTTCACTTTCAAAACCTATTGATTAATAAATAGTTAAGATTTCAATTGTGGTAAAAAATAGAATTGAGCCCAATGTCGTGTCGTGAATTTATTTCAATGACGTAAATGTTTTGGAAATTAAATTCTCGATCAATCGCCGGTCGCATTTATTAATTATGAGTGTTGAAGAATTATCAATTGGTAATGAATTAAAAGATTCTTATAAAATAACTAATCAATGGATTAGTAACAATAATAATTGGTTATCTGATATTGATGAATTTTATAGAGAAAGGTCAAATTTAGAAAAAGAATATGCTACTAAATTAAAAGAATTGACAAGGAAATATTTTGAAAAGAAATCAAAAATATCAAGCAATTTATCAGTCGGTGATGAACCACAAATAACTCCAGGATCATTAGAAAATGCAAGTTTAGTTATGTGGAACGAGTTGTTAACTCAAACTGAATTAATTAGTGAAGAAAAATTATCATTATCAAAAGAGTTTCAACTGAAAATTTCATCAAATATAATATCATTAAAGAGTAAAAATGAAAAGATTCAAAGACAAATTATAAATATTAATGAGTATTTAAATTCTGAAAAATCAAAAACTGAAGATGAAGTAAATAAAGCTAAAAAACAATATGATTTACTATGTCAACATACTGAATCTGCTAGAGAAAAGAATGAAAAATCACCACTGGACAAACATGCAAGAAAATTGACTGAAAAAGAGGTTGAGATGAATATTGGTAAAAATGATTACTTGATAAAGATTAATATTGCAAATAGATTAAAAGATAAATATTATTATCAAGATTGTCCTGAAATTTTAGATTATTTACAAGAATTGAATGAATCGAGAACATTATTACTCAACAAAATTTTGAAGAATGCTTCAATTATAGAGAGAAACTCATTAGACAAAGTTAAAGAAAAATTATTTGGTATTGATAAAGTTATTGATCAAAATGATCCAAAATTAGATAGTGCAATGTTTGTTAAACATAATTTACAAGATTGGAAAGAACCACAAGATTTCTACTTTATTCCTAGTTCTATATGGCATGATGATGAAACTTTAATTATTAAAGAACCTGAATTAACTGATTTGAAAAAAAGATTAGCTATAGCTTCTTCGAATTATAGTAATTTGGAAAATGATGTAATTGAAACAAAACAGAAATTGGAAGAAAGTGTGCAGAAAAGGCATGATGCTTTAAGTAATATTACATTATCATTTGATTCTAATCTACAATCATCATTATTAATATTAGAACGATTCTTTAAAGAAGAATCCAAACGAGTTAAAAATGAAGTTGAAATTGAGATTATTCAGAATTATGCCGGTGATCAAGATTTAAGTTATTCAGGTCCTACAACTACCAAAAAATCAAGGTTTGGATTTTTAAAATCTAAAAAGAAAGGTGAATCCGTGGTACTGAATAATGGTATAACTAGAGTTAAAACAAATAATTCTATAGGAAGTGGAGTATTCAATCTTAGAAAATTGAAAAGTGCTACTTCTTCACATCTATCACCACATTCTACAACTATTCAAGGAAAAGCATTATATGCTTATCAAGCACAAGGTTCAGATGAAACTTCAATTTCACCTGGAGAACAGTTTCAAGTTATTGAAGAAGATGATGGGTCTGGTTGGACAATGATTAATTCCTCACAAGGTCAAGGTTTAGTACCCACATCATATCTTGAAATTGTATCACGACCAATGGAAGAAAATAATAATAGTACACCCAAAAAGAAAGGACCGGCTGTTGCACCAAGACGAGGAGCTAGAAAAATACAATATTTGGAAGCTTTATATGATTATATAGCCGATGGTGATGATGAATTAAGTATACATCAAGGAGATAAAATAATATTAATTCAAGATGATACAGAAGGAAGTGGGTGGACAGAAGGTGAATTAAATGGAATAAAAGGAATGTTTCCATCGAGTTACGTAAAGAAAATATAAATAAATATTGGATGTTATGAAAATTATATTAAAGTTAATTTACATAAATATATATATTACATCTGATTTTCGAAATTTGAACCACTTAATACATCCAAAAAAGCACCTTAAATCATTATCGTAGTAGTTTAACCTCTCAAATCAGACTTCTTTTGGTTTTATTCATTTAATGAGTTTCACTTGGGATTTCAAAAACAACTTGTTTACCAGTTAATTTTGAGTATAATTGTTGGAATGAATCTAACTTGTAATCAACAGCAGTTGAATCTTTTGAATCTAATAAAACTTTTTGGATCTTGTTACCACCAACTAAGTATCTAACTCTTTTACCAATAATTTCAGTTGGGAAAACTAAATCTTCTAAAATTTTGTCATGAACAGCAGTCAAAGTTCTTGATCTTGGTCTTTTTTGTTGTTTTCTTGCTTTTCTTGATGGTTTTGGTAAGATTCTTCTTTCAGCTAAAAATACAACATGTCTATCTGGGAATTTTTTTTCCAATTCTCTGATTAATCTAGTTTGAACTTTTCTGTAAGCTGGTAATGATGGTGGTGGAACAAAAACAGCTAAAGCTTTTTTACCACCTGCAACATCAATTTCTTTAATTGATTTAAATTGTAATGGTCTTAAATCAGCTTTTAAATCAGCTTGAGTTTCTAAATCAATAAAAGCTTGAGCAACTTTTAATTCTAATTCAGTTGGGTTTTCTGATAAAACTTTGTTTGACATATTGTGATATATGATATTATATATATATATGTTATTAGGAAAGTTAGGTCTTTAATCAACTTTGAAAATTTGGTTTTTTTCGTATTGAAATTTTTGGTTATTTTACAGGTTAATTCTGCTGTAAACTGTAAAATAATAATGGTAGTGTTTTTAGCTGCAAAATGAAAAATGGTTGCAGTCACGTGTAAACAAACAGGGCTAAATGTATTACATAACTTATTACTAATTTTATACATCTTACATTTCAATCCCAAAAATCCGGAGAATCATTAGCAACGTTTCATATAAACATTGTATGTTAAGAAGGTTTATACCTCGATATTATAGTACAATTGAAATCATGTCACAAATAGAATCCGCTAAAAAATTGGCTGCTTATAAAGCTGTTGATGAAAATTTTCCAAAAGATGCAAAAGTTGTGGGTATTGGTTCAGGTTCAACAGTTATTTATGTTGCCGAAAGAATAGGTCAATTACCAAATAAAGACGATTTTAAATGTATCCCAACTGGTTTTCAGTCAAGACAGCTAATTATAGATAATAAATTACATTTAGGCTCTATCGAACAATATCCAGACTTAGATATTGCATTTGATGGTGCTGATGAAGTTGCACCAAATTTAGATGTTATTAAAGGTGGTGGTGCTTGTTTATTTCAAGAGAAATTAGTTGCTTCAAATGCTAAAAAATTTATAATTGTAGCTGATTATAGAAAGAAATCACAAATTTTGGGTAGTAAATGGACTCAGGGTATTCCAATTGAAATCGTACCAAATTCATATACAACTATAATAAGAGAATTATTTAAATTGGGTTGTAAAAAAGTTGAATTAAGACAAGGTGGTAAAGCAAAAGCAGGCCCTGTTATAACTGATAATAATAACTTCCTATTAGATGCTGATTTTGCAGAAATTGAAAATCCAAAAGAATTACACGAAAAAATTAAAATGTTAGTAGGTGTTGTTGATACTGGATTATTTATACAAATGGCTGATAAAGCATACTTTGGCGAAGAAGATGGCGATGTTAAAACATGGGAATCTAAAAAATAATTAATATATATTAATGAAGAATTGAATAAGTATCGTTATTAAATAATCTATAATCTATTTTGAATGTGATGAGATCCAGTTCAATGTTTCAACTAAACCAGTACCATCAATTGCAATAGTTGGTATAACAGACCATGTATGATCACCAGTTAATTTATTTAATTGAAAAATTTCAATCAATTCTTTTGGTTTTACTGCGCCTTCAACATCTTGTTTATTTGCCAATACAACTAATAAACAATTATTTAATTCTTTATCAGATATAATTCTAAATAATTCATTTTTTGATTCTTCTAATCTATTTGAATCTGATGAGTCAACAACATAAATTAATGCATTTGTACCAGTAAAATAATGTCTCCATAAAGGTCTAATTCTTTCTTGTCCACCACAATCCCAAACTGCAAATGATACGTTTTTATGTTTAACTGTTTCAACGTTAAAACCAACAGTTGGTACTGTTTTTGAAGTTTTGCCCAATTTTAATTTATATAATATTGTAGTTTTACCAGCATTATCTAAACCTAACATTAAAATTCTCATCTCACGGTTTTTAAATAATCTTGACTATGGAAATTTTAAGTTAGTATTGGTGTTAAAAATTGGCCACAGTATAATTACATACCATTAAATTACCCATTTTGATATGTGTTTATTTTGAACAATTGACTGAAAAAATTATAAGTAACGATTGAAAAAAGAATGAAAGAATGAAACTAGTTGGAAATAGTTATAGCAGGATATTTTTGAATAAATTTGATGGCTAGTACGATTACAATCTTAATTTATTGTTCATCAAAAATTTTTGATATTTTGATATAATTTTTTTTTTTTTTTTTTTTTTTTCAATAAACTAAAAATGGAAAATATAATAAACGCGGTTAAAAATTAAACGAGAAATATCGATTAAACATACGAATATGATAACTATTCTTGTCTCAAATGAGTAGATAGGGTTAAATAATCAAAATAAGATGCTTGAGAAAATGATCGTATTATTGGTTTATAAACTTTGTGAAAAAGTGCTTACAATTAAACTTTTAAACGAAATTTATTTAAAAAACAGTGCATGGACCAATTTAAAATAAATGAACATATGATAATGATTGGATACATTGAATAAACTATACTATCTATACATGTTCTAAAAGTATATGAAGTAAGTTAGTTCATCTCGATTCAGCTGTTTTTTGTGATACACGTTTAAAAAAAGATTTACGGATAAATAAATATCAACAAAGATTAAAAAATTAAAGGGGTCCACCATTTAAAAAATTAAAACGCAATGTTGACTTCCTAATGAAGTAACATAGTGCAAGTATTAACTGATAGATTTAAATCACATTATTGATCAATGGTACACGATAATCGACGTTTTCTATATTTTTCGCCCCCCACATTTTCTTAGCTCGGTAACATTTTAATTTTCTCTTTCTTTCTCAGCCAAATTTTATACCGAGGTGATTTCAATGATCCGAATCGATACAACTACAATAATCAATCAAGTACACAACTTGAAACCTCTACCAGTAGATCAATGAGACACTCTAGCCAATTCAATATAATTATAAAAAAATGAACTTAAATAATCAAAGTCGTATACATTTGGTAAAGTCCGCTAAAAGCATAGTATGAAATAAAATAGAATGATTATGTAATCATCCGGTATATAATTACATAATCTCACTGTTTCTATTTTCCCCATATTAAAATTTATAGTTACAATTTCATAAGATAAAAAAAGTGTTAATTCACAATTCATTTATAATAATTATTTTATCCTCAAGTTTTCAATTTTAGTATTATACTTCTTTTTTTAACAAGTTATATTCATTATGTCTGTTAAAGATCAATATTTAAAGAAAAATCCAGATGATGTTGTCATAGTTGCAGCTTATAGAACTGCTTTAACTAAAGGTGGTAAAGGTGGTTTCAAAGATGTTGGATCAGATTTTATTTTAAGACAATTAACTGCTGAATTCATCAAAAAAACTGGTGTTGATCCAAAAATTATTCAAGATGTTGCTGTTGGTAATGTTTTAAATGGTAGAGCTGGTGATTTTGAACATAGAGGTGCTTTATTATCTGCTGGTTTACCATATTCAACTCCATTTGTTGCTATTAATAGACAATGTTCTTCAGGTTTAATGGCTATTTCTCAAGTTGCAAATAAAATTAAAGTTGGTGAAATTGAATGTGGTTTAGCTGGTGGTGTTGAATCAATGACTAAAAATTATGGTCCACAAGCCTTAATTAAAATAGATCCAGCTTATGAAAATGATCCAGAATTCCAAAAAAATGGTATTCCAATGGGTATAACTAATGAAAATGTTTGTGCTAAATTTAATATTGCAAGAGATGTTCAAGATGAATTTGCAGCAAAATCATATCAAAAAGCTGAAAAAGCTCAATCAGAAGGTAAATTCAAAGATGAAATTTTACCAATAGAAGTTTTCCAAGAAGATGATGACGATGATGATGAAGAAGAAAATGAAGATGAAGATGATGAACCAAAAGAGAAGAAAGTTTGGATTGATAAAGACGAAGGTATTAGACCAGGTGTTACTAAAGAAAAATTGGCAAAAATTAAACCAGCTTTTAAAGATGATGGTGTTTCATCAGCTGGTAATTCATCACAAGTTTCAGATGGTGCTGCATTAGTTTTATTAATGAAGAGATCATTTGCTGAAAAACATGGTTTCAAACCACAAGCTAAATTTGTTTTAACTTCAATTGCTGGTGTTCCTCCAGAAATTATGGGTATTGGTCCTGCTGTTGCTATTCCAAAAGTTTTAAAACAAACTGGTTTAGAAGTTAAAGATATAGATGTTTATGAAATTAATGAAGCATTTGCAGGTCAATGTTTATATTCAATTGAAAGTTGTAATATTCCAAAAGAAAAAGTCAATTTAAATGGTGGTGCAATTGCTTTAGGTCATCCTTTAGGTTGTACTGGTGCTAGACAATATGCTACAATTTTAAGATTATTACAACCAGGTCAATTTGGTTTAACTTCTATGTGTATTGGTACAGGTATGGGTGCAGCTTCAGTTATTGTTAAAGAATAGAAAAATATATATTTATTTATTGTAATCTATTTGCTATTCCTCTTACTTTCAACTTTACTTATGACTCTTTCTAAACTTAATTTTACATCACCTTTTTGGAAATGATCTAAATTATAATATTTTGGTGCAATTTCAACCAACCATTCAGGTTTTACAATTGTACATGTTCTAATATAATTCTTTGAAGTTAATACAAATTCATTATATATCACCCATTCACCTTCTTTTGATAAAATAGTAGATGGATGTATCATAACATCTTGATTATCTTTTATAGTTAAATAATTTTTATTATTTGATTTCTTTTTGGCAACTTGCATAAAGAATCCTCCAATTAATGCCTTTTTAATATTTTCCCAATATTTTGCATCTGGTATTTCTCCATAATTTGAAACTATCGGAAGATCATATTTCTCCATTAATCTATACAATTGATTTCTAACATTTTTAGCAGATGTTAATGATCTATAAGATAGGAAATTTTCTCTACACCATTGATGAGGAGATAAATCACCATGATCCTCCAAGAATGCTTCATATACATTTATTAAAGTTAAATGATCACCATCAGGTTGTGCAAATTGCATTTTTGCTTCATCTGCTCTTTTTCTTGCACTTATTGGACGCACAAATACATTTGGTACTGATAACATTGCAACAATAGTTAATATTTCTTCACTACATTCAAAACCGGAACTTCCAATCAACATAACTGCTAAAATTGGATCCAAAGGAAACTGTGATGCTAATCTTCCTAAACTCGTTAAATCCCCATCGTCATTTAAACATTGTAAATAATTCAATTCTTCCAATGCTCTCATCATAGTTTCTGGTGCTGGAGGATCCATAAAATCAAAATGTACCAAATCATCAATTCCCAATTTTTTCAATTCTAAAACTGTTGAAGATAAATTTGAACGTAAAATTTCTGGGTAACTTTGTTCGATCAACTCTTTTCTAAATGCTTCTTCAGTATATAATCTGAAACATTTACCTGGACGAGTTCTACCTGCTCTACCTGCTCTTTGTTGAGCTGAAGCTTTTGAAATTGGTGATACTAATAATGATTCTACTCTAACCCTAGGATTATAAACTTTTTGTTTTGAAAAACCTGGATCAACAACATATACTATCCCATCTATAGTTAATGAAGTTTCAGCAATATTTGTAGATATAACTACTTTTCTACCTGGTCTATTAGGATTATTTGAAGTTGGAGCTGGTTCGAAAATTTTTTGTTGTTGATGTGGTGGTAATGAACCATATAATGGGTATACTTTTACTTGCCCACACCCTTGTTCTCTAACTAATTCATCTCCCTCTAATGATATTTTTTTACATGCATCTTCAATTTCTTCTTCACCTGTGAGGAATAATAAAATATCACCTTCTGGTTCAGTTGCATGAATTTGTAAAACTGTACGTATTGCAGCATCCAAATAATCTTTTTGATACTCTGGTGTATAATATATTTCAACAGGATGTGTTCTACCAGGTACAGCTAATAACGGCGCATCATTGAAATAATTTTGAAATTTTTCAGCATCTAAAGTTGCAGACATGATTATAATTTTTAAATCTTTTCTTCTCTTTGAAACTTGTTTAATTAAACCCATTAGAATATCAGTTGCTAATGTTCTCTCGTGTGCTTCATCTAATATTATACATGAATATTTATTCAAATTATGATCTTCCATTGCTTCTCTTAATAACATACCATCAGTCATATATTTTAATATAGTTTTAGGACTAGTTTTATTTTCAAATCTTATACTATAACCTACTTCTTCACCCAATTTTACATCGAGTTCATCAGCAACTCTTGCCGCAACAGACATGGCTGCAACTCTTCTTGGTTGAGTACATGCAACTTGTTTATTAATTAAATGTGGAATTTCATCATATAAAACAAATTGAGGAATTTGAGTAGTTTTACCAGAACCTGTTTCACCAACAAATACCATAATTTGACTTGAATGGAATATATTTAAAAATTCTTGTCTTTGATAATGAACAGGTAAATCACGTCTCGTTTTTAAAATTGAAAAATATCGATCAGTGAATTTATTACCAGTGAAAGGATTAATTGGTCCATTTTCTAAAGTTTCACCTTGTTCTGCTGTTGTTTTATGTCTTGTTATATTTTTAAATTCTCCTTGATCATGATGAATCATTGATGATTCAGTAGTAGGATGTGGATGACTTTTCAAACTTTCTTCCGATTGTTCAGCTACTATTTCAGCAGTTGAATCATCTACATGATCTACCTTTTGTCTTTTATGTGACCTAGAACTTGAACCCATGGTGATAATTAATATGAATCTATTTTGTTTATCGCATCGCAGAAATAATTAAATTATATACACACCGTAATTTTGCAGCCAAAATAGAACCAAGTAATAGCTAGGATTTCAAAGTACTGATTCAAATTAACAGCTTTTTGTTTAACAAACTCATCAAATAGTGAAGTAACAAAATTAGAAGAATACTAATTTTATCAATCATAATCTTTCAATTTAAAATTCTATATAGTAATCATTTCGTAACTGAATTTAAATGCATAAACCAATCATTCAAACTAGAACTCAACAATTCTCTCATGAAATCTCGATTAGGCTCCATTTTAATAGACCGTTTTTCTTCAAAAAAATCAACTGCAATAGCTTGTTGTAATTTATTCCTATTTTTCAAATTATATTGAGCCAATGTAATTAAATTATAATCACTGTAAAAATCAATAAATAAGATCTTAACTACTTCAACTCCAGTATTTAAATATGGCAATTTTTCGAATATATCTAAATAGAATTCCTCAAATCGTAAAAGTTTTTCCTGGGTCAGTAATTTCTGATTATTTAAATTGATAATATAAGTAAATATATTCAGAATGAATAAATTTCCTTGTGGGATTAAAACATTATAAATCTCTTCTAAATCAGCCGTATTAGCATGTTTCAATTTACAATATTGAGACACTGTTGATAATTCATGATTTTTGTAAATTTTTCGGTTTGTTATAGCTGTTACTGGAAGTGTTTTGTATACCATTTCGTAATTTATAGATGTTTGTACATCTGATTTTAAGTTTGGAGTATGAGGTGTTTGAATTAAGTCAACAGATGTTGAAGACATTAGATAGCAAAATATGTAGAGTGTAAAAGAATACTACATAACCAAGTACTGCTATTTCTGTTTGATATTATGTTATGGTATACCTGGATCTACAGCTAAATCTTCATATTCAACATAAGTTAAAAGCTTTTTCCTGTTACTTTGATTACTGTAGATGTCTAGAATTGCATAAGTTTAACATGACTGAAGATTAGAGAGTTTTAAGTGAAAATTTTGCAACTAAACTAAAAAAAAATAACAACTTTTAGTCCATTTCATATCCGGTATTACACAAAATTTGAAACAGATACATACTTAGTTCATGATTGAAAATTTTTCATCTTGGTATTAATGCTTTCATTTATTATACTGGGGTTTTAAAAAGCCGTTGAAAATTAATGCACGATTCATTAAGTAATAATTATCAATTAGGTTCAAAATTAAAAAATTTTCACCATGGATTGAATGTTAATCAAATAGTATGATTCAGAAACCAGTAAATGTAAAATTTAAATCTTAACCAATGCTTAGTTGTGTGATATTGTCAGCTAATTTTTTTAAAACTACGGTAATTTTAAGCTTTTAATTCTCGTAATCGAATAATAGAAAAATAATAGATAAGTTTCATGAGACATGAAACTAAAATGAAACCACCAAACAAGTTGTTGTACGTCTCATATGTCAATCTTGGCATCTACTAACCAAAGTTAGATTTATTTGACGATCACGTGGACATGTTTTGAAATCATGAAGTTTTCTAAAAAATTTGTGAAAATTTGAAAATTACTAGTACTTAACTTTTATGGTTTGTTGTTTACCTTGAACCGATTCAGCATCACTTAATTCATCTATGTTTCTAGAGCTTTTAAGTTTAAATAGCGTTGAGATAATTTACATAGTTACTCTCGTGTGATTTCTTGGAACCTTAAACATTCAATTTTTTGAAACAAAACATATGAAATGCATAGAATATTAATTAAACAACACTTGAGAATGAGTAAATCTAGATCTATAAATTTCCTGCTTCGCAAACTGTTTCGAATTGGGTAGATAATGTTAAAATACGTTTATACATAAATGTAAGCTAAATATCTGGGAAATTCAGCTTATAAACAAAAAACAGGTTAATGCTGTGTTTCTTGCAACTCCAGTACCAACAGATAAGACTGTTCATTGTAAACATATACTCAGGGTATAATATAACCTAAACCGTCATACGATATAAATTTTGAGAGGAGTAATAAAAAAAATTTAAGAAGAAAATAAAATGATTCAATATATAATAAACTATGATCGAAATTAATTTATTAAACAAGGGAATATAGAGATATAAATTAATTACCTAACCTTATTAGTTGATATAATACCATACAAACCTGCGTAAAAGTACAGTTATGTTATAAGTTACTGAGTTAAAAACAACCCCTTATTTTATATGCAAGTTGGAAGAAAAATCTCGTGTATTGTTAGATCGTTGTAAAGTAGTGCTTAGGAATTTACCGTGTTACAAAATAACTCTAAAAGGGAAGTAGTGTACAACAATAAATACGCGAATGCAATACATAATATATGTATGCGAATCATTTAATATATTAAGGTACATCAGTGCAATCTATAAAATACATATATGAAACAGTTATCGAGTCATTCAATTCCAAAATTATTGATTATTGAAAATTGGTTAATTTTAAATGATTTAATTTTGTTTCATAAAATCAAATTAAAAATGATCTAAGAAATTAAACCAATAAAAAATAGTCTACGGTCAAGCCTTGTATACATATTAAAATGTTAATTTAGTTTTAGTTTAGGAATTATACATACCTTTAAAAAACGATGGAACTGAAGAGATAAATGAAATCAGATAAAATTATGTAGTATGTAAATCTAGCAATTGATCAACAGTATACATCGATCTGAAAATAACATATGTCAAAGTATAGAAAGATCAAATAAAAATATAACCAGCATAGAACTACATTTGGTTGTATAGAACTACATTTGGTTGTCAATCAAGTTATTGACCAATAACTGTTGTAAAATGGCTGGAATGTTAAAAAAAAAATAAAAAATAAAAACATTAGACGATGCCAGATTTAAAATAATATTTGTTTATATGCAGTTTGTTACTTGTATTTACGCCTAAATGGGTAATTGATGTGGCTTCGAATAGTCGGTTTAAAAATTAACTAATTGGGAAATCCGATTTGCTTAATTATGAAGATCACTAGATCTTTACATAGTTAACAATTTTATATCCGGTTTTATACACGCAAAATAATATATAAGAAAAAAAAAATAAAAAATAAATGTAAACAATTACACAAAGTCTTAATATAATAAGAAAACAAAAACAACCAAACAAAACCATGAACGACAACCAAATAGAAAATCATCACCAATTTATATTTTAATTAAATTTCCCTTTTAATTTTATATTTCTTTCTTTTGCTTCTTTTCTTTATCTATTTATATTCAAATTTATATTCCATATTCCATTTACAAATTTCATTTTTACACCCATCCCAAAATATTATCAATCAACTACATTATTACCCACACTCCTTTTCAACATTTAAAATTTAAATATATTTTAGAATTCCCAATTTTTATAAAGCAAATAACCAACTTATAGCCATTCCTTTAATTAATTATTTATTTCATATTCACAACTTATTATGAGATTTTCAACAACTACTTTATTCACATTACTAGCTTCAATAATTTCAGTTTCTGCTGATTGTACTTTTGATGGTGGTAATTATTATTGTTCAGAAACTAAAAAAGTTGTATATCAAGGTATTGGGTACTCCGGTACTTATCAAGATGTTATTAGTATGGATGAATCATCAGGTACTTGTCAACAACAATCATTTTCATTTAGCGGTAACTTATCTCCATTAGATGAAGAATTATCAGTCCATTTTAGAGGTCCATTAAAATTATTACAATTTGGTGTTTACTACCCTTCAAGTAATTCAAATTCAAAAAGACAAGTTGAAGAAGATTGTAATACAAGACATGTTCATTATAAACATAAAAAAAGAGCTACTGAAATTGTTCAAGTTACTCAAACTGTTATTGTTGATAGTAATGGTAATACAATTACTTCAGAAGCTACCCAAACTACTACTGCGCCTGATCAAGAAACTTCCTCAGTTGATGTAGCTGCTGTTAACTCATTACAAGGTGAAGCTAAAGCTTATAGATCAATCTCAACTAATCAAGCTCCAACTACAACTTCATCACAAACTTACACTCCATCATCTTCATCAGCTGCTTCACCAGGTGCTTGGTCAAGAGATTCATATTATACTCCAGGTTCAACCGATAACTGTGTTATCTTAAATTACTTTGGCGGTTCAGGTTCCGGTGTTTGGTCATCATCATTTGGTAATTCATTAAGTTATGCAAATTCTGATAATTCAGGTGGTTCATCATCAGCAGTTGCATTAGAAGAAGTTACCATTGGATCAGGTAAAGAATTTATAATCTTTTCTGGTGAACAATGTAGTGGTGATTCATGTGGTTTCTATAGACCAAATTCAGTTGCTTACCATGGTTTTAAAGGTAATGAAAAAATATTTGCATTTGAATTTGAAATGCCAACTGACTCAACATCATCAGGTGGTTATAATGATGACATGCCAGCTGTTTGGTTATTAAATGCTAAAATTCCAAGAACTTTACAATATGGTGATGCTTCATGTTCATGTTGGAAAACCGGCTGTGGTGAATTAGATTTATTTGAAATTTTATCAAAAGGTTCAAATAAAATGATTAGTCATTTACATGATGGTCAAGGTGGTCATGATGGCTCAAACAATGGTGGTGGTGGATCCCAAGATTATTTCATTAGACCAACTAGTGGTTCATTTAAAGGTGTTGTTATTTTCAGTGGTTCAGATATTCATATTGTTCAAGTTGATGATTCAACTGATTTTGGTGCTTCATTAGATGAAGATACTGTTCAATCCTGGATTAATCAATCTGGTTCAGTTGCTACAATTGGTTACTAAACAAGAAAACAATAATAATCACCTTATACCCCCCATCGTTGAATAAAATGTTTGTATTTCTAATAAATAGCTGTTTGTATAATTAATAAACTTTAAATTTTGAAAATACTCCTATTTGTATATTATTCTAACCTTCTATTAAATTTCGTTCATCATTTTTTCGTTATCTGATTTGAGCTTCAGCCATATCCAATATTATCTTGCATTTTGTAAGTATTAAATCATAATCCTGTTTCAAATAATTTGACAACGAAATCTATGGTATTGAGGGTGTTATTTAAAGATCAAGTTTCAAGATTAAATTTCAAGATTAACAGTGATAAGACTGCATATAAGTCAAATACGTTTCAGAATTGTGTCCTCTTATGTAAGTAATTTGCCATAGCATGCCAACATATACGATGCAAAGAAATGCTTTAAAGTTGAGTACAAGATTATGGCTATAGTCAATTTAATAGTATGTTTAACATCATTAGCTAGGATATATATTCAAAAGTATTATCATCTAATCTTTTCAAATATTCTTTTTCAATTAATAAATCAATGACTCTTTTGATATCAATAACTTTAGCTTTAAATCTAGATAATGTCAATGGCATAACTTCATTAATTAACTCGGAATTTTTCATTTGTTTTCTTGATTTCATAATTCTAACAATACAAGCTTGTAAATAAGTTTTTCTTGCTTCATCAATTTCTTTAGTTGCTTCATCTTCTTCAATTTTTGATTCATTTGATTTTATAGCTGAAATAAATGAAACTTTTAATTTCTTAGATTTATATTCATCAACAATTGTAAAAATTGTATCATCATTAATTTCATTAGTTGAAGTTTCAATTAATTTAAATTTTGTAAATGGTAATAAATGAGCTTCAAATGTTTCCTTTTTAGTACCTACTATTTCATGAAGCTCTTTAGAACTATATGATTTTTGTTTATTAAATGCAATTAAAATCATCAATTGAATATTTGAGACTGTAAATGAAAATGGAGGTTTACCTTTTCTTGATAAATTTGCTTTTAGTTCTGCTCTACCATGATTCCATAACCATTGTAATTGTCTACCACTATGTTGCTCAATATAAACTTGTTTTAATTTTTCAATTGGTTCTTGTAATTCTTCAGCAACTTTTAAATCATAATCAGCTACATGTCTAAATGGCCACATTGATTGAGCTAAAACTAATGGATTAAAATCTTTGACAATTGTTGAATTTGAACTTTGTTGCTTGATTTTTAATTTTAAATCTTCTGATGCTTTCATATCACTAAACATTTTAGTCATTTTGGAAGTATATTCAATTGAATTTTCTTCTTGTAATCGATGTATAACTGATTCTTCCAATTCATCAGATTTACATGTACCATTAATTAATCTTTTAGCTAACGAACGACGATAATGTTCTTCAAAAGTATCTTTATCATTAATAAATTTGAATACAACCATTAAATTATCAGCATTCATATCAATTGAATCAGTTTCTTTAACACTTGATTTAAGAAAACCATCGGCATATTTTGCTAATAATTCTGGTGTCTTGGATGGTGATCTTGGTTTTGGAGTTGCTATGGAATTATTATTAACAAAATACCGACATGCATTATCTAATGATCTAATGAATTTTGTGTCTTTATTAAAAGCTTTAATGACTATATCATTAAATTGATTGTAGATTGAAATTAATGTATTAACATAAACTTTTGGTTCAACGGTTCCATTACCTTTCTTTTTATTGTCATCTTCAATATTTGTCATTGTTTGTTTTTTAATTGCATCTAAAGCAATTTTAGCTTCTTTTTTAATATAATTTTCTAAAGTATCAGCTAATGGATCTAATGTTTTTGGAACTCTTGATAATAATTTATACATTCTTTGAATATGACCAATTTGATTTTGTTCTAGTAATTGTAAAAATTGATCATACATTTCATTTGCATGTTTTTCAATTAATGCACCATTTAATACATCTAATAAAGGTTTTTTTGTATGTTCTTCTAAATAATTATTTGATCTTGATATTTCTTCTGCTAATCTTGTTTCACATTTTTTCATATAATCAACAACATTATGATTTAATAAAAATTCACTACTTTCTCTTGAATAATAATCCATAGTAGCTTTTAAAAATGGTTTTTCAAATGAATTTACATAAATTATTAAATTTGGTTTTTTTAAATCTTGAGGGTCAATACTCAAATAAACTAAAGATTTTATTGAACTTGAAATTAAATTTGTATCTACAATTAAATTATTTCTTTGCTTTTCAATTAAGTTCAAAATTTGTTCAATTAAAACTTCACAATTTGGATTAAACATTTCATCTCTCCATTTAATCAAACTTAAAGTATTGACATCAAATACATCCTTTCTACCATCTGATCTTTCCTTTTGAACCCAATAACGATTCATATAATCAAAAATATTATTCATATAAACAGCTCCGATTGTAAATCTTGTCCATTTTCTAACATAAAATTCTAAAAATGATTCGGTTGATAATTTTTTTAAATGTTGAATATATTGTGAAAGGTATACATTTAATTTCTGATAAATTTCAGCACCAGCTAATGAATAAGAATTATTATCTGAATTTTGAGCAATTGATTGAGGAGTTGAACCACGTCTTGATTTATTAACACAATAATTATAAACTGCCGTATAACAATTCATATACATTGTTGAAGTAACACCTTGATCATTTTGAGCACCTAATATAAATTCTAAACCTGGTTGAATAAATGTCCAAGTAGCATTCAAATCAGTAAACGCCGGTAAAGTAGCTGACATATAAACAATTAAGGTGTTGGCTGTCAATTAATTAATTAATTAAATTTAATTATTTTAAATTGAATCGGGTTAGATTTATTTTTAGGATCAAGAAAAATTCATTCTGAGCGCACGACGCTATTAGAGCTACCAATTGTTTTTACAAGAAGAATCAATTATTAAAATCGTCTCTATTTATTAAATATATTATTATTATTATCTTGGTCCTGGTCCTGGTGTATTCACTTTATCTATCACTCTTAATAAACTTATTGTAAATGTTAAAACCCATGTAAATAAAACAACAAATAAAAATGATGCTAAACCTCTTTGTCTTTTACAAATTGAGGAAACAACTGGAAATATATTGCCAACATATGATGGAGCTTTTAATTCTCTACATACCCATTCATCATCATATAATGTATTAAAAGCTAATGATAAATTTGCACTTGAAAATATTATAAATAATAAATCCAACATAACCAATCTCATTTTACTCATTGGTTCTCTTAACCCTAAAGGTTTACCACTATATTCATCATAAGCAATATAAATAACATACACTAATGCAACACTTTGTACTACTATTGCCATTATGGTTGATGGTTTTTGTTCAATTGAATGACCATCATAATCTCTTTTTGAAAATACAAAAATTGAACAAGCTAAAGCTAAAGCAATTGCACAAAATATTAAAGTTAAAATCCTTAAAAATAATGGTACCAAAGGATTAAATAAGAATATTTTCTTTAAAGTTGGTTTTAATTGTGATCTATTTTCACCCATCCAATAACCAGCAGTTGATCTAATTTTTGTATCATTTTCACCACGTTCTTTTACACCAAATAATCTTAGACAAAATGGAGGTGGTTCAATATCAAAATCATTTGAATTATCAGGACCTATAAATTCATTTTTTAATCTTTCATCACCATTCCATTTTTCTTTTAAATCATAATCATTTAAATAATTTGGATCTATTGCATATTTATCCATTGTATATGCTGGTTTTTGTCGTATTGATTCTTTAAATTTAAACCAACTACCATCAATTGATCTTATATATGGATCATGTTGTGCACCATTATAAATTTGTGTTACATCTAATTTTGCATAATCTTGTTGTTGTTCCAAGAATAGTTCTTGTGGTATTATATCATCAGATGCATTTGAATTTCGTTTATTATTATTAACATTTTTTAATGTATATGCTTTTGAGACATTATCTAAAACATAAGGTGGTATAACATTTGGTTTATGACCATAAGTATGAACTTGAATATTTTTAAATGGATTTACTGGTTCATTTACAGATTCATCTTTATCATGTAAGATAGAACTATTACTATTACTTAGATTAATTGTACCACCATTGAAAATATTTGATGAAGATGATGACATGTTGTATTAAGATTTAATGTTGGGTGATAACTATTTTTTGGTGACGTAAATTTACTTAATTTATATGCAATTAGTTCTTATTAACAATTGGGTATCACTCTATCAAACCTGTTAATATGTTTAAAAGATCTTTTGGCTGTAAATATGATTCAAGATTTATTATTTGTACTAATTTGTTTGTTTTATTTATTTAGATTTTTATTATGTAATTTATTAATAATACGTTTTTCAAATTGCTGCAAAACTCTAAAGTTATATAGTAAAGAAATTCGATATTGAGACAAATGCAGCGATCAATTGATCTTCAGTTATTGAACAAATACGAGGAATTGTTCACGATCTCGTATATCGATTGTTACTTACACTTTTAGTAATATTCTCGATTTCTTTGCAAATTAATAATCAAGTATCTAATCTATTCTTATCAACACTATTTCATCATTAATAATCTTTACAAGTTTATATACAAAGCTTCTGTTAATTGGCCATGTATTTTCATTCCTTGCTAGTTAAGCCACTGTAGAATGACCAAAATAAATTAATAAAAGAAAACCATCTACCATCCAATCCAATTAGCCACTAGTTATATCTACATTATTAATCTACTTATCATGACCTAATCCTTCAATAGTCATTGACCAGTGGTCGTTCATTTAACCTTGTTAATAAATTTGACTGCAAAATAATCAAATGCTACCAAAAATAAGGGGGTAGTGTATAATCAAAATTTTGTTAATGATTTCATACAATTTCATATTTTAGCAGCAATCATATAATTTATCAAACCATTAGTAAATGCTATAGATAGAGAATTTAAAGTAAACCCAAATTATTTAGCCAATTACAAAAGAGTAGAGAATAATTGTTGTTATTATTAAAATAGTCAATTATAAAAATTAAAATACTATGTCAAGACAATGCCTACTAAAACCATCAACATCATTAATTACAACTAAGATAAGTTATCATTACAAAGTTAATAATTCAATATTTATAATTGGAACTAGATCCAAATCATCTAAATCAACTGTAACTACAAATCCAGAATCAATTGATAATTCCAAATTTGAAATTCATAATGAAAAACAATTGCCACCACCCACATTGGATAAAAATTCGATTTATATAATATCTTTACCAATTACAACTTTAAAATCATTTGTTTATTGTAATCATCAACCAAGTTTATTAAGTTCTAAATCATCAGATTTAAATAATAAAGTACCATTACTCCTTAAACTAGAACACAAAGTAGTGAATTTAGCTAAAAAAGGTTGGACCAAATTATCAACATCAAAATCAAATATAAATATCAAAATAACAAGTTTCATAAAGAAATTATTATTAACTATTCCATATGAAGAAAACTGTCTTACTTCATTTCCAAATAAACATGCAATGATAAGAGAAATAAATAAAGAATTGAAAGAAAATGATAATAATAACTTAACAATTCAATCGGAGATTGAAAAATTAAAAATTCCAAATGATCAATTAAAACCTATACCATTTTATCATGCAAATTTTCAAAATTTAACGACTATTTTAAATCAACTATATAAATTTAAATCTGAAAATGAAGAGAAACATAAAAAATTTGCAATATTATGTGCTATTGGTATTCCTTTAACTTTGCCATTTGCGTTAGTTCCTGTATTGCCTAATGTTCCAGGTTTTTATTTAGCTTATAGATTATATTGTCATATTAAGGCGTTGTTAGGTATCAAGCATTTAAATTATCTATTAGAGAAAAAGGAGAATAATCATGTTGAACCAAAACTGGAAGAAATTGCAAATGAGAAAACTGTGACTGATACATCACATATTAAGTTTAAAGTAATTGAAGAAATTGATAAAATATATAAAGAGAATAATGAAAATTTGTCTAATTTGGTTAAAGATTTGAATGCTGAAGAATTACAACCAGATGATGAGAATGAACAATTGATAATTAATAAAGAAATTATAAATGAATTAACTGAAAAATTAGATTTATATCATATAAAAGATGATTTGTTAAAAGCATTAAGTCAAGAATCAAAAAAGTTAAATAAAAATATCAAAATTGAAGAAACAGTTGAATAATGTAAATAGTAATAAATTCATTAATTTTTCAATTACTCTACTTTTAATTTGACTGCAAAACAAAATGGTTGCAAAAAAACCGTAGCCCTAATGTCAATCACATGATTATCACGAGACTAAAAAGTTATTATGTGTGCGTGATCATTATTCAATTGATCCTTTTCTTATATGGAGTTGATACTTTTTTCTTTTTCTTTTTCGTTTTCTTTCTTTCTTTCTTTCTTTCTTCATCAGAACTACTATATTTCAATATGAGAGATAAGTGGAGAAAAAAAAGAGTTAGAAGATTAAAGAGAAAAAGACGGAAGGTTAGAGCTAGATCCAAATAATCGGACAAAGGAATTATTCAATCATGAATGATGAATGGAAAACAAGAAGTTGGAAGAAATAAATTTATAAGATTAGTCAAGAATATCAAATCAAATCAATAATTATGGTTTAATTGCTATCTATGCTGGTTATTTTAATTGGTATTTGTGAGATTGATTATTATGGTTAATTTTTGAAAATCATCTGTTATTTTGAAATCATTTATGATTTATCTTCTTTGGTTTAATTCTAGACTCTACCATTATATTTAATAAACCATTTGTATAATTTTATGTATGTAAATGTCCGAATATAAAAATTTAAAATAAAATATCAAGGAACTCTCTAGATCTCTTTATTTGCTGCTTACATGTTCCAAATAAGGTAAGGCTGCAAAATTGCGTAAATTACGCAAAATGAATCTGGTTATTTTTTTTTGCAATAATAACAAATAATTAAATTATGTACTAAACGCCATTTAATTATGTCATTACCTTATCCATCCAATTCATACCCCAAACCCTTAAATGATAAAGAAAATTATTATAAATCAGTTACATTACCTGTTACATCACCAGTTAATCAAAATAAGACTTATCCAAATTATGAATTTCAATTAAATACAGCTCCATTACAAAGACAACGTAATACTCAAGATAATTATCCAAACTATACATTACAACAACCACAATTATCATATCAAATTCCAATTAATCAAATTCCAACAACTACTTCATATTTTGATGTTGATTTAATTTCAACTTCTTCATCTTTAAATGATTCACCAATTAGAGAATATCATTCTAGTTTTACATCACCACATAATCCACCTTATGAACCAGATTTATATTATCCACCACCCCCGAAAGCAAGAATTAGAAGTTCAATATTTGGCGAAAATAATTATAGTACTTCAATTGATGAATTTATGAGCAATAGATATAATAGATTCAGACCAAGTAATTCACAACATAATCCAGATTTAGCATTGGATAATAGACATCCATATCAACAAGAAAACTATGGAATAGAATCTAAAAAGCTGAACTGGTATGAATCATTTAAAACATATTTTAAAAAACAACCAAAAGATCAACCACAAATTGACGATATTGAACAACAAGAAGTGCCAAAAAGTTCATATACAGATATTATAATAAGAGAACCTGAATCTACTCCACAACCAATTTATACACCTCGAGGAATTCCAATAAATGAATATCCATTAAATTATACTAAAACAAGTCCAACTGTAAATCAAAATTTAACTATTGTAAATGAAGAATTGAGTGATGAATTGAGAGATTTAATAGATGGGATTGATAATTTTTTGATTAGTTGTTTTCAAATAATTTGGGATTATATAAAATCGGTAACCAATTGGTGTGCTGATTATTAAAATATACGAAATCAAACTCTTTATATATTTGTCTCTATTCACTTGCTTCTGCAAATCTTTCTGAAATTTTAGTTAATAATTCACCAAATTCTTTTTCACCTTCTTTTTCACCTCTTGATGGTTCAAAAAATTTAGCTGATGAAACTGAATGTTTTACATCACTAGTTAATTCACTTAATTTTGACCATTGTGCACCATTTGCAACTGCTTTTTGAGCTTCATCATAATATCCAATAAATGCTCTCATCATATCAAAAGTTTTCCAAATTGGACAAAATTGATCATATGTTGAATAACCATTTTGTTGTAAGAAATCTTCTTTTATTAAATTTGCAACATCCAATGTAATTTTATCAAAATCTGATAATGCAGATTTACCAACTAATTGAACAACTTGTTCTAATTCTTCAGCATTTGATAAAATTTCTTTAATTTTATTTCTCAATTGTGGGAATTCTGGATAATTTGAATCATAATATTGATTTAAAACATTAGTATATTTTGAATATGAAACAGATGTATTTATACTTGGGAAATGTTTTCTTTGTGCTAATTTTTTATCTAAACCCCAGAAAACCTGTGTAATACCTAAAGTTGAAGTTGTAACAGGATCTGAAAAATCACCACCTGCAGGTGAAACAGCAGCAACTATTGAAACTGAACCAACCCTATTTGGAGATCCTAAACTTGTTGCTTTACCTGCTCTTTCATAAAATGATGCCAATTTTGCACCTAAATATGCTGGGAAACCTTGATCAGCAGGCATTTCACCCAATCTACCGGAAATTTCTCTTAAAGCTTCTGCCCATCTTGATGATGAATCAGCAATCATAGAAACATTTTTACCTTGATCTCTAAAATACTCAGCTAATGTTATACCAGTATAAATTGAAGCTTCTCTTGCTGCAACCGGCATATTTGATGTATTTGCAACTAATGTTGTACGTTTCATAATTGGTTCTTTTCTACCTGAAATTTCAGTATATAATTCTGGGAATTCCATTAATACTTCAGCCATTTCATTACCTCTTTCACCACAATTATGAACTAAAGCAAGATTTGAAAGTAAAAACATATGATCAGTTTCTGAACCAAGTGTAATACCATAATAATCTTCTTGATTAACTTTATTCAAATCAAAATGAAACAATACCGGATCTCTTGAAAATTCAGTTCTTGGCGAATATTTTCTTTCAATGGAGCAATTTGAAAGAACTCCAGTAAGTGCTGGTCCACTCATAAAAATACGGAAGCAAAATCTGTGTCTAACACCACTAGCATCAATATGCTCATCTTCAGTACTAACAAAAACCTTTATACCCAAAGAACGAGCAACTTTGACAACACCCTCACTAACCGATTTGTAAATAGTAGTAATTGTTGCATTTTTAGATCCATCTGCATTTAATTCACAGTGGCCATCTGTATCAACTAAACCAGCTAAAAATGCTTCTCTAACTGCGATATCTTCTACCACTAAATGAGAAGGAACATTCTTGACAGAACCATCATCTGTTTCCACTTTAGTTTCAAAAAATTGAATTGCATCCCAGACAATGTTGGAAGTGTTGTTGTTTTTTCTAGCTCCATGAATAATAACATCTAAGCAGTGGCCATCGTGACTATATTCAGATTCTGTATCAAAAACGTAATCATTATCATCAACCTTTTCAGCATTGAGACCAACAAAGAATTCTTGTTCTGTCAATTGGATTTTGTTGTTGTTGGCATCACTTAATTCTGAACTTTCTAAATCAACATCTCTTGGAGTACTATTCTCTGATTCAAAATCACCTGAATTGACACTTAAATCTTCTGAACTAACTTCTCTAAAGCTAATAGTACCAGAATCAGTTTCTTGAATATTCAAACTTCCAGTACTTGCATTATTATATTGCACTTCTATGAAATTAGCATCTCTAGAACCTGGAGCAGAAGACATTGCAGATCCAGCATTGTACTTGTAAGAATGATCTGTGGAACATGTCAATCCAAACAGTGAAGCGTAATTAAATATTCTGAGTGGCAATACTGAATCTTCAGATTTAGGATCAAAAGAATATCTAACACGGTCCATGTAACCATCACCAACCCAAGCACCAAGTAAATATGCCATCTGTGGAGCAAGATCTTTGCTTTTACCTTGTGACTCCATCCAACTAGCAAGTCTTCCTGATTCCAAGAAAACTGGATTGATCATTTGAGTTGTGTTAGTTTTAACATTAATACCAACCAGTTCATAATCTTGAGCTTCAACAGTCCAGTCAATATACGAATCTTGATCTAGCTCGTCAGCAAACAATTGTGCTTTCTCTTCAGCAGCTGATTTTCCATGAACATGATGACCAAAAACCTTAGTCTTAGCTTTTACCATTTCAATACCAGCTTTATTCTTTTCCAATGCAAAATAAGTAACAGCAGCATACTCATTACCTGAATATTTACGAGTAGTAACATTAATGTTTTGCTTGGTTTTTAAAACGAGCCTATGATCAGCTGAAACAGTGAAATCCATTAAGCCATGAACTTCGGCATTACGTCTATGACCTGTAATTTGATGAACTTCATACATTGTATCGTGACCTCTTGGTAAACCAACAACTGATCTTGGTAATCCATCTTTACCCATAACGGATTCACCAACTTTAATTTCTTCAACAGCTTTATCTGAACCATCAGCCATCATAACTTGAGTACCTTTGGTAAAACAACCAACATAAATAATAACATCTGAATTTGAAAATTTAGATAAAGATTGTGAAATAACAGTTTTACCACAACCAAAAGCACCAGGAATACAAGTAGTACCACCTTGAACACATGGGAATAAAGAATCTAAAACTCTTTGACCAGTTAATAAAGGATAATCAGCAGTTAACTTTTCAGCAACTGGTCTTGGAACTCTAACAGGCCAAGTATGCATCATTGAATATTTATGTTTTCTACCGTCAAATTCAACTTCTAAAACAGTATCTTCAACATTATAAGAACCAGCTTCAGCTATTGATGTAATAGTACCTCTTGCCCTTGGTGGTAATAATATTTTATGATCGTCCAATAAACTATTTTCATAAATTGAACCAAAAATATCACCACCAGTTATATGATCACCAACTTTTAATTGACCAGGTTTAAAATCATATTGTATAGTTCTTGATAATGAAGGGATATCAATACCTCTGGGAATATAGATCGATTTAGATTTATCTTTAATAGCCTTTAAAGGTCTTTGAATACCATCATAAATAGTTTCCATTAAACCAGGACCTAATTCAACAGATAAAGGTTTACCAGTTCTTAAAACAGGATCACCAACAGTAACACCAGCAGTTTCTTCATAAACTTGAATTGTTGCTTTATCTCCATTAATTCTAATAACTTCACCAACTAAATTATCATGACCAACTTTAACTAATTCATACATAGCACAACCAATCATATTTTCAGCAACAATGACAGGACCTGAAACAGAGAAAATAGAACCATAATGAGATTCATTTTCATCATCAATTGAAAGACGTTTTATCTCTTTTCTTGCATTTTCTAATGCTCCAGCCTAAATAATTGTTAGTAATCTATATTAAGCAATTATCTAGAGTTATTCTAGTAGCACAAACCATTATTATATCTTATCGTAAGGCAAGGATATATATTAATTCTGGTGAACAAAAATAAATTATATTAATTTATCAACACATATATCTGTAATTGATACACGACTATTTTAATCTATCAATAGCTATATCACAAATTGATTCTATTGCATCTATTTTCTCTTGTTCTATATTATTACGTTTGATACGATATTCCATATTATTTATAATCTCATTTCTATTTCTACCATTAACAAATACAACATATCTTAACCCTGGAAATGTTGCTTCATATTTATCATTTAATTCTCTCAATTTTGCGACTGTTTCTGGATCATCTATTGATCTCTGTTCATTACTAGAATGTTCGGATAAATTAACTTTTGGTTCTCCTAATCTTGGATGGGCAGCTATAATTTTATTAACTCTTGTTTCATCCTTTGAATTTACCAATGATAATAATAATATTCTAACTATTTCTATGAGTTGTTTATAAGATTGAAAGTTTTTAGTTAAAGTATCTTTAATATAATCTTTTAATGTATCACATGATTCAAATAATTGATCAACAATTTTAAACTTATCATCTATTTCTAACTGATTGAACTCTTGAATACTTGGTAAAGAACTCATTGAAAAATAATAATAAATTTGGTAGCTTATCGGAATTAAGCGAATATTTATAGGGCGGAATGTGAAGGGATCTAACCAAGCGAAATTCAGCACAGTATTGCGAATGGGGCCCAAATCTAAAGCGAAGCTTAGGGTATCAAAAACTGAACTTAATGCGAGATTTGGGTCGATGCTGAACGCGTCATTTTTATATCAATTTCAATATGATTATGTTAAATATATTTATATCTATACAATTAAATAAATGTTTGTTGCATCCTTCATCCTCATCCCTATGGGGTAAAATGTTGTATTTCTCTTAATCTTTCTCTTTCTTTTGCACTTACTGCTTTTTGAGCAATTAATGGATGTCTCCATTGTTTAACAAATCTAAATAAAACTTCTGGTAATTTAGTCAATTCGTCTTGACTAATACCCAAATCTTTAAATGTTTTAGCATTTGGATCAATTGTTTGATTTATTGTATGTCTTGTCATTTGATCACTATTTGGCAATCTCCAATAAACAAATTGTGCTAAATCTGCAATTGCTTTTGCAATTGGTAATGGTACATCATAATCTCCAAATTGATAAGCAAAAGGACCTAATTGACCAAATCTTTCGGTTATACCACTAATCATTTGTCTAATTTCATGATAAGTTAATTTTTCTGGTCCAACTAATTCAAAAGTTTGACCTTGAGTTGAGTCATCAAATGCAATATGTTCTAAAGCTCTTGCAACATCTAAAACATAAACTGGATAAATTTCTTTTTTATTTGCATTTGGAACAAACATTTTAATCTTTTTACCAAGGTAATTTAATAAATTATCTTCTCTACCGTACATTGGTGATGGTCTTACAATTGTTGCATCTGGTATTATATCTCTAACTACTTGTTCACCAATTCCTTTTGTTGCATAAAAAATTGATTCTGAATTTGGATTTGCATTATATGAACTTACATGAATAAATCTTGGTACATTTGCATCTTTAGCAGCTTGAGTAATTCTTTTAGTTAAACCAATATTTATATCAGCCATCGAAAAATTTTTAGTATTATAATCTGCACCAATACAATTTATAACAACATCTGAATTTTGAACACAATCTTCAATACTTTGTAAATTTCTTGCATCAATTTCAACAAAATTAACAACACCTAAATCTCCAGCAACTTTTAAAAATCTTTTTTTTAAATCATCTCTATAAGGAACTATAGTAGTTGTACCATGTCTTGCCAATTTTGAAGTTAAATATCTACCTAAAAACCCACTGGCACCAAAAACAGTTGCAGTATAACCAGTTCTTGAAGATCTACCACCTGGACCTACTTGTATATTAACTTTACCATTCTTTGTAATATTAATATCTGAATCTAGAACCGGAGTATACAATGTTCTTGTAGATATTCTTATAATTGATCTTGATCTTAACATTTATTAGTGGTGGTAATAATTTTTCTTAAATTTCTAATTGGCTCTAAAAAAAAATTAATGGATGCGACAAATACAAGATAATACGAAGTAATGGTATAAACAGTGGTTAGTATTAATACATAAACATTTATAATAGGCTATAATTATAGATACAAATATTTAATAAATTCATTGGGGTTATGTAAAAATCAAGTAAACAACATTAAAATTAAGGAAAACACACATAAAAAAGTACATAATTTGAATTGAATTTCAATCATTAATCTTCTTACTTATAAAAAGTAATCAGGAGTTTTTCTTGTAACTGTTGGTTCACCAGGTCTTACTGAAGGATCATATTGTAAAAATTGTCTATTATGTTGTTCATCAACTTCCATTATTGCTGCTTGATTACCACATCTATAACAATAATTTGGAGCTGAAAATATTGTTACAACACTTTCTTGATGTGACCAACTAAAACCTTCCATTACTAATTGATGAGCCCTTGCAATTAAACTTAAATCATTTGTATGATTAAATTGTTCAGAAATATCTTGACCAAAAGTGAATCCAGCACCTCTTGGAGATATACCCCAACCACCTCTATCATCAGGATCTGACCATAATAAATCACACATTGGGCCTTCATGAGGAACTTCTTGAATTCTATTTAATTCTCTAACTTGATCAATTGTTTCAATCATTGGTGATAAACCACCATGTAAACAAAAAATTTTATTATCAACTAATGCAGTAATTGGAAAATAATCAAATAAATCAGTAAATAATTTCCATACAGTTGCTGAGCCATATTTTCTTAAACATTCATCATAAAATCCATAAACTTGAGTAATTTGTCTTGATTCATGATTACCTCTTAATATAGTAATTCTATTTGGAAATCTAACCTTCATACAAACTAAATAACTTACTGTTTCAACTGAATAATAACCTCTATCAACATAATCTCCCATAAATAAATAATTTGTATCTGGACATGGTCCCCCAATTTTAAATAACTCCATTAAATCATGAAATTGTCCATGAACATCACCACATATAGTTACTGGTACTTGAACAGGTTGAACATTTTCTTCAAATTGTAAAACTTCTATAGCCATGTCACATAATTTTTTAACATCTGATTCATTTAATGGTTCACATTTTGATAATTTTTCAATCCATGAATCTAATAAACCAATTGATGAAGAATCTAGCTGGGAAGAGGATTTCGCACTTGTTGTAGCTGAATCTTGTTGCTGAGAAGTTATAGTTTTTGAAGAATTGGATGGTTTTATAGATGAACTTATTGAGGTTGGTGATGTATGGGTTTCTTGTTCTTCAACATCTTCCATTGGAACGTCATTATCTAAATCCATGATATATGTAAACTATAAATATAATGTAAAAGAATGAATGAATGTAAATGCAATTATGTGTTATTAATCAAAATCTAATCAATGAATAGTTGCCTCAATTTTGATGATAAAATAAAAAATCGTAAAAAGCTAACTTAAAATAAAATTGTAATAATAATCAATAATTAAGACCTAAATTGTGATACTGTGTTATAAAAAATTGTTTCTTGTTTGGTTGTAATAATAAGATGAACAATTCAGTATATAAATTGTTCGTTGATTTCTAAATAAAGTTGATGAAATTTTGAGGTAGTTTTTTTTTTTTTCTATTTCCAAATTTGGTCACTTTTGAACGACATTGAAAATTGAGATAATTTAGTAGTTACTATCAAACAATAAGTTAGTACCATTAATTTAAGGATAATTGTATTTTCAAGCTAAATTGATTCCAAAAGCTGGTCTTTGTAACTTCTACAAGTTTTTTTAGACTGCGATTGTTGATGGTTTACTTAAATAGCGCGATCGAAGTCCATTCTATGGCTTCAATTTCATTCATTACTTTAGCTACACTCTTAAACTCCTTGTAAAGGTGTCAATTGTCTACCAATGAGAACGAACTGTCTCTTACAATTACGAGTCGATGGAGTTTAAAGATACTGACGAAGCATATGCGTAATAATATTCATTAGCAAATCTATAGATATCATTGATATAAACGAAACAATCCAGAATTATTACGATTCTTGTTATTATTATCATTATTTGAATTATTATTAGCATCTTCAAAACCTTGATATAATTTTAAAAAACTTTGTGTACTTGCGCTTATAGTCAATCCCAGATCTAAATTAGTAGGAGTAGGAATATTAAATATATTAAACTCTTGCGGTATATGCTGTTGGAATTGTTGATGTTGGGGTGGCGGTTGGTGATGTTTAACAAATTTATGACCATGTTCTTGTTGTGGTTTAATTGAAAATCCACCTTCATCATCTTCATTTTCGTCATCACTTTCATCATCTGCTTGATGATTAACTTTTGAATTCATAATTAATTCTTCTGGTTGTTGATACATATTTGTATCCACATCTTTTAACAAATCATTCATTGAAAAAATTGATGCAATACGATGTTGTGAGGAAATATCAGATAGATTTAAAGATGATTGATTTGGTGTGATACCTGTATGTAATGGAATCTCAACGGCTAATGCCTGTTGTTGTTGTGGCGGTAGTATTGATGATTCCTGCTCTGTGGTTTCAAGTTTTCTTAATTCACTTAAATTTAAAAACCAGTTGTTTAGCACTTTATGAGCCCTGATTAATTTATTAATATTATTAAAGAATGGGAAATGTGAAATCAAGTTATCACTATATTGAATTAGTTTTGTTTGATTTTCAATATTCATTTGAAACTTCATTTGTGCTTCAATTTCAAGAATTAATTTGAGTATATGTAACATAGGTTGTAATAATTGAAAATTTGAAATTTGAATCTTAAACAAGTCTGAACTAAACTGGGACAATAATTCATTATTTAAGTTCGTGATAATATCATATAGTATATTTTTAGATTGTAAGAAATCTAATGGTTTAAGTAACAAGATTTTAAATATTAGGATATTTTTAGTTATACTGTCAGTTGGTTGTGATGGTTGCAAAGTTTCAATCTTTGATCTAAGTTTATAAAAACCATCTTTTGGATTATTGTAATTCAAACAAGTGTTGAAGTTTGTGTGATAACATAATTCACTGATCAAATTGTCTTCATCTTCGCATATTATTTTCATCAAATTGTAAATAAAGTTATCACTTGAAGAATTAAATCTATCACATTTCAAATGTAACAATATTTGATTGTTTCTCGACATGTTTAGATTATAATTATGTGATGAGAATATTGAATAATATCTCTCATACAGATAAATTAAATCATACAACTCAATTAACAACTCATTATTTTGTAATGCATTTTCTCTCATATTTATTAATCGAAAGTACGTAATTGATTTATGTAGGTACAAAATCTTTTGATGTTCTTGTGCTTCATTTCCATAGTTTGATATAGTTGTACTTGTTGAATTTAAAGTATTTGTTAAATTTAAAATATGATAATAATTACATAATTGTAAACATCCTAATGATAAATTGTAATATATTTGATAATGATGTAAGTGAATAAATGAGTTCAATTGTTGCTGCTGTTGTTGTTTTATTCTGTTCTGGGGTATAATTGGAGGTACAATAAAATTCTTTTCAATCAATGTGAAAATCTCCAATACTTTGAAATGACATAGATTTTTAAAATTCTTAAATCCTCTAAACATTAAATACTTTTTAGGATATTTTTCAAATTTTTTAAACTTTTGTTTTTTTAATTTGATTAATAATTCAGCTATAATTTGATTTAAAGTGAGAATAATTAATAACGTACTCAAAAATAATGAATCATTATGATGGTTTATTAAATTGATTTCTTTATATTTTGAGTTTGGATAGTTTATATGTAAAAAATCAATCAATTTTTGGTAATTTAATATCACGTTGTTGACAGTTAAGGGTTTTATCAATTCATAAATTGCAATTTCATCTTTAATTAAGTTCAAATTTTCAATTAAATTAAATGGTGTCACTGTATAATCATTTATTTCTGGAGTTGATTGTTGTTGTTGATCTAGTTCTTGTGGTGTATTAGATTGAACAATAGATGATCGATTAGATAATGGTGATTGACTAGTAGTTGTTTCTTCTTCAACTGAAGGCAGTTTTGAAAAGTTGTTATTACTACTATTATTCCCATTGTTGATTTCAATCACCTCGCTCAAACTATTTATTGATTCCAATGTCTTTTTAGATAGTGTTTTTGGACCTGATTTTTTACGTTCCCTATTTGATGTACATTTAATATTATTTGAAACACAATGAGAACAAGGTCTTTGATTTTCACATTTAACTTTTCTAATAGCGCAAGCATCACAAGCTCTAACATTACTCTTTCTTTTCTTTTTTAGTTGTTGACTTGATAAAGTATGTCTATTAGTTAATTTTGTATCATTTTCTGTATTGAAAAATTTTGAAATGTCATTATTATAAGTATTTTGGTTGTTATTGCTTATTTGATCCATTCTGAACACATATTTATAAAGTTAAAGCAGCAAGATCATAAGGTAAATAAGTAAAACCTGGAGTAGCCAACTAATGAAATCTGGTATCAAAATAATTATATAATAATATTTTTTTTTTTTTTTCTTCGGGTTAACTTTTTTGCGCAAATTATTTACCCCTGGCGCACGCATTTTTTATTTTGCAGCCATTTTTATATTACATAATTACAGCCAGTTTATTATATAATAAGATGATTGAAAAATAATAATATAACTTAATATCAATTTATATAAATGTCAGTTGTTAAAAGACAGAAGATAGAGGATTCAAATCAGATAAGAAAATATGCCAAAGATGAAGAAATAGGTGATATACTATACAATAAATCAGTTGTACTTGAGGGTCATCAAGGTCCAGTTTCATCTTCAATTTTCAATCATGATGGTTCAAGAATAGCATCTAGTGGAATGGATAGAAAAATTCAATTATGGAATTTACCTACTGTTGAAAATGAGTGTAATATTTTTACATTTGAAAGTATACATAATAATGCAATTACATCATTAGCTTGGCTTGATAATTTATTAATTAGTTCATCTGCCGATTCAACATTAAGTATTCTTGATCTATATTCACAAAGAAAAATTAAAAAACTACATAGTGGACATAAAGGAGTAATTAATCAAATTTATAACAATGAAGATACTAAACAAATTTTAAGCTGTGGAGATGATGGGAAAATTTACTTTTGGGATTATAGAGAAAGTAAAACTCCTACAAATTCAATCACAACCGACTATCCTATTTTAACATTGACTGGAAATGATAGTAGTTTATATTTTTCAGGTATTGATTGTTTAGTACATGCTTATGATGTACGAAAAGTGGATACAGAATTATGGAATTGTTTTAGTAATTGTCACGATGGAATTACAAGTCTTTCAATATCTCCAGATAAATCAAATTTAATAAGTAGGTCCCTAAATGGAATAATTAGAATTTATAACATAAATGAAAGTCTACCAAAAGGATTTTCAAGATTGAGTAATACAATATTTGATGGTGCTCCATCAGGTAAAGAAAATTGGTTAATACGGACATGTTTTAGTAATAATAATTTATCAATATTTTCTGGATCAGAAGATTATTCAGTTACACAATGGGATATAACAGGTGAAGTTGTAAACAAATTTGAAGGTCATGAAGGAACAGTGATTGATGTAAATTATCATCCAACTGAAAATATAATGATGTCTAGTTCTACGGATGGAACAATCATCTTGAGAGAATTGTAAATGTATGAAAGAATCGAAAGTCTAGATACCAATTATAATATTTGTTTTGCGTTGCATTGGTCGAAAGCTTGAGACCTCAAGTAGGAAAATTTTAAAGTGATTATATGTAGTCTTTCATAGTTATACCAAGAACTTAAATTGCTAATAACTCTTTCAAACCTTCAGCTGTGTATTTGTCAAACTTTTTTCATTAAAACTTTTGCCAAAGTGGAGTACATCTCTGTTGGTGAAAAAACTGGTATTGTAGGTAGAACGGGAGCTGGTAAGTCTACATTATCATTATTTAGAATAGTTGAACCAACTTTAGGTCAAATTGATATTGATTCTTTTAATACAACAAATTTAGGATTGTATGATTTGCGTCATTCATTGAATATAATTCCACAAGATAGTAATGTGATTGAAGGTTCAATTAGATGCATTAGGTGCTTATACTGATTCTGAATTATGGAAAGTTTTAGAATTATCACTTTTGAAAAATCATCTTGAATCATTATCAACTGAAATTGATGGTAAAAGTTTATATGGTCTTGATGCTTCATTATATGAAAGCGGTTCTAATTTATCATCTGTCAAAAGCAATTGTCATCATTATCTAAAGCATTATTAAATCCATCAAAATATTGGTTCTAGATGAAGCTACAGCTTCAATTGATGTTGAAACTGACAAAGTTCTACAAAATACAATTAGAAGAGAATTTAAAGATAAGACAATTTAAACTATTGCTCATAGACTGGAAACTGTTCTGGATAGTGATAAAGTTTCAGTTTTTGATAAAGGTGAAGTTAAAGAATTCGATTCACCTAAAAATTTGTTAAGTATTGATAAATCAATTTTTTGTTCATTATGTTTACAAGGTGGTTATATTAAAAAGGTTTAAGGAAATTTATAGAATATATTATAGAATACTTAATTGTAGATTGACTCTATTTAAAAATACTCCTGATTTATTCCTATTTTTACAACCTAGTGCAGATCAACTTTTCAATACCACAACAAATTCAAAACCTTACTTTCTTCTTAGTAGATTGATTAGCAAACGTCGATTTCCTCTTCTTTTCAATTAATTCAACATCCGGTTTTCTATCTGTAGTTAAACTATCAACAAATTCTTGTTCGTTTTCTTTATCTCTCAACTTGTCAGTTTTCAAATTATTAAACTTTGCTAAATTCTCTCTATTAAATAAATAAATAATCCATTCCTTATATGATTTACCATTATTCTCAAAACGGACACTCTCATGCCTTAATAAATTAAACTGCTCTGCAGTTTCCTTTTCATTATGACTTGAACTAGTAGATACAAAAGGTGCGTAATCACCCATATTCTTCAAATTTAAAAAACTATGTTGTAGTATATAATGTTGAATACCTAAATCATCAATTGCATATTTCTGTAAGTTAGTTTCACTATTTGATTCTTTCTGATTTGCCCTTCTCTTATAAATTTCTTCCTCTAATGTGTTTGCCAATAATAAAGTTTCAACAAATACTTCCTTTGTTTGACCAATTCTATGAGCTCTTTTTATAGCTTGAGCTTCTACCGATTGTTGCCACACTGGTGACATAAAATAAACTCTTGTTGCTGATACAATAGTCAATCCATGAGCAGCCAATCTAATATCCATAATTAACGTAATTCCACCTAATTCATCACTGACATAATTTGTAAATTCAGATAAATTTTTAGCTCTTGCTGTTGAATTTATAAATGTAGCATATAATAAATAATTAACACCCAAAACATCAAGTAATTCGGATAAATAATATGCCGAATCTTCAAATTCAAAAAACACGATTGATTTAATTTTGTCACGTTGATGATCTAATAGTTTAGATGATAGATATGATAATTTAGAAGATGCAGTGCCTAAAATTCTTGCTTTTTTGATTATGTCAAATGTATTCTTCTTATCAATTGATTCAATCCCATAATTTATCATTTTATGTACTTCTTCCCTTGATAATACACTATTGTTCCTCTTCTTACTTTTTGGTGAATATATATCTGAATTTTTCATACTATTTTCAACACTTATTTCATTTGATTGTTTACCAAATTTTTCATTATGTTTCTTATCATTATTCTCTTTCCAAAATCGATCCCAAAATTTGCTAGATGATTCCTCAAGTTTATTTGAAACTTTCTCCTTATCATCAAAGTCAATAAATCTATTTCGGTAAAGAAATTCTTGTAAGGCATTTAAATGTGGAGCACCAAATATTCCAATATCATTTGAAGAACCAATTCCAAACAGATTAACAAAACTTTTAGGTAATCCATCAACATAATAATTCATCTCATGTAACATTGAGGACACTCTCCATTGTCTATTCCCCAAAGCTAATTGAGCAACATCAATTGATTCATGTAATAATCTAGTATCATTATCACTATACTTCTTCTTACTTAAACAATTGTTACATATATTTATCAAACTTTTAATTTCTTCAGTTGTAAAACCAGTCCAATAAAATGTAGCTCTTTGTAGATTTGAGATCAATTGTCTTAATTGTAATCTATTATTTGGATGAAACATATAATCAATATCTGTTCTTTCTGAAGTAACTGCATTCACAGCCAATAAAGCATTGAATAAATTTATAGATAACGAATTTTGATATGATGGTTTTAAAACAACAATCTCATGATGTAATTTAGGTAGTTTTAAATCTTTTTCCACTTCATTCAAATTATGACGAACCATTATTGAATTTAGTAAATTTGATAGTGTTATTGTCGATCCATAGACTTCATCAATTAAAGGCTTAATTATCTGTGATGACCAAGTTTTAGGCTGTGAAGAAAATGGTTCAATATTTAAAAAATTACTAAATATAGTTCCCAATTTGATTAAATCTGCCTTTTCATCAAATTTAGTCTTTACCATATATTTATTCTTCAGCGGTTTTTGACTACCTTGTACTTCATTTTCTTCATCCATATCTAATCTTGTTAATCCTGATGTTGGAGTACCTGTAACTGCCCATTTTCTTTCAGCATATAATGATTTACTTAATTGAGCAATTTTGGAAGTCTTAGAATTCATGGAATGACCTTCATCTATAATTATTCTTTTCCAATAAACTTGATTTAATGGATTTTGGTGTTCTAGATTCATCAGTTTTTTTAAACTTTGATTTGATAATAAAACAGCATCAAACTGGGTCATTTCTAATGCAGTTAGAAAATTACTTGTATATTGATTGTAAGTCTCGTTTATATCAGATTTGAAATATGGAGATATGAATAATATTTTCAAATAGTCTTGTTTCAAATGTTTCTTCATTTCTGCACTCCATTGTGAAAATAAATTATCTGGTACTACTATCAATGTTGTACTACACATATAAAGCATCCTTGAGTTCGAGTGATGATCCTCTATATTTCTTTTTGATTTTGGTTTATCATCTATCACAACATGAAACTTTCCAGGACTTTTTGATAATAGTTTTACCACTGATTCAGGTAAATTTTGATTATATTGTTTCCAAGGTAAAGAATTATCTGATATAACATCACGACAAATTTCAGTTAATGATTTTAAAACTAATGATTTATCTTCAGTATCATATAATAATGTATCCGTTGGCTTTTTTGCAATTTCAAATTTTGTTAAACAAATTAAACTTAAACAGATTAGTGTTTTACCTAATCCCATATTTTCAGCCAAGATACCACCACGAGGTAAAATGATAAGCTCTGGATTTACTGATATTGCCATGGTAGACAAATTTAAGTAAAAATTCTGATCAGCGATTGATTTTAATTGTAGTAAATTTGGTGCTATTGTCTTTTGAGGTACGCTTTCTTTGATTAACATAGTTGCAACTGATCTAATCTGAAAAGGATATAATGAAGAACTTACTCCTTGTACTTCTGTTAAACCATCTTTTGCACTACGGACCAAATTAATAAGCTGTAGATCGCAATTAGATAGTGTTTCATCAGGGTTTAAGTCTTCATATTGTGATAGATTAGGTGATTTGACACTATTATAAATCTGTTTTATTTTAGTTCCAAAAGAACTAGACTTTAATCCACTCTCGGCATTTTTAAAATTTGAGTTATCTCGATTTAACCACCGATGAATGTTAAAGTTGGTTTCATTAGGTCGTACTGGTAATAATTGAGCTTCTTTTCGACAATCCAATAGTGAAATACCACTCTTCAACTGTAATCTTAGTGACTCTACGGTCAAATTCCAACCTTCTTTTGAAAAATCGATATACTTCACTAGCTGCTCCATACTCCTCTTATAATTTCTCTCAAGATTAATACTTTTTGGCAAGGAGTTTCTCCATGAATGAAAATATCTAGCCCCATCGACATCTATTGGTATAATGTATAATCTAATTTTGCAAATTGTACTTGTTGGCTGATTTGTTAGCTGAAGTGTCTTAAAAGTAGCAGCTACATACTTGTACTTTATTAAAAATCTCAAACTTAACAAAATTTGATGGATCTTGTCGTTTAATAATGACGCAAAATGTTCTATGTCTAACCATCTCCATGATTGATCTTGCAAAATTCCATAAAAGTGTAAACTATTTAATGGTAAATTATAGAAATTAAGTGTACCAACTGGAATACAATTATTCAAATCATTTGATATCTCAATTACATTTCTGTAATTCTCAAAGTTATTTGCCATATCATTGAAACCGATTAATATAATTTAGATAAGGATGATAATTTTTTACGATATTATACATGTAACAACAAGAGAGCTACCATGTGTGTTTGCTGGAAATGATACTATCTAACTTTGGGTCCAATGCCCACAAACACATATAGTCAACAGTAACAGACAAAAGATATATAAAGATACGTAGCATGAAGAACTGGTATCAAATATAAGTTGGTAAGTTTTAATTATCAACACTTTTTTCCACCATGCGTATTTCCAAATCTGAAACAAAAAAAAAATAATTAAGTAACCAATGTCTAATGAAAATGAAGATTTAATATCATCATTATACCCTCCACCTCCTCCATTCTATGAGTTTTTTACACCAGAAAATGTTGAATTGATTGAAAACCTAAAGAATAAAGAAGAGGAAGAAGAAATTAAAGGAGAATTAAAATTTTTAGTACCACCAAAACAACCAGCTGGTGAACAATACCGTGGTTATGGTAATGTTTGGTCATTCATAGATAAACTACCAGATTTAAAAGAAACTCAATGGAAACAACTATATCCAGATACGGAACCAGGTGAAGAAGATAACAAGATTGAACAACTTCATAAATTATTAAACTCATTATTATTGAAATTTTTTGAATTAATATCCATACTTACAATTAATCCAACTGAATATACTAACAAAATTGAAGATTTAAATGTGATACTAATTAATATAAATCATTTATTGAATACTTATAGACCACATCAATCGAGAGAAAGTTTAATTATGCTTTTAAAAAAACAAATACTGATAAAACAACAAGAAATACAGACTATAAATAATAAAAATAATGAAATTAAAGAAAAATTAAAGAATCTAGTGAATTTAGATGAGATTGAAATGGAAGAGGAAGAAGAAGTAGACGAAAAGGAAACGATAAAAAATGAAATTATAGACAAATTACTAATAAATATATAATAACACCTAAAAAAGATCTAATAAATCATTGTTTATATCCTTTCTTTGATTCTCTTGTTGTTGAGTATTATTTGTTGCAGGTGTAGTAGTGTTGAATAAGCTAATAATATCATTATTAGTTGTTGTTTGTTTTTGAGGTGGGGGGGTACTAAATAAATCATTCAATTCGTCAAGTAAATTATTTACATTACCCGATGATTCTTCATTTTCAATTTCATCATCATCGAAATCTAATAAGTTTTCATCTCGTGCTGAATTATTAATAATTTCAGATTTGGCAAAGTCTTTGATATCTTCAATTTTATCAGTTTTCGTCGTAATTTTAGTATAACCTTTTTCAATAAATGTATCTGAAGGCTGGTGATAAACTGATGATAAAGTAGATAATTCTTTTAATAATATTTCCAATATTTGTGGATTAAATTCTGAAATTGTTGAGTCAATAGGTGGTAATTTAGTTAATAAAATCTTCTTTTGTTGTTCTGGTGTTGAATTCGATGATAATAATCTCCAATATATATATGCTTTATCTCTAACATCAGCATTTTCACACTCTTTAGTTGCCAATTCCAAGACTTTTTGTAATAATGCTGAATATGATTGGTTTGAATATTCAAGATTTATCTTAACAATTGTTGTTAATATATTTAATTGAATAATTGAATCATATTCCAAAAATTCTTCAATTAATGCTGATAATTTTTCATTCAAGTTGGAGAAAAATTTAGGATATTCTCCTAGTATAAAGATATAACCACTTAAACTTTCATTCTTGTCTAATTCTTGAATATGGTTTGAAATTATAGGTATTATTAAACTTGCAATATCATTTTTATCGGGATATCTTCTTAAAATATTGATTAATTCAATGACTGATTGGTTTATGACTAGTTCACCACCTCTTTGTTCTATAATATCATTTAATAAAGTAACTGATTTAATTACAACTTGACCAGATAATTTAATAGCAACTGAACCAATAGATTTAATAGCTTTAATGATTAAAGCGGGTTCAAATTCCATCGAATATTCTTTCAATTCACTTAATAATAAAGGTGCATTTGTCTCATTAGCTAATCTTATCATGACCTCCAATTTTTCCAATTTTAAATATAATGGATCTGAATATTTCAAAAAGAAAACTCTCAATTCTTTAGTTAAAACATTTGGATATTTTTCCAATATAATTCTAATATTCTTCAAACCAACATATTGAGCTTCTGGAATTGAAGAACTCACTAATGAAACTAATGGGGCTGATAATTTTTTCAATATTTGATCTTTTTGTGCTTTATTTGTTAAAGATTCCAAATGAAATAATATAGCTTTTATAGATGATAAAACAACAGATGGATTAACATGTTGTAACTGAGGTATTATTCTTTCTATTATATGATTTGCTTCTTCAACTCTACCTTTTGAATTATACTCAGTTAAAGTAGTTAAAATTGTAATTCTACCCCATTCAGTACATTCATTTAAACATAATAAGAAATTTTTAACACTTTCTGAATTAATTTCTATAATTTCTAAATCTGGATTTTGATTTATATCTCTAATTTCATATAATGAATTAATTGAGTTTGCAACAACCATTGGATTTGAATCATTTAATAAATCTTTCAAGCTTTTCAAAAATCCAAATTCAATACACATTTCCGAATTTAAATCAAATAATTTAGCAACACATATAGCAGCAGTTTTACGTACATATGGACTTTCATCTTTTAAAGTTCTTGTTAATGGAACTTCCATATAATCAACCATTTTATCCACTCTAATACAACCCATTGTTCTAATTGCCAACGCACGAATCAAAGGATTTGGATCTTCAGTATCTTGTACAAATGTATTTACAGCCAATATACATAATTCTGGATGAGTTTTAGCATAGTTCATAAGATATAAATAAACCAATTTCTTTTGCTCAATATCATAAGTTGCAATATTTTTCAAAACATCAGGAAACAATGAAGAAACATCTTTACCAACAGTCATTGCTTGTATAACACGTTGTATAGCATCTTTTCTTTCATGTTTATATTGAGATACCAACCCATTTCTTAATTCAAAAGTTTCACCCTTTTTTGGACCAGTTAAAAATTTCCTTAATTTTCTTTCTAGTATACTGTTAACTTTATTAAAGTTTTTATTAAATTTAGATGCCGTCGTTGGCTTAGATGAATTCATTGGGGTGGGTCACTTTCAATATTCTTGTTATGTTGAGATCGAAATTTAAATTTATTTTTTTATTTTTTTTAATTTTGTTTTGAAAAATTGACGAGAATTGGTAAATTGGTAGCGACGATTGCAAGATATTAAAATGAAACAGAATAGTAAAATAATGGCTGTTTGTAGAGTAATTGAGACTTAGCATTTAATATGGAAGAAGTATTTTTAGTCTAAGATCGAGGCTTCAGAAACTGGTCAAATTCTGGTGTGATTTTTATCTTTCAAATTGTCACTTGTTTCACCATGGGCTTTAACGTGAATTTCTTCCAGATTGGAGGTAGACATGGTGGCTTTAATAGTTTAGATAGTTATATAACCCAATTGCGTTTGATAAAAGTGCATTTAAAATGATAGTTTAACAATTAAAACTCAAAAATGGTCATGCATTGATTGAATATATAATTTTTTATAAAATAACATAAACTTCTTAAATAATTTGTGGATTTAACACTTGTTTAATTAATTTATTCATCTTTAATACCTAAAATGGCTCTACCAGAGTAGTATAATGGAATAGCAGTTGAAACCGCAAATAAAGCATAAAATGGATAAACGAGCATTCTTGATTGTTTTCCTCTTAACCATAAAGGTTTTGGAGTAGTTTGATATTGTTTTTGTAATTCAATTATTCTTTGTGGATTCATCTTTGAAATAATAGTTAGTCTATATTTTTTCTTTATCTATTTATATATAGTTACTGTTTGAATAGTTTGACTTTAATGAGGCCATTTTTTTAATTTTTTTTTCCATTTTATTTTATTGGAGAGTTGATAATTGGTCAATTTACACTACTAACTTAACTTTATATATTAAAGCTCTAATAATCATCAGAATCATAATAATCATCTGGATCTGCATAATATTCCTCTGGTATATCATCATCATCATCATCATCATTATTATTGTCATCATCATCATCATTATCATTATTACTATGCCCATTTTCTGACTCAAAATTGGCAAAACTATCTTGATCTGATATTTCATTTAGATGTGAAGCATGAAATTCATCTAAAGCATCTCTAACATCATCTGAATCATAGTTATAAAACTCTTCTTCATTGTCTTCATTATCATTATCTCTTCCACTTAGTACAATATCATTCTCTTCATCATCTGAATCAATCCATAATCTTTGTCTACCCCTTCGAGGAGTATTACTTCTCTGTAATCGACTTTGTACATCTTCATATTCACTTCCTCCTTCATCATTCAGTAGTCCGTCATGTTGATTATCAATTTCTTCTTCTCCATCATTTATAAAACTATCTTCAGTATCATAATTATTATTATCTTCTTCGTGATCTTGATCATGTAAAATATGATGTAACCCACTTCTTACATCTTCAAACTCTTCATCATCATCTTCGTCATCGTCATCTGAATCAATAGCAAATCTAAACCTAGTACCACAATGTAAGCAAACTGAACCATGCGCTTCCCAATGACAATTTCCACATCTTGGAACACCATCAGAATTATCAATCAATGTTAAAGTGCTATTTTGAAAAACACTACCAAATAATCTTTTAAATTTAACATCTAAATTATATTTAGCTTCACTTTCTTTTTTTAAATCAATTAAATATTTTGAATCATTTGGATTATGTTCAATCATAAATTCAATTACATTTTTACAAATATCTTTCAATTTTAAATTAATAATTGGTTTATTTTTGATTTTGAATCTACATGTTGGACAAGTTAATTTATTTTTAAACCATTCTAATAAACAACTATAACAAAATGAGTGGCCACATTCTATTGAAACTGGTATAATCATTATATCTGAACAAATTGAGCATTCAATATTGGAGTATAATTTTGATAATAAACAGGAAGTTATAGTATGATCAATTGATTCAAATATTTTAGTATTCTGTAGGTGTTCTTGATCCATGGTAAAATATAAGTTAACAGCTGTTGATAGTTAATTTTCTTGTAATGATTAACTATTATCAAATTTATTTTTTATACGCAGTCGTAGTTTTATCAATCTATATATAGAAACAATTGATAAAAAGTAATATATACTCGTGATTTTAAGACTAATAGTGAGTGTTAGAAGAGATCGGTATAAAGTTCAAAAAATTGTTGTTTGTACCAGCACTACTTACTAATTGATTGTTTAGCAACGTGTTTGTTAAGGTGTGGCGTTGATTCGATGTGAATTGAGTATTGACTGAATGACTTGTCTCAGTTTTGCTTCCTATCTTCTTCTTAATTTATTGTATCTTGTTGAATATTCTTCTACCATGAGGAGTTGATTTAATATTTGATAATAAAGGTAATAAAATCATTGATAATTTTTGAAATTGCTTAGAGTTACAATTATCCAAACTAGTTTGTAACACATAATTACCAAATGAATCATTCAACAATTTCGTAAACAATCCGTCATCTTTTTCTCCTTCAACATTAGTAGCTTCACCCCAGCTCAATAAACAATCAATTAAATTCTCCTTACCATCACTCATTTTCAAAAACTTTTCAATCACATTAGAACCAAATTTATGTATCGATAACTTGTAAAAATTCTCCTTTTTAGTCAATCTATCAAGTACAACTTCATCACTTTTATGTTTTTCAAGCATGTATTGAATCACATAATTTCCAAATGGATCTAATGAAAGTAGTATAACATTTTCTGATAATTGTTTAACCAATTCTTCACTCTCATGCTCTTGATCTAAACACCTTTGAATTACACAACATCCATGTTTATGACACGATATATCAATACAATTTTCAATTAAAATTTTAAAAATTATTTGATTATTCTTCAACCTCGTGAGACATTTTTGAATTATATGATTTCCATTTAGATCTTTAGATAAAAGCACAACATGATCTTTTAGATTCTCAATCATTAATTCTTCTTCTTCTTTTGAGTCGATACATTCAATTACTTTTTGTAAAGATCTAGTTCCATGAGGAGAAGTGGCTATTTTGATAAAATCAGATTTTGAATTATTTACCAATTGTATTCTTTGTTCTTGAGTTATATTCTCAAATAATTTTTGAATTAAATAATTTCCAAATGGGTCAGTCATAAGATCAACAACATTAGATTCGACTTCACCAAGTATCAAATTTAAAACCTCTGGATCATTTATAACTATCTCTCTTTGAAGAAATCTACAACCATGTTGATCCATACTTAATGATAAAATTTCACCTCTAAAATCTTCAGCTTTTGAATTTGCGTATTTTGAAATTTCTTTTGAATTGTTGGTATTACGATACTTCCTATTATTTCTTTGATTATTTTGCCATATTGGAGTTGCATTTACATTTGGTGGTGTTGGAGGTAAATGAACTGGATGATAATTTGGTTGATGTAAATGAGCTATTGGTGGTGGAGTTCCTTCTATTTGAAAATCTGGTGGAGTCAATGGTGGATATGATTGATATGGATTATAATTCAATTGACTGTGATTAAATTGTTGCATTTGGGGTGAAAATTGAGGTGGAATATTAGGTGGTGGTAAATTCATATTGAATGGAGGTGCTCCATAAGGCGAAATTGGTGGAGGTGGTATCAAATGAGTTATTATCTGTCCTGAATTATCAAATGAAGCATTTGAGTTATTATTCCACGTAATATTACCTGAATTCACGTTAATTTTATCATCTTGATTATTCCCACGGCCATTATTAATATTAAATTTATTTATAGCACCAACTAAATTTGACACATTATTATTAGTACTCATTGAATTTGACCTACGATTACCATTTAGAATTGGTTTATCCTTTGGATTATCTATTGTTAATGAAACAGATCGTGAAGAATTGGAATTAATTGTAGACATAAATATTGTTTATTTAGTTTGGAAAAAAAAAAAAAAAATACTCGGAACTGATAAATGTAAACAAAGGAAAATTATCAAAAGAACAAAAATCAAAACAAACCATCGATGATGATACAAAGAGAATAGCTAATTTTTTTAAATCTTATTATCTATTAAATATAAATATATAAAAAAAAGTTGTAGTAAACCTATAATATAAAAATACGAATGAATAAACGGGGAATTTGTTAATTAAGTCTAAAAATGTTAACCCATATATTTTGATAAAATATAATTCTACCTCTTTTCTTATTTTGAATAAAAACGTCATTAAAGTAGTAATAATAATAACACAACTTGTGAAAAAATGAAAAAACAAACATCTATTAATTATTATTACTGATAATCATGAAAAAAAAGTATTGTAAATTGTATAACTTGGATTGGTATGGAGGGGGGAATAATGAAAATAGAAAAATTTGAAACCAAATATTGATTAACCAATTGAAATAATACCATAAATATAAAAAAAAAAGCACCTATTCAAATATGGGGAGTATTCAAATAGATAAAATCCATCAAATAGTGTTTTTTATCAATTTTTTGGGGAATAAAAATTAACAAACACGAACAATTTTGAAAATATATAATAATAATGGGTTTTTTAGTTAATAAATTACAATTTTTTTTGGATTTTTTTAAAATATTTTCTATAATTTGGTAATAATGATTCAATTAAATTAAAAAAATGATTTTGATTGAAATTCTTTTAATGAAATGAATGCTAAAGTAGTAGTATATGTAAAAAATTAATTATTAAAAATGATAAAATGATATAATATGAAAATTAAATTTAATTAAATTTAAGTTGATTTTTCATGTTGTGTTGAGACTCTTTGCATAGAAACTAAGAAATCTTCAAATGATCTTCTATCAGTATGTGGTTTGGTTGGTCTACCATTACATATGTTATCAAATGCTTCTGAACCAGACATGATGTAGTAAGCACCACCCATAACACAGAAAACACCAAATGACCAAATCCAGGTTCTAACAACAGTAACAATATCAGTCCAGTTTTGTGACCACCAACCGAATAAAGTGAAACATGTAGCAATAATATCAACAATGAAAACAGCACCAGATAATTGCCATGATGGAATTGATGACCAGAATGGACCTTGAGCTCTTGTAATGAAAATTAACCAATTTTCAGTTAATGAAATTTGCAAGAATAAAATACCATCTAAACCACCAAAGTTTTGAATAATACCACCTCTTGGTAATAACATGGTAGTTAAAGTAATCCAAGTACCGATAGCTAATATAATACCTAAAATAATTGACATACCCCATAATCTTGGTAAGTTCCATTTAACTGGTTTTGGATCATATGGAGCATTATCATAAGCAATAGCTAAAGTGGCAACATCAGCAAAAATAGCAATGAAAACAATCAAGTTAATATCTAATGATCTGTTCAAGATAGCAATCCATAAACCTAAAAATAATTCCAAGTGTAATGATAAAGCAATACGGTAAACAACATAAGAATACATTCTGTGGAAAATTTGTCTTGAAGTTTTTAAAGCATCAATAATAGCAGATAAACCTGGAGCTAAGAAAACAATATCAGCAGCTGATCTGGCAGCATCAGTAGCACCTTCAACAGCAATACCGGTATCAGCTTTTTTCAATGATGGAGCATCGTTAACACCATCACCAGTCATAGCAACTAAGTAACCTCTTGATTGTAAAATTTCAACAGCATTATATTTATGTTGTGGGAAAACTTCAGCAAAACCATCAGCATTTTCAACAAAATCAGCAATTTCTGAACCAGCCATATCACCACCACCTGATAAACCTAATCTATCAGCATCGTAAATGTTGGTACCTAAACCTAATTGTCTACAAGTTTCTTTAGCAATACCAACGGCATCACCAGTTAACATTTTGACTCTTAAACCTAATCTTTTAGCTTCATTAACAGTTGCTGCAGTATCATCTCTTGGAGGATCCATACATGGCATAATACCTAAAATTTCCCAATGACCTTCACCTCTTTTTCTTGCAACACCTAAAGATCTGAAACCTCTTGAAGCAAATTCAGCAACAGTGTTTTGATAGTTTTCATGGATATCTTCTGGGATTGGGTGATCATCTTCAACAGTTTTTAAAACGAATAATGGAGCACCTTTAACACAAATAATTCTTTCACCTTCTGGTGATTCAACAATAGCAGTAACTTTTTTTGAAACAGGATCAAAAGGTTGGAATTCAATAACTTTATATTTTGGTAATGCAGCTTTAGCTCTTGGGTAATTAATTAAAGATTTTAAGAAAGCTTTATCAATAGCATCTAAACCCTTCTTTTTTCTTGAAGCAGCTAAACAAGCAGTCAACATTAAATCATCTGGTTCAACACCTTCAACGGTATAAGGTTCATGTAATGATAATTTATTTTTAGTTAAAGTACCAGTTTTATCTGAACATAAAATTTCAACACCAGCTAATGATTCAATAGCAGATAATTTTTGAACAATAGCTTGTTTTTTAGCCAAGTAAGCAGCACCAACAGCCATAGTAGTGGTAACAACAGCTGGTAAACCAACTGGAACACCAATAATAGTAATAGCTAAAGTGTATCTTAAAATTGGAACAATTCTAACAGTTCTATAGAAACAAGCAACCCAAACAACTAATAAAGTAACAATAACGAAAACTAATAAAGTAGTACCAATACCGTTTAAAACTTCGGTAAAATGACCAGTACCACCAGAAGCTTTGTTAACTAATGAAGCAGCTCTACCGACAAAAGTGTTATCACCAGTAGCAGTAACAATCATAAAAGCTTCACCGGTTTTAACAGTTGATGATGAATAACATGAATCACCGTGTCTTTTATCAACAGCTAAAGATTCACCAGTAATAGCAGATTGATCAACTTGTAATAAACAATCTTCAGAAACAATTCTACCATCAGTTGGAATAACAGTACCATCTTCTAATTGTAAAATATCACCAGGAACAACTTCATTAGCAGGAATTTCAACTAATGAACCATTTCTAACAACCAAAGCAGTGTTAGCCAAGGTTTTTTTCAATTCATCAACAATTGAACCAGCTTGATATTCTTGGATAAAACCAACAAAAGCATTCAACATCAATAAAGCACAGATAACACCAAAATCAACCCAATCTTCTAAACCAGCAGCTAAAATAGCTGCAGCTTCCATAACGAATTGAATTGGACCAACAAAAAACATAACAAATTTCAACACTAAATTTTCTTTTTCTTCAGCCATTTGATTTAAACCGTATCTTTTTCTTCTTTTTTGAACTTCATCATCGGATAAACCACTTCTTGGATCGGTTTGTAACAATTCTTCTGGAACGGCTTTAAATGAACCACCGTCATTTTCTTCTTCTTCTTCTTCTTCATCTCCTAAACCTTGATGAGACTGTAAGTCTTGAACTAATTGATCAATATCTTCATCATCATCATCTGAAATATTTTTATCAATTTTTTCATTAGTTGGTTCAGTTGCACTCATTTTTAACAATTATTATTTCAACTATAATATAATATAAAAATGAAATGGGTTAATGAATTTAAACTAATTAAACAAATTAATGAAACAAAAACTAAAATAAAAGAAAGAAAGAAAACTTTAAAAAGAAGTAAAAGTAAAAAGGAAAAAAACGAAAAGATGAAATTGCTGGAAATTTAATTGGTTTTATATGAAAATTTTTATTACTACTATATAAAACATTTTCTATGTATTAGTATAGATTTTATTTTATGTTGTCTGTTTTGTTTGTTTATTATTATTCCAATTTTTTTTTTTTTTTTTTTTTTTTTATTTTATTTTATTTTATTTTATTTTATTTTATTTTATTTTTTTTTTTTTTTTTTTTTCTATGGTTTCATTTTATTACCTCATTTCTCAATTGACTCTTTAAATTACCCCAATTACGATTTAAATTATAACAAAGATAATTAGAGATGATATTTCGATATCAATTGATCAATTAGTATATTTATTTCTACTGAAAACCAACTACAAACCAATTTATTCTCTATCAAAAAATCAACAGTAATAACCAAATCTATGCATAATTTGAAAGTGATTGTTGATAATTTTGACTTAAAAGGACACTACCATAATAAATTTTTTTAGATTATTATTGTATTTTTACACATCTTACATTTTTCAATTTCTTTCTTTCTTTATTTATTTTCTAAAAATCCCTCAAACGAAAATTATAAAACAATTTTGCACGACTATACATTTTGGGCTACAACAGTTTAAAATTGTATACAGGCCTTATTAAATTTATACTGGCTATTTACTACTTTAGATCCATCTATAATGTTTAGTATAATTTTTATAATTTTTACCTGTTGGTTTTTACATATCGGGAATAATTTTATAAACGTATGAATATTTTATTTGTTAATTAATTAGGTATAATACGGTATTTATCTATATATGTAGCTATATATGTATCTATTTATGTATCTATTTATCTATTTATCTAAAAAGTTAACTTGCAGCCTTTCACTATAGATTTTAAACGGTTTTAAATTCCAATTACATTCATTTAATTGATTGATTGATTGATTGATTGATCACTATGAAGATCTACCACTTTTTATTCTATAGTATCCAGTATAACTTCCATCAATTTTAGTGTGAACTCCTTTCAATCAATTTAATTATAATCTAAGCATCTTATATGATGGACCTTATTGTCGTCTCATCTCGTTTAATATTTATTATTTTCGTCTAATTTACACTCACATTTTAAGAAAATTATATTAGCAAGAAATTTTAATCAATTGTACACTATCCTTTTCAGTAATTAATTAAACTTTTAACAACTAGTTTGACTTAACTTTTACACCTATAATCAGTTACTTATTCAATTTGCAAAGAAAAGTTTTTACTTGTCGTTTGTTGAACTTTGTTGAACTTTGTTATCTTCGTTCCCCACTATATAAATCGCTAAGAAAAAAATGACATCAAGTTAATTGTTTACGAAATTTTGCAAATATTGTCAAAAATTTGTCAAATTCCTGAACAAAATGAAAACTCCGAAAATTTTGAAAAAGTTTGACTTTTTCAAAATCATGTTCTTTAAACTCAATGATTAGTGGATGGCTTTGAAGTTCGTAAAGTTGAAACAGGATTCTCTTCGAAATAAAGGGACCGGCAAGCAATATAAGAGTTGATCCAATACAGAGTAAAAAGGTTTAAAAAGGTTTAGATTTTGTTGCAAATTATTTAACACACCGTACACTTATATTGTAAATTAGAAATGCTACAGTTTGGATACATTATCAAGAACCAGGGCAACCAACATTTTAACTACTTGATTGCAAATTTCAGATATAGTAGTTACAACGCCGCTCAATATCTTTATTCGGATAATTGGTGTTAATTTAGACGCATTTTCAACTGGTAGCGCGAGTTTTCGGCTACATTTCTTGTTTCAGAGTTTTGATATACAATTAAAACAAAATGAAGCTCAAAGGATCATTAGTTATCAGTGAGTAATCACTTTTTTATACCAGGTTTAGAAGTGGTTGTTAATTAACTCCATGGAATTAGACAGCTCAGATAAATTTGTGCTTTATATGTTTGTTTGTTTGTTTGTTTGTTTGATTATTTTTTCATTTTTAAACCAATTAATTAAACCCAATTAAATTATTAAATTATTAAAAATTTTATTTTTTTGTTTAAGGCACAACATTTATTATTGTCTAACAAAACATTACATATTACAACATACATACACAGTTACTGTATCCGTGAAAATCGGAGTTATTGATACATTTTGGACGAGTTTATTCATAGTGAAACGAAGCTAAAGTCAATTATTGATCTCTGTTGAATACTGATATGGTGACTACCACCATTGACTTTAGCTCATATGGATTGACCGGAAACTATATGTCTAATTGATCAAATTCAAGAAAATAACTAAGGATGGTACATAAATTTAAAAGAAATTCGGTTTAAATTTCAGCCATACCAAAAAAATAATACAGCAGATCAAATAATCATCATAATCACCTTTGTACTCTGAAATATTTTGTTGTAAATCAAAATGGCTCTAACTTATTTTGTGTTTGCCGATTATGTATTATCCAATCAAAATTTATATATATATATATTTTTTCTAAACATCGGTTTTAAAAACTTCGGCTTTAAAATTTAATAGCGATTAATAGCGAAGTGAATTATCGCTGATAAGGTTGTTGATTCTGCTTGATTCATGTAGATTAAGTTATTTCTTTTGATCTTGATAATGTTTATTAATTTACTTGATTAGTACTTGGTTTCTTTGAAGGGTTCTGCAATTAAATGTGTAAAATCACACGATGAATAAAGAAAATGCAAGTTCAAATGGTTTTCAAATATCATCTAAACTAAGCATTAGGCATTTTCGAAATTTATCTAACTGATTATAGTAATTATATGGTTTGTCTGTTTAGCGTGTTAATGAATATAGTCATTATAAATATACTTAAGTTCATTAGGAACTATCAACACATATAAGAATTAACCCCTCCATTGCTGATATGCAAGCCTTTACAAATGCCAGAATTCCCTTAAGCAGTTTTTAGGTGTGTTTGATAGTTATGAACCTTCTTGAGGTATTTATTGTTCGTTTTTGTTTTTGATTTATTTGGTTGCAAAATTTTATACAGCCGCTTAACCAAAGTTGGAAATATAAGTGTAATGCTTATATTTGTATGACTATTAGTACCTAAAATACTCTAACATATTAAAGACATTGCAGCTCTTATAATAGGTCCAAAACTAACTGTTTTTTATTGATTTAACTTTTAGCCTTTCTTGTAATCCTATAACTTCAGTCAATCAATTGGTCTGAGATATAATCATAAGAAGCTCAATCGTGTACATTATACACTATAGAGGCTCTCAGGGTTCGACTCTTCACCTTAATTTTTCTATTTAAATATTATATTTGATAAATACATACCGATTGTTTATTCCCTTAAACTTGGTTCAAGCTCAAAGAGTAGGCTGTAAGTAGTTGTAAAAAGTTACCATCGATGCTTGTTGATAATTGCTCCAGTTATCGACTATATTTGATATTATATTGCTCATAATGCCAGCAAAATTATCACACCACTTCTAAGATGTGGCTCAAACTTTACTCAAACTACACTCCTCTGAGATGCAAGCACGCTCAAGGTTTTCTATACTGAAAAGCACGTCTCAAATGTCGAAATGTGGTATAAAGTGGCTATTTTAATTTGGTTGCAAAATTGACGATGTTAATAAAATTTGAAACAAAAAAAAAAAAAAAAAAATTAAACAGGAACTACCATCTATTAAATAACCAATGTTAATTGATGATGATTCTTTATATTTATACAATTTAACATTACAAGCACCATCATATTATTTAAAATCAATAGTTGGTTGCTTTATTCAAGATAAAAATGAGATACTATCACAACAGCAAATCATTTTAGTCTCATCAAATCATTTAAAATTAATTTTACCAAATTCAGAAACAGGTAAATTGGAAATCAAATCATCTCAGAACTTAATTGGTGTAATTAATCAAGTTGAGAAAATCACAATTAACAAACTAGATTATCTTGTAATAGCTTCAGACTCAGGAAATTTATCAATTTTAAAATTTAACCCTGCCCAAAATAAGTTTGTTGCCATTTCTCAAATTGGTTATACGAAAAGTGGATGGAATAAAACCTACCCTGGCGAATATCTACTGATTGATCCTCAAAATAGATGTGTTTTAATTGGAGCTATTGAAAAGAATAAATTAATGTATCGACTCGATAATATAGATGAAGATGGTAGTATAAATCTAAGTGATCCTCTAGAAGCAAATACTAAAAACTTATACACACTCAAATTAGTTTCATTGGATACCGATTATGGAAATCCATTATTTATAGCCTTAGAAATTAATGAATTTGACGATTTATTATTAAATTATTATGAGTTAGATATGGGTTTAAATCATATAGTACGTAAAAAATCAACAAAAGTGGAAGAGCCATATAAAGATTTAAATTATATAATACCATTACCTAGTTACATTGAAGGTATATTTACATTTGGAAAAAATTGGTGCTGCTTTCAAAAATTTAATAATGGTGAAAACATTTATTTACCACTTCCAAAAAGACTGAAATCTCAAGATTCAATTATTATATCTCATGTAAGTCATATAATGAAAAGAAAGACTAAAGAAGATTTTTTCATACTTGTTCAAAATACATTTGGTGATTTATTCAAAATTATGATTGATTATGATTTCGACCGTGAAATAATTAAGAATATCAAGCTTACATATTTTGATACTATTCAACCATGTATAAATTTGAATATTTTAAAAAGTGGATTCCTATTTGCTAATGTATTGAATAACGATAAATTGTTTTATCAATTTGAAAAATTGGGAGATGAAGAAAATGAAAATGATTTGATTATAAATCTGATTGACTATTCAGAAGAGAAAATACGAGATTGTAATTTAATTTTCCAATTAAAAGGACTAGATAACTTAGCATTAATTGATATATTTGAATCCTTGAATCCTATTATAGATATAAAATTGATTGATAATAACCTAACTACAATTTGTTCCCATTCATATTTGAAAAAATTATTACATGGTCAACCAACAACAATCCTAGTTGAAAGTCCATTACCTATAACACCAACAGATATTTTCACTACTAAGTTAACAAAAGATTCAGCTAATGATGAATGGTTAATTATATCATCAGTGTTATCTAATCAAACGTTAATTTTATCCATAGGTGAAGTTGTTCAAGATGTTGAAGATTCAAATTTTATATTAGATCAACCTACTATTCAAGTTCAACAAGTTGGTGAATCATCATTAATTCAAATTTATTCAAATGGGATAAGACATATAAACAAAAATAAGAAGATTACTAATTGGTACCCACCAGCAGGTATCGCAATCACAAAAGCAACTACAAATAATCAACAAGTGTTAATCGCATTAAGTAATTTGGAATTGGTCTATTTTGAAACTGATATCGATGATCAGTTAATTGAATATCAAGATAAATTGGAAATTCAATCTCTGATAATATCAATAGCAATTAAAAGTGATACCAAGAGTGATTACGCTATAATTGGATGTTCAGATGAGACAATACAAGTGGTGTCATTAAAACCTTCAAATTGTTTATCAATACAATCGTTACAAGCATTATCTTCAAATGCAAGTTCAATAATAATTACATCAAATGGATTTAAAAATTATGTTCATATAGGTATGGAAAATGGTGTTTATGTAAGAACTGAAATCGATTTATCTGGAAAATTATTAGATTCAAGGATTAAATATTTAGGTTCCAAGCCAATAAAATTAAGTAAGATTCAATTAAATGAGGAGATAAAACAAGGTGTGTTGGCAATTAGTTCAAAACCATGGATAGTATATAATTATCAGAATAATTTTAAAATAATACCATTACTAAATATAAGTAATATAACTCAGGGTTTATCATTTATTAGTGAAGATATTGGAGGTGAAGGTATCGTTGGATTTTATGGTAACAATTTAACTATATTTTCAATAGGTAAAGAAGATTCAGAATTTGATCCAAATCAAGAATTTTTAATTGAGAAATTGAAATTAAGATATCAACCAAAGAAATTATTAACTCATGGTAAAAAATTAATAATTGCTGAATCTGAATATAATGTTAAACCAATTCATGAACCAAATTTAACTAATAAAAAAGAACCTACAATTGATCAAGATTATTATGATGCATTTGGTTATGAAGAAGTTTTAAATTCTTGGAGTTCGTGTTTACAGATTATTGAAAGTGACAACATTGTACAAAATATTCAATTTCAATCAAATGAATATATTACAAATGTTGCCAAAGCTTTATTTGGTAATAAAAATTATTTAATTGTTGGGATTACCACTGATCAAACTTTTTTACCAAATAGTCATAAATCATCATATTTATTAACTTTTAGATTTGATAAGAAAAAGAATAATTTACAATATTTACACAAGACTGATTTAGATATTTATCCTCATGTCATTGAATCATTTAATAATAAATTATTAATTGGTGATAAAAATATTATTAATTTATATGAATTGGGAACTAAACAATTTCTTCGAAAATCACAAACAAATTTTAACTTTATAAATAATATAAATAAAGTTTTGGTACATGATTCAAGAGTTTGGATCTGTGATTCCAATTTATTTATAACGTTATGTAAATTTGATGAAGTTGAAAATAAATTTATTGCCTTTGCTAAAGATTTAGTTAAACGACAAGTAACTACAATTATAAATTTAGATTTCGATACAATTTTAATTGGGGATAAATTTGGTTCTATTTCAATAATCAGAATCGATAAAAATATTTCAAATCAATCTATAAATGATTGGACAATATTAAAACAACAATCAAAAAATAACATATTTCCAATTTATAAATTATCCAATTTTGGTGAATTTTATATACCTGATATAATAACTTGCTTTAATAAAGGTTCATTAATCAATTCAAATCAAGAATGTATTATATATAGTGGTGTACAAGGTACCATTGGTTTTTTATTACCTTTATTAACTAAATCGGAAATTGAACTACTTTCAAATTTACAAATTGAATTGGGATCATATGTGAGTAACGAATTAGGTAAAGATTTTTTCAAATATAGAAGTTATTATAATCCAATTAAGAATATAATTGATGGAGATTATATTGAGAAATTTTTAAGTTTGAAAAATGATGAAAAAGTTAAGATTGGTAAAAAATTGAAAAAATCATCAAATGAAATTGAGAAAAAGTTAATAGATTTAAGAAATAGATGTATTTGAATATATGACTTTTGAACAATTAATTTCATCTTATTATGCAACTATACAAAATTTTTATTTAGTTTTAGTAGGTGTTTCACCATTTGGAAAATTTACATAATTATTCCATGGTGATTGATTAATTAATTTCCCATTTAAATGTAAACCATTACCATTTTTATTCGGTGTCATATTTTGTGAAGTTGATTGAGTATCATTTAATGAATTCAACTGTGAGATTTCTAAAGTATTTGTATGTGATAATGAATTATCTCTTGAATGAGAAATTTTAAATGGTGAAGATTGATTTGCTGAGTTCAAAGGTGGTAATTTTGGTTGAGTATTTGCTCTCAATGGACTTTCTAATAAACGAGATGATGTTCTTGGATCAGATGATTGTGATTGATACATCATTTGTTGTTGAGATTGAGGTTGAGGTGGAGGTTGTTGTGGTTGTGATTGATATGATGTTGTATAGGGTGTAGTTGAATTTATATTATATACGTTATTTTGTGACATATATGTTAAAGGATTTTGTTGCTGTGGCATTGAGTTTGGTGGTAGAGCATAATTCTTTGAATTAGATCTTTGATGATTAAAATAAGGTTGTTGAGATTGAGATTGTTGTTGTTGATGATGATGTTGTTGTTGTTGTTGAGGTGGTATGAATTGAGATGAAGAAGGTGGTTGTTGAGAATGCAATTGAGATGAATTTTGTTGTTGTTGAAGATGATGATGATGATGACGATTTTGAGATTGTGATTGAGGTCGACTAATTGGCAATTCTTGAATGACATTCTTTTGAGATTCAGGTAACATTTTATGAGTTGCCAAATGTAAACTTAATTGTCTTGATACAGATGAACCCCGTTTTGTCTTCAGAATTGATCCATCATTAATTTTACTCAAAAAATCTTCCTTATAGCTATCTGCTATCTGCCACTTCATGCCCTTTCCAGGCTCGTTGGGCTTTCTCGGGACTTTCTCAAATGCTTTATTTAAAGATAAATTATGTCTAATGGAATTTTGCCAGCCACTTTTTGAATATTTATAATAGGCATAATGGTTAGCGATCCACAGATATATATCACTAAGTGACATAACACCTTGAGGATTTGACAAAATAGCTTGAGTTATCATAGTGGCATAACTGTAAGGTGGTTTTATGTCTTTAGCCTCTTCTTTTGATAGATCTTGGTCTAGATTACTTTGAAGGCTGTTAGCCAAAACCGCACTAGGACTTTGAAATATCTGGAAGTTAGTATTTTGCTTCTTTACATTTTTATTACCACCTTTTTCTTTGAATTTTGCTAAAGCCTTCTCTAAAATCCTACCACTTAATGTGGGAGTGGCATCTGGAAGAATAAACATCATTTGAGTACCACCTATGTCTAATATAGCACCAGAATGTAAAATATTTGCTTCTTGAGAATTAACACCAACTTTTTGACCATCTATTCTTGCACCATTTCTTCCCAAAATTTTCAATTCCCAACACCTTAAATCTAAATTATAAATGATATTTGCATGCTGCCTTGATACAACTTTAGCTGGTCCAAGATCAATATCAATTAAACTCTGAGAATTATTATTTTGAATAGAATTACCAGATGTAGATGATGAAGAAATTTCAGTATTTCTACCAATTGATATAGCTAATGATTTAACATAATAAGTCCAATCTTTGCCAGCAATTTTTGCATAAGCTTGTACTTCAGTTGCAGAATTTTTATCATTTGCATAAATTTCAGATACATTGGTTTTATCTTCAGGACATTGTAAAGTGGAAATTACCAAATTAATGATTTCTTGTGGATCTTGAAGTACAGCTGTAGTATCTTCTTCTTCTTCAGCAGGACGTTTTCTTGGAGTTGATAATGTTGATAGTGTCGACATTTTAAATTTAGAATAATGATAAAATGCAATTAAAATAAATCTAATAAATTTTTATATTAAACTTGTTTTGAAAATAAATAAATAAAAAATCTGAAAAAAATTAAAATGTAATATGTTATATCAAAAGTTAATGAAAATTGGATTACAATATGCTTTAAGTGAAGTAGCTGGTTTAATATGAATTATAGTAATGTAATTAATGAAAATTATCGGATGGGTCAAAATGAATTATAATTTTTTGTTTTGATTGGAATTTTTTTTTTTTTGTTTTTTGTTTTTGTTTTTGGTTAATTTGATATAAACAAATGATGGATCAGATAATGAAATAGATATAGATGTTATAATAGTTGCAACTGATATAATAATGTATAGATTTATTATCAACGGAATAGTATATTAATCTCTAATAAATCAAAGAATAAAACTTGTTGCTGATTTGTTTATGTTTATATTTAAAATAAAAAATAAAGAAAAAAGAATATTTTTCTTCTATTTCTTTATTTTGAATATTTTTGATTTGACTGATTGATTGATTGATTGATTGAGTGATTGGTATATTGTATACTACTGCTTGTTCTATACGATATAATTATACTATACTATTAGTATTATTGTTTATTATATGTATTATTACTATATCATCCACTTGATGGGAGTTATTACTTGATTCAGATAGTATTTGGGCGGATTATATTGATGAAAGATTTTGCTACGGCCATTTTTTACTAATCAACTGATTTAAGAAAATTAAGCAACACGTACTCACAATAACTTTATATCATCATCTATCTATTGTAATTTAGATCTCTTAACCATATATCCAATTAATATATATTTATCACCAAATGCTATGGTATTGTTAATTAAAATTCTTTTCACAGCCAAATGAAAATAAATGTAAACACGACACAAAGCAACAAAATATATCAGCACGTGACAGACTGTATATAATATACTTAAGATAAAAGGCGCTACCAATTGAATTGCTGCAAAATATTGCAAGATTTCATAATGATGGATTGAGGTTTTCACTACTGAAGAAGGTTTAGAGAAAAAAATTATTTGCCATATATGCCCTTTTAGTCTAAATGTACCATTTACAACCTAGAATGTTCTTATTGTTATTGTGAATGTTTATGGAATAGTTTTTACCATGTTCTATACATAATGACACATTTGATCACATAAGCAAAGGACGGAGGGGATGGAGTATGATTAAAAGCCATCGCATTAAGTGAATGTCAGATTTTAAGGGCAAGAAATTCTCCCATTTTTAAAAGAATGTTGCAGTCATGAATTATTAAAGCCAAGTTCTTTAAGTTCATACCTGTGAGCTCGAAGTCTCGAACCACGTCACGCGAAGATTTTTTTTTCTCGCCGCGTAAAAACAATAGGATGTTAGCGGGTCTTGAAAGATTGATCAATATATAGAGGTATATCATAGACCTTGTTCTTTAAGTCAAGGTCAATAAGAAATGAAGCCTTCATTCAAACATCGATGTAATTGTCCATTGTTGAAAAATTACAATCCAAATTTGACCTCTTTTAGAACAAGTAGAACGTTCTACATTGTTATTTCAAAGTAAGCACTGCTATTTCAAAGTAAGCACTGCTATTTCAAAGTAAGCACTGCTATTTCAAAGTAAGCACTGCTATTCATTCCTATACAAGTAGATTTACTTCATAATTTATGGGTATTATAAATGATTCTTGTAATAAATCAAAACCTCTTGCGTCAGTTGAGTCTTTTGTTATAACATCTACTACATCTTCTTCTTCTTTTTCTAATCTTTTTTTATTCAATTCTGTTTCATCAATTATATCAAATTCATCTTCTTTTTCGATGTAATCAATATTCTCTTCTACTTCTACAAAATCTGGAGCTAATGCACTCCATTTTTGAGGAAATTGAATTTGCCATAAATAAATCATTCCACTATCAATACCTATAGAACCAATACAACATTTAGGATAATTCCATTTTGTATCTATAAGTTCTTCATTGCTTCCTTCTAGAATTTTGATTAAAGAGCCATTTGAAGTTTCCCAAATGTACAAGTCGTGTGATGATTGACCATGAGTACTTGCTATTAGAAATTCACCATTATGATTGAATGTAAGGGAATTCCATTGTAATCTATTGACAACATCTTGATATTTATGTTCAATTTCAAAATCAAATTTTTCATCTTGATTATTTATAGCTTGTTCATTAATTAAATCAGATAAATTAATTTGTCTAATTACTCTATCAGATGAATTTATAGCTAATTTTCTACCATTTGAAGATAATGCTAAATTTTTAATATTTGAATTTGATATTTTGATGGAATGAATAATTTTCAATGTTTCAGTTTCAAAAATATTTAGCCAACCTTTACTTGTACCTGTAAAAATATATTTACCATCTTTTGTAAATATACAAACTAAAGTTAAATGTTTTTCATTTTTCTTTGATTTCTTTTTAAGTTGTTCACCATCCATAACCCAATTTTCTAATTCTAATGGAGTTGTTGATAATTTTATAATTTTTGGAGAATTTTCATTTGTCAAATCAACATAAACAGGAGAATCTTCATATAGAGAAGCAACAAATTTAAATTTATCATTTGGATGTAAATTAGCTGACCAAATTGGACCATCAAATTTAATTTGTCGTATAATCGGCATTGAATTAATTTTATTTAAATCCCATAATTTAACATACCAATCTTGAGAAGTAGTTAATAAATATCTACCACATTTAGACCAATTAATAGAAGTAATAGGTCGTATATGACTATATTCATTTAAATGAGCTATTATACCACCATTTGAAATTGAACAGTCATAAATAACAATTGAACCATCTATTAGACCACTAGCTAAATAATCTCCTTTATAATTAAATTGTATAGTAACTGAATGACCAAAGTTAAGATTATTAGTTAATTGTTCTGGAAACTCTTTTGCAACTGAAAATGGATCTTGTAATGATAGATTCATTTTGATAAATTTATATTTTTTTTCACCAGTCGCTTTTTATCAAACAGTCAACTATTGAATGTCATTATATAATGATTTAATACCAACTTCTATTATTAATTCTCCTCCTTCTATTAACAGTGCTTTATCATCGGATGCTATTAACAATCAATTTATGAAAACTAAATTTGATGATAGATCAATTACAAAAATTAGTATTACTTTAAATCATTATCAAAATTTAAATAAATCAACATTTATTGAAGATGAGGATACTACTACTAGTACTCCTTTCAATAATATATTCAAATGGTCTCAATTGAATAAAATATCAAATTATATTAACTCACAAGAATTTTTAACCTTGTATGGTGAAATAAAATTAATAAAATCTACTTCAATATTTATTGCCATTGCTACAACAAAGAATCAAATAATTATATATAATTATAATCAAATTATAGAGTTTCAATTACAATGTGATGATTTAGAAATTAGTTGTATAAACTTTTCCTTGGACTCAACAACATTTGTTGCTGGTTTTACCAATGGTTCAATTAGATTATGGAATTTACATAAGGATGATTCTATTCAAATTACTCCAGCTTTCACAATTTCTCCAATTTCATTAAATTCAAGATTTGTACAAAATTTGGATGGTCATTTAATTAATTGTAAGATCAATTTTATTTCATTTATTGGCAATTCATATGATAAGTTAATCAGTTCTGATGATTCTGGTTTAATATTCTTTCATCATGGTATTACTAAAAAATTTATATATCACAACTTTGTAACAAAGAACTTATTTAGCAAGAGTATTATTTCCAATATTGCATTTTTACAATTGGGTTCCGATTATCAAATTACTGACGATTTAGGAGTAATTGCTTTAATTGCAGACGGTTCATTAAGTATTAAATCAACTATTTCATTAAATGATTCTTCATTAACCTTTATAACTACACATTACACTAAAAAATTAACTGGTTTGACTACATTAGATTGGTTTCCTTATATCAAAGATTATAATTCAAGATTGGCTTTTACTCAAGACAATTTTTTGTATATTCTAGAGGTTGAAGTTCCTGAAAAATTATCAATTATAATTAATAATGCCAAAAATCGAGATAAATTAATTGAGAAATTAAAATTACCTGTTAAAGAAACTTGTGAATTGGAGTTGGAACAACCTATACAATATATAAAATGGTTATCATCAAATTTACTTGTTGTATTCTTTAGTTCTAAAATGTTAACTTTTTTTTATGCAAATGAACAATTACATTTAGTTAGTTGTGACAATTTTAAATTTAATACTGTTGAGGTTGTTAAACAAAGTTTATTGATTTTTAATGATAACAAACTTTTTATTGCTAAATCATCAAATTGGGCCGATATATTATCAAATAAACTACAACATAATGATTATTTAGATGCACTTTTATTAGCTAATACGTTTTATAATTCAACAAATGTTGCTAAATTATCAGTACTAAGATTACCTTTGCAAAAACAACAACGAGCAAAACTTATTCAACCAATTTTATTGAAAATTATGAAGGAATCATTACCTCATTTAATTAAATCAGATCAAGAAATGTATTTAAAATTGTCATTAAATATAATATCTGAAATTCCTGGCTCAGCAACTAATGAAATTTTAGAAGAAATTTATGATATTATAAAAGATGATAAAATCTTCTTTGGTGCTATTGATAAATTTATTTTGGAAAATTCCATCAAGGAGTTACCAACAAGTTTGTTGAAAAAATTGGTAATGTATCATAAAGATGACGAAGAATTAAGTTTACTCCTATGCACTTTAGATCTTCATCAATTAGACATAGATTTTACTATTCAGTTGTGTAAAAAATATAAATTAACAGATTGTTTGATATATATATGGAACTATTTATTAAATGATTATAAAACACCATTAATTGAGTTTGTGGAAAATTTACAAGATGATTTGAAAGTTTATCTGTACTTGAGCTATGTTTTGAATGGGTTACAATACCCTACTCACAATTCAATTGTAAATGCTGATTTTGCAAGAAAGGAAATTTGTAATGTTTTGTTTTCCACTGATTATTGTTTTATTTTACTCCAGTTTAATTCATTTTACATGTTAAGTACTTTAAATGAATTTTTTGAAAGTTCATACTTGAATGATGGTAATGATATAAATCGACAATATATAATTGAAACATTATTGGAAATTTTTGAATCTCATAAACAAGACTTTTCAAATTATGATGAATTACAACTATCAATTTTTATAGCAAGAAATTACTCAAAATATCAACAATTTATAAGACTACCAGAATCAGAAATTATTAAGATTATAAATACAATATTGGATTATCAAACTTCTGAAGATAATGAGTTAGCTTTACAAAGTCTCATACCATTTTTTAATAACTTAGAAGATAATCAATATTTGATTGAAAGATTAAAATTAGGTAAATATTACAATGTTTTAATAAATTACTATAAATTAGAAAATAAGTATTCTCAAGCTTTAGAAATTTGGTTAATTAAGAAAACTAATTTTAAGGAATTAACAGAATTGGTTGATTTGTCATTCAATAAAGGTAATAGCATGGATAGACTTAAACTTGTAGGACTTTTGAAGTCAAATTTTGAAGATTGTTTAGTATTAAATCCTACAGGTTTTTATAAAATGATCAATAAATATGCTCCAGTATTACATGGAAGTATTGTTGCTGCTAAGGAATATCTACAATTCATATATTTAAAGGAGTATTATAAATCATATGATGATGATATATTTGTAACAAGATTTATTGAATTATTAATCAAGTTTGATGATTCTGCATTATTTGATTTTATTAAAAAACATATTAATATTATACCAGAAGAATTAATTTATAAATTAAATGATGACAAGGATAATATTATACGTGCAAAAGCCCTAATGTTGATGCATGATAACAAATTTTTAGAAGCAGAGACAATATTATTGGATAAAATAATTGATCAAGACCTAGATTATCTAAATTTTATATTTTCAATTATTGATGAATCAAAAGATAACCGCGATAAATTATGGTTAAACCTTATTTACAGATTAGTTCAATCTAACAAGTCTGACTGCATTCATGATTGTTTTAAAAAAATAATAGATGATAATTTATTCAATTCAATTTTCAATAAATTTTTAGATTTGAATCATAATGAAACTACATTATCCAATATTAAAACAATTTTACAATCAGTCTTCATTTCATATTCTTATGATACACAAATTTTGAAAATTCTAAATTACAATATTTTAAATAATGATATTTATAATAAAATGGTTTTGATTCAAAATAGAAACTTAAAAGGTTGGAATATAATGGATAAAAATTGTATTTCATGTGGTAAACCAATGTTTCTGTTAAAAGATGAACATTATTTAGCATGGCAAGATTATGAATTTTCAAAAGTACTAACACAATCTTATAATAAGAATGAGGAATTGCAATTAATTATTTTCAAATGTGGTCATGGATATCATTTAAATTGTTTGCAACGATTGAACTTGAATAATCAGTGTGTAATATGTAGTGAATGAAAATATGAGATCTCAAATGTGTACCTGTTTTGTTTTTTGTGCAACCATTCCGAATTTGGAAATTAGTAAATAGAGATCTTGAAAAAAAAAATAAATCTATTTATAAATTTGACATATCGAAAGAAAAAGCCATATGTCATCCTTTAATAATATATCTGATGACGAAGATGATTTATTCAATGACTCAAATACGTTAAATCACAATCCATTTAATACTTTAAACACTCCCTTTCATTTTAGAAATGTTACCAATTCAAGTTATTCAACTATAGTGGATGATTATAATGAAAATATTAAATACCCAACCAGAAGTAAAACAGTCAATTTTAAAGATGATATCGAATATCCTCCAATAATATATTCTCCTGGAAAACAAAATTCTTATCCATCATATTATGAAGATGAATTATATAATGATAATGGAAGTTACTATAATGGGGAAAATTATATAATTAATCCATTGGAAGATGCTGAAGTTAACGAAGAAGATCCATTTAATGATTCCTCCTCATTGTTTTCTGATACTGGTGAAGATATAATAAGAAGAAGAACAACAATTAAGAAACTCGATAATGATTCGGATGATGATTTTCAGCCTCAATTAACATATTCGAAAACTATTAAAAAAGCCAAGTTGATAAATGGAAATTATATAATTGATGCCCCAATCCCTAGAGCCCTCTTAAATATGTACGGAAAACAAATCGAAAATATGGGACAGGAAATGTCATTTTTAAGATATACTGGTGCAACTTGTGGACCATCAAATTTTACAAAATTTGGATATAATTTAAGACAAGGTATATACGAACCAAATAGACAAACTGAAATAATGGTTTGTATTACAATGTATAATGAAGATGAAATATTTTTGGCAAAAACACTTAAAGGTGTTTTCGATAATATCAAAGATTTAACAAATAGAAATGATCCAAAATGGGGTGATGATAGTTGGAAAAAAATTGTTGTTTGTATTATAAATGATGGTAGGTTGGAATTAAATAAAAGAACTGAGATTTTATTAAGTAGTTTGGGTATTTTTCAAGAAGGTTATGCAAAACTGAAAATTAATGATAAATCAGTTAAAGCTCATATTTATGAATATACTTCAACTGTAGGTATTGATTCAATTAACGAACAAGTTTATTTGACTTCAAATTCAACTCCTGTACAGTTTATATTTTGTTTAAAAGAAAAGAATCAAAGAAAAATTAATAGTCATAGATGGTGTTTTCAAGCTTTTGGCCCAATTTTGAATCCTAAAATTATAATGTTATTGGATTGTGGAACAAAGCCATCTAAAAATGCATTTTATCATTTATGGAGACTGTTTAAAGATCCAAATGTAGCAGGTGCATGTGGAGAAATGAAAGTTTCATTAGGTGAAAATAAACGATTATTGTCAAATCCATTAGTTGCTGCACAAAATTTTGAATATAAAATTTCCAATATATTAGATAAACCAATGGAAAGTGTATTTGGTTTTATATCCGTATTACCGGGTGCTTTTAGCGCGTATAGGTATGAAGCTTTATTAAATGTCAATGGAGTCGGACCATTAGAAAAATATTTCAAAGGTGAATATCTACATCAAGATCAAATTATTGATGAAGATGACGATGAAAAGTATATAAAAGAGAAAAACTTTCAACAATGTGGAGTTTTTACATCAAATATGTTTTTGGCGGAAGATAGAATTTTATGTTTTGAATTGATTGCAAAAAAGAATCATAACTACATATTAAGATACGTCAATGAAGCGAAAGCTGAGACGGATGCACCAGAAAGAATAGATGAATTTGTTTTACAGAGAAGAAGATGGCTTAACGGTTCAATGTTTGCTGCAACTTATGCTATTTTCCATTGGACAAAGATATGGAGGTCTAATCATTCTTTAATGAGAAAATTATTCTTACAATTGGAATTTTATTATCAATTAATAACAATTTTAGTTTCATGGTTTTCATTAGCAAGTTTCTTTTTAGTTTTTAGGATTTTAACAGCAAATTTGGGCTCAAAAGAAATGAATTTTCAAATTGGTAAATATTTGGCTATTATATTCTTATGGATTTACGTTGGATCAGTAGTTGTTACTTTTGTTTTAGCATTTGGTAATACACCAAGAGGTACAAAGAAGTTTTATTTAGTTATAGCTATATTTTTTGCAGTATTAATGTGTTATATGATGTTTGCAGCAATTTTCTTAGCAGTTCATACCATAACATCAATTTTGAATCAACATAAAGATGAATTTACTGCAAGTATGATTTTTACAAATTCAAAATTTAGAGATTTAATAGTAAGTACAGTTTCAACTTATATTTTGTATTTCATTGGTTCTTTTATGTATGGAGAACCTAGTTTTATGTTGACAAGTTTTATTCAATATGTTGCATTGAGTCCAACATATATTAATGTTTTGAATATTTATGCCTTTTGTAATATTCATGATGTTTCATGGGGTACAAAGGGAGTAGAAATGGCTAAGAATTTGGGTTCAGCAAAACTGTTTGGTAAAAATAAAGATTCAATTATAATGGTTTCAATACCTAATTCAAATGAAGAAATGGATGAAAAGTATAAAGAACAATTAGAATTATTGAAAACTAAATCAATTGAAGAAACTGTATCGAATTCAAATATTAAAAAATCAAAAGATGATTCTTATTATGCATTTGTAAGAACATTAACTGTTTTAGTTTGGATGTTGACAAATGCAATTTTGATTGTTATTGTTTTAAATGTTGCAGGTTTAGACGTTTTTACAAATAAACAAGAAGTTAATAGTGATGGGTCAATTAGTGGTAATTCAGAAATATTCCTAACTATTATTTTATGGATTGTTGCAGGTTTAGCAGCATTTAGATTCATTGGCTCATTTTTATTTTTAGTATTTAAAAATTTTAGACCATTAAAATGGAAGTTGAGAGAAAGAAAGATTAGAAATAATTCATTAGCATAATAAATGGTTTTCAGGATAAACTTTTTTGAACATCGATTGTAAAAACGCTAGGTCAAAGTTTAACGTTACAATTATTTAACAATTTGATTTTAACTATTTGAAATCAATAGTATAATCATGAATGATTCAATTTATTCTAATCAATAATCATTTTTTGTGGTGTCCATATAAAAAGTTTAAATATTTCATGTATTGGTTTTTATCAGGCCCAAACGATTAAGAGATATTTGGAGCAAAAGCAGCGCGACTAGTCGTACAATCTGAGGCGAAAGAATAAAAAACCAATGTATGTGGCTTCCTCGCGTTTTGTCGCGCAAAAATAAAACGGAGTTGAGGCGAAGAAAAATATAATTGGTGGCAAGTTTGCACGAAGTTTATGTCGATTTATGATCTATTAATGTTTAATCTATAAAGCTTCGTTAGTCTCTTTTTCATGTTTCTTATCTAAAATATTAAAACTTTTAGTGTCTTTGAATCCCTTATCTTTGCTCGATTGAATCAACAAATTTCTTGGACCAATAACTTTAACGAAATCAGTTTCGCCCATGAAAAACCCATAACAGATACCATAAAAACCTTTACTGAGTCTTCTTATTTTTTCAAAATACACTTGCAGGTAGAACCATGTCAATTTTAAACTATAAATGATTTTATTTTGAGTAGTAGGTATTCCTAAAACAGGTCTTTCAATTATTTTGACTTTTATGTCATTTCCTTGAAATTTGTAATTCACAATACAATTTTGTAAATCATATGGACCATTGACAGTTATACCCAATACATTATTCTTGTTGATCAAAAGTTCTTCACCTTCATTTAAATTTATATTGTATATGTTTCCAATTCCAGTTAGTCCAACTTGTCCCCTACCACTTAAAAATAAATATGAACCGAAACCGAATCCAGTTTTATATTTCAAATTTTGGTTAAATAATCTTCTTGATAAATTTTTAGATATATATTTTGGTAATTTGTAAAAATTTAGTATTAATGAATTTCCAGTGAAAATTTGAAGTGACTTTTTAGGTAGAATTGCCCAATCTACCTTTCCATCAAGTGTTAAGTTCATAATTGATTGACTTTTATTACATCCAACTAAAATTGAAAAAGGAGATGTTGAAATTAAATTTTGATAAAAATTGAAATTCCAAATTGAAGGTTTAGATTTTATTGATTTGAAGCCAAATATTGATATTAATGAATTTCGCTTAATATATATTGGCATTGAAGGAGGTTGATTAACTTTGATTATGTTATTTAACAATTCAAATTCTGGTTGTTCCAATGTTTTATATGATTTTAATTCATTACTATTTATATTAGTGAGATCTGTGGTAGTTGATGATGTAGTTGGTTTAGATAATTGGGAGGAAGTTTCAATAGATATACATCTTTTGAAAATTTTTGATGTTTTTATCATTGACTGGCTAATTTAGAGATTTGAAAAATAATTTTTCAATCCAATTGGTAGAGAAAATTTATATTGTAAACTATTAGTTATTATAAACAATGTTTAACCAATTTTCCTCTTAGTATTTGATGTCCCATCTTTAATAAATTTAACAAATCTATCTCCATATTCTTTTGCAGGTATTGCCAGAATTTCATTTCTTTTATGACCAATTGATCGAATTAAAGTTTCCAATTTCTTTTTACATGAATAAGGTGTTAAACAATCAATTATTCCCATATAATAAATCTCACCTATAGGTTCATTATCACAATTTGTAGCTCTAATTCCTCCATTATGACCATAAAATACATATTTTGACCGTCCTGGAAATACATCATTTGGTAAATCTTCAGTTCTATTTAAATCTCTTGGATTTGTATTTATAATTGCTGCTTTATCTGATGATTTTGGTTCAAAAACTGATAATTTTTGATTTATATCTCCTGTATTTCCTTTTGTTACATCATGAATACCTAAAAGTAATGAATAATCCATAACATTACATTTTTTTAATAAATTTACATCCGATTCAATTTGTTGGAAAAATAATCGTTTCTTTTCAGGACCAAACTTGATTTTTTTATTTTGTTGTAAATAATTAAGGTCCTTCAAAGTTGAACCATTAGTTGTGAGACGGCCCCATAAACTACCTTTTAAATCAAATTTTTCGTGAATTTCATAATGTGGTGGAAATAAATTATTCATGACCACAAAATGAACCTTACGACCTCTCATTTTAACTCTATGAAGTCCAAAAAATTGACTAATAAGTGTATTGGGATGAGTTTTTATATAACTATGATAATCTTTCAAAATTCGTAATAATACATTCTTCTCTGACCTTTTGATTGTTTTAATAATAAATCTATAATCTCTGGAATAATAAAAAAAACTACCACTTTTCCCAGGACTATTTAATTGACTTAAAATATATTTACCAGTTATTGATATTAAATAATCTGCTGGATCTATTCCAAATATTACCCTGAGCTCTCTAAACACCTCAGGGCAATAGTCCTTGAATTTGAAGTCATATTTTGAGCTTGGTGTTAATTCAGAACCATCAGTATTAAAAGTTAATTTCTTATATGAATGAAAATCTGAATCTTGTAATTTTTTCATAACTCCTGAGCATCGTGATACTGCAACTCTAATTCCAGTTAACATATTGTAAGCCATTACAAAATTATCATGACCCTCAGTTACTTTTGAACCCAATACAGTTTCATCTTCATAAAATTTTCTAATATTTCGTTTTTGAACAAAACTGTCTCTCAATAGTTGTATTTCATTTGAAACGGGAACGTCTTGTGAAAATTGTGGGTATGTTGATCTTGCTGTTGGTTTCTCAATTTGGATTGAATGTCTTGATAAGGAAATTGTTTTATCTAATTTTTTTAAAACTGGTGATGTATGTCTTCTTGTATTTTTGGGTATATCTTGATGAATAGTTGAATTGGTGGTATTTAATGGATCTATATCTAATGATAATTTGGCCGTGGTAAGTTCATTATCATTTGGTAACTTCAAACTTTGTGCAACTTGATTATTATCATCTATAGATGAAGGAGTCGTTTCATTAGTATAATCTGTATTAGATCCTTTAAATGATGTAGGAGTTGATGGCATACGATTATTGACTTCATTTGAAGTTGATTGATCCATTTCTTGAGTTTTATTCAAATTTTGAGATGTTAATAAAGGTAATTTTATTATCGTTTCATCTTGCTCTTCACTACAACCATTTTTAAGTAAATCAGATTTAATAGATGAAGATGATGTTGGTTTTTTGATTTGTTGTTTTAATGTTATTTGTGATGATGAATTTGATATATTTGTAGTAGTATTTGTTGCTGAAGAGGAAGATGATTTAATAAATGATGATTTAGGTAATGAAGATGACGATAGCTGTATCATATATAACTTGATATTATATAGTAGTTATTTTATATTTATTATATAACTTTTTGTGGTAATAATTCAATTTTGGTTTATTTTTGGCACTGGTTAAAAAATTATAGAAAAAAAAAAAAAAAAAAAAGTGAAATTTATGAAATTTATGAAATTTATTAACAACTTGAAATGAGTTATAGTAATAGAGTTATAGTAGTAGAGTTTTAGTAATAGAGTTGTAGCAATAGAGTTGTAGTAATAGAGTTGTAGTAATAGAGTTATAGTGTATTAGAGGGTAGATACTAGATAGATGGTTGATGCCTTGAACGATCTACAATATAACCAAGATTGACCATGCAACGGAGACAAATCAGTTTTAATAATAAAAGCTTAAGTTGGTTGTAGTAACTATAATAATTTCTTGATATTTTCTTTTCATCTTTTGCTTTTCCTTGATCATGAAGCCAACTGATTTACTATTTAAAATATATGATTGCATTTATAATTGAATTCTCGAAAGGGTAAATTAATATGAAGATATTGGTCTAGATTTACGATAAAATTTTGGCGTTGTTTTTAAACAATCACGGGTTTGTCTCGTGTTGCTTAATGCGACACCTTAGCACAAAACATGCACTCCATGGGCCTAGGGTTTGTGCCATCCATCGCGGTATCAAAAGGACATTTGGCTTAATAAAAAAAAACCAATTGTTTGCAACAAACTTTAATTACGTTAACTGAACGTAACTGGAAAATAAAAAGTACTTAATAGAATTCAAAACATAGTAACACTTAAGTTTAAGATACAACCGCGCTATCAATTATTAAGCTTATCTTTCTTTAACATTTTTTGCAAAATTTTCGTAATACAGATTGATAAATCATAACATGTTCCTTAATAATGAATTGTTTTACTAGATCTACTTTAGTTTCAGTTTATAAACGTTGGTAGAGCTTGAAGAATCAACCAAATTACATTAAACAGCCTTTGTTAGTTTATATTTGTTTAAATTCGAAGCTTAAGTCACCTAAAAGTTACCTTTGGATTCTTATCAGCACAGCTAAATACTCTGTATGGATTGTAAGTGCACTGAACACTATCATCTTTCTGAGTTGTTGTATTAATGGATGGAATTCTTTCGACATCATTTGGTAGCGAGTAAATGCCGGTTCGGAACGAAGATCTAAATCTAGGTCCGAATTTAATTTTTTTTCTTTTTTTTTCTCGTCTGATTCCATCTTATCAATTTAATCACTTTAAACAGCTTAATCAAACAACCCAATGTTTAATAAGATATTTGGTAAAAAATCAGATTCAATTATAGAAGAGCAAATTAAAGATCAAGGATTTGAAATTAGTACGTGTCCTGAAACCTGTGATGCTTGTATTACAAATTTTCCAAAATCTTTAAAATTTGAAGAAGATGAACCTTTATACAATTCTACAAAACCATTCGGATTACATTTATTGATATCAACTGGTAAAACTGATTGGCCTCATGATGCAACAGGAACACCAAATACATTATCAAATGCAATTGCAGATTGGGCTTCCAAGAAAAAATCTAAATTGGGAAATATTAAAGTTACTGTCTCATCTTTGGGATCAGATGAATTATTAATTGATGATGAGTATATAAACGGTAAAATGGGAGATGTATTAATAATGCCTTATTTTTTATGGATCAAAAAGGTCAAAATTGAAGATGTTGCTGAAATTTTTGATAAATTAAATCAATATCTAGAAAATCACACACCAGTAGATGATATAGAAATTCCGAACTGTTCGATTGACAATAACTCAAGTTATATCTTTCTATGTTCTCATAAGACTAGAGACAAAAAATGTGGAATAACTGCTCCAATTATGAAGAAAGAGATGGATTTATATCTTAGAGAATTGGAGTTGTATCGAGATTTTGGTGATAATAGACCTAATGGTGTACAAGTTGCATTTTTAAATCATATTGGTGGTCATAAATTTGCTGCTAATGTAATAATTTATAATAAAGAATCAATGAAAAATATTTGGTTAGCTTTATGTAGACCAAATAATGTGAAACCAATTATAGATGAATGTGTTTTACAAAATAGAGTATTTCCAAATAAAGTTAGAATTGTACAAAATTTCAATTGGTAATATATTTAATTACATTTAATCGTCTTGTTAATGAATCAATTGTAACTCCATCTAATTTGTCAATATCATGTTTTAAAATATTATTAATCCTATTCAATTCAACATTTAGATACTTTGAATTCCTCAATTTATCCAAATATTCTTTATTATCTAAACCCGCTGTTTCTTTTAAATTACCCAGGGCATCTCTATCCAATTTTGTAAATTGATTAATTGCATCTATAATAGATTCGTAATTCAGATAATCACCTTTATATATCAATGGATCTCCATTTTTGAAAAATAATAAAGTTGGTAACTTTTTGATATCAAATTTATTCTTAATTGGTTCATTATCAAATTCATCAATCAAATAATCAGCAATCATAATATTTGAATCTCTTTTATATGTGATTTCAGCTAGATTTTTTAAAGTAGGTTTGAATTCTGTACAATATGAACACCAAGTAGCACCAATTGAAATAATGGAATATTCAAATTCTTGAATTTTTTCAAAAAAATTATCAGGAGTCAAATGAATTACAGATTTTTCATTTTCAACTATTTCTTCAATTTCAGTAGTATTTTTATCAAGTCTATAACCAGTCAATTGTTGAATAAAATTACTTAAACTTTCAACATCTCTACTACCTTCAAATTCAATTCTTGAACCATCTGGTTTGAAAAGTAGTAACGTTGGATACCCAACAGTTACATACTTTTTGGAAAGTAATCGTCCATCTTTATCACCATTAACCTTTAAAAATTGAATATCATAATCTCTAAAGATATCACTTAATTGATCGACTGTTGGTGAGACCTTTTTGCAGTGTCTACACCAATCAGCGTAGAAATCAACAAACGCAAATTTCTTATCAATCAATTTCTGAAAATTTAAATCATTAGCTTGAATAATATTTGAAGATGTATAAGCAAATGCTATTGATATTATAAATAGGAAATTTAAATATAATTTCAACATCAAATATTATTGATAATAAAAATATAAATGCTACCAATTGAACAAGGATTTTATCTTTTTTTCAATACGATGGTGAGGTAACATTTTCTCATGCTAGCTTAGGGCAACTCGTACTAACCTTTGGTTTATATACCAAAGGCAACGTAATCTCTTGAGATAAGAAGCAATTTAATAATATTTGGAGAGCTTAAGTATATACTCTAAAGATCTCAGGGTTTAAAATCAATATCTCGAGAGATTAATTAAAGATGAGATATAAGCCATCGAATTTAGTACGAGTCGCCCTCAGTCTAGCTCGAGGAAAATGTTTCTATGGCACCATTTTAGAGCGGAATTTGCCTACTTTAAAAAAATTCTAGAATGTATTTTATATGCAGTCTCGTAATAGTTAATTTCAAAATTTATTAAATGGTACACAACTCATTCAACCTTGAGGTTGTGTTTTTCAAACTAACCTCATTGCATTTATAATTTAGTTTGGAATCAAATGATTCTCGTATAAAAGGATTATGGATTTGATGGTTTTATTCAACTTTTAAAAAAATGCAAAAAAATGCTACTTTGCGTTATAGTTAATACTTCGACCCAACTTCTAAAGTAAAATTGGTTAATGGAATAGTTTTTCTTGCGCAAGTTGATTCCATATCAACAGACATCTGCAAATATGTAAACCACATATATACTATGTCAAAAAAGAATTTTGAGTCTAGATATAAGTAATTTACTCGACCCAAAGTTTTGCGTATACAAATTTCTGGGGTCTTTATGGCCCTTTTTTTAATACGAGATCGTTGGAGAAAAAAATATTAAAAATTACTCGCATAAAATGGCGATGAAATCTTTATATTGATTGAGTGCAATAGTATAAAGATTATACGCAACATGAGCAAGTTGAAACTATGATGATGCGTAAATTCACTAAAGAAAAAATTTAATGAATGGGTTAATATTAACAAGTGAACTAAAATGAAGCTGTTATGTTCTAAAGCAGAAAATTTGAATTTGTTAATGGACCTACTTTAGAAATAAGACTTATAGATATAAGCTAAGCTGTATTAACCATGAGCTTAAACAAGAAATACAACTGAAAGTTGATTTATTAGGTAAAGATTATATTGAAGCATATTTGAAAATATTTCATTGTTTTACCAAATGGATTTTGATTTTGTCTTTTTTTGCAATTAATTTAGAAAAGTTTAATGAACAAGTTAGAAAGCGTTAAAAATGATGATAAACAAACAAAAGTTGAAATCAGAGTTAATAAACTGAATTTGAGCAATCTAAAATGTACTGTTTAGATTTTAATGAATTAACAGGGTTTAGCATAAGGAAGCAACAAACACTTGAGGTAAGGATGCAACAAACACTTGAGGTAAGGATGCAACAAACACTTGAGGTAAGGATGCAACAAACACTTGAGGTAAGGATGCAACAAACACTTGAGGTAAGGATGCAACAAACACTTGAGGTAAGGATGCAACAAACACTTGAGGTAAGGATGCAACAAACACTTGAGGTAAGGATGCAACAAACACTTGAGGTAAGGATGCAACAAACACTTGAGGTAAGGATGCAACAAACACTTGAGGTAAGGATGCAACAAACACTTGAGGTAAGGATGCAACAAACACTTGAGGTAAGGATGCAACAAACACTTGAGGTAAGGATGCAACAAACACTTGAGGTAAGGATGCAACAAACACTTGAGGTAAGGATGCAACAAACACTTGAGGTAAGGATGCAACAAACACTTGAGGTAAGGATGCAACAAACACTTGAGGTAAGGATGCAACAAACACTTGAGGTAAGGATGCAACAAACACTTGAGGTAAGGAT